TTTTTTTTTTTTTTTTTTTTCTTTTTTTTTTTTGTGCTTGTGTCTTGGGCGTGCTGGGTAACAACAATATCGGAAAGGGGAACTCTTTATTGATTTTTCCACGTATTTCTTTCTTTCTCTGTCTGCTGTCATCTCGCAACGAAACGAGCTCGAGATCTACATTCCCTTTCTCCTTCTTATTTATCTCCTCTTCCTTTTGACTTATTCCCATTGAAACCGAATCGATTTTCTTCTTACTGCGCAGCGAACCTCTTTCTACGGTCTCACTGCTCCCATCCAGCCTTGCAGACCGGTGGCCTATCCGATAATACCTACCACCCTTCCCATCCCAATCCCCCTTTATCTATGATGAACCTATGACCTCTCATTCCATCTCCCTTCTTTCTCCTCCTCCCCTACTATCCACCGTTCTGGTTCTTCATTGGTGAGACTTCGAATATCGTCTTCCTATATTCCTTCGGGTTTAGGATGTCCTAGCCAGTCCCCATGTGTATGTTGATTTCTGTATGATTCGTCTCTCTCTAGCTAATGTGATCTGATCTGTTAATGTCCCCGTACCGGGGTTCTTTGTAAGCACCTGGTTCAGTTATCCTGCTGCTCTTCTATTGGTGGGGTCACTTTCACTCCAGTGGAGTCTGTAAGAATGATGATGATACGTATACTTACACAGTAAGGTAGTTATGGAGTCTTGCCCAGTGCGTGTACTACACGTCATGTGACCGGGTGGTTGCGTTGAAGTTGTTTGCTGCTTCGGGAAGGAAGAAGTGGCGGATGCGCTTATGCAATTCAATGGCTGTTTGTCGATCACTCGGGGAAACCCTCCGGGGATAATTGATATGCTTTAATCGTTTCATGGTTAGGGTTTTTATGGATATATCCAGCTCCGCTGGTGTTACAGGGTGAGCTCAAGTTGTAGCCTGAGTTAGTATGGTCGGATCAGAATGAGCGGGCAGGGATCTATATATATATCTATCCTTGTCATGTGGGCACAATACCATATTCCTGTACTACTAAGCAGTAGAATTGGCACTCCGATTACCCCACAGAAAAGAAAATATGATGTACGAGAAAGATGTACGAAATATATGTTGAATTTGACCATATACAAATAGTGTTCTCTCCCACGAGTAAACCGGTCCTGGGGAATACCTCCAAGGATATAACGCATGCACCCAAACACCTTGCTTGCGCCGTTTCTAACCCAAAAAAGCCGAGAGAATTCTGTAAGATGATCTTCACAAGAGAAGTGGTGTTAAGCACTGGCTGAATCGCCGGCAGGTTGATCGGTGGCTTCAGTGGCTGGGTCGGGTACGGATTGTGAGGGTTCGGGGTGAGATGGAGGTTGGGACTCAGTGGAAGGTTCGCCTTGAGTGGCGGTAGTGGGACTGGTTGGTTGAGTTGCTTGAATCTCGGGTTCTTGGGGTTGGTCTTGAGGTTTCTGAGGCTCAGTCACAGACCCGAACCGTGATTCTTCTGCGGGGAGCTCGGGCGCAGGCGGGGAAGGAGCAGATCTTTTTGACGATTGAGGGCCCTCGGTTTCAGGTTGCGGCTGCTGCTCCTGAGGAGGAAGTTGCTGTCCTGACACCGGTGTTAGTTCCGATGCAGCAGCAGCAGCAGCAGCAGCAGCAGGTATTTCTGCGCTGGGCTGTTTCTGTTCCTCCGGGGTTTCAGTGGAGGGTTGGGATTGCGACTGGGCCTCTGAAGGCTGGTCTGTGGACGTTGGCTGCCCGGGAACTTGTTCCACCGACATTTCACCTGTGGTGTCGACAGGCGCAGCAGCAGCTACAGCAGCAGGTCTTTCTGTGGTCGGCGATGCGCTTTGCTCAATTGCCGGCTCCTCAGACTGAGGCTGTTGTTGCTCGATAGCTGACTCTATCACCGGCTTTTCTGTCGTAGGCGGGGCGGCGGCATGGTCTGGTATCTGTCCCGTGGGGTGCACAGGAGTTCCAGAGGCCGATTCTGCGATAGCCTGCTCAGACGGTGGCTGAGTAGCTTGACCTCCCTGATCAGGAGCACCGAGCTGTCCCACTGGCTGCTCCAAGCTTGAACTCGTGGCGTCCACAGGTGCCTGGGTGGCTGCAACAGTAGTCTCCTCTGCACCATCAGTCTGAGATGTAGCTTCTGCAGCCAACTCTGTGCCACCAGGCTGGCCAATTGAGCCCACCCCAGGTTCGTTCGCTTGAGTAGCCGGCTGGGTTGTTTTTGATGCGCTATCCAGGCTCGCTTCTAAAGTGCCAAGAATGTCGGTTTCCTGGGTATCTGTACTCTCTTCACGGGACTGAACGTTATTTAGAGGCTCAGGGGCTACTTTCTCAGAATCCAGCTCGGATGTAACTTCTGGGGCGGCTGCGGAATCTCCCATGATTGTATCGCCATCGAGCTGAGGCTGGTTCATTGGTTGTCCAGCTGTCTCACCAGAGATAGCGAAAGGCGCGAATGCTGATGCGTCCAAGGAGGCCTGTTTCGTACTTGCTGTAGCTGGGACTATCTCCGAGACAGCTGATTGAGGCGTGTTCTGAGATGGTACCGGGCCTGTCTTAAATCTTTCTTGAATCGTCTGTTCTTCCGAACTCGAAACCTGCAGAGAAGCAGATTCTATAATATGCTCTTGTGAGGGAATGGCATCCGCCATCTCCACATCCGCGGGTAGTGGTGCAATTTCAATCGATTTTTGTGCCAGAGCCGGCGATGGGGTATCAGCAGACTCCTTTAAAGGTCCTGAAAGGCCCATTGACGGTACTGGAGGCTGCGAGGGCATCTCCGAAAGAACAGCAGAAGAGGGATCTGGATTTGATGGCTGCGGTTCACCCACTGCCAGCGTTGGTGCTGAAGTGGGTTCTGGAGCAGCTGAGGGCTCAGTGCTGGTCGGTGGTACCGAAGTCTCTGGTGTCTTTGCATCAAGCATGGATTCATCACCATCATCGGTCTCGTCACCCTCTTCGCCTTCCTCCTCATCGTCATCTTGACCGGCTTGATCAACCGATAGTCTCGACGAATCATTATCGCCTTCCCTGTCTGCCGCGCCGTCAGTGCCCCCAGCCCCGTGAACCTGAGAAGCATCCGCACCATCGCCGGGAGCGAACATGACCTTCTTTCTTCTTCCCTTGCCAACGCCCTTAGCCTTGCGTTTCGGAGGAGGAGGCCTTCTCTTGGGAGGAGTCATCACGTTCTCAGAACCGGCTTCCGCAACTACCACGCCTTCGGCATTGACAACCCCCACTCCTTCGATGACAGTTCCCGGAGCCGGAGCCTCCGGAGTAACAGTGACCTTGCTACTCGGAGCTGCTACCTGAATGTCATCAGTGATCTCCCCTTCGATCTTATGTCCCTCGGGCACCCAAGCCTCATAGATCGAGATGTTCCCGGTGGCCGGATCAACCTTCTTAAAGCGAGTCCGCCTCATCGGACCGGCACTAGACCCGTCTGCATTTGTAGCGGACTCACCATAAAGAGAAGGCAGGCCCGGCCGTCTCTTAGCGAGGAACTCCACCTCGACAGCTTCGAGATGCTTCGGGATAGTCGCCCACTTGCGGGTGACGAAGCTGCGTTCGGTGCTCTGAACCAGGGGTTGTTGTTGCTCTTCACCGTCTGTCGCCTCCTTCTCCTCCTCATCAGCTTCCTTGGGCGCCTGCCGAATGTAAATGCAGCCAGCGCGGGCGGCGCGCAGGAGTGCTCGGCTCATCGGGGTCAACAAGTGACTATCTCGGGGCATTGGGTGCTCGGGGATGGTGGGTTTCCCTCCTAAGCCTTGGAAATCATTGGGATCTGGGATGTCAACCTTGGGTTCTTGCGATACGGTTTGGGTCTGGCGCGTCCATCGTCGTACAGGGAGTCCTTCAAACACGTCGTGATCGATCTGGCCGGTTCGGTTGCGGTTGGCGGCGTCGGCGAATTGGCGCCCTGAGCGGGAAGATCTGAACTGCAAGGAGTCAGCTCTGAGGAATATAGCATGCATTACCTCCTCGGGGTGGTCGCTTCGAGCAATGGACGTGATGAGTTGGCCCCAGTGGGGGGCATTTGAGGATGTCGGCGAGGAACTTACGGTAGGTGGCATCGTGAGCGTGAGCGTGTGAAGCTGCTAGCTCCCTCCCAGACTTAAATGAAGTGCACACCGTGTGCTTTCTCACTCATGTGACGATAAAGATAATTGCTGGAGTAGTGAGGATGAATCGCGGAGGTGTTTTGGGAGGCACTGATGATTGCTTTGATCGATGGTCGCGATGCGACCGAAAGGCGGCAGCTGCAACCCCGACATCCACGTGACTGGGATTTTTAAGATGGCAAAAACTACGGAGTACACACGGAGTACACAGTAAAAGAGAGAAGAATAGTATTTTCAGTGAAGGAAGTATCGATGCTACCTACAACATAGCAGTGAGTCGGCTTTGATTAATTTACAGAGCACCTCCAGTCTATCCAGTCACTCCTTCAACGGCGGCGCAAGATATCAAGATCAATCCCCAGCAACGCCGTTCCTACGCCGGCAAATCAAGAATCGCATATATAATTTATTTAGTCCCAACTATTTCCCCCTGTCAGTAAATTTGCATCAAAAACGGTGGTGCGTGTCTATCTTACCCAGTGTCCTTCTGGCGAACAATGCCCCCCTCATTGCCGGTTTCCTTGCCCTGGTTTGCAGTCAGCCGTGCTCTTGAATCGGATTGTTCTCCACCCCCCCTTAATAGCACTCACTGTCTTCTGGCCCTCGACGACCAGCTTGTCCATTTGGTAGAATTGGCTGATCACGGTTTGACGCTGAAGAATTTATTAGTTGAATTCTTCTGTGGAACGGGGGAGTACCGTGGAGAGGCACTGCTGGGCTCGAATGTGCCCGGAGCTATGACCCCCGCCTGGTATTACCAACCTTTAGCATCCGTAGGTTCTGGATCCCCTCCTGAATCAATTCCTGTATCCGTCTATCCTCTGTCTCCTTCTGGTGCTCGCGGAAGGCATCCACGGTGCGCCGGCGGGCATACTCGCGGAAGTTGTAGTTCGAGAACTGAGAGGACTGACGCAGCAAGGAACGGAACTGTATGAACGAGCATAGACAGTCAGTCTCGATATCAGCTCGACAGAAAATGGATCACGATCCCCATGGAAAAGAGCGGCATACCAAGGAGCGGACCTGGAAGGCCGTATCGCGCTGGAGCGTAGGAACAGACATGATGGGAAAAATTCAAACTAGGAGTGGAGAGAGACAATGATGGTAGAATGGTATAGCTGCACAATGAAGGGGGTAGTGAAGGAAACCGCTGAGTTCGACGCTGCTTAAAAGACCCAGATGCGGCTATCTCCGAGCACGTCTTATCCGAGTTGCTGAAATGCGAAATGTCTAAACGGGACAAACTCGAGTTAATACATCGAACGACTTTGCCAGAATCACCACAATCAAGCGTAGCTAGTACCTTGCCAGGGTTCTGACTAGCAGAGTTTATGAAATTGAGCGTAGAGATAGTACCTTCGCACAGCGCAATTCGAGGTGGCGTCAGAAGAGAAGCTGTTCCGAGCAAGCGAACCAAAGATCAAAGCACTTCTCTAAATCCTTAGGAGATCTTGGTGGGCGTCCACAGTCAACATGCAGTAAGGGAGAACCGAGGGAGGCTCAATTACTGGATATGGGGGGTGGGGGGGGAAAGTGAGGCCAAGGAAGGGCGAGCGCGGAGAGAAAAGATGGAGATCTCGGGAAATTCTTTGGGTTGCGATGACGGAGTTAACTTAAGTCGCCCCGGCCCTCCACGGGATCTCCGCTGTTTTCAAGCTTTCTTCCCTCCCTTCCCTCCATAAAACAACAATCTGTCATATTCGATGAACCTTTGATCGGCATCCCTGTGATCTACTTAGTACCGATTGTCTGGCTCACTTCTGGCTTTCTACACCTGGCCTCTGTAAATCAATGGCGCAGATCCCAACTCCTCCGGCTTCCCGCCATGGTTCGCCTTCGCCGGAGCATAACCCCAAGAAATCTGAGATCGAACAGCAAACCATCCGACTGCAGACGCTGGATGAGCTATTGGAGCGGTACCTTCATCTCCTAGATGAGCACCAAAAGTTGCAAGCTGACCTGGGTTCGCGGCTGTCCTCGGTATGTTTCTGACCGTGAATGGCTTGACGTACAACGCTGCCGGACATCGCTAAGACTCAGCAGGGATTCATCTCCCTTGCGCAGGCCAACTTTACCAGTTCGCCTGGGAGACGATACGGAGCGGATTACTATGATGAACGCATGAAGGCGACACGAAGAGTGTGAGTTTGGGTTACACCTCGGCTCGTCAACCGATGCTGTTCCTCATTCTATCAAGACGGTTGACCAACCGATCACTCACATCTATGCAGAAGACTATCTGACACCGCCTTCGACTCGCCCTCGGAAGGTAAAACGACAGATCAGGAAGAAGTGTCTTCAGTGGAAAACAATTTCTCAGATAGCAGGTTTCAGCATACCTTTGCAATCGACTCGGTAACAGTTCACCAGCCGGAGGAAGAGTCCCAGACGGACGACCAAAGTGAATCTTCCTCGACAGATGACGCTGCAAAGGCAGGGGACGAAGAGACTGAAAAATTCGAGGAGTACAGTGACCAAACTGCTGACTCCATGACCGCGTCGGATTCAGAGACTTTCCAAGCCGAAGCGAGACCGAATACGAAGTCCACAAAAGCAAAGCCACGTTTTCGCTCGTCGGACCCGATTAACTGGTACGGAATCTTAGTGCCCCTTTCTTTGCGCAGCGCCCAGAAGACTTTCACCGAAGCTGTCGAGGGTCAGGTGGTAAAGTTGGCCAATGTTGTTGGTGAGATGCGCACGGTGGAGAAGCAGATCAAGCAGGTAAGAAGTGCGATAGGCCAAGAACAGGTGCACAGGGCTTAGTAGACACAATGGGAGCTATGGACAGCTTCTTAATGAGCTCTAGAAGACCTCAGCTCCACCTTCAATTTATTGCTGAATTGTCAAGGCATTATCGGATCTCCCCCGGTGGTCAGTTTTGTAGACCCGGTCTATTTTTGTAAAGACGTGGATGGAGTCTATGGAGTCGACTATTGACCCAAAATGATGGCAGTGCAGCCTTTGACAAGATGCTAGAGCAATTGAGCAATCGAGCAACTTTTAGTTGTTTAAACGGAGGAGAAAGAGGGAAAGGGGGGGGAGGAGGGTGGATGGTGGCCTGAGGTTTTGATTTTCTGCCTGGTCAGGGATTTCTCCGCCTCTCGTTTTTCTTCCGTCAATTCCGTCTCCCTCTTTCTTCTACCTCTATTTCTTCATCATCTTCTTCATCATCTTATCACTTTCTTCCTCCACACCTCGGTTCAATCCCGCGATAAATTAATAAAATCTAAAAATGGAACTATTCTTATCCATTATTCTGCGTCTTTCCCGCGTGGCAGGTCCCTCATATGATCATTGCCAGTCCGAACAATGATACCATCATTAACAGATGCCGTTAAGCGATAGCCTCTGCTTTTAATCTCCGCGCCTCACTAACCTCAACTGGCTTTGTGCCCGGTCACTCCATTGCCATGAAGAGTTGATGAAATTTCATTATTATTATTCTTGGTATGATTATGATTGTTATTATTGTTCCCACTACTGTTATGATGTTCCATGGATCGCAACCCGTCACTTCAACGACTGGAACTGGCCTCGTCATCCCCATTGCACGAATCCCACTGGTGCACACTTCGCTGCATGACTTTCGGGTGGAAATCCCCAGAACTGAACGCGATTCGTGATTCTGGTCTCCGACGCCCATGTTTCCGGTTGTCCGTTCTACTCTATCATTGGCCTCTCACCCACGGATGGAGTTCAGCATGGGTTTCATATTGAAGTCCCAGGGCCGCAATGTCGCTCTGCTCTCCAGCGAGTGTGGCACGTCTGCTCAAGCTGAGACTCTAGTGTCAATCGCCATGCTCTTGGTCCCTCCTGAAGGTCTTGGTTCTGCCCCACCCGCCCCAATAGTTGCTCGCTGTCCCTTGTATTTTCTCCATTATGGGTCTTAGCTCCGGTCTCCTAGCTCCTCCCGTTTACTCAGGATCTCAATTTCTGGCCTGTCTATGGTTCTTGCCGTCTCGCCTATTCACTTTCCCCGGTCAAAATGACCGTAACATGCATGGGCTTACACTCTTGGTGTCTCCATAATCCAGCAGCAGCTTGCATCGTTTGTGTGCAAGATTATCAGCAAGCGAGGGGGAAAAGTAAAATCGAAACAAAAGAAACACCATCTATCTCAGATCAAATGATCATCCCCGCGGGTGTCGTTTTGTTGCGTCCGCCGCATCTCCTTGAAACGAGGCACCACCCACTCGAGGAAGTGAGTTCACCCACGGTATATCTGCGGCGGTTAGAGTACCTTGAAGCCTAGTAGCCCTTTAGCAGGTCATCTGGTGCTCCTAAGTATCTTATCTTTCCCGTCACAAACGGGCTCCCGTGCCTGTCTCCGCGCTATCGCGTTGGCTTGTACTCCACCTAGACTTGAACGGGCCTGATTCCCAAACATTTGTGCCGGCGCATCCTGCTTGGAGATCAGTCCCTGGGCAAAGCACGGAAATGAAGTGTCTTTAGTATCAACCTCTGACTTTTAGGTTAGCTGGCTCTCCGGAAACCCCTGGGCCTGCTATTCCGTCCGTGTGAGGCGAGGTCGCCCAAAGACCTGCTTGCCGTCTATGCGCGCGCTGGGCTGGTTTTCTTCTCTTCTTACTTCGTCCTGTTCACTCGTCCGCTCGTTTCTTTTGGGGCAAGGGCTAGAGGCTCTTTCGTTCCTTTTGGACGGTTCTTCATTTCTTTGTGGGAGATACTGTAAGTTCAAATCCTGTGTCTAGGATGAATCATGGCCAATGTCCGCTAATTGTGGTCGTCTTTCGCTATGCGCTCAGGGGCTTGGTGAGCAGCCGGTGACTCTTCTTAGACTTTGCAAGTCTTATATTATGTTCTTCTGATTTTGAGTCTCAAATTGCCTCTTCCTTTCATTGACTAAGACCTTGTTTCCTGTGGTATGCACCCTTGACCATCTCGCTGCTTACAATGCGCGCATCCCGGCCTACAGCAATAAACTTACTTGTGCCCTCCAGAGGCATTGAGTGCCCCTACGATCATTTCCAGCATTCACCCTCTTTAAAACCCACTAAGGCTGTCGCCATCAAGCAGTGAATAAAGACAGCTTATTCAACCCTCTCTCGGTTTCACTCACTTAACGTGTCTGCAATTGCTTGCTTTTCGACACGACGATTGAGTTACTGTTCGTCAACGCTCAGCGCCCAGGCAGCAAATCAGCATCGGCTCTTATTTTTATGCGCTGGCAGGGACTACTGCATTTACTCGACGTCAAATTCATCTCGCACTCTTTGCAGTTGTCACGCTCTCGTCGACGCTAACACATGGAACCTGATCCGGAGATCACGGGCTCTGAGTCCGTAGAACGAAAAGGATCAGTACGACGAGCACGAGAGATGCTGAAAGCCGGAAAACGTCCCGAGCATGTCCCAGAACCAGTGCCGACTTTCAGGACCAATCCGGCACATATGACCCAATGGCCTCTACCTAACGACGGATTTCAACAAATCGATGTGGCCAATGCCCACGCGCGGCTAATAGTCCCCAAAGGTCCCCCACCCCAGCGACCCCCTCGGCCCGACTGTCCTTCGCCTTCTGTGTATTCGGAAAGAAGTGTTGATGCTGTACCCAGCCCGCTGAACGTCAAACGGCCTATTCCTTCCTTCTCGCAACCTCTTCCAATCCAACCAGCACTGCGACCGGCAATCCGAGTACCCATCCCGCCCAGTCCAAGCAGTGTTGCAGGTTCAACAACCCGGGCATCCATCGCTACCGAAGACCTATTCAGGCAGTCAGGAGTATCGTCAGTCGGTACTATCTCTCTCACTGACTTACCAGGTACCGCCCATCCATTGTCTACGGAACATGGTGCTGCCTCAGGGCTTCCATTGAGAAAAGCGGGTGGCCTTGCTCCGCCGATGCCGGCATTACGACCCGATGACCATCGTGGATCCTCCGTCTCGCCTATTCCAGAGGAACTGCCGGATAGTCCGACGATCTCGAAAGAGCTTCACGCGCCAAGTCGACCATATCCTCCTAGTTGGTGCTCTGGGCCAGCCGAGTCGGAGATCTTAGGTACTTATCTGGATGGCGACTCCGATGATAGTGGATCACAACATTCTGTGCAGGTAGCCGCCCCTGCGCTCCTACGACAAGCAAGTATTGGGACCCGCGGGAAGCCTGCATTGCGGACAATCCAGAAGTCTAGCACAAACTCGCCTGTGCCACAAATGGACAAGACCCCGGTGTCTGCCAGACCAACTACAGCCGACACGGCAACCACGGAAGCGGTTCTGAAGGAGATTGCTATTGGTAGAGAGCGGAATGACAGTTTATCAACAGTGTCGTCTGGCTCGACGCATTGCGGGACGGAAAAGGCCCCAATCATGCTAGACCTCAGTGCTGAACATCCCACGTTGGCTCGTTCTCTCGATCAAAATGCGGCTCTGAAGAAAGAGGCTGGAGGGCTTCCAAAGGCGGCGCCAGCAATGAGCGAGAAAAGGCCAATGGCTCGTCGACCTCCTAGATTGGACATGAATGCTGTTCGCGATGCAGAGGCACGTGGAAGTCTGACGAGTTTACCTGATTTGATTCGCCGAGCAACTAAACTCGCATCCAACCTCGAGCATGGTCGGACTGCAAGCAGAAACGACCTGCTCAATGGAGGAAACTCTCGGTTTCGTAAGTGGCCTGGTCATCCTCTATCATCACATCACCCAAAGCTTATACATCAGACAGATCAAAGACGTAATTCGGGATCAATTCAAAGTATTCTGGCATCGTTTCCACCTCCCGCCGCGGTTCAGGACGGTGCTCACTCATCCTGGCCATTCTTTTTCCGACGATCCACACTCCATCAGATTCACACTAATGAGCCACCCCAAGCAGCGGACCAGGAGAAAGCCCAGCCAAAGCAGGCCCGCCGGTGCTGCGGCATGCCACCCTGGCTTTTCGGACTTGTCTGTGTGCTTATTATCATTATCATTCTGGCTGCTATTCTGATTCCCGTGTGCCTGGTCGTCCTCAAGCACAAGTCGAGCGGGTCCGACTGTGCGAAGTCTACGCCGTGTGAGAATGGTGGTGTCAGCGTTTCAAGCGGAGATGTCTGCTCCTGTGTTTGTGCCAATGGTTATACAGGCACTCGTTGCGCAACTGCGGGCGATGCCAGCTGCGTGACAGCCACGATCAATGACAAGAGTGCCACCATGGGCAGTGATCTTCCAGACCTGTTCGAAGGCGCTCAGCAAAATTACAGCATCTCACTTGATGAGACTACCATCATGGCTCTGTTCAGCCAGAACAACGTCTCGTGCACCACCGAAAACAGCCTGGTCTCCTTCTCGGGCATCTCAACCAGCAGCAGCAAATCCCGCCGTGCGTTCCTGCCCTGGTATGACCTGACTGAATCTTCCAACTCCAACCCGCTGCCTTTCACCTACGAACAATCACCGCCGATATCAGCCACCCCGAATCTGCCCACGCAAGTTCTCGTGGCCCGTGCCTCTATTGCTACAGAGAACGGGATCATCTACGACGATACCCCACCGACCAAAACTGGCGAGGCTGGGACGGCCACAGCCACTGCTACAACTACTCACGCAGCAACCGCCACAACGGATGTCCGTCACCCCGGCTCGCAAACGACCTCGACAGTGACGGCAGCCAGTTCCTCGCCCACGTCAACCGCGGATGCATCTTCATCTTCCAAGACGACCACGGTAGTCTCGAGCAAAGCCCTGAATTTCGCTCGCATTTCGGTCCTGTACATCTTCCAGGAGACCGGGACCTTGTCCGCCGCTACGTTCGCGGGGAACGACCTCCAACTGTACCTGACGAACGTCTACACGGAGGAGTCGAAACACATCCATGCGGTTGACTTAAGTCCCTCCGGGGTCAAGGGGAATTTCACGCTGAACTTTGATCAGTACGAAATCACTTTGCCAAATGGCAACGTCGTTGGAGGATAGAAATCACATCCACTTTTCCGAAGTGGAAGCGGGTTCCCATCTTCCTTGTTCCGCGCGTATCTTATCATAATATCACCGCCGATTGTACTCTTAGCACTTTTGCAATGTGAATAACCTGCCCGGCCCGACTAAGTATCTTCTCGAGGTGGAGGAGCGAAAGATGTAGTTTTGTGGAGATGTAGATAGACTGTACCAAGATCCTGAGGGTCAAATGCAGGCTGTGACTGAGATTCTTTTACAACAGACGATTGACAGATCCTTCAAGTGACATATGCCATATCTGGATTTGAAAAGAAAGAAAAAGAGAAGATTTCAATACATTTTATGTACAATACAATATACAATGAAGATTCCACCCCTCAAACTCCCAAGCAGCGTGCATGCAACCCAGAAACCCTTTCCACGAGGTCCACAAAAATCCACGCTTTAGCTACCCTAACTACCAACACCTGAACAGACAAAGACTCATGTATTAACACGTCACAACGCGACCTATGATAAACAAAAAAACCTAGGTAAAGAGCGAGGCATTGGGAGCGATGCCCTCGTATGGCGTATAATCCTCCACCAACCAGTCGAGTCTGGCGCGACGCTCATCGAGGATCAAGCCCTCGGCTTCCCAGCGCTTGCGCTCGAGGATCTTCTGCTGCACGAGACTATCGTTGCTCTTGCTGCCGCGACCAAACCACGACAACCACGAGGACGCTTTTGCATGGGCGGCGGCGGCGGCTTGCTCAATGGCCTCGTCCTCTTCCTGCTCGGCGTGCGCGGTGAGCTGCTTGACCATGGTCTTCCAGTTGGCCAGGCCGACGCGGAGGCAATCGGCGCAGCGGGTGTTGGCGACGGGGTCGGGGGTACTACCGCTACCAGTCCCGGCGGCGCTCATTTCGAGCATGGTGGCTTCGGCCATATCGACGGCGTCGCGGGTCCAGGCGAGGCCGGTTTCCTTGGAGGAGGAGGCGAAGATGATCTCGCCGATGTAGGTCATGAGGGCGGCTTCGTCGCAGACGGCGGACGGGGTGCGGGCGGGCGGGGCGTCGCCGGTGGGCGGCGGGGGCGGGTAGGCGGCGGGGGCGAGGGTGGTCTGGAGTTTGTTGAAGAAGGATCGGAAGGGGTCGTGGGAGCGGGGCAGGGTCGGCGTGTATGCGGTGGCGGGCTCGCCGACGCCCGCGGGGATGGAGCGGCGGGCTTTAAGCACGGAGGTGAAGATCGCGAGCGCGGTGGGGAGATTGCCCTGGCGGGCTTGATGGACGGCCAGCGCCGTGGACACGCGGAGGATGTTTTCGGACGGGAAATGCTGGCCGTCGTTGCGGAGGATACCGGTCTTCGTGTCGACGATTTCCGAAGGGTTTAGGGGGGGTGATGATGGTGATGATGATGATGATGATGAGGTCGCCCCGGAGACCGCGATGTCCATCGCCCACTGGTACACCTCGTCCGCGGTGCTGTCCAGGCCCTTATATGCGAGCCAGTCCGCGTATGCGAGCGCCGCTTCGACCTTCTGGCCCGTGGTGAAACCCCGCGTCGTGAGGATCTTCACGTAGAAGGCCTGCGGGGGAGGGGAGGCGGGCTCGCAGTCCTCTTCGTGCAGCACCTTCTTCTGTTTCGTGGGCATAGGCTTCGGCCGTGGGTTCGAAGGTCCGACGACGTACTCGGCCGGCGCGGAGATGCGTTCCTTGCGATCCGTCATCCATCCTTCCAACGACTCGGCCGCTTTGGCGGCGCCCATCAGCGCCTGCCAGTAGCCCCGGCGCCACGGCTCGCTCTTGGCGGTGATGTCGAACCCTGTCTTGCCGACGCCGTCCACCAAGAATCCGCCCTCAGCTTGCTCAACGATACCCTTGCCTTCGAGTTCGGGGTCCTCCAGACGGTGAAGCAGGTCCCTCAGGAAGCTGGTGACCATGGCCCAGTCGGTCATGAGCTTGCCGATCTTCTCTGGGTTCTGGTGGGCTTGCGCGGAGCGAAGGCACCAGCGGCTTTTCCACGACCATTCATCCGGGGTGGGCCATTGGTATTCGATCTCGGCCTGACGGACACCGACTTGGACGACTTGGAAGAGAAGGAGGATGGCGGTGAATGAGAGACCGAGCTTGAGACTGCCAGAGAACTTGCGGCGGTAGTAATTGCGGCTTTCGGTGGAGAAGAGACGAGCGAAATGTCGGCGGAGATGAATCGATAGAGGGGGCTGAGGGAGGCTGGTGGACGTGGGCGAGAGGAAGTCGAGCTGAGGGCGACTGGGCGGCGGGGCTAGGGCGAGCTGTCGCGAAGTCTGCGTGTATGGTCGTCGAGTGGCGCAACGGGGCAATCGCAGTGAGCGATTGAGTCCCGGTATTCGTGAAATGGGAATGCGAGGAGGAAGCATCCTCAGCAATCGGGGTACAGACAGTGATGTTGCTGGAAGAAGGGATTCTTTGAATCTTGAAATGCGGAGATTCAAAGTTGAAAGACGAGAATCCGATCAGGTTGTCCGGTGTTTAGCGTGTTTGCATCACTGTCCCGATCGGGTATGGTTCAATGCCAACTAAAATTACCAAGGGGGGGGAATCAATTAACATTCAAATGCCAAATAATCTCTATGTAGACAATAATAAAAAGTCTATCTAAATCACCCTGGATCTCACAAGCCTGCCTGTATTCCACATGATACAAAAAAGAAAAAAAATTAGATATCACAAAAATTTTCCGAAAAAAGCGCCTATGCTAATTTAGTTACGGTCAAAGTAGCCCTCGCTCTCGAGCATGAGGATGATCTCGTGCACAATGCTGCGAACGCTCTGCTTGGAGACGTCAACAGTGAGATCGGCGTTGGAGGGAGCCTCATAGGGGTCATCGACGCCAGTGAAGCCCTTGATCTCGCCGCGACGAGCCTTGGCGTAAATACCGCGCTTGTCGGTCTTCTCGCAGTACTCGAGAGGGGTAGCGACGTGAACAAGGAAGAAGTTGCCACCGCCTTGGGTAACGGCATCACGGGCAGCCTTGCGGGACTCCTCGTAGGGAGCAATGGGGGCAGCGATGACGGCAGCGCCGGCGCGGGTCAGCTCACCAGCAACGAAAGCGATGCGCTGGATGTTGGTGTGGCGGTCATCACGGCTGAAGCCGAGCTCGGAGGAGAGCTCGTGGCGGACGGTGTCACCGAGCAGGAGGGTGACAGAGCGACCACCCTGCTGGTTCAAAGTGACCTGCAGAGCACGGGCAATGGCATCCTTACCGGAGTTCATGTAACCAGTAAGGAAGATGGTGAAACCCTGGCTGAAGCGGGGAGGATTGGACTCGCGCAGGATCTTGACGACCTCGGGGTAAGAGAACCATTCCGGGATGTGGGCACCAGTCCGCAGGCGGTTGCGGAGCTCAGTACCGGAGATGTCGAGGGTCTTGACGCCAGCGGGAACCTCGTCCTTGGGACGGTACTCGTCGGTGTCGGGGAGGTAGGTGACCTGCTGGAACTCAACGACCTCGATACCGAGCTCGTCCTTGTACTTCTCGACAGCGTGCTGAGCATCGTAAGGACCGTAGAACTCCTGACCCTTGGAGTTCTTACCGGGCCCAGCGTGGTCACGGCCGACGATGAAGTGCGTGGCACCGTGGTTCTTACGGATGATGGCGTGCCAGATGGCCTCACGGGGACCACCCATGCGCATAGCCAAAGGCAGGAGACCGAGAACGGCCATGCCGTTGGGGTAGCGGGGGAGGAGAGCCTGGTAGGCACGGACACGGGTGAAGTGGTCGATGTCACCGGGCTTGGTGAGGCCAACGACGGGGTGGATCAGGACATTGGCCTGGCGGGCACGAGCGGCGCGGACAGTCAGCTCACGGTGAGCTCTGTGCATTGGGTTTCTGATTGATGGTTAGTCCGGCTCTGTGGCAAGGAGAAAGGAATCGAGATCAACCGACACATACCTAGTCTGGAAAGCGACAACTCGGGTCCAGCCGAGCTTGTCAAAGTGGACGCGCAATTCCGCGGGAGAGTCTAGTTAACAAGGTCCACTAGGTCAGCTTTGGCGCCCTGAATTATTGTTTCGGGTAGACCGCGCACGGATGATGGTGACGTACAGCGAAGGCCGACATAGTCGTAGTGGTTGAGCTTGTTGACAGCCTCGAGCTTTCCACCAATGTAGAATTCCTGGACTTTGGTGTTCAGGTACTTGATGGCGGGGTGCTCCTCATCTCCGCCAAAGACCAGCTTGGCTTCCTTCGCCCTAGATCAGGGGTAAAATCGCATGATTAGCCCAACCGTCCAACCGCGTCATCAGACCCACTATCTGCAAGTCCCCGGCACTCTGTAACGCCCGTTTGCCGTAGGCCGACGGAACGCCAAGCGATGCCGCTCCCACCTCAACTTGGTTTTGAAACGTCGATCGGGGCCATCGAGCACCGGGAAACTCTTTTTTGTCACACGTTCACAAGACTGGACAAGGGCAGGGGCAATGAACTCACTTATCGGCGCGGTAGATGTCCTCAATGGTCAGAATGGCCAGGTTACGGTCGTCACGGAAATCACGGAGAGTGACGCGAGCACCGGACTTAAGCTTAAGATCGTTGACGGTTTGCTGGGAGGCATCGAGAGTGATGGGCATGGAGAAGACGTTGCCATCGGCGAGGCGGCAGTTCTCGCAAACACTAAAAAGCGGAGAACACGATCAGCATGCTGGTCGCCTCTCCAAGGTTCCTTTCCTTCTCCAAGGGAACGCCTTTGACCAAGCACATTGTTTTCGATCTCTAGCGATGTGAAAGCAATGTCGGCATACCTGTCGAAATCCTTTTGGGTCATGAATCCTACGCCCAAGTTAGCCGGCGACCGTCTCAAAACCCAGTATCATGACTAACCCTCAAGAGGACTGAAACCACCGTTCATGATAAGTTCCAGATCGCAGAGCTGGCGCTCATTGAGGGTGATGGCGGGCAGAATCTCTGCCTCGGCGGCCAATTGGTCGTGGCGGGGAGCATCGCGGGCGAGGAGGTCCTTGAGGACACCACCGTGAGGAGAGTTGGCCATGATGTATGAGGAGGGTGTAGAGGAGGAGGAGAAGAAGAAGAAGATGTAAGAGAAAGAGGAAGAAAGAAAGGAACACTGAGAGATTCCAGGTGGGGAGGAAGGGAGGAAGAAGAGTTTATAAATCGGGAAGAGGGGCAGGAAGAAAAGGGAATGGATGGATGGATGGAGGGGGGGAAAAGAGGGAAAACCAGTAAGAAGAAAATGGAGGGGGAACTACGTTACTAAGTAATTGCCCGCGGAGTTAAAAGACAGACTGACAACTAGTACTTAGTTTAACTACTGTGTACTACAACTATTACTACTCCTAAAACAAATTGGGTGAGAGCAAGACCAAGGAACTTTCGGATTGGAGTCGTTGCCTCCATGGTATGTAGGACTAAAAAGGGCCAGACAATCGAGAGATCCAGGCCTCGTCAGGTGGTGGAGCAGCGCGACTCTTGGTTCAGGGAGGGTCTACGTATGTAAGTATCCCAAGAGAGACGATCCTGATAGACTTGGTAGACTTTGGCGGGTGTTGTACCTGACTCGTTTTCTACTTCTTTTTTTTTTTTTTTTTTTTTCTGTCTCTCTGAACTTTGTCTGCGATCGCGCAATCCCGGCTTCAGAGCATGCTATGCTTGTCCCTTCTTTCTAGCCGGCTTCTAGACTAGAAGTATCTTTTTTTGGCTGGTTATCTCCGAACTATAAATCCTCTATAAAAGCCATCCATCTGCCTTCTAGGTACACTTCCACCCACACCCCCTTGACACAAATAGACACGAGTGCCTCGGAGATCGGAGCGAAGCACCGGCTTCGTCGTCATCGTGCGCCCCCAATATCAGCCACATAATCTCATGCGACGACAATCAGAGCATAGCAGAAGGGAACAGGTATACCCGAAAAAGTCATGATCTTCAGGGGGTTCACATGAGGTATACGTAGATAGATGGATGTCAGAAAGAAGTCCGCCATATGCAGACTAAACAGCGATGCATCAAATGTCAATTGTCCTTTTGCCGAGTAAGGATCCTGATTGCACTCCGTTAAAGCCGAGATGAAACGCAGTTGGAACGAGCCTCCGATCGCCGGCGGATCGGCTCAGGCTTCCCTCAGGTGTCAATCTCAGGCACATATGATCACGTGAGTGGGGAGAACAATCACGACATCCCCAGCCCGGCTTGCGTGATCACTGACGCCATCGCTTGTTTTCGCCTCGAATTTTTTTTTTTTTTTTTTTTTTTGCGGGGCTGATCTTAGCACATATCGCCGCTCAGGTGACCCGCTTGCCCTAAGTTCATCTCTGCTTGCACTCGATACCACAGGAATTTGGGGCACTCATGATCACCATCTTGCTCTACTCTGCTTCGCTCTGCGTCATAAGAGATCGGGAGTATCTTACGGGTATCCTTAAATTTCAAGACCAACCAGAAATGATGTGCTTCCGAATCCTCAGACTCCAAAGAGCCGGTGTGCATTCCAATCTGACAGCTGACAGGCAGCGCATAGACCCGGGTTGCTTAGCACAGAGTCTCAGGGTCTTAGGTCTTACACGGCACACGACTATTAGCTGTCTGGGGTTATCGCGGCGTGAAAACTTGCTTTGTCTATTACAGATGAACGAAAGAGGATGAATGACCCAGGAAGGTGGTAAGCATAGACAAACTGTCACGTCACCTGTCTGTGTTAAAGGATATTGTCATCCTCTTAACCCATCTCACAAGTAGTCGTAGAAGTAAGCTATCAAGGACTGTTATACCAGAGACCTGGTGAGGGAGACGCCCCAGCAACACGGCGGCACATCGTGAATCGGCCCCGTTGCACAGTGGATACAAGACCCTGCGGTATACGTAACCCCAAGCCAAGCAGACCCTCTGGTATGTTCCGAATTAGTCTGGACGGGGCTTTATTTTGAGCTCTAGTCAATACATAACAGTACTCAGTTGGACCGGTCTGTTTCGCTCTAGAAAGGATGTTTTTGTGGCGTGGTTCAACACGGACCTTCCAGTAGATCAGATTGATAAGATAAGATCGTTGTATGTGTCAGGATGTCTCAGTTCCTCTCTTTGGATGGACTCTTGCCTCTTGCAAGCAAGCCGGGATCGACTGCGTTCGACCGCAAACAGTTGTGGGCGAGTGGAATACTTGGGACGTTACCAGTACATACTACCGTACATTGAAGATTGAAGCTATATGAAGTGTTATTATTCAAACATCTTACTGTCTATCTTAGGCATAACTGCACCAAGGACCGCTCTTGCGGACTCTTTTTTTTCTTAAAAACCCAGTAGATCCACGATTCCTACGAAAAGACCGAATGTCATCGGAACATGGAAAAGCTTTGGACTATCAATGGGAACATGAAAGGGACCGCATATTATGTTCACCGCTCATTACTTAGTGTCCTCAAGTCGAAAATTTGTCGTGTTTTGAAACCCCACCCACAACGCCGATATTGCAGTTTACGCTGTACAGATGAACTGCTTCCCACCGAACGAGGAAGTTTCCATTTCGGTTACTCAGAGAGTAGTAGTGATACCAAGAAATCGTTTGTTGAAATGTAATAGTCATTTGCATCATTAGTGTACCGAGTGGTTTTCTAGAAGTCTCCGCCGATCCCGGTATGTACAATGTTCCGAGGGATCGTGGTTGGACGGACGGTTTTTGATCCCCCTTTATGTACAGAACAGAACCGCAATATGGCTCAAACAAAAAAATTCATGACACATCATGTCCCATTTTCCAGGCCCAAGTAGTCGTATGTAGAAAGCAGAAGAGTGATATCAAGGCTGTATGAACTCCGCTAAACGTGAACTCCGGTGAACTGTGAACGCCGTGGTATATGCAAATCAAGCAACTCAGACCTCAGAGCGCAATCACTGGGCAGAGGTGGTGAGGGAACTCTGCAAGGCTTGCGAGATGGCTTCCTCCTGGCGCTTACGCTCCATCTCCATGAGGTACTGTGCATACTTGGATCGGGGGTTGTGGATGCCGCACTCGGTCTTGGCCTGGCCCTTCCAACGACCGGAACGCTCATCCTCATTCTCCTTCACAGGTTGGGTGGAGTGATAGTCGCCAATGCTCTTATAGCCACGGTCAAGGAGCTCATTGTAGGGAACGTTGTGCTCCTTAACGTACTGTTTAACCTGTTCGAAGGTCCAGTTGGCAAGAGGGTTGATTTTGATCAAACCAGCCTCGTCAACCTCGATGATGTCGATGTCACCACGCTTGCCACCCTGGCTACGGCGGCGACCAGTGAGGACGGCGTGGACATTAAGTTCACGGTAGGCACGCTGGGCGGGCTCAACCTTGGCAGCCCAATCGTAGAACTGGTCATCTCTCTCCCAAAGACGGGGACCATGCTTTTTGGCAAAATCCTGCTCTGTCTCACAGCCCTGGGGCTTGTAGACATGAATGGTGTTCAGAGGATACTTCTCACGCACGCGGTCGACCAGAGCCAAGGTCTCGGGAAAGTGGTGGAGGGTATCGAGAAAGATGAGATCGACCATCTGCGGGCGGGGCACGGCCAGCTTGGACAACATATCGAGAGTGACCAGACCCGTCAAACCAAAGGCAGTGGTCTGATAGAGATGAGGCAGCGAAGTGACACACCATCTCAGGACATCTGCCGAGATGTTAGTTCTTTGAAGCAGGCTTACTTTAAAAAGAAACCAGACTGACCTTGAGGCTCGAGGAACTGCAGTTGTCTGTTTAGGAACTTCAAGTGTGGCTTGGTGAAGACAATCTCGGGGGAGTAATCATCACTCGAACTGCCACTGACATAGCCAGAGTCTCTGGAGTCCATGATCTCGCCATCAGAAGGGTAGTTGTCCGACATCTTGGCAGGCATCTTGACTGAGCGTAGTGCTAGTAGTGCTAGTATAAGAGGGGCAAAAGAGATAGAAGTTAAGTAATGGAATTGCAGAGAGGACGAAAGTAGACAAGTCTATATTTGTATGGAGGATTGGGGACAGGAGGCGAGGGAATGATGTAGACAAGACTTCACACAGAGAGACAGAGAGAAACGAACTTGACCAGACTCCGATATAAAAGAGGGACCGGACAGGGGCAATCACGACATCATCGGGAAAACGGGGAGCCTGTTCTTCCCTGCCCTCAATCTCTCATAGATGCTGGGCCATTCTGCAGGGCTCGATCACGACATCGCCTGTGACCGCTTGCCGCAACAGGCGAAGGGCAGAAAAAAATCCTTCTCTCAGCTTCTGGGGAAATCACGCAATACTTGCGCTGTTGGCGCCTGCGGTGTCCCGGAGCAGCTTATCTCAGCCGCGTTGCTGATAAATCCGCAGCATTCCTGATTTGTCTCACTTGGCTGTGGGATGAGCAGCGAATGATACGCGCCAGAGGGAGGGGAGACTCCGTAGTGACAGCGTAGAGTTAATCAATATTGTTCCGCCAGATGATCCCGTAGCTGTGCAGGTCTATCCGGCGTCAAAGATACCGTGCAACCTCTAGCTAAGAAGGCATTAGCGTCGAAGGAAGAAGAAGGATGATGATGCATGCAACAGACCAACCCAGGTAGTTCTCATGATTATCAATCTACATTAGATTCAATGTTAGTCATGTCCGGAGGGGGGAAGTGAGCCAGCAAGTACGGAGTAGTTACTCCGTACTGAGCTGAATCAACTACCCCACACGAGGAGGCGAAGATGATGTTGAGGCCCTGAGCTCCGAGGATGATGAACATGGCATGAATAATAATAATGATGATGAATAAAGAAATGCCCCCGTCATAAGTTCTGCCGGGCGGTCAACAGCGATTGTTTTCTCCTCCCCTCGGTTTCATCATGTGACTACAACCCCACGTGCCTGGCCGATCTTTGGTGGCAGTTGCTGCAGGGGAAAAGCGACCGCAAAGAATCCCTCCTGGTCTTGTTTCTTGTTTCTTGTTTCTTGTCTGCCTCTCAACGCTATCTCCTTTGCTTCTCCAGGGTTTATCCCCTCCTCCTCCCAGGCCGGTGGGCTGCGTTGATCGTCCAGGCCCTTTCTCCATCAACTTCAAATTCGGTCGTCTCTCCACTCCGTTTCACTACTCTCGATCTCACGTCTCCGTCGCTTCTAATCTCCTTAGTCCGAGATAACAGTCGCTCTTGACAATGGATTCGCCCAACCCCACCAACAACGCCAACGCCCGTCCAACCCGACCCGTGTTGCGACAGACCCTGTCCAGCGGTTCCTTCATCCAGGATCACCAGCAGTACAAGCCTTCTGTACCTATCCAGACTATTGGAAATGTGATCGGAAATGCCCCCGAGTCCTCCTTGGCTACCTTGTCCCGCAAGGCGAATCCGATCAGTCCGGATCCCGAGAAGGTGACTGAGAGCGGCATCATCCACAGCATCTTCCACTCCCACGCAAACCCTCTTCACACCGGAACTCAGCAACTGGTTGCGACCATTTTCTACAAGTCTGCTGATCCGGTTCACCCTCATCTGCATCCCGACTCTTCCCCTCATGCGAAGCCTGGGGATACCTTGCCGTCGCCTACTGTCCCCGTCGGTTCCGCCCCGACTATCGATATCGAGAAACTCCCGCGGGAGCCTCCTGCGCCGGAACCAGAGCCGTTAGACCACTTGTACGGTCCGTTCGTCTCGCAATTATGCCTGACCAACTTCCTCCAAATTATCGAATCCCTCCCAACCCCCTACCAGCGCATGAACACTTCCCACCGCTGCTTGGAGGCGAATGAGCACCCTCGGGTAGTGGAAGTCACTTTCTCCCCGCCTCCTAACCCAGAATACCTGACCTTTGAGGATCTTCGCAAACATGAGAGCATCTGGCGATTCGAGCGGGAATGGAATGTTGAGGTGGTGCTCCAGCGGGAAAGTGTTTTCCGCCGTCACAAGCGTCTGTTCGTCTTTGACATGGACAGCACGTTGATTCAGAATGAAGTCATTGATGAGATTGCAAAGTTCATCGGTGTTGAGAAGCAAGTTTCGGTCTGTTTTGAACCAAGCCAGTGGTCGTGAACGAATCGTACTGACAGTGTTGGTAGGAAATCACCGCCCGTGCTATGAACGGTGAACTGGATTTCTCTGCGTCCCTAAAGGAGCGGGTCTCTCTGCTGAAGGGTGTTCCGGCAGATGTCTTTGAGAAGCTGAAGTCGGTCATCACCATCGCTCCTGGTGCACGCGAACTTTGCAAGGCTCTGAAGACCCTCGGCTGCAAAATGGCAGTTCTGAGCGGAGGTTTCCAGCCTCTCGCGGAGTGGCTTGCCGGTGAGCTCGGCCTTGACTATGCTCATGCCAACCATGTATGTGATCTGTATCTTTCATTTTGCTCGTCCTGAGTGCCACATCATTGACTCTGGCTAGCTTGAAATTGACCCCACCACGCAAACTTTGACCGGCAAGCTGGTGCCATCATACCCGATCATCGATGCGGCCCAGAAACGCTCGCTGTTGCACTCCATTGCGGAGCTCCACGGAATTCCCATTTCCCAGACCGTGGCTGTAGGCGACGGGGCGAATGACCTCCTGATGCTTCACGCGGCAGGACTTGGAGTCGCCTGGCGCGCCAAGAGCAAGGTCCAGCTTGAGGCACCCACGCGTCTCAATGGCGAGAGCCTTGTAGACATTCTTTACCTGCTTGGCCTGACCCGGGACGATGTCAAGGAGTTGATTGTATAGTTCGGTTACGACCCAAGGCCTGGAGTCTGTAAACACGGTTCATAATCGAACGATCGACAGCCCTTATTTCCCATGACTGGCCCGGCAAGGAATACCCTTCCACATCATCTCGGTTGAGTCCTCTCTTGATTATCTTTCCGTACCTTTTCTTTAGCGCCAGACTCGGATTGCAAATAGCAAAGCAACCGGGTCCCTATGGTGATGCAGTTGTCAAGCCCGATCTTGAAAGTCATGAATTAGAACGAGAACGAGTTAAGATTGATTACATGTGAGTGTCGGAGTGGATCAGGGAGCCAACGGGCGGGTACATACTAGACTGCACGAGGCTGCAGCGCACCAGATAGTTGGTTTTCAAGCCAATCTATATCATTATGCGAGCCATAATGTTTGGTTGATACTCTGTTGATACATGAATACGCGGATATTCCCCATTGAAATGAAGATACATGTTGACATTATGTTTCATTGAAATCCGAAACCATCAGCCCCTTCTTTTCGTGGGGAGGTTGTCTTTTTCAAGTCTAAGTAAAGATAGCACAGCACACACAACCATAAGACCAGAGAACCGAGACAGATTGTAACCGGAGACCGAGATAATGCTAACCTACCTGCGCCAAAGAACCGAGAAACAAAGCACATCCAGAAAACAAAAAAATAGAAGAGAATTACCGAGCAATCTCCTCGATGGGGACCTTCTTATCCACAGCCTCCGACGAGCCGACAACACCATGGGCGCGCCTCTTCTTCAGGACATTCTCGATGAACGCCTCCCCGGCCTTGTAACTACTCCGGACCAACGGGCCCGACGCACAGTACAAGAAACCCATCTCCAGGGCCTTCTGCCTCCACATCTCAAAGCGGTCGGGGGTGACATACTCATGGACCGCCATGTGGCGCTTGGTGGGCCGCATATACTGGCCGAAGGTGACGACATCGACATTGACCTTGCGCAACTGGCACAGGGCATCCCCAATCTGCTCGTCCGTCTCGCCAAGCCCCAGCATCAACGAGGTCTTCGTAATCAGATCGGGACGGGCCTGCTTGGCGGCGTCCAGAACCCGCAAACTCTGCTGGAAGGTCGCGCGACGGTCACGCACGAAGGGGGTCAACGCCTCGACAGTCTCGACGTTATGCGCATACACATCCAACCCGGAGCGCGCGACGAGCTTGACCATCTCGAGATCGCCCATGTAGTCCCCCGTCAGACACTCGACCAGAATGCTGGGGGCCTTGCTCTTGATCTTCATGACGGTCTCCGCGAAGTGGCGGGCGCCCCCGTCTACCAAATCGTCGCGGTCGACGCTCGTGAGCACGACGTAGCCGAGCCCCCAGCGCGAGATCGCCTCGGCGGTGTTCTCGGGCTCGTGCGGGTCGAGCGGCGGCGGCCGCCGCGAGGTCTTGACGCTGCAGAACCGGCACCCGCGTGTGCAGGTGTCGCCCATCAGCATGATGGTCGCCGTCGCGGCCGCCTTGTCGTTACCGCCCCAGCAGTCGGAGATGTTGGGGCAGCGCGCCTCCTCGCAAACAGTGTGCAGGTTCAATCCCCGCAGGTCTTTCTTCAGCCGCTGGTAGTTCTTGGAGTCCGGGATCGGCGTCTTCAGCCACGAGGGCAGCCGCGTCATCTCCTTCTTGCGGCCGGCGGGGCCGACGAGTGCCGTCTTCAGCGCGTAGGCTTCGTTGGGGTCGGCGATGGTGTCCCCGGACACGAAATCGGAGAAGGAGGGGCCGGCATTCAGGCGGTCGGTGAAGGTCGTGCGGCGACGAGGGCTAGTGGTGGTTTCGTCGTTGTTGTTGGTCGTGGTGGTCGCGGAGGAGGGCTCGGTCGTGGCATAGGTGCGTGAGAGGAGAGGATTAATGGTGGAGGTGGTGGAGGTGGCGGTCACTCGACGGGACGAGCAGAGGAGCCGTAGGCGGTTTGCAGATGGGGCTGCCATTATGAGAAAAAAGTGTTTGATTATGAATGAAGCGCAAAGGAGGAGGGGAGGGGGGAGGGTCTCCAAAGATATGCAGTTGTAGCTGGTTTCGATTCCGCGGGAAACATTCATCACTGATAACTCAGTTATCGGAGTTCGGCTGCGGTTCCGCCGGCGGCTGCCTCAGGCGGCTACACCAGCCGTCCATCGGCCGCTAATCATACTGTGTATGCAAGCTGCATGACCCTAGTTTAATTGGTGGCGGCCATGCTGATTAATTGCACACTTGCAGCTGGTTACAAATGTTTCGAGTGTCTACACAGTTGCATGGTTTGTGAAATGTTTCAGGTTGACGGGTATCATGAAAGTAAAAGTACTAGCTGCAACTAGGGATTCAGTTGTAAACTGACCGTAGCAGCTAATGCAGTTAATTACATAGGGAAAATGAAGCGGACACGATAAAACCAAAACGCAGCACAGGCCATAGCCGTCTGCTGGCGAGACATGAGAAACATAAGAGATGCATGGAATCGAGGAAAAGAATGTACTAGGCAATTTGATAGATATCGTGACTGTGAGAGGGACAAAGCGAGTGGTATAATTAGGAACATTTGAAGCAACCACACTTCAAATAGACAGCACAAGTAAGGGAGACCAAGTGGGCAAGGTAGCAAAGCATATGCTGGAAGAGGACGAACAGGACAAGAAGGAAATTATCAATGAGAGGCTGCCTAGTGCTTCGTTTCAAGAACTTGAGCTAGGACAAGTACGGCGCTTTTCAGATGCTCCTCCGCCTGGCCGCATATGGCGAAGAGCATCTTTTCAACAATTCTATCCAGGTCTTTTTGCAGCTGCATGCTGCGCGCTCCAAGGACCTGCTCTTTGATCCGAGACGGAGTGGCGTGACTAGACGTGGCTGGCCCTGCGGTCGTTGTTTCAGGGACAGGGTCCAATCGAGATTGTCGATTAAGCTGGCTCTTTCTCTGGTTGGTGGTTGCTAGCGAAACAACATAGTTCCGTGCAATCAAAGCAGCACAAAGACTGTCCAGAAGGTTCTCTGCCACGTTGGGAAAGATTGTGCGAAACGGCCGTAAAAGGGCCCTCTCATCGTTGTGACGAAGGAACATAATGACTGGCGATGTAAGGCGGAGCATGTTACGTGGGAAGTCCTTGACCGACAAGTCTAACTGGTCGATAGTCCATTCGTGATCCCACCACTTCTCCAACTCTTCCTTCTCCGACTTGGTCGAGGTTGAAGACCGCCCAGGCGATACCTGAACGGACGCCGCAAACTTCGGTGGCAGCTCCGGCTTGGATGGTGATTTTGGAAGTTCTGGACTGGCCGCTGATTTGATGTCGACTATCGTTTCACCGACGGGCTCAGAAGTGAGAGAGCTGACATCCGTGTACGCATCGTCATCGTCTTCTTCATCTAGTTCTTCCTCCTCCTTCTCGTCGTCTTCCTCATCAATGTGACCCTTTGCATGGGCGTAGTCGTTGGGTGAATGACATGAATGTTGGGTGATATAGCCACTGTCAGACATCTCCAGGGGTGTGTCGGGACTGAAGGCCGATACCTCCTGCTGACTGTGATCAGGAGTTGATGGAATGGGATGTTGGGGCGTTGGGAGGGTGTAGCTCATCGCTGGGGATGACTGGCGTGATATATCAACCAGTTTGGGTTTGGTCTTGGTTGCTACTGCGTACATCTGTTTCACTGTCAGTACGATGCCATTCACGAACATCTCGGGTGAATATTGAATATCTCGGGGGAACACTTACTGCCGGCCGAACTGCTTTCAATTCAACTTTCCGGGGTGGAGGTGGGGGACTCTTCTGCACGATCTGTATCCGCCTTCGATTCAATTCTTTGAGCCTTTCGCCCTGACCTTCTGCGCCCTCGACTGGAGCACGCTGAAGCCAGGGCTCCCAATAGGATAAACTGCTGGGTGCCCAACTTCCATCACTAGAAACCGTCCCGGATCTGCTCCTAGCTGCGGCGATAGACGAAGTGGAGAATTTTCGTTTTCCAATGGGTTCAAAGTCGGAATACGGGGCTGGGGATGACAGGCGCTCTGAATATGTCGAAAGAGGGGTCAATTGCCCATCACTCGTTTCACATTGCTTCGCTAGGTGTGAATGCGCCATCTGCACGTGTGGAGTTCCCTTGACGTTCTTTGTGGTCTCCCGGGTTCCCCTCTCAGGAGATGTGTAGCAATCGCGACAGGATTCTCTACCTGCAACGCAGCCGCAGTCACTGGGACCTTCTTGGCTGTAGTCCGATTCCGACTCCGGCTTTGGCGAGAAGTAAAATGAAGAGGCCTGCGGTGATCTAGTATCTGATAGAGGGGGGCTTGGAAGGAGGCTGAAAGAGTCAATGCTCGTGACTTTGAGATTCTGATCTGAACGCCACGGACGAAGAGTCCTATTCTTGGATGATTTTTGAGATAATGGAGACTCCTTGCCACTTGCAGCGAGGTTCTCGTGGGAAGGCGAGGCTGGAAGTCGTAGCTCGAAGGGCTGCTTCATCTTACGCACAGAGCGGAAAGGAGACATGTACACATGAGGGCGTTCAGAACTGGACCGTGGTTGGACCGTGGTGTATTCTAACTGTTCAACGCGGGGCGACGACGATGTAGAAGGAACGAAAGACAACGAGCTCTGTGCCTGTTGTCTCTTCCAGGGATGGATATTGGGCGAATATCTCGGCGATGTCGATTTGTTCCCCTTCGAGGTCGGATGTTGATATGATACGCTGTAGCTCTGTACATTTCTGGTAACCAATGTTGGGAGATTTGCAGACATTGCGTGGTGGTAATTGTGATCTTGCAGATGAAACTGCATTTTGGCAGAATGGCAGTCGGTGGAAGACATGGTTGCTTGACCTATAATGACCTCGTGGATGCAACTCGAAAGGCCGGCCAGGTTTTTCGCAATGCCTGGACAGGGCGACTGGGGTAAGAGGGGGGAAAGGCGTCGAAGTAATCGCAGAGCAGCCGACTCGACCTTATACCAGGAGACTGCTTCGGTTCAAGTACCCCTTGACTGCCTTGCGGTGACAGGAAAACAGACATTGGGCATGTGTGTTCCGCCCCTTTGGGAGGGTCGTCCGGCACTCTGCAACATGGGTAAAGAGTGAAGGGCCACTACACCTATTTCCTTGCATACCAGAGAGAGGTGAGACTGTGTCTATAGACACAGCCATTGGGTCAGGACCCGGACGTGCGCCACCTGCAGGCACAGGACAACGTGGGTGGTCCGCCTTTCTTTGACTTCACGTATCATCCATCGATTAGAAAGGAATGAGACATGCAGATGGAAGGCGCCTGTGCTAGTCCTTCGGCGGATGTCACAAGATCCTCTCTGCGGCTGTCTGATCAACAGCGACGTTGCGCCGGGCAATCTCAAGGTGCTGACCCCTGGGAATATGCCCCTTGCATCGGTCGCCGTAGGCGCAGCCCTTGGATTGGCCCATGCTGCCTTAATGTTGAGCGCAATCTAAGTAGCATGTGGAAGGATTCCAGCTTGAGTGCGGCGGGCGGATGACTGAGATTGGCTACGATGAGCCCAGAAATACCTCAGAGAGGCCAGTGATTTCTCAAAGGTACCGCCAGAAGTTCTTGGACGTGGTGAGGCTGTCGGCAGCTACGCATGCTACTGCGGCAGTGGTTGTCGAAGATCTCAAGGAGCTGACCCAGTCTGTTCCAGATTCGTCAGTGACGAGTGATACTAGGAGAGCTAGGAGACCATTAAAGGGAGTTTCACTCACCAAGGATACAACCAAGGAGGGAGAAGATGAGATCGTCCGGAGGAGGGGGATGGACGATGTTCTTTGTATGGATGTAGTACAAGGGGATACAGGGATGGACTGAGCAAGTGAGCATAACTCGCTCTTATGCACAGCATGACATAATCACCACGCTTTTGCGCGGCAAGCAAACAGTGCAAACGAGACGGTTATCGATTGGCGCATCGCAGAAAAAAAGTTCGGAGAAAGAGACCAAGAGAGACAGTGACTTCAATTTGCTGTCAATCTGGTGAGAACTGATTCGTCATGCTTTCAGAGTGTTTCATTGCATCCACAGTAGCGTCGGGGAAGACCCCGGCGTCTGCCAGTTTGAGGGATGTCGGAATTTGCGTGCACGAGTTTCAGCCCACGCTTAACCTGCGCTCCACCTTCAAGAAGAGCTCGACGGCGGCCAATTGCCTGGCCGTGAGTCCGTCGCATGTGTTTGCTGCGCAGTCGGAAAAGGCGATCGTCCACGTATATAGCAGGGAGAAGGGCAACCAGGAGGCCACTGTCCCATTCCCGGAGCGCATCCGCAGTCTCGCAGTGGCTGGTGGGAAGAACGGGGATGTCGTTGTTTTGGGCACAGAAGGTGGCCGTCTCATTCTGTGGGAGGTGAGTCAAAGTCAAACATTCATTTTTTCTCGCAAGAGTCTTTCTATCAGAGATCTCGCTAATCGCTAATCGGCCCTATATTGATTAGACCTGCACTGGCCGACAAATAGCAACCACAGCATCCCATCTGCGGCCAGTAACCTCCCTGGTGGTTGATCCTACCTCCAACTTCATTCTTTCCGGCTCATCAGATGCGAGCATCCACGTCTGGTCCCTCCTGGACCTCCTCTCATTCACCAAACCCCCGTCTGGTCGTGATCGCCAAGCCCCAAACTCCCCAATCCGCACCTTCTCGAACCACCGCGCCGCCATCACCTCCATCGCCGTCGGCCACAGCGCCGGCAGATACAACATTGCCGTTTCCATTGCGGAAGACAGCACCGCGATTGCCTGGGACTATCGCACCGGCCGGCTCTTGCGCACATTTCTCTTGTCAGCGAATGCAACATGTCTGACCCTCGACCCCGTCGACCGCGCGTTCTACGTCGGCTACGCCGACGGCAGCATCCAATCGGTCGACTTCTACAAGAGTCAATCCGTCCAGCATCCTCTCCACGACCCCTCCCTGCATTCGACCCCGGTTCAACCCCCCGCAGAAGACCGATGGGCGCCGCCATCTCCCGACAGCGGAGCGGCGCACACGCTCACGCTCTCATATGACGGAATGACCCTGCTATCCGGCCACCAGAACGGCAAGGTGCTATCATGGAACGTGGGCCGGAAGAAGTACGCCTCGACGGTGGCCGATTACACGCACCCCATCACCAACCTCCTCATGCTCCCCCCAAACGGTCTCTTCCATCCCTCACTCGACCTCACGCGCATGTCCCACACCATCGTCAAACCCCGGTACGACCACACGTTATCTGAAGCATCCCAATCAGTGGGCACCGTTCCAGCCGACTACACATTCAGCACGCATCTCCTCCCGACTGCCTCCAACCCCTCCTCCACCACCAAACCCAATCCATTCACCGAAGCCTTTACCCACGCATACTTCCCGGAATCCATGCTGGAAGAGGGTCTCGCAGAACTCGCCGCCTTCGACCAGGGCACCGCCAACGCCAACGGCAGCAGCAGCAGCAGCATGACGCACGGAATCACGGACGAGGAAGTCTTTGCCAAGGACGCGCAAATCGCACAGCTGGAAGGCGCTCTGACGACTCTGAAGAAGAAGGCCTCAATCAACGAGACCGCGCGCCAGACGACGACCGACGAGGTGACCAAGTTGCGGGCCGACCTGGCCAATCTGCAAGACTACATCCACGAGCTCCACGACAAACAGGAGCAGGCGCAGCGCGAGAAGATCCTCCGGCAGGCCCGCAAGGCGGAGCGCGAGACTCGCCGTCGGGAGGCCTGGTTCGCCGCGGAGAAGAAGGGAAAGAAGGGGGATGTGGTGCTGAAGAAGCTGGACGCGGAGGACACGGTCATGACGAGCGATAGCGACGATCAGAGCAGCGATGAGTAGTAGTCGCTGCTCTTCGGAGTAGTCTATTCCCGCCCTTCTACCCTACCTACCTATCTACCTACCTACCTACCTACCTACCTACCTACCTACCTCCCTAACCTAACCTTTCTACATTCTCCTGTCGTGCATACATGGAGGGTCTTTCGTCGACGAGGCCAAGGCGTAACGGGGTTTGGTATCACATTGTTCAATGGCTACTATTCGAAAAAGAAAAGTTGTCTTAGTTAGTACTTGACTCGACCCTGTGTTTACATAGATGACACTACAAGATAGAGGACGAATCCATGATAAGCGAATAGTCTCAAGTTCCACACCACAACCATCCACACCCCACACACCCAAAGATGAAAAGGGTGAAGCGTACCACAATCACATAACGTAGTAAATCCCGAGCAAACCCGGTGCCCTGCGGGGGGAGCCCCGAACCCTCCCCAAGAATGTAACTATCAGCCCCGAGCTTGGTATGCGAGGGCCTTTTTCCCCGCCGCCCCTTTCTCTACAATACTACGCATATCTGCGTGCTTCTCTACACTTCTCCGGCATACAGAACGTGGAACCATTCGGCCGGTGGATGATTATCGGTAAAGAGGCAAACATATATGGTCTGGTTTCGAGTAGAAAGATGGTATAGTAGCTCAGACAGGAGGGTGTGACTACTTCCTAACTTATTACATATGCCACCGAGACGGGCGAATGAACGAGAGTGCATGGATAGGGACTGGGTGAAGAAGCCGCCCATACACGACACTCTCGGGCGGAAAGGGAAGAAAGGCCCAAAAGGTACTAGTTTATAGGTTGAAGATCGAGCTCGAACCTTGATTGAGTATTCCTGATTGAAAGTGAGGCGGTGCACTAGACAGAACCCTACCATACACATACATTTGCTTCATATCCTGGAGCATACACACGGACTGGAACCGGTTTCTGGATTGATTTTGGTCCATGCGATCACCATCTGATTGACCCAGAATGAAGAAGAACAGTCGCAAAAAGCATAAGTCACTAGTGATGTAGGTGAAATCCCGGAATCTACAAGAGAAGTGAAACGGCCAACCATGCAGGATACGCTATCCGATCTCATCCCAGACCATCGGCGCCAATGTATTGTCTGTCCACATGGGATTGTCACCGGACCCTAGATTCTCATCCAGCGGGAAAGGGAATACTGCTCCGGGTGCAGGCGCGGCTGCAGCGACTGCATTGGATGAACTTTCGAAGAGACCTTGGGGTGGGGCAGGCGGAGAGAGAGCAGGGTCGATAGGCCCTAGCGTGGATTGGCCTGGGGGTTTGGATCGTGTGATCTGGGGCTTGGACGGTTGTGCTCCCGGCTTACTGCCGGACATCGCACCGTCCTTGTCAACTCTGGCATCCGAGGTCTCCGTCCCGTGGTCGTGGAGGTTTCGACCACTCACAGAGCCCCCGTCCCGATAGGCGTAAGGGAATTTGGTCCGGAAGCGATCGCGCAGATCTGTGGCTCGGCGATGGCCCAGGTTCAGCCGTGTATCCTGCTGAATCAGTGTCCATTGAAAGCCATGCACCGCATACCCTTTGAGTAGTGCTTCGTCCTCGGCATCGGTGAACACCCGTCGTGAACGACGCCGGGACTTCATGGCGAAATGGGGCTCCGGGATGCCCAGAGACTCCAAAGTGGATTTGGACTTGCTGGTTAGCGTGGGCGTTGCCTTTGACATGGAAGCCGGCTTGGTATTGGCCGCCTTCTGAGATGTCTCCTTGATGTTCGAGCTACTGCTGCTGCCACTGCTGCCAGAGGGCGGCTCATTCAAGTCCACCGTCATGCTGTTACTTGCGGAAGGCGGCTCCGCGTTGGCGGGTCGAGGATGGGGCAAGTGAATCTTCCCAGCTGTGCCATCGGAGCCTTCCGTCTCGGCCCGCGAGAGGGCGTTGGCAAGCGTGTCGTGTAGTTGCCGCGTAGCTTCATTCGGATCCGCAGCCCTGGTCGACGATCAGCTTTGTGGACCCGACGCTGGATCCCTCCGATTGAATGACAACTTACCGGTAAGCCCAAGGGCAACACACGCGGAACCTAGATTGTACTTCGTTGGTACACAAGTCTGATATTCCAAATCACAATCCGCCTCGAAGCTACGGTGAATACCATACCTATCTTTCAGGTTTGAAGCGCTGCGCTTGTTGAATTTCAATTCCGGCTGCGCCAGGATGGCCGTCCAGTTGCCGATGCCGCACTTAACCACCCCGCGTAACAGCGCGGTGGTCTCCTCCTCCGTCCATTTGCGAAGATTCTTACGAGAACGGCCCCGGGTCTTGGGAGACAGTGGTTCTTGGCTTTCATCGGTAGCAGGTGACTTCTTGTCCGTTACGCCTTCATCGGTTTTGTCACATGCCGTTCGATCCGCGGGGACCGGGTCGTCCAGAGGTCTAATGTCAACGGCGCCGCCCCGGTCGCTCTCAGCCGCCTTCGTCGCAATCGGGGATGCTAGGAGGTCCTCGATCCTACCTTCTCGTCTCTCGCCTGTCGGAGCATCGCTGAAGGAGGTGGTCAGCGAAGCCGGCTCCACGACCGAGCTGTCTCGGGAAGGTTTAGTCAGCAGCTGCGTGAGACTCGAGCCGGCCTCAATGGGCGGCAGCAGAGCGGCATTGGGAGGCGGTTCGTTCAATCCATTCAAGATCGCAAAGGGCCCAAACGGGGGTGGGCGTTGCTCCTTCTGAGCCTGCGGGATGGGCAGTTGCAGATGCTCAGCGAAGGTCTCGGCCTGCACCCCGACCCGGCGCCGCTTGCGGGCATGAGGACTCTCATCGTCGAAGGAGGGATGGGGGGTTCGTTCTAGAGCACGGAGATTGACAAAGGCGGGGAGGATGGGCTTGGGCGGCGGTGGCTCGAGGCTCAGGTGCGAATCCACGAAGGTATCGGTCTTCTTCGGCGGCCGTGGTCCCTGCACACGCTCCCCGGGGGCTCCTGTGACAGGATCATTACTCCGCGGGTCCGGAAGAATGCCCGCGGAGCTATTGGGGGTGGGAGCAGCAGTGGCTTCGCGAACCCGACTGGCATTTGGCTCCAGCGGCGAAGGCACGCTCAGCAAGCGCGAAACAGGCTGACGGAGAGGAGCAATGCGGAGACTCTGAAGCTGGGGTAGTTCGCGAATCAGGGATTCGTCGTAAGACCGGGTGAAGGTGCCGGTGTGTTCCATGGTCTTCAAGGCACCCGCAAGGTAGCTAGCATTCAAACGATGAGGGCAGGGATGAAGAGATCACCACAGATGGAACAAGACTCTCGACGTAGCCATGAGCCATTTTGCAGGTTCGGACTTATTGAATCGACTGTTGAATCCAGCAGAAGTGGATCGGAGAATAGAGGGATATATCTTGGTAGTGAGTTATTAATAAAAGAAAAGTACAGGTTAAATTCTAATTTAGTGAAGGCAAATGGAAGATGGATGGTTAATCGACTTGTACAAAGTGGTTTCAGGTACTTTTTGGTTTTGGGGGGTTGACTTTGGCTGCGGGCGGAGAGTCTGGGGTTGGGTTTAAGGCTGGGGAAAGCTGCCAGAAGCGCAAAACCGGATTGCTGAATCAGCAGGTCCCAGAAGTAGGAAGGATAAACAGTGTGGCTACATAAGCAAGTACTAAGTTAACTTAGTTACTCCGTAGACGGATGGACTCATCACAACTTGTAGACTCTACTCGACTCCAATCCATGAGTGATACCTCGTATACCCTCCCTCCAATTCAGTTCACCACAGCACAGCATCATGCCCTCCATTCTCCCTCCCTGGCCGAATCTGATCTTCGGCATCTTCGAGCCCATCTCTCTGTACGTACCCACACAAAACATTTCAATGAAGCGTATACACACAACTTCCCCACCCCTTTACCGACTAAGTAAACCCCTTCCAACCACAACCCTAACTTTCAACTCCATCTCAGCATCGCCGGGGCAGTGAGTCCCCTCATCAACCTCAATCACTTCATCACAGACCAGATCCCCCATGCTCAAACCCCTCCTCCCTCTGTCTCCGCTCCTGCAAACCCACTCCTCCAACCCCAAGCCGTCTCCCTCGCCTACCAACTGGGCAACCTGTACGGCCTGCTCGCCCTGCTGGGAGTGGGAATCCTAACCACCAGCACGGAGCCCCAGGTTATCCGCAACTACCTGCTGGCCCTCCTGGTGGCGGATGTGGGCCACATCTATGCCACGGGGTGGGGGATGGGATGGGAGAGGTTCCAGGATATCGCTGGGTGGAATATCCTGACCTGGGGTAATGTGGCGGTTACGGCGTTCCTGGGGGTAAATCGCATTTTGTTTCTGCTGGGGTGGTTTGGGAGCTGTAGGCGTCGGGCGGCATCTGGGAAGGAGGAGGGGATGTTGAAGAAAGTTGCTTGATTTTTTTTTTTTCTTTTTTTCCTTGGAATTACTTTTGCTGTAACTATGCTTGTCTACTTCTGTTTTGTTGTTGGCAGGTGATGGGGATGAGTTGGAAAATGAGTGGTGTCTGAAGGAGGCAAAGGGGGAAACAAGAAGTGTTATGCCAGCCAAGGTTTATGTCTATGGCACCGTTAAACTATTCCCATGCAAATAAGTAATCCTCCATCGTGGAGATTGGCTCACGTCGTAAAGGTTCACTCTATCTTCAACTGCGTCGAGGGATATCGTGCACACTTAGAAACTCAACTGAGAGAAGAAACTTGCCTCTGATAACAATGACGGTTAGCTTCACACGATTCCCTTTGATCCTCTATGCGAGACGGATTGGACGTACTGTCCCACATGACATCTACTATGGAGTATAGCTCAAGGCAGCGAACCGTTAGACCAGTATCGCTTGAATCAAGGGGTGAAGACGTCACTCCCAGCAGATGCCAAGGTCTAGGGCTGATAGCTGGATGAAAAAGAATGGGATACTGGCGGGACTTGTCTCACCCCACCGCGAATGGACAATTGCGGAGCAGCACTGCATAACTTAGTGACCCTGGAAGTGATCTATCGATATCCACCTACATAGTTTCCACTAGAGCGCCTTCGTACCCCATCTCCAGCCACTCTCCCTCGGAGGCCAGCATCTTGTACATCCAACCGAGCCAAGATGATCATTTTCTTCATCCGAGGCACGCTACGCATCCTTGGGCTATGGGAATAGGGATCATGAACTGATCCCTTCCAGGGTCCAGCTGGTTAGTTCCTACGGAATACTATGTCCCACATGTTGCTTCTCAGGCGCATGGATCCCGTCTGCCGCTTGAGCCACAAGCAACTAAAGATCCAGATGCATTAGAAATACAGTCCCTCCTAGAGATGATAACCCTAAAAACCCGGTTTGACAACAATCGGCACTAGTAAGCATTTCCGAAAACTATTAGGAAAAAGAGGAAAACCGAAACCCGGCCCACTGCCAGGCGGAATTTGATATCTCCCGCGCTGCATGACCGCTGTCGCAAGATAGGTCAAAGGAGAAGAAAGTAAGCCTCACGCAGGCGTGGGGTTGCAATCTAGTAGTATTACGTGTCCTAGGAGACCAAGAGTCGTAAGCTCGGCGTGACCACATATCTCGACAACGCCACCGGCGTGAAATTTGACCCGCGTTGATTAGGTCCTTGCCTGGGGAATCGAATTTCATGGTGGTTGCCTTCGGCATTGCTGGAGCGAACCTGCGCTCGGATTCATCACCTAGCGCGAAGGAGATGGCCGCATGTGTCGGAAGAGCAGCTGTATGGCCGGTGGGCCATGCTGTTGGAATTCTCGGATGTGTGGGACGAGGAAGGGCACCCCGGGACTGTTGTTGAATGCTTCCCGGTAACCGAGAAAGTTATCCGAAGGATCTAACAGGACTTCAAACTCGGGAGGAAGCATATAGGGGACCTCGTGGGAGGCAGGATAACTGCTACATGTGGTGATGCTGTACTTTCGGAGGCCGTCGATAATGGCTGTGAGGGAGTGGTAGTTGCGCACAGCCAGTAGAGCCTGCTCTCAGTTTTAGTTTTCTGATGGCCCTGACTTACCCTAAATGGTTCTCACCTGTACACATTCCTGGATATAGCCTACCAGGTCCGGAAGCGCTGTACAACACTCCCACACCGCTATACTCAGCAGCTCCCACTCTGTAAATACCCGCTTGACCACCGGGCCTGGCTCCGAGAAGCTTTTGTGAGTAAGTCCGGTGAGATATCCCTCGTCAATATGGGACATCGTACTGGCAAAATCCAGCGGCGAAGTCGAGGCTGTTAGGTCTTCCAAGAACGCCAAGTTGAGCTGGAAGGGTCGAGACCAGTCCATTTGCCGAGTGTGCACGTACGTCTGTTTGAATCGCATGGCCGAAACACATAACACCTTCAAAACGGATTTTAAGCTGGGGGCGGTCTCATTGAACAGCTGCTGGATCGGACCGGCAATAAAATCGAAGGCTGGAGTCGGAGGACTCGCCGGCAACTGGCCGGCCTTTCGCAGGGAGCGTAAACACATAACCACAGCTCGATGAGCGAAAGGGCTTCGGGTGCGAAGATGCTAATTGCGAACATCAGCCGCGCTCAAAGCATTCACCCACAAGGCTTACGAACCTGTTCCACCTGGATATACAGTGAGACCTCTTCTGGAAACGCCCGGAGATGGTGCAACAAGTGGATATACAATGCGGTATGCTGCTGGAGAAACCAGTCCACTAACGGGGCTGAGTACCCGAGCGAGTACCGCACCAGCGCCTCGAAGGGGACTCGGGTGAAGTGAACATGGCTTTCATTGTCCATGTCGTCGGCAATGCCAATGGCCGTCATTGATCGCTTCCCTTGCGCTGGGAACCAACTCCATGATTCTAGCGTTGGGTCTTCGTTTCTGCATCGTCGTAAGATCTCTTCCACTTTTTGGACATGTGAAAGATTGCCGATAAAGAGACTCTCCTGAGGCCCAACCAGCTCGGACAGGAAATCGTCGATCGCAGCGGCATTGCGATTCTGGAAAGTGGTTCGTGGGGTATTCTCGTCTCGGAAGAGGCCGAAGCGGATGGCCCGTTTGATCTCCTGGATGTCAAAGGCCCACAGCATCGTCATGGCCTCATCTTCCCACCAGCGATACTTCGGATAAAACGTAGCGATCTCCGCTTCGGCACGGAAGATAGACGGGTAGACTGGTGGATCAGACATGACTGGCATACCAGTGGAAGAAGGCGAGTATGTGGACATGGCCACTGATGCAGCACAGAAAAGTCAGAACCAGGAGGATAAGAAAGCCACTTTGGGGTCTTGGAAGAAGGAAGAAGAAAGGGTTCAAAGGGTAAATGTGCCTCCGTTTTACATTGAGTGGGGAGGATAGTGGAGAGGAATAGAGAGAGGGGGGCTGGCGAGGGAAAAGAGCAAGAAAGCGAGAGAGATGGTAGGTACAGTTCTGTAAGAAGAATAGACACCGATAGACGATAATTCGTACACACCACTAGACACGCACTCACTCACACGTAAATGCACACCAGCTACGTCTTTGGCTTGATTTTCCTCTCTCCGTTAATTCTTTTTAGCCTCTTTTTCTTTTCTCTTTTTTATTTTTTTTTTTATCTCTTTCCCTGGTCCTGTACCACTGCTAGCTGTAGAAACGGAAGCAAGATCTCCGCAAGACGGTTGAACGGTTATTGAATGATCTAGAACGTCCCGGATCAGACCTATATCCAAAGCACCATCGACGTCAGAGAAGACTTACAGATTGGGTTCAAACCTCCAGAGGCAAATAAGCAGAAGTGACCTGACACTAATAATAGTGGATGGTACGAAGTAGTGCACACAGTGATACTCCTTTGAGCAGGTGAACCATTAGCAAGCCCAGTGGGGAAATGACAGATACTATAATCAGGAATCGAGGATGAGGGTAAGATATTGCGGACAAGTTGATGGGAAGAAAAAACAAAGCTTTTATTACTTTCACCCCATCGCTTTTATTGTGTAGTTATACTAAGCTTCAGATAGAGTCATAGAAACCTCCACCTCGCTTCCTGAACTCTGGGGGGATGGGCCATTGTCCAGCCGCAGCTAATATTCCCTTAATTCGCCACGTTTGACAACTCACGAGGGCTTTGAACGGTATCCTGCTTTCTTGTCGCGGTTGAACTGCCAAAAAGGATGGCGGCAAGTGGCGCATTGCATACAAAGAACATGATCAGTAATCGAACTAACCCGAAATCTGTAAGAAAAGTCTGTGGGAGGATACAGTAAATTGAGCATCAAAATTGAGGCCAAAAATAAAGAGTAAAAAAAGGCTGGCGCTGATCCGAACCCTTGGGCCCGGGAACCAGGTCAGACTGAGGCTACGGAGATTACCTCAACACCCAAAAGCTGAAAGTATGAATAGAACTCTGTTAGCTGATTCTCTCAGGCCAATAGTCTAGCTCGCTGCTAGCATCGTCGCTAAGCACACTACCACCGGTCAGGGAGCGCGTGCAACCTAGACCAGGGCCGTTAGGTCTAGGAAGCGTTTAATCCATCTGGGGGGCGGTTGTGACGACGCAAGAACCCCCACATGGGCTGAAGAATCGGCAGAGACGATAAATCTGAACGGCCGTCGAGCAAGATTCAGCCCGTTTGGCAATAACACCAGCCGATAATAGCAGCCATTAATGATGGCAGTCAGCCAACGGCGGCAGTGGATCAACAGGTGGCATCTGGAATAAAGGAACAAACCAGGGTGAAGGAAAAGGCAGGAGAGGCGGTCAGTAGCCGGGATGGAACATCTCGTCATGCAGTAGTCGTTAGATTCTGGAAGATTCACCCGAGACCTCATTCATCATGATAAACAGGCGAAAAGACGGTTTAGAAAGGAAGCATCGCCTCCGAATCATTGTAGCGGTGTGTGCAATCGATAATGAGGTCAAATATACACCAGGCCGAGATCGTGAGGCAATGACTTTCAGCCGGCCCCGGGCGGCCTCTATCTGAGAGGCTGCTCCGGGCTTCAACAGACGCCAGGAACGGGGGGGTGGGACGGTCGTCGTCCGTCATGCTGATGCCGATGATACTCGATGATCCTATAAGGCACCATCTCTCGGGAAGACCCAGATGAGAGCTGTACGAATCCACAATGTTGTTGCCACCACCTGGAGCGTCGGCAACAGGCAAATACTGGTCGGGAGAGGAAAGGAAAGCGGAAAAGTGGCTAGCGACAAGCGACGCTGCTACTGCGGGCCCTAATCTAGCAGGGTATTTTGTCCTTATTGCTTCTTCAGCTCACCAGGTTGAATGGACGAATGACGGGTGAGGCCAACAAGGACCGGTATAGAAGCTGATGATCACGAAGTCCTAGTAACGTCAAGTGTCAATGAATCAATCAGGACCGCCCGAAACTACTCCGTAGTCGATCGCCTGATGAACGGTTGCAAGGCTTTCTACAAGGAGTCGACCCGTCGTTCCACTTTCTATCGATTATGTTACCGGGGTATCTTCTATGCGTTACATTCAATAGTCTTCGTGTCAAAAAGGCGTAGGAGAGAGAATTGGCGTGAGGAGAACTTCCACGTAACGGGCAGAAGCAGCTTAGAGTACTTCTTCCGTAACAACCGTCGGAGGACCAGGCTTAGAAGTTAGTACGCTAGTAAATCCTTGTGCTAGGTCAGTATCAAGCCTTGTAAAATACTCCTTAGAGGGGTGGGATTAAAAGAACGAACTGAATATCGCATTAAGCCAATCAGTCCAAAGATGTGTACCGAAGGAGCTCGTGGCTGTTGGCGCGGCGACCGTCGACGTAACGGCATAGACATGCGGTGGTCCAGAGTACGAGTAACTTAGTGTGTGTACTCCGAAGGACGCACTGAGGGAAAGAGCCCAATGCGCGACTCCAAGCTTCTAAGGGGTCAGATAATAGTTGGATGAATCACAAAACAATAATAGTTAACAAACAATGCAACGAATAGTGGTGCATCTCCACGGTCAGTGGAGTTCTCCGATGGTGTGGCGCAGGGGGAGGATGGAGTAGTAGTAGAGACTACCGTAGGTAGTGTGTAGAGAGAAGAGAAAGGGAAGGGAAAAGGGAAGATCGAGAGTGGGTGCCGTGCCGCGGGCGGGAGGCCCGTCAATTCAGAATAATCCCTGATCCCGCCGTGATCTATCCATTTACTCAGTAACAACTTGTCGCTTGGACCCTCTTACCTCAAATCCTTCTTTGTCTCATGGCTTTCGACTACTCCAACCCCCCCACCCACCTACAGGCTACTACCCGCCTACCTCTCTCCTTTGCTCCTCTCTTCTCCTCTCCCTCTCTTTTCCTTCGTTTCCTCCCTCTAATCCCGAGAAACTTTACTATCAGCCTTCCAGATCCTTATGCTGCAACTGAGTGCAGCTTGCAGCTTGCAGGATACCTCCCTACCAGTTCCCCTCCCTTACCTTGCTCATCAACATCATCATACCGTCCCATTCCTCTCGTCCGAGTCGGGCACATTTGATAAGGTCCAGCCCTCTCAGTGAACGGAACTACCATCCGAAGTCTGCTGATGTTCGACTCATATGAGGAGTCGGCTACTAGAACTCCAATCAGTAAATGCAGTCGTCAAATTCAACTGGTCCGAGAGAGAGACGTGTGTCGACAGCAAGCGAGAACAAGAAGCGATGATGATGAATTCCACCAGTAGGATACTTTGAGGAGCGCGAGAAAAGACTCCCGACTCCATCTCATCGTAGACAGCCTGGGATCGTAACAGGGACAGGCATAGTGCTGTTCAGTTTCCTGGCTGTGTGACCACTGAGATGGTCGAATTCGACCACTAGCATCGGTGGTCACCTTTGCTGCAGCCAGACGGGCTGTGTATCTTGAGCTGCTCTCCCGGAGGAGAGGTCCTGATAGAGATCAGGCAGGGTAACCAGGCGGCTGTTCGTCTGGGGTGTCGGTTGAGTCCAGGCCTTTCAAGATCGGGAAGAATTCATTGTGAGCGATTAGGACACATGGCTACTAGCATGAAGGGTACGGGAACAGCGACAGTTGCTGTTAAAAGCCCGACTCTTGGACCGCTGGCGAGGCGAGCCATCGTCACTCGACGGGAAGGAACAACGGCTGTTGAAAACCTCTTCGTATCTCCCACGGACCCAGTCTACAACGAATCGAAAGCAATAAGAGAAAGATCAAAAATGGATGGATCACTTTCTTGTAACTCTTTTAGCTTCCTGGGAGGAGACGCCTAGTGACTCTGCCGAAGTATTGACCTTTGTTCTGTTCCTTGGCTTGGGCAATTAACCCACATTGGTCCATCGCCTGCAGCATGCATGACACCTGACTCAGAGTTAAAGTGTGGTGTACGTGGGTATGGGCAGTAGCGAAGCGACTGAAGGGTTCAACATCAATTGACGATGGCTTCAAACGATAATCACCATCATCCTGCCTACCAAGCCTAAATGGTAAGGATATAGTATGTATTCTTTGCGCTCATCGGCCAACCAAGTGTAGCAATGCTGAGTAACTTCTCCGCAATCGGTCGCTCTCCGCAAGACTGTTGGCAGGGCCTGCCAGCACCCTTGACAACGGCCATGTTAGTGGCACAAAGCTGGGTGCACGCCGACTACTGACTCTTGGGGGTAAAGTCGTCTCAGTCGCCCGTTCGGATGACCTGTCGGTATCCTGTCAGGCCGGACTGACAAGCCAGTGGAGAGGCAGCCTCAATTGCGCCCGGGATGGGGGAAGGGGCCTGCAAGAGGGGAAAGCCATAAGACAATAATTTGAAGAAAGATATCCCACCCATTGACAAGCCTAGGAAATCGAACTCACTAACTTGGAAGGAAGGCAACTGGGCCTGAGCGAATGATCGTAATCTTCTTTCTCCCGATCGATCCCGAGCGCCAATGCTGACCTGGTAGAAGCTGACTCCATCTCCACAATGTCGACGAACCATTATTGGAACCTGAATTTATTGGTCCGGCGGTGTCATGTCAGTATCAATCACAATTGGCACGCCAAAACCGAGTGAAGATCAACCGCCCAGAATGACTTATCATTTGGTCAATTGAAGAAAGGTGTCTGAACCCCGGCGGGTTTTGAGGCCGCGGTGGTCGGTGCTCATTTCATGCCTCGTACGTTCTAAGACTGAAAATCGGCCTATAGAAGGGAAAAACCGGGAATGGCGAGAGACGATAGATCGCAGATTCCTTCGAACAATGGACAATAGCATTACTACCGTGGTAGCAGCTGTAGCCGCTGTAGCAGCAAGAGCCGGGATCTCTTAGGCTCGATCCTCTTACAGTCCCCTCATGGGTGCATGAGAAAGCCAGATGGAAATTGGAGGGAAAGCGTAGGATCTATATTGGCGTGCAGATGGGAGAAATAGACGTGTTATCTTTCACCTGTATGGTCCATGGTGGGTGGAGCAAGCTTCTTTTGGGAAGGATGAATTTTCCTGGACGGTCGGATAGAGTGAGTGACTATTACAGGTCGAATGATGCATGTGAGATCGGTGTTAGTACTGAGTCAGATGCCTGCACTTTTCATCTATTTCTGAGGCCCCATGGTCGGTAACGCCTTGTGCAATGGATGGTCAGATATGAGCGGTAAATCGGAGTTTTCACCCTCACCCGTCTGGCTTCCCAAGGAGACGTGCTATGTGCATGGGATATTCTCGAGAGATAGTGCTGCATCCAACCTCAATAGCTCAAGCCATGCATCTAATGGTCCTGCTAGGGCAACATGGAGTGGAAGTGAGATGATCTCTCCGAACTCCAGAATGAGAAGACCAAAATTGCACTAGTCAGAAGGGGACGGCCCGCCGGGTGAGTGGACTTTCTTGGGAATGGGGCCGCATTTCAAGGTTCCGACCAGCAAGGGACTGATCCATCATCATGCCGGTGAGGTCAATGGGTCAAATCTGTGGTCAGGGGGACCAGGGAAGATAAGACGGGGATTCAGTTGAAGGTGGCTCCCTCTGTCGATCCTTAGAAGCAAAGATACGGCTACGACTACGAGACCAGAACAATGGAGCAATGGGCATCAGGAGCGATCTTTGCAATGCCTTGATGTTACAAGCTTACAGAGCATGATGGACAGTGAAACACGCTCAGTGAAACATCCCGTGGACAGAACTTTCTCTTTTTTTGATTCTGAATAACGCTTCATATTATCGTAACCGGCGTCATACAGGCCCACAAAGCAAGACAAGACGTCGTCTCCCCAGCGGAATTTTTCAAAGCTTTTTGATTTGCGGCATCTTACGACACTTACCAGACTACGTCTAGTTGGCGATGGCGTAGGCACGGCGGCGGTCACGCTCCTCAGCAATGGAGAGCTGAAAGTGTTGTTAGCTGTGATTGTGGTACAAGTCATAATGGGTTAGTAGCGTACCTTGACACCCTTGCCCTTGGGGAGGGAGATCCAGGGCTTGTCCTGGCCGATGACGAAAACGTTGGACTCGCGGGTAGCGAAGGTGTTGTCAATAGCGTCCTTGATGTGGACGATGTTGAAACCTCCGTCGTGGCGCTCACGGTGGGTGACGACACCAACACGACCCATGTTACGACCACCAGTGACCATACAGACAACACCGGTATCGAAGCGGACGAAGTCGGAGATCTTGCCAGTGGAGATGTCAACCTTCACGGTGTCGTTGACCTTGATGGCGGGGTCGGGGTAGCGGATGCTGTAGCAAGAAGCCTGGTTAGCACATAGAGTTCCCATATGTGGTTCCTTACGAATGTTCCCGTAAAGAACCGTCGTTCCGATTCTTTCGTCCTCCGCCGATCAACCAAAGCTTGGTCCAACGACTGAATGACACGGAACTTGTAGAGAGCATGCACTCACGTTCTCGCATCGTGCGTAACCAAGAATGGGATCCCGCCCTTGCCAAGCTGAACACGCTTAACCTTGCAGAGCTTGTACTCAGCCTCCTCAGCCTGGATGCGGTGGACGGTGAAGCGACCCTTGGTGTCGTAGATCAGGCGGAAGTTCTCGCCAGTCTTCTCGATGCCGATGACGTCCATGAAGCCAGCGGGGTAGGTAGGGTCGGTGCGGACCTTGCCGTCGACCTTGATAAGACGCTGCATCATGATGGCCTTGGTCTCGCGGCCGTTCAAGGCGTACTTGAGACTATACTCGCAGTTAGCCGGTGTTTCTCCGGGCGATTGGATGTCGCGTCGCGTTAATCGAGGATTCGTACCGGTTGCGGATGAAGACAATCAGGGGCAAGCAGTCGCGGAGCTTGTGGGGACCGGGGGAGGCCTTGGGAGCATAGGTTCCGGACATCTTGTCCAGGAGCCAGTGCGAAGGCGCACTAAGGCGCTTCTGGTGCTTCTTACTGCACGAACATTCAAATCAGCATTTCATCCTCACGTTCGATATGAATCTGCACCCATCTGCCCCTGCGGCCCGAAAAAAATCTCGAAATATGTTCGACCAGGACCGCAGGTGCACGAAATGTCGCAATTTCTTCAGAGAGGCTGGACTTACGGTCCGCGAGGCATCTTGGCTGCTTTGTCGACTTGAACCGGTTAAGTTGTCGAAGTGTCGCGGAAGAGAAAAGATGGTCGGAGCAAGGCCTTCAACAGCTAATATCCAGGGCGCTCTCGATTTTCGCTTAGCGCTCCGGTGCTGGGTGGGTTGAGCCCTAAAGCCCGTTCAAATTGAGCTTGATGCACGCTAAGCCGGAAAGGTCCTAGGGGCAGCCCGTTATATAATCGGGCGGTGTGGGTACTTCAATCACATGTCACTCGCTCATGCACCTAATGTACAAGTCTCTCGACTCACTCTGTCGGCCAGAGGAAAATGTTAACTCAAGTTACTATATACACTTTTATTATCTATCACGTGTCTAGATGTAACCCTTGATGACAGCAACCTCAGCGTTAAGGATAGACGATCCTGCAGCGCCGAGAACGGTGTTGTGCGACAAGGCAGCAAATCGAATATCGAAGTAGCCACCTTCCTGGCCTTCACGGACGCGTCCAACGCTAACAGTGTATCCCTTGTGAATGTCACGGTCGAGTCTGGGTTGTGGGCGATCGGGCTCATCGAAAACCTTGATAGCCTCCGCAGGAGCCGATGGGGCACCCAACTTCTGCGCCTCCGACTGGTACTCCCTCATAGCCTGAACGACCTGCTCTGCGCTGGGCGCCGGGCGGTTCTTGAAGCGCAGGGATACAAACGCCATGTGGCCATCCGTGACTCCAACACGAGTGCAAGTGGCACCCACTCTAAGTCCGGCTTGCTCCTCAAAACCAGTAGCATCGGCATTCAAAGAACCGAGGATCTTCTGAGCCTCATTCTCAAGCTTGTCCTCCTCACCGCTGATGAACGGAATGACATTGTCGAGGATGTCCATGCTGGGAACACCCGGGTAACCGGCGCCAGACAGAGCTTGCTCGGTAAAGACCTCCACCTCAACAACGGGGCCAAACTTGGCCTGGAGGGCAGCGAAGGGAATGACGATGCCAATCACTGCGCAGTTGGAGTTGCAGACCAGGAAGCCCTTCTTCAGACCAAAATGTTTCCTTTGGTGAGGGATGAGGTCGAAATGATGAGGGTTGACAGTAGGAACAATGAGCGGGACGAGGGGGTGCTTGCGGTAGTTCTTCGCGTTGGAGAAGACGGGGATGTCGGCCTTGATGAATTCCATCTCTGTGACATCTGATCAGTGGGATTTCAGAGATCTGAGGTGGATGGCCACTAACCGACATCGCCTGCAACGTCACTGTTCAGTCCAGAGAAAACCAAATCGCAATCGGCAAACTGCTCAGCCTTGCAGTCACGCAGCACAAGATTGCTGAGCTTTTCGGACATAGCTGTAGTCTGCTTCCATCTCACAGCATCCTTGTAGGCCTTGCCAGCAGAGCGCTCCGAGGCACCGACGGCATGAAGCTCCAAGAAGGGGTGGTCGGCGAGCAGCAGGATAAATCGTTGTCCCACCGAGCCAGTGGCTCCAAGAACACCTGCTCTTGATCAGTACAAACCTTCATATAGACTCTACTGGCCCGAAAAGTCCTTACCGCACTTCTTCTTGGGATAGGATGTCATTATGCGAGTCTAGATCGTCAAACCTGAAGTTGTCAGCTTCTTAACTTTGGAATATACCAGTTCGTTCATGTAATGTCAATCGACAAAAGCGCAGAGGGTTTCGAATCAATATCAGAACTCGCTGCAAACCATCCGGAGTGACTGGTCAAAGAGTAACGCCTCACTTCCAGAGTGTTACCAGGGCTCGAACATGGGCTGGCTATGCATGCTAACAACAGAATACGATGCGAGCACATAGTGCAGCATGATTTCACTAGAAAATATATCAATACTCACCTCCTGACACTGGAAATTAGGGACGAGACGAGAGAAAGAGTTGGAGTTGGGGGCGACGGAGCGGGATACTGCGATATCGCTCCGGAGCCATTTGCCCCGCGGTGAGTCAACCCTGCTTAGTCAAACAATAGAGGCATAAAATCACCGATTATCATTGGCTCATTATATTGTTCCTGGAAAATATTCGGTTCTTACTAGCTCCAGCTGAGACCGGTCAATGACGAAAAGCTCGCGCGCTCATCGAATAAATATGATGCAGCGATAATTTACTTAACACTTAGTCTAGGTATCTGATGGACACTGGAGTAGCCACTTGAACTGTCAGAGATGAATTCTTCATACAGGTACACTGGCAACTTGTCAACAGTTTGCTTCTCGCATCAAGACTCCCGTGGTCCGAAATGCATATTATGCTTTCCGTTCAAAATCAAAGATCTTCCCTGGGTTGAGCAGCCAATGTGGATCCAGTGATTGCTTGATAGAACGCATTACATCTATCGTGTCTGGGCCAAGTTCTTTCTTCAGAGAGCTCTTCTTGCCCAGACCAACACCATGCTCGCCCTGTTGATGGTCAGCTAGAATTTCTCTGAAGATAGGTTACCGGGAGTGTGTATCGTACAGTGCATGAACCCTCCATCTCCAGGGCCCGATCGACCATATCGTGCACCACCTTCTCGACTCGCTCCAGTTCTTTGGGATCGCTGCGATCGTACAGAATACTTGCATGGAAGTTTCCATCACCAATGTGTCCGAGAATGCTAGCAAACATTCCAAGATCGTCTAGTTCCTTTTTGGAGATCTCTGATCTCGAATTAGTATATCTCACATGCATTTGAATGCGGGGAGTCCTTGCCAATTATATCGGGCAGTCTTGAGATCGGCACCGAAACGTCTGTAGACCACACTTCCGAACCCTTCTCCCGCAAAGACAGCATGCTCCAAAGCGATTGCTTCCGCGCTGACCACAGGTCGTGAGCCTCGCGCTCGTCCCGTGCAAATTCGAAGGAGCTGGCATTGTTTCTCTTAGCTAGCTTAGTAGTCAAATTGATGCTGTCGGCAACACCGGCCTTGGTGCCAGAAAATTTGAAGAATAGAGTGGGCAAGACTTTCCATTTCCGCCCAGTACCACCAGCGCGGTTGATCACATCCATTTGGACCTCATCCAAGATTTCCACACACTGCACCTGGATACCTTGCCGAATAAGCTGCATGGCAGTCGACGCAGCATCGCGCACTGTTGGGAAGGTCACGACACCCACCCTCGTCTGCTCTGGAATGGGAGCTAGTTTGAGGGTGGCTTCCGTCACAATACCAAGGGTCCCCTCAGAGCCTACGAACATGCCAGTTAAATTATAGCCTGCCGAGGTCTTGCGCGGACGGCGACGTGTCTTGATGATTCGACCATCGGCAAGGACAACTGTGAGGTTGATAACCCAGTCTTTCATAGTTCCATATCTCACGGCATTTGTTCCACTGCAGTTCGTGCCAACCATGCCACCGATCATTGCAGACGGGCCGGGGTCAACAGGGAAGAAGAGGCCACTGTCCTTGATTTTCTCGTTGAGATCCATCCACTGAATGGAGGGTTGAACCACAACGTCCATGTCGGATTCATGCAACTCGAGAATGTTGTTCATCGAAGCAAAATCTATAGTCAATCCTCCGTAAGGGGCTGAAAAATTGGCCTCAAGACTAGAGCCGCCGGAATAAGGAACCATTGGCATGCGGTACTTGTGGCAGATCTCGGCGATCTTGGAGACATCCTCAGTATTGTTTGGGTAGGCAATCGCGACAGGCAGACGGTCTGCATTGATACTGGACCACTCGGAGAACCCATGGCGTTGCAGGTCGTCTTCGTCAGTGCTGATGGTATCCTCGCCTAGTGCGACTCGCAAATCGGCAATGGCCTAGTTTCGCAAACTCGGTTAATTGGATATAAATCGCGGGTTGTGTCGGATCAATCATCGGGTCGTTGCCTACCTTCTCAAAGTCTCTTGCCGAACCGTACTGAGGCTGCTTTGACTGCGATTTGTTCGAGGCGACAGCATATGCGTAGCCGGCCCCAGCAGCTAGTGCGGAGAACAGAAGCGTGCTGCTCAGGGAGCCGGAGCCCGATGATTTCGGGCTGCTCGAGGACCCTGAGCCATCAGATTTGCTAGAAGGACTCTCGACTTGGCTCGAAGTCAAGTTGCTGCTCCAGCGGATCGTCCTAGACCGTGTGAGAAGACTGGAGCCCAAGCAGCGATGGGTCACTACTCCCGTGCGGGGAATTGCGGGGAAGGCCCGAGGCAATTGAACGAGCGCCTGCATTTTGTAGACTGGGGATTGACAGCAAGTAATGGCAAACACACAACAAGGAAAGCAGAGGAATCATGAGTCTTATAAGAGAAGGGATAGTCTTCTTCTCAAAGAGACCAGTTCCCCTTGGTGTGCCCTAGCATGGTGCATCTGCGAGCAAGCCCGGTTAACGCCATCGGGGCTAATGATGAGGGATTCCCAATGGTCGGAAATCGGCCGAGATTGATACCAAAATCAAGATAAGGAAAGCCGAGGATGGTTGGCCAACCGTGGGAAATAGAGAAGAGATTTCCCATCATATGGATAGCGAACTACCCCCCACGTTTGTCTTAATCGGTGGTGCTGTCAATAGTTATTGCTGAATCGGAGGAGTTGATCGACTTTCGGCCTAAAGTCCGACCGACTGCGGTGCCTGCCAAGGAGTTGGACCGCATGGGTTCCTGGTCCAAGGAATGTGATGATCGATCAGACAAGGCATTGGCCATTGTGAATATGGGCCATTGTAAATATTGTTCGCTCATCTATGGGCTATTGAATCCCTCCAAGTGTTCAATTGCCTAGTGGGAGTTGTCTCTTATATTCCAAGTGCACGCATAAGTGTAACTGCCAGGCGGACTGCTTCCCGCCTGATCGTCGGGGCAACCGGCTGCATCTCATCCTTCTTTTTTGTTTCCCCGCTGCTTTAACCACAACCGATGATCTGGAAACCAGAACAATTACTGACTAGAGCCTTTTTCTCTACTCTCTTAACGAGGAGGAAGATACCGTTCTGGTATCAAGAATGCAAGTCATGGCTGATCAAACCACTAGCATTCAGCTTGGGCGCGAAGTGGAGCGCCTTGTCACGGCCCCATATGCACCTTCGCTACAGGTACTGTAAACCCCGCGGCTCCACGCTGCCAATCTATACCAATCCAATAGTAGTCACTGAATGTGCTTGACTACCTAGGATCTTTACGCCCTGCTCCAAGATGCATCACCCGCTTCCATCAGACTTTGGGCCTTCTGCAAACCCTGTCAGATCAGCGCTCTCGTAGACGTTCTTGTTGACGGTCTATCGCGATCTCGTTTCGCTTTGCCTTCGCTTAGTGCTTTCAGTGAGTTAAATGCTGTTGCAAGAGGATGAGATCTGGGGACCCTGATGGCTTGCAGTATCTGTAACATCTTTTCGGGACTCCCTACTCCAGCGATACCCTCACCTTCTTGATCAATTCCTTGAAAGGTCTACAGAAAAGGACGCTCCCGAGGTGGGTACTCTAGCTCAATCTTTCATGTGTCTTAAACTCCATTATCTGTACCGCTATCTGCTACGTTACAGGTCAACTGGAATGAGAGAAGGGTCAAAGCTGATCTTCGCAGTATGCCTCAATATGCATTGCAATTCTCTCGTCCCCTCTGCCGTCGGACTTTCTCCCTCCAGCGCGCTTGGCATCATTCCTCACATCGGTCACCGGCCAATTATCCGAAAATCCGTGCTCACAGAATATACTGCCTTTGCATCGGATATCATATGGCCTACGGACCTCTCCTCGAGCTTTACTCGAGGTTCCTACCGAAATCATGTCAAGCATCCAGATTGAACTTACAAAAACTCTACGCAACCTTGCTGACCACATGGGTAATCTTCTTTCGCTTGCTACTCTCGCCAATCTAGCATTACTGCAGGGAAAATTGTCTAATGAAGAGATTCGAGCTTCTACTCCGATGTGGTTGCAAAGTGTCAACCATTTTTTCGGGCCAAAGCGCGGACTCAAGACAATGGATCTCGTTGTTCTGAGAGTAATCCTTGCCTGCTCCGACTCATGCAGTGACTTAACACCATCTCAGGCTGCTGAGAGTATCTGTTTGGCTATTCAAATTTGTGATAGGGTCGAACCTGAACAAAAGGAGGCATGGAATTCAGTAAACCAATCCAAAATTGCAAAGCTGCGAGAAAAAGTGACGAGAACTGGCATTGATCGTGGTGTGCAAATTCTGGTATGTTCGACCTCTTCCACTAAAGCCTTGAAACTCATGAGGTTATGATAGGGTGCCACATTTCTGAGTTCGATTCTTCCTACCGCAACCTTATCACCCGAAATACCTCGACTTGCCCTTGAGGGGGTCTTGTCCGAAGCCAGTGCTGCTGTATTAAGCGTGCTCCCCATAGAATACGTACCAAGACTAGTTTCTGCAGCCGTCGTAAGTGCGCCATGACTGCACTCGGGAGGGAGGCTAATACCCTTATAGGCTTGTTCTCAAGAATCTGCAGCACAGGATATTCTCGACTATGTCCTCTCTACGCTGCAAATATCACGTCCAACCAAGCCATCTGACTTGCAAAGTCTGCAGATAGCAGGATCGCTCATCACAGGGTTACAGAACGCAGACATTCGACTATTCAGGACCTGCATCTCAGAAGCGATTCTCCGCCAATGTAATGGGGCGATCATTCATTATTTGAAGGATTTCCCAAAACTCGCATCCTCATCGCAATGTCATGACTCCGGCATATGCTTCAGTAACCACTCTCGGATGCAGAACGAGCTAATCTGTGACTTGTTTGCTTGTAATCTGTACGCCTCGCTTATACAAACTTCAAATACCAGCGAGCCTAATTGTGCCGAAGTTGGTGCTTTAAGATTGTTTGTGGAGAAGTCGAAGCGGCTCCTGTGCAGAGACGGATGCACCTTCTTGAACTCTAAGCCCATCAACAGTGTCAGGTTTGTTCTGCCGCATGAATCTCATGAAAATGTGCCAAGTTCGAGGTCCGACTGGAGGGAGGCTATGAGAGAAACTCTGGCGCTAAATTCACGTACTACTCAAGAGGATATGATGCGCAAGATCGAGGATATCTGCTATGATCTCGAACAGCGCTGTGATAATGTCGAAGCACCTCTCAGAGCAGCTGAAAAAGAGCGTGACGAGTGCTCTTGGGAATTGGAAAAATTGCGGTCACAGAATGACGAGCTACAGTCGCAGCTGCACAAGTCTTCTAGCACTATTGATGACCTACACCAAGAGATATTCCGCTTGGAGCATCAATCAGAGGCTGCATCTATGCGTGCCGAGGAATTGGCAGCGAACTTGAAGGCATTGCAGAAAGAATTGGCGGATCACCGGCGCGAGTCCCAAGAGGTGGTCACAAGCGAACGAGAACAAGCCAGGACACGGGAATTGGATTTGGTGGCCTCTGTTACTGAGAAAGATGATCAGTTGGAAGCCCTCCAGGAAGAGGTCGCCGAGCAAAAGAAAGCGAATCGCGACCTGCAGGATAAGCTTGATGAGGTGTCCAAAAGCAAAGCGACCTGTTTGGAACATGTTGCTTCCTTGGAACAAGAAGTTGTTAGGCTTGGCCATAGCCTGCAGCATTATCAAATGCTCGTGACTGATAAAGAAGAGGAAGCAAAACGGATCCTAGATGAGAAGCAGAGCGCCGGTAGGGAGGCGAAAATGCTACATGACAAGGTGAGCTTTCCATAACTCTTAGAGATCTGTTCCCCTTGGATTCTGATACTGCACAGCTGCATGAACGAGAAGCCGAATTAAACAGGGTCCAAGAGACAATTCAGTTAGCGACTGAAGAACACCTGAGAGAACGAGACAACCTCAGGGAGCAGACCAAGAAGACGGCTGAGGAGGTACGATATCGCCTCCCCCTTAACCAGCACCAAGAATTCTCTAATATCTATTTATAGATCGACAAGTGGAGAGAAAAGTATAGTCGTATATGTGCTGCTAAAGACAAAGAGGCTATCATCGCTGCGACGGAAGCGAAAGGAAAGAGCAGGCGCATCGAATACTTGGAAACAAAGGTATATCAAGTTTTGCATGAGTTCTATACATTGGCCGAATGTGGTGGTTCTGGAAGCTTACATTTTGGATTCAACAATAGATGCGGAAGCTCAAGGATGAGCGAGCAGCCAAGGCTCGGGAATTCTCTGAGGCTCAACAACACATCGGACGGCTAATGAATATAATGGGTTTCAAGGCCGAGCCGGAAGTGTCAACAGCAGCAAACCGACACCGACGGACTAGATCGACTTCCGGGTCTGCTGAACCCGTGGCGATGCCACAACAAACGCAGCCTCAAGAAGAAGAGGAGGACTTTCAAACCCAGCCAGAAGAGCGTGCAGGGGCCAGATTCGACAACTATACGCCGTCCTCTGGAAACTGTAGCCTAAAGAGATCTCTGGACAGGGCATTTCCCGATGCTGACGGGCTTTCTTCACCTCGTACTGTAAATGGCGGTCAGTTGGTGAATGCGGGTGGCCGCGATGCCGCGACGCCAAAACAACAACAACAACAACAACAGAAGAAGCCGCTGGGTGATGCGGATCTTAACAGCCAGCCATCCTCTCAGCAAAGTGTCGGATCGCATTACAGCGTGCGAGACTCAATCGAAAAGAGACCACTGCGCAGAGGCCAGGATGAGAATCATCATTTACAGCACATCGACCTTGACATGGACCTAGAGTTCTCCAAGGACTTTCTGTTTACAAGCACATCACTGTCCAACTCAAACGACCATGCGCCACCGTCTGAGACATAGTGGCGCTCGTTTTTCACTTTGGGCAATTGGGCCCTCAGTATCCCTTATAAAAGGATTTATTTACCATTGTGAATCCCCCCCCCCCCAATACTTCTTTCTGAAATGTGAATAATTTAGATTTTTACATATCCGATGTGTGTTCTGGATATCATAGCCTAAACTCTTTGGGAAGTCTTCGACACACCAAGCTTTGGTGTAATAGTCTGCAAACAAACAAAGTCAACCCAAATTCTAGCCTCATCTGAGAATCAAGTGAATATCTGCATGACAGTGAAAAGAAGGAAAGAAAAGACATATAAATACCAGTAGCAATTCTTATGGTCCCTCTTGATCAAATCATAGTCGATTGATTGACCTCATGTTGAGGAATTTTGGTCACAAGCTGGCCGTGTCAACAACGGCATGTCTCCACGAAGAGAAGGCACCGGATGCTTCTTCCATGTTCAATCTTTCTCTTTCTGCACCAGAAGGGGATTCTACATCCGTCCTTCACTCGGTGTTGGGCTCAGGTATGAGGAGAGAGTCATTGCCGGCTCACTCAGGCCTTCCTTCAGGCTCTCTCTCCCCTTTCACTTTCTCCTCAGCTCCCCTTCTTTCTTCACTGTCCCTCACCCTCTACCTCCGATTCCTGCGATTCCTCCGATTTCTCCATCTCCTCTCCCCCAGTCCTACTCGCTCAACCATCTTCTCCTCATCATGCCTCTTGAATGTCATCTCAGATTCTGTTTCACGCGACTAGTTTCAACATGAGCATCCGAAGCAGGAGAGTCGCCCCGGGGTACCGGAGGATGGGTTTGCAACCACAAGCAAAGCCTCTGCAAAGACCATCACCATCACTCATACTGCCTCCGTGGAAGTCTTTTGACTCGTTGGCTCTTTTCCTTTCTCAGATCCCAGATGACGCCAATGTGAGTTATATCTGGCGTGCTTTCAAGGATGAAGGGCATATATTCTCCATTGACCTTTTCGAGGACTTTCAAGGGAGAAGAACTGCACAGGGGAAGATACGCTTCCGGTAAAGTCCTCCATATCTGTATTTTATACTGGAGTCGAGTCTAAATTACTGTCGGCCAGGCCTCCTCCATTCAGGGACTTTTGGAGCCAAGGTACCTACACGATTCTGCTGCCAGGTGGTAAATCTGCCACCATCTCCGTGAGGCCTGAACTCAATTCTCCGAACGATCGGATTCCCAGCCCTGTCTGTTCGAATGAATACTTTCCAGTTGAGATTGTAAGTGCTCAAGATGCTTCTTCTCATCCAGTGACATGATCTCATGATCTATATCCGTCATCAGAGAATCCCGCTTGCCTCCTTAGATTTTGGCGTCATGACCGGTGAAAACACCTTTTCACCAATGCGGACTATTGAAGATTCAGTCGATGGTGGCCTTCGCATAGTCCTTGACGTGAAAGCCAGAGTTATACTTGTTCAGTTTCGAATCCAGATTTTCGACTCCACAAATGAGAGAGCCTCCGTGCGTGATACCTACAAGAACTACCAGATCAGGATTCCGTTCGCACACTTGAATGAGATCGCTCAGGTGCCGATCGCCGACACTCAGTCAGTAGCGCATCTAGCCATCCTAGAATCCCCTCCAATATACCAGAGACGCATAGAAGACATCCGATCGACATTTATGGAAGACAATCATTGGAGAGATGCAGACACATGGTATAGACAGACCCAAATCGTCCACCAGCCGCGGAGGCTGTCGGGCCTTCCCGTCAGTTTACAGAGAAAGCGTTCAGTCATTGATTTGGGTATGTACCTCTGATTTTCTTATCGCTCACCTTGGCTTTGTCCTCCCAGGGTCTCTGTTATGTATCTGACGACTTGTGCCTCCCCTTGATGGATATCACTTATTGACCAGCTGTAATTCCTGGTATGCAGGTCGTTGGACTGCTATCAAGTTTAATTTTCGGGATAATTGCGAGAATTTGGGACAATTCAGGACCTATGGCCATATACTCAATGACTACAACATCAAAGTGAAGGATAGCCAACATAACATCCAATTTGATGATAGCAAAGAGCGGACTGACCCTATCTGGAAATGGATCGATTTGCCGGATGCTCAAGCCCCTTCAAATAGCATCGCTACCAAATTATCCTCCTCCTTGGAATTCCTGTCTGATTCTACTTATGTCCATCTCCCCTTCGCGGTTCGATACCAACTGGAGGTCTGCATTTCCAATGGATACCTTTCAGAATTCAGTATGACCAAGGAGTTCGCAATACGACTGGCTGGGCTCGAGGAGTCCAGAGCCAAGAAGCTTCTAGAGCACGTAGCAACAGAAAAGAAACGTTACTACGATCCCTTAAAGATATTCAATCTCAAATTCATCAAGGGGGTGACAGATGCGAAGATACCGCCTTACTGCTGCTACATGCGCTCCGCCAGAATCACTCCAACCACCATCTACTTCAGTTCACCCACCGTCGATATCTCCAACAGAATTATCAGGCGTTATGCTGAGCACACAGATCGATTTCTTCGTGTTAGATTTACCGATGAGAAGCTTTTGGGTCGCATAAATTCAACCATGGATAACACAAAGAATGAGGTCTTCACTCGCATCAAAAGAGCTTTGGCTAATGGTATAGTCGTCGGGGACAGGCATTATGAGTTTCTCGCATTCGGAAACTCGCAGTTTCGCGAGCATGGCGCTTATTTCTTCGCACCGCTACCGGGTCTCACGACTACTCATATCCGCGCATGGATGGGTCATTTCAGCCATATACGCAACGTCGCTAAGCATGCAGCACGGCTGGGCCAATGCTTCTCAACGACTAGGGCAATAGCGGGCTGTCCTGTGCAAGTCCAGAAGATCGATGATGTAGAGCGCAATGGCTATGTCTTCTCCGATGGGGTCGGGCGGATCTCACGATTCCTTGCGCAGATGGCGATGACGGAATTGAAGATAAAGACGCCATCTGGTGACCCTCCATCCGCGTATCAATTCCGGCTTGGGGGATGCAAGGGCATGCTCGTTGTGTCCCCCGAGGCTCAGCCTCAAGAGGTCCATATTCGCGAGAGTCAACGCAAATTCTCGGCAATTCATAACAATTTGGAGATCATTCGATGGTCCCAATTCGGCATCGCTACACTCAACAGACAACTGATCATTGTCCTGTCGACACTGGGTATACCCGACAGTGTCTTTCATGCAAAGCTTCAGGACATGCTCCAGAACCTAGATCGAGCCATGGAAAGTGATACCCTGGCAATCTCACTGCTCAGGAGATACGTGGATTCGAACCAGAAGACGCTGACTGTCAGTGAACTGATATCGGATGGGTTCATGAAGTCTCGGGAGCCCTTCTTGACTTCTGTGCTGACGCTATGGAGAGCCTGGCATCTTAAGTATTTGAAAGAGAAGGCAAAGATCGTCATTGAACAAGGTGCAAATCTTCTAGGATGTATGGATGAGACTGGCGTGCTCAAAGGATTCTATTCCAAGAATGACCCGAAGAAAAATGACTCGCTCGAAAAGCAGCTGGCAGCGCTACCTGAAATCTTCCTACAAATCACTCGGCCTGAGGCAGAAGGCAGAGAAGATGGAAAGAAATACACTGTCATCGAAGGCGTCTGCATTTTGGCTCGAAACCCGTCCCTGCACCCTGGTGATATCCGGGTAGTCAGAGCTGTTAATGTTCCGCAGTTGCACAATCTTCACGACGTAGTTGTGTTGCCCCAAACTGGTGATCGAGATATCGCCAGCATGTGCTCCGGTGGAGATCTTGATGGAGATGATTACCTCGTCATTTGGGATCAAGATTTGTTGCCCGAGGATTGGTTTCAGCAACCTATGAAATATACAAGCAACAGAGCTCCAGACTTGAACCATGACGTGACTGTTGATGAAATCACGTCTTTTTTTGTGACCTACATGAAGCACGACTGTCTTCCAAGGATCGCACATGCACATCTTGCATGGGCCGATCGTATGCATAGCGGTGTCAATGACGACAAATGCATACAACTGGCACATCTCCATTCAGATGCTGTCGATTACAATAAGACAGGGATTCCAGCAACTATGACCCGCAACCTGCAGCCCCATATGTGGCCTCACTTTATGGAGAAGAAGGGGAAGGCGGCCGACAAGATCTATCACTCGAGAAAAATTCTTGGTCAGCTGTATGATGCCGTGGAGCGGGTCGATTTCACACCCAGCCTTGAGATGCCATTCGACAAGCGTATCCTGAACTGCAAGATTCCAGTGGACAAGGAATTATACCAATTTGCTCAAGACCTTAAGGCTGAATACGACACGGCGACTCGTCGAATCATGGCTCAACATGAAATCAAGACGGAGTTCGAAGTCTGGTCCACATTTGTGCTCGACCACGCAAACATGAGCAAGGACTACAAGTTCCATGAGGAGATTGGCGCAATAACTATGGGGCACCTGGAGGGCTTCAAAAAGAAATGCTATGACGAGATCGGTGGTCGCAATTCCGAGCGGTTGGCACCATTGGTGCTTGCCATGTACCGCGTCACACATTCAGAGATGGCCGCTGCCCTGAACGAACACCGCGAAGCGTCTGCTTCAGACGGCACGGAGCCCTCGCACAAGAAATCCGATATGAGCCAATGGCCACTAATTAGCTTCCCATGGATCTTTCCCCACGTTCTTGGCAAGCTTGCAAAAGGTCTCTATGACTATGAAGAACCCGAAGTCGCCGCTACAGATGAGGCAGAGTTGACCAATGATGCTCCAACCGCTGTGGCCCACCAAGCTGAGGCGGACAATGTTGGAACAGAAGATCTCCTCGAGGACCCGTTCGGCCTGTTTGAGGGCGAGACAATGCGTAGCACAGTCCGCCGCGAGCAAAACACCAGCACCCCGCAACGCCACAAGGAGAATGTCCAATCTCTCGAAGAGCTCCTCGATTTCGGCCTCTCGGACCCTCGTCAGCCGTCAGCTTTATCTACCACAGAGGCATCAGACTTGACAGCAAGTCTGCTTGAGGTCGATGGCAACGTGGCTAAAGTGGCGGTTGATGCGGGCAAGTGCCCCGAACAAGCGCAAATAATCCCCGACAATAACTCTGGGGGCGCTGACCTCTTCGAAGAAGAGGAGCCTGAACCTAATGAGTTGTTCAAGCTCGCCACCTTGCTTGGAAACTGAGAGGCCTGGGTAATTCGTGACGCGCAGGTCCACGTTTCAGGGGAGTGTAGAATGTGCAGGACGTTTTTTTTCTCACTCTTACTTTCTCATTTCTTTGCCCACGTGCTTCTTTCGTTTCCCTGTTTCATATTGCCGAGAAGGTGGAAGGGGGGCGTAGTCGTACGGCGTTATTCAGGGAATACATCTCAATATGGGCTTTTTAGTATGCAAATCGGACCCAATTTGAGTAATGAAAGGATTCAAAACTGGACGTCACATACTCCACTGCACCTATGCTAGAACGCGGTCCTCTTCTATAGTACAGTAGCATGATTATATCCAGGACGTCCCAGAAAGCCAACCCTCACCACCGCCACATTCACTCCAGATAAACTCCTTTCACACAAGACCGCCCAAAAGTATATAACACCGCCCACTCGTCCACGAACCACCGATCCAAACGAACCCCAAAAATGCACAAGAGAGCTAACCGGCCCTCTCAAAGATTGTAAAAGAAAAAAAAACAAAAAAAAAAAAAAAAAGAATATGTAAAACTACCATTCCAAAGCACTTTGCGTGGTATCCTGAAGCAGTCGAATCACCGGATCCAACGCCGCCTTGGTATGTCGCCAACTAGCCATGGCTCTCGTCCGCGAATAGAACACGGGACAATCCTTACTATCGCAGCGGACCTCCTCGCCGAATGGAACGCCCATGCAAGACCGGCAGAGGCGCTCGAGCTCCACGACTTTCTTCTCCGCCTGGCGCTGCCGGCCGACCAGGTCGAATAAGGGAAGGTGCGGCTGGCGGAGACAGTCGGCGCAGAGCGGGGGGGAGGAGGCTGCCGCTCCGGGGTCCTCGAGTCGGGACTTGCAGACCAGGCAGGTGGAGGATTTGAGGTAGGATTCAAGGGTTTTGCGGAGTCCGGTTCGGGTTGTGGTGGTAGTGGAGGTGGTCAGGGCGGTAGGGTTGTTGTTGTTGTTGTTGTTGTTGTTGTTGTTGTTGCTGCTGCTGCCAGGGAGGTGCAGCACTTCAGGGAGGCGGCGGATGCGCTGCACTTTGGGCATCTCGTCGTACCATTGGCGGACATTGGCGCCGACGAGGTTGAAGATGCGCTCGAGCGGGGGGATCAGGTTCTTGGTGATGTAGTAGTCGGCGTCGAGGTCGAGGGTGGCGTCGTGGAGGAGGGTCTCTGGACTGACGCAGCGGTCGATGAGGCGACTGCCGGGGGCGCCGGTGACCACGACGTAGGGGACGCGTTCGCCGTACTGTGGTTCAGCGCGGGGGTCGTCGGCCATCTTGCGGGCACTTATCAAAGCGCCGGGCGGCGGGAGGCCGCGGTCGCTGTAAGTGCCGAGTTTGACCTCGCGTGCGAAACAGAAATCTTGAACGGAGACCCGGCCTTGCATGATCTTGGTGCATTGAGACTGGAAGTAGGCTTTCACCTGGCTGAGGTCGGCGGTGCGGAAGAGGAGCTTCAAGGCTTTTTCTTCAATCTTCTGCTCAGCGGGTGTGCCGTCGCGGCGAACGGTTTCGATGCCCTTGGCGTCGAAATCGGGCTCCGTCTGATTGCGGTGCTCGTACTTGAAGCCGACGTACCGTTTCTTAGCCAGCAGCACGCACGGGTGGTAGACTTTTTCGAACTTGAGCTTCACCGGGTGCGGGTTGATCTTTGTCACGGCTTGCGCGATCTCTTCACCGATCGTGAAGGCTTGGTCCCGGGTCCGGCCCTTCAGGTAGACAAAGAGACTGTCGGTGTCGCCGTAGACGACCTCCGCGCCCCAGCGCTCAACCGAGTGGATGAAGGCGATGGCTTTTTCGAGCGTCTCGCGACCAGATTGTACGATGCTATCCGCGATCTCAGAACACGGCATCCGCCCTGAAAAGGACGCCGAGGTGTAGCCGTAGGTGACATTGGCGATGAGTTTGAGGGCCAGTTGTCGGTTGTTGAGCAGTCGTTGCAGCGTCTTATCGTCCTTGTCCGCCTTCATGCCTGTCTTAACCATCACACGCGTCTCCAAGATCTCAGCGAGCATGCGCGCGAGGAGAGACTTGCGCACTTCAGGTTTGGCATAAATCATGCCGTTGGGAGCAATGTTGATCTTGTCCTTGAGGAGCTCAAGCAGCTGTGGCTGGCGGTCATAGTCCATGAACCCCATCTTGTTGCGGCCTCGCCACTGCCGCGCCCGCCCGAGGAACGTGGAATAGCAGTAATTGTATGCGATCATGATACTGGGATATAGCGACTGGAAGTCGAGTACGATGAGAGGGCTAGTGTAGAAATCACTCTGTGGTTCCATGACCAAAGGCAGGCATTCGAGAGCATTCTGTTGGCCGACCTGCTTTCGACTTGGCGAAACAAGCATGAAGTTCTCTGCCTTTGCAATGCGGAACATGAGAGACTCAACCTTGAATTGCGAGCCTCGCGAGAAGACAGAGAAAAAGTCAATGCCGAGAAGCCGGGCTTGTTCGCTGGTCCTTGCGATGAGTTCGTTAGAGTCCAGGATTTCAAGATCCATCTGGACGCGCGAGAGGAAGTAGTCGACGACTTTCATCAAGTCCCGCGGTTTCCCGCTCTGATACCATGCAGTGAGATCACGGAAAGAGTAGTGTGGGATGCGGCGGTGCAGCAGGTGAAAAGCAACGTTTTCCATAGTGTACTGCAGTAGGTTCAGCTCGCTCCTCATGGCTCGCCATATGTTGATCATGTGTCTCCCAGTAACTCGGATTGAGGAAGTGTGGTTGAAACCCCATCGGTCAGCATCTTTGCCAAATCTGCCATGGGCTTGTGAAATTACACGGGACAGCTCGTCGCAGATGTCGAAGTCGTATTTCTTCCTGGCTCGCTCAATGATATAGCCCCATGAGCTGTTGTGGACCTCGTAGCCGGTAATGAGGTCCGGATCATGATGGCGGACAATGTCCACGACTCGATTGATCAATTCAAGTTCCGATGTCTCATGGTCCCATTCAACCCTCAGTGCCTTGGAAAGCTTCGCATCCGGCCTGTCCGCCTCGCTCTGAGAGATTATGCCCACATGGACACCGGGCAATGTTCCGTTGGCGTCAACGTCTTCGTCGCCCGAGTTCAGACACCAGAAAACACAACTGATCTCATCTTCTTCGGGATTTGGTGCCAGCGCTCCGCGTGTGTTCACGTGCACCTCCAGACTCATCATACTCATATACTGAGTCTGATGTTCCACGCTTGTGGATTTGCTTTTCTGAGAATATTTGAATCCGTAATTATTCTTCTGGGTAGGACCTTCGATTTGCGACATGACGTTGGGCTGAAGTCGGTCGCGTGGCAAAGCTTGCCGACTCGCTGAATCTTTCTTGGCCTCTTCTTGAATTTTCTCAAACCACTCTACGACCTCGAGGCGACTGGGAGGCACAGGGGCAAACTCCCATTCCCGTAGGGTACACGATTCACGCAGCAGTCGATCGGCCTTCTCTTGGGTGCGTTTGTCTTTTGGCACAACATGGTCATCGCCCAACATTGCTTCAGAGCGCCCCAGAGGATCAAATGCAGGAAGATAGTGGATACCAGTCCCCACCAAATGGAATTCTCTGCCTGCATAGTCCCTTGGCCGATCAGGAACATCGCCCTCGTTGCTGTAATGAGCTTTCTGGTAAATGGTAGATGGATATCCGACATGAGCAAGAGTCGAGGACACTTCGTTAGGGCTGGGACAGGCTCTTCGCCATAAGGCAATACGCGATTGCTTGGAAATGGCAAAGTTGTCATATATGCTGCCGAGTAATTCCGAAGCCATGGTATTCGAATGAGTTTTGGAATTATCAGACCTAGTCTCAGTCATCGAGGACCGTAGTTGGGACGACGAATCATCGAAGCTGATCTCCATGGAACTTTTCGCATTGAAACCAAGCACATCAGGCCCTTCTTGCTCCTTGGATTCTTTGGATGGAAGGCTGCCGTCTTGACTGAATCGCAGAACTGTCATAGGGTCATTTGGATCTTTGACAACAGGGAAACTTATCCTCCTGCTCTGCGCCTTGCTGGGGCGGATAGTTGATTGGGATGATTGTTCCTGCGAGGGCAGTTTATCCACGAATTCATAGAGCTCATCTAGCATGTCTTCAGTATCAGAACTGTCGGTCGTGAATTGAGCGGCCTGTTGCCTCAAGGCCCGTCTGGTCGGACTTTCCAGTTGCTGCGAAAGAGTATCGTCGAAGAATCGCTGACGTTTTGTCGGACGTTCGCGGCTAGGAGTGGGATCCGAGAATCGTTTGCTTCTTGGGGTACTGCCATTAGAAAGCCCTTCCCCGAATTTCGAGGCATGGGCATGCTCCAGTAGGGTATGTTCAGAAAGATCAAGTGATCTCAATTCAAGTAACTTTGCCTGGAAGTCAGGATCATCAGCTAGATCAGGAGTTCTAGCTTCGTGTTCAGGATCGAAGATGCTGCGGGAAGCGACGTCAAACAAGCCATTGTCCCAAATATCGTCCACCGAGTCAACCTCTTCTTCGGTATGTATCTCGCCAGGAAAGATGCTGGAGACATCATCCTCTTCTGATTTATACGATTCCTTGTCTGAGCCGACAGATACAAATCCCTCCTCATCCATACTGATTTCTGGCTCCTCCAGAGGTTGCAAGTCGTTGTCATTACTCAGTTCGATTTTGGTGAGCGCTTCCTTGCCGGGATAGAAATCCTCAATGCCCTGGAGCGCGGTCTTTACATTCTTTGCGAGGGGGTTCTCGGTCAGAAAACTATCGTAACTAACGTCACCGCCATTGTAGTGGCTCCTTTCTTCCTCAATCGTGCGCATTGCCATCTCGCGGTACTCTTCCTCGTGAATCCAGCCGCCTTGCGAGGTATTCCTGGGATCCGCCGACAGAGAGACTAGCTCCTCAGCGACAAAAGGACTGCTGCCTGGCTCGAGTCCAAGACGTTTCTTCCGCCTGCGCTCTTCATCTTGCCATAGACCTGCCATACTTGGAACTAGTCGCTGATCGGAAGCCATCGGCTTCAAGTACTCGGTAAAGTCGTGATGGATAGACCTTTCTGTGATGTCGGAGCGGTTCATGATATCCTGAACACAGATATCGACTTCCAGCGGGCAGTAGCTCTGCTTAGGGAGGACTGACGGATCTGACAAGTCTTCCGGACTTATGGAGTGATCATGCCAGCGATGAGACAAATTTGTGAGCTCAAGATAGTCCGGCACTGGCATCCGGAATTTAACATTGCGACACTTCATATAAGCGCACCCGTACAGACTGTAATCGCACATCCATTGAGGGATGTACTGCAAGTGACTCTCGTAAGGCTGGACCGGTCGTTTCAACACAGCACCCTGGAGCAACAAATCTGCCAGTCGAGTCATGTAGCTTGGATTCGTCAAGTAAACTTTGAAGTAAAACTTATAGCCCACATGGTAGCCATAGAAAGGCACACCTTTGACCAAGGTGATATGCGCGACGAAGGCGAATTTCTTGTCGTTAGGGTTACGGTTATAACTCACCGCTAGCGCGCGGTCGACGGAGAGGTAAAGATGTCTAGACGCAGCACTCACTATAGCACACTTAGCCGCTAAGTACTTCCAAGAGGGTTTGTTGGGACGAACCTTTCTCTTCATCGAGCTCGCCTTGATACTCTACATAGAGATAAGGATATGCGCCATGAACATGAACACACACCTTCTGGCCGGTCTCTGTTGCGCCGAATACCCGGATTATGGGGACTTTGACTCTATCATTTTTGCCCGAAGCCGGATCCCTGTAAGGCAGGGGAGGGTCGAACTCCGAAGGGTCCGCCTGATAGTGATCCACGCAGTTGAGGCGCACTTGGAAGGGTTCCATTGCGTATTTCTGAGACGGACAAAGCCGTCACCATCATAGCTATGATGCGACCGTCAGTACCATCATCGTGTGAGTTCCAGGCGCGAATATCACTGCTCATACGCGTCTATCGAGCCTTTTGTCGTCTGATGCGAACAGGAAGTGGTCAGAATTGCCATGGAAGTGACGCGCCCAGTGGCGCGGATCTACACCGAGTCACGTGATGATAGCCCAGACCATCGGCCAAGAATCCCGCCGCTGCGAGGACGCCGAACGACGATTTGCCTCTCTGGCGCAACATCCACCTTTACCACTATCCTCTTCCCTTTCTTCTCTCCGTGCTCGGCAGCGAACGCGGAAGCCGTCTCTCTTCAAAAACCAGTTATCTCCATCGAGGGCCGTCATCATGTCCCGAAAACCAGCCGATGTGGCGTCGAAGGAGCGCAACGAGTACATTCCTTCCTTCATCTCGAAGAAGCCGTTCTATGTCGATGATGACGATACGACCAACGACTACCTTGAGCATCAGCGCTTACAGAAGTCGACGCCGGACCAGTCTAAATGGTATGATCGTGGAAAGCGCGCGGGTCCAGCTGCCACCAAATACCGCAAAGGCGCCTGCGAGAATTGCGGCGCCATGACCCACAAAACGAAAGAGTGTCTAAGTCGACCGCGGAAGCAAGGCGCCAAGTGGACTGGTAAAGATATCCAGGCCGACGAAGTCATACAGGATGTGAATCTGGGTTGGGACGCCAAAAGAGACCGATGGAATGGCTATGACGCCAGCGAATATCGCCAGGTGGTTCAGGAGTATGAGGAGCTGGAGAAATTGAAGAAGCTCGCCAAGGGAGGGGAGAAGGGTCGCGACGAACTCGCGGACGGCGAGCTTGACGATGAGGACGCTCCGGAAGAGGAAGCCCGTTATGCGGAGGAATCTGATATGGGCCGACAACAAAGCACCGCGACCCGCAACCTACGCATCCGCGAAGATACTGCCAAATATCTGCTGAATCTTGATCTGGATTCTGCAAAATATGATCCGAAGACGCGGCGCATGGTTGACATGGGTGCTCAAGACGATCAGGCCGCGGCTTTGGTTGCTGAAGAGAACTTTGTGCGGGCCTCCGGAGATGCTGCGGAATTCGAGAAGGCACAGCGGTATGCTTGGGAGTCTCAGGAGAAGGGAACACAGAAGATCCATTTACAGGCAAATCCGACAGCCGGCGAGATCATGCGTAAGCAAGCAGAGGCCGAGACGGTGGCTAAGCGTGAAGCTCAGCGCAAGGCTTTGTTGGAGAAGTATGGTGGCCAAGAACACCTCAATCCTACCCCGCTACGGAGAACAATGGTCGTCGAGAACGAAAGATTCATCGAGTACGACGAGACTGGCGCCATCAAGGGCGCACCCAAAAAAGCAGCAAAGTCCAAGTACGCCGAAGATATCCTGAACAACAACCATACTTCGGTGTGGGGAAGTTGGTGGCACAACTTCGAATGGGGATATGCCTGCTGTTTCTCTACAGTCAAGAACAGTTATTGCACAGGTGAAGACGGCAAGCGCGCTTTCCGAGAGGCTGACCAGGTCTTGATGCTTCCAGAAGGAGAGGACGAAGATACAGTTGAGCAGTCCGGCGATGTTGAGAACAATCAAGCCTCGCCAGAACCCTCCGGCATGGAGAAGTCGAAAGAAGCAACCAACGCGAACACGAAGAAGAGAACCTTAATAGAAGTTCAATCAGGTATCACCGAGGAGGAGCTCGACTCCTACAAACGAAGCCGGCTTGCTGCGGACGATCCAATGGCTGCTTTCGTCGGGAAAGATGATTTGGTTTAAGTGCGCTCTGACAACTCGTTTTGCCCCATATCTATTCTGCGGCAATGAGGCGCGATGCATATAGATACCCTTAGTCAAAATTGTGCATATCAGCAGATATTAGTCATACCATACTTGATTCATTCGCCGCCTCCGTCCAATCCGAAGAGGGAGAGCATTGATTGGAAAGCACACGTCGTCTACGGAGTACAGTACTTTGCAATGTAAATGGAGCAGTACATGCCGGGGAACATTTACGCCCTGTAGAACGCTAAGTAGTTAAGTAGTTAACTACTCCAGTCTCGGCTTAGTGACATGGAGACCAAGTGGAGCCGCAACTTAAGACCCAGAGCCTCTCACGTGACATGTCTATATGGCTGTCTTTGAGAAGGGCGGTATATCACGGGACCAGGGCATGAGCCCTGGAAACCACAACTCGCTAAGCGACACCACCCCAGATCCCAGCGCAACTTTCTGATACGCCCAGCGACGACGAGAACGACAACCAGCCCTTCAAAGGAATCGCCAGGTACGTTTGTTTTTGCTGGATGCATGCGCTTTGGGATATCTGCTACAGGGACATTTTCCGCTGACATTTTTCCGCTTCATTTTAGTCCCCCCTAATTCAAAATGAGTACGTGCCAACGAACCAAACCAAAAGAAAAAAAAAAGCGACCGCTCCGTGGCCGAGATATCATCGGCGACGAAAAAATTTGACAGCAAACTGACTGACTTCTCTTGACAGCCAAGGGTACCTCCAGCTTCGGCAAGCGCCACAACAAGACTCACACCCTGTGCAGGCGTTGTGGTCAGTATAACACCTTCCGATGATGCCTTTTCTCTATCCAACGGCGGAATATTTTACGGATCGGGTGATTGGACAAATGATCACAACAAGAGACGGAAATACATGCCGGAAGATATTCTTGCTGGAAACAACAAGGACAATCTGGGCTAACGCGTTGCGCCATTGGGATACATACAGGCAAACGCTCCTTCCACATCCAGAAGTCGACCTGTGCCAACTGCGGTTACCCCTCCGCTAAGACTCGCAAGTGTACGATTTTTGAAATCCTCTCCCCTCTGTTCAGCCAACTCATAGACTCACGCATTTCGTTTTGTTTCAATATAGTCAACTGGAGCGAGAAGGCCAAGCGCAGAAAGACCACCGGTACCGGCCGCATGCGCCACCTCAAGGAGGTCCACCGCCGCTTCCACAACGGCTTCCAGACCGGTACCCCCAAGGGTGCCCGTGGTCCCTCCACCAGCAGCAACTAGATTAGTTGCTGCTCGACGTTGCGATTTCGTTATCGGAGGCTGGAGAGGGCTGGTATGACCAAGGCTGAGCATATGGGGTGAACCGACTCTCAAATGCGAGGCGAAAAAAAGGACGGTTACCCGTGGGACAGTCTTTTTCACTTTTTGCCGTCATAGCATTTCTATTCTAGAGAAAGGGAGAGAAAATGGCACATATTGACGACAAATGAATAGACGGGACCTCATTCCGTGGGGTGCTGTTGTGTTGTTCACGAACCAAAAGCAAGAAACGAACTGGGAATGCAATGCATGAATCTCCCTTGACTTGGCTATCGATGGCTGGCGGATATCCCATCTTGAGACAGACTCAGTGTCGAGATATCTATCCAATGCGATCTGTCTACCTGACTCGCGAAGGCCAGCCCGCGAAACCGTCCATATCCTTGTAGTCCCATAATCTGTTAATGGTCTTTTGCACGCGAAGCTAACCCTGTATCATCCATACCACCATTCCTATGCTCTCTGAATGCGCCCAAAACGCCACAGCCACACTTTTGCACTGTTTCCACCATGGACCCGCCACGTTTTGATCTATGATCTACTCCCCCCGCCCAAAGACGCTAACCCCACCGTCCCTTTGCACGAAGTACAAGACCTCCCTCTCTTCCCTACCTCCATTCGTATCCACGTTGTCACTCTGTCCCCACGCGCCTCCTTTACTCACCCGCAACACCCCGCTCACATCCCGCGCGGCGCCAGTATCCAGATCGCGCAGCTGCATGACCATGTGCGCACGGTGGGCCGAGCCGATCGCGAAGGCCGCATGTTCCGTCTCCAGCGGCGTTGCCATCTGGTGCCCAGCTGCCGAGGCATTGTGTATCAAGGGCAAGTCTGCCGCAAGAGTCATGACAGTAGCGTCGACGTACTGTGCTCCGGAAACATAACACCGTTAGCACATATATCCCCATCGTATCCGATATCCGTGGGCAGGAAAACGTACCTGTTGTAGACCCATCACCCACTCGCTCATCTCCGTGGCTCCAACATCCTTGCTGGGACCTGTCGCGGCTAGAAGTAGGTCCGGTTGATCGAGTAACAACAGCACCTCCGAAGCGTCCTCTGCCGTCGCTGCCGCCTTCAGCTGTGCCACCACCGCCGCAATATCCTTCTCGAGGCTGTCAAGAGCCGCCGCTCCCTTGCTGGACCAGTGCAGTCGCGTCACTGGTCCACCGACCTCCCGGGGGGCCGGCGGAGCAGACGGCGGAGGGACGGCGGCTACAGGTCGTGGCGTGGTGGGTTGCGGTCCCCGCGCGGGGATGGGACCTGGTGCAGATCGGGTAGGGAGCACGGTCCGCTGGGGAATTGGGCCGCCGCGTAGTGCAGGTTGAGAAGGAAGAGGCGGGTGGGCGGTCTCGGTCGTTGGCGTCGTTCGTGGGCTGGAGAAGAGTTCAGATAAGCCGTCGATGAAAGCGAATTGGCGCTTGTCGGTCAGACGGGCAAGGTCCAAGCCCTGGAGGTTGAGAATTTTCTCGTTAGAAGCCAAAAAAAAAACTTGTGCTTACCCAGAACCAAGGCCCGCACTGATGATAATCGGAGTGTTCTTTTCCGTCAAAGGTGTGTGTTGTTGCTCAAAAACATACCAGTCTCTTGGCCTCCGAGCGCCAAAATTCCCAACCCCGCAGGAAGCTCACGAGTACCACCTTTTGCTTCTTTCCGTCGTTGTTGTTGTTGTCGCCGCTGAGACTAAATGTGGCGTCGGAGGCCGTCGATGCATTCAGTGCTGCGTAGAGGTATCGTAGAGTGAGCCAGTTTCCTTGCGCGCCGAGGACGGTGGACAGAACGGTGAGAGAAGAGGTGGGCAGCGCCGTTACGTAGGGTGCGAGGAGGGGAGGGAGGGGCGGTTGGGTGGGCATCACGGTATGCGTTCGCGACGCGGTCGCTCGATGAGAGGTAAGTAGGTGTATAGGTAGCGACTATGAAGCAGCAGTGCTAAGCTGAGAGCTGCAGATGACGTTGTATAAAATTGAATTTCCTGTGGGTCTGCAATTGGTGGGAGGAACTGCCGCGCCAAGACTGATTGATAGCAATGCATACCTTAGTTACTCACGTAGTTGTTCGACTATCACATCGTGGATTATGGATGTACCATTTGAACTAAGTTACCTTGCTCACCTTGCTCACCTCGCTCTGGCTGTCTGATTGTTCATACCTTTCATACCTTTCCATTGAGATCATACGATGTGCTGCCTTGTGGAATGGCGGGGTTGGTCGGAGAAAGATGCTCTCCGCCTGCGCCGCCAGTTAACTAAAATACTATATATATATTCCGAAGTCACAGAATTGTTTTAACTCCACGTTGAGGGACCTCCGGTCTGCATAAGCATCCATCAACGAAAGATCTCACTTATTGCACACGGTGACTTCGTAATCGGACTAGATAACTAATCAATCATTTGTGACTATCACTTACAATCATTATGACATGATACAGGTGCACTGCAGCTAACCATAATACCACTTGTCAATACATCAACTTCACCTAGTGAATACTATCAATTGCTAAGTGCCATGTGGCGGAAGAAATTAGAAGCTAGCTGTATTGTGTACAATGTATAGATCTTTAGTGCCTTCATGTGAAATATATTAAGATACATTGATTCCTGCCTGAGGAGCTCAGGCTGACGCTGTTGAGGGAATTGATTCCTGAAACTTGAGGGCGATAAATTTCTTTCGCGGCGCGTCACCTGACTGCCTCCCCCACATGCGTCTCTCTCAAATCAATCAATCGATCATCATCATCATCAGTTTCCCTCGTCGCGCTCACAAGCTGAACTTCACTCTATTTTGCCCTCGCACTTCAGTCCATCGTCCTGATTCTGACCTGTCCAAGGGCTGGGACGGTCGGCCTTGTCTCCGACAAAAAGGGCTGGTCCGTTGAATGCCGGCCGCGCCGATCGTGAGTTTGGCCCTGTTATGTTCTTCCGACGCCTCATTCTGTTCCTGATACCCCACCACTCCGTCTTCGGTGTCTGCACAATCTGTATCCCGTATTAGGAGCACGCTGTTCCTTAACCCTGTCACTGGCACTTTAGAACTTGAATGTGGAGTTTCCTGAGACAATACATTCATTCATTCATTTCGCTTCTTCTCCACTTCCCGTATGGCATCGGGCTCCCACCAATGGAACCATGTAGGAATAGCTAACATCGTGGAATCAGATGACATCAGTTTGGTGTACTTATCAGCGAGCACGAGACTTAGGGTCGCAAAAGATCGAATGATCCTCTTGCTCTCAACATGGCCAGCACTCGTGATTCTCACTCTTACGCCGTGAGTCGCGTAGCTCAGAGTCGACTAGTCCAAGGCGCTGATCTTTCATCTCGCAGTGCGATGAATGTCGTTTACGGAAATCCAGGGTGAGAGGTCATCTTGCAGATCGAGATAGACCCTGGGCTTAAACTAACACTTTTCCCAGTGCTCAAAAGAGAAACCTACATGTGCCCAATGCAAGCAATTGCATAAGGAGTGCAATTATAGCCCCAAAATCACCAGAAGTCCCTTGACAAGACAGTGAGAAACCTTGTTCTTCCAGTTTCTGCAGTGTAAATTCACTCATCACCTCCTTCAGACACTTGACCTATGTAGAAGATCGTCTACATGCATTCGAAACGGCTTTAGGGAGGCTGTTTCCGGGAGGCGATCTGGATGCGACTGTTCGGTCTCTTCTTTACGATCAGGATGGGCCGGTTAAACCGGGTTCCTCATCCAAGTCGTCCTCCAGACACTCCACTCCGGCCAAGGCTGAGGCCGATCGAGCCGAAGCAGCCCCCGAGGCCTTGCCGCAACAGGCAGATGGATTTGACTGGGCAGAAAATAAGATCACCGTCGGTGATCTAACGGACGGCATGGCAGCTCTCTCTATTAAGCCAGAAGGAGCAGGCTACTTCGGTGAGTGTCTCGTATGGAATGAAGCATGGTAGATGATTCTGACCGTCAGCAGGCGCCTCCTCAAGCGTCGTTCCGCTCCGCACATTGCTTAAACATGGGTTTGACTTGAACTTTCCTGCCGGTTCCTCTAAGCCGAACTATGCGGTTCCTTTGAAGTCGCAGCTGCTCAACACTGCACCCTCGGGGCTAGTCGAGCAGGCGTTTATGGACGCGTTCTTCCTCCACTATCATGCAAGCTACCCTTTCATTCATGAGGGCACATTCAGAGCCCAGTTCTACGAACAAGTGCCCCGACCCCATGGTCAAGCATGGCAGATCTTGTTGAACACCATTCTGGCGCTAGGTGCTTGGTGCATCGGTGACGATAACTCAGACCTCGATATTACCTTTTATCAAGAAGCACGAGGCCATCTGCAGCAGGTCTCCGTGTTCGAAACCGGAAATCTTACCTTGGTGCAGGCACTGCTGCTCCTAAGCAATTACGCACAGAAACGAAACAAACCCAATACCGGTTGGAACTTCTTAGGCTTGGCTGTCAGAATGGCCATGAGTCTGGGTCTGCATAAGGAGTTTCCCGGGTGGAAAATCAGCCTCCTTCAGCGCGAGATCAGGCGACGGCTGTGGTGGGGAGTATACATATTTGACAGTGGTGCAGCCAAGACATTTGGCCGACCAATTCTTCTACCCGAAGATAGTGTCATGGACGCAAAACACGTTCTGAACATCCATGATGAGGTAGGAAGAAGGTCGTCGTTGCATCTGTGTGCGATTACTGACCGTACTTAGGCTCTCACACCTGCCACCACCACGCTACCCGTCGAAGTCACGGAGCCGACCCTCTATTCGGGGTTGATCGCTCAAGCTAGGTTCCATTTACTCACAAACAGTGTCTACCAACGCCTCATCTCAGGCCCCAGTCTCACAGCGGAAGAGACATTGGGTCTACAGAAGCCCATGGAGGAATGGTACAATGGCCTCCCCGACTATTTCAAACAACCGCCTCTTCCGGTTACGGATACTTTTGCTCTTGTTCGCAACCGCATGATGTGGAGGGATTGGAACTTGAGAATCCTCCTTTATCGGCCAGTACTGCTGCGGTGGGCATCACGACGATGGACGCAGAACACAGCTGCAGAGCCGGAAGACCCCTACGAGGTTGACTGTCGAAAGCTGTGTCTTCGAAATGCGAGACTTTCGATTTCCTCCATCACGGACTTCGTCAACAATCATGTTTGCACAAGACTGGGAGCTTGGTATATGCTGTAAGTTTATGGTACATGCTTAGTTTGTATTGGTCGACTCACATCCGATAGGTATTTCCTTTTCCAGGCCGGCTTGATCCCGATTATTATGCTCATGACCGATCCGACCAGTGCAGATGCCCCTGCATGGCTCCAGGATATCGAAGCCACGAAAAAACTCCTCATTCATCCTTCTCTTAGCAACAACAGACTTGCCACTCGCTGTCTCGAAGTGGTTAACCGACTTTGTTCCCCCGCATATACAAGTGCCGCCACGAGCCGAACGGCGGGACAGCCAGCTCCGCTGATGATGCCATTCTCTGACCAACTGTTCACTGATCCGACTTTCGGCAGCATGTTCCCGGATGTTGACCAGGAGCTGAATTTGAGTGGTATGGATTTCACGGAATGGGTGAACTTTACACCCCAGCACGACTTTGTTTGAGCTGGCTCATATTCCAAGCTTTGGACGATATCGAACTCGAGGATGAAATTGGCTACGCGATAGTATCAGTCGCTATGCGTGGAAATAGCAAGTTTGGGGATGTGAACCGACACGCACCCACTTGCGAACGAACCAACGGACTTCAACCGACGTCTTTGTTCGATTTGTCAAGCGATACTGTGTACGCGGCAGCACCGCGACCGTGCATCAGCTTCTGCTTATTTCTTGTCAGTCGAAAGCTCTGGTTTATTGCGAGGACAAACAGAGGTTGAGCGCCGTTATTTTCCCAGCAGAAGGGGTTATTGGCCTAAGGCATCAACCATGGCCCTCGGCCCAGCTTACCTCCTCACCAACAAATGTTCGGGTGTAGAGGTATTCACAGTGCAGTCCCCTACTTTCGGTTCGAGGGAGGAGTGCCACTTCTGGCATTCGTTCTTCTCCGCCTGCCCGGTGTCTCCCCAGCAGGATACGTCTTGGATGTACGGACGGCAGAAGGAAGGGTCCAGATCTCCCGTATTACGGAGCGTGCGTGGTTCAGTTCCGGACACCAATCCGAAGCGGCGATATGCGAACAAACCTTTCTCTCTCTCTCTCTCTCTCTATATATATATAGATATATATATACGTTACAGATATATACATACGTTACATGTAAATAGTATCGAACACGCTTGTAGAAACACGATACAACCAGTTCTTCGCAGAGACAACTTGCGAGCTTCACCTCTCCCCCCGAGGTCTCTGGATGTGTAGATGATGCTGAATGATGCCGAGGAGTGACACTGAATCAGGAATCACTGCAGCTGAGATGTCAAGAAAAAAAGAGACGGAATGAATACCAGCTCAGCCAGCTCAAAGTCATCGCCGAGTACACCCAGAGCGAATCCCCACCCCACCCTTCTTCTCCTCCTGCCAACTTACAATCAAGCCGGCGACATAATCAGGCAAGTCCAGTCGACATGACGATGATCATCAGCAGTAATCGTTAGCACACAAACACACAAACATCAATGCGAACCCTCCAGTCACCGACCATCCTCCTTACCTCAACCCTGCCAACCCTCCCCACCTTCCCCACATGCAAAACCATCAGACATTCTGTCTGCACCATCAACAAGTAAATAACTCCTACTAACCAACTAGTTAGTTGATTGTACGAGGTTGACATCATCCCGCATAGTCAGAACTAGCGCACGCGTGCAATAGGTCAATCAGAACAACAAGAAGTCATAGCGGCATTCCAAGCGAGCACAATTCCTAACAGTTATTGCACGGATGTCAACAACTAAGTAGTAGTAGTAACGGTGCTTAGTACCTTCTGTGACGTGCGCATATCACTCAACAGGATGGGAAGTGCATAAACAATCTAGCCAGGCGGAGTCAAGGTTGAGATGGCCTTCACTGTACTCCGGGTGTAGGCCCTAGAAGCTGTAACTGTGATGGAGTGGAAACTTGGTGCCAGGTTGAAGAGACCGGATTTTGTCCAAATGAGAGATAACTACTCGCACCGAAGTTGGATTGAGTGAGGGAGGTTAGTAGGTAGGTAACTCCTGCCTAACTACTTAGCCAACGAGGTTAATCAACTACCGTAATACCTTCTTTCAGCCTCAGGCTCATAACTACCAGCTAGTAGTAAAAGTTGATAAGCCAAATCAGCATGATGTAGTTATGGGCCTGCACTGCATCGATGCATTGGCTCGCTTACTGGAGCTAATATCGACTCCCTTAGTCTACTACCTTCAGCTAAAAGAATCGGGGTCTGAAGAATCCCACTGGCTGGCGCTATCTCAAGCCTCCTGCAAGGGGGGGGGAGGGGGAAAGAATCCCTGCAGACCGTCTCTCCTTGCCGTTCTCCTCCCTCGCCACCGCGCATTTATTGGTCCAGCTGGAACTTATTTCCAGAGCGACATCTATACCTAGACGTGTATTTGCCCTACCCCACTACTGCGTACACGCCTACAACATCCATCTACAAGTCTACCTGGCTAGCCCTCTCGAAAATGTGATACAAATCCTGTTCAAATGGTTTCTGGACACCCGTCACCACGCACGCCTCCATGCAACCGCAGACCACAGACGCTAAAAGCACACATACTACCAAATGAAAGACCCACTAGTACACAAACCATTGACCCCCTCGAGCTTCACCGATGCTGGGAACGATCGAAAAGGGATGCCCAAATGAAAGAAATAGCCCCTAAAAAAGAACCCCTGTCCAGTGCCCGAAATAAGCCTAGTGTATCGAGTACGCAATAGAAAAAGATGAAACAGATGTCTAGTCGTTAACGATCGTAGTTGAGTAAGAATAACAGGTGAGGGATCATCGCACGATCCTACTTGTGACGGCGGGATGGCTCCCAGTGGATGGGCTCGAAATCCTGGTTCTGGAAATGCGCTTGATTGTAAGGCGAACTAGCGATGAGTTAGCATCGTAGATTTCGACCGCGCTACATGACGGGAGATGATGAATTACTTTTTAAAGGGAGTCGTCACGGGAAGAGAATGACTCAAGTTCGGTTTCATCACCAGCGGGTTCAATCGGATCTGTGGGCCGTCCGATTTGCGAGGTAACGAAGACAAGGGAGCCGGGGGTGCTGACATTCGGGGTGGTGGTGGTGGCGATGCTAGCGACATCGGCGGAGGGGGTGGGGAGGTATGCATGATTGGCGGCGCATACACCTCGTGAGGCGGCGAAACACGAAAAGGACTCGGGGAGGCCGATGGTATGGGCGAAGGCGCAAGCGCAAATGACGGGTCCATCATCAAATTAGGTACCGACATTAGACTGGAGTTGACGTCGAACGAGAGAGCACCTTGATCCCAGGGGGAGTAGTTAGAAGTCATTGCGTATTGGTAATTGACCACGGGTTCCATATTCACAGTAGGTTCGGCCGCGTAGAGAAGGTCGTAGTGGCCCCTGGTTCACGTGTCAGCATCCTCAAGGTGATGTTTCGGACTCGCAGACTCACGGGCGGTACAGCAAGCAGATCGTGGCCGCGGTCACCCGGCTCGGGGTGAGAAGATGGGGCGTGACGACGTCCCCGTCGCTGCGGTCCAAGTAGAGGATCTCCACCGCGAATCCGGATGCATCAATCACCCCGTCCACCAGCGCTTGCAGACCGACTTCGTCGATCTCCGTTTTGACTGTGTCTATCCGTGTCGCGCAGTACTGCTCCACCGGCAGTGACAGAAAAGCTTGGTAGCGAAGGGCGTTCAGTTTCATCCAAGCACTCGTGAGAAGCTATTGTTACACGTCAGTCGCAAGAGTTTGACCTGGAGACGAACGTCACTGACTCGAAAATGGGTGATTATGGCGCTGGCATTGTATTCCTCGTTGAACGCCTCGACCAGGAACGTATCGTCAATGATGCCGTGCTGGATAGCTTCGATGATCTGGTGAAAGACCCCTTCTGTCGCGTCCACGAAGATCTCGTAAAGATGTTCTTGTTGACCAGTTTGATCCAGGAGAGCATTGAGCGACTTGATGCGGGCCAACTCTTCATGTGCGAGCACTAGATTCTGTAACTTGAGAAGGTTCTCAAAGTATCCAAAGGCGACCGCTGCACCGAGTTAGTGGCTGATTTACTTCGTAGAGGAACAGGCAAGTACCTCTCCAACCACAGTTGCCGTCCCCCTTCATGATGCGCACCAAGGGATGTGTTACTGCGAGCGCCTAGAATAGTGGGTAAATATCCGAGAAATCCCGTGCGAGCATAGGACTCAAACTGACTGCAGTCTTCGTGATGAAGGCAGAATCGGCGTTGGCATATTCCATAGCGACTATGCTACTCGATAGTTTGGTCGAAACGGCGGGACCCTGTGCGTACAATCAGCCGAGCTTACCGAGAGCAAATCTTCCTCGGCTCACCTCTACGTTGGCCTGAAATTCATTGGAGAGTTCCTGGAACTTCTCCATCTCCTCGGTCGACAAGGTGTTCATGTTGAAAGAACAGTTGGCGTACTCAGAGTGATATAGAGGTCCAGAGTGGAAAGCAACCCCGGACTGATTGTAAAAGGCAGGTGATTGAGGATGGCGAGAGAAAAGCCCGGAAACGGATTCCTGTCTCGTCGGAAGTCGATTGATGGAGTAATAATGATTCCAGGAGACACCCGTCAGGGACATCGCATACCACGCTAAGGAGGACGAGTGGTTGAACGAGGAAGGAAGTCACCGGAGAAGGAGGAAATCAGAAGTGTCGAGATGTCTTTTGAAGGCAAGGAGGATGGTCAATATCAACCACCCCAAGTTCATGATCAAGTGAGGATCGCATTTAAAGGCACGTAATACGCACCAGACGAAGCAGCATGATTTGACCCCAGGTTCTGTGTGGTCGCCCTGCTGTGCCTGATCTTCGGTGCAGGCGAAACGTGCCGGTCGAAGTTCTTCAGTGATGTAAGAGCCTACAGTACGGCATTCTTAGCATGGGGTTCCATTAATCGGCAGGGATGGCAGGATGACTCTTCTGACAAACCGTCACCGTGAATGCGCTGGAGCCAATAAAACAATTTCTCGGGGCTATTTCTTGCAAGATCCGAAGATTCAATGGGGCAACGCCATGGAATCAAGGAGGGGAGTCCAGGCATGTGTCATAGCAAGCCTCAAGAATGGGGGAGAGAGACAGCCAGCGAGCGACGGACAACGGGCTGAGAGGAAGGGGAGGGCAGTCACGGGCCAATAAAAGGCACCGGTGAACAGGGCAGAACAAGGAATGCGGTTCGCAGATGCGACTTCAAGATACGCAATCCTGCACTTGACGAACAGGCGAGGAGGTTAAGGAATGACCGCAGTTCGTATCAATTCAGGGAGTGATAGACACATCCGAACCGATCGCATCCCTGGTCCACTCCACGCAGCCCGCCTGACATCCGAGAGGCAGACTCCAGGTGCTACTCCGTCATTTGTAGGAACATGGCTATCGGCCATGATCGGACCGTTTGAAGAAGAGGGAAGAGCAGGCAGGAAACAGGCAGTATAGCATCGGTTGCATGAGCTGCGCCTCCCAAACAGGCAGAACACAAACAGATCACACCAAAGTGCGGACCAACTATCAATGCAATTCTGATGTGAGGGCCCAAGTGTAAAGAGGGGGAAGAATCTATCGTCGTGGGCGTGTCTCACATCGAGACTAGTTGCAACGCAAGAGAAATGGCAAAGGACAAGAAAAATAGTGATGCTCAGACCTTCGAAAAGTCGTCAAAGCTTTTCTTTTGCCTCTTACGACCAACGTGCATACGGAGGGGCCCAGTCACACGTGCTATGATGGTATCAAGTAAGCATGTGTGATGGGGGGGAAAGGGTCTGACCCAACGAGGTATTAAGATGTATATCAAAGTCGTTACAAGAACCAATTGAGGGGAGCGGCAAGTGAGAGGCAATCTCAGGTTAAAGGAGAGGGAGGTGGTTAGGGGGGGAGAGAAAAAGAAGAAAGAAATCGACTAATCAATGACAAGCAATAAAGATCAAGAACTCTGGAGGCGACAGAGACTACCGACTTGAGTGAAGTGGTAGAAGCACTGGGGAAGAAAGAGGGGAGGAAAATTCAGAGCAAAAGGAAAAGGTAAAAGGAGAGAACAGGGAAAAGTCACCGACCAGGCAGGGATTGTGTGGGAGTAGTGGTTTTGTACTGTACCTAACTTGGTGAGCAGGTAGTCGGTAGTAGTGGATGTAGTAGTAGAAGTAGAAGTAGAAGTAGTAGTAGTAATAGTAGTAGTTCGGTGGTAGGATCAGATTTGACAGTTCTCGATCTGGGGGAAGACGTCCGAGCGAGAGCGGGTTTAAGATGGATATTAATAAGGAAAACTTTGGTTGGTCTCGTCTGGTGGTCTCGCCCCAGCTTGAAGGATCATTTGTTTGGAGAAGGGGGGGGGGGGGAAGAAGGGGAGAGTAACCAGGTGGAGTGGAGGAGGGAGAAAAGAAGAGAGAGAGAGAGAGAAAGAAGTAATTCAGAAGAATCAGGGTGCTTTGAAGATGGATGATTGATTATTGCCTTACTAAAACTAATTAACTACTAGTAACTAAGTCAATATGATGAGAGAGACTCTAATGCCAGACAGACAGACCGACAGACAGACAGACACCGACCGGGCGCGCGCGGGGTTACCGGTCCACATAAACTGTTATTGCACTGCACACTGCACTGTATGGAGTACAATCAATCTTTGCTTCGTCTTCCAAGATGAGCTTCTCATGTTTTTTTTTCCCTTTTTCTTTTTTTTTCCCCTCTTGTCCCCTTAAGTTACTTCATTTTCATTTCCTTAAAATCGTCAAGCGGTCGGGCGTTAGTTTCAATCTACTCCGTAGTTGGAAGCAGACTACTTGAGTTGACTCGCTAGTTCGCCGGGTGGATGCGTTCGGTGACTGGGGTCCCGCCAGGATGGATTGCAAAGCCCGTGGGATAATCTATCGCTCTATCTCCCCCTCAACTGTAACTTTGGAATGGGCGGGATTGAAATGAAGACTGCAATTCCATCCAACCACCAACCCACATTTGTCACGGAAGATGAAGATCGATGCCAGCCACTAGGCACCATCCCGATCCGCAGCTACTCTGTTTGTTTGTCCATGATATGAATGATGATGTCTTCATTGTATCTGGCAAGCTGCAGTGGATCGGGGAAAAGAAGCATGGTCCAGTGCAACAACAGGCTGACCTTCTTCTCATTTACACTCGGGACTATTCCGTAGCTACAGTCCGAAGAATAGGTAGGTAAGGTACCCTGATACTAGGCTAACTTAGTTAAGTTCATTTTCAACCCTGACCTTGAACCTACCGGGGTGATTGCTCTGTCACCATTGGCTGGGAGGATGCGTGCTCAGATCGCCTTGCGACTATGACGAGATACTGGAAATAATTAACTACGGAGGAACTAAGGTAAAATACACTGTGCATCTACCTAACTGACTAGATAGTACCTACTGTATTGGCGACCACTATCAATATCATTTAATACCACCCTCCCAGAAAGATCGGAGGGGAAAAGAGGACAGCCCGGAGATGGGAATTCCTCGGCGTGGGAGTGGGTGAAGCTCTCTCTAAGCGACTGCACGAACGACTGATCTGAAATGCCACCAACGACCATCCTTCATGCACTACTAGGAAACGACCACATGTCCGGATGAAATCACCAACAAATGGCTTTGAGTCGGGAGAGCTGCGAGAAAAACTAGGTGGGATCCTACTTCTCTGCCATTGGGACATAATATCCACCACTAAGAGCCAGCCGCCACTCTGACTGCTGCAGCGAGACGACAGAAGATGCCGGTCTTGTTTTGTTTTGTTTCTTTTTTTTTTTTTCTTTCCTTGATCACAATTCACCACTTATCAATGTATGCATTAAGGCAAGGTATTGTTTTCTCAACAAGAGAAGAATGGCTTGCAAGCATTGAACCCCTTTGTCTGCTGTCAGTGCTTCTTCACCCGCCGTGTGAATTGGCCTTTTGCCCCGCTCCTCCCATCTCAACCTTTTTTTTTAATCGCCGTCATGCATATATGCAGTGGACGGACAGACAGACGGACAGACGGGCAGAGAGACCGGGCGGCCAAGTCAAGACCCAACTCTTCCGATCGAAACCGGGCTAATCGCCTTGCAAGCTGCACCTCAAGCTCATCAATGATTTCTTGGGCCAAACGCCCGACAATTGTTGTTGCTGCTGCTGCTGCTGCTGCTGCTGCTGCTGCATCTGGCGCCGAAGAAGCAACGTGCGATTCTGGACGTTTAGAAATCCTACTCTACAACTAACCAAAGGAATCAGACCACCGCCTCTCATCCTCCCGATGGTAAGATCTCTCTCTCGCCCATTCTCATCTATCCCATCCCTCCTCTTCGCTAGTTATGACCGTGACCAGCAGCACGGATCTCGTAAATTGAGCTGGGCGAGTTCCAGGTAAGGATTTTCGATCCAACTAAGAGGGGGCTTGCATATGCTACCTCGGCAGCCACTCCGAGCCTATCCATTCGTGATTAAATGTTTCAGTGGGTTGTATCATGGATAGGATTGAGAGACAAAGATTCCGACCGTGGTCTTGTTGCTGTCGGGTCCGGACCGGCCCTCTCAAAGAACAACAACAGCAGCAGCAGCAATAAACAAGGCGAGAAGTAAACACACGGAGACACACACAGAGAGAAGAAGAGCGGCTAGAGAGGGGAGCTACAGAGCTAGAATCAATCCCGGGACTGCATTCCTACCGCCTTGCTTTTGTTTGGTTTTGCAAGTCCAGTTATTGCTTTGTGCTACCCTTCTTCTTCCTTCTCTTGCTCTCCCCGACGTGCAGGCCCCATCCAGTGGTGGGACCGAGCGCCGAGGAGTTCTGGAACCCCGTAGTTCTTTGCTGCCAGGATGTGAGATGACGATGACGCTGATGTTGAAGCTGATGGTCCTGCAGTGATTGCGCCGGTTAGCTCGACCAGGTCAACGGCCGTTCCGTGTGGAGAAAAGGCTGTTGTGTAGCCATCCGTGATCAGTTTACAATCCGGCTGCTGTGTATCAGACACACTATGCCTTGACGGATGCCATCCAGTTCAGGGTACATACTGTACGGAGTACTCCGTACTGGACATGCATCCCTTTCTTCCCTCTCGATATCCAGCTATCCAAATTACGTCACTCGGCGAATTTTTGGATCCTGATTGCATCTTGAAGGCGCAAGAATCACGCCGGGTGATTGACGCAACAACACATTGAACTAAATGGTAACTATCTCCACATAGTTAGACGATTGTCATGGGAAGACAAAATGGTCTAATGGCAGGTTCCCGGCGTCTTTTTCCATCCCCGCCGCCCGCCCGCTTGGCCAGTAGTACGTACCCACAGACACTGTACTATGCAAAGAACAAAGAAACAAGAAACATGAAAACAAGCACGATAAGCATTTCGGCGATTGTTCGTTCCCTCTCAGTTACCGTCTCGGATTGGGCAATTGGAATGACTGCGTTGGCATGCGGCACTTTCGATGGACTGAGTATGTGATTGTTTCCTCCGACATGACCAGACGGAGTCCGCTGTAAAGAGTAAGGACAGTACGGAATATAGCTAAAGTTAGTATAAGGATCGATCCCGTCCCTTCTTTCTTATCACCACCCGCTGCTCCACTCCGGCTATATGACAGGTTGAGAAGCCGCGAGGTACTCCCATGGCGCCAATCCCATACATTGGGTACCGACCAGGTACATTCGATTTACTCACTCATGCCTCACCCAGTGCCTGACTTCAAGACTTCAAGGAAGGGAGAGGGGAAAAGTACGACTACTTGCTACAATGTAATGTGGACTCTACTCCGTATACCCAAGGCAATGGACGGACTTACGAGGCGGAAACAACCGCCTTGTCAACCCATTCCCCGTAGCGACGAAGTCGGTATACCTGCATCAAATTTCACTGCAGAGTCATCTACGGTATGTACTACCGTATGCTTTACAGCTTTAGTGTAGCGTTTCTCCAAGTCAAACAATCTCGATTAATGATCCATCATCATCATCATCTTCATCTTCATGTCCATCATCTCCTTTCGAACCCCACAAACAAACAATCAATCCCAAGAACAGAACCCAACAACTGATGAATCCACCCCCACAGCCCAACTACCAGGACACCGCCCCCGTCGCATCCTTGAGCGGAACATTGAAATGTTTGTGCGGTGTAGAAGCCACCTCAGAAAGCAAACTGCATAATAATACATAAATCTCTCGGGGGCGCGGGGGAGGATTTGGATCCCAGCTACTCCGTACATGATGCCCTCCTCCTTTCTGTTGTGTCTTGACTACGAAGTATGGTCTAGACACCCTTCCGTCGCCAGTCAGCGCACCTTCAAACCTCTGACTATCCGCGCAACATCGCCCTGAATTGGACATGGATGGGGGGGAGAAACCAACCACGAACCATTCAAAGGACCAGAACGCAGCACTCCAACAAAGACAAAATGCAGCTATCCATCGAGCTACTACTACCTATCCATCTTTCACGTAACGTCTAGTACGGAGTACCTTTTCCCTCCTCCCTCGTCCGCTAACCCCCACCCCCGGGCCTGGATCCTTGCAGTGCCCTGACCCTGAGAGTGTTCTTGCGCGCGAAAGTTGTTAACTTACTGGCCAGTTGCTAACTTACTGGCCCTGGTGTCGATTACGGCAGTCATGGCCGTGGCAGGATCCCGGTGGCTGACGCCGCCACACCGTCCGCTCTTCTCCCGGGGGCAGATTGATTGCTGAGTTACCTGGCTAGGTAACTCTAGTGGTTTCGGCTTATACCACGGTAGTAGTCTAGTGTCTGTGTCAGGGGATGGGCAAGAGGGATACGAGCTTATGTCCCGGCGGTCTGGGATTAGATGATTCCACATTGGGGGTGGGGTGATTGGGTGGAAGGGTGGAGGTGAGCGTTCTCTCTACGGAGTAAGTAGTACTTTGTACTTTGTTCTTGATTCCTCGGGAGTCGTCATGTAGGAGTACACTGGCAGGTGGACGAGTATACAGCACACAACCGGAAGATCCGCCGCACAACAACTTATACAGTACCTACTACCAACCGAGGCCACTACGACATCACCTCCTTTCTATCGTACAAAGTCCCTTGGATTGGAACTTACCATCAGTCCACGACTTCAATTACTGAGGCACCTAAGTCTTCAAAATCACACAGCTGCAGCTTGCCAGTGGACAATTTGACTACTCCATACACAAGTCACCTTTGTTTCCGGCAGTTTGCTTTCTGACAGCCTCGCCCCGCTGCCTCGCTACCTAGTAGCTAGCCAGGTAGCCAGGTAGGCAGACATACTTCTCTTCCTCGCTCTAGTCTACGGAAGCTAGTAGAACCTGCCGGTAGTTACAAATGACAAGGTGAAACTGAGTGAAGGTGGCGTGGGCTTCTCTCTGTCTCTGTCTTTTCTTTATCAACGAGTTATACAGACCCCCTGTAGTGTATGATGCTGCGATGCAACTTTGTGTCGGTCTTGTGCGGACACTGTGCTTGCTTCGTACTCCGTACATGAGATGAGGTTAAAGCATCATCCGCGTCCTTGCAACCAGCATCCATGAACCAGTAACAAGATGGGCCAATGGGGGTGGACCGAGTAGCGAATCTTCGTATGGAGACCTCGATGTGCGATTAGCCGGGGTCGGCGCCGGGGAACAGGGGGAAGTACCTCGCGGACCCGGTCGAGGGTGGAACTGCACACTGGCTGGGATCTCGGGGAGAGGTTTCCGGATGACTGGGTGAATCCCAAGGGTTGGCCCGTGTGCATTGGCCCTTTCCCTTCGGGGATGGGGACAATTGGGGCATGGATTGACTGATTGACGGACGGGAGGATTCGCTCTGAGACCCCGGGGGGGGGGAGGGGGCAGCGAAAGTATCACCCGTGGATTGGATGATTTGCCTAGGGAGCAGCAAGATGGGACAGGGAAACAAGCATGGGCCAACTACAAACTTAGATCCTGTACTCCAGATTCCAGCCTCGACCATCGAGTCTTATTAAGAATATGCAGTGTAATATATGTGTGTCCCCGATATCACCCTGCATGCTAGCTCGCCTCCAACCCCCGCCGCCGGGCTCCACCTCTATCTTGTCTTTCTGGCAACAAGCCGGCCAAATCTCCCCTTCCTCCCCTTCCTCCCCCTGCGCCGCGCCCTCGACGATGACGACTGCTACTCGACGGTTCATCCGACTGGTTCGCGGGCCCGCCTCCTGTTAGCCCTCCTGCCCCGCGCATCCCTCCGTGCACACCCATCTGGCCGCCATCGTCTTTAAACCCCTCGCCCTCGTTGAGTGTCGTCTGCCACAGCGCACGGAGCGAGGCGTTCCACTCCTGCAGGGACTGCAGGCGCTCGAGGTCGCTCGGGCTGGTGCTTTCCACCTCCACTGTCCCGTGCTCCTGGTCGATCTTCGCATTCAGCTTTTTGTCCAGAATCAAAAAGCTCACAATGTCCTGCGCCTCGGGCACGGTGATGCGGATGTGTTTGGAGATGAATTTGAGTGTGAACCGCGTGTACGGGGCAATCAGCTTCAGCACCGCGCGCACGCGCATGTTCCGGCTGACTTCGTCGATGTTCTCTGCGATGAACGGATCGGCCAACACGTCCGGGTTCTTACTGAGGATATCCTCATAGTCGTGAATGTCGTCCCGTTGAAAAGCGTCCACGAGATCCGTCATGGCAGAGATGCGCGGGTCGTTCTTATATGGTTTGGTTTCCTGCGAGTCGAAAGGGTTGATGTCTGATTTCATCAGCATCGTCGTCAGCACGAGATACTTTAGCACCTGAATGCGCTGCATGGAGCCCGCCTCGTCGTAGTTGCGGAACGACTCAAAGAAGTCGCTCTGTGCCTCCTCCCAGTTCTCCTCACTCATGTGCATCTTGCCGCCGCACTCGCGGATGATGCCCATGATCTTCGGATGCGGCACAGCCGACCGGACGCGTAGAGCCCGTTGGTAGAGCATTTTGAGGCGTTTGTTGTTCTTGGTCTCGGCGTACATCTGGATCTCAAGTGCGTATAGTTCGAGGAGGTAGGTGCCTTTGCTGGGGTCGTCGGTGCCATCCTCCCGCTGACACGCCCGGTGCAGCTCTCGTACCTTCTTGCTCAATTGGCTGTATTCTTTGCGCCCGAGCCACAGTCGGGCCAATTTGATATTGGTTTTGAGCCATAGGCGCTCGTTGTTCGTATTCTGGAACGATCGCAGCGTTAACGAGTAGAATTCTTCCATGCACTGATACGCCCTTTCTTCATCGGAGCCCTTCTCGATGTAGTCTAACATGTTGTTGATCGATTTCTCCGAGTAGTTTCGGGTGACAGCCGACTTGACGTAGGTAAGTAATTCCCTGTAGTGTTCGACCGCCTGAGCAGTCAGTATCAATCGGTCGCACGCACGGGGAGCCGCGGGAGTCATACATCACTGTAGCGTCCAAGCCGGAATTCCAACTTGATGGCCTGTTTGAGACCCTTGAAACCCCTAAGCATCCCGTATCAGTTTCCGTCCCAAGCCTGTTGATGTTGGTCCGAGTCAGTCTTACCAATCTCCTTTATCTTGCTCGAGTGCCGGAACTCCTAAGAACTCATCGATCGCCTCCTCCGGATTGTCTATTTTCATCTGTTTGGCATTGTAGTATTTGTTCTCGATCCCGACATCGCCCGATTCGTCCTCGTCTTCATCTTCATATTCGAAGTCGTATCTGAAGCCAAGTCAGTCGGGCGCAACAACGGGTCGGAAACCTGCTAGCACTTACTCCTCATCACCCGAATCTTGCATGAAGTCATCGTCGTCCGACATTTCGAAAGACTAGAATGTGAAAGGATGTTCGCTCAGTGAAAGAGGGGGTATCTTGAAGTGAGAATAACGAGTAAAGCATAAAGCAAAAGAGTGGGGGGAATATGGCTAGGTAGATTATGGGTAGGAGAGATAGAAAGGCAGACAGTTGAGTGAGAAATGGATGGATGGAATAATGGAGTTGAGCTCCGCGCCTATCGGAGAGTCTGGCTGGACCTTCCCCGCCTTTGGAGAGATTCACACTGCTTGTCCATTCACCAGGTAACACATCTGCACCCATGCTGACCACAACAATTTCAAATGCGTTGCTCCAACAATAAGTAGTGATTAAGTGGCTATGCATGACAAGGAGTCCAGTGAAATCTGCCGCTGGCAAAGACATCTCAGCCTCCGAGTCTTTTTCTGGTACGAGCTCATCGAGGCTTTCATGGAGGCTTATCACTTATTCGACCCAGATCAGATATATACACACTACATACTACTACGGAGTACACCCTGGTACACCGTATTCAATGTGGTCACCAATAATTATTTCAAACCAAGTGGTTCCGATCAGCATGCGGTTCTCAGTCTGGGACAGACTTGTTTTGAACTAGTGGTGTACGATGGAGCAGCACACCTCCAGCAACCTCATGTACCGTAGTAGTGCCTGATTCTATGCCTCCATACATACAGTAACTACACTGCACCAATAACTTTGAGTATAAATTGAGGATCATGGAGGAAAAGAAGGCGACCAGACGAGAGTACGGAGTACCTATGGATGATCGACACGCTTCAGACCTGCAGCAACGGCCACCATCACCAGTGGCGGGCATATCATATTGTCTGGCCACCTTGAAGAATCCCTTCCCGTAAAAGTCGTTGGTAGATGACGATCGGCTCATTCGTGGAGCCTCCGATGACATCTGCTGCGCTCTGCACCTCCGCCGCCCAGCCATGACTCGCGCCCCATCAATCTTCCTCTCTCTCTTCCTTCAATGCTTCGTGAATCATTTTCCTCCACCACATCGTGAAACCTTTGCGTTTCCTGTCATTCGAATCCCGTCTGCATCGGATATTATTATTGTCGTCTGACCCAGACGCAATCAACCTTACCCACAGTACATAGTTTCATCTCCTCTCCGCTCGCCGCTGTCGAACTCGATCTAGACCTCCCTTCCTCCCCCTCTCTCCGTCTTCCACCCCCCTTCCCTCCCTTATCTTCGCCTGGACCCTTTCTCCTCCTGCAATCCCCTTCCACCAACACCGCATTCACATATCACCGTCGCAATGAGTCTCTGTGGGCGTCAAAAGGTTGTGCGCCGGAAGATGGTGCTCTTGTCAGTGCAACAAGCTATACTATTTGCCTTTTGGTGGAAACCTGGAAAGCTGACTTCCTAGATAAGAGGCGACGGTGCTTGCGGCAAGACCTCGGCCCTGAATGTATTCACTAGAGGGTCTGGCTATCTGACCAACCTCCCTCCCTGTTGTAGAAATCGAACTAATGCCCTTCTACTCCAGATATTTCCCCACGGTCTAGTGAGACTTACCTGCTTTGCGCTAAATGCTTGTTTGCGATTGATTTATTGACCGCAGCATTGACTGCATAGTGAACCCACCGTCTTCGGTACGCACCTGTGTCCCCCCCCCTCAAGATGACTCCCTTGCTAACTTGGCACTCAAATAGAGAACTATGTACACGGTATTTACTTTCCTCCCCCCCCGCCCGATATCGGCCTTGGCTGCTCCCAAATACTCATTGACTCGTGGACAGATATCTTCGTCGACAATGTACATATGGAATTGTCCCTCTGGGATACCGCCGGTCAGGAAGAGTTCGATCGACTGCGCGCGCTCTCATACGAGGATACCCATGTGATCATGCTCTGCTTCAGCGTAAGGCGATCAGCGCGAAGTGCCCGGTACCGCTATTCTGACCCCCGGTGTAGGTCGACAGTCGCGATTCGTTTGAAAACGTGGCCAGCAAATGGATCGAGGAGATCTCCGAGAACTGCCCGAACGTGAAGCTGGTCCTCACGGCACTGAAATGTGACTTGAGGAAAGACGAGTTCCTGAACGACAACCCCAACGCCATCGCGTACGAAGAAGGTCTCTCCAAGGCGAAAGACATTGGTGCCGTCAAGTATCTGGGTAAGGTTACTTGTTGTTTTTTCCTTCACGCGGCGGCTTATGCTTGCTGACACATGACCTGCAGAATGCTCCGCCGTGCAGAATCGTGGCATCATGGAAACTTTCTACGAGGCCGCCAAGGTGGCCCTGGAGGTGAAGACTCAGGGGTCGAACGGCTCCGGAGACCGGTGTATAATCCTCTAGACATGCTGTGTCGTTGCCCTGTGCTTTTGTCGCCCTATCATTATACCCGTTCTCATTATTCCCCCATCGTTCGACCGACCGGACTGAATCAGTTGCCCTGGATATGTGCCTGCATGCAGTCGGGAACCGAAGATCATGTTCAACTTCCGAAAGACCTTGTTTCACCGCAAATTCAGCCTGTCGCACTTCGCATTTTGATCGACCTACGCTTGGTTTCTCTATATATACTTGCCTCTCACATCGTCCTCATTCGAATTGTGTACACTTAATATCTTGTTTTGTGTCCCTGCAACCTAGTTCTGGAAAACATGCAAGATCAAGCCTGAGCACAGGAGGTCGAAGGCAGCCAACCATATCATTATATTTAACTCATCAGCACCATCGCAAATCCATACCACGCTTTACCTAAGCATAGACAGGGAAAGACTTTCTTCTTGGTAAGAAGTCGAAGTTCCACAAATCATCCAGTCCACCCTCTCGAATTTTAGGTCTAGTCATTCAATTTTGACTTATATTCCTTATCCCCTTATTAAATCCTCCTCCGCAACCGTATAAACCTCCTCAATCCCTTCCCCCTTCCCTTTGCCCCCCTGCACCGCAAAATCAGCATTCAGCCGCCTTACAAACGCCTCGACAAACCGCCCGGCCACCGTCTGAATATCCGTCTGCACACCCAACCCGGCCAAACTCGTCGTCTCGCGCCCTTCCAACCCGCACGCCACGATCTGCCGGAACCACCACATCGGCTCCTGGGTGACATTGAACCCAATTCCAAAGCTACTGATATTCCGGCGCAGATGCACGCCCACCGCAGTGATTTTCTGGGGGAGGAGTTCTTGCCCCTCCTCTGCCTCCTGAAGACCCTCCTCGTGCTGCCTGCTACGGCTTGCATTTTCCTGAGTTGACTGCTGCTGCTGACTAGGTAGCGGCGAGCCGCCGGCGGGCGAAGTCGGATACACCCACACGCCCGGATCGCCCGTCACCAGGCCGCGCACCCCATACGACCCCAGCACATCAATCACACTATTCTCCAGCAACCGGATGTGGCAGCGCGGGGTGAGGCCCAGCCGCCGGAGGTCGAGGATCGTGTACGCGACCATCTGGCCCGGGCCGTGGTAGGTCGTTTGGCCGCCGCGGAGGGTGGGGTGGTATTCGGCTTTTTGGGTGGTGTGCTGCTGCTGCTGCTGTTGCAAAAACGACGAAGGTGGGGCGGGGTAAGGGGTTGGCGGAATGAGGAGGGAGCGGATCTGCTCGAGGGGGGGCGGGAGGGAGAGGTCGGATTGGCTTGTGCTTGCGGTTTCGGTTCCATTTCTCGAGGTGTAGGTGTCGCGGGGACTGGTGTTGGATGGTGGGAGGTCGCGGCGGCCGGTTGTGTAGACTGGGTGGGGGGTGAAGGTGATGATTGTTGGGTCTGGAGGAGGGGGTGCGGGGGTTTGAGGGTCGACGGAGGAGAGGAGTTTCTTGTGCGTGAGCAGGCGCGTGGTCAGGGTTTGTTGGAGGTGCGAGATGCGCGTGAAGGAGGTTAGGTCTGGGTAGTGGATGTGGGCGAGGCGCATGTTGGCTGTCGGTAGTGTTGCTGGTTTGCAGTGATCGGTGGGTGCGGAGGGATTGTAGTGTGGTGCTTATGATACTATTGATGGTTTTATATTCCTGAGAAGTCAATTGTTGGCTCGATTGAGGGCTGGATCGCACAGATTTGAAGGAAAGAAAGTTGAAGATGGTTGCGCGGGCTTGCGCGGGCTGATAAGATTGGGGCGGAGGGACGGACGTCGCTGCGGAAAACTAAGGAGCTTTGCCGCGGACCCCAATCATGTGATGGCGGAGCTATCTCAGAGCCATCTGGGGATAAGCTGGTTTCAGCATGTCAGGTATACGTGTACGATCGGGGCTTGAGGGCTGACAAGATAGACAAGTTGACTTGATATAGTGGAATGTTACGAATAGTCCCCTAGACTCTTGGACATATACCTCCAAACCTCTAGTACATATGGACAAGGCAAAGGTCTGGACAATTAGACAATTCGAGAATTGAATCAATTTGAAATTATGCAGGCGCAACCCCATTGATCAAGTTCTCATTCTCCCGAACCAACTGCCAGTCACGCACTCCGCCCTTCCAGTCCGCAATACGTCCCTCGCGCACCTGCACGGTAACCACTCGCACGTCGCTGTCAATCGAGATACTAGGTCGTCGAGCTCCTGGCTGTTGCTGCAGCTGCTGTCCGAACGTGCCGATTTCCTCCTCGAAGGTGTTGTTCTCTAGGTGCTGCGTCTTGCACCACTCCTCCTCTTCAGAACCAGGCTCCAAAACCCGGGCGGTACCGGCAATCGTCGTGGAGATGCTCGACAGTGCACTCGTATTCAGGTTCAGCAGCAAGCTAGCCAAGGATGACCGGGTGGCCGCGGGTGGCGGAGATCCCTCTCGGTCACCGCCGGGGTTGGGTGCGCGAGTAGGGGGACGATGAGAGACCCAGTCGTGGACTAACAGGGAGACTCGCGGGTTTGTCAAGAGGTGGTTGGTCTTGCGAGAGGATGTGTTGGTGGTCATAATAATCGTAGGGTATGGGTCAAACGGAGTGGAGGGCAGGTAGGTGTATGACATGAGAGAGATGTGGGGGGTCATGCCATCGGTGGTTGCAAGATGAAGCTAGATAGAGGTCAGCCAGGTAGGAGCTGCGAGTGCGAGTAGACAGCCATCACTTACGAAGCGCGAATTCTTGAGGCTAGTCACCACCTCAGTGGGCAAGGTGCTTGCTACATGGGGGTGGCACGTTGAGGCAGATGCCTCGTACGAAAGAGGAGGATTGATGGGGTCTGCCATGATGTTTCACCGGAGACAGACAAACTCGATCTTGGAATGCCAATGCAATAGCTTGACAAGGGCAGAAGCACAAGTGGAGGAGGGGCTGCGGAAGCCCGCGCAGCTCACGACCACAACTAAGCCCAGATTGGGGGTGAGCGGTTGAGCGCGGATCACCGCGCGGCCCGAGTCGATTACATAACACCCGTTGCTTGTCTGGCAACCTTCGCCGTTCCGTCGACGTCATCGGGATTGAGCTCTGTTTGAGGGCCTTTGTTTGAATCGATCGCATCGTATGAGTTGATGTCGACAGGGGGCATATACTAGGCACTCCGTACTAAGTAACTACTGTACCTGCTTGAATAAAGTGGTGGAGCTTTATCCATTGTCTTTGATAGGTCAGGAAGAGCTTGAAGAGCCACTTGTTTCGTCATGGTGGTCTCAGCCCTTGAGCAGCAGTGAGAAGATCGCGGCCGAGACCCGACTGTGACGAATCAACCGCAACTCTTCCGTTATCAGGGAGAGCTGCTCATTCAGATCTTTTTCGGCAGGATGAACGGATGCAGGACTTAGGACTATTCGGTCATATGGATTACTTCACTGGCGCTGAGATTGGTGATATAAACACAGGGGGACAGCCAGCTTAATCTACCACTGGCCAATTTCCCCGCACTTTACTCCGTACTTGTGACGGTCAACCGTTCCCCAGCTTCCCAAAACACCTTCGGCCCGCCCAGTACTTCGAAGGTACCTCCTCTTCTCTCCCTTCCTCCTCTCTCTTCTCCTCTTCTTCACCTCCACAACTCACACGCCTCTCACTTCTCAACCAGTATCATTTGATCCCTCACCACCATTACCCCAGCCCCAACTCTACCAACCAAGATCGTTGTGAACCCCAGGATTAATTCAATTCCGCCCTCCCCGCAATTTCAACCAGTTCCTCTTTGCTGCTAATCCTGGCCCTTCGACGCTTGCTACCCGACTGGTTCTCTGCGAATCCTCCTGCCGTGCTCTTTCTCTCAGCCATTCGGTCAGGTCACTAAGTTGTCGCGTGCTGGTCTCGATATATCCCTGTCTTCTTGTGTCTCAGCTTCTGTGTCTTCCCCTCCCATCTTATTAAATCCCTCTTCTGTACCCTTTCTCTGTTGGTTTCGCTGTTTGTCATTTTTTCAGTTCGATCCTACGGTCGAATTCTTTTGCCACTGTCTCCTCTCCGACCGTTGTTTCTGTTTGTTGGAGTTAAGCATCTGGCCCTGGTGCAGCTGTCTGCGATCACCATGTTCGCACATCGTGTGGTTCGTCCAGCTTCGGTGCTGGCCCGTCCCTTCAGTTCCTCTGTTGCTGCCTGTCGTGCACCTTCCATCCGCGACATCACCCCCGATTCGGCTGCTGAGTTTAATGCACGGCAGAAGGAGTTTCGCGAGAACCTTGAGGTGTCTCGCAAGAGGAGAGAACAGCAAGAGAGTCAGTCTGTCGATGCTTCTACTTCTTCCTCTGCATCTTCCCCTTCAATTCGTGATCGCTTCCGTGAGTACGCTACCGCTCCCACTGCTCCGCTCGAGAGCAATGGAAGCTGTAACAACAGCCCCGACCTTGAAGCTGCAGATCAACCTGTTGAAAAGGCATTGGGCTCACTCTCTACTTATCATGAATTAGAAGACAAGCAGCTGCTGGAAAGTAGCCAGTCTCCGAAACGCGGTCCCCTCTCGTCGCTCATTTACGGAACGAAGGAAGGACAGCAGCTCGACAAGGACATTGAGCGATCATTCTCGCAGGTGCTCGCGCGCGGCAAATACGTCCACTCTATTGTCTTTCACGATGTCAAACCTGACAAAGTTGATGAATACGTCGATCTCGTTGGCAAGTGGTATCCTCGCATGGCTACCGACCCCGAAAACAGGGTCAACCTAGTCGGCAGTTGGCGTACCCAAGTCGGCGATAATGACACTTTTGGTAATGATAGCGACCAACCCTACTCTTTTCGATCTTATTACAGGACTGAGTACTAACCAGCTGGATTTTCAGTTCATATCTGGGAATATCAGCGTTACGAAGGTTACCACGCATCCTTGCATAACATCGCCTCCCACCCCGAGTTCCCAGACTTTGACCGCAAGCTGAAGAGTCTGATCAAAAGCAAGAAGACTTCACTTATGCAGGAATTCTCTTTCTGGCCCACAACCCCTCCCCGCCGTCTCGGTGGCCTGTTCGAACTTCGCTCGTATACTCTTCACCCGGGCAATCTCTTGGAATGGGAAACACATTGGCGCCGCGGCCTTACTGCTCGTCGAGAGGTCATGGAAGGAGTCGGAGCTTGGTTCGTGCAGATCGGAGATCTGAACACAGTGCACCATCTCTGGCAATTCGCCAACCTTGAGGAGCGGAAGATTCGCCGCGAACAGTCTTGGGGCATTGAGGGCTGGGCGGAGACGGTGCACAAGACAGTCCCCTTGATTCAGAACATGCAGAGTCGGATTCTGATCCCGATGCCGTGGAGCCCTGTCGGCTAAAACGATTAGGGTGGCTGCGGGGATGAAGGATTGGTGATTACAAGACAGGGCCAAAGCATGCAGCGACCGACCAGGCAGCGGGTTTACTTTGCAATTCATACACCATGAATTAGGATAGGGCAAGAGGGCGAGGTTCCGAACCGCCGGTGAGCGGCTCGACAGATAGAGCGTGGGGCAAGCCAACTTGTCCTTACGTCTACAATCCCAGGTCCTGGGATTAGGGAGCCCAGAGCGTGCCAGTCTTTGTCCACACATTCTTTGAACCAGCTGCCGTGGCCAGAATGTATCGTTACTGAAATTAGCATCTGTTGAAACTGTTCAGGTTAATGCTTCTCTTTATCTTCTTTTCAAGTTCTCACACCGTTTCTGCTCGACTCCGTGTAGTCTAAAAGCTTAGTGCAAAAGAGGCCCCAGTATCAGCGCGCGGCCCATAGTCCCGCTCTATTGTGCTAGCCGAACTAGCGTAGTTGATTCCATCCCCGCTCTGTACGCGACCGAGTCACGGCTTTCAATTAGGTGTCAAATGCTACCTCGGGTCGAATGGCAGACTGGCGGCAATGTCTGGGCACCCCACTTTGGGGTCACTTGAGCCATTTGGGTCAGTTGGGTGAATTTGGCGGGCGAGGACCTAAGCCCAGGGCGGCACAAGTTGACTATTGGTGCGTGGTGCTTTGCCTTCACTGAGATTACGCAGTACCTACACGGTATACACAGGAGTACTCCAGACTTTCGGAGTTCTCGAATACCAACCACGGTACCAGCAAATCAAAGACAAGCTTGAAGCTGCACGTGCGCCACTGGACCAAGGCATTCGACTGTTTCGACGATGTGCAATGAGCCTCTCTCAGTTGGCTGTCCTCCCCGCCTTTACGTCCCAGCATCTTTTCCGCCGGCAGAAAAAAAAAAAGAGGGTCATTGGGGAAAACAAAACAACCAAGGAAAAATTCATGGTTGAAAAGCGAACACCAGCATCATCTTTTCTTTCTTTTTCTCTTCCTTGGCACTTCCCTTTGTCCTAGCCTTGTCTCTTCATATTTTATCTTCAATTCGGCTTCTAACGCCCTTTGAAGTTTGCTCCTACGGTTTTTCTTTTTTAAACCGTTCAAACGTCCTCTTCAAATCTACTCCCGGAACATCTGGACAGAGTGACATCAATTCTAAGTTGCCGCCAACTACTAAGGCTGTCTTTCCCGCGCGTGCAGACAGAGAAGGGCAAACGCGCTTGAGTCCTATACGTTCTGCACCTGATTATCTGGACGTACTTTATCGCAGTTTGTAGTTCAGCGAGATAAGTTCGACTTTGACCACAACCATCAGTACCATTAGGCAAGATGGTGTACATACGCCAGCACGAACTGCCCAACCTGCGGCAGTATCGCTATGCAGGAGTGGACCACTCCCTCGTCAGTCGTTACATCCTGAAACCGTTCTACAATGATTTCGTCATCAAATTTTTCCCGATGAGCATGGCGTAAGTAGTGGTGCGGCTCTCAACGGTTCCTTACCTCTTGCTAACGGCTTCTTCCCTCGGACTTTAGTCCTAATGCTGTAAGTTCTCTGACTTGGATGATCTGCTGCCGGAACGAGACATGATAACGGAGGACTGGCAGATCACATTAACCGGCTTTTTCTTCGTGGTAGTCAACTTCATCACCATCTTATGGTACAACCCGACTCTAGACCAGGACTGTCCTTCCTGGGTCTATGCCAGCTGCGCCCTCGGGTTGTTCCTCTATCAGACTTTCGACGGTGTAGATGGCATTCAAGCGTATGACAAAGCCCCTCGCGCCTTATTCCTGGTAGACAAACCACTAAAGGGATGAATGCAGACGGAGAACAAAGCAAAGCGGCCCTCTGGGCGAGCTGTTTGATCACAGTAAGTCGGAAGATCCAGGCTTCCACCAAAACGAGTATGGAACTTAAGATGGCCCCCAGGTGTCGATGCTTGCAATACAGCCTTGGGAGTCCTGATCTTCTGTGCAGCCATGAACCTCGGACAGTCATGGGCCACGATATTGACTCTCTTTGGATGTATGTTTTTTTGCCCAAGGACAAACAAATACAAAGATGCTAACATCGTAGAAGCGACCATGACCTTCTATGTCCAAACCTGGGACGAATATTACACCCAGGTACTGACCCTAGGTATCATTTCCGGCCCCGTCGAGGGTGTCCTCACCCTCTGCGTCGTGTTTGGGTTTACAGCATACATGGGTGGTGGCAGCTTCTGGCACCGTCCTATGTTGGAGACCCTCGGACTGACCAAGCCGGATTTCCTGCCGGATCAGCTGTACGGAATGGCCTTTACGCAGTGGTACATGGTCTATGGTGGGATTCTCCTATTCTTCGCGACGGGTTCCAGCATTGTACATGTCATGAAGATTCGCAGCGAGCGGGGCCAAGATCCTATCAAGCCTCTCTACGGTCTCCTTCCCCTTGTTGCCATTTGGACTCTGGTCCCGGCCTATCTGTGCCTCCAGCCGACCATCCTCGAGAACTACGCGATTCCGTTCTGCCTGTACGTGGGACTGGTCAACGCGTACGCGGTGGGCAGAATGATCATTGCACACCTGACCAAAACCAGCTTTCCTTACTTTAACATGCTCCTGGTTCCTCTTGCACTGGCTACTATCGACAGTGCTGGCGATAAGCTCGGCTACTGGTCGAGCTTGTTGGGATATGAAACTGGCCAGGTCGCTTTCTTGTGGATGTGTTTGGGTCTGTCCGTCGGCGTGTACGGTAGCTTTGTGGTAAGTGTTCGGGATTTCATCCAGGTGAGGATTGTGCGCTGATCATATATAGCATGATATTATCACGACGATATGTGACTACATCGACATCTGGTGCTTGACGATTAAGCACCCGCAACCGCATGTGGAGGTGGTTGTTGCGAACGGAGCTCCGAAGAAGACGAACTAGGGGGTCGCATTCGCAAATCGGTATCGCATAATGGACATGAGACCATGACGGAGATGTCGCCAATGTTGTATGATAGAGGGGGTCATGTTCGATGGTCGGTAGCGACGTTGAAGATGAATTGCACGAGGTGGCGCAATTGGATAATGATGTTGGGAGGGATGTGCCGGGCTGGATGTGTCGGGTACATATCACCCGGGCTGGACTATCGATCAGTCGTGAGTCAGTCGTGAGTGAGTCGTAACCGGGTCATGGTGAGGACGAATGCAGGATAGATTATTGTTATTAGCGATTTCTTGCCACCGGTCTCCGGTATATTGATATGTATGTTCTACAAGAAACGTGATCGAAGGACCTTGAAGCACATCGTAGCATCTCGAAAGCTGAGATAAGCGGGCGGCGATTGGCGGAGGTGGCGGGAGACACGGGGTGAAGAGACGGGCCGGGCCCCCAAGCTGCCTGAAGCGGCAGGGTAAGCGAGAGGGCTGCAACCCTATTTTGCCCCCAAACGGGCTGGCTGGGTGACGCCGTCGAGAATTCCCTTCAGTCCTCGCCCTCTCTACGAGTCCACCTTTTTGATTTCACCCTCAAGCAGGCCATCATCATCAGCGCTTCATTCAACCTCCCTCGCTGATCGACTTTTTGTCTCGTCAAGATGGTAGGTCCATGTCCTCCCTAAACACCCTTCGATTCATATACGATGCATTTCTCCGTCCACCCTGCATACCGGCTGCACCGACTGTCGTGTCGCGATCCCCTCAGTGCTTCATCGTCGCCGTCGCCACCTTATCGCCGAACCATCGAAATTTTTTTTTCTTCAACGGACTTGGGTCGAAGGACACATCAGCTAACGGGTTGATACAACAATAGGTTCTCGCGGTCGACCTCCTCAACCCTACGCCTCAGGCTGAGGCCCGCAAGCACAAGCTCAAGGTATGATGGTACCCGGGTGGAAAGAAAGAATTTGGTATCTCGAAATCGGGAACTCTTGGCTAAGACATTCGGCAAATCAACAGCAACTTGTGCCTGCTCCCCGCTCCTTCTTCATGGACGTCAAGTGCCCTGGCTGCTTCACCATCACCACCGTCTTCTCCCACGCCCAGACTGTCGTCGTCTGCGCCGGCTGCTCCACCGTTCTGTGCCAGCCCACTGGTGGTAAGGCCCGTCTCACCGAGGGCTGCTCTTTCCGCCGCAAGTAAATGTCTCGATAATCGCGCGCAATAAAAACTCCCGTGGTTGGAGCGATGATGAAAGCAATGTGGCGTTCTTCGATGATGATGGATTAATATATCTCGTTTTTTCTTTGAAGGAAAGCAAGATTTCAGATAGAAGATGGAATCCTCGCCCTCCCTTTTTTGTGCGAGAAGCAGTCCCCCCCGCAGAGAACCCTCCCCTTCCGCAAGGGAAATGAAAAAAAGACATTTTTGACCAGACATACCCATTTTCTTTTTTCCATACCTCAGAAAACAAAAGCAATTCTTCGGTTCTTCTCACTTTTGCTTTCTCACCCATTCTCTGTTCACGTTCAAAAAAAGGGGCGTTCCGGATATCTGGCAACTACGAATCAAAGAGACACTGCAGTTTGACAACGATGGTTCGGTCTTCGAGAGACAACTTTTTCCAGTTCTTATTGCCATTTATCTGAATTCCTTCTTCGACTTCCATGTTCTGATATTTCTATTGTACCCACGTTGATTTCTTGACGGATGTACATCGCCAAACTTCGCAAAAGCAACAACTCGGAGCACGACATCCAGTACCACCGCCACGATTGCATGAGATTTTGCCGGTTTGCCACAGGGACTGGGGTTGGTTATTGGAGATGGTTGGAAGGTACCAGTCGACCAACGCGCGACTGGCATTCAGCATCTGGCATACAACTTTCTCGTGACGGAACAATCGTCGGTTCGGGGCTCTGAGAACTGAACAGGTTCTTATTCCCCAGGTGGTACTGTATCTCTCTCCGTGCGGGTAGCAATCGTATGTTTTTCTCATGGTCATGTGCAATCGTAGATCTGGCCTGGAATCACTGCCTTCGTATGTTCTTAAACCACTTTGTGGCTCCACTGTTCACCCCGCAGTAATGTAAACACTAAGCTAGAGCAGCCGGGGTCGGGCCCAAGAAATCGACCTACCTCGGGAAATGTAGTCATTCGTGATCTTGGTATAAAGAGATAAAGTCTAGGTTCGCTACGAGATTCGTGCAAGACTCAGTCGCTCTCCATCAACAATAGTCAAATTGAGACATAGCTGAGCAATAGTTGAGTGGCATAATTGCAGCCCACTCTTGGAGTGAGCTGCACACATGACCAACATGGACATCCTCCTTATCGAAGGTTCTCCGCATTCTAAAGTCGCCGTGTCATAGCGGGGGACTCAACTGGGTCTAGCGTCGGACTATTAAGGCAAAGCGCAAAACTGCCCGCTCGACAGCGGCTTGTATTGCTATCGATAAGTCGCGCGCTTGTTGCAACAATGGCCTTGTCTCGTCTGGCTGTATGTATTACTGATTTTGTAAACATCGTCTTCGTTATGACACGAACTGTGAAGCTGGCCTTTTCTAGAATCAGCCCGTCAGAAATTCCTATCGTGGATATCAGCGTTAGACTACTCTGCAAAACACAACGATATTAGTGGAAGACGGAGCGCTTATACTGGGTCATGGCTACTATGCTCTCCCACATTCTTTCTTACAGTGGAAAGATGTCCCGAATCAGATACTATTATCCCCCCCAATTCCTGAGGCGGGGAAGACGGTCATTGTGGCTATTATCATTGAGCATCTTCAACAATCGACTGAGGACATGAACGCTGGGGTAGCATACACATACTGCACGTATAATGAGCGCCATACAGTGAGCGATCTGGTTGCTTGTTTGTTGAGGCAATCGGGTCTCCAGCTTCGTTTTCTTCCGCAAGAGGTCAGTGACTTATATGAGTCTCATTGTCTGCAGAGGACTCTTTCTCGCAAGGAAGCCTTGTTGCAGGCTCTCGTATCCATTATCAATTTATCGCCGCACGTGTCCATCGTCACTGATGCCCTTGACGAGTGTCAGGACGAACAAATCAGAAGAGAATTCCTTGACTTCCTCAAGGTGGTTGGCCAACGGGTAAACCTTTTGGTCACTTCCCGACCCCACCCTACAGTTGAGGACTCGCTTAGGGGAGCTCTACAAGAGAAGATTCAGGCACCAGCACAGGACATTGAGGCTTGTGTGGGAAAAGAAACAGCCAGCACGAAGTTCGTTTTATCGCGACAGTTGCCTCTGGTACCGCAGCTTCGCGCTAGTACCATAGAAGAGATCGTGAGCAAGGTCCAAGAGATATATATATCTTACCTTCAGCATCCCATGGTCATGAGATGATAACTAGAATACTCCCAGGTTCTTACATACTCGGTTCCATATAAACCATCTAGCTGCCGAGCATAATCTTCGCAGTCTCTACAAGGCTCTGAGGGAGCTTCCAAGAACCTTAGGCGAGATTTACAAGGAGACGATGCGACGATTGAAGAAGCAGAACGCAGAGGCCGTCCGGTTGGCCGAGAAAACATTGCTCTGGATAACTTATGCCTCACGGCCGCTTAGGATACAGGAATTTCAGCATGCGTTGGCCGTGAGGAAGGGCAATGTCAATATTGATGACAAGGCACTTACTGCACCCAAGTACATTCTCTCCATTTGCGTCGGCCTAGTCACTATCGATGAAAGGAGCAGCATCTGTTGCTTGGTTCATTATACAGCATATGAATTTTTCCGTGATACCGGGACCGGGTATTCTCTCGCGGGACAAGTCAACATGGCATGTACATGTCTACGGTATATATCCTTAAGTCCATTCAAAGCGAGACCGTGCGTCTCTTTCCTTGAGTTGTGCCGCCGCCGCAATACCTATGTGCTTCTTGATTATGCTGCACGAAACCTTGGGCGGCATATGGTTGATGAAAATGACAATGAGTCGGTTGATCTAGCCCTCAGATTCTTCCAAGATGAACGCAAGGTATCCGGCATTGCTCAAATTCTGGTTGTTGCAGAACGTGTGGTGGATATACACGACTTTCCTGCCGACTTTCTGGGAATACACTACGCGTCATACTTGGGACTCACAGGCATTGTTCGCCGGTTGCTGATGATGAGCGAAGATGTCGATGTGATAGACTCGTATAGACGTACACCGCTATCATGGGCAGCAGAGAATGGACACGAAGCCGTGCTAAGATTATTGCTTGGAAGAGGAGCTGGATTATACTTAGAGGAAGACCCCGACTGGACACTGGTCTCATCTCGTAGAATTCCGAGACACATTCAAGAGGTTTCCGTGGGCTCCTACACACTTCTCACTACGGACGCTTCACTGAACGCGACTGATATGCTTGGCCGGACACCATTATCGTGGGACGCTAAGGAGGGACATACAGGAGTGGTTAGACTTCTCCTGGCGAAAGGTGCTAAAGCACACTTAACAGACACCATGGGCCGGAAAGCTCTACTTCTAGCTGCAGATCATGGCCATGAAGCGGCCATCAGAGCGCTCCTTGAGATAGGGGCCACGGAACTCGACTCGGCAGATTTGCTGGGCCAGACACCACTATCGAGGGCGTCCAAGGAAGGACACGACGCGGTCGTGCAAGTGCTACTAAGTGTGGGAGTAACAGTACATCCAGCAGATGCCATGGGCCGGACCCCTGTTTTGGGCGGCCATGGAGGGACACGAAGCCGTGGTTCGGGTCCTGCTAGAGAAGGGTGCTGTAGTTGACACGGTGGATCGTTTTGGCTCTGTGAGTATGGGCTAAGATCTCAGCTTAAGATGTAAGTTGAATGGATTAAGGCGAGGGGTGTGCTTTGTGTTGATTGTACTGTAGTGAACCATATCTAGTAGCTGTAGTAGATGGGGAGCGGTGACCGAAGCTCGGGCAGAATTCCGGACGAAACTCGGCGTTCGGCCTCGAGACTGTTCATCTCGATAGTTACCGCTTTCGAAGAGTCTGTATAGCAGCGGCGGAATTCTCGACAGCGGACGAAACTCGGCACTTGAAAACTGTTCGTTCCGCTACCGCCTCCAGAAGACCAGCGGCAGAATCTCCAGGCACCGCCTGCTGACGCTTATCTTATCGCATGCCCCCGCCTCTCTCTCTCTCAGGCTGTGACTCCGCAACGCCTCAACCAGACAGAATTACCTTCCCTCTTATCTTCGCCCTGAAGTCTTCCACTCGAACCTCAATTTTGATCCCACCGAGCCCTAGAAACAGGGTTTCCCTCTCAATCTCCTATCAAGACGCCAACTCCGACCTCCCAACAAAAATGCCAGCCCCGGGAACCCCCCTCAAACTCCTCTGCCTGCACGGCTACACGCAATCCGGGCCCCTCTTCCACGCGAAAACCCGCGCCGTGATCAAACACCTCACCAAGGCTCTCAGCCCAACCTACACCGTGACCACCACCTACCCGACCGGCCCGCACCGCCTCCTCCCCTCCGACATCCCGGGCTACGAGCCACCAACCACCCAAGGCGGGATCTCCACACAAGACGCCGCCGCCGCCGCAGCAGCACAAGACAACGACGACCCGGAAGCGTATGGCTGGTTCCGCCGGTCCAACACGGCCCACCCGCCGCTCTACGCGGGACTTGAGGAGGGGCTGACTACGCTGGCGCAGGTCATCCGCGACGAGGGCCCGTTCGACGCGGTGATCGGGTTCTCGCAGGGGGCGGCGATGGCGGCGATGGTGGCGGCGCTGCTGGAAATGGGGCGCGTGAAGGAAGTGTGTCCGCAGTACGAGGATGCGGAGGTCGCATGTCGGGGCACGGAGTTTAGTGGGGTCCCGGGGTTCAAAGTGCCGGAGGCGTTCAGGGCGCAGACGCTCGAGCTCGGAGGCAACCAGGGCCCGTTGAAGTTCGCGGTGTGCTACAGTGGGTTCCGCGCGCCGGGGCCGCGGTATCGCGCTTTCTATGAGCCGGGGATCAAGACGCCGGTGTTGCATGTACTGGGGTCGTTGGATGCGGTGGTGGATGAGGGGCGGAGTCGGGCGTTGATTGAGGCGTGTGCGGGGGAGCCGGAGGCGGAGGGCAGGGTGGTGTTTCATCCGGGAGGCCACTTTGTGCCCAGTCAGCGGCCCTATCTGGATGCGGTGGTTAGGTTTATTAAGGAGGTTTTGGCGGAGGCGGAGGAGGCTGAGGGGGGCAGCAAGAAGAAGGGTGTTATGGATGAGGATGTTAACGACATGGAGTTGCCGTTTTAGATCCATACATCGAAGGGGATAAGGATGAATAGATAGATGTATAGAGAGGGGGAAGACTCAAAAGACTAGTACTATAGATATAATCGTCATACCATTCCGTTCTAACTTATTGTATGTAAGTAGTACTTCTGCGGTTAACGGGCCTTGCCCTTCTCGCCCCGAGTAGGAAGAATTCGAGCCATCATCTCTTCCTTGGTGATCAAGTGATCAATCCGCTCCAACAGACCCAACAGGCTCTTCATGTCGCTGCTCCATTCGTTCAGCACGTCGTCCGCGTCCCGCGGCTTCGAGAAGCTGACCAGCCGCGCCGGACGATCGATCTTAGCGTAGATTGTCTTGGACGTCACTAGATCGCTGATGTACTTCTCCGTCTCGTCCTCCGCCAGGTCCAGCAGCTCCGTCAAGCGGCCCATCTGGATGCGCGTGTAGTACTTCGCCACCACCCGCACGTTGTGTTCGATCACCCGCTTGCGGAGATCCTGCCACCGCCGGTAGGGCTGGTCTTCCGCCGCCTGGCTCGGCTGCATACTGAAGACATCTGTGTTGCACAGGTGAGGGCCGAATTGCTCGGCCACCATCGGCCAGCGCATCAGCTCATGGATGGTGAAAAGCTTCACCAGACGGGCCTCGACCGGCACCGATGACAAGCGCGAGTCCTGCTGGATCCGGTGCAAGAGATCCGACTGCTCGTTATCGTAGGGCGAAAGAACGATGTAATACACGATGCGAGCAAGAACCTTGCAGAGCGTTAGTTGCAGACCACCAAAAAAACGCGGAAAATCAGGAACGTACTGCGTGGAGCTGTTCTGGGTTGTTCTGAACTGAGTCTGTATCCAGGACCTCACGGTAGTGCTTGCACACATCCAGGTATTTGTAGTCGTGGTTGGCGAGGATGATCTGTTGCTCGTAGTAGCGCAGCTTGAGGTCGGTCACATCATCGTCCACCTCCATCGGCGGCTCATCGGGTTGGCGGGTCTTCTCCCGCTCCTCGGCCTCCTTCTTCAGCCTCTCGATCTCCTCGGCACTCTTCTTCGGCTTGCGAGCGAAATACCGCTTGTTAATCTTGCGGCTGAGGATGGTGGCTTGGGTCCAGTCACCACGCTCGATGCACAGGGCCACTTGTTCTAGGATGAACTCCGTCTTTTCTCTTCGGCTCATCGATCCGAACGTCTCTACCTGCAACTCGCAGAGGATGTCGGCGGCGGCTTGCAGATCACCTTGAGTCTTCTTGATGTTGGAGAGGATGCGAGTGACACGGGCGCGCTCGACTTCGACGAAGATCTAGTTGCGGAAGCGCGCATTAGCCGGCTGCTCATGGTTGACGGGAGGTGTGTAGTGTAGCAACTAACCTTTCCCTCGGTCACCGTTCGTAGGGTGGAGATAACTGAGAGCTTGACATCGAGATTGGGAGCGTCATCCAGGAATCCCATAACCACCTGCACCATCTTCGTCACGGCTTGTTTGAGCTGGCCATGCTTCTTGCTCAGCAGCAGCACTTGCTCGTTTAGGAGGGACCAGTCGCCGGAATTCTTGCTGATTGTGACAATTGTGACGATGAGTCGGGATGTGGTGGCCAGATCGGATGCCTGGAGATGGGGTGAATTAGACGCGGACTCGTCGCCGGACCGGGCAAGGAGGGTCGTACCTGTCTGGCCTGCTTCTCCAACACCAGGAGCTTGTCAATAGCACCTTGCACATCGGTCTATATACGATCAGCCATCCTGTCAAGTTGAGTGAGAGCTCCATGCGCGGACCTTGGCAAGCTGCTCTGCCTCGGGGATTAGCTTGTCAGCATCTTTGGAGAAGTCCTTCTCCGGCTTCAACAAGGCTTCGGACATGGTGACGAGGCGTCACTGTGAGGCAAACGATTACGGGGTTGTGAAGAAGAGGTAGACTGATCGAAAGCTCGGGGAGATCAAACAAGAAAGGAGGTGGCAATGGCGCGAAGACGAGAGATGGGGGAATATGATGGAGGCGGATTGTTCAAGGCATGGATGGACGGGCTTCGGAGCTCTGACGTGCAGCTCCCAGCTCCATCACGTGACCCGTAGATATCCAGCACGCACTTTTTGCATACCACTGTGTCTGTTACATAGTGTTCCTGATACTCGCTTGTTGAATACTTCAAGACCGGTAATGATGCCAGAAAGGAAAGTATATACGTGCTTGGCTGTTGCAGGGTGCCGAACCTGAGGCATCCCGGGTGCGTGTACGCTGTGCATAGTATTTACTCCGTACACTCAGTGTACAGTACAGAACTCCGTAAGTACTTCCGACCTCAAGCAGAAGTCCCTGCCTGAGGCTGCCAGGAGTGCGCCAACTGGTCAGCCCATGATTTACCCAATCCGGTAACAATTAAGAGTAAGCTGGAGTCAAGCCGACAGCTTAAGTAATCCAGATGCTTCCGATCACGCAATCACGCAATATGAGGTTAACCGCTTTGGGCCAATGAATCTATAAATTTCCCCAGGGACACAGGACTGCAACGCCGCGGATATTTCGTGGTTTCGTGTTGTGATTCATATCGCAGATAGTCCTATCAATCATACGCAGCTGGCAAGTGGGCGACTTTGGTGTTCTTATCTCCAGCTACTACTAATCGCCATCCGCCACTGAGTTGAGCATTTCCGCGGAGGTGCATCCACTATTCTCTGGGAGGGATTCATAAAACGGTTCGGCCGTCTGGAGTCACAGCTTCAAGACTGTTCTCAAGACTGTTCCTGGCACTAGAGCTTTCTTCGGAAGTCGAATTTTTTCGAGATTGTCCAAACCCGACTCCAGGAGACGTCTGAATCAACTACAACCTGCACTGTTCGCAGTGGCGACTCACCATCATGCGGGATGCATCAGATCCTAGCTCCCCTGCGCCCTTATTGACGGCCGTCAACGTCGAGTCGCAGGTGCATCTGATCATTGGAGCCAACCCTTTGGCTGCAGCCCGATGCGCGAAGAGCGTCGAGGCTGGCGCAAAGCCCATTCTGATCACTGTGGAACCACAGGACGGGCTGCAATATACGCTTCTTGAGCGGATTGAGAATGGTTTGGTGCAATGGATTCGCCGCGATTTTCAAGACGAGGACCTGACCAGTCTGGGGAGGGAAGAGGTCGATCGGGTGGTTGACACAGTCTTTGTCACGCTGGGTGGAAGTGATCCGCGCAGTGCACACATCTCCAAGCTGTGTCGTCGGCTCCGGATCCCGGTGAATGTGTCCGACGCCCCCGAGCTTTGCACTTTCACGCTTCTGTCGACATATTCCGACGGACCCTTGCATATCGGCATCACCACCTCGGGACGCGGGTGTAAATTGGCATCCCGGTTGCGGAGAGAGATCTCGTCCTCGCTCCCATCGAATCTCGGAAGTGCCATTGATCGATTGGGCGCCGTAAGGAAACGGCTCTGGGCCGAAGACCACGCAGCTGGACTGTGTGATACGACCATCGAAGGTGACGAGGACGACTCCACGGGCCAGCGCCATACCTTCAACACCTTAGTGACCGAAGACGACATTTCGGCTGCCAAAACCCGACGTGTCCGCTGGCTCTCCCAAATCTGCGAATACTGGCCTCTTCGAAAGCTCGCCGCCATTACGGACGCCGACATTGAAACTATCCTTGAGGCCTACTCAGCGGGCCAAGATCAACCTAACCACAGCCCAAACGAGTCGAACACTCTTGCTAGACGGGGAAAGATTGTCTTGGCGGGTTCCGGCCCAGGCCATCCAGATCTTCTCACGCGTGCCACGTACAACGCAATTCAGAACGCCGACCTCATTCTCGCCGATAAACTCGTGCCTGCCCCGGTTCTGGAGTTGATCCCCCGCCGGACGGAAGTTCACATCGCGCGCAAATTCCCGGGTAATGCGGACCAAGCGCAGGAGGAGTTCCTGCAGATGGGACTGGAAGCGCTCCGCCGAGGCCGGCACGTCCTCCGTCTCAAGCAGGGAGACCCCTATCTCTATGGGCGGGGCGGCGAAGAATTCGAGTTCTTCCGCGGTCAGGGTTACGTGCCTATCGTGCTGCCGGGCATCACCAGTGCCCTGAGTGCGCCGCTCTTTGCCGAGATCCCGGCCACCCACCGCGGTGTGTCGGACCAGGTGCTGGTCTGTACGGGCACGGGGCGCAAGGGCGCCGCCCCGGCTCCTCCGACCTACGTGCCGACCCAGACAGTGGTCTTCTTGATGGCGCTGCATCGACTGTCGGCCTTGGTGGAGTCTTTGACCACTGTGTCACCGACGGACGACAACGATGGGGCGTCGCATCCGTCCAGGACGCCCTGGCCGAAGGAGACGCCCTGTGCGATCATTGAGCGGGCGTCGTGTACTGATCAGCGAGTGATCCGGTCAACTCTGGAGCATGTGAGTGCTGCGTTCGAGGCAGAAGGGTCCAGGCCACCTGGGTTGCTTGTTGTGGGGAGTAGCTGTTATGTCCTGCATCCGGCGCAGGGACAGAAATGGGTGGTCGAGGAAGGATTCCGGAGCTTGGATGAACTGTGCGTGGAGACGGGAGGTGGCAGCGCTGCTGCTACGAGCCCGTGATTGTGTTGTACGTTGTTACGATTGTTGCATAGATACCCCTAGACGATGCATCTGAATCAAACCCGAACCGGGTTTCGCTAGACTGTCACTTTGCCTGTAGGATGCCGTTGACTTTGCATCTGGTCACACCGATCAGATTCTACCAAAGCTCTTGTATAACTAAAGGTGTCCCTTACACTCACTCCCTACATCTGCTATGAACAATGAACACCCGCCAACCCAAACCCACCAATGTACAGCTGAGGTAAACATCCAGCCCAACACGCACTTCACGGCACAATCCCAACAGCGACCTTTCTCGCCTGCAGAATCTTCGCAACCTTCTCCCTCTGCGCATTCATCTGCCCCAACTTGGCCCGCTGAATCTTCCCCGTCGCCGTCCTGGGAATCTGACTCACGAATACCACCCCCCCGTCCAGTGCCTTGTACCTCGCCAACCGCTCCGCCACGAACCGATACAGCTCTGCTTCCGTGACCTGCGCAGACGACGCTGGCGTCTTTTCCGCCCGCACCACAAACGCCCGGGGCACTTCTGTGCGACTCCCATCGCTCGCCTGCACCCCGAGTACAGCCACATCTTGGACCTCCGGGTGCTGGGCCAACACCTCCTCAATCTCTGCGGGGGCAACCGAATACCTGGGAACAGTTAGCAAGTGAATCCCACCTTAATTTGAGAGTCTCCCTCTCTCCCTCTCTCTCTCCGTATATCCAAGATCCCAACGTGACAAAAACTCACCCCCGAACCTTGATAATCTCTTTCACCCTCCCAAACACATAATACAACCCGTGTCGGCGATACATCATATCCCCCGTACGAAACCACCCGCCCTCTGCTTTTGGATTCTCTTCAGGACGGTTCCTATACCCCATGAAGATTCCGGGGCCCCTCACCCACACCTCTCCGGCGGTATCATCTCCCGCAAGAACAGTATGGCTGTCCTGCGGGTCTACGAGCTGCACCTCGACCCCCTCGCCGCGCACCCGACCGATGCTCGCTTTATCGTGGACGGTATCAGTGGCGGGCGAGAGGAAGACGAGGCCGGTCTCCGTCATCCCCCAGTTCTGGGTAACGATGGCGGAGGGGTGGACGAGACGGGATTGGAGGCAGTCGAGGGCGGGGACGTCGATGGGGGCGGCAGAAATGAGGCAGAAGCGGAGGGAGGCGAGGGAGGGCTGGATGTTGGGGAAGGGGCACTGGTTGAGGATGTGGACCATGGCGGGGACAAGGTAGGTGTTGGTGATCTGGTGGGTGTGCACGGCTTGCAAGAAGGCGTGGATCTCGAAGCGGGGGAGCAGGTAGACCGGCTCTCCGTAGCGGATGGGGAAGATGTGCGTCCAGACGGCGCCGTAGAGGTGATGGATGGGGATGGTGATGAGTCGGCTTGTGGTGCTGGTGCTGGGGTCAGGGTAGTGACTGCTGAGATGGTGGGTTATCATGTTGGTGTGCGAGAGGATGGCGGCTTTGGGTACGCCGCTGGTGCCGCTGGTGCAGAACATCGAGGCGGGGGTGGCACGCGCTTGCGATGCTGTGAGGGCTGTCCAGGGGGAGGTGCCATGGGTCAGCAAACTGGTTAGGGTCATGGGTTGGGGAGTGGTGGTGGTGGTGGACTCGTGGTGGTTGAGGGCTTCTGGGTGGTGAAGGAAGGTGAGGATAGTCTCCTCGGAGAAGAGGCAGATTTGATTCGGCGAGAGGCTTCGCGCTGAGGCAACGTCAAGCACGGTCTGGAGGGTTGCGCTAGTGGTGAGGATAAGCTTGGGTTGGCCGGCTTCGAGCACGTTGTCCAGTTCATGTGGCGGACTGTCTGGGCTGACACCCATGTAGACATTCCCAGCCCCAAGGATGCTGAAGAAGAGGGCTGAATGGACGAACTGGTAGCATAGGAGGCTATCAGTGAATCTATGGTGACAGTGATCGGGTGTCTGCCACACTTACGCTATTCCCCAGGTGAACCAAGACTGCATCTCCCGGTTCAACCTGGCGCTTCAGTCCAGCAATAAGAGTCTGCACCAGATGTTTGAATTGAAGGGCATTTAGACAGCGCGAAGGTTCTCGAGCATCGATGTACAGAGGTCGGCTCCGGTCGTACTCGACCGGGGCGTTGAATGCGAACGTCACAACATCCATGTTTGCGAAGAATGATTCTTCGCTGCTCGTGAATGTGCAATAGCCGCTTTAAAATCCTTAAGGCTCATCTTTGGTCTCCTATCGCGAATTCTTCCTTTCAGCCTTGGGCTGATTCGAGATCAATCAGGGCCAACACCCTCCTCCTCCTCCACCACCAAGACAGGTTTGCGAGTCAGACTCTTCGCATATCAGCTGGACACAAGCACATCACGGCACTGGCCGTTATCTGTCACACCAATTGAGACCGACTTTGCATTGCTTGGTGGCTGAAGTTATTTGGCAGGATGGGGATAGAAGCCAGTCAAGTAGGGCTTCGGGCCAGCCACGGCGACTGGCCCCTCATCTCCACTTCTTAGCGTGGTGGTTGTTTGCTAACTTGCGACTGGTTCGCAAATTGTTCCTCAATCATCCTACGCGAACGCCTCCGAACATGCACCTGCGGCTAACAATAGATGAACAATGACCCGTGTCATCCAGCCTTTCATGAGAGCAGAATTCTGGTTGTGCAGCGAAGCTGACGCTGAGTCAGTCATCAGAAGGATTGCCTCCCCTTCCAGAATCTCGTAAGATCAGCGTGGCTTATACCCATACTTCTTTACCCCTCGTGTTAGTGTTGGTGTCGGAACTATTTCCCCAATCAGTTGGTTCTCAGTGGGAGAGAAGTATGATAATCACAAGCTCATGAGAAACCAGGCATGCAGGCAGGCTTCAGCCTTCTTGTGCGGTGGTGAGGAGGGCGGTTTGGGGGATGGGCTCGAGGGCTCCCTCCCCGCCAATCGTCACTAAGTCTGCCACTAATAATTTATTGATGACGGATGGTCAATCCAGGTATTCTCCAGGCTCGTCTGCAACAGACAGGCGTCCAGCTCGCATCTCAGCGGGGTTTCAGCGGTGCTATACTCGCCCCCACTGTTGAGTCAGTTCATGGCCCAGAGCATGATGACTCGTTGGGTCGCCCGACGTCATGTCGAGGTCTGCTGTAGGGGACAGGACAGGCGAGCTTGGGGATGCTGTGGACGCTGTGGACGCTGTGGACGCTCTGGTATAGTAGTCTGCTGGATGTGAGCTGCAGGACAACCCATCAATGGGCGGGGGAGCACCTGCATTTGCATTTAAATGCATGTTTATCATCAGGCCATTGTCAGGCCATTGGAAAGCACTTCTTCCTTCTCATACTGATTATACTGATTATTTTCTCTGAGTCGTGTGCAGGTCACTGTACAGCATACGGTTAGTAGTAGTTGTTGTTGTTGTTGCTGCATCATATCATGTCTTCCCTCCTTCCCGAACCGATAGCCATCATCGGCACAGGCTGTCGCTTTCCAGGTGCCGCTTCTTCCCCCTCCAAGCTTTGGGAACTTCTTCTTCACACGCCTCGCAACCTCGCTTCAAAGACGCCCAGCGACCGTTTCAACCACGATGCATTCTACCTCCCCGGAATTCACCATGGCACGAGCAACGCCCCCGAGTCCTACTTCCTGTCCGAGAATATTCGGCAATTCGACGGATCGTTCTTCAACCTATCCCCGGCAGAAGCAGAAGCCATGGATCCTCAGCAGCGCCTACTGCTAGAAGTCGTCTACGAGTCCCTCGAGCGAGCAGGTCTCCGCACAGAAAGTCTACAGGGCTCGGACACGGGCGTCTTCTGCGGTCTGATGAACACGGACTACAGTAATCTGGTCTCCAATGACTGGGACTACGTCCCGACCTACACGTCCTCGGGCGGGGCGGCGTCTATGCTGGCCAACCGCCTCTCCTTCTTCTTTGACTGGCATGGCCCTTCAATCACGGTCGATACTGCCTGCTCATCGAGTCTAGTGGCGATGCACCAGGCAGTGGATGCCCTGCGGAAGGGCGATTGCCCGATGGCGATTGTTGCGGCCAGCAACCTGATCCTCAGCCCCCGGGAGTATATTGCTGCCTCCAAGTTGCGATTGCTTTCCCCGACGGGGCGCTGTCGGATGTGGGATCGAGATGCTGATGGATATGCCCGGGGAGAGGGTATTGCGGCAGTGGTGTTGAAGCCATTGAGCGCTGCGATGCGGGATGGTGATCCTGTAGAGTGCATCGTGCGGGCCACTGGAGTGAATGCGGATGGCCGCAGTCTGAGCCTAACGATGCCCTCATGGACGGCCCAGTCCAGGTTGATTCAGTCGACCTATGCCAGCGCTGGACTGGACCCTAAGAACCATCCAGAAGATCGGTGCCAATATTTCGAAGCCCACGGCACTGGAACCCAGGCCGGAGATCCTCAGGAGGCAACGGCATTGTACGATGCCTTTTTCGATGATGGAACTCGGCCCAAAGATCCACTACTTGTGGGCTCGGTGAAGACAGTCATCGGCCACACGGAGAGTGCAGCGGGTCTGGCGGGGGTTATCAAGGCATCTCTTTGCGTGCAGAATGGAGTCATCCCGCCCAACCTGTTTTTCGACCATATACACCCCAGTATCGCTCCTTATACTACTCACCTGCGAGTACCTACTGAGGCATTGCCATGGCCCACTCTCGCTCCAGACGTCCCTCGTCGCGTATCGGTCAACTCCTTTGGATTTGGGGGGACCAATGCACACGTCATCATTGAAAGCTACACCCCTCCAAAACAATCTCTGCCGAGGACGCCGCTGCCGCCGCTACTACCGTACCTCTTTTTCGCAGCGACCAGAAAGTCCTTGACTGACCTTCTTCATCGACACATTCGATATCTACAGGAGAATCCGGGAACCGACCCAACTGCCCTGGCAGAGACCCTAATGCACAATCGCTCTCTCCTGAATCATCGTTTGATTCTAACGGCATCGTCTATCCACGACCTGGATAGCAAACTTCAGACCGAAGTCCAAAAATGCGATTCAGAAGTACCTACCAGCAAATCTCGAGACGCTTGCAAGGGGATCGTGGGGATATTCACTGGCCAGGGTGCACAATACCCGCAGATGTGCTGGGACCTCATCTCCCAAAGTCCACAGGCCTTAAACTGGATGGAAGAGTTACAACAATCACTGAGTTCTCTGCCGCCAGCATATTGTCCCGATTTCTTGCTAGTAGAGGTACTTTCGGCCCCCAAGGAGACCTCGCGTATTCATGAAGCAATGATTTCACAGACCCTGAGGGCTGCCATCCAGATTGTGCAAGTGAACTTGCTTCGTATCCTAGGGGTAGCCTTTTCTGCTGTTATTGGGCATTCCTCGGGCGAGATCGCTGCAGCATACGCTGCTGGTGTGGTTTCAGCAGCGGATGCAATTAGATTGGCCTATCTGCGAGGCTGGGCTACCCATCATGGCATGAAGCATGGCGGGCAGATGGGGGCAATGCTAGCGGGAGCAATGTCTTGGGCAGAGGCAGTTTCTCTCTGTGAAGAAAGTGGTTTCAGTGGACGAATCATGGTAGCAGCCAGCAACTCCCCGACGAGTGTGACCTTCTCAGGTGATGCAGATGCGGTGCGAGAATTGGAATGGATCCTACAGAGCTTGAACCGCACAGCACGTGCTTTACGGGTTGATACGGCTTACCATTCCCACCATATGGTTTCTTGCGCGCAGGCCTATCTCTGTGCTGTTCGAGCCTGCGGCATTCGATACCATCAGCCCAATGTACCGTGGTACTCCACGGTATATAGCGCAAGGACGCTGGTCCACGACGACCTTTGCCACGACTACTGGGCGGAAAACATGCTCCGCCCAGTCCGGTTCTGCGAAGCTGTTCGAGCTGTCTTCTCTGACTCTGACAGTGCGAGTATAATGGTGGAAGTTGGCCCACATCCGACCCTGCAGGGACCCGTCTTACAGACCCTCGCCGAGATTGAGCATAGGAGTCCAGAGGGGTCTCCTTATCTGAGCCTCGCTCATAGGGAGAGCGGTAGTTTTGAGTCTATCGCCAATGCCATCGGGGTTTTCTGTGATCATCAAGTACCTAAACTCAAGGTTCATCAGCTTCTCAGGATGTTCGCCCCTGAGTATGAACGCACATTTCTGAAAAATCTACCAACCTACCCCTTTGACCATACGCGCTCCTACTGGGCCATGTCACGCCTGACAACTGCCCGTTTGCACCGCACGGACCCTCCTCATTATCTGCTGGGTGCACTTAGTCCCGAGACCGCGGAGAACGAATGGCGATGGCGGAACTTCCTCAGTCGGACAGAGCTGGAATGGCTCAACGATCACAAGGTTCAATCCCAGGCTGTATTCCCTGCCGCGGGCTATATTGTCATGATGCTCGAGGCGGCACTGCGAATGACCCGAGGGCAGTCCTTGCGCTTGCTCGAGATAGATGACATGCACATCAAGCGCGCCATCAACATTCCAGATCACTCCCAAGGCGTGGAGATCATCTTCAAAGTTGAGCAGAAACCCATTAAGAATGGTGCAACTCCGGCTATCTTTACATGTTATGCGATTATTGGAGAAAGTCTGAAAGTCTGCGCTTCCGGGAGATCCACGCTGTTGCTGGGCGAAACGGACCCAATGCTGCTGCCTCCGCAACGAATGCCTACCCCGGCCACACGAACGATAAATATCGAAAACTTCTATGCTAGCCTGCAGAAGTTGGGTCTGGACTACCGTGGCGCATTTCGAGGTCTCCAGGCTGCTGCCCGACACTCGATTGGGTCGACTGGTGTTGTCTCCTGCAATGCCCCATCATCGTCGATACTACATCCAGCAGTCCTGGACTCGTGTCTTCATGGTATGCTGGCAGCTGTCAAGCTACAGACACCCAGTGTTCCCGTAAAGATAGAGCGCATTGTCATCAACCCGATGCTCTGTCGACAAACATTGTTAGATCAAAGTGGGGATTTGATTGTCGATACCGTCCTTCTCGAAGATACGGTCGATGGAGCCAGGGCAGATATTAACACTTACAATCGCGAAGGACAGGGGGTCTTTCTCATTGAAGGCTTTGAAGTTATACCACTTGCTGTCCCTGAAGATCGAGCCATTTTCTCTGAGATTGCCTGGGGACCATTCATGCCCCATGCTGTATTGAATGAGAACGACACAGACTCGAAGACCGAATTGAATTTGTACTGCGCGGAGCATTGCGCTCTACTATATCTCAGAGATGCGTGGGCGAAGCTGAACGCCATGGACTATGAGCCTATCGACACTTATCGTGCAAGCGTGATGAGCTGGATCAAAAGAGTCTTGGAGATGACTCGGAGTGGCACCCATCCGATATACCAGCCTGAATGGTTGGATGATGGGATTGATGAGGTGCTTGAAATGCCGGTTGATACAAGTTCTGTCTGGTACAACTTGCGGGTTGCCGGAGAGAATTTGCCCAGCGTTTTACAGGGATCTGATGCGCAAGTACACAGTAGTAGCCACGATGACTTCGAGCATGGCACACCATATGTGGATCCCTTTCAAAGCAGCCATGGCAGCGCTGAAATCGCCAGTTTTGTCGAGCAAATTGTCTTCCGTTATCCTCAAGCAAAGATTCTAGAGCTCAACGCAGGAGGTGGATCGACAACGAGATCTGTTCTCAATAAGATTGGCCGTTCCTACCAGTCCTACACCATCACAGACGCATTGGCAACCTGGCTTACTGGTGCGCACGAGAGACTTGGCGGCGACAATAATCCCAAACTGATCGTGCGATCACTCAGTGTCGAAGAAGATTTAGCTGAGCAAGGCTACGAGACTGATAGTTACGATATAATCATTGCCGCTAATTCCTTGTCCCAATCCACAAGGCTTCGCGAGGCGATGATTAACATTCGACGTTTGCTGAAGCCCGGTGGCTATCTCGTTGCGCGAGAAGGCACTAATCTTGATATCAGCCGTGTTGCGCTGATACATTGCCATGCTGAGAAATGGTGGCAAAGTGACAGCGATACTCGCCAGTGGACGCCGTTTCTAGCTTCTCAGGATTGGGAGAGGCTGCTTCAGCAGACTGGATTCGGAGGTTTCGAGGCAATCGCACCCGCTGGTCTACTTGATTTTGCCTCTACATTCGTCTCGCAAGCTACTGATGATGCGCTTCAGCTTCAGCGTAATCCTTGGATATTCTCTGGCCGACTAAGTAATGATGCTTGGATTGTTGGCGGTGCAACCAATGCAAGTGCGAGTCTAGCATCGGGTCTCGAAGCGCTCCTGAACCGCTTTTTCAACAGGGTCGCCGTGGTATCCACATTAGAGGCGCTGGATTCGCAAGAACTATCCCGAGCACATGTCCTGGTTTTGACTGACCTTGACTCACCTTGCTATGAGAATCTAACGGAAGAGCGTCTGAATGGGCTCAAGGCGCTTACCGACAATGCCAGCAGACTTTTGTGGGTGACTGCCGGGCTCGAGAGCCAGAATCCGTACTGGGCGATGACAAAGGGTATCATAAATTGCGTTACATACGAGAATACGCAGTTACTATCCCAGTATCTGAATGTTCCAGATCGAACGGAGATGACGGCACCGGACGTGGCTACTATCTTCCTCCGTTTGTCTCACACGATTGGAGACAACGACTTTACTTTGTCAAAGCGCATGCATAGCGTTGAACCGGAACTCAGGCTTGTTAATGGCATATTGCAAATACCGCGATTCAAACTTAACGACGCTATGAACGATCGATACCTCGCTGGTCGGCGAAGAGTATGCGGATATACCAGGCTGCATGAATCAGTGATCCAGGTGGTTTCGCCTTCAAGTCGGCGTCAAGAATTTGTGCTATCGGAATCAAAGAGCAACAGGAAAGCAGTCTGTCTAGATATCCCAAATCATCGCTGGATTGATGTAACCTACTCCACGCTGAACGCTTATCGAGTGGAAGGTGCTGGGTACCTCTACTTGATCATAGGTCACGATTTGAGTGACCAGACATGCTGGTTTGCATTGTCACGGCACCATGCATCGGTCGTCTCGGTGCCTTTAAGCTGGTGTTTCCAGATTCCAGGAAGTCTCTCTGGTGCAACTGAACCTACCTTTCTGACTAGGATGGGTGCTGCATTCATGGCTATCAATGTCCTGAATGTTGGGATGTCCGACACATCAGTATTGGTCCACGGGCTTGAACCGAGGAGCAGGTTGAGCCATGAAGCTTTCACAACTCTGGGTCTTACTCGAGGAATGCGCGTTCATTTCACGACCAGCAATCATAATACCCCACCAAACAAGCAAGCATTGTTCATTTATGAAAATGAATCAGCACGGTCTCTCTCTCGCGTTCTTCCTTCTGATCTCTCTGTCGTCGCCCAATGTGGTGGTTACCAGACTGAGATATTCCCTCGGATTACATCTGTCATTTCAGACGATGTTTCTAGAGTGGGACTGAAAAGCCTATATCGGAGATTGTCAAGCGTCACTAGACTCAGTAATCTGACTGCTGTGAGCCAGACAGTTCTTAGCGCTTATGGCTTTGCTTTGCGCGAGATGGAACCAGATGAAGCGGTTGAGCTGATTCCTCTTTGCGACTTGCACGGCATGCATGCAGACTCGTCTCAACCAGCAATCGTGGACTGGACTACTCCTGATCGGGTCCCAGTAGAGGTACAGACAGCAGGCTCAATGGTCGAATTGTCACCAAACAGAACGTATCTCCTGGCTGGAATGGCTGGTAGTCTAGGCCAGTCAGTCTGTCGATGGATGGTCTCCCGAGGTGCTCGATTTATCGTCCTGGGCAGCAGAACCCCGCAAGTTGACCCTCTGTGGATTGCAGAAATGGCGGGCTTGGGAGCTCGCGTGGTTCTTGTACAAATGTCAGTTTCCATCACCACTTCAATATTCATGACTAACGATTCTTTCTAGGGACGTCACTAGTCGTATATCCGTGACTTCTACACATGCCACTCTCTCTGCCGAACTCCCCCCAATAGGCGGGGTCATTAACGGTGCTATGGTCCTCAAAGACCAGATTTTTACCAATACCAACATCTCAGATGTGCAGGCAGTAATCAGTCCCAAAGTGCAAGGAAGCCTTCTACTTAACGAGGCTTTTGGCCACCTCGATCTCGACTTCTTCATCCTCTTTGGGTCCGCCGCTGGACCCATGGGCAATATCGGCCAGGCTGCATATTCCGCGGCCACCCACTTCATGTCTGCCCTCATCCAACAACGACGCAAGCAAGGCCGAGTGGGAAGTATAATCCATCCCGCATCGATCGCGGGCGTGGGCTATCTTTCTCGCGCAGACTCTGCTTTGCATGATGTCCTTGAAAGAACCATGGGTAGCAGCAGTACACAGCTGTCAGAGAACGACTTGCATGAACTTGTGGCGGAGGCGATCCTTGCTGGACGTGTTGATTCAGGCAGAAATGCAGACATAATTGCGGGGATTGAGATGATGGATGCTGCCAAGAGTCCTGAGGCAGTGTGGCTCAAGAACCCAAGGGCATGGGGCTTCATAAATCAGAGTGGCAGCCTTCCAGGTGAGACATGCACTCGGAACGATGCTCTGGAGATGAAAGTACGGCTGCAGGCAGCGAAGAATATCGATGACGTGATGGATATCATTACTGCAGAATTCATCAGAGAGGTTCGGTTCCGGCTGAACTTTCCGGCTGAGGAGCCTGTGACTTCAGGTATGGTGTTGAGCGAGATGGGCGTGGACTCTTTGGTGGCAATTGCGTTGCGGCAGTGGTTTGCGAAGGAGGTTGGTGTTGACCTTCCGATGTTGCGCTTCTTAAGCGGGTCATCTATAGGGGAGTTGGCTGGTCTTGCTGCGGTACGACTGGCAAAAGAGGCTACGGCCAAGAGCGAGGATATTGAACTTGGCAGTGCTTTGGAGGATTCATTGGAGACATCGCAAATGGCGAAAACGAGCTTGGTTGAGTGGGGGTCATTCGAGTCCAACTGTAGCTCTGTCGCTGTCTGAGTTCGGTGGTCGTGCATGTTCCTACTAATTGTACATGATGCATGGCATTTTTCCAGAAGCACATTCATTCTGTGTAAATAATATCATGAGAGGAGAAAGGACAATACTTTACATACAGTTAATTCACAGCCTCAACAGTCTTCAGCCTCGTTCTCCCTCCACCGCACCGCATGTTTGATCTCCGCCCCCTCCATAAACTCTTTAATCCGCGCGAACTCCTTGAACCCCTTCGTCTCCGCGAAAGCAAAATGTTTCTCAACTGCCTCCCACCCCGAGAACAAGACAAACTCTGCTGCATTATCAGCAGAATCCGCAGCATCAGCCGCACCTTCAGATCCATCCCTCCTCCTCCATCCCCCCGCCACCGGCGCGGGAGCCGTAAACTCCTCCAAAAACCCCTTCGTCTCCTCAAAAGTCCGCTGAAATTGATCGCATTGGTCAGCCCGAACAAAATACCGGCCGATCGCTAGCACGGGGGCCATGAGAGGGAGCTCTGCGGCGGACGCTGGGAGGTCGATCTGGTGAGTCCATTCGTGCGTGATTGGTGCTTCTGGGGTGGATTGTTGCGGGAGACGAAGGTCGTGAGTAGCTTGTTCTTCTGCTCGGTGGAGGAGGTAGATGTAGTGTGGTTCTTCGATCTGGGTGTAGATGGTTGTTGTTTTGGAGTGGCTTTCTTGGGTGGTGGTGCGGAGAAAGTTGTGGATGGTTTGGGTGGTTGTTGATGGTGGTGTTGGTGAGAGTGGTTGGGAGAGGTGGAGGAGGGTTAGGTAGAGGGACGGCATTTTCGTTTCTTGTCTGGCACTTTGATATGCAGTAGATGAATATTGAGATACGAGAGGATAGTATGTGGATGTTGGGTAGTTTGGAGAATGAGGGGGGGAGGAAGTTCAAGGTTAAGTATACTCCGTATACATACACCAATTTCCTATTTGGGTTGCATCCGTCGGAGTATATTCACTTCAATTCAATCCGAGCTACGCTGGATTCTGACTCAGCAGCCCGGCCTAATGTCCCTCCTTCCCTAAAACAGCTTAGCATCCAAGAGCTCCCACTCCACTAAGCCCAATTGAGCTCATCCCCGTTGGTCGGAGGCTTTCATTTGACCCCCATGCTGCTACTCCGTACAACTTCCTCCCTCAGCTTTCACTCTGAGACTGTAACCAACCTCCACCTCAGTCGCACCCCATCATCATCATCATCATCAACATCCATTAAATACCGTCCATCAAAATCATGCCCACCGAACCCCGAACCTATGTGTCCGGTGGCCGCGTCCTCGGAAGGTAATTTCATACTTGACCACGAGATCTCCGTCACGTCGGCCCGAACCCATGGCTAATCTCCGTTGCAGCCCCCCACTCTCCCTCCGAGTCTATCGCTTCCTCGAGAGTATCTACATGTTTGTGGGCTTGTATCTCGTAAGCTTATTCTCGGTAAGTTACCCCCTCTTCGGGTTGTATGGCTTGAGGATTCATGATCTCCCTTATGATATGGCTCGCTCGGCCGTCTGCTGGGTTGTCGAATCAAATACATGCTGACGCGCTTTCTATCCCGACTTGCAGACCGATCCCTACACTGCGGCACAGAATTCGAGATTCAACATTCATCGTGCTGGGAAGAGCGATGGGTCGGGGCGCACATCGGGATGGGGATTTGGGTTCGGCGGTAGTGGCGGCGGCGGCGGCGGTGGCGGTGGTGGCCCTGGAAGGGGTCCCGGGGGATTTGGACCTCGCAAGCTTGGCCGGGTCGATGATATTCGGGGGCCGGAGTGTGGGAGCTGTCGTTGAGCAGTCCATCGATTTGTGTTGATGTGGTATGTGCTGCTTGGTGCAGGATTCATTGTGGCGCTGGGAGTTTCTCGATGTTTGGAGGGGTATACAAATTTCATCCATCATGTTACCAATTCCGAGGGGAGAAATGGGGGGCGAGGGTTGAGCTGTAAAAGTCTTAGGGACGTTGGGGAAAGTGATTGTAGAGTGGGGATCGACAGCTGTTTGATCACAACTATGGGTTATCGTAATATCACGTGGGACATTGATGGGTTTCTCCGCAAAACAAAGACCATCCCCGCCCCCGCAATTCAGTATCTGCGTTTAGTTCCATTTCTACACTGCAGTACTCATATCTGACACAACACAATCGGAGCTACACTTCTTGACAGCACTTACTTACTACTTGATAGCGATAAACAGTACGAACACGTTTCATCCTCACGCCCCGTCAAGCATCGAACTAAACACACAAAAGCCCACCTAGCCCTCTAACGAACCAACCGTACGGCATCACCCCACTGCCTCAGAAAAAGGACCCCTTTCAGAAGCTTCGAACTCGAGCCAAACAACCAATCAACCAACCAAAGCAACAATGCCATCCAACCCCACAATCCCCGCAACCAACTCCGACTGGACAGCCCTCATCACCCAAACCCACCGAACCATCACCTCCCTCGAACCCGTAACCTACACCACCACGACCCCCGTCTCCGAAACCATCGACCACACCCAGCTCTCTCTCACCGCCACACCCGAGCAGATTGACACCCTCTGCACCGAAGCCCGCACCCACAACTTCGCAACCGTCTGCGTTCGTCTGCGTTACGTCGCGCGCGCCGTGGAGAACCTCCACCACTCCGCACCACCACAAACCCAGACCCAGAATCTCCAGGCCTCCTCCCCAGCAAAAAACACCCCAGGGATAGCCTGCGTCATCTCCTTCCACGAAGGCACCGCCCCGACTTCCTCCAAAGTCACCGAAGCCCTCGCGGCCGTGTCCGCCGGCGCCACGGAGCTCGACATGGTGCTGAACCGCCCGCTGCTGCAGCAGGGCGAGTATGCAGCGGTGTACGAGGACATCCAGGCGGTGCGGGCGGCGATTCCCGCCAGCGTGGGGTTGAAAGTGATTCTCGAGACAGGGCGGCTGGGCTCGGCGGAGGAGGTGGTGGCGGGGAGTGTGGTGGCGTGTCTGGCGGGGGCGGATTATATCAAGACGAGTACGGGGTTTGATGGGCCTGGGGCCCGGGTGGAGGATGTGCGGGTGATGCGGGCGGTGGCGGACGCGCTGGGGACGGGGACGAAGGTCAAGGCTAGTGGTGGGGTGCGGTCTCGGGCGGATTGGAGGCGGATGGTGGAGGCGGGGGCGGAGAGGATTGGTAGTAGTTCGGGAGTGAGGATTGTTGTTGGCAGCGGTGACGAAAAGGGGAAGGTCGAGGGTTATTGATCTGGGGGCTGAGGTGATTGGTAAGGGCTGTTGTGCAGTGCAGTTCGTGGGTAAGGTAGTATGTCATATGATGTAGCTTTTCTTACTACTTACTTATTATTGGCATCGCTTAGCGGAACCTGCAGCCTGATCATAAGCTAGTAACTGGTATTCAATGAACTTTCGAAAATCATCGCTGGGAAAGACATATAAAACAATTCAACAACCAGTCAAACACAAACAAAATGTGCAGAGCGCAATGGAATTTTGGTCCAGTCAGCATGGCGGACAATGCATGCAGATTAATCCCAACCGGGACGGAAGATACACTATGAGCTTGGGGGACAGCTTCTCAGGTCGAATGCCAGGGGCAAGAAGGAGACGGCGGAACATAGAAGGGCAAAGAGAATACAGGTGGGTAAAGATAGAAGGAAACGAGAGGGGAAACAGGGCTCAGTGCCCTTTGGCGACGGAATGGAGCTGGCGGGGCGAGCTGCTGGCCGATGTCGGGAGCATTCATGCCACAAAAGGGAGATGTAGCAGCACCTCAACCCACAGCAGCACCAGGCCTCCGTAACTATTGCAGTCGTGCAGGCTTCTCCACATATGTGAAAGCACGACCACAGCAGGAATAGACACAGCTATCCGCTCCATCTCCCAATCGTCTACCACGCATTCCGATCCCAGTTCGGATCTAAAATACCCAAAAGTCAGCAAACCCTGCTCACACCCCACCAAATCGCCATCCTCCCAAAACCACCAAGAGATACATACCCTGCACAAAACTTGCCAGAACCTTACTCCCCGTCTGCAACAGCGGGTGACCCGCCACGATCTGCAAGAATCGCTGCAGCCCTTCTCGTCGGTGCTCGATCACATCATCGCTAAACCGGTTCGTAAACACCTTACCCGGGAGCGGAGGAATGGTGACGCGCGTGCTCTCGCGCTCCAGGATGTCGCGAAAGTACTCGAAGTCGGAATACCGGCGACGCACAACCGAGTGCTTGAGCTTGAAAGCGGGGATATTGGTGCGGCAGACGATCTCGTACGAGGTGTACATGTTGCGGGACGTTCCGTGGGTTTGCGGGTTTCGGACCTGGTGGAGAGGTGGGTTTGTTTAGCGGAATTGGACACATTGCAAATCAAATGTGAAAGTGTGGGCCGAGATGGTAAAGAATTTATTGGAGAAGTGTGCAATTTGCGTTGAATCTTGGCGAGCGACAATCGACGAAACGTACCTCGATCTCTAGGAAGTTCTCCGGGGGCCCGTAGATCTCCTCGAAGGTTTGCTGGCGGGATTCTGGTACGGCTTGCATGATGGCTGGTCGTTCTTCGTGATTTGTTATAGTAAAAGTGGAAAAAGGCTCAAGAATCGAAGATGCAGGTGCGTTGGGACGGCGTACGAATGTCGCGGACCTCGGAGCTGGTGTCAAGTGGGCGGGGAGGGGAGGGGAGATTCCAAGACCGCGGGAGGGGGGACAATGGCAATTCTTTGGGTAAGGCTGAGCCTTGAGAGGAGATATAAAAAAAATGTAGGACTCGATTAAGAAGGTGTTTGGTCAGTCAAGGGTCAACGAGTGTCGCGTGCCGCTGTCTTTACGGACTAACAACAGCTGCTGGTGGGGGAGGAGATTGGAGAAGGAAGAAGAGATGACGACGGGGTGAGGGACGGAACCGATAAGAAGCGGGTGTAATTAATTAAATTTAAGCCTTGGAGCAGAGACCATGGCTGCCTCTGTGGTTCTCCGGGCCTTTGTTTATCCTGCCCGCTGTCATCAATTTCATAGGGAGTATGTACAGAACAGAAAACAACAATACATAACTCCGTACTGAGTACTGTAGTTAAAAAGTCAACCATTTCTCTATTTATCATCACATATCGACCATGATGAACAGAAGAAAAGAGCAATGCAACCCGCTGAGCAACACGGTGATACAAGATTCCTTTTGATTGGTCTAATCCACCACGGGCCCTATGCCCCTGATGAAGAACAGAAAAGGTGTGAAAAAGAATCAAATGCCAATTTCCCCATAAAGACCATTTGCAACAGACCAGAAAATATGAACCCCGAGGTAGAGAGAGAGAGATAAGAAAGCACATGTAATACATAAAAGCTACCAGTGATCGGTCTCCGTGACCGCCCAGGGCCACGGATATGAAGAACCATGGAAAAGAAGAAACCCTTGTTAGGGAACAGGAGCGAGAGACATCACTCTTGTCGACTGCGCTTGGCGCCGTGAGGATTCCAGGACCCCTCGCCGCCCTGGGCGTTGGGGAAGAAGCCCTGATTGAACGCTGGATTGGGGCCTTGGAACCCGCCTTGTCCTGGGAAGAGAAACACCCATGGTTAATATAATTACGCAACCACCCACCAAGCAACTCTTCTCCGACGTACCTTGCATGCCCATGTTTCCACCCATTCCGCCCATCATCGGGTTCATGCCTCCCGCCATGGGGTTCATCCCCATCGCACCCATTGGATTCATGGTCGGCATCCCCATCATGTTGGCGCCTGCCATGCCGCCGCCCCGGCCGCGCATGCCACCAGGTCCGCCACGCATGGCACCGCCCATCATGCCACCGCGGTTGTTGAACCCAAAGTTCTGCATCCCCATCGGGTTACCCTGGAAGCCGCCGACCATCGGCTGCTGAAAGCCACCCATGGGAGCCTGGAAGTTGCGGTTCCCACCAAAGCTGTTCATGTTGTTCATGCCTCCCCGGTTGTTGAACCCGCCCCGACCACCGCGAAAACCTCCTCCCATGTTGTTCATCCCGTAGTTCATGTTCTGATTGGACGAAGTAAATCCGCCGGACATCGTTCGCTGCTGGTTATCCTTGCGCATGGGGGCATCCTTGGGCAGGGTGCGGAAGGGATTGGGCTGGGGACTGGTATAGACGACCATGTGCTTGCGCCCGGCCTGCCCGGCTGTGGCAAAGGACTCGATTTTGTGTTTCACAGCAGTGGCAGCCTGAAGGGTAGTGAACTCAACGAATGCTTGTCTATTGAGAGCTCTACATCAGTATGGATCCCGATGGGGTTTATTATGGAAGCAAGCCTACCCTTTGCTTTTACCGTTCACCTTGTGCTCACTGAAGGTCACGTCCTTCAGCTCATCCTCGCTGCCAGCTTGGGCCACCCAACCGCGGATATCATCATCCGTAGTCCACCAGTACAAATCCGAGATGAGAAGGGCTGGTGTCGCATCGGGATCGGTCGGACGATCATCGTGTTCCTTGCGCTTCACACCTTGATGCGGAGCCGGAGCATGGGCCTGTTGGGGGACATTGTCTCCGTGTGCTACGCTCGCGGTGCTGCTGGGCGCAGCCCCTTCACTTTCCTGCTTCAGAGTTCCCTCCGAGGAGCCATCCCCTTGAGCAACGTTGGCGTTCTGTGTGGGGTCCGACGCGTCTAGAATGAGTTCTGTGTCTTCGTGCTTGATCTCATCGCCCTGGTCGTTAGCATTGTAACTCCCACCGTCGCCATAAATGTCAATGTCGAAGTTATCATCTTCAGTGGCCATTGTGATTTAGGTATGATTCGATCTTTCTTGCTCTCAAGGCAGGTCTTGATTTGTTTTGCGTGAGGGACAATACAGTTCCTTATCTCTCTTCTTGGTTTTCAGATTCGAAGGATCAAGGGAAATACATGTCTGCAGACACAAGAGGCTAATTAGCAAAAGGAAGATTGATCGGAGGATGATCGGAGGTTGCGGATACTGAAGCAGCCCCTGCGGCAGCGGCTGCAACTGGGTCAAGGTCGTGCAGAAAGAAAGATCCATGTTTTCAACACTCTTTAAGAACAACACGGAGGAGGCTGGGCGGCGGTAGCCACGAGAAAGGGCGGCGACAATGACCGACAGGAAACAAGAAAAGGCTCGATGATACGTACAATTGTGAAGCAAACACAGCTTCAAAGAGAACACACAGGTCTTTTCACCAACGTCCGAGTGGGAGCTGATTTGTGTCTGATAAACAGAGGTTGTGCTTCTTTGCCTTCCGTCTGATTGCAAGTACAGGTAGAGTGATAGGGAAGAACCTCAGTGTCCAAAGGGAACAACAAACAATGAAAGACGGAGGAGCGAGGAGGAATTGGGGGGAGAAGATGGAGTGAGGTTAAATTCCACTGATGCGGCGCTGAGACGTGCTGCTACCACAGGACGCAGCTCAAACCTTTAGCTATCAATGATAGGGATCCACTGTCCAGATGGAAGCATACAAAACACAGGGATTAGACTGGTCTTCGTGTTAGTGGCAGAACGCGATCTTCCGGTTCAAGTCCCTGAGTACGCCGATATGACTCAGGAGGCCCACTGAAACGACTTGCGCGTGAGGGTTGGTAGTTCCCTAGTATCGTTGCGACACCGAGTTGATATGGCGATTCACAGGGTGGCGAGAAAACCAAGTGAGAGGAGACAGAAGAAAGGGGAATTTGAGCTGGGAAAGGGAATCGAGAGCGAAGAGGGAATTAGAGAAAGGAAAAAGGATGCCTTGAGACGTGTCCAAAGAAAGATGGTAGGTGGAGCGCGCGATAGAATGGGAAAAGTAGTTGCAGAGGGAGAAGAAGGGAAGAGAGAGAGAGAGAGGAAGGAAGACCGGCCGGGCTGTTGCTTCGAGCCTGCTTTGCTTGCGTTGCTTGCGTTGCTTGCGTTGCTTGCGTTGCTTGCTTTCACTACGGGCGGTCTCGATGGCGCAGAAGTGGAGCTTCCGTCTTCCCCCCGGAGCGGCTGATGTATTCCTCCGGACCCCAGGATTCCTCCTCCATCTGTCGATCGCGCGTCGATTATTAGGTAGTTGGAATCAATACCTAGTCGGTGTTTTCTGAATCTCGTCGATGCAAAAAGGAGGTGTTTCAACACGGCTAATCCATACTTCAAGATATTATCTTTAGTATATTCTATAACCTCCTACCAACCAGGTAATATATCCTATGTAATAAGCAGTAGACTAGCTACTGGATATCCTATCTGTGCTTCGTGGATTACGTGTCGAGGCACACTCGCTTTTCCAGACGATCCCATGAGCTCCAATATGAGGCGAAACAACATCTTCAAGATGACGTAGAGAGCCTATCTTCTTCTATTTGACATACTATACCTCAGGATGAATTTACCATAATTCGTATGCGAGTTCATCATCCAGGCGAGATCTCTGAACAGGCCGACTTCGAGTCATTGCCGCCATCGTCTGTTTAAAATCATCAAATTCCGGCACCGGCTTCAATTTCGAATCGTAATTCTTGCCTAAGAAAGGCGATCCTTCGTCGGAACTGGCACCATCATTCCAGGTGTGCAAGGTGCAAGTGCCGGTAGACAGACCCCAGCCATTCCATGACGTCGCTAGCGAATAATACCATTAGCTTGATTCCCAACGAGTCATAGGCAATAGACATCAATGTATGACCTACCTGCCATGACTGGACAGCTCGGATGCCAACTTGCATCTCGAACACATGTCTTCCACAGCACGTCGCTGCGGCTGCTACGTATCTCATATGCAGCAGTCGACATATCTGGGTCCAGCGGGCGCGAATTGTGGGTGGCTTGCCCTACATCAATTATCCCCGCCAGCGTCGCATCCATGTTATACACATACACCTTGCCATCCTCGCTTCCGCTATAGACGTACCGTGAGTTGGTACTGTCGGGAGGCGAGAAATGACAGCGGATCAACGTTTTGAGGACCCGATGACCGCGGTATGTAACGACCGAACAATCGTGTGGATGAGGGTCATAATAGTCATCAGGGTAGGTCTCGAATCGGTAATCAAAACCTGTAGTGAAATTATTGAAATCGATCGTGTCGAACTTCGCTGTAGTCATCATTTTTCTCAGATCCCAGAGCTTCATCGTCTGGTCTTTGCCGTTTGACAACACGTAACGTCCGTCGCCTTTGCTGTCAACGTAGGTCAGTCCTTCTGTATGTCCCATAAACACTCCGGCTTCGCGCCCGTCGCCCATGGAGCGTCTATCCCAAACCCTAAGGGTCGAGTCATCGGATCCGGAATAGATAATGTGAGGCGAAGATTGGTCACCAAAGCAAACGGCGTTGACGTCGTCTTCGTGGTTCTGTAACCGCAACACCGACTGGCGTGTTTCAAGGTCATAGACTATAACGGATTGATCGGACGTGCCCGCCACGATCTCGCGACCGTCGCCCGAGAACCGGATTGACCAAATCTATAGCAGGGTGAGTACGTACAACGTCATCAAGAGGTAGGGGTGCTTGAGCGTACACCAAAGTGAGAGTTCCCGTTGAAACGCATCCGTCGTCTTCCAGGTATTGAAGATAGATCCAAAACAGCTGGCTCTGCTTCATCAGCCGGATCAGTGGGTGCAAGACAAACAAGATTTCGAATTGAGGTATATGCTAGAAATTTGTTATCCGGACTCAAGCTCGCGTCGGTGATAGTCCATTGTCCGAATGGATAGGTCACCGTCTTGTAGTATTTCCACTCAAAGGGATTAGATGTGTCGTACATTCGGACCTTGAAGTCCTGAGCACAACAGAAGAAAAAGTTCCCGTCGTCTGAGAACTGGCCTGAGTAACAGCGAGAGTCGAAGTGAATGACTTTATCCGCCACTGCGCTGGGGATGAGTCCCTATAAGATTATGGTCAACATACAGGTCTTATCTTATATCCACCCGAGAAAATCACCTGAGCCATCGACCGAATGTCCTGCCTATTTGTCCCAGTCAGGTTGACTCCCAGTTCCCGCCACATGACCTTCGAAGCAAGAGCCTGGTTCCGCCGTTTGAGTCGATCGACGTAGTTCGTGTTGCGTCCAAAGTCACCCGAGCCCATTAATAGCTGGCCCTCATCGCTGGGAACTTTTGGCAGTTGGCTTTGGCCTGATCGTCGTGGTCGTCGACGATATCCAAAGAAGCCGAATTCATAGTCTTCATCCGCATCGTCTCCAGGTGAAGCCTCGTGCAGTCCATTGTAATGTAGTATATGCCGCAAGCCGTTGGAAGCAAGTAAATTTAGCAACCGTGCCGCAGACACTGTAGTCATAGGTGAGTTCTGACCAAGCGAACCTAGGAGCAGGGTGTGAGTCTACCTCTGTTTTGTCTACCGCCTTGGGTCTCCCCACCACCATTATTGTTAGCATGGGGCTCATCCATGGCGAATTCGATTTGTATATTGCCTAAGTGTAGTTGAGAATCTAAAGCAGCGAGGCAGGAAGAAGTCAGTTAAGCTATAGAAACAGAAGGCTCATCTCAACAAAATGCACAGAAGCAATGGAGTGAGAGGGAGCAGTACTGAAATGAGGATCATCGGCATCGATGTGATCTAAGTCGTCGTTGTCGTCCTCATCATACGGCTCGATATCGGAATCGTCGTCTCTTTCGTCAGTATCGTTGGGCTCATAGTCCATGTCTCCAAGCTCATCTTCGTCTAACTCGAGCCATTCCTGAGTTGGAAACCATCCTTCTTGGAAGGGAGGAGAGGATCCGGGGGGGCCGCCGCCAGCAGCGGGGGGCGAACCAGGTGAGCTCATTATCAGCCACAAGCGGGAGGGAGTTGGGTGGACAGCAAAAAGATAGCAGGTCTCATAACAGACGCCTCCAGTCAAACGAATCAGCCGTCGATTAGAGCAAGACAAGCCACAGAACCCCAATTGGCCAGCAAGTTGGTTAGTACTACTTTTGAGGGCAAGCCGCGGTTTGGCCCATGCTGGAGGGGGGAATGTTGTTTGCTCAATGCTGACCGACGCTTATCGATAGTTAAGACGGCCCGGTCGGTTATGGTTATGGTTATGTCATCCCGTCTTGGGTGGAGATTGCCTTTTTAACTCCTATCCCCGGAGCCACGTCCATCGTTTAACTTATACTCTATCTTTTGCTGTGCTTTGGATTGTCCATTTAATGGTCTCAATTCGTCACAATAATCAGAGAACTATTTACGAAACTATATGATCCTCAAATGTTGGACCACGAAGATACACACGTATAGTGTGACACGTGGGAAAATGTGGTGAAACCACAGCAGCGCATGACAATACCAATAGTGACCAATTCCGATGCACCACGGACGCCCATCGGCAGCCATGCTATCAGCTCTGTAACCGTAGACCGACTGGTGTGCCCTTGAGAATCTTATAATGTACGACCACATGACGAGCATAAGTTCCCGCTGTCCTTCAGTGTCCGGTACAACAGTCGCTATCCACACCGATATGATGATCACTATTACGAAAGTGTCTAACATCATGACCGCATCGAGTAGCGTGGAGACCACCTCCTCCGAATTTGCCAAATCAGGACAGGCACAGGCTGTCAAAAGATCAGGGTCCCCAGCTGTAGGAGCCCTATCAGTCAGGCACTTTCGCTTAGTTCGTCGCTTGATGGTCGTTGCGCGAAGGGCAAGCAGTTCATCAACTATGTGGAGGCGTGATCGCAACATGGCTGTGCCTTTCTTTCGAGTAGCTCGCTCTTTGGCCCAACAAGGAGAGCTCGACTCTCGTATAGACGGGCTGCATAGCCTGATCCGAGAGCGGCGTGTGATATCGAGAGCCATCGGTTTGATGAAAGTGCCTTGCTCGTGTACTTTTCTACAGGATATTCAGCATATGAATCCCTCCATGATCCACGGGCATGGAATTCTAGGCGCACTATACCGTATAGGACTATTCCAGATGGAGAGTTGTACATCACACCCAGCATTGCATGATTTGATATATGATAGATTCGTGGTGTCTTTTGAGGTGGTATGCACGAAGGTGAGTCGGATTTCTGCCCTCTCGTCTTTGAATGATACCAGTTGTTGAACGAAAACCAGAAATGACTTCGTCGCTTGACCTACAACGTACTTGGGTGGCGTAGGTGCTGGGGCCGATATCGGTAGTTCATGCATTTTTGCTGATAGACACATTTCTTGAGTATGCAGATTAGCTGCGAGCTCCTTTGCCGCAGGTATCTTGGCCGAGATTGCCACGTTAGTATCAATCGAAGGTATTGCCTTCAAGAAAGACCGCTGCTGCGGAGTGCAATGTTCGTGATTTTGACCATCCGGCTTGGCTTCGCCGGACTGTGAAGAGTCAACGAGCTCATGGCTCACTGATGAGACTCCTTCAGATAAGAACTTTTCAGATCTTTCAAGGGACTTCATAGTGCGGCCAGGAGCCCCAGACCTCAACAATGATTTTGCTGATGGTAGCGACGAAGTTGCACCAGAGACAGGATTTATCAGAGTATGCTGGCCATCTACGTCAGAAGCCCAGTTGCTACTTCGACAACTCTCTACCTCTTTAAAGCCTGTTATATGGCAGATCTGATCTGCACATTGATGGCAGGTTCCGGAAAGTGGTTTGGATTGGCGGCAGCGAGGACATAAGTCAAAGACGTGCCCACAAGCAGTGCACTTATTTTCCGGCTTCTCTGGCTGACCCTCAGATTGTTCTCGGCGGAGCTTCTCTACCTGTCTGGAAAGAAGCTTGCTCTGTGGCGGTCCTTCTGGATATTCCCTTTTGTTGGAATCCTCAGTCCTACATTTGCTGGGTTGAGACTCTTGAGGACCAGAGACTTGTCTCGCAGTGTCTCGACAACACGTGGCTGAATTGACCCCCTTCACCATTGCCCGATGGTGAGTCATAAGGCTTGTTGGTCCATGACATCTGGTTTCTTTCAAAAGTGAGTCCTCAAAGCCTAGAGGTCGAGATACATCAGCATCAGAGACGATGCCTGAGTTCGTATTGTGGGGAGTCGCTGGCGCTGAGCTTTTTCCGCGATAGGTCATTGGATTGACGTACTGTCTGTTATGATACCCCGTGCCGAAGAAGGTATTTTCTCCGTTCCCAGAGGCTGATGGAGCTTGGTCATTGCTTGGTCCGAAGCTAATCCCAGGGTATTGAGATTCATTGTTGCCCGGACCACCACTGCCCTGCCCACGATCATCACTATTGCGCCGACTTTGGCTCGCACTGGTGCTTGCCGAGCCAGTTCCTGCCACGCGACAATGCTCTGATACGCACTTGAAGTACCCTTCCCAAGAATCCACAGGCTGTCTACACTGACCGCATGCACGTGGCGGGGGCACCCTAGTCTCGACTAGGTTGATTTGCTCGCGTGTAGCTCGCCATTGAAAGCCGTGATTGTTTCTCAAGTGCAAATGCACCTTGTCTTTCCTTCTAGTCTTCCACGCGCACGTGTCATCGAGACAACGATAGATAAACCGAGGATAATGCTCATCTGCAACATGACGCCTGAAAGAAGGGCGATTGTTGTAAAGCTTGCGCTGTCCACTAACGCAGAGCAAGCAGATAAACTTGCTGGCTCTGGAACCAGTGTCGGCTAGGCTCTGAGAAAGATCGATCTGCTCTTGAATGAGTCGATCTAGCTTGTGCAAAGTGACTCGCAATAGGTCTTTTGCGTCGTGTAACTGAGGAACTTGGCACTTCACAACGCTCAATCGAACCGTATTAACGAGGTGTTCCACGGCGAGTTTGAGCTCGTCCTGATAGAGCTCACTCGAGGACTGAAGAGCAGGCGCGGAGTAAGAGTAAAGTGGGCCGTGAACGGTATGGTCATTTCCTGAGTTGGTTGCAGAAAATCCGTTGTAAAATGGAGTTTGAAGTCCAGCTTGGGAACTAGTGGAATCATTTGGAAAGAGAGGGATGTCCAGTTCGTGATGAAGGACATCGTCAGCGGGACTGAGACTGATGGAAGGAGACCCGAAAGAGTTAATCGATGAAGGACTTTGTTGCTGAACATCGAAGTTAGATTGAGGTACGGTAGATTCTCCGGACTGAGATACGAACCACTGAATGGATTTCTTGGGGTATGGTAGGCATGAGATGGCCATGACTCGTTTGGGGCTGGTAGTCGGGGAGTGTAAAGTGCAAGTTATACCAAGCACCGTTAGTGCTCGGATCATTATCCATGTCCGCAAAGAAGGTTGTTGGCGCAATTGCAATTGAGAGACAATTGAACCTTGGTCAGAGTGACCTATGAGACACTTAATTCGACTAAATAATGGAAAGGCACTTAAGTAAATGAGAGCCAAAATTCTTAAACAAGCAACAACAGATAGATTCTGGCACCTCAAAAGTAAATTAGGGTCACGAGTACAGTAAAACTACTAGTAGGTTGTTTCCACCAGAAGAGATGTAGTATCTTTTGGTAGGGCCAAAAGAAGTCAAGAGGTCCGTCAGGTCGTACTAAACATCTTGATCTGGGGGGGGGTAGTCTGTCCTATTTAAGGCATCACTATTTCGAGCAAGTCTAGTGAGGTAATGATCAGTTTCGCTGCTCTTCTCTCCCTCGCGAAAAAGCGTATGCGAAATTTCCGACGAGCAAGACTCAATGCTATGACGTTGCGTGGCTATGTGCAAGTGAGGACTCAATTTCTTTTCTTCTACCCAGGCTATGCCAGAGCCTTGCCCGCAGCAACGCCCGACTAGTGGTCATTCGGAGAAAGCAATATGTACCTTGATAGGCAGATGTTCGTATAAGCCAATGCCTGTGTATCTTCTGGCACTTCCTTGAAAAAGCAATCGATGGCTTTGCGCAGCCGCAAGGCTTAAGCTACCTAGTATTGATTGATCGTTGTCAGGTACAGTAGAGGTTCCAGCCAACTAGCATCAAGCCACTCACTCAATCACCTTCGCTCTCTCTGCATGGTTGACTTTCTGCCACTGCCAAAGGTTGCCATTGCTGTCTCTCGACAACGGAGTCACAACATCCAGATCCTTGTGCAACCTGGGCAAAGGTAGGTTACAGAAGATAGGCCATTATTACCTTCAGACTATACATTACATGATTTCTGTTCAACAGATGATGAAAGGACACCGTGTAGTACTTTCCAAGCTCAATCCAAGAAGCGAAGCACAACCCGGCTGCATAGTTAAAACCCCAGACTATATCTCCGAGAGTATGCGAAAGCTTCTATACGGAAGTGAGGCGCTCAGGATCCGAGACTAGGATGATGTTGCCCTGAGCGCGAGCACCGCTTCACTGTCGTCCCTGGTTCAAATAACTCCTGAAATTGACTGAAATGGTCGGAGAAGGCCGAAAGGATGAGAGGAAAGGCACAAGTCCCGGGCTCTTTCAGCTGCATCGTTCAACAACCCCTCTTTCTGTCCGAAAATACTAATTGTCTCCTGGCCTGCTGCGCCCCCGTTAAGTGCTATGTAGTAATAAGGAAGACATTTGGGAAAGGGTCAGATCTGAGTCGGTGAAGAGACATGGCTTCAAACTCCGTACGGTCAAAACGTAAGTTAGGATAAGGTAGTGGAGAAAACGGATATCCCAAACCTTCTGTAACACCAGCTGGTGGCTGACAGATGCAACGTTCTGCTGCTTGCTGTTGCTACATTCAGCTTTGAAAAGATACAGAATCCTTCTGATTGACCTCGTACCTGCAAAGGACCAAAACTGGAATATGGTGTCAAGCGCCTTGTTTTTGTTCACCCTCTCCTCTGCCTTCGGCGCCTCGGCCTACGCCTTGCTCCTCCGCTTTCTTTCGTCCCGGTTCACGCCGCTCCGTAGAGCCTCATGCCGGGGCACCTATTGTTCGCTCCAAGAGTGTGTTAGAGAGGAGATCTCGTTGCGACACAACGCAGATAATGTAGTCTGTTGGCCCAACTTGAGCCGCTTCAGCTGTGACCAACCTGCATCCCATCATTTCTGGCGACCTGTGGCTGTGCAGTCGCCCAAGCCGTTTTCCCTCATCTGCAGGAGACCAAAATTCGTTCTTGATGACATCAAGGTTTGGAGAATTTGCTGTTGGTACCAACATTTGGCTGTTCTTAAACCGATATGATTCGTGCATGGATCCCTGATGAAGCTGTTCCAGACTGTACGGAGTCAATATACCGAGATTGGTCCATCGACGAGGAGAGGTTAAGATAGTAAGGCTGGTTTTCGACCACAAGTCGAGAGATGCTCGATCCAGAACACCATTGGCGCATCATTGCCCAATGCCTTTCAGGCGCAATGCAATGCGACCACCTGGGAGATTTTTAGACTTGCATGCCAGGACGTAGCTCCCTTAGCCAAATTCGTGGAGGTTGAAGCGTGTCCAAGTAGAGCTATTTGCTAAGCCACAGGGTTAAATAAACGACTAATCAGCTAGCGATCTTGAAAGTAAGAGCAAAGCAAGGTCTCTCTCTATTTGAGTCGTCGTGTCTGACATGTAATTTGAAAATTGTTCCACGCAGTCTGTGCTACAGCGCCAATTGCTATCTGTCCAAGTTATCTTTGTCTATCGACACAAGCAATCTAAGCTGCCCACAACCGAGGCTCAATGACAGACGATACACCGAAAGGATTAATGCAGAAGATTACTTGGTAGTGCTAAGTTTCTAGAGATAATGGCTCAGTAATTGTATAGCACATGAATTTCAAGTGATGTTCTACATTGTCTTCATTGTAGAGGGTGTGGTATATACACAAATCCTCGCCCATCAGATTAACCAAACACCAATCGCTTAGTGGGGGTGGTTCTTGTGGTGGCCTGCGCTGCTGTTAGTGCGCATGATCATTCAGTGTTCATCAGAAGACATACGGAGGTGGAAGTAGTACTCCATGCTGTAGCCGAGGAGGAGGATACCGGCAATGGCGTGGATGAAGGCTATAGGTCAAATGGTAAGCTTGAGTCTGCATTGCACAAATCAAGTGTGGCCATCACGTACGAGTAGCAGACTGGTTCTTTCCGGTGAAATAACGAGCCTGGTAACGTCCAATGAGGCCAGTGGGCTTGACCTCAGGGGCGGGACCGCGAGGAAGTCTGGCGTAGAAGTTCACGACACGGTCCATGCGGGCAGCATCCTTGGCGGCACCGATCGCCTTTTCAATTTGTTAGCTATGGTGACGAGGAAGGGTTGTGCTGGTGCTTGAGCCGAGGTGACCGGGGCAAAAAAGAGATTGCTCCTCGAGGCAGGTTCTCAAGAGAATGGCAGAACACGGGGTGGCAGGGTATCTCACGTTGGGGGAAGCGATCTAAAAACTGATTAGCATCCCTCTTACCTCATCATCATATTGTTTTCTGATTGTGTTCAGTCGGGTCTTACCTTGGGAGGGATGAGGGTCGAAAGACCGCGGCGGGCGATGTAGCTCATCTTGAAGGATCTAGCCAGGATCGCGTCAGAAAAATCTTCCATCGCAATTCAGAGGTGCATAATTGACTATAGGCCAGTCGCGGAATAGTCGACTTACCTTGACGCTAGCAGGTTAACTAGGACAATGAATACTGACGGGGAGAAGAGAGAAGTGCCAACAGAAAGCGGGTTGTCGGATGAGCGGTTCCTAACGCAGGGAGCCTCATTATCGCGCTAGTCCTAATTCGGGTTTGTCTGAACGACCGGCACTCGCCGCATACCTCACTCTGCAATTGCTCTCCCGCAGCTGCTCCTTCACCTGTCCACCCACAAACCATACATACCCATAATGTCGCTTGCAAGAGCAGGAAGATTTGCCTGCCTTCGTGCCGGCAGGCTCACCGCACCTGTCAATGCCCGTTTCGTATCCACCGCCGACGGCTCCGTCAACACCAGCCCTGCTGATGCCCCGACCATCCCTCACAAAGACAGCACATTGATCCGCAAGGAGAGCCCTTCCCAGGCAATGGCTCGTCATCAGCCTGATTACGAGGCTACCATTGACCACGCCACTTCGTGAGATCTCTCTACGCGACACGGGAGGCAATGGGTCGACTAACGACAATAGGAACTTCTCCCCCGTGCCCAAGCGCGTTATGGATGGTAGCGAGCCCGGTGATACCGTCGCTGCTGCTGTCCTGTCTGGCGCTCCCACCGATCTGCAGGCTCGTACCGTTCGGTAGGTGATTTAGCCGGTCCTCAAATTCTAGTGCGCTAATGTGAAATAGCATTTACCGCCCCACGAAGCCCGCTACTCAGTCAGGAACCTGGCACGGCCACCACTGGAGAATGGATTGGGATATCTTGCAGAAGGGTCATCGGTGGGAGAACCCATTGATGGGCTGGCAATCCTCCGCCGACTGCATGCAGGGTACCAACCTCAAGTTCAAGACCAAGGAGGACGCCATCCTGTTCGCCCAGAAGCAAGGCTACGAGTACTTCGTCCAGGAGCCCAATGAGCGCCGGTTTGTTCCTAAGTCTTACGCCAACAACTTCCTCCACGAGCCCAAGAAGCTCAAGCATATCAAGACCAAATAAATCGAGTTTTCCGCCGTGTCTCGTGTACATAAGTACAGGCTTTTGTTCTAGTTCTGAATTATGCTTGGAGATCGATTACAATGTTCAACACTTCAATCTTCTACACATTCAAGGCCCCGGCTTGTGTCCGACACTTTTCAGGTCCCCACGTCACAGAGAGAGATCATATAAGGCGGGGATTGATATCCCCTAAACTCATAGAACAGGCTCGGGGTGGGGCGTTTAGACGGATCCCTGATGATACATCAGCGGTGAAGGGTCAAGCAACACACTGATATGGATTTTTCCGAGCCAGATGAGCATTGTGATTGAGGAAATGAGCCCTATAATATGCTAGTATATGTTATTCTTGAATCGCAGTCATTGTTTCTGACACATTTCATCTTGGACGTCCAATCGTCTTTAGAATTTATTTCATTGAACTGGCAATGCATCTAGCATAAACCAACTGGAAACCAAGCATAAGCTACTATCGTAAGGGGCATCTAAGCAAACTCCAGCTCAGCGAAACCATACTTAGATGCATATAATATGAGATATTACAATCGATGAGCGCAACACCATCGTTTTTGCCATGGTGGAAACTCTCTACCCATATACAACATACAATTAATATGCAAAGTCATGGCAGGCAATGACTGGGTCACTGGTTACTGCTGGAAATCCTGGATTTGAGTCTTGGCACGCTTCAGAATACTACGAGTATTTGGTGCCTTGGCGTGTGCGTACAGTGCTGTTGCATCCGAGCGCAGATATATCAAATTATCTGCATGGAACTACAACTTACTGAACCTCAACTAATTTTGGTGGTCGAGTCGGAGCTATCCTTTCTGTTTGCATTCCTCATGCATAAGCAGAGATAAGATCTGTCCCGCTGCAGCTGAAGGATGGTGCCTACCGGCACGTTTCGATCCGGGAGTAGTGGTGGTGGGTGGCTTGGAGAGATTTTAAAGCAAAAGACGCCTAGCCCACGGCCTGTGGTACCCCGCCCCCCCACCTAAAATTTATTATCAGGTGGTGATAAGATCGTAGGAAAAATTGTCCCATCTCTCTCTTTCATGATCTTCTCCTTCGCCAAAATCCCTCCTTTTCCGGTCACTAATACGATATTTAATTCATAATCACCATGTCTTCTGCTGCTACCGATAATGTGAACGGCGTTGATGAGACAGTCCTCACCCTGCGCAAAGTTCTTACTTCTGAGTCCGAGCCCCTCGCTCGCCGGTTCCGCGCCCTTTTCTCTCTCAAGTACCTCGCTTGCCTGCAGCCTCCCACTGAAAAGACCCTGCCCGCCATCCAAGCCATCGCCGCTGGTTTCTCCTCCAAGTCGGCTCTCCTGAAGCATGAGCTGGCTTACTGTCTCGGTCAGACCCGCAACCCTGATGCCGTCTCGTACCTCCAGCAGGTCCTGAAGGATACGGAAGAAGACGCCATGTGCCGCCACGAGGCTGCGGAAGCTCTCGGTGCTCTCGGTTACGAGGACAGTCTCGAGATCCTCAAGGCCCTAAGAGATGATGAGAAGGAGCTTGATGTTGTCCGCGAAACTTGCGACATCGCGGTGGACCGTATCATCTGGGAGAACTCTGAGGAGAGGAAGGCTGAGAAGTTGAAGCCTAGGTATGCCTACGAAGCTTCAGATGATACTTCAAATGATACTAGAAATGTATTCAATGTGCTAATTGGAAAATAGTGACTTCACTTCCATCGACCCGGCCCCGCCACTTCCCATGGCCGCCGAACAACCTTCCATTCCCGAACTGGAGAAGACCCTGCTCGACACGAAACTTCCTCTGTTCCAGAGATACCGCGCCATGTTTGCCCTGCGCGATCTTGCCTCGCCTCCGGATTTGCCCACGGCTGTCCAGGCCGTCGAGGCCTTGGCCAAGGGTCTCAAGGATCCTTCTGCTCTTTTCCGTCACGAGGTCGCATTCGTCTTCGGTCAACTATGCCATCCTGCCTCCGTGCCTTGTCTTACGGAGACGCTCAGCGACCAGACAGAGATGGGTATGGTGCGACATGAAGCCGCCGAAGCTCTTGGCAGTTTGGGCGATGTGGAGGGCGTCGAGGATACATTGAAGAAGTTCTTGAACGATCCGGAGCAGGTGGTAAGAGACAGCATCATTGTGGCGCTTGATATGGCGGAATTCGAGAAGAGCGGGGAAGTCGAATACGCCCTGGTGCCAGATTCGGCGGTCCCTGCTGCGGTATCTGCTTGATTGATGAATTATGCGAACAAATATATTACAATGTCGGGTAAATAGTTGCTTTCATGCCTCATAGATGTACAAATGCGGGCCAAAAAATAGACGTCATGATTTTCGCTTTTTAGTTGTTCTGCGTTTCCCTGTAGAAATTGGTCAATGAACATGAACGTCTGCAATGGGCAAGGAGGGGATATTGCTGACTTGTGACCACAAACACATCTTAAAAATACTGTACTTCCTTCGTCTGCACTGCGCAATTGCACGGTCGTGAAGTACATTTCCTTTCTACCGCACTTGACGCAGGTGTGCTGGGTAAGAGCTTCCGTCTTTCTATCTTCCGCTGTCAAAGTCTGAACGGCGGATCGCTTTGCCCTCAGGGACGACGGAAAAGCACTGGGTTTGGATTCGGATACAATTGTTTGGGGGACGGTGTCTAGCATACAGGAGAAAAGTTGTTAGTGACATGGTGTATTGGCCTGATTTGAACCGTCTTACCTTTATTCTTAGCTCCACAGATATCGCAGACTAGGATCTTGCTCGTGTCTCCAATTGAGCCATCTAGCAAGGAGCCACAATCTGTACAGAAAACAAGAGATCCGATAGCCGACATATTGGGGACAAATATGTAGTCTAAAGAGTTGTAGCCTTGGTTGAGCGTACCGATCTGTGAAGCCTGCCAACTTTTTTTTTCTGCGAGGGAAGCGGCCTCCGGAAAGATTTCCACTGCACGGACCACTTTCCTTGACCAGCAACTACATTAGTCTCGGGCGGTCAGTAGCGGTAGCGGCATGAGAACCGTGCCTGGCATTAATTATTGCATCAGTTTGTATTGGGATCGTTTGACTCGAAGTTAAGGCACCCTTCTCTTTGGGATGATCCCTCATTCGCTTGACGGATAGCCATGACTCTGGGTAGAGCATGTCTTCCTCCGTTGTTCTAATCATTCCCTCAGATCGACCCCCTACGTTCCAGCAGGGAAAACCGCGGCCATGGCTCAGAACTGGCATCCGGCCGTTCAGGTCGTCATCAATGGCCATCCACAAGCGCAGCCTCTTGGCCCGAGTGGGCAAGCTCGGGGCTGTAACAGGCCCTTATATGTGAACGAAGCTCTACAGTACTCTCCTATGTCCAGCGCGCCGGTCTTTGGTCTAGGTTAGTGTGGTATACAATCTGAGCGGCCGAGGAGCTTAAGCTGATGAATACCGTTTCTCCTTAGATTGCATCCTACGTCCAGAAGTCGGACGGCCACCTAGCACTACCTCTATCAACCACATTGTCCAGTCGGGTCGCGCTGCTTTGAACGATTTGAATAATGAGATTCAATCGGGACGTGATGAGTCGAACCGCTTGGAGACTTCCCGGGAGTACCTGCAGCAATTGTTAGATGGCGACCAGCTGACGGAGTTGTGAGCTCAAAATGATCCGTGATATACAAAGCAAAGACTCACTGGATTGCATAGCAAATTTAAACTGCCCCCGGGCTTGGGGAATGCTCAAGCCTCACCATCCGATGTCGTCCCAGACCATGTCTCCAGCAATCTTAAGCTTAGTCCCTTTGCGCAAATGATGCTGGACGCCACGGATATTGCTTTCAGATGTATGGAACCCAGTTATTCAGAATATTCAGCACATGCCCCTGTACTAATAGACACTAGATCCGACGTCCGGCGACATGAAAGTTTCACAGAAGCCTACGCCCGCGAAGGCAAAGTCACCTCTCATAAGCAAACCAACTCCCCCTCCCCAGCATCTACAGCCTCTCCAAACCAGTCAGCTCTCGGTAATCATACCCGTGAAACCACTGCCACCTCATACCGACGATCATGGTGCCTCGAAGAGGCGGAAACTCAATACAGATGGAGGTGATAACATTGGATCAATACGATTGAAAGATCAAAAAGAGGAGGCGGATGCTGCTCTTGTCAAGCTACAGGACCTTTTTCAGGAAATATTTGAGGCGGAGGATCAGCTTGATCCAGGAACAGTGTCAGAAGACACTACTGAACAACCCAACGCGGTGTTCGTTGCAGCTCACGCGCTGGACGTGAACGGGCTGCTTCTGTCATCAGATGCTCATACACGGCTGCAAAAGGCTATCAAGAAAGTCGATAGTTTCAATCGGCTTCAGGATATTCCGTCAGAGTACTTGAACAGGGCCCAGAAGCTGTGCGAGAAGCCTATCATTGCTGCGCAATCGCTTGACCTGAGACTGGACGACCCATCGAGTGAAGCGGACACTCAGGATTGGCTCAGAAAGGTGGATGACATGCACAATGCTCTATATGCAGTAGGGACCTTGCTGCAAACTATGTCCGGATCTCAAACGGAGAGAGATTTATGCCCAGAGGATCTGATCGAAGCTATACCCAATGTCTTTAACCAGGTTTTTGATCACTGCGTCATTCCTGCTGTTCAAGCTCGTCCCGGCGGCAAGGATGCGAAATACTTCGAATTCTTTTCAGCGCAGAAACGGGTGTTGGGGGCGCTCATTCAGCAAAGCAAGAAAGTACTTGCTCTGTTCGCCGATTTCCTCGCACGCATTGAAGTGTCGGAAGGCACGGTCAATGCTGCTGAGTACTTTGCAGCCAAACTTATATTTGTGGAGAATGCTCACACCGAAAAAGACTCCACCGTCGGTTATCAAAAATACGAGTCGGTCAGGCGGGGAGCCATGGATGTTCTGGCAAAGATATTTTCAAAATATCCTGCTCAACGGCCGTATATTCTAGATGAGATTTTGGTGTCTTTGGAAAAGCTTCCTTCAACACGGCAAAGCGCGAGACAGTTTAAGCTTGCCGATGGTAAGAACATACAGCTTCTCACCGCGTTGGTGATGCAGCTTGTGCAGACGACTGCTCTGGATGTTCCTACCTCCAAATCTTCAAGAATCAAACGCAAGCTACCAGGTTCGACAGACAATGACGACGACGAAGACGACGATGAGCTTGCAGGACACGGTCAGGCAGATGATGATCAGGACTCGGATTTATCCTTGGAACGTCTTGCGACAAAAGTCAATCGCTTATATGATAATGCCGTACGGAGTGCTCAGTATATTGTGAAGTTCATTGTACAACGGGCAATGACTTCGACTAAAACTGGGGATCAGCCATATCGAAACATTTTCGACCTTTTTACCGAAGACTTGATCAGCGTCCTAGGTTCCACAGACTGGCCGGCAGCGGAACTACTTCTCCGAATCATGGCCTCCCATATGGTTGGCATCGCTGATCTTGACAAAAGTTCTGCGACCGCAAAGAGTATGGCTCTTGAGCTCTTGGGTTGGATGGGCTCCGCTATCTCTGATCTCATAGCCACTGCTCAGCATCTGCTTCCCGCCATGGAAGAATCGGATAGTGAGCTCACAGACGATCTGAAGCAAATGTTTGAGGACTACACGAATCGTGCTTTGCACCCGCAGGACCTGGTTGTTGCGAATGGTCCGTACAGGATGACTCTCGAGTATCTTATTCAAGATCGGAGCTCGGATAGTTGGCAGCTGACAAGTGCTCGGGGATACTATCTGGCACAGTGGGCCAAAACGTTCTGTTCAGTCTACTACAACTCAGATGATAAAGATGATTCTGCTTATGATGATGCGAACGACAGTCTGGTGGAATTCTTCGTCAAGTCGATGTCTGAGCCTTTATGGCTTGAAACCCATCGGTAAGTAGCTTGAATGATGTACGAATTTGATGGAACGGCCCGCTGATTCCTGTAGACACTTCGACAACGTTCCTACAGCACATGGCCGATTTGCATACATGATGACGGTTTTGAACTCGGGCTTCTGCAAAGCTTTTGATACAATCTTGAAAGTCCTTCTTAATTCGATCGCCAGTGACCAGGCCAAAGTCCGAAGTCGCAGTCTAAAGAGTGTGATATACATGCTTGAGAAAGATCCCAGTCTTCTCGACAGAGACGCTTCCGTCATGCGGGTGATTCTGCGCTGTGCGACAGATGCATCTCCAATGGTGCGTGATTCTGCGCTGTCTTTGATCGCCAAATGCATGGTGCTAAAGCCGAAGCTTGAGGAAGAAGGCTGCCGAAGCATTCTGGCCTGCGCCGCCGATCCAACTGCAGGTGTGCGGAAGCGCTGTATTGGTCTGCTGAAGGATGTGTATCTGAAAACTTCGCGCACCGAACTGAAGCTGGCTATCTTAGACAGCTTCTTGCAGCGGACAAGTGATTATGAAGAAAGCGTTGCCACATTGGCTCGTCAAACATTTGAGGAGATATGGCTCACGCCATTCCACGACCTCATAGAATCTGCCCAAGACGGCTCGGCACTCAAGGTGGGTCTCGGTGAACGTGTCACTCTGATTGTCGATCTGGTTCAACGCAGCGACACAGCGCTTGAGACCTTGGGAAATTGTCTTAAGAAGATCATGTCCGATACTTCTAAGACCGCACCTCTCAATTTTAAGGTGTGCAAAGCCATGGTTTCTACCATGTTCGAGAAATTAGTCGAGGATAGTGATTCCGGCAAAGAATTCCAGCAGGCGTTGTTGCAGACAATCACCGTATTTGCAAAAGCCAACGCCAAATTGTTCCGTCCTGACCAGCTGGAGACGCTTCACCCCTATATTGGACATCTTGCCACAGCGGAGGATCTCTTTCTTTTTCGGTCTGTGGTCGTTATCTACCGTTGTGTACTGCCTTATTTGTCCTCGGCACATAACAGTCTTCTGAAAGAAGTACAGAACGACCTTTTCAAGAGCGTCGCTAAGCTTGCTCGCTCCGAACTCAACGAAGTTATGGCTTGTCTATGGACCATCAACGGCGTTCTTAACAATACTGATCGGCTTGTGAAGCTCACAATCTCCGTGCTGAAACCCATACAGCACTACAAGAACGTTGACCTTTCGGACGGTAGCAATAGTGCTGTGTTGGCCAGAGCGAAAAGCTATATCCGTATCGCCGGTTGCGTTGGGAGACACTGCGACCTTGAAAAGTACGAGCCCCATTTTAGAGCTGCGTTTCCATCTTGGAAAGGTGGTTCAGTGGCTGGCTTGATGATAGATTCTATGATCCCATTTACCCTGCCCAAGCAACCGCTCGAATTGAGGGTAATGTCGCTGGAGAGTCTGGGTTCTGTCTGTCAGTCTTGGCCAGCTCAGTTTGGCCGCGAGGGTCCGAGACAGGTCCTTTCCAGCGTCTTCAAGGAAGACAATCCCAGTCTGCAGAATATCGTTCTCAGATCGTTCGCCGATTTCTTCGCAATGCATGAAGGCAAGACAGAAAAGTCTGTAGTGGCTGCTGCCGAGATTGCAGAACAGGAGAACGCAACCAGATTGGGAGGATCACTAAGAGCCAGCGACAACGATGGGGCTGCGGCCTTGATTGCACAACATTTCCTTCACAGCATGCTTAAGGTCGCGCAGTCAAGGCAAGATTCATATGCTTTGACTGCAATCGAATTGATAGCAAGCATCAACCGTCAGGGTTTGGTGCACCCGAAAGAATGTGCTGGCGTGCTCGTCGCTCTGGAGACATCTACTGTCCCAGCAATCGCCAAGGTAGCGACTGACACCCATCGGATGCTTCACCAACAGTACGAATCTATGTTTGAAAGAGAATACATGCGTGCTGTCCAGGAAGCCTTCTACTACCAGCGTGATATTGTGGGGGATCCAAGTGGCGCCTTAAGCCGCCCGTACATCGCGAAACTAGCGCCACTCTTTGATATTGTCAAAATCAGCAACAGTCGCTACCAAAGAAAATTCCTCTCAAATCTTTGCTCGAAAGTGGACTTCGAACTCAAAAATCTGAATGTCAGTGGTGACCCACCTGAACACCTTCTGCTCGCTCGCTTTGTGGCACAAAACCTTGCGTTCTTCGACTATGGCCAGCTCGCCGAACTTGTGCCGACTATTGGCTGCATGGAGCGCATTGTTTCTGCCACGGGGACTATTGTTGCTCACTCGATCGAGACGGAAGTCTTTCTCTCCAAGCCTGAGGCTCCACTAGGAGACGAGACGGCTGTACCTGTGGCGCAAGGTCCGGGAGACATGGCTCCGAAACCGCAGGTTAATCAGGGGACTTTGCGACTTCTGGCTACGGCTGCTGCATCCCTCGCCATGCTCTGGGAAGCTCGAACGTTTCTTCGCCGTCTGTACGGTGTGACAGCACATGTCCGTGACAAAGAAGCCAAAACCGGCGCCAAAGAGCTCAACAAGTCGGCTACGAAAGTGCACGGCATTACGGGCGACAAATTCTGGGACGCCATCGCACGGAACATGAACTCCTTGAGTAGCGTGGAGGCAATGATTGAGAAATGCCGAGAGTTCGCGACTTTACTTGCCATTGATGACGAGTTTAAGGTGGGAGACAATGAAGACGCCGAGGGGGAAGAAGTTACGGACATGGATGATACGGGAGCTGCGTGGGCTTCCGCGAGTACCCAGAGACCTGCGAAGCGAAAGAACTCGATGTCCGGACATAATCCCGTGAAGCGCCCGCGCGGGCGTAAAAGTGGTTCGGGAAAGAAACGAGCCAGCACCGAACCGGGGGAGGAACCGGATTGGCATTAACGAACAAAGCCAAGGCCGTTGATCGGGCTGGTTGATGGAGAAAGTGCCAGTGACTGGACTGTTCAATAGTCGGAAAGGTTGCATGCATCTGGGATCAGGAATGGCGTTTTGTGGCGAAAGAGAACTCTGCTTTGGTATCTGAGCGCGATTTATGAGGCACTGGATTTTATTCCCACTATTTTTAAACCAGGGAGCGTGATCGCTGGTTTTCTTTTGTTGTTATTTATACCTTCGTGACTCCTGGAATTGTGGCTCAAGTGTCGTGTGGGTGGGGAATTTCCACCTTCCTAGGGGTCCGGCGTGGGTTACCAAGATATAGTTAATTTATATCCATGATGCTAACAGCAATAATGTGTTCTCGTACCCGTCAGCAACGATAACTTAGAAATAACTTAATGCAGTGGATAAAGCGATGAAGACAGAGGATGCCAAGCCGGGCCCTGCAGGCCGAGTGGGCCTCTTTCTTTAGCGTGCTTGGCTTCTGATGACGTCGCCTGCCACTCACTCCGATTTTCGCGTGTCCAACTTTCAATCTCTTGGTCTCTTGCTGTTCAACCCCCATTCTTCTTCGCTTTCTCTCTACTACTGTGTAGCTTTGTTGTTCGGTGCTTGTGACTCGTTCTTTTTCGTGTCTCCTGTCCATTCTATCTTTGGTCCCCTCTGCAGGTTGTGTTCACCAACCCGGACTCCAAATTCGGTCGTTCTCCTCCTGTTTTCCTTCCCTTACAGCTCCCATGAGCGCAGCTTTCCTCCGGCGTCGTCCGGACACATCTGCGCTGCGGAGAATCAACCTCCTCACTCGCCGCTACAACTCCGTTAAGCAATCAGCACCAATTGGCTTGGTAACGGCTCGAAGTCAGTCGTCTGCTCTAAAGCCGACCGCCCAATGTCTGACATCGCGTACGTTCTTCAATCCCCGATACTCGGTCCGGCATAAGTCCACAACAGCAGAGGCCGCTGCGGTCGTGCAAAGGTCCTCTCTCCGCAATGCCTTGTTCAAGTCATTCGCATACTGTGGTTTCTTCATCGTTATGAGCGGCGCAGCAGTGGTAGCTTTCTTCATCTACGATGCAACCACCTACCGCGAGAACTCTAGCGCCGCGGATGTCCCGGTCTCGGAATTGGCCCTGAACCCTCGACGAGGTGGTCCCAAGAATTTACCCATTGCCGAGGTTCTGATAAGTGACAATGACTCGGATGACCGCTTAGCGTCGAAGGATAAGCCTAGGTTGGTGGTGTTGGGAACAGGTTGGGGCAGCATTGCGCTGCTCAAGCACCTCAACCCGGGCGACTACCACGTCACGGTAGTGTCTCCGACCAATTATTTCTTGTTCACGCCTATGCTGCCATCCGCGACGGTGGGCACTCTCGGCTTGAGATCCCTCGTGGAGCCCGTTCGTCGCATTGTGCAGCGGGTCAACGGCCACTTCTTGAAGGGACAAGCCGAAGACGTTGAATTCTCGGAGAAGCTAGTCGAGGTGTCTCAGGTGGACGCCAATGGCAAGGAACAGAGATTCTATCTTCCCTATGATAAGTTGGTCATCGGAGTCGGTGAGTTGATTGTTACGATTTGTTCTGCAGTAATTCTCCTATACTGATACTGGACTCCTCAATCTCTAGGCTGCGTGACGAATCCCCACGGTGTCAAAGGCCTCGAGAATTGCCATTTCCTCAAGAGCATTGACGACGCTCGTAAGATCAAGAACCAAGTCTTGGATAACATGGAGTTGGCCTGTCTCCCGACCACTAGTGACGAAGAGCGCAGGCGTCTTTTGTCTTTCGTTGTCTGTGGTGGTGGCCCGACTGGCGTAGAGTTCGCTGCTGAATTGTTCGATCTGCTAAACGAGGACCTCCTCCACTCCTTCCCCAAGGTCCTGCGGAACGAGATCTCTGTGCACATCATTCAGAGCCGTAGCCATATTCTCAACACCTACGATGAAGCTTTGTCTCGCTTTGCCGAGGTAAGTTCGTACATCTCATGATTGACCTCTCACGCTAATCTCGATGTAGGCCCGATTCGCTCGTGATTCTGTGGATATTTTGACCAATGCCCGAGTCAAGGAAGTCCGCGGTGACAAGGTCCTCTTCACTCAGACCGAAGACGGCAAGATTGTCACCAAAGAGATTCCAATGGGCTTCTGTCTCTGGTCCACTGGTGTCTGTGAGTATCTTTACACATTCGTTAGATGCACTTTGGAGCCTGGACTAACGACGCAGCCCGCGCCCCTCTTTGCGAACGACTCTCCGAGAGACTCGAATCCCAAAACAACAAACATGCCTTAGAGACCGACTCGCACTTGCGCCTCATCGGAGCACCTCTGGGCGACGTTTATGCCATTGGTGACTGTAGCACGGTGCAAAACAACATCGCCGAGCACATTGTTTCCTTCCTCCGCACTATTGCATGGGAAAAGGGCAAAGACCCGCAAAAGTTGCACCTCACTTTCCGCGAGTGGAAGGAGGTTGCCAACCGGGTCAAGAAGCGATTCCCCCAGGCTTCGAATCACCTCCGTCGCCTCGACAAGCTCTTTGAACAGTATGACAAAGACCACTCGGGAACTCTCGAGTTTGGCGAACTCTCCGAGCTCCTGCACCAGATCGACAACAAATTGACCTCTCTTCCGGCCACTGCACAGCGCGCCAACCAGCAGGGCGAGTACCTCGGCCGAAAATTGACCAAGATCGCAGCTGCGTTGCCGGGCATGCAGGCCAACCAGATTGACTACGGCGATCTTGATGAGGCGGTTTACAAAGCCTTCAAGTACAAGCACCTGGGCAGTCTGGCCTACATCAGTAATGCGGCGGTCTTTGACTTCGGAGGCATGAATTTCAGTGGCGGTGTGCTGGCGATGTATCTGTGGCGGAGTGTGTATTTCGCTGAGAGTGTGAGCTTCCGGACCAGATGTATGCTGGCCATGGACTGGGCCAAGAGGGCGCTGTTTGGAAGAGATCTTATGAGTTTCTAATTTCTGCTATGGGTTGGTTGATCTCAGGCCTAGCCCTCCATGAATTTTACATTACTAGGTGGGAGAGCCGGGGGATGGGGCGTAATATGCAGATAGGTATATATGAGGACGACTTTGATTCTTAGCCACGCAATGAATCTCGGATGAAGTGACCAGAGAAAAAGGGGAATGTTATCATTATAGTTGTTGTGTGCTACTCTCTCGAGAAGAGGATTACCGATCATCGGTTTAGCCTGCGCCACAAGCAGGTATTAGTGTGAGTGGCTAACGTCATTCCCGACTGTTCCCCCCCAACTTCTCCTCGGCTTCATTACCTTCTTCTTGTTTAATTCTCTTTCCCCACCTCTACTATTCTTCTCTCTTCGGTTCCCCTTTTTTACTTTTTCACTTGTCTTATATTTCTCATGACTGTTTGACTCTCCATAATCTGTCGCTCGTCTTGACCTCACTCTGTATTCAGTCATACTTGTTGCTGGTCACTTTGTGGCTATTCTAAAGGGTCCTTCTTTCCTGCTCTCTTGCTCTTTCTACGCCGTCATCATCAAACAGTTCAACTCTTCTTCTATGTATCTCTAAAACGAGCATACTTGCCATCCCTCCAGGCTGCGCCGGTGACGAGCCCGAAGGACTGACACTAAATCATGACTGACGCTGCATGACTGGATCTGCTGCCAGAGAATCGAGCAAACAAGAGCTACTAGTCCCAAGGATCCCCGCCACAACGCCGTTTGCTGGTCCGAATTTCGATTGCGACCATCGATTTGGCCCATTAGATTTTCCGCTCGCTTCCCCCCTTCCTTTTGGTCTCTCTCCGCCTGTAATCCTCCTATACTCTCGCCCTCTTTCTCCTCTTATCTGAGTCTCTTCGTTCGGCCTTTGTCACCATGGCCGACGCCGCCGGGGACCGTGTCATGTGTCATGCTTGCGGCGGCGTCTGGCCGCGCCGCGAGCACGGCCTGATTTGCCCGCATTGCGAGTCGGACTTTACCGAGATTGTACGCTTATGCCCGACTCACTTGCCGTCAGACCTATCTATCAAAATTCCAAACTCACCGGTCATAGATTGAGATTCCTCCCGATCCCGAGGACGAGCCCACTCTCATTTCCGACCGTCCCGATTCTGCGTCTTCCCCCCGAACTGCTGGCTCCCCGCTCAACCCATGGGCTGACCATAATCCCTGGGCGACCCCAGGTGGTTCTGACCATAACGATGGGGATCATGCCTGGGATTCTGGAAATGGTCTTCGACATCGCACCTACCGATCACCGGACGGCCGGTTCACCTTCTCCACGACTACCTACACCCATGGCTTTGGCGGGCAATCCCCGTCCGCGCAGAGTCATACGAATCTCGATCCCTTGATGGTGGTACAGAATATGGACAACATCTTCCGAGGCCTGACAAGCACCTACCAACAACGCGAGCGTTCGACCTCTGTATCAAGTTCTGGACAAGCTTCTAGTCAACCTCGGAGCCAGGGGCAACGTTTAGGCACGTTTGAATTCAATATTGACACCGGTAACTCCGCGACGTCCAGCCAGGATGGTGGCCTTCATCCTCGGGACGCGGATGGCCCGCAGCCGATGAATAATCCGCTACGGACCCTGAGTGAGTAAGTTTACTGGACTCAGAGGACACAGTCTTGAGAGCAATGCTGACTTGGCTGCAGTATCCTTGAGTTATTCCGCACAGATCTAGGTGCGAACCCTCAGGCAGGTGGAAATGGCGGCGCGCGGGTGATGACAGGAATCAATCCGCTGGCAATGCTGTCGTCGCTATTGAGCTTTGATCGTCATGGTGACGCGGTCTACTCACAGGAGGAGCTAGACCGAGTCATCTCCCAGCTGATTGATCAGAGTGCCAACCGTGGCGCGCCTCCTCCCGCTCCCACAAGTGCCATTGAATCACTGCCGAAGAAGAAAGTTGACGCGGAGATGCTGGGCCATGAAGGCCGAGCAGAATGTTCGATCTGCATGGATGCCGTGGAGCTTGGAACAGAAGTGACTGTGCTTCCATGCAAACACTGGTTTCATTATAGCTGTATCGAGCTTTGGCTCAACCAGCATAACACTTGCCCTCATTGCCGGCGGGGTATAGACTCCCCTCAGTCCCCTCAGTGAGTTGCACTCAACACAGTCCTTGGCTCCGAAGTTCATGCTAATCACCTAGTTATAGGACCGAAGGTACGAGCGAGAACCCGGTGGTTATTGGCGATAGTCCTGAGCCTGTGTCGCGACGCACAAGCAATGCTGCCGTCAATCCCACTGGGTCGTCACAACCGCCTCCAGGGGCTTGGCCTGAACGATCACCCTCTTCGTGGAGTTCGCATTCAATCTCATCTTGGTCGGCTCCATCGCCTGGGCCCAGCTCTGAGGGGCCAGCTCAGCGACAGCCACAGGGACAAGGCCAGGACCAGGGCCAGGGCCAGGACCAGCCTTCGAGCGAAAGTCAGGGCGAAGGCCAGGCACAGAGACACGAACAACGACGGAATAGCCGGGGTGAAGGGTCCAGCAGCAGTTCTGGATTCACCGGCTGGGTGCGCAATCGCCTAGGAGGAGGGGGAAGCAGCAGTTGAACTGGGATAACTCTTGTATAGACTTGGATCAAGGCCAGCTGGTCAGGAGATTGGGATATGAAGCGACGGCTGACCTGTTACGTAGTAACGACCTTATTTTGGCATTGGAGTGCGTAGCCTGTTCTTGTTGGGTTTAATTTCTGAACTGTATGATTGATTGCACAAGTTTCAAAGCCGATCATGGCGTGAGTTGAGTTGGTTTTGACTAACGAGTCTCCGACGATAAGATAGAATGATCCACTTCTCCGCCCTTTTATGTATGTACAATACTTTACTTGCCTTGGCCGCTGTTCATTTCTTCTCTATACCCAACCCTGTTGTCCGTTCCTCCCGTCCACTTCCACTTCCACACCCAATATGAAGACCCCAATTTCAAGAACGCCACGATCATCCCGGGCATCAATGCAACCCCCGCAGACAGCCAGCTCTACCTATATGATTATCGAGAATGACCGCATTGTTGATATTGGCACTGAGGCACATTTGCCCCGCTAAACCGGTTGACCATGAGGTTGATTTGGCGGGCAAGAACATCCTACCTGGCTTCCTCGACGGGTAAAGATACCAGATGTTGTCAAAGGTGATCCAACTCCACTCCAGCTCCACCTCAGTGCTGTAGGCCGAAGAGCCCCTCTCTCTCTCCAAATCGACCTGAGTGACTGCACTTTGCCTGGCTGAACACGCCAGCTCTGCAGGAACTGCAGGTGGAGGGCCTGCCAGCCCCCGAGAGCGGCTCCATTCACCGCGATGCCTCAACACCGGCCAACCCCAGAGGAAGCTATAGCACGTTTCGTTTCATTGACTGCCGCAAAGCTGCCGGGCGATATACTCCGTAGTGGTTTCAACAACAGCCGGCGAAACCCCGGCGAGCTAACTGTCCGTCTGCTTACCGCCCGGCAGAATAACGAGTTGACCTGTTGTCAATCTTTTGGGACAGGAGGAGTATGAGGGATGCGCGGGCAGAAGTACTGATTGTGTAGGTCACGGAATGCAATAGAATAGATGACATCCGTGCAAAGGTGTCTATCCAACCCCTGTTACAGTCCCGGTCCGTCTGGAGGGGTAACACTCAGATAGCCATAACCACGAGCAGATGTGATAGCAAGTAGTGAGTAATTAGTTACTGCAAAACAACATCAGGTATACGAAACGCAGCAAGGCAGAGAGAGACCCGTCCAATCAATAAACAAAACACTATACTCTCTACTGTGTATAAGTGAGACGGTCAAGGTATATCCTAAATTCTACACAGGCAAAATAACAATTCATCCCGCAATCAACCAAAAAGAGGTGGCCCCCAGTCATTTTGCCTCTGGGTAGCCTGAACTTTTGCGTCCCTCAACGTCTGTGCACGGTACAAAACCCCCCGAATCTAAAACCTCAAGTCCCAGCCAATCTTCGGGCCCAAACGCGGCAATTCATCGGCCACACTCTGGACATCCTTGTCACCTCTACCACTGAGGTTGAGGACAATGTTCTCGCCCTTCTTCATGGTCTTGGCGAGTTCCATGGCGCCGAAAACGGCGTGCGACGACTCCAGAGCGGGGATGATACCCTCGTGCTGAGCGAGCGCCCGGAAGCCAGTAAGGGCCTCGGCATCGGTAGCGGCGATGAACTTGGCGCGGTCACTGTCCTTCCAGTTGCTGAGCTCGGGACCAACACCAGGGTAATCCAGACCAGCCGAGATGGAGTGGGTCTCGGAGATTTGTCCGTGCTTGTCCTGGAGGACGTAGGTGCGAACACCGTGGAAGACACCCTTGCTGCCGCCGGAGAGGGTGGCCGAGTGGCGGTCAGTGTCGACGCCGTCACCACCGGCTTCAACACCCAAAAGCTTGACGGAGGGGTCGTTGGAGAAGGGGTAGAACATGCCGACGGCGTTGCTGCCACCACCAACGCAGGCCACAACCGCGTCGGGGAGCTTGCCGATCAACTCCTTCATCTGCTGCTTGGTCTCGTCACCGATGACCGACTGGAAGGTGCGCACGATGGTGGGGAAGGGGTGGGGGCCGATAGCAGAGCCAATGATGTAGTGGGTGGTGTCCAAGTCAACAACCCAGGCGCGCAGGGCTTCGTTGACGGCATCACGGAGGGTACGGCTGCCAGCATCGACCGCAACGACGGACGCACCGAGCAATCTCATACGGAACACGTTGAGCGCCTGGCGCCGCACGTCCTCGGCACCCATGTAGACAACACACTGCATACCGAACTTGGCGCAGACGGTGGCGGTCGCGACACCGTGCTGACCGGCACCGGTTTCGGCAATAATCTTGGTCTTACCAAGACGACGAGCAAGAAGAATCTGGCCCAGGGCGTTGTTGATCTTGTGGCTTCCAGTGTGGTTGAGATCTTCACGCTTCAACCAAATGTTTGCACCACCGCAGTGCTCTGTGAGGCGGTTCGCCAGGTGAAGGCTGCTGGGGCGGCCCATGTAAGGGTAGTACGAGCGGAACTCCTCCCAGAACTTAGGGTCATTGCGGGCGGTCTCGAATCCGCGCTCCAACTCGGCCAAACAGTCCATGAGAGATTCAGGGACATACTGACCGCCGAACTCACCGAAACGCGAGGGAATGGCGGCCGGGTCACCACTGCCGTTGAGGGCGTCGATCTGATCGACGAGGCCGGGGCCATCGGGGGTGTCGTCATTGGTGATGACGTCGGTGGGCTGAGAAAGGGCGGGAGGAGCCTCCTTCAGAACGGGCTCCAGGACATGAACAGATCCGGAAACCTGACCCTGGGCGTCTCTCTCGAGTCTGCGACCAGTAACGCTGGTCAGGTACTCTTGAGCGTGCTTAGCCGCCTGGCCGGCAGGGGCGTCACCGAGAACGGTGATGATCTGGCTACCAATCACAACACCTTCGGAAATATTCTGAACGGAGAGGAAGTGCTCGCGGGTGCTGACCCCGAAGCCGAGCGCGGTGGGCACATTGCCGGACCAGGTGTGGACACGAGACAGGAGGTCGGGCAAGTTCGTACTGAGGGATCCGGTGGCACCGGTCACACCCATGCGGGACACGACGTAGATGAAGGAATCGGCGATCTTGCAGAGGAGCTTCATACGAGACTCGGAGGTGGCGGGAGCGATGAGGGGGACGTAGGACAGGCTGAGGACGCGCGCAATCATTAGCATCCAATGAGTAATCATGCAAAACGCACACACAACTGCAAAACCTACCCATAGCTAGTGCAGAAGTCACGGAAGCGAACAGCTTCCTCCGGGGGCAGGTCAACCATAATGAAACCGTTGATACCAGCGGCCTTGCAGTCCTGAAGCATGCGCTCCTCTCCATACTGCATGAGGGGGTTGTAGTAACCCATCAACAGAACGGGGGCGCGAAGACCTTTGCTTCTGGCAGAGCGAACTGTGTCCAATACCCAGGGGATCGTGACGCCATTGGCCAGTGCCTTAGTGTTCGCCTTCTGAATAGTCGGGCCATCTGCAATCGGGTCGGTGAAAGGAACACCCATCTCGATGATGTCTGTCAACGCCGATGGGCACAAGATATTAGCGGTCCGCCATCGGAGCAAACGGAAGTGGCGGGGGACGGGAGCATCAAGTTCTTACCAGCACCTCCATTTTCCAAGCCCAAGAGGATATCAACAGTCTCCTCAATTGTAGGGTATCCAGCGGTGAAGTAGGCTACCAAAGCAGCACGCTTCTCCTGCTTGGCGCGAGCGAATGCGTTCTTGATTCCATCCATGGTGCGGAAGGGCGGGGGGGCAACACCGAAAGCGCGGAGAGGAAGAAAGGATGAGGGAACGAATGGCAGTTATGAAGACCGGGGGAAAAGGAGAGTGGGGCTAGGAATAAGGTAAATGCCGTCCACAATTTCCAGAAGGGTTCAACAAAAAGGGGGAGAGTAGGCAGCAGGGGCCTCGAGAGCAATGAAGGTGGTTAGGATAGAGTGGAATGGTGTGGGGGGGGGGGGGGGAAAGAATAGCAGCAGGATTGAGTCACTTTCGGGGAGTAAATCGATATCTTGCCCGCTGAAATGTTCCGCCAAGTCAGGTGATGTGGCGATAAGATAGCACCTCGGTAATGCAGTGGTATGATACCGATATTTTACGGTATGTTCCGGTACTCGAGATGCATGCGTCCCACTTTGTGACGCTATACAGTTCATGGGGCATATAAGCATTAATCAGCTGGAAGAAAGAAGTGAGTCGGTTTATCAGAAGACCTTTATGGGCAATGGCTACAGCCGTGATTTTAAAAAGAACTCCTGATTCATTGAATTTGTCGAGCATGGAGTCTAAACTATTAATATGTCGAGGGTGCTCAATGGCCTCGGAACAGGTGAGCAAAGTAAGACAGAGGAAGAATAGTAACAAATTTAGCATCACAGTCATCGATATTCACACAGACGCCGAAGCTATGCATATTCAACCGACCCAGCCCAGGCAGGGGCTTGCCCGGCGGTGGAGGGCAGTGTGGGCCCGGTCAAACAACAATAATCAAGTAATAAGCACAGACAACGAGAACACAACCGATCTCACTTTGGATCCTTTGCCAGACCCGGGGTTTGTTACAGTCAATTCCCACCATTCTCCATCTCAACCCCTGCATGATGAAAGGAATGACAGCGGCGCCATGCTATGCCAGATAGTTGTACAACTCATGAAAGGAGCGAAAAATCCCAATGCCCCAACTGCATGCAGTATGCAAGAGAAAACAAAAACAGGAATATAAGACAACAGATCGTCTATCAAGCGTAGATTAACAGAGAGTTTCGGAAGGGGGGGGAGGGGCATCAAGACATGAAGATAATCTAAAGGAGGGACATCAGATCATGGACGGTGATCGTAAGAGGAAGAGGGAAAAAAAAGTCAGAAGGCATATCCGTAAATCCTGCTCCCAGGGCCATAGATAGACCTTTGCGGGAGGTAAATCAGCCAGGCGCCAGCTTTTCCACCAAAGGAACGATAAGAAAGAAAATAGAGGACTTGATAAGAGAAACACAATTCAAGGGGGAATAATATGGTATATCAAGTCCAACTCAAGAGATAAACGCCAGCCAATGCAAATCGCAGACCCCCTGGCGGGTACTGCAATTGGCAGCAAATCAATGCCCGTGCGAACCTGAGACAGGATATGGCATATAGTTGTATACGGGCGTGGTGCTCGAAGCTCCGCTGGCAAGCGGAGGGCTGAGCATGGAATTTAACTCCCAAGCCCGCGTGCTCGGCGCAGGGAGGCCCACCTGACCCGGCTGTTGACAGGCTGCAGAATAATAATTGGGGGCAGCAACCGAGTGGTATGAGGGGCTGAGCGAGGGCAAGCCATGTCGAATCTCCGCAGGCCCGCCATGATCGCCAGGAGTAGTATACGCAGGAGCCGCCAATGGAGGGCCATATGCGCTGGGAGCAGCGGTGTCGGAAACAGACTGAGGAGATGGGGCAGTGTGAGGTTCCGTGCCGGAGTCAGAGGCGGCTCCGGTGCTCGCATACGTGGAGCTGATCGGGGTGGACAAAGCCCCAGCGGTCGAAGAATAGCTTGCCGACTGGATGGTAATTTGGTTAGCACTTGAAGACACATCTCGGATCTTCCATCCTAAGAGCTTATTTGTGAGTCTTACATATTTGCCGATAATCTTCTTCAAAGCATGAGTAAGGATTTTCCATGGAAAGACCTTGACATCTTTCTCGATGTTCCGGGGTTTGGGAGCAGGAAATCCCATGATGACCTTGAAGAAATCTTCACTCTCTGCCTTGGCCTTAGAGACCGTCAGAGGTCGGAACCCTTCAAGATTTCGTCGGATGCGATTCTTTTCCTCGACGGTGAATCGGACACCCACCAACGACTCGAGTAGATAGATCGTGTCGACACTGGTGACGAAGCACTCGTCTTTTCCCTCCCAGTATATGCAGCTGATGCAGATACTGTTCGGAGCCCGATCTTCGAGGGATACTGGCGCGAAGTCTGCAACAATAGTACTGCCTCTCTGCGCACGGGTAAATTGGACCAGTCGACGTTTGGCATCGCGTTCCTCCTTGCACCAGTTCTCGGTCATGCTGTCCAAGTCGCCATTCAACTTCAACACAGCTTTTGTGGGGTACATGGCATATGGGTTGAAAGCCGGTGTATGGCCCATACCAGTCGATTGCTGCAAAGTCGACGTGCGAATCAGCTGAGGATTCGTGCCATAGTGGCTCGGCGAATGAGTATTCTGCTGACGGTACCCATGGCTGGTAACGTAAGAAGGGTTCCGATGATCGCCAGCGCTCACAGAAACAATAGAGGGACTCCATGTGGAAGTTAGGGGCGAAGGTGCTCGGATCGAGGGTTGCGACGTTGCTGACATGGTGGAATACTGAGTCGAGGTCGCCCGGGGCGAAGAGGCCGATGGATAGGGGGCGGCAAAGCCACTCATCGCCGGCAAAGAGTGCAGATAGGGCGAGTAGGAGGCTGCGGATACTGGCGATTGGTCTTTCGGGGCCATCGATTGCCCAATGACTCTCTTCGGGACTCTATGAAGGGCATCCTCGGAGTACGACGATGGTCCTCTCTTCCGAGCGTCATCTGACGGCGGGTGAACGGCACCATGCTCATACGTGTAAACTCCAACCTGGAGGGTCGTAGCCGGACCGTCATGTGAATCCATGAGAACCTGCAGAGGGACTGCAAATGAAGGAGAGCAGGTAGAGCTGAGGGGGGGTGTCTCGACGGAAAAGCCGTACTGGAAAGAGGAGCCTTGAAACCCGAGAAAGTGCGGGATGCATTCGCATTTCTTCGCGCCGAAGACGAGAGAGAGCGATGCATAAGACGATTCATGGAGATCGAACGGGGACTGGATTTGAACAAAGACCCTTGTTCCTTCGGAGCCTCTCTGGGGCGAATAAGAGACGATCTCCGGGACCGGGCGAGGATCCCCCGTCAGCATCGGTGAGCGACCTTCTTCGTAGGAACTGGCATATTCCTGGTTTCCCATGTAGGGGACGCAATCCGACATCTGGCTGGTATGGTCGGTCATAGGCGATGGGACAAGGGGGGTGGAGGTCACGTATGGTGCCTGACCGTAGGCCGAATATGAGACATCATCGTGCAAAGATCGAGTGGACTCATAATCTATTGGACACTTAGTACACAAGCGGGTCTCAGCCAGCCCAGGATAAGGGAGCCGTCATCGCGAATCCCGCCTGGGTCTGGAAATTGTCCCCCCAAATGAAGACTTACCGATCAAAGCCGCCTGGGGGGGCTTCTGGAAAGTAGGCATAGACAAGATGGGGTCAGACTTGGCCAAAAGGCCGTCTGCAAATGCACCAATAAGATGAGACTCTTCAGGGTCAGCGAACTCCAACGACTCGTCTAGAATTAACGGCGTTTGCAGCTCCGGATTGAACTGTGAATCGTGTCTGTCAGTGGATGACCATACATGCACAGGAGCGCAGGGTGAAAGGCAAAGACAGGCAAGATCCCAGCCAGACAAGAAAGAACTGATTCAGAGATTGTGAAACTGACGAGGAAGAGAGGTCAAATGAAGGAAGCAAAGCACAATAATTGGGCAGCGGGCGGGAAAAGTCCAACGCACCAAAACACCGTGTGTCTTCGAGTAAGCCAGTTTGAAGGTGTTGCAGAAACTGCAACGGAACACAACAGCTTAAAGAAGCGAATGACAGAGAATTTATCGTTAAAATCGATGGAATGTCGGAAAGTTGCGAAGTGCTCTCCGAGACAAAAACGAGTGACGACACGAAGTGGCTGTCAGGCTCAACAAGGAAGACACCACGAAAGGCTTCGAATCAGCGATCAGAGTTCGATGATCAGATGTGAAACCCAGAAGGCTAGCTGCAGACGATGAACCAGCTTGAGACCACGCTGCCAATGGAGTGCTTGAGAGGGCCTATGGGAGGGCTATTTCCCATCTGAGGATGCTGTATCAACCTCTGAGTACGGGCGAACTAATGGTCGATAACTCGGCGGGGTCTTAGCGGTAGCAAGTGAAGCCGTGTCAACCAAGCGAGACAGGAGCGAGTTCAATTTCGTTTGACCTAGAACTGAAATGAGAATCCAAGCTCTTTCTCTCTCTCTTTGGGTATGGAAGATCGAATGACAATGGGCCACGAACTACTCGGCTGAAGAGTACGAACCTTCCCAGAGACGAGGAACCGGCCCGTTGCATGGACAAGGACTTACCAGGAATTGCTTGAGAAGTTGAGGACTGCGCTTCTGAGGCTTTAAAAGCGAGAGAAAAAAAGTTGCGTGCAAATCTCGTAGTCGCAAAAACTTTGATGCAAGAGACCTACACCATGACACAGTCAACAACAAAACATCCGAAACTTTAGTGATAAGAGGCCTCAAGGGAGATGACAAGCGCACGGAGTCCAACATGAGCCCAGAAATCTCTTGCGATCTTGTGCACTAAAGGCACGACCTGGAAGATGCAAGGAGTCCAAAGGGAAGGGGACACGAAGGAGAGAGGATGCAAGGCACCACAGAGTCTGTGGCGAAGGGAGGAAGACTGGTACCAACCTCAACAAGCCAATGAATCGAGGAAAGCAGGGCTTATTCCCCAATAAAGGTCTTTAATTCCAGGTGATATATGCTAGAGTAAAATAAGGTGGTGCCTTCAACCGAGACAAAGATCCACGATGGTGGTGTAGGTCCAGGTCCGGCCCTCGTTCAAAGGACTAGCAGCGACAGAACGATTGGTAGTCAAGCAGACTCCAGATCCACACCTGAGCAGTACAACTGGGGAGATGACTGACACAAGCCCAATGTACACCGTGAAATGAAGACGAGCCTCCTTTTTTGTTTTTTGTTTTTTTTTTTTTCTTTCTGTTGGCGTGATTTTGTTTTCTCTTTTCCCGGGGAAAGGGTGTGGTTGACAACGAGCCGGTGATGAAGGGTTTCCAGGACCGGGTCGGTATACCTCCCGCGCAGCAAACGGGGGTTCGCTCTACGGTCCCAGGGCAACGATACCGAGGTAAACGCAGGTCAGAATCGTCCGTACGGAACACCAGGGCAATAGCGGGCGGCGGTCACTCCAGGTCAAGGGTTCACTGAGCTTGACAATTCCCTACGGGGATTATAGATCGGTGAAGCTGGAAGACGGATTGGCGCGGAGACACACTCCCGGGGAGAGGAAACCCGAGATAAAAACGAGGGTCTTGGTTTTGGCGAAATAATCAGCGAGCGCGTGGAAACGATCCAGATTAATTATGAGGAAGATCTTTCGATGAATCCCATCAGTCCCTGTCGTTCCTTGCCAACAATAAAATTCCTTTTCGATCGATCCGGTTCGTCCTTGTTCTCAGGCTCTCTTTCTTTCTTTCGTGCAGTCGTGCAGAAAAAAAAAAAAAAAAAAAAAAAAAAAAAAACAAATCTTCCTTTCTGTATCGACCACCTCCGGTGTAGCGAACGTCAAAATCTAGGTCGATACCAAACAAAGCGAGTGTGAGGTAAACGCGGACACGAGCGAGTGTAGAGAAAAGAGATAAAATGCCCGAAGCGAAGAGGAAGAGTCTTAATCTGCCATCACAGATCAAGTCACAAAAAGGTGGGGGGTGGGATTTGGTGGAGAGGGGAGTGGAAGGGTTATGAGGAGAGGGCGGCGGCGGCGGTAGAGAAAAGACTGCGATAGTAGTATAGTAGTTGGTGGTGGTGGTGGTGGTGGTGATGTAGTTAGTGGTAGTAGTAATACTAGTGGTAGTAGTAAGTAGTCAAAGTAGATTAAAAAAAGAACAGGGACAACAGATGGAGCAAACCAAAAAAAAAAAGACAAGTCAAGGTAAAAAAAAAAAAAATAATAATAATAATAATAATGATGATGATGATTCCAAAAAAAGGTGACGGCCGAGTACGAAGATGACGAGAGATAGATTACACTCTCACTTATTCTTGCTTAGTACCAAGTTAAGGGCCGAGGAAGTAGGGTAAATGGTGGTGCTGGTGGTGCTGGTGGTAGGAACGAGAGGGCCCTGGAGGGGGGTGGAAATCGAATGGCTCCTTAGTGTGGCGGGGAATGCGCTGGGTGGGAGGATGGATAAAGATGATAATAATAACCACCACACGTTAAACTTAACTATCGGATGAATTACTCAAGGTTAGTGTAAGGTACTGACAATCCGTGATTAAGTAGGAGATATATGACTCTTAAACATTGAGGATGATGAGATCCGCTATTTGTCTCCTCTTGAGGTAGTCTCTGTACCTTGAACTTGGAAAGTACTCGGAGAAACCACCACTTCTACCATCATGACTACGCCCTGAATAAAAGGGTTGGTTGGCCCATCGATTTCTCGGGAGCTCCATAGTGAGCAAAGGAAAAAAAATAAATAAAATAAAAAATATAAGTCCCTGGACTGGTGGTCCCTCCACATCTCAACCGCTAACCGTTCAATCATGAAGGATGGAAACTAACCACTACTGCCAGTGGCCACACAACAGGAACTGAACCAACTAACTTACCGTCCCAAACTATGAGAGCAAGAATCGCCCGGATTGTGGTTCAACAGTTGTCTTTCCACACACGAACCATTTACCCAGTGCAGGCAATGGCACAACTATATCACGAGATGCGGCTCCCCCAACAGGAAGACCAAGCCGAAAAAAAGAGAATCGTAAGGAAGAATTTCTTTTGGTCTCTTTCACCTGATGCCCGGAGAAGAGGGGCCCAAGTGGAGGAAGGCAGGTGTTCTTGCTGGAACTACTGAAGAAGGATTAGCTCAGGGCTAAATCCCATATCTCTCCCATCATGATTAAGTGTTTTTGAACAATCAATTTCTGGAAGGGCTTTTAGCACCATTCATCTGGTTCAGGTTCAATAGGACCGGGGGTGTTCCATTATTGCTAGGTAGGTAGGAAGTGAGCTAGGTCAAGTTTAGTGAGTGGTGAATAACCCCCACCCCCAAATTCAGTACCGGACAGGCTAAGAATCTGGCAAGGGTGTTTTAGCACCAGCAGACCACCGTTCAAGCGGTCCATGCCGCCATGACCGAGTGGGGCTTTCCCTCGAGGAGGTACCCAGTATGGAAATCGTTGAAAATAATGAATAATAATAAGAAGAAGAAGAAGAAGAAGAATATGAAAAATTCCTTGACCGGAAATTAAAAATGAATGTACAAAAAGACTGATGGTGAATAACCGATTATCCCTTATGCCGACTGGTCTATTACTATTGCTAATGCTGCTTGCTAGTTGCTGCTTGCTGCTGCTGCACGGCTGAGTTATTTTTGTCCCATCAATGCAACAACTGGCAATCAATCAAGTTCTCACAGACAATGCAACATGGTGATGAAGGAATCCTGGCTGAGCTTACACCCATGTGCAAATCGGACTCAGAGGTCGGCTCATTGCAATGGATCCATCCTGCCAAGCACTTCCTGTTTTCTTATCCGTCATCCTCATGTTCCTTATTTGTTTGTCGAGATTTTTCCGACAGGGCGGCAGCCTTCAAGGACGGTTAGACAGACAAGAGCTTGTAAGTGGCTAGCACGGCCTTCTAGCCTATGAGCAGTTGAGCAGTTTAGCCCCCGGTAGAGTCGGGTACCCAGTAGTACTAGTTGGTAAGGTAGTGACTGTAAGGTAGTCAACCTGTGGCTAGCAGAAACCAAGCGAACAATGGATTGGAACGAAGCGGTAAACTTGTACAGTACATACCGGTGGGAAGTCTGACTGAACCTTGTTGCACTGGCGTTGCAGTCCCTCGTTGTTACTGGCTATAGCTGATCTGTCAAAGAAGCCAGGACACACTGCATTTCGAGTTATGCTAATTTTGTTGCTCCTCGGGCCTTCTGTCCAATCCACTGGGTCATCGGTGACTCTTCCCCATGATGTTCATTGTCAGAACCGACTCCCATTCTCGTGGCCCCGAAGATTGGGGATTGATCGATGATGACCGAGGGCATCTCCTCGCCTTATCTCGTTTGATAACTTACGTACGATGGCAATGAGATCAGCTTGTTAGATCACTTCTTTATCAGATGGCTCACTTGGGAGCTCCTTTCAATCTGGTAAGTACTCTCGTAAACGAGTCGAAGTCTATAGGGATCCGAGCAGGATACGGGCAGCAAATAGGCAGATGACCCTATGGTCTCTATCGTAGCTCAGGTTTGACAGCACGATCAAACGCGCCAAGGCACGGTTCTGGTGCAGAGAGATGCGACCGATCGTGAAGTTCGTGAAGCGTGGCATAAATTTAGCTCTCCAAGCAGTTGGACCATCCATTCCCCCACTTGTGCTCCCCCTCCAATCCCTTCTTCCCCTTTTTTTTTTCTCCGACAGAGGAGGGGCAGAAAACAGCATGGATGCGAGGTCACTGCATAGTTGATGACGGATCTTAATTGGGATGAAATTAGATCATGGAGACCTCAGGCAGAGCTGCGTTATGGTCAGTTTCAGTCTTCCCCTTTCAATGGGAGTTCGCTCCTCCACCAATATTAGCTTATTTAGTGCGTTGTAAGGAAGTACTAAGTTGGTCCTGGAGATCAGACCGGGTTTTCCACAACTCCAGCGGTCGGGACCTACTTCTGGCCGATCCCCGATCCAGAGAAGCTGGAGATTTTTCCAAGTTGTCTACCCACGATGGCTCAGGTTGAAGCTTGAAGCTTGAGACAGACCGGAAAAGAAAACCTTCTCAGTCGTTAAGAACCCCTAATTCGCCTACCTTAATCGATACCGTATCTTATCAACCGGCATCAGCGTCAACTTTTCATGACTCACCACTTCAACAACTCCCCTAACTATAGTGTTGTTGGTTTAGATAGTGCTGGTACGGGTCGAGGGTTGTCGATGTGCCCCACCAGAAAGAAAAACGATCTGACTCTGAGAGCACCGAACCATGGCTGCACCCCATTTGACTTTCTCGCCCGCACACTCGAAGAGCGAGCTAGCTAGCTACCTGACCGCTTCGCAGTGCGAACTTCGCAGAACAGACAAACTGGGGCAATGGTTGGACCTGCTCAGGGCTGACTACTATAAGTACCCTGCCAAGACTTCTGGAAAAGTCTAATTGCCCTGATTTGGGAATTTCTCCATGCCCCATCCAAATCCCATGAATTGTGATTCGTGATGCAGTCAGATCGGAAATGCGGAATCAGTCCACATTGTGGCAGTGAATAGAGAGTATGATATTCCCTTTGCTATCGCCGTTTGGATTTGTCTGGTCATTGTGCCAGCCACCCAAGTCATGCGCGTTGGCACTAATCAGCAGACAAGAGAGAAGGCTGGTCATCTCTATGCAAGAGGACAAAGCTTCTCCAGTGTGTCTGCTCAATGATTTGAATGCCATCATCATTACCTGCTGCAGGACTGCGGGAAGACTGGCAATCTTTGGATCGGGAGCCGCGGGTTACGGGCTAAACTTTCTTACTCCACGGTACTTCTCGGCTTAGGGAAGAATTGGGAACCATGACGGAACAAACAACAATTCGAAGATAGCGGGCGATCTAAGCTGCCCACTAAAACTGCTAAACATAGAAAAAGCCTTGCATGGACCGTCCCATCCTTTCACCAGATCTGCAGCTGCAAGGGCAGGGGAGCGAAGATGATTGGTCTGATGTCAGGTGAGCCCCCATCTTTGTGGCTATTTCGGGTTTAGCGCATAAAGTCCGTGGTGGTTTTCGCTTGTCGAGGGCCTCCCATTGATTCGTTCTCATTTATGCGGCCGGTGGCACGATGAGAAGGGAGGGGATGCACCCAACTGCTATTTTAGTGATTGGCCTCGAGGGTGAGAGGTAAGGTAGCAGCATGGTAGCACCAACCAAGGGAGTGACTCTGCACTGTCACCATACCTGGGGAGCTATCACCGTGGAATAGGAGCTTACCCCTCTCCCCCCTCCCTCTCGGCAGCTGCATTGTTGATACCTGGTCAACCAACAAAGGGCGATCATTCTTCACGGGCTCTTGGTCCTGGATTATCTGATGTTCATCCGCGAAGACCGGTCGTATTAGTGGTTTAGGTATAATCTGGGAGGAGAGAAGGAGACTGAAATCTGACGCAGTAACGACTCAGCCACGGGGCATGGCTGGGGGTAGGGCAGTCCAGTCATGATCGCGTCTGCCTTAGGAATGGAGTTGCCTCAGGAAGGCAATCTGGTTGTCGCAGGATGCAGAAAATAATCACTCGAAGATTGAAGAATTGTTGGCTCTGCCAAGATGATGCCTAAGTCAAGAACAAACAAGCCCCCGGCCGAAATAGCAGAAAGTACCATACCTATTTAGTATTAGTACTCCGTCCCACCGTTAAGCCGATCTTTTAATGAAGTCATGTCGACTAGAGAGAAGAGTGATTGGGACCGCTGATCGTTTCTCTTCTCCTAAAAGAGAAAACATCTCGAGGTTATGGATTATAGTATTCAGCAGGTGTGCTGATTACTCCGGAGTACAGGAGTACAGTCTGATTTTCGGGAAACTGTACAATATTTCAATGGCAGGCGTAATCGACAAGATATTCTCAGCAAGTTCTCCAAAGTTTGAACTCACCTTCGGAAGCGCCGTGCATGTGAACCTGGTATGTTTCCGACCTTGCCTCGGAAGCTGAATACTTAGTACGTAGTGATTGTCCGCCTGGCTCGGGAAAAGACAGGGACGGCTGGACATAGACCACCATTTCACCCGCCAGCGACAACAACGGACATCGGTGCTTTGACAAGCTTCCCCACGTTTTTAAGTAAGATATAAAATCATATCTCAGCACCATCCGTTCATCCTTGATGAACTCGGAGGAATTGGTTTTACTCAGCGAATACCGCTTTTCGCGGATCCCGCCTTCACAGTACCTTGCTGGCAAGTCTCAAGAGTAGGTACTTATATATTAAAGGACCCCGAGTGTTGAGTCGTTGACATGCTAAGCCAGTACCTACTTTAGCAAATGTAGTAGACTACCAGAAGCCGATACCAAACACGCGCATATCGTTGGTCTAACTCCACCGAGTATATGTGGTGGGGTCTCCTCAGCATGGCATCCTGGAGTTGGCCCAACTTCCCACCCGTGAACCAGCGAAGATCGACAATCTTGTCCTACGATAGTGGTTCTCAGCTTGACTCTGATGGGTCAAGTTGCCACTGTAAGAATTCCGAACAAGCCCCAGAAGTGCCCTTGCCAGGGTAAAGAAAGGTGGGCGTGTGGAGCAACGGGAGAAGTCAAGCATGGTAATGATTCCAGGAGGAATAAGATATTTCGGTCCAAGGCTTGTGTACGGAGTATCACCGGCTCGACTCCAGCTCTTGGTGATTTCAATTGACAGGCATGCAGACCAGGGGAAGGTGGATCTTACGCATAACACCACCAGATGCCGTGCAGTCTCACCACGAGGCAGCAGTATACAGATATCTGATACTTGCTACCATTCCATACTGCCCGATGACAACTATATCAAATTGACACCAGCCGATAAGTTACGAAAAACCTCTAGTGCAGGATCAATCAAACTTACTTAGGATGGATTCTCTACGTACTTACATAGTACGTCTTGATCATCTCCCAGTTTGTCCCCACGCACTAAGAAACTTTACTCAAGTACCTTATTCTCGCCATTGAACGCCATGGATAGGATGAGGAAATATCGGCCAATGCTCGGAGAATCTCTACCCACATACTAGTATGTACAGTACAGTACCCGGACCACCTATTATTAGTGGATGCGCCACACTTATTTTAAGTTGGAACGCTCGGCTTAAGTCTGATTCCGCAGACGAAAGCAAAGCATTGTTCATGGTAGCCCATTGGACTACTTTTTCGATCATCTTCAAAGTTTGGATTGTGCCGCAATTATCCGAGGGCAGCCGTGCAGCAAACCCCTAACATCCGGCTGAATCGCAGGGCGAAGGATAATCTTGAGCGGAACAACGATCGGAGAGATAGTCTGATAATGGCGGCGGTAATTAAATGGAGGTGGAATACGGGCTCTCATGTTCATTACTTGTCTACCGAGTACTACTGACAATGACCTCACCATAACGGTCACAAAGCTCCCTTCCCTATAAGTCTGCAAAGTTTCAAGGTTACTCAAGGACCAGCGGTATCATATGCCATCCGGTGAAACTAACTTGATGAATAGCTAGCTGGCTAGTTAACTTATCCCGTGTTAGTACATATGCTGCATTCGCTGTCGGAGGGGGAGGGGGCAGCGACCCATCACGGTACTACGGAGAAGGTAGTCCCTGGCCTGTACCCAAGTCGGAACTTCCCCCGGAAGAAAAAGTGATTGCCTAAGGCGGGTCCTACTAGCGAGCCCCAGTCTGCAACTAACGTGCAATTGCAGTCCCCGGTTGGACACCCTTAAGAGTGGAACTTCCGGAAAGCTCATGGAACGGAGAAAGACAGAGCCACGGATCGATGCGCGTGGTAGATGGACAAAGCCACTATCGCTTCCAACGGATTAGCGCGGTAGTTCCGGTTCGGGCGATTGCCCTTTTCGAGTTCGGCATCATGAAATCTCTTATACCCTAATTGCCCTTATTTTCGGAATTTTTGTTGGGGTCAACTCGGGGTCTCGGACAAGAAAGAACTCGGAAGGAGTTCAATTGAGGCGACATGGGTGGATTTGTGAGTGGTGGTAGGAGGGACTATGTACATATTTTCCTGGGGGGATCATTGATGACCAATGCGAGCCAACGTAACTAACTAATGATCTATCTATCTCCCTGCCGATCGAGGTGTATTACTCAGTCGAAGGGGAAGGCCGAAAGGAAAAAAGGGGGAAAAAAAGTAAAGGTATGTATCCAAGCATTCAGGGTCCTTTGATTGCTGTGGGCGACACGAACACGTTAGCAGTGTCATTTTAATTGAGGTGGCAGCCTCGGTGCCATCTCGGCATCAACCATGGCCCGAAAGGATTGGACCCTGCAGCGGGTATGTGATGGCACGATCATTCTGACCCTATCGCCTTTGATCATCGATACGGGACACGGCCGAGTTAACCATCAGCTCACCATTTCAATGTCTGGCAGTGCAGCGAAGAAGGGAAGATGATGCCAGAATCATCCAGATTAGGACTCTGTCCCTCGTCAAGTCAACCCTCGTTGTTCACCTCCCTTTGGACGATCGATGACAATTTCTCTGCAAAGATAGCCGTGCTTTTACCTACAAAAGGGCCAGTTGCCCTTGCAGTGAGCGCTTTTAGTCGATAGTCACGGTACCTGGAATCTATCCTGAATTCCCAATGTCGTTATGTACTTTTTTAGCCTCCCTTTCATAAGCTCTCTCGGCCCCTTGATCATCTTCTTAGTATGTGGTACTTCCATTATCTCTCTCCCCTACCTTAGTGCTCTACGGGAGTAGCTTTAGAATTGGAATCAAAGCCGACTACCGACATTTGGTGAGAACCAGAATTAACTCCACTCCGATATCACCCTTTCACCCTAGACTAGACCCCTCCTGTCGAGCCTCGGTCGGCCCGGCCACACGACCAGTCTCTCAGCTACTAAGAGAATTTCTTATTAGCGTCACTGGCGTTCGCTGCACGCCGCACGGAGTAGTCGGCACTATTGGAGAATCGAGCCGAAGGGACCCTGGCCAGAAGACCAACAAATAGAAATTGCGGTGGTGGCTTCGCCCTGTTATTCACTAGGTAGATATCTACCCAATGGTTACCGGGCGGTCCACCTGCCCGCCGCCCGTTTCTGATCGGCACGTTTCGGAGATTGGGGGAACCGTCGATCCGAGTGAGGGAGGTTATGGTTATTTTCCAGTGGCTGTCAGGAGCGAATAGTCACGGTTCTTCGGGTCAGTGATGTGACTTGAGGGAAATGCCGACCTTCACGATTAGGCTTTAGGCTTAATGCTTTAACTACCCCCTTTGCCTTAACTAATCTATGTGAAGCCTACTTCAGTTAACTTAGTAGTTATTCTCTCCGCCCAGCCAAGTCTCAACTCGGATCCGACGGGGTAAGGAGGTCAAAAGAGATTGCAACGGCCAACATTAATTTCACGACTTTGGATTGAAGCGCAGTTATGTTTAAGTCCAATGTACAAAAGTTATCCTTGAGACCACCACAGAGGTTCCTGTTTTTTTTTTTTTTTTTTTTTTTTTTTTTTTTCCTCCTTCCATCGGCATCCCCCACACGATGCCGGCAGGAGTCCTATACTTGGTCAATCCATACCCATCCAGGCGCTCCCGAACCCTAATTGCAGACCCATGGTGTCTCACCACGTCTCTTTCGCGCGGTCGGGTTTTTCTGTGTAGTAGCCAACAACCACTGGTTTGCCCGTTGACGAGAGCGATGATTCTTGCCGGCCATGACTAGCATCAACTCATACTCACACAAATGACAACCTTGGAAAACTCGATAGCCACCAACTAGCTTTGCCCGCCTACCGCGTAAGAGCTCCTTACTGGGCACGTATCTCAACGACGACGATCGTATGCCAAGATCATCTCCGACCACCTTATTCTCTCCCCCTACTTGTAACATGACTAGTGAGAACTTGGCTCCCCAACGCCCGCACGCACTGGGACACGGGTTCCTGACTCCGTGCCTGACTTCGAGCAGTAATCCCCGTAACTTGTTGGTGCGCTCGAAGAGAATTGGTTTCCTCCCAGTGTCTGTCTGGCCTAGTGAACCGGGCGTGGTTTCCAAGTCCTCCATCCGTTCCCTTGGGACAATTGTGGCTGAGAGATCGATATCCCCTTTCTCTTCTCTGTTCGCTCCAGAGATGTTACCTAATTTTCTCTCTCAAGCAGTCCCTCTGGCCAGATTTTTCTTCGTCTCTTTGGTGGGGTTATCCTTTTTCTCCTTTTCTCTCACGCAGCAGCAAGGAGAGAGACACTGCGGGATGTTGCAAGTGAAACAAGCTCGTCAATCGCGGCCAAAATCCGAGTGAGAAATTGAGGGTCGCGCGGGAGGTTATTTTTGGTCTCACGACCTCCTTAGTTGTTACTATCCAACTCTCGTCTCGTGGACTGGACGAAGTAGACCCATGGTAGGTTAAGCCATAGTCCTATGAGTTCTTGTTGAGGATCTTTGGAGGATATCTCTCTTGAGGATCTTCTGTTGTTTTCTACTTCTGGGCTTCGCCATTATACTTCGCAGGGTGATGCTAATCTTCTCACTAGCTCCGAAGAAAGAGAGACCGACACCTTGATCAGATGAAAGGCGAGTGACGTGATGTCCCAGGGCTGATATTGGCTTACAGTAGTCGGCACCGGCTCGACTGAGAGTGGTTATGTTTCTACACTGCGGGTAGACTACGAGACTACGTAGCGGTCTTGCTCTGCCACCACTACTATCCATCCTCACCTGGATTATTACAACTAGTCGATGAGAACTGAATTATGGATACTTCACTAGTCGTACTGACACTCATGTGGCTGGCTGAACTGATCGACAAGAGCTGAGAAGCAAATCATTCGCTTTCCACACGGATCGGTGGGAGTTCCGCCGTTCATGAAGCTGAGAATCGAATCATTCTTTGACAACAAGTCCTGCGTGGGCCTTGTTTCTTCCGTCGTCTGCGAAAAGGGACTCTGCCCCCTGGAGTGCTGCGTTCTGCAGTCGGGCTCGTGGTTTTAGGTCAATAAAGACGTGGACTGAGTCATCTTCAGCATCTGCCAATAGAGCTGCTGTGATACTGGCCTCTAGTAGAGCGGATTTCATGTGAACGAGACTATCTTCCCGGACGTTTTGATCACGAGCTTCGACTCTCCAGGGCCGAGAAGAGCGAGCACTCAAACAAATTCGGGGAAGCATTCGGCACCCCTAACCCTTACCCTGGACAGCTACTGACCCTGATCTCCCCCTTCCCGTCTGCCGTCGGTTGCCTGCAGGAAGGGGGTTCTTTATCTCACTTTTTTTACCTGGTGTCTGTCACACAGATCCCAGGTCAACACGAGCTCCCCAGGATTAGCCACTGAGTAACAGTAATTCTTGGCTTTGGGCTGTGCTTCCGTACTTTCTAATCCTTATCATCCCCGATGGAATGATCCTGAATCCCAGCAGACCCTGGCTGCAGACTGCAGGCTGCAGCCCGCAATGAGATTCGATCCAGGGAGTATCTTGGTGCGAGTGTGGAGGGGCCAAGGGGACATCACATCACGTCACTCGCCTTTCATCTGATCAAGGTCTCGGTCTCCTTGCGATGGGGACCACAAAGTAGAGAAAGGACAATCCCCTCCTATTCGCGCGGTAGAGGGTTGGATTGGGTGTCCTGATGATCATTCCCCTTTCTCTTTTCCTAGATATCCCAAATGTTCTATCATTCTATTCGGTGGATCGTCTAATTATGCCCTGTTTGACGACATCACACCCAAACCGTCTCTTCTGTAGGCCAGGGTCCAGGTAGGCTAGTGAGAATTGTATGTCCCGGCGACTGGCAGCGACTGGTTCAAGATCTCGATATGGCGCCAACATGTCTCAGGTCCCAGAGAACTGTCGGACAAGTACCGTCCCAACACGAGCATTTCCGACCTGGTGGATTGGCTGAGACAGCACCACTCTGGGGTCTCTCTCCCGGGATACCTGTCGAAAATCCAGGACCTGAATTGGTTCTCCTGATTTCTTGCCCCCCCCCCTTAGGGGTAACTAGATGAGATGGGCAGAGCCGATACGGGCTGATTTTCTTCACAGGGGAAATCGCCAGGCAATAGATCCAAGTGGTGAGGTTCTTTTCAGCTACTAGTGAATGGAGCAATCCCATCGGCGACTGACAGCTTTGGATCGGCGACTGGTTGATCTCGGTAGGTCAATGCCCGATGAACCGGGTTTTTCTCGCTCGAAGGGATCTGACGGACGCAGTCAGGATGCCATATTTGAGTGGTTCACAAATCTCCAGCGATTTCCCACGGGGATGCTTTGTTTCGAGAGGATAAAGGATATCGATCCTGCTAGAGTGCAACCATGGCCGTTATGTCCAAGCCCTAAGTAACCCTTGTGTTGCATTGGTTGTCAATTGATGCAGACTCTTTAACATCATCACTGGCGAGCCCCTACAGTCGAATACCTTACAAGAAACAACACCGCACATGGACGACCTCAGGTACTACTGGGTAGGTACCGTACGCCACAGGCAGTGTGCTCTACCACTGCAATCCTCCAATTAAGCAACCAAGGGAAATCAACCCGACAATTGACCCTGAACTTAGCGTAACCTACAGTAACTTGAGCCAAGTTACCTAGACAAATCCCTCTTCCTTGAAGCACCTGTAGTTGAATGAGCTCGTACCCTCCAATCAGCGCAGTCCCCTAGATCTCCCTTGACTACCTAAACTTAGGTAAGTACGTATGTAGTTACCTGTAACACAATCTACCCTACCCATAACTCCGTAAACTCAATCTACAAACGCTCCCAGAACCATAGAACCAGAACGTAAGACCCGCTATAACTAACTTACCCATGACCCATAGACAATGAACACCCACCACAACTTATGCACTCAGAGAGTCAGTCAGTCCCCAATGCGTGCCAGACAAAAGAAGCAGACTAGTTACTCTCTTGGAGAAGGAAAGGGCAGAAGTCTTGGAAGATATATATAGTATCATATATGGGTCCCTTCAAGTTAGTTGCCCCCCCCCCCATCCCCATTTCCGATATCAATTCGCTACCGGTCAAACCGTTGTTCCCCGCCACCCACACAATAATACGAGAGTGAAAGAAGGGTGTCGCCCCGTGTCGCCTCATATTTGCCGAGCGTGGGATGTAGTAGTTCTCTTATTCAATGGCAATGTCTTTGGAAGGGGAAAAGAGGGTTTGCATTTTCTTCGGTTGGGGTGGTTACAATCTTTGTGCTTTGCTGTGCATACTGTACCACTAAAGGGTTAAAGGGGATCCGGATGTACGGAGTACGGTGTGTACATACTGTAATGTTGGATCGGAGAGGGCGCTGTGCCGGGTTTTTCGTGGATGGAACTTGCACGCGTGCGCGGGCCGGGATGACCTACCGGTTAATAAATTAAGCGACGGGAACTGAGTCCACAAGCTTGCTTGGGTGACCGTGTCCCATCTTGGTTTTTCCGGGTGGGATAGCATGAACGAACTCAAGGTTGCAGGGGGTTGGATATTGCATTGAAAGCTGAGTACAGTACGTTGTGTCTGTCATGAGGTCAGCTGGTCCGTCACGTTGTCGCTTGTCATCCTGTAGTTGTAGCTGTAGATAGAAAACTGGAATCCTCAAGCTCCCGTCACGGTGGGATAAAAACCTCGAGCATCACTGCGTCCAATCGTGTCTCACTTGCAGCTCCCTACACCTCTGAAGCCCTGAGCCCTGAACAGTCACGCAGTTTACTCTTTTCAACTGGTTTTGACTAAATGACATGGGGGTAGGCAGTACCTAATGTGTGCCGACAGTGTGATAAAAAAAAATTTTGAAAAAGAGGGACCGCCACCAGCACTCCTCGCTAATCAACAACTTTCCTATCACCCGAATGGATATCTTTCTAAATGTCCCCCGACGTCACGCTGTGCTGGCCAAAGCGTATTTTACAGTCGGGCCGGTTTTCCATACCCAATAAAGCCGAAGCTCATGCCAGGTCTTTTGCACTGGCCGGAGATGCCAGAAACATGGCCAGTCAGCGTCATATCTGAGCCGTTTCCTCTGAGATCGACACCCCGTTGGCGATATTGACTAACCTGGAGAGAGGCTGGGATATTTTAAGGACCTTGGCCAGAAATGGCATCGGTGATAACACCACACGCCAGTCCAGCATAGCGTCACCAGTTTTGGTAGCATGTCTCACTCCAACTCGCCACGGTACTGCAGGCTGGTGGAACTGAGGAAGAGACTTCACTTCGATGCTATCTATCTGACTATTCAAAGGCAAGGCCTGTCAGGTCCTGCAATCAAGGAACAACCACGCAGACGCTGCCAGTCAAAGGATATCGGCACTCTGCTCGACGGAACGCTGGTAGCAGAGAGGAAATAGTCTGCCCCAGAATTGATACGCTCCCCAGTTCCCCTCTTTACCCGAGACCAGCCATCGAGCAAAGTCACTCTCCGTCCGGTCGGGGTTGGTGCTCCGCAAATGAGCGACCTACCCATGTCAGAGGGGAACCAATGAGCCAGTAGGAGTACCGCAGCACACATCCCCGCATGAATCAGACTTACTTCACGGTACCTCTGTAGAGCATGGTAGTACCGCATTGGCAGTCCAAACCTCCTTGTGACTGTCTCCTTCTTAATCCTCGCTAAGGCCTTCAAGTATAATGTGGAGAGGGTTTCACGAGGAAGGAAGATGTGATCACCCACGGCAATCTTGCCTGGCAACTTCCAGCCGTGGCGCTCATATATAGTCTCAATGAGTCGCGTCAGTGTGTCTGCCTGCCACGTCGCCAAGAGCTCGCCGTTGAATGCTTTGACGTGTAATTCCAGGTTCATCAGGTCGTGTCTGAGTTGATCGGTGTTGATTCGTAACTTGCCGATCTTATTAACCAGCATTTCGTTGGTCTTCTCCAAAGTATGGAGAGTTGAAGAGTATCTCTGGAGATAGAAGGAATGGTTAGTTCCATCTTGTGGGATTGTCTTGTCGTTGCGAGTTCAAGTGAGCTAACGTACCCTGGGCGAGAAGTTAGCAGTTTTGCTATCATGTTGCTCCAAGCCTGTTGACTGTAGGTGAGACCGGTAGAAGGACATGCCAGGCCCGTATAGCCGGACAAGCTCAGCGTTCATTATGATGAATCAGTCACAGAAGCGCTCGACGAGCTAGAGACGGAGAACGCAACGAGTTGTCTCGATAACGTTCGTTGGTATGAAAGATAGAAACGTGCTGCTACCTAAATAACGATGGCGCTGTCTGTACTGAGGTTGTGCTGGACAATGCTCAGAGACACGCTGAGTGCTGTTGGCTGTGCAACAGCACAGCAACGGCATATCATATCAACACAGGGAAGGTGCAACTGAACGGTGTGCCAGCCCTGGCTGTACTTTCAAGCCAAAGTGAAGTGAGTTGAGAGTGACTACATGTCTTCAAGTGATGTCTGTAAAATGTAGTATTTGCTTCCCTGCCAACCTACAGGATGATACTGATCATTGGCGCTCAATCTTGCAGGTCAGAGCTTACTGCCGGACGTTTTGCCAAACTCAAAGACTAGCTTGCCAAATTGTTTGCCCTCTTTCATATCCTGGAAAAGATCATCGAGTGCCGAAATATCACCAAGATCACCTTGAAGCACACGCGAGACAACCGGATGAATCTTTTGCGTCCTCACAAACTCGACCATGTCTTTGAACTCTTTGCGCGAGCCCATCGTCGATCCACGAACCTCGATGTTCTTCAGCACCGCCTGCATCAAGAAGGACATTTTGGGAGCGACCGTCATCCCATAGACTGAAAGGATACCACCAGCCTGGGTACATCAGTATTATTTATTACAAGCAGACAACGACAGGTCACAACCCACCTTGAGTAGCTTGACAGCCTTCTCGACCGCATCGCCTCCGGCCCCGTCGATAATGGCATCGAAAGCCGCCTTACCAGGCGGCAACAGACTCAACAGCTTCTTCTCCCACCCCTCCTCCTTGTAATTGACACCGGCCTTGGCCCCCAGTTCAACTGCCCTTTTGATCTTCTCCTCGCTCGAGCTGGTCACATACACGTTAACTCCCCGCGCGACCGCGAATCGCAGTACCATGAGAGCCACTCCACCTCCGATCCCAGTCACCAAGATGGCAGCTCCTTTGCTTGAGTTCTTATCGCCAGCTTTGACCACCAGTGCCCTCCATCCAGTCAGCCCGGTGAGAGGGAGCGCCGCGGCCTCGGCATCAGACAAATGCTCCGGCGCCTCTTCAACCTCCGACTCCTCGATGGTCACATACTCTTGGAGCGTTCCCTTGTTATACAACTTGGTTCCGCCCATAATTCGATATCCTTTGGGATCCTCCGGGCCGTCCGGCGAGCTCTCCCAACCGATCCCAGGGTTTAAGATCACCCGTTTCCCCTGCCAGCGCTGCGGATCAATCACCTCAGGTCCGGCCGCGACGACCATGCCCACGCCGTCTGCGCCGAGAGGGACGTCGAATGTGACGCCTGGGTACAAATGTTGACGCAGGAAGACATCGCGGTGGTTGAGTGAGGCTGCGGTGAGCTTGATGAGTAGCTCGCGGCCTTGTGGGGTAGGCTTGGCCTGTGTCTGCACGGAGAGGGGATAGTAGACTTGGCCCGGTTTGCCGTCAATTTTGGTAAGGTAAATGGCTTTAGACATGTTGCTGTAAAAGATGCTTTCGTACTTCAGGAAATGAGATCACTCTTGAATTGAAGTATGATTCGTAAAAGTCCGACAATAAGGGGGGGTCGGGGCCCAGCTTTATCGGTGCGGGGGAGAATTGGATTTGTTATCGGCAAGTTGCCGAGGATGTTCCTCCCACTGAGCTGAGGTATATTTAGTAGTGTATAAATTGATTCTATCTCTCGCAGCGTTCTTGGTTATATAAGGTCTCCCCTGATAACATGCAATGATCTCTTGATGAAACTTGTCTTCCCATGTCACTTCTTCCAGATCATGGCATAGCAAGAGACATGTGTCGTTTTTATCCAGATTTAATGCCAACCCAGGCAAGACCTGTGTGCAATTACCCTAGAAATAGAGCAAAGGATCTGCTTATATCGATCTCAGGCCAGACGCGAAAACAAACTACCACCTTGCGGCATTACATTGTCTGACGGAGTCTAACTGGTATACTAGGATGCTACTATCCTATGATTCAGGACTTCCCTCGTGAGGATGATGCTACTAGTTAGCTTCACAAATTGCCATACTCATGCTTGTTAATGCCTCAGGCCATATTGTAAGATATGAAATGAATTTACCGTCTGCGGTATTGTGACGGTACGGTAATTTCAAGCCGAGGCAAACATTCCACACAGGCAATCAACGGAACCTTACATGGTATTGCAGTCCTGGTGAGTTGTTCTTAATCGCGTCGACGACTCTGGTCGAAACGGGGTACGTTGTTTGCTGTGGCTGTGACTGCAGTGCTACTGGAGCTGAAATTGAAGGCAATCTGCCCGTCGGGCGTGACTTGTGTTACTGGATCGGTTTAGATGTATCCATTGTCAGAATATAAATGGGGGCGGACCAGTTGCACTTACTATGCGTTAGTAGTATATATAGTCAACCAAGTCACCACCCACACAACGTCTACACCACCAGAGTACGATTCAATTCTTCTTGAGACAGAGTTTTCTAACAAAGCGCAGATTGGAAACAGGCTCGCATGCAAAGCACCAGAAAATATCGATTGTGACGTGTCGATATTGGTTTCGATGCGATCTAGCATTGTAAAATCTCCGGCGCTAGTAGTAGGAGGTCAACCCTGTGATTCAGATGCTCGACTCCGGCTCGATGAAATGAATGTAATGACAACTTGCCAGGATATGAAGTAAATACCAAGCTCCGACGACTCATGATGCTTGCTCACCATTGGAAGGATTGAGTGCCGACCTAGACCTGAACATCGACAAGAGCCGACGACTTTGCCAAGCAACTGATCGATTGCATACAGCCCTGTCGGACCGGACCAACTGTCGAGGTCAACATTGATTCCTAACTACGGGGCGGGAATCCAGCGAGGAGACTTGCAATCAGGGATAATGAGCAAGTTGCACGATCCAGCAAAGCATGAGAATAACTAAAAAGAGGAGCACAGCATGACTCGAACCGGGCAAGTGACAAACCTTAAGAGCGATTGAATTCCCGCAGTGGCCGAGCTTTCAATCAATTGTCTTTGCTTCTTGATATCGTTGTTTGTACAGTACTTTTTTTTCTTCTCCTGCCCCAGAAAGCAAACAAGGCAGCATCTCCTAATATTTCAAGAGTAGACTAGAGATGCTTGTGTACTACATAGCAATTGCCCTAATCTCTTTTGTTTCCTTCTTTTTTTTTTTTTTTTTTTGAAATTTTTTTTTCTTTCCTTCTTCGCCCATTAATTTGGGGGATTAAAGCGACACGTCGAAGGAGGTTAAGCCAAAGCGTTGTTTGCGGCTGGCGTGTGGGCCACTCAACGTCACGGCGTGGCTGTAAGTGAGCTGGAGTTGGCTGGGGAAGTGGTCGGGCCACGCACCCTCAGGCTGATGCTATACGGACTTGGAATCCATAACTGATCAGTTACCCATCCTCAGCTGCAGGTACTGCCGGTATGAACAGTTAAGTGATCATCATGTACCGTAGTCAGTCTCTGGGATGTGCCCTCTGAAGAAGGGTTGTGCTTGTGTGGGTGGTATATACAGCAGATACAACCGACGCGATGCCTGGGAGCGGCAATGATGTTTGTGGGAGTGTGTGTCTGTGTACTCTGGAATAGTCATGAATAAATAACGAAATGAATGGAAAAATTGACATCAATCACTTCAGGCAAGGTTTGAGAATTTAACCCAACTACCCTTACTGATGAGGTAATGTACGGAAGATGGGTGGCTGGTATGGGGAAAAACCCGCGAAGAAAAAAACCACTCAGACCAACGAGACTCGTGTTATTGCCACACGCCTCCGCTCATTCGCCGCTCCAGCCCTTGGTTCATTTTTCTCACTCTTGAACTTCCCAAACTTGCCAGGAACTCTCGATCCTTTCGATCTTCTGATCTCGAACTTCGTTCATCCCGTCGTCTGCTGGTCCGAACTGCAAATCCTCCCACACCTCTTCGCTCGACACAATTCTGCCTTCCATCTCGATCAACTTGGACCTGGTATGTGCTTCTCCCTTCTGCCTCCACTATCCCTCTACCACATTTGCCTCTCACACACCCCCCGTTTTCGTCCCTCTCGTTCGTTCGTTGGCTGATCGAATCTGTCTTCTCTCCACACACCAACAGCTTTGCGTCCTTGTTTTCTCCCATCACACCTTACACTCCAGAAAGAAAAAACGAACACGTTCGCCTCACTCTTGACATCGACCTTCTCTTCGATTTGTCTTTCGTCTGATCTGCTGGACTCAGGGCCTTGTCTTTCCATCTGAACCAGCTATCGTTTCTCTCATAATGCCTACGCCACTTCCCTCTAGTTTTGCTTCAGCCGCCGCGGGCAACACCCACGACTCTTCTAATCGCAGAGGAGATGGTACCCCCGGTGGAGAATGGTATGCCGTTCCTTGCCCACCAAGATTCGCATTGTGTTCGCCGTGGCCGGCCCGCTCGATTCGACCACTCCTAGTCGTGGTGGAACAAGAAAACTGACCACTCATTCCTCGGCGGGGATGCACAGGTCTCGCACTCGCATGAACGGAGCAACACAGACCTTCCGCCGCCCTTCAGTTGCGACAAATCCGTCGCATAACCGGGATACGAGTCAACCCAACTCGGCCACTACTCCTACCGTCGGCACCTATACTCCCCCGCATATGTCCTCGAACTACCAGTCCAGCGCACTCCGCAACGGTGCCACCACGGAAACCCGTTATTCCAAGGACCTGCTGCTAAGTCTTTACAAAAACCAACGGGACACCGGCTCGTTGGGAAAGAATGTCGCAGATTATTTCGTCGCCGACTGGAATCCTCACCCCTCCGAGACCTCCCCCGTCAATGGGGCATGGGGCAAGCGCGAGGATTCCAAGGACAATCCGTCCGGTCCGGAGGTCTGCTGGGATCATGGGGGCCAGGTAGAGCCGCTGGGTCTTGTGGAACCGACGGATGACGAAAAAGAGGTGTGTCTTTGGCTACGTCTTCACCCCGCCTTATCACCCACCGATGATCATCTCTCACTCTGTGTTGTGGCATCTGGCTAAATTGTGCAGTTGTTTACTTCTTCCGTCAACTCCCCGCTCAAGCCGCCACCGACCAATACCTCGAAAGAGAACACCGCTACAGGCACGGGCGGTCGCAAGCTGTCCATCTCTCAGGGCCACATGAACAACTACAACACCTCCTCTCCCAGCGCTGGACGCCCTGGTCCCCGGCGTCGGGACACAGCCGACTCGCCCGCGAATCCAATGTCTCCCTCAACCAGCGGACCACGCTTCTTCCGGGACGAGCCGGCCACGTCCAACCCGCCAGCCGCCTTGCTGCGACGCAAGACCGATTTCCGCGATACCTCCTCCACTGCTCGGTGGGAGGAAAAGGAAAAGGAGAACGTGGGTAAGGATTCTGGTGCGGATGTGGCTGCTCCTCCATTTGGCACGCTCAAGCGGAGTACTACCAATCCGTTGAGCGTGGCGCCGGGTGGACCAAGCTCTCCGTGGGCCGCTTCCGCCTCGCACAATGCCAACTATTCGCCCATGGGTGCATTTGGAGCCTTCTCCCTGGGGACAAGTACCACGCCCACCTCAGAGAAGAAGGCCGGCTTTGGCAGTCTCCGTGGCGAAAGCCGTCTGAAGGGTCTTTTCTCCAAGGATAGCTCCGAGGACATGGCCGCGGCGGCCCTCAAGGAGAAGTCTTCGCTCAGCAATCTGGAGCGCTTTGCCGATGTGGAGGGCGAGAAGCGCGCGCAGTCCCCGTGGGGCGAGCCCGTCAAAACGCGCACTGGTCGCAGTGAGACGAATCCCTTCCAGGAGGAGCTTCGCAGTGGCAGCGCAGCGCTTGGAGGATCCCAGGAGATTGACCCGCAGCCCCCGTCATCGTCCGACCAGCTGGGCTTCGGGGCGTTTGGCATGACCTCGAGCATCCCTGGATTTCGGGAACTGATGCATAGCCACGAAAACTCTCGGAATCCTACTCCGAGCCTTCTCCAGGGACATGAGCCTACTAGCCCGACCAACACTAACCCTTACCAAAGCCCCCACGGCGACCGTCACGAGGTTGATGATGTCGAAACCGACGGGTCCGACATTCAAAACACCACTCACCCCGGTATCACTGGCCTGCGGGATACCTCATCCGCTTTCGGCTCCATTCGACGTGTCGGCTCAGGCATGGACCTGCCATCCATCGACCGCAGTCAAACATCGAGTGCGGCTGGAAACCGAAGCTTCGCGAGCTTGGGTGGCCTAGGTGGTCTACCCCCGATTGGAGGTGCGGCAGGATGGCCGTCGAGCGCTGCCGTTGGCACCCCTACGCGCGAACGGTCTGCGTTTGCGGGCGGGTTCGGTGATCCGATCTTTGGGACCATGGGTGACCTGCAGTCTCCAAGCCTGTCGACACTGGGAGGAAGCGGCCTCTTCAGCCCACATGCAGGAGGAATCACAGGAACGGGTAGTCTGGGTCGCTCCAGCAAACTAGGCTCGCTCTTTCCCCCTGCCATGCAGGAGCAGATGCAGGGTGACCAAATCCGGCCCGATCTCGGGGCTCTGGATGAGGCTGCTCGGCAATCTGGTGAGATCTTTGACGGACTTTTGGCGGACCAATCTTCACTGACGCACGGAGCAGAGCTTCAGCCTACTGATAAGAACGCGCAGGGCGGCCAGCCAGCTACCACGTCGACTTCTCAGACTCCTGTCTCTGCTGTCGGCTCGGGCCCTGGCTCCATGGCTCCCGATGCGCCACAGCCCAGCCAGACCCCCGGAAATTCTGGCTCTGTTCCTCCCGCGCAGCAACGGACCATGGTGATGCCCGATCGCATGCGCTGGATCTATCGTGACCCGCAGGGCAACATCCAAGGACCCTGGACTGGACTAGAGATGCATGATTGGTTCAAGGCCGGATTCTTTAGCCCCGACCTGCAAATCAAGAAGCTCGAGGACCCAGAGTTTGAACCGTTGGCCCAGCTGGTCCGTCGCATCGGCAACTCGCGCGAACCCTTCCTGGTACCTCAAATTGGCATCCCCCACGGCCCTGACCCTGCACCTGGACCTTGGACTGGAAACTCGACTGGCACCGCTCAGCCTCCCTTCCCTGGTAGCTTCCCCAGCTTTGGCACAACCCTGACTGCTGAGCAGCAGAACGCTCTCGAACGTCGCAAGCAGGAGGAGCAGTACCTGATGGCCCGCCAGAAAGAGCACCTGGCTCAACAGCAGGCTCTCATGAAGCAGATGCAATTCCAGGGCGTTCCTCACTCCATCCACCCTCACCAGCTTCAGCATCAACCAAGCACTCACAGCCTCCACAGCCAACCCAGCTTTGGTAGCATTGCTTCTCCGGTTGGCTTCCAACCATCTCCCATCCAGGCGCCCATGCAACAACAACCGCAGGCCCAGCAGCAGCCAGCATCGTCTGTTGCCGGCTTCTTCGATGCCGCTGCCGCGATGCGAGGCCATCCTCTGCCGAACGTAGGCCCTCCGATTCTAGGCGCTGATCTCGTTGGCGGTCAGGACCAACTTCCCGCCCTACTGGACCGGTTGAACATGAGCCGGCCGGATCCGTTCGCTTTTGGTACTCCCAGCTCTTTCGCTGCTCGCCAACCGGACAGCCTGTTCCACCAGCAGCAGGTCGCTTCGATGCTCCAAGATCGGGCTCGTCTGCAGCAGGAGCAAGAGCAGTTTGATAGCACTCAGGGCGATAGCCTCTTCGATCAACAGGCGCGCGAGGAGCGACTTCGTCAGTTTCATGTCCTCAGGGCCCAGGAAGCCGAATTAGGCATGCAGACTGTAGAGGGTCTTCCTACCCATCCCGCCGAGTCAGCTCAGGCTCAGATCCCGGAAGAGACCGCCGAGTTTGAAGTGGCTGATGCCGCCTCCCAGGAGCCCCCACTCACTCTGTCGCAGCAAGTTCAGAAGGCTGCCACCGCCCAGCGTCAGCAGTTGGAGCAACAGGAACAGCAGGAACAACAACAACGCGAGCAGCAGCAATTGGAACAACCTCAGGCGAGCTCCGAAGCTGCTTGGATGAGCAAGGGTGATAGCGCGATGCCCCAGCCCTTCCCTCCCCCGCCTTCTGCTTCCCCTCTGCCGGCCCCTGCAGCTCAACGCAACCGTCAGAATGTGGCCGAGTCGCTGGCTGCCAACTCTCGCTCTCAGACTCAGACTCCCGTTGAGGCTCCTACCACCTCTATCGCGCCATGGGCGAAGGAAGCCAATGAGGTTCCCAAGGGACCTTCTCTGAAGGAAATCCAGGAGGCTGAGGCTCGCAACGCTGCTCAGAAGGAGGAAATCGCCGCTGCCGCTCGTCGTGCTCAGATGCTTGCTGAGCAGGAGCGCCTCACCCAGGCAGCTCAGGTTCAAGCCCCCGGCCTGCCCTCCTCTGCCAATTGGGCCAGTGCTGGATCTCCCTCGACCCCGACGTCGACTGGATCCGTCTGGAACAACAAGGGCCCGGCTGCTCCGACCGCTGCTGCCAAGAAGACTCTGGCTCAGATTCAGAAGGAAGAGGAGGCCCGTAAGCAGCGCCTGGCTGCTGCGGCCGCTGCGGCGCAAACTGCTGCTGCCAGCCCGCCCACCGCTCCTTCATCCACCGGCAAGCGTTACGCCGATCTGGCCAGCAAAGCTCCCGCGCCGTCTCCCGTCAACGCTGCGGCGTCTTCGGGCGCCTGGACTACCGTGGGTGCCGGCGGTAAGGCGAAGGCTCCTCCCGCTGCTCCTTCGGGACCGCGTGCAACCACCGGTGTGGTGCCTGTGGCAGCTTCTCCGGTGAAGCCCAAGCCCGCTACGGTTGCCACCCCTCGCACTGTCTCTGTGGGCCCGACCCCGCCTACCAACCCGAACCGCGCCGTGGAAGAGTTCACTAAGTGGGCCAAACTGGCGCTGGGCAAGGGCTTGAACAGCAACATCAATGGTGAGTTTTGTTTCTGGTTGAGTGTTTGAACTCCAGCTAATCCGACCGAATCTAGTGGACGACTTTGTCCAGCAGTTGCTGTTCCTGCCGGCCGAGGCGGAGATCATCTCGGATTCCGTGTATGCCAACTCGCAGACTCTGGATGGACGTCGTTTCGCGGAGGAGTTTATCCGCCGGCGCAAGCTGGCGGACAAGGGCATTGTGGATCCGGTGGCGGCCAGCGCGTTTGCGGAGCAGAAGAACGCTGGCGGATGGAGCGAGGTGGCCAAGAAGGGGTCGTCGAATGCGCACCGGGAGGAGGATGCCAGCAATGCGGCGTTCAAGGTGGTTGCGCCGCGCAAGAAGGGCAAGCGGTAGATGAGATTTTGTGGTGTACAGTGATGAGGCATACATAGTGTATCCTATTAAGAGATCTGTACAGAACACTCATAGATCGGTAGGCACTTATCAGATACCGTTATCCAAGGATCATGTGACAGATTCACGCCCTTCGGTGACTCAGCCCCTCTATGCGTCATAGTTAGAGATAAGATAACTTTGATGGTAGTCTGTGGGGGGTCTATAAAAAGTCGACTTTGCTGGCTGTACGGAGGAGAAAATCACCCTTCAATTTGTCCGCAGTGCAACCCTGCTGTAAAGAAATCAAAGAAAAAGAAAGACAACGAACAATGGCTCCCACTCCATTCGGCGCCCCGATGCGCCAACACTTCCTCCTCGACCCGAACTACAAGAATCTTAACCACGGTCTCTCTCTCTCTCCCTCTTTCTCTCCAACAATCACAACAACAACAACAACAACAACTAATTAACCCCTCCTACAGGATCCTTCGGCACTTACCCAACTCCCATCCGCGAAACTCTCCACAACTTCCAGACCCAAGCGGAATCCTCCCCCGACGAATTCCTGCGCTACACCCAACCCGCCGCCCTCACCACGGCGCGCCACTCCCTGAGCCAACTCCTCAACTGCCCAGCCTCCGACCTGGTCTTTGTCAAGAACGCAACCACCGGCATCGCCACCATCCTCCACAACCTCCCCTTCGCGGACCATGACGTGCTCCTCTACTTCTCCACCGTCTACGGCGCCGTCGAGAACGGCATCTTCTCGCTCCTCGACCACCTGCCCCCGGGCAAATTGCAAACCCGCAAAATCGAGTATAGCCTGTTTCCGGCCCCGCTCGCCCCGGCCATGCTGGTCGAGACCTTCCGGCAGACGATCCGGGAGGTGCGCGCCCAGGGGCTGACCCCCAAGATCGCCGTGCTGGAGACGGTGGTGAGTCTGCCCGGCATTCGGTTTCCGGTCGAGGAGATCGTCGCGGTGTGTCGCGCGGAGGGGGTGTGGAGTTGTGTGGATGCGGCGCATGGGGTGGGCATGCTGGGGTTGGACCTGGGGGTAGAGTTTAACGGGGAGACTCCGGGGAGGCAGGGGGAGAAGGAGGAGGATGCTGCTGGTGCTGCTGGTGCTGGTGGGAATTCAACCTCATATCCGAAACTTAAACTCCACGGGGTGGATTTCTTGACGAGTAATTGTCATAAGTTGGTCTCCCCCCTTTCCCCCCCTCCCAAATTACTTTGACGCAAGTGATACCCTGCAGTATAAGCTTGCCAGGTTCCAGAGAGAGAGAGATTGCTTCAATGCTAACTGACAATATCAAGATGGCTTTACACCCCCCGCAGCTGCGCCTTACTCTACGTCAACCCCATCCACCAGCACCTCATTCGCACCACCCTGCCTACATCATGGGGATACATCCCCGCCGAGAACGGGAACCATAAAGCGAGACCCTCGCTGATGGCTAGCGCCGGAACGAAAACCCCGTTCGAGACGCTCTTCGAGTTTGTCGCGACCGCCGACGACACGCCCTACCTCTGTACGCCCGCCGCCCTGCAATTCCGCACGGACATCTGCGGCGGCGAGGAGGCTATCTATACGTACTTGGAGGACCTCGCCAATGAAGCGGCGGACCTGGTGTCGGAGGGGTTGGGGACGGAGGTCTTGGGGGATCTGTCTCCCGAGGAAAAGGAGAACGGACTGAAAAGGAGTCTGTGGAGGAGATGTGCGATGAACAATGTGCGGTTGCCCCTGGAAGTGGCAGTGGCGGGTACCGGACAACACGCGAACAAGGATGGCAAGCAAGTGCTGCAACCCGCGCAGGTCCCTGCCGTGGTGGACTGGATGCAGAGGCGGTTGGTTGAGGACTATCGCACCTTTGTGCCCGTCTTCGCACACGGCGGGTGGCTGTGGGTGCGCTTGTCGGCCCAAGTCTATTTGGAGAAAAGTGATTTTGAATGGTTGGTCCCCGTGTTGAAGGCGTTGGTTGGCCGCGTCAAGGAGGAGTTTAACCTCGCTTAATTCTCTTGGAATTACGACAGCAGCAGCAGCAGCAGCAGATCTACAGGAACATAGACAAACGAACACAAAATCATAATGATATACAACTACGCGAATATATGCAGGCCGTAGAAACAGCAGTCGAACAAATCAATAGATAGCGGAACATGCAACACCAGCCCACCGCTTACGTCTCAATGAGATCCGCAGTCTCACCCTGAGTCTGCTCCGCCACAGTGTTGTCTCTCGTGTCCTTGTTGGCGATCTTCCGCGAAGACCGAGCGTAGAACTCATCCAAGACACGTTTGGGGATACGGTTGAGTAGGTCCTTGGGGTAGATCCGCAGCAGGTTCCACGCGATATCCAGCGACTCGAAGATCGTGCGCGACTCATAGGGCGACTGACTGATGAAAGTGCGCTCGAACTTGTCAAGAAACTCCAGCGAGAGCTTGTCCTCCGAGGAAAGGGCTTCCTCTCCAACGACAGCCTTCATAGCAGCTATACGCAGATCATTTAGTCATGTTGTCACCCTCATTTGACAGGAAACTTACCGGCATCACGACCAATGGCGTACTTGGCGTACAACTGGTTGGACACATCCGAGTGATCCTTCCGGGAACGTCCCTCGCCGATAGCGGACTTCATCAGACGCGACAGCGACGGCAGCACGTTGATCGGCGGGTAAACACCCTTGTTGTACAATTGACGATCAATGAAGATTTGTCCCTCCGTGATGTAACCAGTCAAGTCGGGAATGGGGTGAGTGATATCTGGACCCATCAATCAGCATACGCATCCTCGTACAGCAGGCTATACACTGACCGTCGTTAGGCATCGTCAAGATAGGAATCTGCGTGATAGAACCGTTACGGCCCTCCACACGACCAGCACGCTCGTACAAGGTCGACAAGTCAGTATACATGTAACCGGGGTAACCACGACGACCCGGGACTTCTTCACGAGCCGCCGAAACCTCACGCAGAGCATCACAGTAGGCGGACAAATCAGTCATGATGACCAAAACGTGCTTCTCCAGCTGGTAGGCATAGTACTCGGCCGTGGTCAACGCAAGACGAGGGGTAATAATACGTTCAATCCTAGACGCTCCATGTTAGTTCCGCACATACGGATATCGAATCGGTCACGTACGTAGGGTCGTTGGCCAAGTTGAGGAAGAGCGTCACGCGCTCCATACTACCGTTCTCCTCGAAATCGCGGGTGAAGAAACGAGCCGTCTCCATGTTCACACCCATAGCGGCGAAGACGATGGAGAAGTTCTCCTCGTGTCCGTCGTGAACGTCCTTGGTAGGGCGCTTCACCAAACCAGCCTGACGACAAATCTGAGCGGCAATCTCGTTGTGTGGCAGACCAGCAGCAGAGAAGATAGGGATCTTCTGACCACGGGCAATGGAGTTCATCGTATCGATGGCGGAGATACCAGTCGAGATCATTTCTTCGGGATAGACCTATGGACCATGAAACGCATTAGCCACCTGGGGGTGTTGTCGCAGAACGAGGGCAGAATCCATACTCGGGAGTAAGGGTTGATAGGTTGACCGTTGATATCCAGGTAGTCTTCCGCCAGCACCTTGGGGCCTTTGTCAATCGCGCGACCGGATCCATCGAAAACACGACCCAGCATGTCTTCGGAGACACCAAGCTTCAAGCTGTGGCCCGTGAACTCGACTTTCGTCTGATATAAGTCAGTATGGCAATTTCGTCGTTGATAAGGTGCATGCCGGCCAGGTACCTTCTTGACATCGATACCAGAAGTGCCTTCGAATACCTAGTTATGACCGCATTCTCATGTCAATACTCCGCCCGGTAGATCCATCGCGTTCCTCCAACTCGGAAAGTTCCGCACCTGCACGACTGCTCTGTTTCCTATCGAGAAGAGATCATGAGTCAGCAAAGCCGATAAATCATCCATCCTAGCACCAGAATACATACCTCGAGCTTCCAGAACTTGACCCGACCGCTCGGTCCCATCAGGGAGGGTCAGAGACACGATCTCGTTGTACCGGGGGAATTTGACCTGAGGCGCCACCTGTTAGCTCCTGTTCCATCTTCTCAGGTGCTCAGATTCCACCAGGTGACGTTGTCGATGGCAAGGGCTCGTACATTATCCAGAACGACCAGCGGTCCGTTGATACCTCCAATGGTGTTGTATCGGATGCGAGGCTTGACGCTGGTCATCCTAGGGTCGACGAAATCGGCCATGGCTGCAGAGTCCACCACAAGGCACTTAGAAAGACAAAGACGATAGGCGGGAGGAAAGATGGAGGGGGGAGGGGGGAAAAAGCGGACGAGGTAAAACGGAACTGAGGGGAGAGGGAACAGCTCCTGGTGGTGGTCGGGAGTGTCGACGTATGCTTTGGTCTTTGGGGTGGCCCGTCGTCAGTTTGGCTGGTTTGCCCCGTTTGGCTCCACGTCCCTCCCGGGGCGGTGTGGACCTTCCTTCTCCCCACGTGATGTTTCGCCTACGATCTATACAAGACTCGAGCAACCTTGTGGTCATGAGAATTAAAATGAAACTAATTCTTCTCTCGCAGAGAGATAGCCGACTAATGTGACTTGTACATCCCATAGAGCATTCTGCAGCCGCCAGAAGTTATCACCATCCGCGCGCGGTGTGACTTGCAATCAGATTAGAGAAAGGGAGGAAACGAACGCCAAGCGAAATGAAATCGTCAAATCCGTTCGTCATTAAGGTCATACTGATACAGCTGAAGAATGGAAAAGATTCCCACAAAAGAAGCAGGCTAGAATCGTGGGATAAATACGCCAAACCGCCGTCAAACCGTGATGGTATCGTGTGCAAAGCAAACAACGGAGAAATCAGAGGGAGGTGTGAAGTCGACTAGTCCACTTTCGCCAGCGCAAGCTTCTTAGGCGTGGTCAGGTTGTTGGACAGACGGACGTTCATCTTTTTGTTCTTGGTTTGTTTCTTCAACTTCTTTCGGGCCACCATCACCGGCACGGACGAGTGCATGACCAGATAGTTGGAGAACGATCCGAGGACCACCCTGCAGTGAAAAGACTTATTAGCTTCCCCTCGGTCAACGTTCGATCGTAGAGCTCTTACCCCTTCAGTGCACTTCGTCCCCTAGCCCCAACGACTACCAACGTAGGATTCAGCCCATCGATCTAGGAAATTCAGTCAGCAACGGTACCCTATCTCTTGACCTAAAATCAAGGATGTACTTACAGCTTCAGTAATCATATGCTTCGGGCTTTTGCAATGGATCACCTCGACCGCCACGCGCACCTGGAGTAATGTCTTTCTCAAGAGGCGGACGCAAGTCTGCGAGATAACCTCCACCGCACGTACGCGCTCAGCCTCCGCCTTGGACATACCTCTTGCATCAACAGAGCCCGGTTTGCTGTCCGTGCCGCTCCCCAAGCGGTTGAAGAAGGTTCTAGGCAGATGTGAGCTGGAATCATTCTGGGATTTCTCTGCCGTCTCGGCCGTCTGAGACCCGACGACGGCGGCAGCGTCCTGCATGACTCTGGCTCCGTCACCAATCTGGACTGCTGCCGGAGTGGCGGTCTCGTCATGCATGGCACAGACCGCAAACATCGTATCGCCATCCCGCAGAATGGTGCCGATGGTCCACTCCAAAGCATACACTGACTCCTCGCTGAGATCAGTCGTTACCAGGTACCTGCGTTGGCGGCGACGAGCACCTTCCTCTTCGCGTATGCTGGGATAGTCCCCACGGATGATCGTCCGGATGGACCGGTTGTGCACTGAATTGTCAATTGTGGACATCTGAATGCTGAGTTTCTGGGCGCGTTTGATGTCGCACAATTCAGCCTCGTCCTCGGAGCCGAACGGGGTGTTGGTTGCTGAAGCCGAGTCGAAGCTCGTCCAGGGATGAACATCAGGCTTTGAGACGGGACCTGTCTTGGCTGAATGAATCAAATCATGCTTCCCTGTAAGATCATTGCTAGACTCTTTAGGCGACAGTCAGTCAGTAACACGCAAGTGAACAAAGAGGAGAGAACATACGGAACGCCGGAGCTGTTTTTGTTGTCGTGCGCGGCGCAACTCGGGGGGGTTCATGGTCGACCGTCTCTTTTCGCCCTCTCTTGGCCTCATCCGACTCGCGGTCCGGACTCTCCTCATCACTGGAAGACAATTCATCGCCATCTTCATCACTGGTTTCAATCGGATTGTTTTCGCTGTCGAAGCGATCTTTCTCAAGTCGCTGCTCGCCAGGAGCCGATAATTGAGCATCTGCCTCTGGTGGCGTTGGCGGGGCTGTTGGTTGCGATGTTGACTGAGGGGTCGGAGGAGGAGAGACCTGGGAGACATTTTCAATTGGCAAGCTCTCCTTCGGGTTCTCTTGAAGCGACTGTTTAGTGCTTTCGACGGCAGGCCTCTCTGGCTGTTTCTCTCTGACTGATTCCTTGCTCCCTTTGGGTTTGTCCATCGGATTCTCAACTGGGGTCTCCTTCGGGCTTTCGAGTATGGGTTTTGCCGCATCCACCGGCGGATTGCGTGAGCCAGGATTCAGCCAGCGACGCTTGGGTGAACTGGAGCGGGTCGAGCGGAGGGACGGAACGCGCGAGTCGAGAGAGTTGCCTCGCGATGAGGAACTACGACCGGAGTCCCGGCCTCTGACAAAACTGGGAAAGCCGACTTTGATGTCGAGACCTTGCATCACGGCAGCCATGCTTGGCAGGCGATTCGAGGAGGCGGTGGGCGGCTTCTCCTGAGCATGAGATTGACTAGCACGACGGGCGCTGGGAGGCATATCGAGAGAGGAATCCCAGCGAATGCTAGGTCCTGATTTGTGCGGTGTTGTGGTCGTGCTCGAGGTGGTTCCGGGCTTATCGCCGCCGTCAGATTGAACGGATGATTTTCTCGGGGCGGGTGGTAAAGGAGGAGCCACCAAAGAAGTGGTCCTGGGCGGTGGAGCGGAACTTGTGGTGGTAGTGGCAACACTGGTGGTAGTGGGGTTCGCAGTCGTTGGTGAAGTCGTTGGTGAAGTCGTTGGTGAAGTCGTTGGTGAAGTCGTTGGTGAAGTCGTTGGTGAAGTCGATGGTGAGGTGGGCGAAGAAAGAGGAGGTTGTGGTTGTTGTTGTGGTGGTGGTGGTGGTGGTGGTTTAAAAGAAGTGGTGGTGGTAGTGGGAGACGGAGCGGTGGAAGTGGTGGGGGTTGAAGAGCGACGGGGAGCGGATGTAGTATTGACGGAAGTGGAATTAGAATTGTTAGAGTAGTGATGGTGATAATGACGGCCCGAGGGGGAAGTCACACCAACTCCAATGCCGGCGATGGAACCATGGCGGAAGCCTGGACTGGGGGCGATGTCCAGCATGCTCCGGCGCGGGTACCAGGAGGAATTAGTGTTGCGGTCTTCACCCGATTCCCGCAGCAGCTCCCGCCGTTCCTCCTCCAGTGCCGTCTCTAACGAGATCGGCGCGGGCTTTCTACTGTAGTACGGCATGGTGACGATGATTGATCCCAGGTTCTCACAATTCTTCTTTATCTTCTATCCAGGTCTGATCCTAATCCTGGGTTCCTGTCCGTCTGTCTATCTGTTTCTCTGGCTGACTGCAACAAGTTAACAACTGATGCAACCACACCCAAAACAGAGAGGGGTATAATGGGGGATTCAATGAGAGACACACACTAACGGGCTCGGGAATGTGGAGTGAAGAGGCGATCATCGGCCGAATGAGCGACGCCGAATCCAATCAAGGGAGGGAGGGGGGCGGCGGCGGTAAGTCACTTTCCCAATCCCCAGATTTCCCTTCTTTCAGCTTCCCCGTAGAATGTGACAAGGGGTTGAGCAATGCTCTGTGACCAGCAGCACCAGTCACAATAATGATAGCAACAAGATGTCTTTTCTCCAGTTGCCAGATTGTGCAGCGCGAGCCACAAACACACACCGCTGAAAGGGAAAAGGCACGACTTAATAGATCACTCGAATGGAGCTTTAGAGATCCCCACGTGCTTGAACAACGGCTGCAACTGCCGGCGATCGAATCGGTCGCGACCAGCCGCGGCCCAGGTTCTGGCTGAAGCCCTTCCTTTGTTACAGGTCGCGGTGGACGTATCACAAACAAAAGCAACAAAAAAAAAGGAGACTGGCGCGTTCTGGGAGGGTTACGAGCTCTCCCCTCGGGAGTGAAGTCAGGAAGTGGTGGGGACGGGAACAATAAAGAAGAGGAGGAAGAAGAACAAGAAGAAGAGAAGGAGGAGGAGGCGAAGCTCAGGTGGAGGGATTGATGGAGCACAGTCCACTCTGCCAAGTCAATCACAAGGGAAAGAAGAGGAGTCGAGGAATGACTTGACTGTGACGAGGTCAAGTACAGACTGGGGATTCGAGGGAGCTTAAGAGGACAAGACGTGAGCAAAAAAGCTCGACCAACGAAACCTGCAGCTGAGCTCGTCAGAAAAAGCTCGGCATGGCGGGGTATCACCAACAAAGTAAGAATTAGGGAAAATTAGTAGGTAGGCTGATCACTTCACTTCACCTCACCTCATTCACACTGATTCACACACAGCAAATTAGACCTATCCCTTGCATGACCGCTTGACTGATGACTGCACTGATACTCCGTAGTAGGTACGGAGTAGTTACCGGTGTATTCTGTAGTTACTCCGTACTTGCTGCATCTATTGCACTACCTACACTACCTACTTACATCACTTACACTACCTACACTATCTGACAATGTCTCTCCCTACCTCTCCCCCTTCTTATGGAAAGAGTTGCAGAGTTGTAGTGTCACCACAGGGCAGTTCTTGAGACACTCGAACCTGGAATGTGCATTGCATGCAGGCGACCGACTGCTTATTTGTGCTTGATCAGAGCTCGAACCCGGGTTCCCCAACCCATCACTAACATTCCATTTCCCCCAATCTAACCAGCGCCTATCGCCCTTTCGCCTGCCAGCTGAGTTGGTCGAACGATCGTCGTCGAAGCGTCAGTGTCATCTCATGAGTCAATCATTTTCCATTTTCGACTTCACTACTGCCCTCGTCCCTGATGTTACATTCGGTGTCATTCCAGATGCCGAACAAAAAAGCATTAATGCATGCATGGTAGCGAAAAAAGCCAAAAAAAGGAAAACCAAAAAAAAAGGAAACGCAACACAAAACAGGTAGCTCTCTTCCACCCACGATGGATGTTGGCTTGATGATTGACATATCAAAAACAGAATGGACAGACCCAACGCCCCAATTTCACCAGTGTACTCCGTATCGGAGGATGCATTTTCAACGCCCAGAAAGAACATGATGCAAAGCAGAAAGAAAACAAAGGATCCGACCGCTCCTCCCCCGTCCATCAGTTCTAGGCATCTGTTTTTCTTTTTTTCTTGGCTCCGGTCTTTCGCGCCGCAGTAGCTGCAAAGGCTTCCTCTGGGGGCTCGTCCATCTTGGCCGCCCGCTTGCGACCGGGTTGCACGTACTGCTCTTCCAATCGGTCAAAGAACGCCGCCGCCCGCGTGGCCTGTCGTTGCTGGATCATCCTCATCAGCTCGTTGTCCCCCGCAGCACCATCGTTCTTCTTCTTGGTCTTGGTCTGCTTGCCGCCCTTGCCATTCTTAGCCGACTGCTTCTCCTCGACCTCCGCTGCCAACGCCTCCGCCTCCTTGGCCTCTTTCTGTGCCCGTTTCAAACGCCGCTCGCGCTTCTTGGCTGGCTCCTCAACGTAGCTCTTGTGTTTCTCTGCACGCCCCGCGGCGATGGCCCGGTCGATGATCCCTCGAAAGCGCTCGTCGTCATCCATTACATTACAGAGCATCACGGACTCGTAGACCTTATCCAAATCTCCCCGGTAAGTCTCATACGCCGCCAGCAAATCCCGCTCTTCCTCCTCCGAGCCCTGATACTCCTGCTTCAGCTTTTCAATAGCGTTGGTATCGATCGCACTGGAGAACTGCTCGCGATAGAAGTCCGCCCAGTTGAAATCATCGTCGATGTCGACCGCTTCACTGGTGCTGCCGGTCAGGTCGTATCGCTCGCGGCGTTTCGCGTCGGAGAGGATGGCATAGGCGAAGGCAATCTGCTGAAACTTCTTGTTTGCTTCATCACGCTCTTCCACGGGGACCTTGTCTATAGAAACGCAAAGGAAAGAAGAGGTTCGGTTAGTATCGGATGTTCTAGGTACGTGCCAACTGTTGGTCTGGGTCTGGACATACCAGGATGGTGCTTCAGAGCTTGTTTCCGATAGGCCGACTTAATCTGGTCGGCGGTCGCATCGTTGGAGACACCAAGGATTTCGTAAAGGTCACTCTCTGGGATAGGAGGCTCGGGAGACTCGCTTGCACGACGAGATTCCGGCGACTCGCTCTCGCGAAGGGAATCGGGAGACTCGCTTCGGGGCGGAGCCGCGCGAGACTTGCTCTTGCGTGCCATCGTGAGAAGATAGGTACCTACGGTTCAAAAAGACGTGCGTAACAAGGGCAGGATCACAGCAAGAAAATGAAGCTCATGCGGGAGCCAGTGATGCGAGAGAAACGACGAAGAATATACCTAAGATTCAGTCAGACGCGCCACGCGGACGCGAATTTCCAGTCAGACCCATTACTTGTCTATATACAGAAGGCGGTACGGTCAAGCTTGTAGACAATTCCCACGGATAGGCTTTTCACCGCCTTTTATCGATAAGAGCACCGAGCTCCCGAATTAGGCTTAGAGGCGGCTCGGCGTCAGCTCCCCCGCGCCAATGCGGTCATCCATAGAGCTTCAATCCCCCGGCCATCGGCACAGCCATACAAATCCATAAGTACTACAAGTCGCCTAATTTCTTTCTTTCTTTCTTTCTCCTAGCAATACTACATACTATCCGCCCTTCGCTTTCTCCCCGATCGATCAATCATAAAAATACTTTTCAAGCGAGCTACTACAACCCACCGGACCTCCCCCCAAAAATGCCCTCCCCGCACCTCAAATACATGCGCCAGTGCCTCGCGCTGGCCGAGAAAGCCCCCGCTTTGCCCACCAACTTCCGAGTCGGCGCGTTGCTCCTCTCACGCAGCGAATCCGACGTCACGCTCGAAGCCGACGACCGCCTCCTTGCCACCGGCTACACCATGGAGTTGGAGGGTAACACGCACGCCGAGCAGTGCTGTCTCGCGAACTACGCCACGAAGCACAATCTCCCCGCTGAGCGGGTGGGCGAGGTCCTCCCCAACGAGCCGGGCCGGAAGCTCGTCATGTATGTGACGATGGAGCCGTGCGGACGTCGGTTGTCGGGGAATGCGCCGTGCGTCCAGCGGATCATCCAAACCCAGCAGCCAGGCGCACAGCGGGGCATCCAGAAGGTTTACTTTGGGGTGAAAGAGCCCGGAACGTTTGTGGGACAGTCGGAGGGGTGTCGGCTCCTGTCGGATGCGGGGATTGAGTGGGAGGTGGTGCAGGGGCTGGAGAGGGAGATTCTGACGGTGGCGACGGCGGGGCATGAGAATAGCGAGGAGGAGGTGCGGGCGGCGATGGAGACGGTGGAGACGAATATTGATGATATCAGTGTGGAGGAGAGGCGGCGGCAGGAGCAGCTGCCCAGGAATCCTAAGAAGAGGGTGATGGAAGTGAATTTGATGGAGTGATGGGGTCGGTACATGCTGAAGGAAGAGGCGAAGGATGTGTAATGCAGTGTTGATCAGTTGATGACGACGTGTATATAGGTGTAGATTAAAGATACGACTGCTTCGTGCTGCAGGTGGCGTTGTATTGGCGGGCCTGGGCCAATTTCGAACTGACGATGGTGGTGGTGGTGAGTCTACAAGACGTACGTTGAGTGATATGGTGCTTCCCGCGATTTCATGACATCGTCTGCTGATTCTGTCAATGCATCAAATGCAGACCCAAAGACTTCATTGGCCCATGGCATGACAGTCTTGCCTTGACTGCGTACTTGGATGGAATCTGACTATTATGCCACGCCAACAAAAGCACAGCTATCTTGAGTCCATTACCCTGGTGAGCGATATGAGCTAAAATTAGAAGTATCTATAAGCTACGCAGACTTCAACGCCTGTACAACATAGCACAAGCCGCTCCTTGGCTGGACCAGAAATGCTTAGAACATATTCAACTGGCTATTCTCACTCAACATAATCATCCTTACGCCAATATCATGCAAGAAATTCTCATGCTCTTCCCCAGCTCTCTGGGCCTGTACTTACTCATACCAGAACGCCCGTGCACTCGGGTCTTGACCTGATTGTGCTGACTGGACTTCAACCCAGCAGCTTCAGCGAACTATGCCTGAGAGAGCAATGAAACCTCCATTACTAAGCCTGGAGCTTCAATGGACATTGCGGAGCTCTATGACAGGGATATATGGGATGAAAAGCTCTGCTCCACAGACTATCACACTTTGATTTGAACTCTTGCTAAAGATGGCATGATATGCATGCAGTCTCGATGAATTTACTGTAAAGTCTTGACCTGATATTTTATGCGTCCACTTTGGGAAGCCAGCGGCAGTACTGGGGACTGTAACACCGCGGCTTGATGCGATGATATAGCATACGCAAAACAGTCTATCATCCGGCCAGATCGTTAACTGGCGTTGTCTATCCGGCTTTTACCCAACCCTCACAAAAGCAGAGCAACACATTGTTCATTGGAACTAGGTCAAGTAGCTCACAGCCATGCTTACAATGCGCACGAGCACTATTACAGCTCCGCCAGTATCTGCACCAGCCAATCCCCAGCCTGGCAAACCTCTATGCCCGCAAGCGCTTCTGCCGCTTCTACACCATATCTCGCAGCCTCTGTCCTGGTCTTTTCATCTGCAACCGCGGCAACGATCATCCTTTCCCAGACCTCATAATCAAACCCGCCGTCGCCGAGAAGATGGAGACTGCTCGCGATGCATCCGTTGAAACAGTTATCAGCCGCTTCCACCGAGCACACCTCCTGGACTCGAGCCAGCAGAGTCAACAGGTCCTTGGCTGCTGGGTTCTCGACGGCCATCGAGTTGTCGGCTCTAGTAGGGTTCCCCTCTCTATGCCGATGAGTGGCAGCGTGGTTATGCTTATCATCGCTTAGCTTTCTTCATAGGCACTGCTGTATTGACCGGCGGGGGAAATCACTGTAAATCGACTCACCAGTACAGCCGTAGTCAAGGGAATTAATATAGTGAGGCATAGGAGACCCTTCATTGCGTTTGTGTGAGGTAATAGCCACAGTAGTTGATATCTCTGGGAGTGCGACTCGCTTTTGTAGAGCATCCTTACGAAGATTAAGCTCAGGTGTCGTTATTGTGGGCTATTAAACCCATGTGTTCTGATCTGCTATTACAATGCATTGTGAAAGTCAATTATTGCTTTTCGATAGGCTCTCATGCAAGGACAGGGAATAGACCAGGATGTAGATGGTAGGGATCTTCAGGGCGCTCTTATTAAGGTCGAACGGGTTGGCTATCTCGGGTGATCGTCAATGGTCATTCATCGTTGATCAAGGTCTGTCGGCTTCCTCAACAAGGAAGTTGTGCTGAACTTGATAGAGCATATGAAGAGGTGACAATTGCATGCAAGTCAATGGGGGTTCAAACAAGTTCATTGAGGACCCGTGAAAGAGCAACAGGATGTGCACCAGCTCGAACCTGTATCAGTCAACTGTATGAGACCGCTATATCGCGACATAATGTAAGAACTTGAAGGGCAAGTGATTAGGTGGCTCCAAATAAACAGGTAGCAAGGTTGATGTGCAGGCAACTCATACTAAAGCCCTACTTTAAAGGACTACTCCGTCGCAACAATTAGATCGCTAAAGCGAGCAAAACAAGGCCTGGATTACATGTAGTGTATATCCTAGCTCTTTTGACTAATGACTGGAAGAGAATTCAACCTCATGAACCATACTAAGGAAAGAGTATTAAGAGTCGTATACTGAAATCAAGCGTAGCCCCAGCAATCGCGTGCGATAGTCTGAGCTCGAGGTCAAGAGCTCAATACCACTCATGCCAAGGCAAAAGTCAGTTATTTAGTTGGGGACCAGACCCTCCCTCTCAAAATGCTCAATTCTTCGAACAGCACACCAGGCTACTCAGATTGCAGAGGGCGACGTGGCCGCATGATTCGCACGTGGAGAGATTTTAGAACAGAGAGGAGGAACCCCAGATCGCAGCCGACATGACGTCGGTGTCGACCGTCCCTGTCCCGATCGATCTCCATCCGGCCATCGACTGACTGTATGAACGCGTCTACCCGATTACTTAAATAAACCAGGGACCTACAACCTGTTTTGTGGGCTAGAATAATTTCTCGCTACTTCAAAACACAAGCCTCCAACTACCTCTTCAAGCTTCTACAACACAATACAACACAATGCCGTGGTCCATCGCCCTACCGCAGGCGATCTTCTCCTCGCCGGTGCTATCCGTCGCCGCCCCCATCACCGCAGGGACCTTCATCGGCTTCCAAACCAACAGTACGTGTCCTCTTTCTTTCTCCTGGAGAACCAAGCCAGACAACAGGACAGCTCCCAAGCAGAACACAAATCTCTAACGCTTAACCAGAACAATCCCGCACCAAATCCGTCTACCGCAACCTCCAAAAGCCGCCGTTCTACCCGCCCGCCTGGCTCTTCGGGCCCGTGTGGACAGTCCTGTATGGGCTGATGGGCTACGCGGCCCACCACGCCACAGTCGCGGGCACGACGGTCTCGCCTCTCTCCTCCTCGACGGTGCAGGAATGGGCGGTGCACTCGCAGGGCCTGTACACCTCGCAGCTGGTGCTGAATTACCTCTGGATGCCGCTATTCTTCGGGCTGCGCAAGCCCGCCTGGGCGCTTGCGGACATGCTGCTACTGGGCGGCAATGTCGCGGCGCTGATGCACACGTACTACCAGCATGACCGGCCCGCGTTTTGGATGCTGGTGCCGTATGCGGCGTGGTTGGGGTTCGCGACGTATCTGAACGCCGGGGTGGGGATCCTGAATCAGTGGACGATTGGAGAGGGGGAGGAGAAGCAGGAGTAACTTGAGATGTATACTACGACCTTTGCTATGTACATGAGAGAGTAATCAGGAAGGTAGTAATCTGTTCTACTGTTACGTTTATCCTTCATACTGTCAACGACAAGTGGTAGACAGCTAACTTGAAAGCACCATCCGAAATGATCTACACTACTACTCTCAGCATCACACCGGAAATACTCCGTAAGGATGATCAACAGATCTTCCCATCAACTCCACAAGGAACAACTAGCTTCCACGGTGTGTACTGCTTAAAGTTAGACGTTAGGACGAGTAACGAACTATGGAGTAGCTCCAGGCTGTACAGAAACCCCCACCCTATCACCACGTGCCTTCCGATAAGCCTGTAGGTACAGTTCCTCCTCCCTCCGTCCAAAACATCTCCGGATCGATCCCCCATTAACTAACTAATTGTCCTCAAATAAATACAATCAAACCCGACGAAGACACTACCCCAGCGCCAGCCATGGAAATGGCCCCATGGCCACAGCCGAAAATGCCACCACAACCCTCGAATTCTACCCGACCTACTGCTTCAAGGCCTCCCCGACCCACTTCACCTGGGTAAAGATGGCCGTCGCGGATGTGCTGCACCTGAAAAGACGAGCAGAATATCCAGGTAGGATACACCTACCTACCTACCTACCTACCTACCTACCTATGACACTACCGATGAGATTCTCCCGTCATCGTACCCGCAAAACCCCCCCTGTTCCTACCCAACGAACACCTTATTATCTGAATCAAAACTAATACCCCCCCTTGGGGGAAAGATCAAGCAACCTTCTTCCACCTCAACCACCCCATCCGCTTCATCGCCATCGCAGGCATCATAACCTCTCGAACCGAGTATCCGCGCGTCACGATCCTGACACTGGACGACAGCAGCGGCGCTACGATGGATATCGTGGTGTTGAAAGCTGATCCTGCTGCAGTAGCAGCACCAGAATTACCACAAGCTTCCGCCGGTTCCAACCCCACGACACACACACCCGCCGCCAACACATCCAGCACGACACTCACAGCCCAAGAACCCGAACAACAACAACAATACCACCACATCTCCCCAACCACTCACCATCCCATCAACATCACACCCCTCGTCCCGGGAACCCTTGCCCTCCTGAAAGGCACCCCCTCGACGTACCGGCAGACGGTGCAGCTGCAGCTGGAGCGATGCAGTCCCCTGCACACCACGAGCGCCGAGATGCGGTTCCTGGATCAGCGGACGCGAACGCGCGTGGAGGTGCTGTCTACGCCGTGGGTACTGGGCGCTGATGAGGTGGGCCGGTTGCGGCGCGAGGCGGACGCGGAGGAGGAGCGGGTGGAGGCGGAGGTGGCGCGGGGACAGAGGCGGCTGCGGCGGAGGGGAGCGCGGGAGGAGCGGGAGTACCGCGGGATTATGGAGCGGTGGGAGGCCGAGGAGAGGGTGCGGGAGAGGGAGGCGGCTGCAGCGCGCGCGGCGGGGGTGGAGTTGACGCGGTTACTTGCGAGTATTAAGCAGAAGAGGCGGAGGGTCGATCATGATGACAAGGTCGGTGAGAGGGAGAATTCAAGGAGAAGGGTGTGTGGTGGAGAGCAGTAAAGAATGATGACTTGATGGATGTATATTTTTGTATATCGCGGCGGGGCATGTCGTATATACTGGAAACCGAGCAAGGGAAGATCTGATACCCAGGGCTGAACACTACCGAAGAATGTTATTGATACAGTTTTCTCGAATACAGACCGACAACACAGGGCTAGGAATGTAATACAATAATCCCCCACAAAGGCGAGGGACTTCGGGCAGTCAGTCGTAAGCATTATCATCATGTCGTAACAGACGTTAAACCCACGCAGCGCTATCGATAACAGACACAAAGAATGAAACATCAACACAAACGCACGCACAATGGATATCTTTTCCAAGCAACGCATAAAAGAAACAACTATCGGCAAGACGATAAACAAATAGCGTCCCCAACTTCAGCGGTAGCCATACGTCTTGTAATCATAACCTGCGCTGCCTGTACTGCTGACTGGGTTGCTGCGATAATAATCTTCGTCCCCACCCCAGCTGCTCCGCTTCTTCTCCTTGTCTCGCTCCCGGATGGCTTCATAGAGCCTCTGGTCCTGGGTCTCCGGATCAAGGTCCTTGTATCGACGACGGTCCTCGATGATATCGCCCGGAAGGGCGGAACTGTTTGATGAATAGTAATACTCGCCATCTGATGCTCCCGGATATCTTGTGTTTCCGCTGTGAGCCAAAAGATCGCTCTCCGAATGCCGGTAGTCAGTTCCACCATTGCCGCTTCGCGGGCTGCGCGGCCGTGCAAAAGCAGTCGCTGGACGCTGCGAACTAGGTGTCTCAACGCGGTAGTGATGGGCATCTTGGGTATATGTTTGGTCTGCCACACGGGTAGCAGACAGAGTGGGACTGTCTCTTGGGCCGGAGCTTGTCGTGGAACCCGCGTGACGATGAAGGCCGGAGCCTCCTTCCTCGTAAACCTTGCCACCCCCGGGTTGTGCCGTGTACGGCTTTCTTTGACGCTCGATCGGCCGAGAGGGCACCTCTTGGTCCTCATCATCGTCAACTACGGCGGCCGTCGAGGCAGTTGCGGACGAGGTATGATATGGCTGACGTTCGCGGTCACTTAGCGACGGAGTAGATTCCACTGAACTCACTGACGCTTTGTGCGCGGCCTTTTTGTGACGCTGTTCGGCAACATGTCTCAATTCCTCCTCAGAGATTGGCGGCAAGTCGACGCCACAGTGTCGCATGATAAACTGATCGACCTCTTCCCTCAGGGATAAGTCTGGTATGCTCGGAAACAGTCGCCGTGGAATCTCCTTCGGGAACCGTTCTCTTCGATTGTCGGGATTGTTGATAGGCATATTTAGAACAGCTTTTTGGAAGCGTTCGTACTCCTTGTCAGGGTGAGCTTGAATCATTAGCGTAGCCCATCGCTCGAATCCCCGTGGAGTCAAGCCTGGGATATCCGGTCTTTCATTCAGCTTGTTTTGAACGAGGTGGTGCTCTGCCTCCACCTCGCGAAACAATCTTGAAATTGACGATGTACGATCATCGAAGATGTCTGGCATTGAGTCAGCGCAGTCCAGAATTAGTATCATAATCTCACTAACCTTGCCAAGGATAAGGATCTGAAGTTACAGCCGTATCCTCGTAGAACTTTTGCAATTTCTCAGGAGTCACAACTAGCGTATTTCCGGGTGGATAGTCCTCGATCTATTGGTGTTTGGCCAGTCAGCGTCAGAGACCCTCTATCTATGTAGGGTGAATGGGCCTACCAGATGGACCGCCACTCCACGTAGAAGTTGACCGAGTCTTTCTGTCGGCTTTCCTTTCACAAAAAGCTTGCCCCAAATCTTTTCCAAGGTTGTCATCTCCGTCACTGTAACATCTCGCGATGGTGGCTTTGGTCGAGAAGAATCCACAGTATGGTTATGGTCACTAACCTGACTCGCAGGTGATCCGCGACGATCGGTTGAGGGTCCAGAAGAAGCGCCCGGGTATAGGTGGGGGCTGACCGGACGCCCCGCTGGTGGTACAGGCGTCGGGTAGTCACTATGATCGGGGCCAACTTTGGGCGGAGGTGGTGGAGGAGCAGCTTGGGGCGCCGCGGTGGGATATGTCGGTTCTCCATAGGTGGGGCCAGTCGATTGCGGAGGAGGAGGTGCCCATTGCGGCGATGACGCTGGCGGTTGTTGTTCGCTATGTAGACCGTCCAAGCCCGTTGCTTTCAGCTGCTGTATGACAGTTGCCGTTATCTGCGACACCACATCCGGAGACAAGTACGCTGGGGTCTCAGCTTGGCGGAAGGCAGAGTTGACAGCCTCATTGATCCTCCCGGCAGGCGGCTGTTGCTGTGGCTGCTGCCATGCGTTCGGATCGTATGACGGATTGTTATAATAGTTTCCCGGTGAGGAGGGCCGAGGAGGCACTTGAGGCTGAGCGATGTTCGATTGGTCAGGCCCATATTGCGCTGGGTATTGCACTGGGTACGGGGGCGTGAATGCAGATGCGCGGTTCTCGTTGGCATTCAGATGGCTTGCGTGGGGATATTGGGGATATGAGCCGCCATTGTTGGAGAAGCCGTTGTACGCCATCGAATAAGGAATGTTGGTTGGGTAAGACAAATTCAAGAGATCGTTGCCCTGCACTTTAGTACCGGCACGGGATGATCATCGATGAAACGCAGGGCCCGTAAGGAAGGAGGCGGGGAAAGCTTGAAGTAGAATAACGACAATGAAGGAATAGAAAGAGAGCAAAGGCGGGGGGGGGGACCGGAGGAATGCGACGCTGTTGTGGCGAAGTGGTCTTCTTCTTTCTGGTGTATTCTGTAAGAGGGACGAAGAATGGAGTAGAATCAGGGAAAGGTTTCGGAGTAATCGGAAGAGCGAGAGAGTGTGAGGAAGAGAGAGAGAGAGAGAGACGGAGGTGGAGAGAAGGAGGGAGGAGGGGCGGCGGGCGGCAGGCAAAGCGGGCGGCGGATCTTGAAACAAACCGTGTTGCCAGTCGGGCAAAGTCACGGGGAAAGGACAGGCAGAAAAGCCCTGGTGGAGCTCGCTCGGGGGAAAAAAAAGATAAAATAATGGATCGTATGTCAGTCTAGAATCAAATGTCAGAAAATGAAGGAGTTGCAGGAAAAAGCAACAGCAGCAGCAACAGCAACAGCAGACGGGGCAGAAGATAAGAAACCTCGTTTCAACCTGCCATACGTCATGATCGATTCGACGGGTTTGCGGGGAAATCAAATCAAAATTCATTTGTGCTTAAGAAGTGATTTGAGCAATATCGCAGCTGGCATGCCAGCGTCTCCCCTCTTGGTCAAACGAGGGTTGCACACCATACCACTTCATCCTCCCGCCGATTTGGGCTATTCTCTATGTTCATCAGTTGCCCCAGTGGCTGGGGTTTCTAACTGTAATGCAACCGGGAGGAGGTCGTGCGTCTGGTCTCTACTCAAACGGGCCAATGTCAGGATGTATACCCCCAGAGTACATCAGGACACAGGAATGCTGACGTACTCACCAGGGCGCAACCTCGAGCTTTGGCCCTTGACCCTCAGGAACTAGACTGATGATAACCACGGTACGCAGGTGGGCAGCGGGCCGCCTCGGTTCCCAGGCCAACTATCGTAGGTTCCATGGACTATTCCGAGCAATAAGATCTAGAAAGTAAATGAAGTGAATCGGAGTTGAGATGTCAAAAGCCAGTGTTGCATTGCTAGAAACCAGGAAGAACAAAAGCCATCGCACAAAAGCTCGACAACATCGTTTCTCACAACGCGTGTTGACTGCACATCGACTTCACCTGTGCCTTGAAGTGAAGGGAAGTAAAATTAGAGGCATACCAAGATACCCGTCGGCCGGAAGAGGGACTTTCGTAGAATGGTGAAAAAAGCTTTTCCGGGCGACTGGTAACCTTTTTGTACAGGTACGTGTATTTCACCCATGCATTGTATTGAAGACCTTTCACATGAAGTTCTGGGGTTCCTCCGGGGTCTCGTCCTCATCAGAGGGCACTTCCTCGCCAAGTGGCTCAGGGACACGCATGGAAGGCTCTCTGCCCCGAGGGACGCGCCTGCCCTGTATCTTGTTAGTGGACACTGCCTGTTGAAAATCCTTCAATGTGAGCTGCGACTTACAGGGACTCTAACCCACTTGGAGGTGCTTCCTTCGGGCTGAGCCACCTCAGGCACATTGTGGAAGTAATCTTCATAACGAGTGTCAGGGACTTTCTTGTTGAGAGTGGCAGTCCGGAAGCCGTCACCCCCGGGGCCGTGTCCGAAGTACTGGCGATCATTGATGGTAACCAGAGAGTTCTCATCCTTGCGGCGAGACTCGCTCCAGTTCTCGGTGCCATCATTCTCCCCAGGGTTTCCATCTTCGAAGCCTTCGTACGAGGCGGAGTGGTTATCACCAACGTTCATCTTCCCGGTCGACTCAGTCATAGAGGTAAGCTCAGCCTGGCTCTGTGATTGTGTCAACCATGCAACGCAGCTAAGAGCTGTACTTGAAATCCCTTCGATACTCACACTTGCGGTATCGCCGATCGAAGCCGTGGCATTGTCCGAGAACTGACGCTGTCTTCCCTGCATCGGGTCCACGTCTAGGATGTTCTGAACACAGTTGAGGCATCTCTATTAATGAAGTATGGTCAGACAGCTAATTACCACAACTGGGCGGCGACACAAGGACATACAACAGTATCACGATCCCCACGCTGATTCTTCGCAAAGTGCTCCAGAGTCTTAGTCTTGTCGCAGCTGGAACACTTGAGCTCGACGATGGAACCGCCAACGCAGTTGCGGCAGCGCGCATCACAACCATCAGTGGCGACTCGGTTACCGCGAAGCACGACGGCATGACGAATTATCTCCTGCTGACGCTTGGAGTAGGTTTCCACAAGACGGATCTTCTTGCAACTGGCACATTTGACCCTGTTTCCTGTCAGGTAAAAAGTATATCAGACACAGACGAACGGGATGCTGACTTGTCCGGAAGGATAGTGTTGTTGATCCTATATTGATGTGTATGAGTAAGAATATATAGCCAGAAGGTAAGAGTAAAGGAGGTAAGACGTACCGCGCTCTCATGGCATCACTGTAGCCTCCACTGTACGCACTGGGGGGCTTCCTGGTCATACTCATGGTTGCGGTAGGCTCGGGAGGTTCATGTGATATCACGTGCGTTGTGGTATACAGCTGTAGAAAAGGTCTAGGGATGCTAGAAGGTGACGAGGAGACGGAGGAATAGAGGAGAGAGAAAATGCACTGAGATGTCGGCTGTGTTGGCTGGGGTTGGTGTTGTTGAGTGATTGATCCTGTTGTCAAGGTGATGATGCCATGGTGCCGTGACAACTTACACAGTGAACATAGTGAATATATCCAGTCGCTCCCTTCAAGCTTCAGTCATTGGGCTTGCTACCTGCTTGCTCTGAGGAGTTGAGAAAGTCTTAGAGAGTCCGGACTCTATGGATGAGCTGACAAAAACCTAGTCTGTGTCTCATTTCTTCCAGGTTATCTAGGCTCTGATTTAGGAAGGTGTTAGCCAAACTGAGCCTCTCTGTATATAACTACGACCGCAGGTAAAGTCTCCTGTCCAAACCTATCGGTCCCAGCTAAGGAAATGCAGAAGGTCGTCGTGCTACTAACATACATAACACAGTACACTGAGAGACTACAACATTGAAAGACAAAGACAACAAACGTGGCTGCAGCCGAGATGTTTCTTCCATGGTATAGATATCGAATTGGTGGTTGGCGCTCCAACACCGAGTTGGTTTGACTTCGACCATGTCTTGCAGTCTCAGTGAGTATTGGGCGAGTGACACAAAGGTGACTTTGGGTAGACGGGGTAAGATTTCATGCTGCTGAGACAAAACAAAGGATTATGGGAGCAAAGACCGCGAAGCCCACACTCGTGCTTCCGTCACCGTTGGCAAGGAAGCCTACGATGTCAAAAAGGCTGACATGACACAACTGTCATGTCAACACAGACGGAAAGCTTGGACTGTACTACATAGCAGAGGTATAACAGAGGAGATAAGATGATGATTATGATGTAAAAGTGAGGAGCCAGCTGAAACCGACACACGTCAGGAGCGAGTGACATCTGCTCTGCGGTGGCAGGTCGGCCTACAATTGCTCTGGGTTATGGCACATCAATTCCGGAAGTGGGTAAGGGGCCCAGGTACCAGGGGGCGCTGTCCGTCAATATGATGTCGGAGGCAAACGACGATGGATGGATCAGGTCCGATCTGGCATGCAGCATCGCGGGAGGACTGCAGGCACCCTGGTCCCTACTGCAAAGCACAGCCCCTGGTCCAGCAATCATGTGTCATTCCAGCACCTGGGGACATCAGCTCTCATTTCGCCTGGCTGGTGGCAAAGAATTGGAATCTTTCGGCTCGGTTGACGGATCAAATTGGCCCCTGAGGTACGACCCTAGTCGATTCCTACAAACACAGACACATACTCCGTAAGCACCTAGTCGTCCTCTCTGGCCAAACACAAGGCGTAGCAACGATAGGAGAAGGATAGGGCTGGCTAATTATTGTCGATTTAAAACCCCTCTGGGCCATCGTACTTTGGTCATGGGTTCCTGTGGCGGAGTCATCTCGGACGCAGAAGGGAGGGATACTATCTTCGACTAGTTAGCTTTTTGGAATCCCTAGTGGCGTTCCAGAAATATGTCTAGCCGTGTCTTGCGCAGACGATGCTCTGATGATCCTCCAAAATCCAGCGTGGAAATGACTGCCGCAGTTCATCCGAGCCAGCGGTCACAGGGAATGCAGGCCGGATAGGAGCGATGCCATTCGATCGAGGACATCCTTTTTTTCCTGCTGGTTTTCTTTTTCTCTTGGGTTCCCATTACCTGACGGAGGGATTGCGCGGTTTTTTCATCCCCTGAAGATCCTTCTCCTCCGCTTCGACGCAGCTGGCTCAATCCTTCTGGAACACTCGTAGAATGTGACGGTGCAGAAAGCTATACCGCAGTAGTCATTGGTATAGTAGCTAAGAGGGAAGTGTTACTAACAGCTAAGGACAGGCGGGTCTGCAGCAGCGCAGATGCTAAGGATGGAGACATTGGCGAGGACGGTGAAGAAGGCAGAGAAAGCGCGGGATGGAGACAATGGTTGAGTTCCACTGCGAACAACACGACCACTGGTCAGCCGGGCTGGTCGGGAAGCGGAGACGGAAACTACACCGAGTGGGGATCCGCATTCCCCGAACGCCCCGGTGCAAACAGAAGCCTCCATCTTGACTCCACTACAATCCACTGTGTCCCCTCCTCACACGAATCATTCTCGCATGGACTCCACCTCCCCTCTAACCCTCCCTCCCATGGATTTACTTGGACAAGTTGGAATTAGTCCAGATGACTTTAGTCTATTCGATTGCAGAGAAAGACCATGGCCTCTTGAAAACTGTGTCATCAATTGAGAAGCATCCACCCTTCCCTTTCTGCGCTGGTGCCCGAAACTTTCCCAGCAATCTTATTACCAGTCTGTTCGCTGCTGACTTGCAACCCCTTACTAATCTCGCCAGCGTTTGAGCTGTCTCTATCTGTTGCGATTATATCGAATCAAACCCTCTGGACAGCCAAGGGACTACGAACATTTGTAAGGGAGGGCAACCAGCTCGGAACAAACCAGTAGTGCCACTCGGGTTGTTTCGGAGTAGCGGACATTGCTCCCTGAAAAAGAAAGACACCGCTAAACCGAGTCTCAGTCTTAAGAGAGGCGGAGGATCAACATCATTTTGACAGGAATCAATATGCACTCCAGACGGTTCCCAGGGCCTCCCTCCACGCGTCTTGCCCCTCCCCCGCCACTTTATTCTTGGTCGGACGAAAGAGAAAAAAAAAAATCGCGTGAAAAGAGGGTCAAAAGAACTGCAAGGAAAAGGAAAGAAAAGAATGAGGAGAAACGAAAAGACGGTGACTGGCATGAAATGGATTGGAAGGTCAACGCACTTCACACAGGCGGTGACAACCGTGACGGGCCGTCGATTCCGTCCCTCTCTCCCTGGCGCCATCCACCAACGTTCGACGGTTTGGTAGACTACTGTAAGGTTGATTAGTAGTCTAATCCATAGTTACTCCGGAGTAGTTAGTGAGCAAAATGATATTCACTCACCGCATGATTAACGGAGCACATCGGATTTCCGCGACTTTCAACTTGGATTGAGACAGGAAGGACGCAAACCTGAGACGTTGATGTTCCTACGACCCGTCCGTCCCATTAACGATCATGACAGCTGCTATCCCTGATATTGCCAAGCGAAACGCCGTAGCCTACGCCATACCCATCGCCGTGTTTTGCCTCGGTCTGTCACCCCATTTGTTTGCACCGTGTCGCCCTCGACCTGATACTGTGATGCTTTAAGTTACTGGACTGGAAAACGCAAGTAGGTGGCATCTAGCCGAGCAAACGAGACTAGCGGCAACAATCGCTTGATCATGAGGTTGGCACCACCAAGTTAGCTAACGAGCTGGGTCACCGCCACGCCTAGGATCAGACGAAAGCTTCAAAATCAAACTACTAGTCCTCGCGCGCTACTAGGCCAACATTCCCAAGAATGAGTTCCGTGACCGACCGGTAGGTGGCAAAAAGGCAGAAGTCAGAATCAGCCGTCGCTACAGTTACTTTATCACCAACAATCCAGACCCTGGGAGCTGAGAGTTGTAGCTCGTCGTACTTCCACTCGGACGACCGGATCTGATCTCGCAGCTTTAGCTACAGCTGATCAACATCGCCTCATGTACGATAATGCGATATGTGTGGGTGGGTTGGTACTACGGATGTAGGGCCGTCGGCATCAAAGCATCACTCTTTCATCAGCCGCAGAATTATGGTTTAGACTCTTGCTGTATTGGACTCAGTCTTCTCTACTCCGTACGTTCCACAGATGAAAACATGAGCAGCTGATCTGCGTGCATATGCACCGGGGCTCTTCGAAGTATCAACTGTGGTGGATGCATTTGCGGTGGATCACTTGTTGCTCAATATCCCAATCCGGTAATATGTGTTTTGCCTACTGTAGCCATTGATCAGACGCCGCCTTTGCCAGGCATACATTTGAAATTTGAATATTCAATACATGATTATTGCTTTGAGGTGGCCATTTATTGTATCATAGCATGCTGGGATTGGGCAATGGCTATCGAACAGATCATCTGTCCACAGAGTCCTGAGTCGCTAGCCGAAAGCCTGGGGAAGTTAGTAGTCAGTGACTGTAGACAATCCACCTGCTAGAATGTTGCGCCTCGGACTATGTAGTTCTCTAGAGACAATGAGGCAGTCACCCCGCGGAAATTGCGCCTAACACTCTCCAAAATGACCGGAGATGAAGCATCCCAGACTGGAAGCATCCATGATCTGTACGACCGTCGCCCGCAATGCAGCGACAGAACCTTGCGTTTATTTGTTTTTCATCGTGCTTTCAATTGAATACAGAGTCCAGAAACACGCAATGCTCAAGAGGGGCAACCCGCGGCGGCATCCTGCCTTACTCTAGAAGCTTGATGGGGAAAAACTAGATGGATGCAAGCCACTTCCTTGAGTTATTCCCCGAATAAAAATTGTTGGGGTGGGATGGAAGATCAGATGTTACAAGCAGCGCTGCCATGGTGGCGGTCAGCCACCGTGCGTCTCCATAGCCATCATGCCCAGCCACTGTTGCTTGCTTTTGTTTTTGTTGACAGAGACTGAGACTATCAACGGATCCAGATAACTGACTACCTGCATGAACTGCGACCGCGCTCAATGTTGGCTCCATCACTCTGGGTTAGTCTGTGGGCCTGACTCATGATTGTCTGCCAACTTTGAAGGTGCTCTGAGTTGGATACCAGAAAAAAAACCGGTAGCTATTGTGACTTGTCACCGGGCCAATTCATCCTTATAGCTCAGCAAGGAAACACATATTGAAAAGCCTTGGGTTTAATGTATCGTCCATGAAGGTTTTTTTTTGCTGCTTGAATCATAAGGCGATGAGGTAATGCACGTCCCACCTTATCGACCAGCATGAACATGGATAATGGGTATCGTACTCCGGAGTCGCTAGGGGACCCAAGCTGCCACGCGAGGGAGAATTGCCGCTCCCCTCATTGAGAATCAACCTGTCAAACTCATGAGATCGTTCGATCCCGACTCCCTCCTGGAGCTCGACCATCCCGGGACCCTGCGTGGGACGGTCATGGGAGGGGAAGAATGGATCATGGAGCCTGGAGGCAGGAGATGGACGACCATCCATCCAATCTGCCCATCTCTTTCTCGAGTCCTAGACTCTATCTAGCAGCTGGCAGTATCACCCATGCATGGCCCTTGGGAGTTTGCAACCCAGAGGGCAAGCGAAAAACGCGGCCCAACCCCTGGTCATCCTTGCTAGCGCCCGTCTAACGATCACTAGAGGCGGAGTCCAAGTGGAGCTCATTAAGGCTGGACCGTCAGAGGTCCTCGAAGGCGACTGGTATTTACGGACCTCGGAGCTTCTGCTAGTGACTGATTCGTCCTTAGTTCCTCTCGCAACTCTGTGAATGGGTGCCTTTTCTCGTTGCTGTCCACTCCTTATGATTCGGCTGGATGCGGAAGGTTTAACCCTAGAGAGTCCTTATCCTAGGGTGAACTCTGTCATTGTGCGCACTCGTCAGCGTCGGATGTGATGGGATCGGGTCAGGCGTTTCCAAGTTGCAAAAGGTTTTCACTTCTCAAGGAATGGTGCGCTCTGACTCGCCGATTGCACGGAGCGTTGCGCCGCAGAATTTAAGGAAGGGAGACAGGTGATGCACTGATGAACCGAGGAGTGAGAGACTGATGGGCTACCCTTCACAATCGGGTATGTCCTCCGTTGTGACAGTACCATACCATTAAACTTCCCTATAAATGGGCGCACTATGGCTTTATAGTGTTTGTTGTAGTGCACAAAATGAGCTATGATCATTGGATGGAAATGAAGGTGCAGCCCCAAGAGAGGTTAGTTCAAGGGCGGACAATTGGGTCCTGGAATAATGACCTCCCTCAATGCGACTAGTTCATGTGAATTTCCAGCGCTAGAGTAGCAGAAACAGTTGACTGACCCTTTTTTCCGGGTGCAGTAGATGTGTAACATAATTACCGTATTAATCTCCAGATGCTGCAAGCTGCGGCCACCAGAGGAAAAACAAAAAACATGTACTCCAGTGACAGACGAAAGGGAAAAAAAAAACAGAAAAGAAAAACAAAAAAAGCACAACACGAAGACGAATCAGACAGGAAGGTTTCTGTTCTGCTCGACCATGATGTAATGAATTGCAGTGTGTGAATCCACCTCTCGTTTCCGATATGGACTGAGTTGCTATTGATCAGAAAGAAAGTGTCGTCATATCATCACTCCTATTCTGATCAAATGTGCATGGAATAGCAGAATAGCAGCCTTGGACAGGAAAGTCTCATATCTTCAACATCAACAATGTTAATTATGATCTTGACATTTCGGTAGTCTCCCACCACCTGAGATTGCCGTCCGTTAAGGGCCCTGGCGCAGGAACCTATGAACTCCTTTTCAGTTTCCCTGGTTGAAGTGGTGGACCTTTTCCGTTCCTCGACCATTCCTCGCCAGTCTTCGGAAATGGTTAGGGTAGAGTGGAGCGAGAGGAAGAAGTGGTGAAAGAGAGGAACACAGCCGTTCGTTACTTTATTCCTTTCCACTGCATTGGGCCTTTATTTATTTGTTTTTATTTCTCCTTCACTTTCTTTCTTTCTTTTATTTTTCTTGCTCGTTTTGGTTTCCCGAAAGGGTTTACTTCTAAGGTATTTTTGTCAGTTTCTCGCGGCGCGCGCTCCATCTTATTATTAGTACTTACTACTTAATAATTATCAGTAGTTACGAGAGGTAGGAAATACTAACCTCAGCATACGTACGACGAGTTTGACGCAGACGGGTTTAGTGGCCATACTAGCAGTCTAGCACCTTTATGGAGCGAATGACGATGGTGGATTGTTGATGAAAGTACTTACTCAACTGTCAGACGGACAGACAGACAGACAGACAGAGAGAGGTGTACTGTGTGGTATGTATCGACTGCTACTAAGGACTGTGTACACAACGTGTATCTGTCTGCGCTTGACCAGTCGCGTCTGGTCAAGTCAACACATCAATCGTCTGTCGCCTTTTTTTACTGCAGTGTCTGCCTTCCACTCCCTCACTGCTCCTTTTTTTCCCTCTTTTGACTTGCTGTATACTCCGTAGGTGGCATCTTTTCCCTCCTCCCCTCTTGCCCACCTTCCCCTCTCTTTTCATCCACTCTGAAAGCGCCATCAGTCCATCACCGCCCAACCCCCAACCTCCCCTTGAGTAGTTCTGCATCACCATCGCTCCATTTGTAATGTGTGGTGATCGATCCCCGAGGCAAAACTACCTATCTATCTCGATCATATCTGCAAAGCCAAGAAGAAATCCAATCCAATCAGAGAATCGTAATAAGAATGTCCCTGTCAGCACTGTCAACTCCTCAATAAGGGAAAAGAAAAATAAAAATAATAAAAAAATCCGTGGAAAATCATAAAATACTTACCCAAAAATCATTCTGGGTATAATAAGTCGCACTATTATCGCTCTGGGATCTGCACCATCTCATCTTGTCCCAAAATTCGCCCCGTTGTCGACCGCTTCTTCACCTCAAGGTCTCCACGGCCCGGACCCAAGGCCTTTCGTCTTGCTTGGTCTTTGCTAAAGCTGTCACCGCGTCAGGGGGGTTCCTCTTTTTACCTCTTTTTACCAGTTCTACACTTGTTAGACTCCTCTATTCCTTCGTCTAGTTCCTCCCTCCTCTTACTCCTCTTACCTAGTCTGACTGTCTGACCCTCCCCTCTCTTACTTTCTTGCTTCTCTTGCTCTCTCCTACGGAGTTTACTCTCCCCCTCTAAACTATTCCCCCCCCCCCCTCCCCTCCTCGCTCTCTCTCTCTCTCTCCCCTCCCCCTCCCTCCTTCTCCCCAAAAGGCGGAACTCCGATCATCCTTTCGTTTAGCCTGTGTCCCACACCCAAAACGGGTCCGCTCCTATCACTACAGTGATCACGTCCAATCCTCTGGGTCTTCCATCTTGTTTCCAGATCTCCCTCTCCTCCACCCTCGCTTCTTTCCTGAGAACTACATGACTACCCCTTTCCCCCTCTTGTCGAATTGTGTTTCGTACGACATTTCACACTCCCCATCTAATCAATCATCTACTTCACTCCCCTCCCCTACCTCCCCCCTCGACCTTCCATTACCACCACCACCACCACCATCACATCATCATCTTCTTCATCATCGATGGGCCAGAACTATTTCTTTCGCGGACTCAACCTAGTATAACTGCGAATGATGAGCTCCTGGCTATACTAAATATCCTCGACACTGACAGGAGATCCCTACCCACTCCTTCGACACATTCGTTACGAGGAAGATATCCGATCAGCATTCCTCTATACCTCTCCGGTACCACCCGGCTGACTTCAAATCTACTGCCCCCCCTCTTCCCCTCCACGACTCATTCGTCCTGCAAAAGTTCCCTTGGTTTTTCTGCTGGCAGAGACTCGAAAGGAGAGACACCATGACTGTATGCTACGATCACTCCTCCTCGAGGAGCCTTACTCCCACCTCAGTCGCCAGTCTTGAAGATAGATTCGAAGTCATCAAAGAGGTTGGTGATGGTAGCTTTGGCAGCGTGGCTGTCGCACGTGTACGGACAGCTGGCTCCAATGTTGCACGAAGAGGAACCATGGTAAGCTCTCATCCCGTGTAAATGTTCGACGTGAGGGTACTGATATCCTTGCTTAGGTGGCAATCAAGACGATGAAGAAGACATTTGAATCATTGGGTCCTTGTCTGGAGCTGCGTGAGGTCATCTTTCTGCGGACCCTTCCACCCCATCCCCACCTTGTCCCGGCCCTCGACATCTTCCTCGACCCGCTGTCGCGCAAATTGCATATTTGCATGGAGTACATGGACGGCAACCTCTATCAGCTAATGAAGGCTCGTGATCACAAACCCCTTGATCAGAAGCATGTCAAAAGCATCCTTTTCCAAATTCTCTCCGGTCTCGACCACATCCACGCTCACCACTTCTTCCACCGCGACATCAAACCGGAAAACATCCTAGTTTCTACATCCGCTCCCAGTGACTCCGCCTTCAGCCGTTACTCTAACCTTGTCACTCCGCCATCCACTCCTCCCACTTACACTGTGAAGATCGCCGACTTTGGACTCGCACGCGAGACCCATTCGAAACTCCCCTATACCACCTATGTCTCGACAAGATGGTATCGCGCTCCCGAGGTCCTGCTACGTGCTGGCGAGTACTCTGCGCCGGTGGACATGTGGGCCGTTGGTGCTATGGCTGTTGAGATTGCCACTCTCAAGCCCTTGTTCCCCGGAGGCAATGAGGTAGACCAGGTGTGGCGCGTATGTGAGATCATGGGCAGCCCCGGTAACTGGTACAGCAAGTCTGGGGCGAAGCTCGGAGGAGGTGAATGGAGAGAGGGCTCTCGGTTGGCTCAGAAGCTAGGATTCACTTTCCCGAAGGTATGGAACGCCGAACATTGGCACGTCTTTTCATGATCAAGGCACTAATATGATGTCAGATGGCCCCTCACTCCATGGAAAGCATTCTTCAAGCACCTCAGTGGCCCGTGGCCTTGAGTCAATTTGTTACCTGGTGCCTCATGTGGGATCCTAAGAACAGACCAACATCCACCCAGGCTCTGAGCCATGAGTACTTTGCCGATGCCATTGATCCGTTGAGACCGAAGTCATCGACTGCTCGCCTTCTGGGTCGGAAGCACTCCGAAAAGGTCCTGAAGAGTGCCACTCGGGAACCGAGCGACTCCTCGACTCTCACTTACAAGGCGTCTTGGTTCAGAAGGTCGTTGATCGGACGCTCCGAGAGTCCGGTTCAGTCTACAGAGAATGACCATACCGCCAAGCCAAGCGTCACCTCATATCCTTCGGAATTGCAACCGAGTAAGACCAGACCTCCGGTTATCAAGCGGGCTACCTGGGCCAATGGCGCTCCCATGCCTATTTTGCCATCAATCAGGCCCGTGTCTCCCTTGTCAAACGCAGTCACCGCGCAAGCAAATGCATCCCTGGCCCACTCTAGCGACAGCGTCGGGAAAGCGGCTAGCAAGAAGATCGGCCGGCAGTTGTCAGTCAATTCCAACGGCAATCACTACGCTGATATCCATCGGCAGGAGGCGGAGAGGGCTCTCAACGGTGGCAGCGCAGTCATCACGCCGAAGGAGAGCTTCTTCTCCCATCTGCGCAAACGTGCCCGTCGGTTGTCTGGACGCAACCAGGGAAATGTGTCCGGGGACGATGTTGAATCGAACGCTGGTTGCATGCCTTGGTCGAATCGCTCCTCGCTTGCTTTGGACTCTGTTAATGTTGGCGAGTCAAAGTCCACCTCCGACTTTGCAGAGCTTGACAAGGCTTTGCAAAGTGTGAGGCACTCCCTTGATTCCAACAACCGCGGAAACGTCCCTGTACAAATCACCACTCATGTGGATGGTGGCAAGCGGCAGTCCATGCCTCAGGGTTCCATCCGAGCAATGGGCGACAGTCCGGTATCAACAAGCGGTAATGGAGCGCCAATTTCCAGCCGGACCAGGCGTACAATTCAGATGTCCAACAACCCAATTCACCGCTACGAAACTCCCGAGGAAGAAGATGAGCTCCTGGACGAGGTGCTGCATTCAGCCAGCAAAGCTGCTCGGCGACTGGCACAGGCTGAAGTTACTTCCGATGGCTCGTCCCATTACAGCCATGCAGCTGGCGCAAATGACAGTGGTCGCCCCTTGCCAAGCCCTTATCCAACCCCATCGCCTTCTGCCAACTGTGAAGGTGGTTTCTTCGGGCCATCGGACGCGACTCCGTGTCGACGACTCCATGCTCCTGAGGATAAGACAGAAGCAAACTCAAACCGCCAATGGCCCACCCCACCTTACGACGAAGCTGAATGGACCAAGCCGGCTACCACCAAGTTCATGACCGGATCAGCGACTTACCGGTAGCTCCTTCAATTTGGAGGACCCTTCCACTTTTCCTTTTACTCATCGTCATCTTTCGCTGAATATGGTTGCATTTATCAAAAAGTCAGAAAAATGAGTGGTCATGCGCATAACCGGCATTTAACCGAGCAAGGCGTACGGGGGATCTGGTGTCTACTGTTTGTTTTATTTGTGTGAGGACTGGCAGCCTTTTTTTCTCCCTTTCATCATTCATCCTGCGCTTCACTTCCCATACCCGTTTGTATAGCTCGAGGTTTCAGTCCGGGGTGCCTTTTTCCTTTGTTTGCATTGTTCTCATACCCCAAAGGCCTTATTCATAGATACAGTCGGCCTCGCAACCTGTTTTCGGCATGCCGTTTGTTCGTCTTCCATTCTTTGACCATTTTTACAACAATACCTGCACATTGCTTATCCCTCGTCCTTGATACCAACTGCGCGAGCCGCAGTTTCTACTCCCATCCACTACCTGATATATATCTGAACCATTCCCCCAACATGTTTTACATACACATACCACCTTTCCTTTTGTTCAAACCCCCTTCATCACTATGTATATTTCCTGTGGCAACATTCAACCTTTCCCCTTCTCACCCTTCATTGCGCGGATGGAGAGTGTTTTGGCACTCTTCCCTCGGAATTCCATTTCACCATTGTACAGTTTATGATTTGGCTGAGGAGCATCGGTGGCTGGTCTGGAGCTTCAACATCTTGTAATATAGGATCATCTGGATGACACATCCGTCTTTTATATATACACAACTAATTCGACAGACCAAGTCTGTACCAACCTGCATATATCTTCTTTCCACGAGTCACAGTCCGCCAATTAAGCACAGTGCCAGTATTGAGGTCGTATAATATATTCCGTCGAGGGCGTGGAAGAAGCAGCCTCCGGGTTCACCGATACGGAACAACTCTTTCGCCGGCATGCCGGCAGAATTTCCCAAAGCAGCACTACGTCAAAAGCTTCATGTCGCCTGGTCGATTCTCCAACCAGTTAGCGAAAAGGCCGGCGCGAAACATTCCACCGCTCGGTCCAGCAGTCATACATATTTTATCTTGCCTGAGGCTTCTTACAATTTTTGCAGCCGAGATTCGTCGCTCGACCTCAGGCAAACGTCTCCCAATTCCCAGCCAGTTCCCAGCATCCTAGCCCTTGATTTCGAATATTCCCACAAGGACTATTGATAGCTGCGGAGACTGTGTACACCTACTCACCACGGTCTTACCTTAGTTTCTCTCACATCATACAAGCGAATATACACACGGACCCAACATGTCAACCCAAAGACAAGCCACCTCCGCCTCGCAAACCCCGCACATCTCCCCCGCCGAACTCTCCTACCTCTACACCTCGCTCAGCCTCCCTCAAAGCCCCATCCGACCCGATGGCCGCTCCGCCACGCAGTTTCGGCCTCTGACCGCCGAAACAGATCTGCTGCCCGGCACGAACGGGAGCGCGCGCGTCGGGTTTGCGGACGGGACTCAGGCGATCGTCGGCGTCAAGGCCGAGGTGGAGCGGACGGTGGTGGGTGCCGCTGCTAGCTATAATTTGACGGAAGAAGAAAGGGAACTCGAAGGTGAGGGTTCTGGTTCTGGCTCTGCGGCCGCTGCGGCCGGCCATGGGTCGTGGGTGCAGATGAGCATTGAGATTCCTGGGTTCCGGGATGATGATGCTTTACCTGTGTTCCTAGCAGAGATGATGCGGGAGCCCTTGGTTGAGAGTGTTTCTTCTTCGAGGGCGAAGGGGAGTGGTGAGGGGGAGATGGAGGGGGGCTTGAAGGGGAGATTGGTTATCAATCGGAGGTGGCATTGGAGGTTGTATATCGATGTGAGTGCTGTTTCCTCCGTTTTCGATCTATGAGCGGGTTTTGGAGTTGGGCTGATTGCTAATCAATCGGAAACAAACAAATAAACAGGTATTACTACTGTCGCAACCACTCTCCTATCCTCTCCCGCTGTTGTCTCTGACGACACACCTGGCACTGCTTGCGACGAAACTTCCCAAGTTGAAATCCAAGGGCGAGGAGGATTCCTTCTTCGATGATGATTGGAACGCCGCCGAGTACCTGTATCCTAGGGCCACTGCTTCGGTTCCGAAGTTTAGCGGCAGTGGCGTGGTGCCGCCTCCGGTGCAGCATGTCCGGCCGCCGGTGACGTTGCTGGTGATTGCCGTGGGCGACAATGTCATTTTCGATCCGAACCGCGAGGAGATTGCCGTCGCGGATACCGTGCTGGCGATCTCGGTGACCCGGGATGGCAGTGCCGACGGAGGTCTAAAGTTGTTGTCCATCCGCACGATTGACCCTCCCTCGCGGTTGACGCAGCCTGGGGTACCGAATTCCGAAAATGTGGCTACGCTGGGTGCTACGACTGGCGCTGGCAGTGAAGAGCAGCCGGCGGCGGCGGTCCTTAACCCGGCAACGGGGGAGGTGGAGGTCCCTGGGGTGTGGAGGCCTCGTCGTGGAGGAGTGAAGAGGCAGACGGTGGCTAAGATGGTTAAGTTGGTGCTGGAAAAAGGCGGCGTCGGTGAGGAGGTCCTGGAGGGTCTGGAGAGTGTGGAGGTGGGTTGAGAGAGAAGTTTTTGGGAGTCTTGGATGAGTTTCGTTGCCTGGGGGCAGTGGATGTCGGTCGGATTGAATGGCTGTACAATCACCCTTGATGATGGACATCATGCGGCTATTCACATGAGATAGGCGCATGTCGACCTGACAAGAGGAGCATGATCCTGAGCCCCTTAGTAACCCGTGTGGTGGTGTCTAGCTCCGGTGGACAGCGTGCAACTAGACGACCCATCATGACCAACCACCGAAGAGAATAGAAAGCTACTACTAGTATTGTACATAGACCCAACATATCAAAGAGATATTCTCGAACCACCCATCCATCATCATCTTACAAACCTCGTAAAGCACTATCTCCGCGTCCAGACACTCCGTGCCACTGGACCCTACCTATCATACAACAATCTACCAAATACCCAACCACTTCTTCACGGGCCTCTTCTGCCCATCCCAATCAACATACGTTCCCTGCACCTCATCACCCGCAAGGTCACGAGCAACAGGCGACTGATCATCCACCGCCTCTCCAGCAATTCCGGTGGTAGCAGCAGCAGCAGCGCCCTCCTCCTCCGGCGCCTCCTCCAACCCATGCGCAATCCGATACTGCCGCCTCTTCTCCGCATCATCGACGCGCTGTCTCCGCTTCTCACGAGTCTGCCGCGACGAATGCTCGACATGCATCCGGAACACCGCCAGCGCCTGCCGCACGGTACTGAACGGATGCGACAACAGATCCGACCAAGAAGGCAGCATATGGGCGAACGGCGAAGTCCGCTTGAAGTTCGTCGTGAATGTGAAAGTCGCCAATGACGTGAGGACGCCCTAACCCACCCCGGCACTAGTCAGTGGCTTCGTTCCAATACTCATCGGAAAACCCTAACCCCCCATCAAGGGAGGGAAAGAAAGAGAACAAAAACTCACCATAGCAATCCAGACATGAATCCCCCGTGACGTGAGGAACTTGTGCGCGACTGTCCCTTCCGGAGGGAACATATTCGGGTACTGCTTCTTGCGCTGTGCCTCTTTCTCCTGCTCCGTCAGGCGGGGCCCGTAGTGGACCGGGTCGGGGGTCATGAGTCGGCCATTGCTGGTGCGGACGACGCGACGCTGCGGGTGCGATGGCGGACGGAACTTGTCGGGCTGGGGGAGAACAATGGGTTTTTCCTTCTTGGAAGAGGATTTGCTGGATGCGCAGCGGTGGGGGGACGTTGTTGTTGTTGTTGTTGTTGTGAGTCTGCTGGTGGCAGTGAGGGCTTGGAGGATTCGGATGGGAGGGATGCCTCGGGGGAGGAGGAAGCGGGGGATTGTGGTTGGTGGTTGCATGTTTTCCTGCGAGGCTGGTCTGAGAGGAGAAAGGGAGAGTGCAGTAGAGATTTGATTGATATGCCTGTCACCGATATGGGTGGTTCTGGGCGGTGGTGTGGACAATTTTCTGACGCCGGAAGGGAAGCCCGGGCGGTGTAATTCAACATCACGTGAAAAGGCGGAATCTTTTTGCGATACCTACCTACAGTACCTTACACAATTCAGGAATGAATGGAAGAGCTTGTTTACTCATACGTATGTTTAGGGCAGAAGAACTTGTGCATATTATCGAGCATGATGCATTGCGTTCCTCAGGGGAAACGAATGCACTACAGCTACATTATCATGCGCGAACCACGGAGAACATGGAGGTTCACTCGGCGCATCCATGATCGCATGTTTTGCGATGCGACGGAGCGGAATAACCGGCTTCCCTCAGCGCCAAGTCGGTCAGACTCGGAGGACGAATGACCGTCCATGGATTTGCAAAACTGTTCCGTACCCCCGAATCGGCCCTCTGGTTCGATAAAAGGCGAAATGATGTAGTGCTTTCACCATTCTCATATCACCGCCTGCTACCCTCCAATTCCGTTGTTCAATCGCTTCCTCAACCATTCTTTGGGGATTCTTAAAAAGCTCGAATTCAACCGATTGGTTGCGGGATCCCGAGAGGCACGGCACGCAGAGTCAACAGGAATGAGCGGAGGATGAGATCATACCTCGTCACCTTCAAAGCAGGGTCAGAGCGAAGAGCTGGCGAGAGAAATCTGCGCAACACACAAGGCAAGACGGGGTGCTAGTCTAGACAATAGAAGAATCAATCTGTATACTTCAATTAACTGCATTGACCATTCATTTAGTTAGTTGATGTTAAAGCTGGCTACTAAAGGATTCCTGGTAACTGTGCCTGGTGATCTCATCTCATCCACTCCAGAAAAATCACACCGGCATCTGGTCCCGGATGCGCCCGTTATGCTGAATCATCGCGGTCCTGATTGGTCCAGGCCCAAATCACGGGAAAGGGCTGTTGGGGGCAACGGCCGGCCGCTCTTCCCAGTAGGTACAAATTGCAATCGCAAGTTTTTCTTTTCTCCCCTTCTGCTTCTCCTTCTTCCCCCGGAATCTCCTCCGCTCAATCCAATCTCTCTGTACTTTACCTTCTTTAATCTTCTTCTTTCAAATACCCTTACATCTCCCTTCAATCATTCAAAATGGGCAAGGACGCTGGTTTCGCTCCTGGTAAGCATTCCCCTTCGACCTCTACTTAATCCCCAAGTCGCGGCTTGTTGTCAAGTGTCACCGGTCATGCCCTGGTCGCCTTGAGGACTTGGCTTGAACACAATGTCTTCGGGGCTGCCGGATGTATGGGCTGGGTGTTGGTTGATGTTTGGTGTCGATGTGTTACGATCATGGGTTCTTTGTCCACATTGTTGTCGCCTCGGAACTCGATCGCTGCTTCGCCTCTTCCACCTCAATTGCAAAGTCCAGCGAAGCACAAGCTTCCGAGGCCACGCGAGGAACTCTGAGCCATGACGAGCCTCGACACCTACTGTTTCCTCACCACTATCCACTTGCGCGAGGCCGAGCTGGAAGTCCGAGGAAAGCCCCGGCAGCCGGCAACACGAACGACCGTCCGGATTGCGGCTAACATCTGCGGTTCTTCAGGTGACTCTGCCAAGGGTGCCAAGCTCTTCCAGGTGAGTTGATATTCCATGTATCTGCCGGAATTGGGCTTCAAATGCTAACCTTGCGCTTTCCAGACTCGCTGCGCTCAGTGCCACACCGTCGAGGCTGGTGGTCCCCACAAGGTCGGCCCCAACCTTCACGGTCTCTTCGGCCGTAAGACCGGTTCTTCCGAGGGCTACGCCTACACCGACGCCAACAAGCAGGCTGAGGTCACCTGGGATGAGAGCACTCTCGTAAGTTGTTCCGCGAATTGTGCACACCTTTTGAACATTCAACTGATATGCTTCCTTCCAGTACCCCTACCTCGAGAACCCCAAGAAGTACATCCCCGGTACCAAGATGGCCTTCGGTGGTCTCAAGAAGGCCAAGGAGCGCAACGACCTCATCACGTACGTTATTCCCTTTGGCTGCTCAAGGTACAATCAGCTAACGGATTTGCTTGAACAGCTACCTCAAGGAGGCCACCGCTTAGATGATCTCTCATGTCTGAGATCTTCTAGACCCCAACCGGGACGTACGGGGTCGGTCTTGGTTCTGCGCGCTGGAAACAGCCGATCGCTCGGCCACCTACGCGTCTGGGTTGGGTCATGTAACATTACCATTTGTTTACATGCGATAGACTTTGGAGTCTTCGAGCGTTGGAAGAAAAAAGAGGATGCTATAGAGTCTTTTGCCTCCTTCGCGACCGCTGTCTACTACCCATATTCCCGATTGTTGTTACGTTTTATTTTATTTCTTTTTTTCTGTGATCGATGAATGCCCTGCTCTATGTATGACGGTGTCAATACTTTCTGTGAGACTATAATGAAAAAAGATCTCCTCTCATGACGCCATGCGCGCCGAAGTGACCTTAGGTGTGTCTGTGCTTTACAGTAAATTGATGCGTTGGCCCAGTCTGGCGTTTCAAATTATTGGGGGTGAGGGGGAATCACGTGGACTGATGGACAGGCAGGCGGTCGAGCAGTCACTGGTCACTCCATCAATCCCTGATTTTCCCGCCCGTTGCTGGCCGAGAATTCAAGAGCGAGAATCCGTCAATCATGGCCAGCCGCTGCGACTCAAGTCGTGACTGCAACGGCAATCTGGCGGATGATCCTTGCATCGTTGGAGAAGCATCTCGTCGATCTGATTGGACCAGTTGTCCTGCTACAGCCATGACCGACTTGGCGCCCAGTGGGAGGATCATTTCCTTCAGGCAAACCGTCCATTCCACCGCTATTACTGCCCGTGTGCAAAGCAAGCCATGATGCGAGTGCTGCTTCTCTCCCGTTCGGATGGTTCGGGCGGCGCTGAAACCGTGGAATTTCCATCTGGTCGAGATGTGATGTGAGATAATCTGGGGATTGGTATGTGCAGAATGTCTGGTACACCACGATGTACAGGAGTACAGTGCAGTCAGTCCCTCTGGTTGAACCAGGAAATGATCACAAATGACGCCGATCGGAAGATGTGCCCGGGAGAGTTGGCGTGGCAGTAAGCATTCTAGGACGTGTCGATGCCACTGGGAAGCCTCCTGTACTGTATGTCGGGAGTATCAGGCTTCTGCTCTTTTCTCCCCTCCATCTCTCTGCAGCACTTCAGCCACAGCGTCTGTTACTCACCCCCCACCTAGATTGCCTCGTTGACTATCGCTATCGATAACCAGTGCACAATCGATAGGGGTGGTGTTCTTGGTTCAGGTCCTTCCGTGCTTCTTTGTTATCGCATTGACACCCGCACGTTGTCTCGTACAGTACCTTCTTTTTCTATCATTTTATGCGATGGCAGGAACAACGGCTTTTCGAGATGCGGTCTATAACCCCATAACTTTTCGCGCACTCCCTCTCTGCTAACATCCACCATCGGTTGCTACCGGCGTTCAAAAGAGACCAGACTGGGGCAATTATCATCGGTTCAGTCTATTCCCTCAGTCTCTCCAACAGATAGTCGGTTTTAGGCCATCGCACATGACCCAGGACTGGCCCACCACGATTGGTCCAGCCACCCCCTCCCCTCCATTGTTTAAATACGGAATCCGACCCTCCCCCCCCTCCCCCTCCGACATGCGAGGGGCGCGTATCATCTACTTGTACCTGGAAAGAAACAAGTTACTTACTTTGCCTTGGAAACCCCGTGTTCTGAATCGCATTGACATACAATACTTTCATTGCCAATTCTATACCGCACCTATTGCGGACCGATGCTTGCCTCCATATCCATCTTATCTATATAGTCACTCTATTCAGATCGTGTATTGATTTGAAAACTATCTTATCTGCCTCCACTAACCACGATCCTCATAGCTCCTCCCTGTCTCACACAGGTGGCACTCTTCCTTGTGGTAACTGTGTCGGTGTCGGTGGCTCTGTGTCTATAGTGGTGGTTCATGCAAGCACCTCGCACAGTTGCTTTTGACAGTGTATTGCCGCGATCCGCAGTGACTTGTCGCATCCCATAACCTGACTGTTGCTCAGTCACTGCGAGACTGGCTGTCTTGCACGCACATGCTATTGTCTCTCTCTCCTCGATATTCTGTACTTGAATCTCTCTGCTCACCTGTTACTTGTGAAGTGATCAGGCCGCTCTGTTAGTCCTCAGGCACCCAGGCTCCTCGGACTTCTCTTCACTGAGGGCCTCATTCTAACACTTTGGTCGCATTCCTTCACCTCGATTCACCTCCACTTCACTTCCAAATTCAGTGGAAGAAATATCCTCTCTTCCCTCGCCTTCTCCCACTAACCTTCTCATCTCCCCTCTCCTCACATTTCATGCCTCCTCTCACCTCCCTCTTCCATCCGCACTTTGAACACAGCTCAGACCGTATCTCAGTACCATTGCGACTAACCCTCTGATCAAGTCTTCTTGATCTTCTTCACCATTCGCGCAATATCCTCGCCCGCGCAGTGCGGGGTTTCATCCAGATCCGTGCCGCGATCAAGAGGATCCTTAGCTCTGTTGGCTTTTCATTGCGCGACAGCTTCTCAAATGATTGATCGACTCGAAGACAACTTCGAGGACCATCCATCTTTGGATGCGTCACTCGAGGATTTTGAAAGCAGCAGTAACACGCAACGTTCTCCGCTGTTCAGCTTGCCGTCGCAGCATTCTGGATTCCGCGACGAGGAATCTGATCCCGACGATGAAGAGCCCACACCCAACACGGAGCGCTGGTCGCCTCCTGGTTATGGCAGGCACGATTATAATCCAGGAAGTGGTTGGTATCGCCATGAAGCCTATTCCCAAAGCCCAGCAAAGGAGCGCCCTGTTCTCAAGCCAACAGTGGGAGCAAGTCCGTCGCATTCGCGGGAAGCAAGCCCACAGTATGAGGACGCGGTCGAGTCTCCTGCGAAAAAGGATCGCAAACAGTCCTCAGCCATGACTGACACCACATGCGCGCCCCCGGACATGTCGCCCACGAGTCAAGACAGGGACCGAGATCATTCTCCAAGTAGAGCGCCGGCGAACGGGCAAGCTGTTCAAAATGGCGAGCTGGAATTCACGCCCGAACAGGACCTGAGTAATTGTAGGTATCACTTTGGAGTACGACTCATCCAGGTAGCTGGTATGGCCTGCTGACTTGTGACTGCTTTTACTTTAAGATATTCGGTTCGCAGTACGCGCGGAAGTCCAGCACCGCGAACCGTTCGCAGCCATTTTCGGGTACATGCGCGAGAAACTCGATCTGATCACAAGCACCCGGACCAATACACTCGTATCCATCGTGGTCGCTCTCTTGTCGATAGGGCTGATCCGCACATTGTTCCTTCCAAATTATCCACAGCCAATCCCTGACTTGGTCAAGCTGTCAGGTTTTGCGCGCTCTTTTGAGCCCCTGATCTATTACTCGGAACACGGCGCGCAGCAGATCGAAGCGCTGCAGGAAACCGGTGTGGCTGTCTGGGATCTAAGCGAGTCAGTTCGTGGCACCAACATGACCAGCGCGCCCATCATCGTGCGCCAGCTGGATGAACTGTCTGAGTCGCTTAAAGGCTTGTCATTGGAGCTGACTCGGTTCTTTGCCAATGTCGATGCCGACTTCGATTCCATCTTGATTGTCATGGACTGGGCCAAACGCGAATTAGAAGCCATCAATGCGCAGCCGCCTAGCTCATTGCCCACACTCATGTTTGATAATTTGCATGAGATCCTTGCGCGACTCGGAACCATGGAAAGACCCATTGAGACCAACGACGGCCCTCCAGGCAGTGAGCTGGCAACTGCACCCACCGCATTCGGGCAAGTCGTGACAGCGGTCCTTGGACATACCTCGGCGCAGCGTACGCGTGCAACGCTTACCCGAACCTTCACGGAATTCTTGGGGGTGCTTGAAGAGTGTATCAACACTGAGCTGTATCACTCCACAACTCTCTTTGGACTCTTCGAATCTATTGATCGTCAGTTCCTGAGTCTACAACGAACTGTAGTTCGCGAATCGGATGCGCAAGAACGAGAGGAAGGTGAGATGCTGAGTTCCTTGTGGACTCGTGTCCTCGGACCAGATGCCTCCATTGTTCGCAAATACGAAAAGAACAAGCGGCTGCTTGCCAACGTCCGCAGTCGGACTGTGACCAACAAACATCTTCTCATGGACCACCGCGGGCGCCTACTCACACTCAAAGTCAACTTGGAGACTCTGCGTCGCAAGTTGGTCAGCCCGTTGGTGCGGCGCAACGACTCGATCAGGTTTGCGAGTGGCGTTGAGGCTGGCAGCAGTCACAGCCATGGGCGCATGCTGGGGCCAATCGAAGCCGTGATCGAGGGTCAGATCCGGGGCATTGACGGCAGTTATGAATACCTTCGAGGAGTCCGCGACAAACAAAAGGCACGATTCATGGAGTTTGTATTCGGCGCTGGGCGACGAAATCCACCTAACGCAATGCTAGCGGACGGGTCTGAGGGCGAGGAGATCGAGGCGCATGCTATCGAAGAAGGCGGTGTTTAAGGCGACAGCGACAAATTGAGACTTGTGCTTGACTGCATCGCATAGCCAGGCGTTCTTTTCGTCATCATCTCGTCGCTGCTTGTTCTGTCTATCATCTGTCCACGCATCTATCGGTTACACGGCGTTTCATCCAGTGCCTCCCGGTTAGCACTGTCTGTCAGCTATGCACATGGTGGGGCGTTACATCTAAAGGGTCATTCATCATGTGGTCATGATTCCTAGCATATTTCCCAGGGTACATGGTTGAGTCTCACGACATAACATTTTCTGTTTATCTATGGAGTGAACTGACCGTTGACGTCCATAGATTTGAATCAAGGAACACTGCTGGCGTTATGCAGTGTCGTCTCTTCTTCTTCTTTTCCTCGTCGTGTTGCGGTCCGTCTTTGAGCGCTCCTTGATCTTGATTGCATTGATTTGATGGGTCGATTGATTGGCGAATCTGCGGCGAATGAGGCTCGAGGTGGGAAAGAGAAAAACACAGAGATAGACAACGGGGAATGGTGCCTGTCTCTCTCCACTTCATGGTTTCCACGGTTGTTTTCAATTTCGTCTTATCTTTCATCTTCCTCCGTCCGTTGTCTCCTCCGGACGGCTAGGAATTCTTTCAATGCAAATAGCAGGGTTTCTTTCTTTTCAGTTGGGTAAGGGTTGCTGACTCGGTGGTCAGGCGGGTCGACTGTTATTGTCAAGCTGGTTGGTGTAGTTCGGGCGAAACGCATGGGTGGTTGCGCGGTGGTTGGTAGGTGTTCATGCTGAGCGTGCTCGTCTTGTTTATCAACTTTTTTTTTCTTTCCTTTTATTTGTCGTGTTGAATATCTCTTTCTCTATCTTCATCAAATCCCCCATCATCCTGGTGTTGCATTGATTTCTGTGCTCTTTCATTTGATTTTCGCCGTGCATACATACATAGGGAACGTGCTAGTGCATTGTTTTTGAGTTGTTTCGCATTTGGTAGGCCAACATTGAGTAGCGAGTTGGGGTTGTGTGTAAATGATCCAAATAGATCGTGGCCTGCTCGGGCCTCCTCTACTTCACTGGGGGTTAACCGCCTCCTGTTTGAAGAAGGCTCTTTCCTCTCAGGTGATCTACCCTCGTCTCCCCTACTATTCCTCGTTGATTCTTTGCAGATGAGATAAGGTCCGGTACCCCGCAGCAATACTTCTTATTGAAACAGGTACCGCATATCCAGGCACTGGTATCATTATGCGTCTCGTCCACCTTACCCTGTCCCCCTCTCTCGGGCCGTCATTAAGTGAATGATGGTTGGACCAGGTGTTTCGCCATTGATGTATGCCTCTAGTTGCCAAAAGAGATGAAACAGTGGATTTTGCAGAACGAAGAGGTAGAATTACTTCAGATTGATCTGAGAATTGGTGACTGTTGGTGTCAACACACACACATACACCTCTACACGCATACACGCGCGCGCGTCAATCAACTGGGCAGCTGGTGGGCCCGAATGGTCGAGGACTTGAGTTTTGCGTGGGTTTAGATTCACTTCCCCGGAGATATCATTCAACTTGGATTCTTTTTCCGCTAATGCTCATGGGATAGGGGTAGAATGGTATGGTGAAAAACTCGTTCCATCCTCACAACAACCATGCAGTGTGCAAAATGAAATAACCCCTCTCATCTCCCAGGGAAAAGTCCTCACTACTTACTAACTGCAAGCTAAGATGGACTTTTATAAACACTTTCTCCATTCGAACGACGTGTGTGCACCATACCCAAGCTCTATCCATCTAATCAAACAGCACCACCGCGCTCTGCTTGAATACCTCCGGTCCCAGCACCGCCGCCAATTCTGCGACGATCCCCTTCACAGACTGGGGGTTATCCATCGGCATTCTCTCCCACCCGACGAGATCCTATACATCAGCTTGTTAGTCTTCTGTTCGATCCTCCGGTCAACCGTTAGAAGGAGGGGAACGTACAATCATGTGCACAAATGAGCCATGAACCAGCAGCAACCAGTGGTCCAGGTCTAGCGCCTTCACCTCATCCAAAGTGAGTACGCCGGGCATGTGCAGGTCAAAGAGTGACATCTCCTCGTCGTTGATTTCCGCGTCAGCCTCGGGCTCGGGCTCGGATGGAGTCGCTGCAGGGGTGGCTGCTTGCCGGTCCCGGGAGAGGGAGACGTAGGGTCGGGAGTCGAGCTTCTGGGCGAGTTCGCCGTCAAGCGGGTCCCAGGTGTAGGATTCAGGGTCTACGATAGTCAGATTGACTGCCGGTTGCATGGAAGTGAGGGACATACCGAGGATGTACTGCGGTCGGAAGGTGCCCTTGTACCGCATCTTCTGACAGGTGTGGATGTAGTAACCTAGAACCCCGCCCGTGTTGTCAGCAAATCGTACATAGTCGGGGAGAGGTATACTTACCCATGTAGTAGTACGGGTACTGAGCCTCAAGCGCAAAAGCGATCTCTCGCATTGCGCTCAACTTGCCAAATTCCCATTGTTCGTAGTCCGGGTCGTAACTGGCTATTGTCAGCTTTGGATTGGAGTTGCTTAGCTAGCCAGGGGTAGTACAAGATGTAGACGGAGCTCACTCCGTTAGGCATCAGGTCCAAGACAGCTACAGCGATGAGCTTGCCATCAAGACGGTAGCACTGATGCCATGATCCAAGCTTCTTCTCGTCCGACTTTTTCGGATCAGCGGGCGAGCGTGTCAGTCCTGAGCAGAGGAACCGTTTGAAGTCTTTGGTTTGCCACTTCGAGACGTCTTCTTTGTGGACTGTCGTCTGATACTTGCGGAAGAGGTCGAATCTGTCCAAGATGATCAGGTCAGAGTTTTAGATTTGAACTGGCATTAGTGACTGACTTGGCCTGAGATATCGAGTCACCCTCTAAATTCACCTCGAATTTGTGCGCTGGCTCGAGATACTTCTTCGTCTTAGGGTCAATGGGTCGCTTCACATTGCTATATTCAGCCTCGTGAACAGACGTCAGGAGATCAAAGTGCTGCTTGCGATGCTTCTTTTCTCTGCGAGCCGGACGTAAGCAAGATATTCTCCAGCTTTGATCCAGACATCAACGTACTCCCGTGTCCTGGGACAGAGATATGCGGCACGACGGATGTATTCATCACCGAGAACAAACTTATTCCAGCGGTTCACAGCCTTACGTTGATCCTTCCGAGGCTGGAAGTCCGATGCCGTCAGTCTGCCACAGTGGTTAGCATCGTCAGACATTTGAATGAGGAGAAAGCGCCAATCACCGACCTCATGGTATAGTGCGGGCAGCAGGACCGCTGCAGGTTCTGCTTGTAGTACAGTGTGCCCGATCTAGACCCAGTGTTAGTCCCCTTGTGGTTCATGTTCGGAACGAACTAGTTAGACCACACGATACCTTCTCCAGCCCCGGTTGACGAGGGCCTCATAATGGGCGGGTCGTACAGAAACCGAGCTAGTGTAGTAGGAGGCAGCTTGCAGTAGACGCGCGTTAGTCGTGGCATGAAGCCGTCGTTGACATGCCTGTGACAGGCATGCCTGGTGGGGCAGGACAGAGAGACTCACAGCCGTCATCCGATTTACAGTAGCCGCATGAGTTGCGTTGGTAGCCTGGAGATGGTTAGGATGAGTGGAATGGCATGTCGACAAGTGCAGACATTGAAAGATATTTAGTGCAATCGACAGATAATTTTCTTCATGATGGGAGCGATGGTTGTGGCCGCAGAGTTGTCATGTTGTAGCATGGAGGATGTACTCCGTATAGATAGAGAGATAGAGATGAGGGGCAGCCATGGCGCATTGAGGGGCACCGATTGGGGGAGCAAATGGAACCAACTGGAGCGGATACCGATTGCACGGGGCAGAAAAGACCATGATGACTGGCTGAGAGCTTACCTAGAGGTCGGAAAAGCGATAGATTTCTCGCCTGCTCGGCGTCGACAATAGAGACCATCGTGTGTTGAAGTGGGTGGTGAGATGCCGGTTGATGTCAGGTACTCAGAATGGTCTCCCCCGTCTGGGAGATGGAGCACCCTGTTCGCAAGGCAAAGGACCTTGCGGAAATAACCGAAAGAGAGGGAGCAGCCGGATGGATAGCTCGAGATGGGTTCTATGATGGTGAGGAAGAGGGTGGCTGCGATGTTGTGGTCTGAGGGGCCCCGAAGTGGGTGTTGTTGGTTGGAAGATGCAGATGGAAAAGAAGATGATGCGGGCCGGAAGTTGAAGCTGGCAGCCTATTATCCCGCATCCCATTCATTCTTACTGACTACCTACTAACTACACAGTTATCCATAACCAGTCTGCTTACTTTGCCATACCTGCGCTATCAAAATGAATCCGGATGCATGATGCTTCTAGAACAGAGGAGTCTAGTTGGACTGCATGGAGGGATCCGAACCCATGTTGGGATTTCCTGTAAGGACCGACTGATCCTCCAGCGATCAGTACAGTACTTTTGTTCTTGTTGTTGCCACTGTCTCTTCATTAGGTCAGACCCAGTGCTAGTTAGTTCTTCCATTCGACTTCTGTACCTCCTGTCTTGCACAACCTGGTCAATAGCTGGGGATGCATTGAATACAAAGGTATTGTTCGTCGTCGTTTGGCGATCATCCTTACCATACGGTAATTTACCTTGATGGAAATGGCAGTTGGCCATGTGTCAAATATCCCCTTTTACAGAGAGAAAATCTGGCAGAGAAGCTGGGCCAAATCCAAAGTCGTGCAGTTGGAGCTGCTCCTTGAGAGGTATAACCTCCTGATGTGGGCGCTGTTTAGGTAATCAATCTTCATCATCATCTTCTTCTTACGACATCACGTGCAGCCATCCTGCTCTCCTCCCACCGTCCATCATCGGCATCAACGACAGGATCTCAACTGCTCAAGGATCCGCATTTTTCCCACAGATCACCGCTGCGTTGTCGCCTCCAGACCCAATCGCCACTGAGCAGTGTTCTTGAAGCCCCTATCCTTGAGATTGATGTGCAGGACAACCTCACGTACTACACAGTAGCGCCATTTCACCGCATTCCACATTGTCCGAGCAACAGAACGCTTGGATCGACTCCATGATTCGTTCATCCATGGGTTTGTTGCAATGGACAGGTACAACTTCAGTTTAGGGCATGACGGCAGGCCCCCCGTTCTCTTCAAACTACTTACTACACACTACCGCTCACCATCTTTTTCTTTTCTCGTTCTGTTCCCTGACTACCCATCAGGTAACGTAGGTAACTTAGGTCTCACTTCAACACTCTCTCAGATTAAGAATACAGTAAGTTAATCCGTCCGCAACCAATGGAGGAGAAAAAGTAGCCGGCCGGGTCAGTCGTCGGTTGCCCCGCATCCTTCCCTTGAGCAGCCCTCTCTTTTTCCCCCTTCTACGACTTTTATTTGCTGGAATTGCCCGTGGCATCTCCCAATAAGCCAGCCAAATTCAAAAATAGGGGATCATGCAGGGTGTATGCTGCTGCGTCTGATGGTTTCCAATCTAAAGCTTGTATGCAGGAGCGTGAAAGCAATAATCCAAGGAAAAAGAAATAGTAGACAAACAATCACCGCTCATTGACCTCTCCCACTCCCTCCATGCAGCTGCTGGAGGCGCCACAACAGCTGTTGAGCTACTGAACTGTAAAACACGTAGCAGGTACCATCCTGTTTGAGCATCAATCATTGGATGGTTTCCGAGGCCGTTGAGATGCTAGACTATTGCTGCACTGCAGAGCATGGGAGAGGTCAGGTCGCCCGTGCACGTTTGATAGAACAATAGGATTCACGTTCCCTCCTCCGATGGGACTCTATTCGGTCCAGTTAGTCCGATGAATCAAATCAGTAACGTTAAATATCGATTGGGAAAGGCCCCCCTCCCCCCGAAAAAATAAACTGTCCTGTCCGTTGAGCGGAGAGCGATGAAAGAGGGAAAGGTAAGGTGGACCGAACCCGAATTTTTCCCTTTACTCCGGAGTAACTCAAGGGAAAAACCTCACCGTGATCGGTGAGTAGTCGTATCTTGAACTCAAGGCTACGTTTCCCCTTCATAGTTACTATTTTGGGGAAAATCTCACGAGGGGATCCTGGACGATAGGCGAGACAGGTGCCGAAATGACGGGACTTCAATTCTGGACCACCGACGGGAAACATGACGCACAATGTGCCACCGGGAAGACGAAGACTACTGATGTGCGGCCATGAGATCATCTAAAATTAAACTTAATATGCCTACTAACTACTACTCCGTACAAGAGTACACCACGAAGTACTACCCAAGTCAATCCACAGTACGTACAGTAGAATTCAACTTAATCCCAGCCAGTATAATCTAGTCTACCTACTACCTAGTATGGTTCGGGTTTGAACCACCTCTGTCGGGAGCCCTTCGTGATGGGCAAAGAATTTGATACAGATCCCGGTGCAAGACGGTGGTCACGCATTCTATCACTATCCGAGAAAAGAACTTATTAATAATGGATCAGTGTGTGATGGCGCGCGTGTCTGTGTGTTCGCGTGTCTGGTCCCTTGGGCTACCGGGTTGCTGTGGAACCCAGAGAAAGAGTCTCGGAGTTCCAGGAGGAGTCGTTCTTGGGAGAACCAAAGAATGAACCATGAGGGGATCCATGATAGTCGCATAACTTACTAGGGAGATCACTAGTTTGGGTCATGGTCGAAGCCAAGTCTCAAGTTTAGCGCAGACACCGAGTACTAAGGTACGGAGTAAAAGTTATTTAATTGCGGTCAAGTCCTTCATCTTCCTGCCTCAATCACATAGCTGACATGTCTTGGACTTTCGAAAATAATACTCCACATGCTATTGCAGATGGGCAGAACCAGACGAACCGCACATGAGAAATGGGGAGGAAAGGGGGTGTGTGCATGAGATGTAACTAAACCTGGGACCTGACCACAATTAGACAATAAATAATACCCCGAGCGAGGGTTGGAGAAGCAAGCAAGCAAGCAATAACTCGAGAGGAACGAGCCGTACCTGGACTGCTTTTTGACCGACAACCGGACCAGAATCATCCGTAAGGTTCCAGTAATACCAAGAATACGGTCATGATAGCACTTGTTTTGCCTCGACTCAACGTAATCAATCGGTATCAATCGGTACCGACCAGCAGCGGCGTGGGCGCGCAAGTCCGCTCCGGGGCGAACAATCAGTTTAGTTGTGCCTGCCGGGGCGTTCCCCCCCCCCCAGAGGCTAACACTGATTGCTCTCTCTGTCTGTCTGTCTGAGTGTCTGTTGCCTCCGTCCCCTCCCACTACACGTTCTTCCCCCCCCCCCCTCCCTCCCTCTCGCCCTCCGTTTCCTCCGTTCCCTCCGTCCATTTCCCCTACCAAATCCGCCTTTCCTTATTTCTTCGCTATCCCTCCCGATTATGATGTCCCTTTGTCTTCACTCATCTTCTTCGACGTTCCCGTCGCCGCGGGAGTGAACGGGGATACCTGATCTTCTTGTTTCTCTCTTCTCAGTCCTTCCTCTCTCCATCTTTTTTACCTTTCTCTTCGCCAGAAAAAAAATTCCCCGCCGCTGCTTTCTTTTCCTTCGACCCGCTTCGCGTTTTCGCGGTTGAAAAAGAAACCCGACTGAGAGGTTGTTCGCCAGCTCTCATACACTAGGCTGGACCTCTATTTTTCTCACCACCACTCTTCGAAGTTCTCGACGTCACATTCAGCACTGACAGCCTACCCGAAGTCAGTGTTATTGGTGGTTTGTCGCTTCCTCTAGTCGCATCGGACCACTTGCCTTTCAGCACGAGTGTCGCGTGAAGTTCAGAAACGACCTACTACAATCGCCTACCCTCTCTCTCCACTATATAGACTTGTCGTGTGGAGTGGCCTAGAAGTCATTATCTTTCTTCCCCCGTTGGATGTATAGTTGATCCGCCATGTCGGAACAACCTCGCTCAATGGAGTCCCGTGTCGGACGTAAAAACCAACGTGAGTAAACAACCCTGGAGGCATGTTGACCCGTTTTACATTCATCTCTTGACTGGATTGAGAAATTGGCGTTTCTGTCTTTTCTGCCTTTGCGCAACCATGCTAATGATGCGTGTGCTTTTAGGGTATGGTCCCAAAGGTGAACGACTAGTCGCCGGTGTCGTGCCATTGTCTGCGGACAAGACTCTGGTCTTGATGATCCAGTCCGCAGGTCGCGGGGGCTGGGTCCTGCCCAAAGGCGGGTGGGAGACCGACGAGAACAGCCCCCAACAAGCCGCCTGCAGAGAGGCCTGGGAAGAAGCCGGAGTAATATGTACGGTGCATAAGGACTTGGGTCAAATACCTGATATGCGCCCCTCCACGTTATTGTCGAATTCGGCACCTAAGGCGTCCTATCAATTCTTCGAAGTCACAGTGGACCGCGAAGAGGAACAGTGGCCCGAGATGCACAAGCGGAAACGGCAATGGGTTACCTACAAGCAGGCTGCGGATGCTTTGGCCAGCAGACCCGAGCTGCTGGAAGCGCTCAATCGCAGCTCCATGCGAAGGTAGCGATGGCTTTTTGTTTTCTGCAAAGGAGCTTTGAGCTTCCATGACGACTTGAAATGAACTAGCCAAGGAAAAGCTGTTTTCTTTTCTTTCTTGCATCGATTAGCTTGAACCTCCTAACCCCCGGTCGGCTGTAATGCTTTGGGTTCTTTATAATCACTGTTCTTTTTTTTTTTCTTTTCTGGACTGGGTTGGGTGACAGCTGATAGCTTTTGCGCATGAATTGCGAACACGATCTTCTGGGGTGCGCGACCACGGTCTATTTTGTCCGTCCAATCTGTTCTTGCTATTGCCTCCCACATTTATAGATTTTACGAGCAAGCGCCAGTATAGATTGTTAGAGGATACGGCTGTGTTGCCGACGGTTGGGGCAAAAAAAGTTACTGCCATCGAGACATGGTCAGGGATGGGTTCCTTTGCTTGGAGTTGGCTTTCTCTTTTGGATACCAATATCATCTTGCTCGTGATTGAGACTTGTACGCTCAGGGCATGTTACTTCTTATCACTTTCGCTGCCCATTGTGGGCTTACCTATTATCATAGCTGTCCGGCTTTATGAGAGCGTTTTCCATATCGAAGTCCCTTGAAAAGGAATAGACTGATATCAGGTGGTATTGCATGGATGGTCACGAGGACCTTAGATTTGACTCAAACGACCACTTGCTATCGATATTCGAGTGGATTAACTCGAAGATAAACTCCTAATAAAGTCCCAGAATGTAACTACGGAGTGATGAGGATGTGTTATCAATCCTTCACGTGCCATTCACTTCGGTCATCATGGCTCTGCAGGAGATTACCCGATCGGGTCAAGCGCAACTCAGCTTCCGCCTTTCACTTCTCCCAAGTCTCTCTCTCTCTCGGCATTGCCTCATCGCGGCCATCTCCAGCTCAACTTTCCACTTACTGACCCATATCTCCTGCGGTGTGTGTGGCCATAGACTTCGGCCTCATCGCCCTCAGATAACGATATTGCATCATGGATTATCCGCCAATGGATATTGAGCCCACCGGGCCCCAAGTGACCGTCCGAGAGGTGAGCAACTTTGAGTCGCCTTTCATCAACAGTGCCACTATCACCGACCGCAACACAAAGCACCCTAGCAACGATATTTTTCTGCTTTCTAGAAACCCACTCGACAAACATACAGGTCCAGGTTGACTAACCAACCAAATCACAGGCCGAGCCCTACCGTGTGGACTTCAAGCTCACCTCCGTCGACCTTGCCTTCGCCAACTCCCTCCGCCGCACCATGCTCGCCGAGATCCCCACCATGGCGATCGACCTGGTGGAAGTCGAGAAAAACACTTCGGTCCTCCCCGACGAGTTTCTGGCTCACCGTCTCGGTCTGATTCCCCTCAACTCCAAGAACTGCGACCAGGATGTTGAATACACCCGCGACTGCGAATGCGATGACCGCTGCGCCCGCTGCAGCGTGACGCTCACCCTCCACGCGCGCTGCACGGGCGACGATATCATGCGGGTCTACGCGCGGGATTTGGCCGTCAGCGGCGAGCGGGCCAACGAATGGGTGGGAAACCCGGTGATCACGGACCCTGAGGGTAAAGGGCCCTTGATTTGCAAGCTACGGAGGGGTCAGGAGCTGAAGATGACGTGCATCGCGAAGAAGGGAATCGCCAAGGAACACGCAAAGTGGGCGCCGACAGCTGCGGTGGGCTTCGAGTACGATCCGCACAACAACCTGCGGCACGTGGATTATTGGTATGAGGAGGATGCGGCGAAGGAATGGTAAGTTCTTATTATTCTTTGTTTCTAGTCGTTTTGCTTGCGTGGACGGGAGACGATTGTAGACGCAGTGATAAGCAGGGAGGGGGCCTTTCACACATCAAGCTAATGTTTCGTCTTGTCGACAGGCCTATTTCAGCAAATTCAGCATGGGAGCACGCCAACCCTCCCGATCAACCCTTTGACTACGATGCTCAGCCGAACAATTTCTACATCGATGTTGAGAGTATCGGTATGATTGATCCGGACATGATCATTCAGCAGAGTATCATTGTGCTGCAGCGCAAATTAGCCTCGGTCATCTCGTCGTTGTCTGGCTCGGGTGACGGTGGCGCGGACCGCAACGGATTGATGGGTGACGATGATGATATGATGCGCAGTCCGGATGCCTACGAGCCGCCAGAGGGCATCGATGGCGGCTTTACGGCCTATGCCAGTGGCGGAGCTAGTGCTTGGGGTGCCAGTGCTGCTACGCCGTACGGTGTCACGCCTTATGGCGGTGGCTATGGGTTCTAGGCGAGAGGATGTCTGTCGAGACGGAGGCCGCGTATTTCTCGGCTGCCGATCTGAATCCAGCCACCAAGTTCTTATCTCATTTTCACTTCACCAACTTGTTTTCTGACACTACTACCAGCATGCGGACGGAGTTTTACGATGGTTTCTTTTTTTTTTTCGCTCATCTTCGGGAGATGCACTTTCTTGCCTTCCATCTATTGCCTCCTTGTTTTCTACTTGCTGTTCTGAAAAGAAGTTACTATGGTCAGGGCGTGCGACAGGGGTGTTTTGCTTTGATTTGCTCTTGACTGTTTACGGCTCTGCCTCTATCTCACATACATAGCTACTACCCGAACAAACATACATACATATTCCACCGAATAAAAATCCATATGACGACAGGATGCGTGATGAGAGTAGAGTTTCCATAATTTTGCATCAGTCCGTGTATTTCTGGTTAGAAGTGCTGTGGATTGCTGAAGCCAAACCGAGGTAAACTGGCTAGCAGATCGCCATTCAGTGATTTCGAAGCAGAGTAAAACGTATCGATGGAACGTCCATTTTGTGCAAATCTCACTATCTAACTTTGGACGAGAAATGCAATGAACAATGAGATAAATAACAGCAGAGAACCCAAGCATCGCAACCCCAATGCAGATTATGTACGTATGCCAGAAATGCCAAGCCTGTCCAGAAGGAGACCGAGAACAAAAACGCCAATTCCACCCCAACACCATTCATGATGGTAGCGAATTCCAACAAAAAAGCACAGCCCAAGATCCTAACAAAGGCGATAGAAGCAAACAAAAAAAGTAATCACATCAACTCGACCGGCGGCCGAGCCGTCTTCGGCGGCATGCGCTTCACCGACATCGACACCATCTCCTCATCGTCGACGGGACTTTGTGAGCAAGTCATCTCGACATCGCCATCATCATCCTCCACCAGCAGACCCCCGGTGAGTTCCTCGCTCATATCCTCGACCATCACCGCGGGCAAGCCGGGACTACCGCCGTGATCCTCCGGGTGGTAGATCAGGGTACTGCTCCGACTGCGGCGTGCGGCAGTAGTGGTCGTAGTGCTCGCAGGCCAACTCCCCGTGCGCTGCTGCTTGTCAGAGATAGTCGAGATGGGGGTTTCGGGAGCCTCATTGCCAATGCCGTTGCCATTGCCATTGTAGGTGTTGGTGTTGGGGAAAGGAGCGGCGGCGTGCTGCATCTCAGTGTTGAGTTTAGCGAGCGCCTGGGCGAGATCGCTGGCGTGGACTTCTTTGTTGGGCGGATCTTCCTGGCGCATGACCCAGCCGTGGGGCGGGGAGGGCGGCGGGCTGATGAAGAAGAGCTTGTCGACCTGCGGGGCAGACAGGAGTTTCGGGCGGGCGTTGATGCCCGTTTGGATCGGGGTGGGCTCGCCGAAGTAGATCTTGGGGTGCAGGGCCTTGGTGGAGTAGGTGGCCGTGTGGGCTTTCAGCGGGTTGAGCGCCGTGCTGGTATGGTCGGATAGGAGTTTGCGGATGTAGAGGGCGTCGGTGTCGGTGTGGAAGGAGCAGAGGAGGCGGCGGAGCGAGGGGAGTGGGGAGAAGGAGTTGAGGGGCGCGAGGATGTTCAGCGTGTTGCGCAGCGCAGCCAGAGATGGCGGATCGAAGAGGTGGAGGTCGTTCAGGTCGGTGATGATCAGGGTGTTGGTTGGGGTGGTGGGTTGGCTTAAGGGTGGGAGGTTGCTGAGGTCAAGTGATAGCGTTGGTCGGTGGGTGGTGGTTTTCGTCGTCGGGAGCGACGGAGAGGTGGTGAGGGACTGTGGAGGGGTGGTGTAGTTCATTTTGAACAGCGTGTCTGGGGGGAGAAAGGGGGAGTGGTTGTTGTGTTAGTGGTAATGGTGGTTGGGAATGGTTGTAGAGGTGGATGTGGAGGATGTTGATAAGTTGATATAGAGGAAGTAGAGACAGTAGCGCTTGATTGCCACTCGGGGAGAGGGAGATAAGAGAAACTTCGATTTGCCTCGGTCCACCCTGATTGGAGCCTTTTTTTCAGACAATTGCAGTGGTAGTGCCAGTAAGAACGAGTATTCTGCATGCGTGCTGAATTACTGTTTTATAGGACCTTCCCAGTGCACTTGAATTTGTCCGCCTTCGTCGCATTTCCCGGGCGAGGCGCAGCACCAGCGATAAACGACCAAAAGTGGAGATGCACTGCCTGCCTGGATTGCGACTCTCCCCCCTCTTCTACTCCGTACACTACACTTCACGTCCACTAACTACGGTTGTCAGGTAGACTTGTCTCTTCTCGGACAGCCTGTCTGAATCTGGGTCTGTTCCTGGCGATGGATCGCCTCTGCATGCATTCTGAGGTCGATATCGCCACGGTCTCGCCGAATCCGTGTGGCTAACGGAGACTGGCACCGCTTTAGGTTGCCACCTTTTCTTCTACGGAGTACACAGCAACCACTAGGAGTAGTTCGCAAACTCTGTGATGACGATGGTGCTTTTGTGTTCCATCTCCCTGCTGCAGATCATCTGTGCAGTCGACTACCCATCTGGCCACAGCTGTTGGTATCGGCTGGATCTTCCTGGAGGCACACAAAATGATTCCAAAGGTGATTTTGGATTGATCCTGGACTGATCCTGCGACCAACCCCGGATCTCAGGCAACGAACATGGTGCTGTAATGTGCCACCATAACATCTGCAACAAAACCCAATTTGCTGTCACTTGCCGGCTTGAGCTCTAGTAGCAGCGCGTCCATACCTCAAATCCTCCTACTGTCAGCACCAATTGGGAAACTATCCATGGATCGGGTCGCTTTCTCCACAATCTCCAGGTCATCTCGGCCTTCAATAGCGGCTGATGCTCCGCCCCCGGGATCACTCGACCAGCACTCAATGTTGCGTTGCAGTGTGGAAGTCCTCTAGGCAGGCAAGATTTCGAGCCTGGCTTCAAAGTAGAGCAGAGTCTCTTCCGCTGCGGAGCTCACCCATGCATGCATCATGCTGCATTCCAAGACCCCAGTAAAGTCACGCCTCATGTCACAATCAGCAGAGCCGCTCTAGCTTAGACCCTGACGTCCTACACTCTGCCTACGCCTATCTGCACCCTGAGGTACATGGTAATCACGAATCATATGGACTGGTGCTGCTGCGGTGGTCATAGAACTCTGCCTCGCCTGCAGCGCCTGCGCAAGGCTTATAACTTCAGGTGCCCCTACCACTTTTACAGGACAGCAACCGATATCAGTCGCCCGAATGGCTTCTTTCATTTGAACTTGAATAAACAAATCTCTTCTGCCTACAGTAGCAGCTCCGGAATAGGGGACGCCTCTGATGGCTTAGCCGAAAGCTCTGACCATCTTGTATCTGGGGCTCAGCCACTCCGCTCTTTCGAATGACGCACTTTCTTGACACCCAACCTTGATATAATTCTAGTCATTTCGCAATGGCTTAATTGGCTGTGTACTGTGTACAGTACACAGCACAATTCGTTGTCGTCATATGTTCTGAATTGCTTGGTCGAATCCAATCGGTTCTTCCTCGCTAACGACATCCTTTCCCAAGCCACATATGCCGTGTCACAAGCCAGCGAGGAACTTGTATCGATTTGCAAAAGCCTGCGAATGAGATTCACAACCTCGGCTTAAGCCAAAGATATCGAAGGCATGGGTAGATCCGGGTACACATGCAATTCCAGACTGACATTGGCTGCTGCGAGTTTCGTCGCATAGGCGAGGTTTTCGTCACGAAAGACGTCCAGCTCGCCTACAACGATATACGTCGGCGGCAGGCCTTCCAGATTGGTAGCCCGAGCAGGCGCAGCGTATTGTGAGACCTTGTCCGTTCCTATGTCTAGGCCTAATGGCAGTCCAACCAGTAATAGTGTCATCCTGAGTCCACGTAACGAAAGGTTCCAGCGCAACATTCTCTTTGATGTTCCTATCATCTAACATAGGATAAATGAGAACCTGTTTCGCCAGAGGCGGGTTCAAGCGCCGATCCCGAGCTAGGAGAGCCCTGCCCGCAGCCAGGCCTCCTCCAGCGCTCTCTCCCATGACCGCAATGCGATTGCGGTTGATCTCGAAATCGTCTGCCCTAATATATAGCCACCGCAACCCAGCATAGCAATCTTCGAGAGGAGTCGGGTGCGGAAACTCGGCTGCCAGCCGGTATTCCACTAAAAAGATCTGGATATTGGTCCGGTATGGAAAGGCACTTGCTGTATAGATCGACAGTGCCCTGGATCATGCCTCTCCCGTGGGCATGAAGAATCGCTGGGCGGCCGGGCCCAGGAGACTCGCTGTTCTTTTTGAAGAACCGTTTGATGGAGATTGTGTAGCCATCATAAGACTGGAACTCGTACTCCTCCTTCTCTACACTTGGAACCGTCGGCAACTCCGCAAAGAGGGATTCGCAAATATAAGTGATTCCCTCGCGGCGAGCGCTGATGTCGTGCACTTTTGGCTTGGGGGTCTCAGCCAATCTCTCCATAATAGGGCCGGCAGCCTCGGCATATTCGGGATCGAAACGCAAGTGCATTTTGGCTGAGAATTTCACTGAGGGTAGACTTCTAGGGTACATAGATGCAGTGGTAGGATGCATGAAGAGGAGCTTTAATCGAGGATTGTCCGCTACTTGAGGTGTGTTCTTCGGGAACCATATCAATGAATTGGTACTGGGGAAAGGGCAAAGAATTGGGAGCACCCGGCTCTTTTTAACGAATAATTTCAGAGGCCGCATCTTCGTTTACATGTCTATGCATAACTGCACCAGATGGTGGGAGTATCGAACCAACGAAAGTGACTTCCTATCCTCGCTTGGGGTTTGTGCCAGCTGCTTGCCACTGAATAAGACAGTGATGGTCATGTGCCGTTCGCCATAGAAGACGTCAGAATACGGCCAGCGAATGGCTGGTGCCTCAATCTTCATATCCAAGGTTAGCCTTATGCAAGTGAAAGCCTCATGTTCCGGATCACCTTCAGTAAAGTGTATGACAGCAAGGCTATGCTATGCTTTGAGCTGGCGGACTCAAGAGTACTTTCGCCTCGAGCGCCTATGAAGACCGGTTGGAGCCGATAGTCGGCCCGCACGTTGATCCGTCCGGATAGCGCCGCTGAGGGCAGTCAGTCAGGTGACGCCGGCACGGCGAAACTTCTGCTTTTTCGACCGCTATCGCCGATCTCGTTCTCACATTGAACTACTTCAGTTTTGCTTAAACTCTCTCATCCATCGTTTCTGTCCATCTAGGCATTTACTCACTATCTTCATATTCACAATGTTTCAAAGAACTTTCCTCAGACAGGCCCAGCGGTCTTTGCTTTCCGTCCGCTCGACCCCAGCTACCCAAGCTGTCCGTCGCGTGACGCCCGTGCAGCTTCAGGTCCCTCAGGTCGCTCGTCCCTTGATTCCTCAGTCTGCCGCCCGTCTTTACTCGACGGAGAACAAGGCCGAGAACGGTGAGAACGGTGCCGCAGAGTCGCAGGAAGGCGAGGATGCTTGCCGCAAAGAGCTTGAGGAGAAGAAGAAAGAAATCATCGGTCTGAAGGTAAATACAACCCTGGTCCAGCATCTGGGACTCTTCCAGATTTCTCAGAAGCACAAGAGTATCTATTGCTGAGGCAAAGCAAATCTAAATGTCTTGCAGGATCAATATCTTCGCTCCAAGGCCGACTTCATCAACCTCCAGGAGCGCACCAAGCGGGACATGGACAACTCCCGCAACTTCGCCATCCAGCGCTTCGCCCAGGACCTTCTTGAGAGTATCGATAACTTCGATCGTGCTATGCTTGCCGTCCCCAAGGAGAAGCTTGAGGCCGCTCCCACTGAGGCCAACAAGGATCTGCTGGACCTCGTTTCCGGCCTCAAGATGACTCAAAATGTCCTGATGGGCGCTCTCAAGAAGCACGGTCTCGAGCAATTCGACCCCAGTGCCCCCGCTGAGGATGGCTCCGCTCAGAGGTTCGACCCTAACATCCACGAGGCCGTTTTCATGACCAAGGCCGAGGGTAGAGAGGACGGTGAGATTATGTTTGTTCAGAGCAAGGGCTTTCGATTGAACGGTCGTGTCCTTAGAGTAAGTCATTTATTCACAGCTGGGTTTTCAAGCCTGGATGCTAATTTCATCTTTGTTTCGCTTCAGGCTGCCAAGGTCGGTGTTGTCAAGAACAACTAAATTCCTTGATCTTCCGAATCTCTTCGAAAATCACAACAACTCCTGTATAATATACCACATCTCTCTCCATGCGACGGGCCTTGAACCCTCCTCCATTGCAATGGACTATGCATCCAACCGTGCCGCTGAAAGTATATGATTCAGCGATTTTTGCTTTTTGTCTACGAACGCATGTGTATGATACACCATTTACTTTGCGACTGGTGTCGCATGGGCCGTCTCTTGGTGCGCTTTTCAAATGATCTGATTTCTGCTGGGCTGGCGTTATATCTCGACTCTCTCCTCCCTACTATGTACATTACACGCAATGGTCGGTGTCTTTGTTTCTTTCATCTCTGGAAAAGTGATTCCATCACGTTGGGACTGGCATTGAAACGGTTGTGGGTTATGCCTGCAGGCATCGGATCATTTTATGACTCTTTGCATCGCCCCGTTGCCTGAAGGCAATGGCAGGGTAGTTTATGAAGACTAATAGACAGTCTATCGGCCGTATCGGCCAGGACGGTTATGACAAGTTGACTCTGAAATACGTAAACATGGTTGATGATGCAGGAGCGAGCGAAATACCTGTAGCAGTTTTTGGTGAGATTTCACGCAGACATGAGCAAAAAGTTCCTATTTCAAGGTACGGTCATTTTGGGGTTTGTAACGACCTGTTTGCGTTGAGTCCCCGGCACGAGTACAGGATACTTACTCCGTAGGTTTGGACGAGTCCGCTCGGGCCGTGGTTCACCCGCTCCGATGTGTTTTGTGAACTAAATCGCAGTCAGGATCCATTGAGCGGGTGACGACACATTCACTCAACTCCTGGCGCTGTTGGTTGCAGCTCTTTGAAATATGCGGTTACTAGCCACTGGCCGAGCCCTGCGTGCCAGCAGCAGCTGGTGGGCACTTAACCACTCCACCCGGAGGACCCTACGGATCCCGCTTTCACACCTCCCAACGCCGTTGACCATCGCGCGGCGCGAATGGAGTTGCACGGCCGTTCGCGGGACGAACGAGAAACCTACCGATGTCATCAAAGGCTCGATCACTGGCGCGTCTGCGACGCAGCAACTGGCGGCTAAGGATTCTGCCTACGACTCCGACGAATGGACCAATACCACCGACACCATCCTCTCGCACGTCGGCCGCCGGCTATATCTGGATGAGAACCACCCTCTTGCTATCACGCGCCAGCTGATCGAGAGCCAATTCCCTCGTCCCACCTTCGGCAACTACACCGAGGAGAATCCCGTCGTGACCACGGCCGAGAACTTCGATGTCCTGGGTTTCCCAGCGGATCACCCGGGCCGCAGCCGCACCGACACCTACTACCTTAACAAAAAGCTGGTCCTCCGGACGCATACGAGCGCACACCAACAGGCGTACTTCCAGCAAATCAGCCGCAACGAGAGCACCCGGCCGGAGGAAGTGGGCTACACTGTGGTGGCGGACGTGTATCGGAGGGATGCGATAGATCGCAGCCATTACCCGGTCTTTCACCAGATGGAGGGAGCCATGCTGTGGAAGCGACCCGACCAGGACCCCCTCAAGTATGCCAGCGAGACCGCGGCCCTGATCCGCGAGGACGTCGAGCGCATTCCAGCGCATGACGTGGTCGTCGAGGATCGGAACCCGACCGTTCACCCAGAACGAAACCCCCTGCAGGCGGAGTTCCACAGCGCCGAGGAGGTCGAGGAGGTTGCTGCACACCTCAAGCGGTCCCTGGAGCGCATGGTCATCAAAATCTTCACGGAGGCCAGCAAGGCCGCTGCCGGGGCCGAGGAGGAGACCGAGCCCCTCAAGGTCCGCTGGGTGGAGGCGTACTTCCCGTTCACGAGCCCTTCGTGGGAGCTAGAGGTGTTCTGGCAGGGCGACTGGCTGGAGGTGTTGGGCTGCGGTGTGATCAAGCAGGAGCTGTTAAACAATTCAGACGTGCCCAACCGCATGGGCTGGGCGTTTGGCATTGGCTTGGAACGCATCGCCATGCTTCTCTTTAACATTCCCGACATCCGGCTGTTCTGGTCTCGGGACGAGCGTTTCCTGTCCCAATTCAAGGCTGGCCAGATCACCCGCTTCAAGCCCTTCTCCAAGTACCCCGCTTGCTACAAGGATGTCGCTTTCTGGCTGCCCTCGGGGGCTGCCAGCGGCGGAAGTGCGGCGGGCGGCGCGATGCCCGTGCACGAGAATGATATCATGGAGCTAGTTCGTGGGGTTGCGGGGGACCTGGTAGAGGATGTGCGTCTGGTGGACGAATTCACTCACCCCAAGACAAAGCGGAAGAGCATGTGCTACCGGATCAACTACCGGAGTCTGGAACGCACGCTCACCAACACGGAGGCTAACGATCTACACGATATGCTTCGTCAGAAGCTCGTTGATCAATTGGGTGTGGAGCTGCGGTAGTCTGTAATTGTATACGAGGGGGCCGGATTTGGTGGTAATGCATAGATTGGGGGCCTGATGACGGCAGGGCATTGGATGCGTGTATGATAGTGTGTATATAAGAGCTTGGCTCTTGGCAAATGACATGACCTCTTTTCTCAAGGAAGATCCTATGATATGCCATGAGATGACATGCGACTACATTCATATGGTGTCTGGCTGCTGTTTAGCGGTTGGATTGGATTGCCTGCAGGGGAGGTATGCAATGTGACGTAGCAGGTCGATTGCAGCACAGCACAGCCGGGTATAAACATGGAACGGCTTGGGAATTATTCATGGGAGGAAGGTTGACTTGCTTTTGTGACTGGGAGAGGGGCATCGGGCTGGATATTATGTCTGTTCTTGCTCTTGATCAGGATCTCTTTTCTCTTTATTCCCTAATCTCCTCCTGGCTTCCACTGTTATCATGGAACCTGAATGCTGTTCTGTTGTAATGGCGATAAATTACCGAGGGCCGGTTTTACCGCCCCATGGCCCGCTGGTCCGACGGTGAACCCGAGAGGCTGATTGGTGAGGTATGACCAAGATCCGTTAGTGCAGGCCGAGCCGTTCACCAAAACCCTGAAATTCGGAAAATTGATCTGAACCCCGAATCTGGTATTGTCTCTGTATTGCTATTCTTCCTCCCTCGTATTATTAAGACGGTCAGAAGTTGTTGGCTCATCCTGAACTTTACCATCTGCGCGACTCTTCTTTTTCTCTTTCTCTCTCTCCCTCTCTCTCTCTTTTCTCTTTCTTCCCAGAAATCTCCCCTCTCTTTTCTTTCCTTCATTTCCTTTTCTTTCGCCTCGCGGGAATGTCCACGATGGCTAGCAGTGCGAAGCTGGAGGCTTCCCAACAGCCTCGCCAACCAGCTGCCGCTCCGGTTCCTGCAAAGAAGATCCATTATCCTTTTTGGTTTGGTGGTTCAGCCTCTTGCTTTGCGGCTGCCGTCACTCACCCTCTGGACCTTGGTAAGTTGCGCTCTGGTGGCGGTTGCATTTGATGGCATTTTGTAAGACTGACTTTTATTCTTTCATAGTCAAGGTAAATTTGCGCTCCATGCTTTTTGTCCACCGACCCCAATCTCCTTTTTCTCGCCGGATTATGTCTTTCGTCCACTGTTCCCGGGCACTGTTACCGCATTCACTGATTGGGGATCCCGGTGTACTAACAAAACTATAAACTCATAGGTCCGATTGCAAACACGCGGGCCTGGGGCGCCCACCTCCATGGTGGGAACATTTGGACATGTGATCAAGACCGATGGAGTTCGAGGCTTGTATAGCGGGGTATGTTACCTTTGTCCAGCCAGGGCCCTGGTGATTTCTTGGGGTTAAGTCTCTGTGGACGGATGGCTGACTAGCAATGGTTTTGGGGGTGTCTGTAGTTATCGGCCGCGATCCTGCGCCAGCTGACCTACTCGACGACTCGGTTCGGCATCTACGAGGAACTCAAGAACTACTTCACCACACCCGGGTCGACGCCCGGGTTTTTCACTCTGATCGGCATTGCGTGCGCCTCGGGCTTCATTGGAGGATTCGCCGGCAACCCGGCCGATGTGCTTAATGTGCGCATGCAGTCGGATGCGGCGTTGCCCGCGGCCCAGCGCCGCAACTATCGCCATGCGCTGCACGGCCTGGTCGAGATGACACGCACCGAGGGCGCTGCCAGTCTCTTCAGGGGCGTGTGGCCTAATTCGACGCGCGCGGTTCTGATGACGGCGTCCCAGCTGGCCTCGTACGACACTTTCAAGAAGCTGTGCATCGAGCGCATCGGCATGTCGGACAACCTGGGCACGCACTTCACGGCCTCGTTCATGGCCGGCTTCGTGGCCACCACCGTCTGCAGCCCCGTCGACGTGATCAAGACCCGCGTCATGACGGCCCACCCCGCCGAGCACGGCCAGAGCATCCCCAGCTTGCTGCGCGAGATCACCCGCAAGGAAGGCTACGCGTGGGCGTTCCGCGGCTGGGTCCCCAGTTTTATTCGTCTGGGTCCGCACACGATTGCCACGTTCATCTTCCTGGAAGAGCATAAGAAGCTTTATCGGTGGGTGAAGGGGATCTCCTCGGAAGAGAAACAGTGAACCGTCTTTCACGGAGATACCCTCCCTATTCTCTTTCCAGTGTCTGGAACTACAGTCCAAATACCGCTTTTGATATCCACGGATTTTCTACGTTGCTAGGCTGTCTTTCTAGCATACACCGCCTATCATCTTGTTTATGTCTGGGACTTGGCGAAGCATTGTCTTTGTTTTTGGGTGTATAAAAGTTTGCTTTCTGTGTGTTCACTTTTTCATGCGGGTTCTCTCGCTTGTATATAATATTTCCCTCTTCTCTTCTGTGCTGAGCTTGCTCTCACAGGCTGCGAAGTCGGTGACACTGTTCTGGCTGCTATGCGCGCCCGGTCCCAGCTTCCCATCATCTCCCCAACCAGCACAAGATGGAGATGAGGTCAGATCATATTCAGATCATTGCAGCGATCATCTCCGTGCGCGTCTGTATCGCACACTATACATGTGTGAATCATCGCGCGGCGGATTGAGAATCCGCTTATACGGAGTGCTCGTCGCATAATCCGTGGACCCGCGCGGTACGGGTTGGCTTGTGGCTCGGCTGAAGACAGGATGAACGGGCCGCCTTTTTTGTTTGTCTGTGTAATGCTTGGTGGTGGGAGGCGGCTTTTGTCGTTTTGATTAGACTAGATATCACATTTGCAATAGACACATAGAGAGGTTCTTAGATACAGAATGGGTGGCATTGGCTTAGCGGCTGATGCTGGTATGGTAGGGATATATGAAAAATGTCCCTCACAACCCACAGAGATCCAAATTGATTGCTTAGAAATGGCCAGGGGCAGAGAGCTCTAGAGCCATCAAATCACAGAACAGTCACTGCATGGCTTAACGTATTACCCAGGCAGACGGTGCAGCTCGATAACTTCGAGAAGGATCCTCCAGTGCCTTAGGGCCTTGATAACGAGACACGACACCTGCGATTAAGAAAGTGGCTCTTCACCTCGTCGATGACGACCTTGTTCCCTGGAAATATGTACTATGTGTGCCGCGAGGCTAAAGGATCGGATCGTATGATGTCCCCTGGGTCTGATATCGAATCACGGGACACGCGTTGGTTGGCGGCATTGTGGTTTATGATAACAGTACTAAATGAGAGACAAACAATGGATTGGGTGAATTGGATACAAAATCAAGATTGAAACACTTAAACAATGAAAACCTCATTCCTTTTCCTTTGCTCTGGCCTACGCGAGCCTTGCGCTCTGATATACACCTCCTCTCTCTATATATATGAATTATGCACGAAAAGGATAAACTCAAGCAAAGCTCTTATTTAGACGGACTTCAAAGAAGGAAGAAAGGAAGAAAAAAAGACATTTCCCGCTTGATTTATTGACTTCGGAGGATTTCCCGAATCAGGGTAGTAGAGTACATTTGGGTGACCAAAATGAACAAAGCACACAGAACTTAACATGAGTGAAACTTTATAGCATTCTACTCCAGGCGAGCGGGGAAGTTGCCGGCCTCTATGGAGAAGATTAGAAGCCTGAGAGGAGTGGTGGATTTCGTGGGGAAAAGAAAGATACGTACCGCGCTGGGTATCCCACCGGTCAGTCCAGGCCTTGGGGCAGAGGGAGCGGAAAGCGTGGTAGAACTAGAAGAAGGAGAGGGAGAGATTAGTTTTGCTGATATGGTAGTGTTTGTTTGGGTGGTGGTATTGGTGGGTGTAAATGATGGTGCGAGTTCGATGGCCGAAAGGAGGAGGGGGAAAGTCGGCGGGATTGATATACCTGACGGCATGGGCGGAAGTCCTCGCCCTTGGCGTTGACACACTTGTGGTAGTCGACATAGTTCTGCCAGCAGTGCTTGGTCCTAATTGATTGTGTTAGGAGTGCAATTGGACAGAAGGGGGAGGAAGGCTAGAGTCAGCAACGGCGTATCACATACTGGTTCTGCTGGGGGAAGCGAGCGTCATAGCCTGTATATCGTTGCATCGAGATATTGTCAGCTTGTCCACCACGAGGGAATCCACCGTAGTCGTTCATCGATAAGCGACCGGATCGACTGGGAACCTGAAGATAGACGTACCAGCTGCATTCTAATTAGCAATTGACCTCAATTGGCAATGGGGGGGGTGATCAGAATATCCGGGTTGGGAAAGCTCACCTGTCACGAACTTGAAGGGCTTGGTCTCCTGGGGCTCATCGGGATCGGCTTCAGGAATGGCACCCATTGTGGCAATTCAAAGGACAGAGCCTGGAAAAGATCTAGAAATTTGGGAAAAGAGGAAGGTGGTGGTGGGGAGGGAGGTGGAGGGGGGAGGAAGCAAGAGAGAGAGAGGGCTTGGAGAAAGAAAGATGGGGGTGAGGTTTGCGCGCCGGTGGAGTGGAATGATCCCGTGAAGCAGTACAGCCGGGCCCCAAGTTCGGCCTTGACCGCCTACTGTAGCGAGCCACTCATGCGTCTACCTTTCCTAAACACCCCGATCCGTCACTGCATCAGCGATAGGTGGCTGCCTGATTCTCCAGGCCCAGTGGGAACTCGTGATCCCAATTCCACAGGCCCGAATGAGCTCAACTTCCGTCACCACATCCGAACCTCCCATTCCACCTCCTCTCCCACTATCCACCCAACCTCAGCCAGGTCTTGCCTCCCCCATCAATCGCCATGTATCCCACCACTATCATGCGCATGCAGGCCTCCCGGCCTTTCGCTTTTCCTGCTCCTGTGAGTCTTCCTCTCCCTTTCTTTACCCGTGAAGTGAGCCGGGAAAAATTGGGCTTGGCAGTTGCATGATGGCTAACAAACGTTGCAGAAGGAGAACCACAGCGGTATGAAATTTCCCCTCAATGCTCTTTGGTCATTTGGGAGCTTGCAAAAGTCTAGTTCTGGAAGTTGCACTTGGACTAAAACCTAGCTCTAGCCCACACCATCTCCCAGCGTCTGCGCACCCTCAAGCGCATTCCCCCGGAGTTGATCCCTCTTGGTATGTTGTTCTTCTGCGCGATTTGGTCCAGTAGCGTCTACAGACAGGCTAACCATCAATCTCCTTATCTTTACAGGTCTTGTCTTGGGGTATGTGCATGTTTTGTGATTCTCAATTGGCTTGCTACATTGCACGGATCAATTCCAAGCTCAGTCCTCTCCCTTACCCCTCTCAACAACCTATAACCCGACTTTTAACCCACCAGAATCTGTCTTTGCTGACCCTCTTCATTACAGTGTCGCTGTCGGTGCTGCCATCTATTCCAGCTCCAAGAAGCTCATGACCGACAAGACCCTCCGTCTGTACCGCAACAGCCCCGAGTCCCGTGAGCACTAGAGAATGTACCATCACATTTTGATTCCAAATTGCAATGGGCGATTCTTTGTTTTGTTTTGATGGCGATCTGTACTATTCACGAGAGGAACAGGTAGATTGCGTGGTGTCGCGGCGGACGCAGACCAAAAAAGCTCGGCATATCTCAAGCTCAGGGTTGCAGCGCGTGTATATAGTACGGCTTTAAAGAAGGGTTCTGATGCAGTGCTCATGCAGGGTTACCGTTGTGTAGTGTCTCAGCCTATGCAGTTCGCGTGGCGTATAGAAGATGTCCGGAGATTTCATTCAGGCTTCGGGCCGGCAACGTCCATTTCCACCAGTCCCTGCATCGGGTCCTGAGTCTCTTCATTAGCGCCTGCCTGGCCCTGCTCTGTGGCCAATCTGTCTTCCTCGCTGACTGCGTACTTGGCCAAGTAGCCCTCCTGTAGTTCAACGCGATTAGCTCGTACGTTTGCGGAATGTCTTGTACACTTGGCCGCGTACCTGTTCCCAAATAGCGGTTTTGCTTCCCAGTCCTTCGTTGCTTTCCCTTTGGGGCTTGGCGGCGGCAACCTTGATTGTGCGTCCGTAGAGCTCGCTGCCATCCATGTTGTCGATGGCCTCTTTCGCATCCTCGGGCAGATCGAACTCCACATACCCGAAGCCGCGATGGGTCTCGTTCGAATTGGGAAGGTCGGGTTTAGGCAAGGTGATATCCACGACCTCGCCGAAAGGGACGAATGCTTCCGCCAGCGTCTGCATCGTCACGGCCTGATCAAGACCCCCCACATAGATGGTACATTTCAAGCGAGCCTTTTCGCTCATAGTTGACGATTCGCGGTGCAGCTGTGTGAATCTCGGGAGACGGCTGAGTATATTTTCGCAGGAAACCTGGGGCTTGAAGTCGAGAGCTTTGATGAGGCGGGCACGGGCCCAGTAAGTTGAAATTCTTAAGCTTGGATGTCAAGCTTCCTTGCCCGGTCGATCTGGAGAGAGCGCAGACTTTCGGCGGAGAGAGGCTGATATCAATCACGTGCGGTGCCGGGCAGTGTCCCCCCCCCCCCCAAAAGTGGTTAAGCGGGTTGCGGCAGCCCCGAGGAGGACACTTGGTTGATTGCCGTCACGCCTCGAATCGCCAGTCGACTTGGCAACTCTCACCCTGCACACCCAACACCCCTCGGTTTCTCCTGTCTTGTGTCAGAGAGGGGAGGTTCTTCCGAATTTTTTCTTACTTCGAATTCTGCTCCCCTACGCAATCTGGGTATTTGGATTCGAACTACCTCTCGTTCTTCCGCCAACCTCTATTACCCCCCGCCTTCCTCCATTCGTTTGCTGGCCAGAACACCCTCCCCGCAATAGCCAGCTCCGTCGCCTCACAATCTATACCTCCATCTTCCCCTGCCGCTCCTTTCCACTCCCACCATGGTTCGTCTGAGGGAAATCCCCCGGACGGCCACTTTCGCCTGGTCTCCTGGGGCTGCCTCGCCATTGATTGCTACTGGTACTCGCGCTGGCGCTGTGGATGTTGATTTCTCCAATCAAACGTGTCTGGAGCTCTGGGACCTCAATCTGAGCCGCCACGACGCAGGCGGCGAGCTGCAGCCGGTAGCGAAGATTGACACTGACTCCGGGTGCGCTTCCTAGCCTCTCAATGCTTTGAGTATTGAGATGATCACTAACTGGGTTGCTCTCATAGCTTTAACGACCTAGCATGGACAGACTCCGAGGATATCTCCCGCGGAGTCATTGCGGGTGCTCTGGAGAATGGATCCTTGGATCTGTGGGATGCGGACAAACTGCTCAGTGGCTCGAGGTCCGTGCTGCTATCACTACGATCGCGTTGTTACTATTCAATTGGCTGATTTCCGCACAGTGATGCCGTTATCTCGAGGACCAATAAACATTCAGGGGCTATCAAGGCTCTCCAATTCAATCCCAGACACTCCAACTTACTGGCTACCGCCGGTGCCAAGGGCGAGGTACAATGCTCCGATACTTGAGGACAATGGACGCTTTGAACTCACAAAAACTACTAGCTGTACATTTCGGACCTGAACGACATTGCGAACTCCTCGAGACTCGGGGGCACGGCTGCCCGCGCGGATGACATTGAGTGCTTGGATTGGAACAAGAAGGTCGCACACATCCTGGTCACTGGTAGCAGTGCAGGTTTCGTTACCGTCTGGGATGTCAAGACCAAGAAGGAGAGCTTGACGTTGAACAACATGGGCCGGAAAGCAGTCAGCGCTGTGGCCTGGGACCCGGAAAAGGTGAGAATATTATCCTTCTTGGCTGAGGCGTCATTTTTGACCGGTAACAGCCCACGAAACTCGTCACGGCCACGCCACTTGAGTCGGACCCCTTGATCTGTGTCTGGGATCTGCGTAACTCTCATGCCCCGGAAAGAGTGCTTCGTGGCCACGAATCCGGCGTCTTGTCGCTCTCCTGGTGCGCTCAGGACCCCGATCTGCTCCTTTCGTCTGGAAAGGACAACCGCACGCTTTGCTGGAACCCTCAGACCGGTCACGCCTACGGCGAGTTCCCCGTTGTCACAAACTGGACTTTCCAGACGCGCTGGAACCCTCACAACCCCAACTTCTTCGCCACTGCTTCATTCGACGGCAAGATCTCCATTCAGACCATCCAGAACACCAGCACCGAAACTGCACAGGCGATTGCCGACCAGAACCAGGCCCTCGATGGCGAGGACTTCTTCGCCAAGGCCCAGACTCAGCCTCAGGTCTCCAGTTTCTCCTTGCCCAAGGCTCCCAAGTGGTTGGAACGGCCGTGTGGCGCAACCTTTGGTTTCGGAGGCAGAGTCGTCTCCGTCAACCTGGTTGAGAAGGGCCAGCGTGCTTCCAAGATCAAGATCACCCCCTTCGAGGTTGACGAGGCAGTCGGAAAGTCGACCGAAACCTTTGAGAACGCGCTCAAGGAGGGTGATCTGCGCAATATCTGCGAAACTCGGGCTGCCAACGCCACCAGTGAAGAGGAAAAGGCTGACTGGAAGGTCATTGAGGCCTTGATCTCGGCCGACCCCCGTAAGGGTCTGATTGAGTACCTCGGATTCGCGGACCAGGCTGACGAGGCTGCTGATAGCTTGGCCAAACTGGGTTTAAACAAGGAGGATGAGGAAGAGGTTAACGGCGAGGAGCCCAAGGAATCTCGCGGGTCGGGAGGCAAGAAGCATCGTCGCCTCCAATCCGTTTTCGACGCGAGCGGAGACGCGGACAATTTCCTGTCTGACTTGGCTGCATCCAAAGGTGCCAAGACCAACAACCCCTTCCACATCTTTAACGGAGAGGAGACCGAAGCGGACACTGGCATCACCAGGGCGCTGCTCCTTGGCGACTTCGAGAAGGCCCTTGATGTCGCACTCAAGGAGGATCGTCTCTCCGATGCGTTCATGATTGCGATCTGCGGAGGCCCGAAATGCATCGAGAAGGCTCAGGAGCACTACTTCTCCAAGCAGACCAACAGCCCGAACTACGTGCGTTTGCTTGCATCAATTGTGGGCAAGAACCTTTGGGACGTTGTCTACAATGCCGATTTGTCCAATTGGAAGGAGGTTATGGCAGCTCTGTGCACTTTTGCCGACGAGAAAGAGTTTGCAGATCTCTGTGATGCTCTGGGTGACCGCTTGGAGGAGGAGCTCCGCAACTCGGATGACAAGGCTCTTCGCAAGGATGCTTCTTTCTGTTTCTTGGCCGGTTCCAAGTTGGAGAAGGTTGTCGCCATCTGGATTGAGGAGCTGCGTGAGCGTGAGCAGAATGCCATTGAGGCCTCGGCTGATGATACTGCCTTCTCCATCCACGTCCGCGCTCTGCAGAGCCTAATCGAGAAGGTGACCATTTTCCGCCAAGTCACCAAGTTTCAGGATACCGAGCGTACCAAGGAATCGGACTGGAAGCTCAGCACGCTGTACGACAAGTATATTGAATATGCCGACGTTGTCGCTACGCATGGACGGCTGCAGGTCGCGCAGAAGTACCTCGATCTTGTGCCCGAGAAGCACCCCGAAGCCGAAATTGCGAGAAACCGTATCCGCTTGGCAACGAGGCAAGCTGCTCCTCAACGGGCTCAGACAGCAAGCAGCGCAGCCGCCAGACCTAATCTCAACAAGCCTCTTCCTCAGCCTGCTCTGGGCGCATACCAGCCCACGAGAACCTTCTCTCCCGTGGCGCCTGCTACTGCTCCCAGCCCTTATGCTCCGGCTGCTCCTGCTGCTGCTCCCTCGAATCCGTATGCTCCACCCACTGCTGCGGCTGCTAACCCGTATGCTCCCCCGGCTGTTGCGCCAGTCAACCCATACGCTCCCTCGACTGCCGTGGCATCGGCCCAGCCCACGAATCCATATGCTCCTCCTACCCCGGGCAGTGGCTACAATCCCGCCGGATATAAACCACCACAGGCTCCTACCTATGGTGCTCAGCCTCTAGGCGGAGGTGTGCCCCCGCCTCCGCGCGCGACCAACCAACCTCCGGCCAACACCATTACCACGTACACCACAGCAACCAATCTGCCTGCGTGGAATGATCTGCCTGAGGGATTTGCCAAAGCGCCCACACCCCGTCGTTCTACGCCTGCCACGGCTGCTGCCGCGCCTATCAGCGCTCCGTTCCCGAATCAGTCGCCTACCCTTGCGCAAGGTCCTCCTCCTCCAGTTGGAGCCCCTGTCGGCCGGACGCCGTCCGTTCCCCCTCCGCCGAAGGGCGCCGCCCCTCCTCCTAGAGTGATGTCGCCGCCTTCGGCCGTCCTCACTCCTTCGATGCCTCCTCCTGCAGCCAACCCTTATGCATCACTGCCTCAGTCTCCGCCCTCGGCCATGGGTGTGCCAGCTTCTATCCCCCGAGGACCTTCACCTTACAACGCTCCTCCTACAATGCCGCCGCCTACTAACCGGTACGCCCCGAGCCCCGCTGCTCAAGCCGCCAGCCCCCAGCTTCAAACGCGGGCGCCTGTTCCTCCTCCGCCGCAGGCCGCAGCCTCCCCATATGCCCCTCAGCCCGCCCTGCAATCCTTGGTAGGAAACCAGTACGCTCCTAGTACGCCTCCTTCCAGTGCCCCACCCATGCAACAGCATGCGCCACCTCCGCCTCCGGCCGCGGGATCCCGACCCAGCACCGCATCTTCGCAGAAGAAGCACGTGCCGGCCGCGCCCAAGTACCGTAAGTATATCAGGTCCCTGCGGAATTGAAGACAAGTGCTAACAAAACCAGCCCCCGGTGACCGGTCTCACATCCCTGCCGACGCCTTGCCTGTGTACGAGATCCTCTCGGCCGACATGCAACGGGTGAAATCGCGGGCCCCATCCTCGTTCAAGGCGCAGGTTGACGATGCGGAACGCCGACTGAACCTCCTGTTCGATCACCTCAACAACGAGGACCTGCTCACGCCTAGCACGGTAGCGGACATGGTACAGTTGGCTCACGCCATTCAAGCGCGCGACTATGAGACCGCGCGCGCTATTCACGTGAACATCATGACCAACCGAACGGATGAGTGTGGCAACTGGATGGTAAGTACTTCTGTGGTATGGATCTACAAGGCTGCGCTAACTGAGAAAATAGGTTGGTGTGAAACGTCTGATCAGCATGAGCAAAGCCACGCCGTAAAGGTTGAGTATGTGACGATCATGAATTGTATGTACAAGGCAAAACTTTTATAATTGTTTGACTGTACTGGACGTTTGTCCCCGAAGTCGGTCGAACGGTGGTTGGCCGGCGGTGAGGTATTCTTTCTACTATTCTCGCTGTTAATGTTAGTATTATGTTTATCTCGATGGAAGTAGAGTAGTAGATATGTTTTGTCTTTGCTTAACGAAGTTTGATGTAGACCATAACCTTTTAATTGTGTTTTGCTTCTGTTACATAGTGAAATTGGATGGACATCACATGCACACCAACTTGATATATTTACAGCGTTCTCCCTTCGATACTATCTCTATCCAACCAAAACCTCCGCTAGACATCGCCATACTCAACTACTTACACCCATTCCCCGGGCCTCAACTCGCACTCGGCCGATTGTACCTCCCCAGCGTCGACCCCCCGCCGGCCACAGCCCTTCCAGCAGCGCCTCTGCCCCCGGCCGGGAAATTCCTGGCACTCAACAACGCCCCTTTGACCCCGCGAATCTCCATCCGGAAGTTCGCAATGGCATCTTCCTCCGCCTTGCCCAGCCCCAGCCCACCCTTGCTGCTACCGCTCCCACTACCATTGCCACCATTACCACCGCCACCAGCCGTCCCACCCGTAGCATCCAACCCAGGCGTACTAAACACGCCATACCCCGCCATAGGATTAAACACCCCCGGCTTACTATAGATATACGTATCCAGATAATGGTGCAAATCATTCAATTTTCCGCGCAAAGCGGTATCCATATCCGACGCGGTCTGCTCCGTCTCCGTCATCGCGCGCAGCTGAGCAGTCAAGGCCTGCATTCTCGCAGTATGGCCGCAAGCGGTTTTCACCGGGTCGGCGACCTTTTGCGCCGCTGCGTCAGCTTCTTCTGCTTCAGAGTTGTGTGGTGGCAGGTGGGTGATCAGCGAGGGTTCCGGTGGGGTGCTGGTGGTGCTAGTGGTCTGCACGGCCACGTCCCGGTGGAAGAGTTCCGTGGGGTCGGACGCGATGGATTCTGTATCGGATTCTGGGGCGGGAGGTTGGTGGTGACTGCTGGTGCTGGGTTTGGGGTCTGGGATGGTGGAGACGGTCTGCTCGAGGCGTGCGTTCAGGGTGTGGAGGTTGGTGGTGGCGGTGCGGGCGAGGTCGTGGCGCGCGGCGGTGAGTTGGGCGATCATTGGTTTGATGAGGTATTCACTGGCTGCGTAGAAGGTTGTGGCTAGCCCGGCGGCGCCGTAGAGGGTGTAGAGCGTGCTGCGCAGGGTGATGAGCGGGGGGTTCGGGGTGGGCGTGGTGAGGAATTCTGGGTAGGTGATTATGGGGGCGATGTCGCGGGGTTGCTGGCGGGTTGTTGCGGGTTGGTTGGTGTTTGTGTTGGAGTGGGTGGATGGACTGGATGATGAACTTGTGGTGCTTGCTGGCGGAGAGGATGGTGGTGTTGCGTTGCGGCTGCTGCTGCTGCTGGTAGCAGCAGTTTGGTGGTCATCGTCGCTGCTGTGTTCCTTCCCCGACGTGCTAGGCTCCGCGGAGGATTGATTGAGGAGAACGTCAATCTCATCACTAGACAGACCCTTGGACTCTAGGAAGGTTCTTTTTTGTTCGATGGGCGCTTCACGGATGGAGTCATCCTCGAGGAATTTGGCTGCTTGGTCGAGAAGCTCGGAGCGGGAAGGTTGGCTGTCGGTTGCGATAATGTCTGCTTCGTTGGTACCAGCGCTGCTGCTGTTGCTCTCCGGAGTGGCATTGGACTTTTGCCACTCCGGGATCGAGGACTTTGGCTTGTCTGCCATGATATCAGACCGAAGGGTGTGAGCGGAGGGAGGTAAGGTGCAAATGCAGTGGAAGGAGGAAGTGGTGGGAGAAATGCGGAGTCGGAGAAGGAGTGACAGTCAGTCAGATATACCTCGGCTGTATCAACAGGGTGAGAGTGAGATAAGACACAGGCACCGGCTTCATTGCACAAATATGGACATTAAGTTCTTACTATTTTCTACAAATATCATAATCGCTTATAGCTTGCATCTCCTTTTGAAATCTCCGTAGACTGTCTGAATTAAATGTTCAATAGTCAAGGTGAATAAGGCACTAAGTATTGTTCGTCCAGTTTCTTATTAGAGGCATAATGACGCTCAGGTGCATGATGGGAATGTCATGGATATCATATATGACAAGTCTCAGTTGATGAATCTGCCTCTTCTATCCAACTGTCTTCCAGGATTATGCACATCTAGACATATTCTTTGTTGTACCTGCAACCTCATCATGATGAGAAGTTGTGCCCGCAATCTTCCAAAATGTACTGAATACACCAGGGAACGCCAAGGATACCGACCGCCCGGCACAATTAGGTTCTCTGGCCGCGCAAAGCGAAGATCATTCGATCCTCGCCCTCCATCATCGATGCATGGATGAATGGTTGAATACATAGATTGGATCTCTCCTTTTTGCTGTGAGATTGACAGATTCGATTCGCGCGATCGGCCGTGACAGCCTGCATTTTAGATCATTTCATACCAGCCGCAATACCTGTGGTTGGAACCGGGACGCCTCGTTCTATCCTTGAAGCCGGTGAGTGGATGCTCGAGTCTGTTGTTCCTCGTCGATTTCCACCCATTTATCCCATTCATCCATCCATCCACTGTTTCTGCCCTGTTCCCTTGGCCTCATCTGGGCTTGCTGCATGACCCAATCATAAGTATACATAAGAGATTTCCTTGGATGAAACGCCTCTGTCCCCTCCACCTGGGCCTCCCCTCCAGCCCGGGTCAAGCCTCTCCCCTGGAGCAGGAAACCATCCTTGGGCGATCCGGGGTTGCGCAACAGCAACGGAGTGCAGCGCCGTTTGGGTTCACCGTCTGAGGACAGGGAGGCCGAGAATGCTCCCATTGGCCCAGAGTTCCTGAATCATTTGAATCAAGTGGCTGTTCGATCGCTGTCTGATTGGGGTTGAGGTTCCATGCTCCGTGCCTTGCCGCGTTGCACTTCTTTGCCTCATTGCGTTTCCCTCTTCTGAGTTTAATGAGACAGAAAGAGAGGGAGAGTGGGAGAAAGAGAGAGGGAAGAGAGAGAGGGGGAGAGAGAGGAAAGGGGAAGAAAGAGAGTATTGTGCAGAGATGGAAGAATGCACCAGCGGGAAAGCACGAAGGAAGGACAGATGATGACGACGAAATCGCTGAGATGGAGGAGGAAGTAAATGAGCCTCTGAGAGCACTACAAGAGCAGCAGCAGAAGTCAGAAAGACCTCTCCTTCTGATAGATGGAGCTGCGCTTCATCCCCCTCATTTCTCTCTCACTCTCAATCTACTTCCCTCCACCCTCTCCCCTCCTTCCCCCTCCCCAAAAACCAACTCCTTCATCTTCACTCGCTCATCCTTCGTGATTGTAATATCCGTCTCACATCCCACTTTATCACTTACCCCATATCTTCTCTTGACTCATCGTTCTGCATCCCCGCATCAAAATCCTCGCCGGAGCCTTATTTGCTTTTTTCGGTCTTTTACTTTCGAATACTTGTCCATTTTCTTTCGGTTCATCCATCGTGCAAGTGACGCAGCTCTTGTCTGCCCCGAGTAATCTCTCGCTGGACACTTGAATTATAAATCTCTTCCTCCTGATTTTCGCACTTGCGCATTGCCTTTCACATTGCCTCTAATCCACCATGTCGCTCCGTCGCTCGCTGCGCTCCAACGGGGGACGCACTGATCAAGCAAGCATGATAGATATTAACGACGTTCCTAGGTCTATTAAAAATACCCGTGCTACTGCTGCTGCTGCATCAACCCCCGCTGTAACGGCGCGGTGTGTTCCAACAGACGCAACCGGAGACTCGTCGAGGCGATCAATGCATCTAACAGTTAAGATGCCCGCCAATAAGCTCAAAGAAGTCACCGGAGGGAGCTCCAGAGCGGCGCCTGCTACCCGGCGCTCGGTGAACGTCTTTACGGAGAATCCCATCATCACGGGCCCGCGCAGTAGCCGGCCTAGGAAGAAGCTGGTCGAAGTAGACACCAGTGATGAGGATGATCTCGACGACCAGGAAGAGGACGAGGTCGACGATGAGGATGCCCCTGGTGAAGACGAGGAGGACGAAGACGATGACGAAGATGAAGAGGACGTCGAGGACGAGGAACTCGATGCTGAAGGTGATCTCGACATGGATGATGCCCCGCCGCAACCCCCTATGCCTAAGCGACATATCAAAGCGGCGGCGGCGGCTGCTGCACCCAGTACCAAAGCAGTTAAGAGTGTCGAGGCCAAAGAGATGGAGTTAGACGATGACGATGACGACGATGACGAGGAATTATCGGAGCCTGAGACTGATGCTGAGGGCGAGCCTGACGATCAGGACGAGAGTATGCTAATGACCGGGAATGGAGGAGAGGAGCTAGATGAAGAGGATGAGGACGATGATGATCTCGACAGTGACGGGACCCCAACTGCGGACCTGACTCGCATGACTAAACGCCAACGAGGAAATCTGGGAAATGATTTCCTGCAACTGCCCATGGGTAGGTCTCTCGCATTGATGGTATTTGGTCACGGCTGACCATGAACAGAACCTCAGGTGAAGAAGCACTTGACCGCGGAGGAGCGCGCTATGCGTCGCGCGGAGATGGCTCGTCGACGGAAGAACTTAAGCGAGAAGCGCAACGAAGAAGAGAAGGTATGTTGATTCCGCAACTTCATGCAGCCTCCACGGAGCTTCCTGAGGGAAGATATTGATAATGCTCTAGATGGATACCATCAACAGATTACTGCGCAAGCAAGCCCCCAAGCGCCGGGGACGTATTCCTGCCGCAGAGGCAGCCGAGAATGCATCTGCAGATCAAGAGATCCAGGAAGCCTACCAAAAGCCGGACCCCACGATGGTACGCTGGGTCAGTGGCCGTCACGGGAGCCGCGTGGGCGTGCCGGAAGAGTGGATCGGCACGCCGGCTGCACAAGTCTTTGGCGCTGGACCTGGCAAACTCGTCCAAGAGGTGTAGTGTAGTTTTTGACGGCGCATACTCGGAGCTGGGGCGTTCTGGCGGGCTACAACAGGAAGGACATGTATTCTAAATTGAATGATTTCTTTATGTGAATGTATGATACAATATGGCAGTATACCTGGCAGCTTTCATAGCCCCTGCGAGGGGGTTCTATCTTGAGTGTTCCCCACAGAGGTGTTGGTCTCCGAGTTCCAGGATACGGAAGCAAGCCTGTCCTGTGTATACCACCAGCCAGCAGTGTCCGCCACAAATTATTCCCAAGGACCAAGGCGAGAACTTCTGGGAGACGCTCACCCGCACCGCCCAGCAGCACGCATGGCAAGCCCGTTTGTGCTGCAGCTGAGCTCACCGCGGCGCAGCGCCTCGAGGATAATGACAATGATATTCTCCACGTCCCAACCGACCAACCCGGAACCTCGCCTCATTGTCCCGCCGCTTTCCCATCTTCCAAAGACTTGTCCGTAGCCGCGGGGGGCACCGAATCCTTAAACGTGGAAGCCGCTGGTTTGTTTTGTTGCGACAAAGCCGAAGCATCCTCCCTAAGGTAGAGTCGACGTTAGCACCACGGCTTGAAACAATACAACACTCCTCCCCTCCCCCTCCTCGCCCCAGTATCACACCACCGGACTCCCTCTCCCATTACCCCCAATCCGCAAGAGACCCCCGTACTACCAATATCACAGCAACTGGGTAAGACCTACAATTTCACCACCCCCCCATTCTTCTGATTCTGCAAATCCTTAAAAATAGGTTGCCACACGTAGTACCCTATTCCATTAATCGAGTTGTATCAGTCAGTCAGATTTCAGATCTGGACGCGAACTGTTTCCCAGCCCACTCGCGCGCATTGTTCTTTAATGTGGCATGCATGCGCTTTCAGTGCTGCTTTGTTTTTTTTTTTTTTCCTTGTCTCCGGGGAATTGCTTTTTGGGAGAAAATCGTACCGCTGCAGATTCCTGCGCCGATGGCCAGGACGACGGGGACGAAGTTGCGGCTCATTCTTGCGTCTGTGTCTGGGGTGTTTTGTTTGCCTCTTTGGGTGAGGAGGTGGTTGGGTTGCGGGGGGGTAGGCAGCGTGGATCTGATGTACAGTACTCGCTATTCAGTAAGTAGCAATCGGAGTAGATAAGTTAAGAGCTTCGGGGAGCGGAGGTGCTTATCGGATGGCGGCGAGGTGGGGCAGAATGATGATTCTGGGTCGCGTCACGTGGGCGAGGATCTATATCCACTTACACAGGCTATGGCTACTACTACTGATTGTGATGATATTGACGGTGATGACCAGGAAGAGAAAGGAAGGAGAGAGACAGATTGGGATGCACCACCCATCATTGGAAAGAACCAGAGCGCAACGCAAATCTCGTAATCATCATTAAAGCCTGACCTGCTATCTATCATACTATTTTGCCAAGGGAAAAATGGTTCAAATGCAACATGATGGACTTTTTGGGGAAAGAAAGAGGATATGCTGAGTGGTCTCACTGGGAGACGCGAGGGCCCAGCAAGCAAAGAAGAAACATGTCACCAGTCACGTTCATAGGAACCAGAGGGACAAGAAAAAGCAAAAAAAAAAAAGGTTCGGTGGTATCATAGATATTCTATATCGTGCACACTCTCTCGTTCGGATTCCCTGGGCTATCCTAGCCATGTCATCCAGCAACACCCGAAGAGCCCTGACAGCAGGCGGCTTAGTAAACCACCTCCTCCAAAGTTCTCGCCTTGCGCGGGAACACCCGCTTGTACAGACTGATACCGATGGAATCCTGGGGATTGATCTTGGCATCGAAGGTGGCCTTGAAGTAACCGTGCGTACCGAGGGACTCCTTGATGAAACCGCTGCGGCCGCGGCGGGTCCACAGCTGCATCGCCTTGAACCACTGGATGTCCTCGGCATTGAAGAACATGTACCGCACGGTGACGACACGCTTGTGGATCTTGTACGGGTGACCTGTGAGGATGGCGCGCTTGGCAACGACGCGGTTTTGGTCGGGGGCGATGACGGTGCCGTTGCCGATGAGCTCGAGGCGGTCGACGCTGGGCGTCTCCTCCTCGGCATCCGCCATCTCCTCGGGATCCTCGGCGGGCTTCTTGCTCTTGAAGACGAGCACGGGCACGGCGCCCCAGGTGAGGGGACCGATCCAGGTGGCGACGGCGCTGCGGCCGGGGTGCAGGAAGCGGTCGTACTTGTGGACATTGTTGGGGGTGTTGTCGCCCGCGGAGAAGATGGGGTTGATCACCATGCGGCGAGGGCCGTACTGGACAATCAGCTCTTCCTTGGACTTGAGGGGCTCCTCAACGCTCGAGTTGAGGTGCATGTTGATGTTGACCACAGTGTGCTTGTGTTCGTGGCGCAGCAGCGAGAACAGAGAGATGGGTTGAGGGCGGCTGCGTAGAGTGGCGGGCACGGCACGCAAGTGAACATCCACCCGCACGCCAGGGTTGACACCGCCGACGAGAGCTTCACGGAGGAACTTGTTCCTGGCACCCTTGTAGTCGGTGAATTGGAGGAGTCGGCGCCAGTCCTCAGGCTCGTGCGCGCGGTCCTCAGAAGTCTCCCAGGGACTGGTCTTGAAGTTCTTGAGGCCACGGAAGCGAGCCAAACGCTCCCGGGCGAGAACATTGGGGTGCAGTTCAATCTCGTCAGGGAACTCCAGGTCCTCCTTGGCCTCGTTGCGGCGGCTGGCCCGGTACTCCTCCAGCTGCCGGGCGTCATCCTCGGGCGATTGATCAACGAACATCTCGGACTGGGGATATTCGGAGGGGCCAGCCTCCGTCATAGCATCCCCGTGGTCTGGGAACACACCGTCCTCAGGGGCGCCGGCGGTGTCCATCGTATCGTCACCCATAGCAACGTCCTCCTCATCCTCCCAGTCAGATCCAGAGTCGGAGATGTTATCCAAGAACCAAGCAGACTGGTACTTGGAGGTTCCCTTGGGCAATCTCTTGGGCTTGGGCAGGCTGGCTTCCTCATCCTCGGAGAAGTAGTGATGGTCGTCCAGGAGGACACCCTTCCGCTCCTCTCCAGCGAAGGAGTACTCATCGTCCTCCATCTCAATTTCCTCGGGCGCGACAGTGGCCAGATCATCGTGATCAGCCGTGGGCGAGTCCAACAGCTGTGGAGCCTCGCTGTCATCGACATTCATCGCATCGTCCCGCTTGTTTCGCGTGGTGGCAAGAGGAGCCGCTGTGATGGAATCGACCTGGAAGTCGCCCCAGCCGGGGATGTGTACGAGACGATCCGCCTTCAAGCCCTTTCCACGCACCACACCAGTCACGACCACGTCGTCCACAGCCTCAGCATTGCTCTCGGGCCACTGCACATTCTCAATAAGCATCCAGCTGCGCTCGTCACGCCAGCGGATACCCTTGGGAGCTGCCGTGCACAAGGAGCGAACGGCATTGGAGCATTCCTGACGGGAGTCCACGGAAAGGACTTTTTCGATGGCGGGAAAGAAGTGGCTGGCGAAGGACTTCAGGGATGCCGCAACCTGGGGACGCTTCTTCGGTGGGTTGATCTTATCGAGGCCCTATTGAAGTACATGATTAGTAAAAAGGAGCCGTACACCACTGTAACGGCAATCGACGGAACACACACCTGGACCACAGCAACAACGTTAGAGATACCCTGGCCCTCGATCGATCTCAGCAGCAACTCTCCCTCTTCCTCCACCTCGACCTGGGCGGAAAGCGCCAGCACCACGAAATCGGCCATCCGACACGCATCCAGCGCGCTCATGAGGTCGTACTTGGCCGGAATGTACTGCAAGCTCTGGCGGAACCGCTCCACGCGCACACGGGAGATCTGATCGGCGGAGACATCAACGGTAACATCGACACTTTCGTTGAGGGCCCGGATGACGGCCGCGACATCAATATCGACGGAGAGCGGAACAATGGCGACATGGCGGGGGGCACCGTTCTGACCGGAAAAGATGCTGGTCGACTGAGCCTTCTCCTGCTGCTTCAGCTGCTGCTTCTGGCGAGCCTGGTTTCGCCGATCGAGTTTCGACATGAGTTGTTGGTGAGGGGTCTTGCGGGTGCCCCGCTCGGGCCTTTCGACCTTGCCTGGAAATCTATTTAGCGACCTAATGTAGTGTGATAGGCGCGACGAGACATGGAAGGCGTTCAACGTACCCTTCTCCTTATCTTTTAGAGCGCTCTTGGACGCATGGCGGGTCTTGTATGGCTTGTTGGAGGATTTGGTGGTGGAACGGTGGTGGTGTTGCACCGCTTGAGTGGGCGCCATGTTGGCACCGCTGGGCGCTTTGAACCGAAAGGGAAGAGAGGCCAGCGTGGAAAACGCAGAGAGACCTGAGTCTGCAAAATGCGATCTCCGACAGTAAACAGCAAAAAAGAGCCTGAGGTTGACACTCAATCCAATCGGAGCAGTTGTTGACTTTGTCTGGGGAAGAGGGAAGAAAAAAATAAGGCGGTGGAGGCACAAGCGAGGGGACCGACCGGCAGAAAAAGAAAAGTTCGGCTCGGATTTTACCCAAATACAGCCGTGAGAGGGTAGTGGTTCTTGTGCCAAATCTCGACAGTTAAGAGAAATTCATCCTCCGAGCAACGCCCCTTGCAGTCCTCCTGCGATCACCAAAAAACCGCCCACCATGTCGGAATCTACACCGACAAAGGCCGTTGCGCCGACGGCCGCCAACAAGAACAAAAAGAAGGAAGACCAACGAGTGATCGAAGCGCAAAAGACCTACGGCCGTGGCAAAGGCATTCACACCAATAAAGTGCGGGACAGGAAGCTGCGCAGCGAACTGAGGGCTGTCGAAGCCAAGTTCAAGGAGGCCGCTCTCAAAGCCAAGGATGCGGAGATCTTGCTGGAGCACGAAGCCGGTTTCATCGAGACGGAGGGCGAGTTGGAACGGACGTACAAGGTTCGCCAGGCGGACATCCGTGATAATGTGGGCATCGAAACGGCCAAGAAGGGATTTGAGCTTAAGTTGACTGAGCTGGGCCCCTACCGGTGCGATTACACGAGGAACGGCCGTGAGCTGCTACTGGCGGGTCGCAAGGGTCATGTTGCGACAATGGACTGGCGGAATGGCAAGCTGGGCTGCGAGTTGCAGTTGAACGAAACGGTGCGCGATGCCCGGTGGCTGCACAACAACCAGTATTTTGCGGTGGCGCAAAAAAGATCCGTCTACATCTACGACCACGCCGGTGTGGAGCTGCATTGCCTCAACAAGCACCTCGAACCGCTCTTCCTCGAATTCTTGCCCTACCACTTCCTTCTCGCTAGCGCGGTAAGTATCTGAGGCTTTCCATAACCTTTTCCCGACTAATGTCGCAATCAACAGCAAATGAGCGGTCATCTCAAGTACACCGACACCTCGACCGGTCAGATGGTGGCTGAGCTTCCCACTCGCATGGGTGCGCCGACCTCCCTCGCTCAGAACCCCTGGAACGCCATCCTGCACGTCGGCCACCAGAACGGAAGTGTGACACTGTGGTCTCCAAACTCGCAAACCGCATTAGTGAAGGCACTTGTACACCGCGGTCCGGTGCGCTCAATGGCCATCGACCGCCAGGGCCGGTATATGGTATCGACGGGTCAAGACCAGAAGATGAACGTGTGGGATATCCGAATGTTCCGGGAGGTGCACTCGTACTCGTGCTACCAGCCGGGCGCGTCCGTGGCGATCAGTGACCGCAACCTGACCGCTGTTGGCTGGGGCACCCAGGTCAGCGTGTGGCGCGGTTTGTTTGACGCGGCGCAGGCCGACCAGGGCAAGGTGCAGAGCCCCTACATGGCGTGGGGCGGCGACGGCCAGCGCATCGAGAACATGCGCTGGTGCCCCTTCGAGGATGTTCTTGGAGTCAGCCACGACCAGGGCTTCGCCAGCATCATCGTCCCCGGCGCGGGCGAGCCCAACTTCGACGCCCTGGAGGCAAACCCGTACGAGAACGTCAAGCAGCGGCAGGAGGCGGAGGTGCGCGGCCTGCTCAACAAGCTGCAGCCGGATATGATTTCGCTGGACCCCAACTTTGTCGGAAAACTGGACACGATCCGCGACCAGAAGAACCGCGAGGAGCGCGACCTCGACCGCAAGCCCGAGGACCCGATGGAGAAACTCAAGAACCGCGGCCGCGGCCGCAACAGCGCATTGCGCAAGTACCTCCGGAAAAAGGGCCGCCGCAATGTCATCGACGAGAAGCGTGTCAAGGCGGAGCTGCTGCACAAGGAGCGCACTGCGCGGGCCAAGGACAAGTTGCGTGCCGAGCGGCAGGAGCTGGGGCCTGCTCTGGCTCGCTTCGCGAAGAAGGATATGTAAAGACACGTTGCTTTGTCTCCTTGGTTTGTATTTTCATTTTTCTCACTTGGGGCTTGTGGGTGTTCATCCTGCGATTTTGGAGCTCTCAGATACCCTGGTGGTTGGAGCGCTGGCTTCCATCGCTGTTGTATTTTTCTTTTGACATTTCATGAACTGCATATTCCCGGCGTTGAGGGTTAGCGGAGTGAAGAGAGAAAAAAAAAAGTTATAAATCTTGTATATCCAATTAAAAGAAATGTGCAAATGGACAATCATAGATATCAACGAAGCGGTTTCAATCATTCCTTATCCGAGACCCCAAGTTCTACATGCTTCTCCTCGAGCCTGAAATCTCACAAACAGTCCCCAAGAGATCAAGCATCAACACTCCCCGACCCTCTGGGCCCGCCAGCCTTCCACCTGCTCAAACACTCCTCATAAGCACCACAGCTCTTCCAGGCACTCAAGATCAACCCCACGATATGCTCCATCCCCTTCCCATTCTTCACCTCGGCCAGGACCGTGGGGCCACCCTCACGCATGCGCGCCGCATCGCGCTCCATGACGCCCAGGTCCGCGCCCACGATCTCCGCGAGATCCGTCTTGTTGATCACCAGCAGGTCACTGCCCGTGATGCCGGGGCCACCCTTGCGGGGCACCTTGTCGCCGCCGGCGACATCGATCACGTAGATGATGAAATCGGCCAGCTCGCGCGAGTAGTTGGCAGCCAGGTTGTCGCCTCCGGACTCAATCAAGAGCAGATCGGTCTGGAACTGCTTGTGCAGGGACTGCAGGGCCAGCAGGTTGGCGCTGATGTCCTCGCGGACGGCGGCGTGCGGGCAGCCGCCCGTCTCGATGGCACGGATGCGATTAGGCGCTAGGGCCTTGTGGCGGGTGAGGAACTCGGCATCTTCTCTGTATTTGGGGGGAAAGGTTGCAAGCAAAGATTAGTTTGTGATCGGTCAATTCAGAGGGATGTCGCAGGGTCGAATGAAAGGAAGAAAATGAGTGTTGTGGCAGGGACAGATGGGTTACCTCGTAAAGATATCATTGGTCACGGCTGCGATGTTATATTCGTCTCTTAGGGCATGGCAGAGCGCAAGCATGAGAGCAGTCTTGCCGGATCCCACGGGCCTAGATGATCATATGAGCCATGACTAAGTGATCCAATAGATAGAAGATGGTGGTCGTACCCTCCAATTCCAATAGTGAAGGCACGGTCTCTCCAATCCCGAGACTCGGACAAGGGCATCTCGCGGTGGAGATAGGATCCGGGACCATCGAGGATCTCATGCGAGTGGCCGTGGCCGCCGTTGACATCGTCATGGGAGTGGCCGACGCCAGTGTCGTGGGAGTGGGAGTGAGACATGGTGTGATGGCTTGGGTTCAATAGCCCCAGATGAATATACTGGAGAAGGGAAAAGGAAGGGGAAAAAGAAGTAGAGAAAGATAATTGTACTGTGAAAAGGAAGGTATACCTACTGGAGTAAGGTATGGCGGGGCGGTGGAGGGGCAATTCCCGGAGATGGCAGTGGACGGCGACTGCCGATGTCCCTTCCCGATTGGCGCCAGCTCCGACTACAGGCACTGGAATGTTTTGCTGAGAGGCTTTCGTGAGGGCGACACGTGACTGCTCCTTCTATGCTCCTGCACACTAAGGGATCCCAGATTTCTGGAGTAGCTTCTACTTTGACTAAGACTGGCCGACACGTGACCAGTACTAGGCCTCTAAACTATATATAAACTAAAACCCACGCGTATAAGATAACAACCCATTACTTTTGTATCAAGTGTACTACAATGTATCAGAATATCTAACGGACCCTTCTTTGTAGCAAAGAATACAGAGTATGATCTAATGTTCTAGACTACAGCTTCGCTTCTTCCGGCCCTCTCGCCGGCCCTCTCGCGGGAGAAGAGGCTGGTATAGTCAGAGGTCTATCAGCAAAAATAGCCAAGCACTGCATGCAGACCTTATTTACGGAGAAAGAAAGGTGTAGAGAATGAGATGGCTTGCAGAAGAGGAACTGTCTTTGAATGGTAGTAGCTATGTGATTTCGGGTAAATCCACGCCCTATCATGAGGTCGGTCCATGATCTCTTCCAATGAAGGCGGAAGTGGCCAGAAAGTTGCACGAAGGAAGAAATGGACTGAAAGTGGCCTTTTTGGCCTTACTTTTTGAATGGAGGCAGATTAAACGACTCTTGTGCCGCCATGCTCACAGCACTCGATGATACACATTTCCCCCACCGGCCTGTTATCTTTATTTCTAACCCGGTGGGAGCACATATACATCAAAAAGCAGCAGAATAAGATAAAAGAAAGATGAAAAAGAGAAAAACTTACACCGGAATAGAGCAAGATCCGCTTGCCTCTCAAAATCGAGCGAGGGGTGAGAGAGTAATCCGTCTTGAAGTATATCACCTTCCACCCCGCCAGCAAAGCCACCAAAAGCCTTGAACGTCGATTCCCCGTCAAGTGCTGATTCCCACTGACGGTTGATCGGTGTAAGGCGGCGGGGGGTCGGCGGCCTTCATGAATACCTCGTATCGGATCTGGCGAAGGTCTTGCTGTGCAGTTTCGAAGGTCACTCGCGCTTCTTCCACCTGGGCCTGCATGTCTGTCTCACGAGACTGAATCCGCCGTACTTGGGCTGCCAGGGCCTCCTCCGCGCGGTTCACCTCCAGGACAGATTGTTGCATCAGATCTAAGAAGTTGAGGTGGAATAAGAAAGTATCGCAGAGCATTCCCCCAATCCAGTCTCGTTGAACCAAACTCATGGCCGGGAGTGGCTGCACGTTCGAGTCCAGCCGCGTCGCCTGCGCCACCAGCATCTGCGTCTGGCTAACCTTCTGCTGTGCGCGGGACAGACAGTTCTTTTGCCGCCAGTCGATCAAAGTTCCTCCGAATCCCCAGAGATCCCTCTCCGACTGACGCAGACTCTCGACCAGATGGAACATCGCCTCCCGGATCGTTAGCTGCGCTCGCGCCAGACACTGCGCCGCCTGGCGAACATCACTCCACCGCTGCCTCCGCTGCCCATACTCCCGCCGTGCCAACCGAGTGACCTCTTCCTGCGCATCCTCCTCCGGGAAATCCTCCGTCCGCCCCTCGAAAATCGTGCGATAGATGGCGTCGAGCTCCTCATGCAGCCTGCCGCGCGCCGCACATGCGGCTTCGAGTTCGTGCTCCTTCGTCACCGCATCCACGACCTGTGCCTCGAGCATCTCCCGCTGCGCCTGCGCGCGATTCTCCTTGGCCAGCGCGGCGTAATAGTCGCGCATCTCCTGGTCGGCCTTGGCCTCGAAATCCCCCCGCTTGCCCGTCGCGCGGTAAAGCAGGCGACGCACCGTGCTGTCGCGGTATTTCTCGTGCAGCGCACGCTCCACCTGGGTGATCTGCCGGAGTTGTTCCAGCTGCTGGTTGGTCTCAGCCAGCGCGCGGCGGAGGTCCGACAGGTAGGATTTGTGCGACTGTAGCGTTTCCGGGCTGCTCTCGACGGCGGCGAGGGCGGTCTGGATCTCGCCGTGCCGCTCCTTGCTGGTTGCAATTGTGGTGTAGATGGACATCGTCTGTTGTTGCAGTGTAGTTTATTATGGCTGGTATCTGCATAACGCGCTTGAAGTGGAGGAGGAGTTGAGGTCATTTTCCTGGTCTAAGTTCTCACTGGGAGCCTCAAGGGTCGGTCTTCGCCACCCTGTGGTAGATGACGGCATCATGCAGTAATGGTCTATATTAGTTCCAGGAAATTTTAGCCTAGGAACAAGTCTAGGTAGCTCTCCTTATACTCGTTGTATACCATCCTCCACGGTGGGGTGTGGCGGCCCGCCCCGGTGCGGCAATCCTACGCTTGTTATCCCCGCGATTCAGAAATCACAGACTCAATAACAAGGATTTTTCATGCGTGAAATGATTTGGCCATTTTGTCCAGAGACAAGCTTGAAAACGGGTGTCAGAAGTTCTCCTCTCCACCTACTAGGATCCCCTACGCACGATCGGCTATACTTTGAAAAGATTACTTTATGTTCTGTGGGTGTGTGCAGAGAACTTGTTGTAACTGACTTAACATAGAATACCGCCTGTGTAGTCCTCTTTTATCTTTATTATACTAACACTATTTACCAAATACGGCTGACTGCAGGATTAAGATTTCTTTGTTTGTAAGCTACAGCTTTGAGGGTACATCAGTTAAAGGACAAAGTTTTAGACTTGTCAGAGCCACAAAATACTGTGGTAGGTTTAGAGGTGTTGGTCGGCTTGAGAAACCTAAAGAGGGAAATTCTTTCATTATTAGTAGATATCAAGAGTTATTCCCGGAGACCTACAAGAAGTTCCTGGGGGAGAGTGGATTATGCTCAGAAGTGCTGACTGGGAGAGTTGAAACTGGAATAGCGAGAAGGTGTAATTACTATATAAGTTATTCCCCCAAGAAACAGGAAGCGATGATCACTCTTTTTGCAATATGTAGTAATTCGAAGATAATTCTGAACACCGACTAGGACTAAGCGGACTGTTTTTACCGGGGAAAAGAACTTTTGTTTTGACGACGGGGTTCTATATTTGTAAGTAATGGATGTGGCTTGATTACAGTTCTTTATTTCTGTTCAGAGGGTAATGTTGAATCAAGGAGGGGATCACGAGAAGAGAAGGTTACCTCTGTTACATCGTTAAACAAGTGAGATCTTGGTTAGTATATTCGGTGAGCAGTGTTCCTCCAATTTGAATCTGAATCTATTCAAGTTCTGCTTGAATATATACTCTGGACAGACTCGGACATACTATCACAATTCTGCTCAGCAAACTACAGAGTACAAGTACTCAACCTGGCTATCTCTAAGCATCTTTCTGTTCAACTGTCTTACAATCAGCTATACTAGCAATAAGGGTTGATATAATGCCAGACTAAACACCAAAAGGGGCCTAGCCGACCCTGCCTGATAAAGTCCATAATACCAGTCAGATCTGCGGGAGGCTTCACGTTTTCATCCCACCTCACCCAGTTTCATTTCATTTGCATCTCAATCAACAGAACACCCTCCCCCCTTTCTTTCTCCATCATGCACGATGATCATCCGCCTCCTACCGACAAAGGCGACCAGCCCACCATTATCACCTTCGACAATAGCGGCGACGGCCCGCTCCGAGTACCCGGTTTTGGCACTATTCCTCTGACATACGAGCTCCCATCCGACGCGCGCTTTGCCCACGGCATCCAAGAGTGGCGACAGGCGCCCGCCGTCACCGCCCGGGAGCTGGCCGTGGACAACCGCCATGAACCGTCTGACCGACCGCCCGGACTGGCATGTCGATGTCTTCGATGATGGGGTCGTGGCGCGCTGGTGACAAGACAGCATCGATTGAGTATCATCGACCCGACCTTGTTTCCGCTGGTCTATGGGCGGAGCCTGGTCTTGGCGGATGGGGTTCGAGTGGAGATAGGGGATGTGTGGGGTGCGTACCAGGGAGGAGCGACTACCCTTGCGCCTACTCATGTGGATAAGAAAACCGATGCGGCGGATGTTCAGAGGCAGATTGAGGAGGCCCGGAATGTGCATGCCGATAATGAAACAGCGCCTCACTATCGGTGGAGCGCGAATTATCAGGCTCTACCGTGTGAGTGGAGTTCATCGGCGAGGCAGGGTCAACGCAGGTGCGCCTCACATCGTACATCAACAAACTACACCCGATGCACAAGCACCTCTACCGGGCAATCGAGACGCTGACGAGCCGGGCGATTTCATTGTGGAACGACTGTCTGGTGCAGGGACAGTGCGGCTGGAAGGATTACCTGAACCAAGGCCAGCTGGGGCCGGTCCCGCTCCGGATCATCACGTATGGAGTCGACTGGGAGAAATGAGCTTCCCGAATAGCTGCTCGCCTTGCGGGTCCCAGGGCCAGGAAGGAAGAGGATGTACCGCAAAGCGCGAGAAGCGCTTCTGGACAGTGCGGAAGATAACACGGACGAGGGTCGCAAAAGACACCGAGAGGCGCAAGATCGGCTGGACTGCTATCCAGACGTGGAGGAAAACGAAGAAAAGGAGTTGCCGCTCCCCCGAGTCAGACCTCTGGCAACGCGCGAAGGAGTATCTCGAGCTCCCTGAGGACGGGTCTGACACTCCCGTTCCTGCCACGGACGACTGGCAGCAAGACACGTGGGGGAAGATCCAAGGCAATCTCAAGCGGCTGCTGCGTTTCTGTCACCCAGAGCCAGGGACCGCATTTTCTTACGAAAAGAGGAAGACGGGGCGCCACAACGAGAGAGCTGTGGTGGATCTAGTCCGCGAGAGGAAGGACTGGCACAATATTCCCTACGAGCCGCTCACACCCTCCCCCCCCTCAACAGACCCTATACAATTCGACTCCAGGAGACCTTCCGTTTGCAGGGACTACAAATCATTGTCAACATGGAGAACATCGAGCTTACCCCTGACAGTCGGGACTACAAAGGAACAGACTGGCACATGGAAGGCCAGCTCAACGAGCACATTGTTGCTGTTGCCGTGTTTGCATACGATATCGACAATATTACTGAACCCCGAATCGCCTTCTGTCAGAATACTAAGCTAGATGAAAGCTTCTATCAATATAGGGAGTACAAAGAGCAAGGGCGAAAGTGGCAGTGGCATCCCCGATTGCTGCCCGCCCGGAGATATGGGAAAAACACCCACTCGGATTTGAATGAACTGGCACAGATCTTAGGATTTTCAAGCTTCGACCTTGATACCGATAATCACACAGCAAGGACATGGCAGGATAAAGGTGCAGTTTCGCTCGCGCAGGGGCGTTGATCGCATTTCCCAACCTTCTCGAGCACCGCGTCGAGCCCTTCTCCCTGGCCGACGCCCGGGGCATTATCGTTCCATCACATTGCATCTGGTTGACCCGCACTATCGCATCAGCTCCACCCGTAATGTGCCGCCGCAGCAGCATCACTGGTGGGCACAAGCGGTCGGTGAGACCCTGCGGGCTGCTGCCCGACTTCCCCAGGAGATTATTGACAAGATCATGCAAAACACCGGCAGCTGGCCTATGGGCTTGCCAGAAGCGCGACGGCACCGCCACGCGTTTTGGCAAGAGCATCGCTGGAATAACCTGGTCAGGTTGGATAGGATGGACCATCCGTACTTCAATTGTTGAATGTACGGTATGTCATCGGAGGCCCTAGAAGGTCTGGCGGGAGCCAAAGAGGAGAATTTGTCTAACAAGCATAAATCTAGAACTCGGCACCAGTAACAGTTACATGGTGATGGAGGTTGCCAGTGCCTTGACGATATTCAAAGTGATTGTGGTCCGAGACCTCTCCGGCGAGAATATCATGCTCGTAGGTTAACTGCCAGGGTCTCGGGCCACTTGAACCCGTGCGCGGTGACCTAAACCCAGTCATCAAACGTTGCCTCCCCAAGGCGGGCTTTTCTCCGTGCCCGTCCTCATGCTGCAGCAGGCCATCGCCTCAATGGCCAGCGTCAAGGCCATCGGCGAGAAGCAGGCTAAGGAGGACAAGATCAAGCTCGTCCTGGAGATCCTGGGCATCGCCTTCGCCTTCCTCCCCTTCCTGGACGACCTCACCCACGAGCTGGAGCTGCTCGACGGCGCCTTCGAGACCGTCGCCCCCAAACCGGCAACGTCGCCCTGGGCATCCAGAGCATTGTCTTCGACCCCGCCTCCGACCCCGCCTCCGCCCCCATGGTGCTCCTGGGTCTCATTGGGGCGGGGGGCCTGCGCGACGCGGACGACTTCTCGGCCGCGGCCGCCGCGCGTCGCGCCGTGACAGAGGACGAGATGGAGAGCATCGATAAGGATTTTAGGGCCGAGCAGGACAAGGTTTGACGGTATCACGGAGCCGAAATGCCGTGTTAAGTGGAATGGATGGTCGGGTTACTGAGAGCGCAGCTTGCCGCGAGGAATTGGGATGGTGGCGGTATGTCGGGCTATTCATCTAGTAATAGCTTGTGTGTTGAAATATAACAATACAAAGTAGATCAATGCAAGCGGGACTCTGTTCAGGAAGCTATCTGTTACAGAGTAGTTACGTCGACCTGCAGGCCCATTATAGACCGGAGACATATAGGCCAAGTGAATAAAACGAAACCCACCCCGATAATGATTCTAACCATACTGGATACTTAAAACGACCTTCTCGCCCCATATCTCGTCGCGCTACAATCGCACGGGCAATCAGGATGATCTTGAATCCTGCCTCGCCTTCCCTTTCCACTGCTGCTGGCATGAAGCCCTCTAGACCAGCAGAAATTACTGTTCCCCTCCTTCCCTTGGTCCGTGGGCATGCTCTCAAATGCGAGTATCAGAAGCATGCTCTTTAAACCCCTATCCATATACAAATAATCACTGAGTTGAAGTAAAAGTGCTCCCTCTAAGCTCGAGAAATGCCTTGTTAACATTTGTCAACAACCGGGCTATGAGAAGTTTCTCTTGGAGCCAGTGATTAAGAAACTCACTGCTCAAACGCAGGTGGCGACAGGAGTTTTCAACATAGGAAATGTAGTAGACAAATAAATTTATCGGTTATAATTATTTCTGGGTATTCAACCTGCACATACGACCACAGGGTGTGGAAAATAGGGCTTCCCGTCCGCTCAGCCGTCCTCAAGCCACACGCCGGGAGGTTAGTAGTTGGGTGGGTGACCACCAGCGAATCCCTTCTGTTGTATGTTTTTCTTTTCATTTTATGACTTGTATCAATCAATATTCCCTCACAAGTCGCATATGCTGTAATCTTTGAAGTAGTTGTCACTAAATAAGGTCTGTTTTCTTAATCTTTGCTTGTCTTTCTTGAGCCATGCACAGGCAATAGGTAGATCCTCGATGCGTCCTCTTGTGAATCAACGTCCATGCTTAAATAGGCACCATAGTCAGTGCAGCGGCATACCACCGCAAATACCTTCCGCTTAGTTCGGAGAAATTCGCCAACAAGAGCAAGGTGATATAACGCACCAGAATCTACCAATCGGTATCATAAATAGACAAGTTTGAATACCTCTGGTACCGTCAAACATTACAAGATTTAAAAAAAGTAGTAGATAGAAGTATAGATCTTAACGGACACGCCAGCAAGACAAAAGGAAACATATATTATTAGTAGTATATATTTTATTTAGATTATAGAATTAAATCGTATAAACTCAGACAAGCACCCAGGGTAATGATCACTTCTCTAGTATTTACTTCTAGAGTAATCTGGGATTGCTCGGGGATTGCTCAGGACACGCACTTTTGTGCTCCTCCCACGCTCTGGGCCGCTCAGGGAGCAAAAAGCGGCGCCGAGTTCGACCTAAAGCGGAGGGGGAAAGTCGTTCGATTTCCGCAGCAATCCAGTTCGTTAGTTGTACCTTAACCTTGTAGTACTTGACTTATCCGTATGGATTCCCTCATTCCTGTGTATGAAATGATTGGATGAAGTGCTCTCTTACACAGAAATGCAGCAACGCAGCTATCAAAACATTATCTTCCCAAGAAAAGCCATGACGCCTGAAAAGCAAATAACGATAAGAGGAACAGGAAAAGTCAAGATCACGTCAATCGCCCAGGTAAGGTGGATATCAAATAATAGCAGCTTCACGAGCACAACATTCACTGCAACGACGTTCATACACACGTCAACTCCTCATGAAACGCTGGGAAGATGGAAGGAAATGGATCAAAAGAGAGCAAAACCAAAAGGAAATAGAAAAAGATGACCTTCCGGAAAATGATCGGGTCTAGATGCAATGTCATCTGGTCCCATCACAGGCAAAAGACTCAAGAGACACCTCGTCAATCAAGCCTGTCGACTTTCTATTGGAATTGAACCAGTTCATATCGACCCGATCTCCGCAAAAAAACAATGACAGCAACGACCAACCAAATCCAGTACGTATGTTCAATGGCCAAGGAAATGACAAAACACCCGCAGATGAGAAAGAAAGCATTGGAAAAGACAAGCCTCGCACAGTATCCTCAAGGTACGCCGGTTCCCCGCCTAGTGAGACTGCAATGATATGAGATAACAAACGATGAAAAGCATTCCAACCCACAATTATTCTAAGATTGAGCGCCCCCCTTTTGCTTCTTCGCTCCCACGCGTGGACTGGCCTTTACCTTGGCCGGTACAGGAGCTGGAGCACCGTTCAAATCTGGACCATTATCGTCATTTTCCACCTTGACCGTGCTTGCCCGACGCCGCTTGGTACCCACGTTAGGGCTGGCACTTGCGCTGTTCGCTTGTGGGCCATTACCCTGCACTTGCCCCTGCGGCATCGTTGGTCCCACCAAGTGAGCTGGTGCAGGACTGGGATGGCCCGAAACACTGAGATGGGGAGAACCTTGAGCAGGCGGCAGACCCAGATGAGCCATAGCAGGAGACGCGAACTGGGTCGGGCCGTTGATGCTGGGAGCGCGAGGTTGGCCTTGCTGCATGGCTTGGTTCATCTGGCTCATCTGGCTCATCTGATTCATCTGGTTCATGTGGTTCATCTGATTCATCTGATTCATCTGGTTCATATGGTTCATCTGATTCATCTGATTCATCTGGTTCATCTGGTTCATCTGGTTCATCTGGTTCATCTGGTTCATCTGGTTCATCTGGCCCATCTGGTTCATCTGAACGGGCATGAAAGCAGGGTTAGGAACCTGGTTTTGCATCGAGTTCACCAGGTTCCGTAACGATTCCCACGGTGTGTACTGAGGGTTTTGTTGAGAAAATTGCATCAAGAATTGCATGGATGCAATCGTCTCTGAGACCTAGATCACCAGGCCAGTCAGTATGGCCCAAGACATGGTAGGGAAAAACACCCACCTCCAAAAACTGCATCACGGCGCCTGGGACACCATTCAATGTCACCATCGACTCCGGCAGGGTTGCAGCGGGCGGTGGCGGCTGCTTCTGCTGGGCACGCTTGCCTGCATTCTTAGTGACCTTGGGACTTTGCTTCGACTGCTCTGCTGCCTGTTCCAAGGCCTGTAGTTGGCTACGAGGGAGATACTCGGTGTGATTCAACATAACGATATCTAGCATCTCGATCTTGTTATTGATATCAAGATGCGCCGTCATCGTTGCATTGGCAAAGAGCTGTATATGCTGTCAGTAACAATAATCACACGAAACGGAAAGAAGGAAATGCCGACCTGAGATTCGTTGGTGAACCAGTATATGAAGGAGGTCTTGGGGCTCTCCACAACGTGGCCTCCATTCTGCAAGTCCCGCTCCCGTGGCCCTTCCACAACCATCTGAATATGACGAATACCGCTCGCGAATTGAGTGTAGTAATAACGAGGCAATGCAACCGTTCCAATTTCGAATTGCTTCGAACCAGTCTGGTGATTGAACACACCCTGACGCAAGACGCCTCCAGGGGAGAAGAATCGAGCCACGAATTGTTGCCAATAGAGGAGATCGTGTGCCTCGCCACGACTCTGTGCATGATTAGTGTTTCTCTCCTGAGAGATTTCGGCAGAATGGGCAAAACGTACTTGAAAGCTGCTGAGGTGTTCTGCAAAGCTGTTGAGGTGAAGAATTGCCGCCCCTTTCATAGGTATTCGCGCTTGTTGTTGCATCATCATCGCAGCTGGATTCTGCTGCTGCTGCTGTTGCTGCTGCGCAGCCTTCAACTGTGCCTCTTGAGGCATCATGGGAGGTTGTTGTTGAGCTTGTACAGGACCCTGCTGATTTTGTGGTACTTGCGGTTGCGGTTGCGGCTGCGGAGGCTGCGGCGGTTGCTGTTGCGGCCCGGGCTGCTGTGACTGGGGCAGTTGCTGCGGAGGCGGGTTAGGAGTAGGCTGCGACTGCGGAGCGGGAGGCTGCGGCTGCGGAGGCTGGCTGGTAGGTATCTGCGACGGATTTGGCTGCGGTGTAGCGCTTCCCTGATGAGGTGGGGGGCCGGGCTGTGGCTGCGGCGTCGCGCTTTGTGCATCGTGCACGCTCTGCGCTTGCGCTGCTGCCCGTTGCTGGGGAGTTTGCTGACCTGGCTGAATGGCGGTGGCCGCCTGCTGGACTTGCTGGGCTTGATGCGCTTGCTGAGCCTGCTGGGCTTGTTGCGCTTGTTGCGCTTGCTGAGCCTGCTGAGCCTGCTGGGCTTGCTGAGCCTGTTGCGCTTGCTGTGCCTGCTGGATGGCATATAGATGTTGCTGCTGTTGTTGTTGAATATTCTGCGCTTGTCCATGAGGCATTCCTTGAAGCTGCATCTGCATGTTGACGGGTCGCATTCCTTGGTTGGCTTGCATGGCGGCGACATGAGCGGCAGTCAACCCGGCAGGATTGCCGTTGGGTAATGACACTGGTAGTCCTCCATGTTGTTGCTGGTGTTGCTGTTGCTGTTGCTGCTGAAGCATCAGACGCTGCCTCATCATTGCTTGTTGCTGCTGTTGGTGCATAAGCTGCGGGTTGTTGGCAACTATATTCATATACAGTAAATTAGCAAGAGGCCGTGGCTAGGGGTCACTGGGATAGAAGACAATCCACCAAGAACACGATCTACGACGCCACAGATTGAGTAAGGATAACCTACATTGTTGGGCGAAGTGAGGTTGCTGAAACATATGTGCCTGAGCCGGGCCTAGGTGGGAGAGAGCATGAGCCTGCACTGGTCCCCCGGGCCCCGTTGTTCCGGCACCTGGAGGCATGCCTGCCATCATGGGTCCACCTTGAGTGACTTGAGGCCCTCCGGGAGCCGACACACCTGGGTGCACCGCCTGCACCATTCCGGCGCCGGGGTGAGCATTTGGATGTTGACCAGGAGCCATCGGATGACCTGGCGGCAAAGCGTGATGCTGCGGGATGCCTTGAGGGGCGGGAAACGGTTGTGCCATCATCATTGCTGTGCTACGAAGCCGTCGAGGACGGGACTGGTCGAGGTCGGTGAGAAGGGCGAAGAGCTTGGAAAGGGATCAGTCGAAGCGACGAAGCTAAGCGATGAAGCGACCGACAGCAGAGAAGCGGGACGAGGTAGACACAGGAGAAGATGAGAGAAGAAGTGAGAGAGGCTTTTGGGAGACCGAAAGAGGCGGACGTCGGACTGAACGACGAGCGCGCTTGACGTGGAGGGCACAACAGGGCTGCTTTTAGTGCCGGAGCGGAGGCCAAGACGCAGCTGACAGGCGATTGAGCCTGTGTCGGTATCGTCCAGGACCACCCAAGATCTGCAGCATGGATCGGACCGGCCTAATCACCTGTTGCCCGCCGGATCGGTGGGGAGGGGATGAAGGATTTTCCTGTTCTATCCAGCCTCTGTAGCGTCAGCAGAAATTAGTCAGAAGGCGTGTAAATGAGAAGTAAGGGAAGAAATAAACGAGGAGGGGGGAGGCGTGGACGAAGAAGAAGCGGGAGGTTGGGAAAAGAGAGAGAGAGAGAGAGAGAGAGGATAATACAGATGGGAGACCGAAGGCCGAACGCGATTAGGGAGGGAAGAACCAAGCGATTCTGCTAGAGAATGGGGAAACGCGCAAAGAAAGGAAAGGAATGGGATAGAGAATACAATAATGCATACACGGGAATTAGACTTAATGGTTAGTTAGGGGGGAGGCGGGAGAAGGAAGAAGTGTGGAGGGGCTGCCACCACCACCGCTGTTAGGGGCCGACGGGTAGACAGAGCGAGAGAATAAAAGAGAGGGAAGAGTAGGAGAGGGGGGGGAGGAAGAGGAGGAGGAAAAGAAGAGCGTAGGAGAAGGAGAGGAAACTGACGAGGACAAGAATGAATGGGAGAGACTGAGAGGGGAGGAGATTCGAGACGGGGACCGGGGGGGGGGGAGGAAGAGAGTGAGTGAGAGTGAGTGACAGAGAGGGAAGAGAGACGGACCGGCAGGAACGGCGCGATTGCGAGAGAACTGGACGTGTTGGCAGTCGACAAGTATAATCTAGTAGTTAACAAGAGAAAGAAAAGAGAAAGGGAGTTTTTTGATGCGAGTCAGAGACTAAAGTTTATGGTCATGGTAGAAAGATAGAACATTATTTTATTCAATGTATCTCTCTCTCTCTCTATCGCAATCCTACACAGTATTTCCACTGGAGATATCCATGATGAGGCCTTTTTTCCGCCTCTTCTTCCTCTTTCCCTCCGATCGGCGAATCGCAATCCGTGCCTCTCCCAGAGTCACGCTACGTCCAAATCAGGCAAGGTGCTAAAATCACGTGGCATACGGAACAATGCTATCCCGTGGTGGGCTTTTTTTTTTTTCTCTTCCTATAACAGCTTCTCCATTTTGTTTTTCTTTCTATCTTTCTACTATCAACGCACTCCCACTCCATTTGGATGACTGTGAATGGATAAGTGCGAAGCTGAAAAGCCGACAGGCTGAGAAGCTAGAAAGACAAGATGCTGTCTTGCGCATGGCTTGAAGTCTATACCTCGTAATATGGGGAACAGGCTTCATGTCATCTCCGATTCTCGCCTGGTCCTGGCAATCAGCCCACGGAGTCTGCTAACTGATCAGCTCACCTCCGCAGATCTGCCCCCCGCTGCAGGTTAGTTCTTCCCCTCTTGCTCTGCCCATCCGTTGTCTGGCGATATCGCCTTGCAGATTGTTTCGAAGATGATAAACTCTTTTTTTCTTCTTTATCCTCTGAATCGTCCATGAGGAGACAGTTCGGACCTCCCTTTCCCGGTTGGTCTGCTACTTGCCAGTATATTTGGTCTGAGAAACAATTTGCATCACGGCTTGTGTGATGAATCAAAATACTTGCTACATACTGAAGTTCATTGAACCTTGGCTAATGTTTCCCTAAAGCAGCCCGCTTGCTCTCGGTTCCCGGCAGTCATCAATGACGTCGATATCACGGAAGATTATTGATCGTTTGCTGCAGTCCCTGGAGTGACATCAGGGTTTCTGTTTAGTCGTCGATCATCGTCTCCAGCACGCGGGGGTTTTCAGGATTTATATAGCTTTCGCAGATATGTAATACCAAGAAGACTTTGATCAAGATCGTATTTCATGTCTGTCGTAATAATAATTTCGTAGATCTCACTGATTGCATGGCCATGTATATCTCCTACTGTTGGAGATCTCTTGTTTGCCTTCAGCGATAATTCTTTGGCAGGGACTTTTTACGTACCGACGAAGGTACTGGTTTGAGGTCTGCCTCCAGTGTCGGGCGCATGCACTCCTATTAGCCTGCGACTGCATGATCCATTAGCCATGCTCCGCCGTCATATCAGATAGCGCGGTGCTAATCTCTGCTTTCTGCACCGCGGATTGCAGATCACGTAGAGTCACGTGACCGTACCATGTTCTCTGCTCTCCGCTCCGCAGGAAGCGGTTATGAATGAAAGTCCCTGTTCAAACCCCTTATCTAACTGCTTCACTGGTGCGGACGAACACTTCCGTGCAGCACTAGCACTCTCACTCGTACACACTCATCTGGCGGCGTTGCTTGCCCTGGATGTATCCGCCAATGCCCCAAGGCAGGTTCCTTTGGGCTCTGGCACGACCCTGTCGGTTTATCGCCCATCGCCGCTATCCCGCCGCGGTCCTTGCCCATTCGCGACGATTCCACCCTTCGCCAGCATGGCTATCATCTACGCCGTCGGACCCCCGCGATCCTAACATCCCGGCGAAGGAGACCGTTACTGGTGATATTCCGACCAAGGTCGCCGAACCGGATCTTACCCATCATAGTACCTCCGAAACCGAATCGGCCCCGAATCAAAATGAACACAAGGATGAAAAGCCCTATGGCTCAGCTGTTCGCAGACTCATGCGGAGCCGCAAATCCTCCTCAAAGCTGTCCGATAAAGCCACCACGGTACCCGACTGGTTTCGTCAACGCAACGTCGTGGTTCATGATGGCAAAGGCGAAAGCGCCGGGGTTGCTCTACGACAAGTGCAGATTCGGTCATCGTTGGATATCGAAGCGGAGAAAGAGGCGCTAGTCGAAGAACTTGGTCAAGGTGGTGATGGAGAAAGTCCACCGCCATCGGGCGACTCCGGCCCACGAGACAACCGCTATGCTCTGACGGAGGCAATGTGGGAGGAACTCTGTGCATCCGCACGCGCTGGTATGCGCCTGCCACCGGCAAGGTACGCGCAGGAACCCTCAGCCCGGAAGTCACACCTGGTTCTTCAGTATCCGGGTGCGGATGGGATCTTATTTTTGGACGCCGTGGTGAAGAGATTGGCTCACGAAATCGGTGCGGATCTGGTAACGCTGAACGCACAGGACATTGCAGAGCTGTGCAGTGAACAGGATCTCACAGACACGGGTAAAACAGACTCGATTCGTTCGCTCGGTTACGATGTCCATCGACCTACTATCCCAGAGGCTTCGGAGGACGGCATGGATCTGAGTGAGGCCGATAATGAAGACGAGTCCCTGCAATCACTGAACTCATCATCTGATCCTCCGGCAATGGGCCAAAGATTCATCTTGGGGAGCACAGGAGAAATTCACGACGTATTATCCAGATTGAGGTTATTTAATCCCTCAGCGGATTCTGGGACAGCTGCATCAAAATCCGAGAACAGGCGACTTCGACTTGCTCGTGAACTCATTTCCCCCTCTAGCAAGAAGTCTACACCACCAGCGCGGAAAGACACGGAGGGCGACAAGTCCTCCAAAGCGGAAGTCCCTGAAGCTGGCGCACCCAAAGCTGCTCGCGATGTCATCCTTCAGGTTCAGGACTATGGCGAGATTAGAAACACTCGCGAGGGCTCCAACTTCATTGTCATCCTGCAAAAGGCGATTGAGGAGAAGCGTAAGGCCGGCTCCCGGGTCTTACTCGTTGGAACGATCGCGCAGGAGGTTGCCCAGAATTCAGATGCCTCCAAATTAATGCAGAGCGCCCCAGAAGATCAGCTGTCTCAAATACTGCTTGTGACGCCTGACATGAAGCCAGAGGCGGCAGCGCGCACTTTCACCGAGGACCGTCGGAAACGGACGTTGGATATTAACATCCGCCACATCCAGGAAATGCTTCGCACACGACTGAGTGAAGCACCCTCCACACATGAGGGTGATCTCTTCCGAGATCGTGCCTGGCCACTAGACCCGTCGCTATTGAAACAGAGTGGTTTGGAGGAGCGGTATTGGTCTTATTCTCATGTTCACTGGGTCTGCACACTCGCACTTGGCTCTCTCAAAGCTAATGAACAGCTTAGCTCCGAGCACCTCCGGCGAGGAATTGAGATGATTCAGCAGAGCGAGCGTGTCAAGAATGATTGGCTGCAAGAAAAGGCGCCTAAAACTACAGCAGGAAATGCGGCAAGTGACCGAGAGCGCTTGCTGAAGTCCTTGCGCAAAACGTGCAATTCATACGAGAAGAAACTACTGAACGGAGTTGTGGATGCGCGGAGCATTCGGACCACGTTTTCAGACGTCCATGTACCTCCGGAGACTATTGACGCTCTGAAAACTCTGACATCTCTGTCCCTTATTCGCCCCGAAGCATTTACCTACGGTGTCCTGGCTACGGACAAGATCCCAGGTTTACTACTTTACGGGCCGCCTGGAACAGGAAAGACACTCCTGGCTAAGGCCGTGGCTCGCGAGAGTGGGGCCACTGTTCTCGAAGTCAGCGGCTCGGAAGTCTATGACATGTACGTGGGTGAAGGTGAAAAGAATGTTAAGGCCATTTTCACACTAGCGAAGAAGCTCAGCCCATGTGTTGTGTTCATCGATGAAGCGGATGCCATCTTCTGCTCTCGAACCCGGGCCAGCAGCCGTACGTCCCACCGGGAGCTCATCAATCAGTTCCTGCGTGAGTGGGACGGGATGAATGACCTCTCTGCCTTTATCATGGTTGCCACGAACCGGCCGTTTGACCTGGATGATGCCGTTCTTAGACGTCTTCCTAGACGTCTTCTTGTCGATCTTCCTACCGAAAAGGATCGCCTAGCTATTCTGAAGATCCACTTGAAAGATGAACATCTCGACAGCTCAGTAGACCTTGCAGAGTTGGCACGTCGGACACCCCTGTACTCAGGCTCTGACTTGAAGAATCTTTCCGTGGCTGCCGCATTGGCCTGCGTGCGGGAGGAGAATGAACTGGCGGCGCAGCACCAAGGCGCTGAGCCCTACCAGTACCCAGCGCGGCGCACCTTGACCTGGAAGCATTTCGAACGGGGTATGGAGGAAATAAGCGCGTCGATTAGTGAGGACATGGCGTCTTTGTCTGCGATCCGGAAGTTCGATGAACAATATGGCGACCGCAAAGGACGACGGAAGAAAAGCCCTGGCTGGGGATTTGTGCCGGCCGGCGTGGATGCGTCAGCAGCGGCTGAGGACGTTGCGCGCGTACGGACACTTGAGAGCTCAAGTCATTGAGTCTCCGGATGAGGTTAATTGTATAGATCGACTGTTATTCTCTCTTCTACTTGGATTTTGAAGGTTTAGGATTGGAGTGGCATGGAATGGAAAGGCTGGCAGCAATGACGATCGGTTGTACACTAATTAGCGACATGAACCTGTAACACTAACGCAGATATCTGCCACCTCTTGGGATAGAATGTTGCGTATATAGACGATTATGATCTTGAGACTTTCCAGTTGTGCATGTCATGTGTCAGCGTTAAGTGCCACTTTTGAGTAGTAGTTCAGTGTCAGGACCGCCGGAAGAAGTAAGCCGCGGGGGAAGAGAGGAATGACATCGACGAACTGGCCGCCCGCCCCCTTGGGATCAGCCAACCTTGTCGGCTCCTCAGCTTACAACCACCTCCAACTCTCCAGCAAATTTTCCTTCACTCACCTCGTCTCAGCTTAGTGTTCTTCCACGTTAACTTTGTCGCCCTTTGACTCGATTCGCCCGTCCGGCTCCGATATACTCAGCAAGGGGTCTGATTTCCCTTCGGGTTGTCACTCTGATTCTGATTTTTTCTTCCCCGCATTCTATTTTTACCCTTTGTCCGGTCCGTCATATAGCATTTTCCACTATGGCAACCCCTGAGGCCCGCGACGCGGCCATTCGCGAGGCGAAACAATATGTTCGCGACATCGTGCGAAATGACTGGGTCTTCGAGTTATCCCCCGAATACGGCATCCCCTCAGTCGCAACACCTCCGACCCCGGAGCAGGACGTACTCGAATGGCGCATGCGCGAATACGATAGCTCCGGCTCCGAACTGGAGCCTCAGTCCTCGCCGTCAACAAATCCAGCCGATGTCCAGCAGCTGCCTGGCTTCAGCCCATCCGAATTCTCTAGCCCCATTGCGACACCGCCGGGCGATGACTCGGAGCGCCGGCGCAAACGCCGCCGCCAGATGGAGGAGGAGATGCGCTGGAACGAAGGGTTGCGAACGTGGGTTGAGCGACGGGATGCGTGGTCCGGAGCTCACACCAAGGATGAAATCCGCGCCAAACAACTGAAGAGACTCCAGCAGGAGCAAGGTGAGGCCGGTGCTTCGTTGTCGTCGTCGGACGCGGCGCAGAACTCCTCAGAGTCTTCCGCCAGCGCTGCGAACCTTGTCGCCAGGACAGAAGCCTCCCTCCACCTTAGCGAGCCACAAGATTTGGCGCCGCTGGATGGTGAGGAGGGGCAGCCATCAGCAACCGGAGACGACAAGAAGGAACCTACTGCTTCTACAGAAACTATCGTCACCGAACCTGGCCATCAGAAAGAGGTATCAAGCGCAACCACGGCCACTTCGTCATCGGATCACCCTCGCGCGCAGCAACTGATTCGAACACTTGAAGAGCCCTTCATTCCTGTCGTTCCCTCCCTGATCGCTGGCACCAATCCCATCCGCGCTTCCATCACCCCAGCCATGTACCCCTCCATCTATTCCAAAGTCGTCATTCAGGGCCTCACCCCTACCGTCCCCATCAACCTTGCCGATGTTACGAAGGCCATGGTGCAGGGCTGGAAAGCCGACGGCCAATGGCCTCCCAAACCGACATCGATTGTCTTACAGGATGACGCGACTATTCCTCGCAGGCCAGAGGACAGCACCACGACAGCCGCAGGGGACCGCCCGCCTTCGTCGCCCGAGTCGAAACGCCGCTCCGGTGTCGCCAGTGCCGTCCGGAAGGTCTTCCACTTCTCTGGGTTTCACCCTCACCCTTTTCACCGGCGAGGTTCCTCTAGCCATCAGAACAATGAATCACAATCGCAAGCTGGCGTTGGGTCCGGAGCAAACATTGCGCAGTGATATTTTTGAGCAATGAAACCTGAAATGTTGTTCTATGATTAATTGCAGCTGCTGGGCTCAGAGTCCAGCAAAAGTTACGAATGGCGAAGCAGCGTCATCTTCGCCCGGGTTGTTATGAAAACCTCTCATATTACCTAAAGGCCCCATGTAATTACTGGTTCCGGGATTTTGCACGCATCATTCCCTCGCAGCCTTCACTTGTTACCCACATTCTCAGATCACGACGTCCTCACATTTTCATGTCACGTATATACGGTTATGGTTCGGATCATGATACTCATCTCGTTCTTTTCTGTGGTCTTTTCCGCGCAATGTTTTCAGAGGATGCTATGTTACGACGTAAGATGATGATTTGGATCTCCTAGCTCCTGGTATCATGCATGCAGTGCATTAATCTTTCTTTCTGTTGCTTTTCCTGTTCTGGTTAGAGCATACAACATCTCTCAGATTGTTGTGAATGAATGCGATGAGACACCATACAACCACCGGAACCACGCTTGAGTTCGTATGGTGTAGGTATGGAGTATGTACACTTCTAATATGATAGTTGGATCAGTTTATAAACTGGGCAAATGTGGTGCAGCCTCTCCAGCTAAGTCAGTGGGACTTCCAGCCTGCGTCATTCCCAGGTCAATTTTCAGTTACCAGCATCTATTTCCGTGAGTATACCATGCAAGCACCCCCACCCCAAAGACATATTGCCTCGTCTACCGAGAGAGGAGTTTCAGACTAGAGCGACATCGGTGACGACGACACCAGAACACCAACGGATATTCAGAAAACGAACCATTCATGGTTATAGAACAAAAATTGCGTGACCAAAGCGAGATCATTCAAAGTGTCTTGACTCGCCAACTCCCGATTTCCATCCGGCGGTATGTTCTAGCGGTAGAAGTCAGTCGCCGACTGATTTTGACTGCACAGTCACAGCCAGAACTCCAATATCAAGCCGGTAATATTCTAGGCACCACATCAACGTTTCAGCAAAGTCAGCAGTGCTTCTCATGTATAGACTTATTGGGGTGACAGGTTGACTTTCGAAATGGGAGGCTTCTCCGGAGGGCCCATCCCAATCACCGGGCAATTGTTCGTCGATGGGATTTGCACAATTCAATACATATAGTAAGTCTCCGAACAAACGAGTAAGATAATCAGATTTCATCCTCCAAGTCAGCTCCCTGTCGACTCTGATTTACTTTTGAATAACGTGACTTGGATTCTACCTTATTCTAAGCTAGACACAGTCAATATCGAGTACTACGAGGTGCATGTTACGCCCCTGACTCGATACTGTTGCAACAGATCGTGAATTTAAATTGGCTCACATCCTAAGCAGTTAAAGTCTTTCGATTCACATTATAGGGCTCATGCTCCCGCCCACATATCAGGCATGCATTGGCAGAGATACAGTCTTCAAACCCGGTTTGCTCCACCACAGGTAGGAGCGCAGTGAAGCCAAAGCCCTCCACGGGAGTCCCCTTCTGCCGGAGACACGCACGGCACCATTCAGCCTCCTTCGGGTCATACTTATTACGTGGGACCACCCTGTTCAGGGGTTTCAGGACGGTTTCCTTGTCGTTGTGGCCGTGAAATGTCGACCGTCCGTCAAACTCGACCTTCTTCAACACAACGGCCCCATCATTCAGAATCTGCGGCTTCTCGAAGAAAACCTGCACATAGTCATTGCGGACGATGTAGCCAAGCATACGCTTGCAGGTTGGGAACCGGGCTCGGCGCTGTCCGATAGCCTTAGCCAGAGCGAAAGGCCCTCTGATCTCCCAGTCTGCAACATCGTCGGGGTCTCCCAAATCTGCCCCCGATGACCACGTGAGCTTGATAGTGCACGTAGCGGGTACGAGGTATCTGCATTCCACTTTCCAGGGACATAGAAAGACCTGATCCCCGACACAAGTATAGTAGTCATTGGGAAGAGACTGAAGCTGCTCCTTGGTGAACTTGACGGTCTTGCAGGAAAATCCGTCCGGAAGAGCGATGGTGTCGCTTGTAGCCATGATCGTTTTGTGTACTTGTCTTTCTTATCCTTCTTCTCCTGTCAAGATTTTTGGGCAGTCGAGATCAGAGTGATTGCTGTCGACCCGCGGGTTGCAGACGGCCTTCATATAGAGGTCAGGTCGTGTAGCTCTACAACTGTGTACTTTCGGCTTTCTTCAGCTTCTTGCTGGAACATCTCATTCAGCTTGCGTGCCTTCGACTTTTCCAGTCTCTTACCGAAAAGTCCCTGCTTGTTGTCTCCTCACTTGCACTGTGCGATGAATACACGCAAGTCTACTCCGGTTGCTGCTATGATCAGTGACCAACATCGCTATCTGCTGAGTCAGATGCCTAGTAGTTTATTGTCAGTTGTGCTTCCTTGAAGGGAAATGGCACGTTCTTTCCTTCCTTCTACCATGGCTTGATTGAGGGTACTGGCATTGTTTCAAACATAGTCACCTCATCCTATAATTCTATAACATTGGAACTGGATTTAGCCAAATGACTGCTATACAGCTTCATTGTAAGGTCAAATACCAGGTAAGTCTTGCTACAGAAATCCAGATTCATCGACGGTTGCTATTGTGTCGGGCAGATCACCTTGAAATGGGATATGCGAGGACACAACCTTGATTTGATCGGCATGTTTCTTCGGGTCATAATATACCCTCTCGATGGAATGGATTCTCGTTCTCTCATGAAGCTTGGGTATTAAGCCGTACAAGTAGTAGGTAGTTACTGTATAGTAAGGTCCGTTGGGATGGCCGATTACGGCTAGTAGCCAAGTCGGCTTTCCAGATCCTGTTTCGGCAGTCACGACATAAGCCTGCTGGGGGCATGACAACTTCAACCTCATCTCCTTTCTGCCAGCCACCGACTGACCAGTGGCGTACGCCAGTCATCGAGCGCATCAACATCTATGTTTCCCATCTCAAATACGGCCCATCCCCCGCTCCACTGGCACGAGCTTAGGAGTGGTGTTTAACCGCGAGTGGCTCTTTGAGACAGGGAAGGAGATCGCCCGCGGAGCGAAGACAAATGCCGCCAATATCTTGCTCGCTCCTACCATGACTACCATCCGGTCTCCTCGAGATAGTTTCTCTCACGGTTCTCCTGGCAAGGCACGGATCACTCTGAGTCTGACGATCCCTTTGAGGAGGTCGAAGCTATGAAACCTTCTCGGAAGACCCCTGCGATGTGGCTAATGGTCCAGAGACCAAACGCACGGTATCGGGTGCTAAATTGACGAGCAAATACTGCGCGAGATCCAGATGCTGCCTTTTCGGTTGCTGATGATATGGGTCAGGCCCTTTGTTGGATGATCAGGCGTGTTACCACGCTTGTTGATGCACGGGTCTTACAGAACGATGAGCTGTTGGTATGGATGCTTGTTTCGACCAAAACCGCGTCATTGGGACATATGTTCCTGGTGAGTCCCCTTTGGTCCACCAGGTGCACGAGCTGAGCTGGTCTTTGATGGGCTGGTTGTCTCCAATTGAGCGAGGTGTACTGAAATTCAAACAGTATCAATGCACTGGTCAATCCGGAGACGCCAGGGGCGCACGAGGCGGCGCTGTGGGAAGCTTGCGCGGGCAGTGGATTATGGTGAAATCTCCGTTCAGGCTTTCGACGAGCTTAGCCCACAGCAGACTCCAGCTTGCTGTCACCTCAACAGATTCGAGGGTCCCGAATATCTGGCCGAGAATAAGGTAGAGAATCCAGAGAGCAACGGGCTCATCCGTGACAGCGAAGCAGAAGGAATGGTTCTCTTGCAAAATTAGAGTATCCTTCAGTTGCCCCATATGCCACAGTGGCTTTGATAGTACACTATGCAATGAATGCCAGTCGCACAGGAGGTGGGAGCCCGCGAATGCATTGATTGCACGCCGTCTCTTCCAGCCAAGGTTTTACCCGCTCTGGTTTCGAAACAATAAAATGTCTGATGTCCTGCCATATTTTGATCACTCACTTATCTTGCCTCAGACACAAAGATGCAGCAAACGAGTCAGTCAAATTCCAATAGTCCAATAGCCCCGTCATTGCTGAGGACCCGGTCTAAGTGGAACCAAAGCACAGGCAGAGTACACGGTTAAGAGGAAGTAGCCGGAGTATCTCGACCGAGATTACTGCACGCAGGTTAGTTTGAGGGTTTGCCCTTTCTTGTCTGGAGAAGATATCGAATCCGCCATTTCGACTGGACCCAGTGTCTGCTACGTCACTAATCACAAGGCCTTTGAAAGGCATCGGGAGACCGACCTGCGTCCGGACACCCTCTACTTCTCGAGGTCGAATTGGGGATGGCGTTTCACCTGTTCCATGCAGGTAGTCATGTCATACATTCTGGTGCTGGGTTTGTGGAACACGGATCCTGCTGTCCCCCATGCCAACCCATTATTCGGTCGAATAATCCAGAGGTCAGCTCTGCGGTTTCATGAGTTCAGCGCTATTACCAGCATGATTGAGAGCGTACGCACAGCAGCACAGAAAGCAGATTATGTCGTCGTATGTGCGGGACAACGAATGAGTTTGGTATCGAAGGCCCTAGTTGGAAGCCGTTGAGTCTCCTAATCCCTGCAATACGAGCAATGCCCCGCCGTTGCTGCGGTGACTCCCCATATCATCGTTGTCACTTCAGGGGGATACCTGGTGGTTCCGCCCAGTTCATTTGATATGCGTTGACAATTGTGCGGGCTCGGTTTCCTAGTCAAGGATGTGGCCATGATTGGCACGCATACTGCGGAGTCACTAATCTCGGCGATCGTCTCCCCTTCTCGTGGCCACGTCGAAATAAAGATAGTACAGGCTTTGGGGACTTCCATGCGGCGAGGACAAGATGACCCTGTACGTCGAGAGGTTGAACATCGGTCATAGAGACTAGGATCAACCTGAGAGCCCTGAGCCACTGTTTTCACTTGGCTTCGGTCCAATTACCAAGTTGATGAAGTCTGCATACCGGACACATCGATTTCAGACTCGGAAGTTTCGGTGACAGTCTTCTGTCGAGTTCAGAATACCGAGACGACAAAGGATGCAATTGTCGCTTAATGCCATGTCAGTATCCCACGGGACCAGTGGACGTCGAACTGCCGTTGACAGGACTCGGGTTTCGTAAAAATTGGGCTTGATGTCCCAAGAGAAGCAATAATTGTCTGTTAGCATTTGCAAAGCTCAAGGGCACTGCTGGAATGGGAGCAAGGACAATAGGATGCACAGGTTGGTCTCTTATCTACGGAGACATTTTCAGCAATCGGTTCTCATGTTGATCAGGGTTCAGCTTGGCCTGTTTAAGACAGGGAGCAGAACATAGTGGTTCTGTTTTCTCGGCTTGTTCGGTCGGGTCATCCAATCCAAGCGAAGACATTAATTAACAGTGACAATCATGCTAGGGCGTCGATACTAGTGGACATCGCCGTCATGACGAGGCGGAACTACTTCGGTCAAGGGAAAGGCGAGTGCGTGGAGATGTCAATCTGTTCTTTTGCTTTTTATAACACCTTTTCAAAGCCAAAATCACACCAGTCCGATATGGTGTAGTGGCTAACATCGCCGTCTCTCACACGGCAGCCGGGGGTTCGATTCCCCCTATCGGAGTTCAATTTTTGCTCGAATCTGCGCTGTTCTAGAGATGCTATTCACGGAATTTACTTATCTTATTTTTGCACATGTGCGAAAAGGCAAGCGCTAGATTTGCAGGGTATTCAGATATTTTGCAGAGCAGGCTCCATATCCCTACTTCATCAGGCTTAGCTCCACCTTTCCGCTGACAAAAACAGCCCCGGGGGCTTTAGGCCTTCCCCGGGGGCTTTAGGCCTTCCCCGGGGGCTTTAGGCCTTCCCCGGGGGCTTCAGGCACCTAGGGGCTTTGGGTAAGTCTTCTCCTCCTCTACATATTATCATTAATAGAACCCTAATATGAAAGAACAATTTGAAGGGACTCCCTAACAAGAATCCTAATGTAAGTAGCCTAATCAGAGTAGACTTGAATGATTCTAATGATCCTAATAACTAAAGACCCGCAGAGAAGAAGAGGGGTAGTACTTACCCAAAGCTTCTAGGGGAGGGAAGAGTAAAGGCAGTTGAGAAGATGAAAATCTACTTACTTCATCTTCCTAACCAGGCTAGTGGCCCACTTCCCTGCAAGATATCTGAATGCCCTACAAATCTAGTACTGGCCATGCGGAAAAAAAAAAAAAAGAGAAAAATAACCACTTACAAGCCTAGCGTCACCCGGGTCGGCAACAGCCTGGTACAGTGACTCGCTTTCCCCTGCACCTGCGTTGAATCGGTATGATCTCGCAGGCTTCCTTCTTTGTGTTAGGTCTCGCAGGCTTCCTTCTTTGTGTTAGGTCTCGCAGGCTTCCTTCTTTGTGTTAGGACAAGAAAAAGACAAAAATATACTGATATGGACTCCGATAGGGGGAATCGAACCCCCGGCTGCCGTGTGAGAGACGGCGATGTTAGCCACTACACCATATCGGATCTTCTTGTGGAAGAGCTGAAAAGTTAAACAGCTATAAGCCAAATGAACGGAAAAGGGAGTGATAGAGACAAAAATAAACCGAATGGAGCCCTCGGCTGCCAATGAAACGCCGATGCTGAGTTACTACACCATAATGTAGGATGTATGAACAGGTCTTCTGCTTGGCTTCGGAGTATGGTGCAATTCTTCTAGGGGAGAAGAATCAACGATCAAAAGACAGTAGCTGAAATTCGATATCATTCTCGTGGCGTTGCACATGATTGTGACGAGTCCGGCGTTTTCAGTTAGTATGGGAATACCAGGATTGAAGGATGCAGAAATGATAGACAGTCTAAGATTCGTGTATCAATAGGTACAGCCCCATCTTAGCATGACCTGACAGTTCCTCAGATCAACCACGCCCCAATAGCAACAAGGCCTGAACCTGCAGAACCACGAAATCCTGCAATGTCTCCCTGGGTTGCCTCGAGAATTCGAAGAATGTTACGAATGCCGTATATAACCTTTACTGGACGTGCGCCATGGACGAAATGATGGTTTGGTCCTTTTCCTGAGCGTGGACACCCGGATTGCCGGTGACTTTTTCCTCGAACATCTTCGGGGCATGAATCGATATTTGTGAAAAATGCATGGAGGGGGCTCAGCGCCCTGTCGAGAAGAGCATAGACACTTATATAGAGGAAGCTGATGGCCCTATGTCAAAATATTTATCCCTTCCGCCGTTGCTCTGCGCGGGTAGGGGTCAAGAAGAGTTGGACAGCACGAGACTGGGACTGACGCAACCAGTTCTAGCACAATCTAGGAGCGAGCAGTCTGACCATATGAATGCAAAAGAAAAAAACGTATCAGGGGGGTTTGTTTACATGCCCCTCGACTCTGGTATTACCCGGAGAGTGCAAAAAGATGGTCCCAGAGGGGCTCGAACCCTCGACTTTAACGTTATTAGCGTTACGCTCTAACCAACTGAGCTATGGGACCCCGTTGGTTGAAGAGTGCTTTATTTCAATGTCTCACTACAACATTGTAAGCAACGCTGGAGAGTGAGGTTATCATGACATCCATGATCGATCGCGCTCCACGAAGATGGTTCAGGACTAACCGAGTCACCCATGATCAGCTGAAGGGCGGGAAGCGAGCGCGGCTTTTTGTATCTACCGACCTGAGTGATGGATTCGGAGGACACGAAATTGATGAATTGTGAATTCATTCTTGGTATCGTGCTTGTCAACATGACTCGGTATGACTCGTGAGTTGGCGGCATTGCATTATCACTCCGCGCATTATTTACCCGATGCACCAGGTCGTACTGCTGGGGCTGCTTGTGTAGGATGACCATGACAATGGGTATATGTGATTGCGGCATCAATGCTTCTTTGATTGTGCCGATCTGCTATAAGCGTCAAGATAGCTTTCAGGATCCATCCTTTTGGATATATATCGCGAGGCATGCTCTAAGCCCGCAAACCATCAGGCAGATGCAGAGGACGAAGAGAAGACCAACGAGAGTCGCATCAAGACAAGGCAGTGACCACCACAGCTGTCAAAGCAACCTGGGGATTGGGAATACAGGCCACCCACTAATAAACCACCACCTACCTATCTGACGCAATGTTCGTTTCGACATCTTCGATGAGTTCTATCTCGATCGAGCAAAAGGATAGAGAAGCAAAAAGAGAATCGGCCCGAGCCGCGGATCGAACGCGGGACCTCTCGCAGATATGCTTGGGTTTGGAATCCCTAAGCGAGAATCATACCACTAGACCACCCGGGCTGAATTGTTGAAATGGTACGGTAGCATAACTTTATAAGGAGAATAATAGAGCTGAGCGTTGTGTATGAGCGGTTAGTAGCCTTGTTGTATGGCGACAGGTTTGGAGCGCGCGGGCATATGTCGTTGGACGTGACAGCGGCAATCACGGAAGGATCTTAGCGCAGTCAGCTGGTCATCTATCTTGGACTTTACTATCAAGGGCCTAGCGCCCTCGCCAGTACCGGCGAGCTGACGGACACCCGCGAGTAGCTGGATGCGTAGGCGCCAAGTATAGGGCGTAGCGTTTCCTTTGTGATCCTACCGCCTTTCAGCCTCTGACCTTGATGAAGAAGTAGTAGTAGGGCCAAGCTCAGAGCTATTCAATCCGAATACCTAAGACAAAGCTATTCATGGTGTATCTCGATCTTATCCTGGAACTCATTTACTTACTACTTGGTGGTAATTTGGCTAGCAACCCGTCATTCTCCCGCAGCATCCCGCAGCAGCCCGAGACCACTGCCCTAACCTGCTGTACCCGCCAAATTCAACGGGTTAACCATCCGCTATTTGTCTCAAACAAGTGACCTCGTGATGTGACCAAGCAGAGCAGCCAAATTTCCACAGACATCCCACAGGGCAGTGCAAGTGCCAGATCCCCATAACTTATTGACACAAACCTGCAGAGCCGGCCATCCCCTCCCCCCACTCTTTTCCATGGAGGCCATGCGCAAACGGCCTACAAGAGACAAGCAACAATGGCGTTATCTACACCCCTTTATACCCCCATCCAGTCATACCTTTGGCATTGTCTTCTAAGCTCTTTGTTCCAGGAGCCCTCCCCTGCACCCGACAACGGGGTCATTGTGCGGACAGAACGTTATTTGTGCCTATCGAACAAGCCCCCAGCACGAAATTCCCCATCAGTAGAGGCAGACAATCCCAAGGTCTAACCACTATTCCCTGCTATAAGAAACCTTTAGTCCTTCACGACCTCCCCCGCGGGTCGTGTCTGAATTGGTTACCATGTTTCTACGACGAATAGTGGCAACAGTGTTACCCTATAGCCACATGTTTGATCCTGATATAGTTTTGATCACTGACACTACTATTCAAAAAAAAAAAACAATAACTGCAAACATAGAGTCGTGGCATCTAGAACGCTACGCAGATGGCTCACAACAGAAGCCACGGCAGAGGTAATTGGGACGGTAGAGGTGGGAGAGGAAGCAGAGGCGGCTTCAACAATCATAATGGGGTAAGAGGAGGTTTCAATCACAACAACAACAATGATCATTTTATTCGCAATCACAATCACGGCCGCGGTAGCCGAGGTGGTTTCAATAATAACTACAACAACAACAACAATGGCCGGGGGAGCCGCGGGGGAGGCGGTCGAGGCGGTAATCGAGGTGGATTTCATAATAACAATCACCACCACCATGGTGGTAGAGAAGGAGGCTTCAACAACCAAAACAACCGTGGTGGGCGCGGTGGTTTCAACAGCAACAACAACAGGAACAACAGGAACAACAGAAATGGCAGGAACAGGAACGGCCAGAATAGGATGAATTTCTACGTCCCACTTCCCAACCCCAGCAATTTTAACCACATTACAGCCAGGCCGCCAAAGAATTGGGGGTTTGCAGCCAGCAATGCTCCCGAGCCTGTGGATATTGAGATGCCCGATGCTCCTCCTTTGAAGAATGCAGGCGTCGAATCAGACCATGATGTTATCATGGGAGGGACCTCGGACAGCGAGGACCCTATGGGGTCTTGGTCTGACTCGGATACTTCCATGGGAGGCATGTCAGACTCAGACATCTCAGTGAAGAGCTGGTCTGATTCAGAGTCCTCAGACGCAGAAGCGTCCGATCCAGATAGTCCCAAGATAGCACGAACTGGCCCAGAGGGGTCGAGCAAGAAACGAATGGCTGCCTCAGAAACCCCTGTCGATGCCGACGAGCCCTCGGCAGATCCAGATTACGTGCCATCCGACGACGATGCAGATGTTTGTCCGAGAGCTCGACCAGGCTCAGGAGCTTTAAGCTAAAAAAGAAGGGTTGCCTCAGAAGTCCCCGTCGCAGCCCATGGGCTCTCGTCGGCAAAGCAAGTCAACCTAACGCTTGCACGTCCGTTCAATCTACTTCCATATTCTCCATAATACTAGAGGTTAGCTTGTTCCGACACTATGCCAATATCAGCTATAGAGCGATATAACCAAGCACATACGACCACAGGGTGTGGAAAATAGGGCTTCCCGTCCGCTCAGCCGTACTCAAGCCACACGCCGGGAGGTTAGTAGTTGGGTGGGTGACCACCAGCGAATCCCTTCTGTTGTATGTTTTTGGTGCATCGTGTGCCATCTTTCGATGACATGCGCCGAAAGGCCGATTTGCTCCTCCAACAGCCGGTATAAGGCCTGCCACAGCTCCTTCCGACCCGCCGAGCCAGACTTGGAGCTGTGAATCAAGAACAGATCCACGTATCCATCCTTGCCTCCAATCTTCTCGACACTGGCCACCAGCTTCTCGTAGGTAGCTTCGGAGGACCCGGCGGGGCTGAGGATCTTGGTGGTCATAAACACGTCGCTGCGGGCCAGGCCCGACGAGCGGAGCACATCGCCGAGATCGCCGACCTCCTTCTCATTTCCATAGAATTGCGCGGTGTCAATGTGCCTGTACCCAACCTTCAGGGCGTGAGCGGTGGAGGTGGCATTTGTCGGCGTGGGAACGGTAAACTCCGAAACCGAAGCGGGGTATCTGGACGGAGGAATTTGGGATGGGTAGGAGATCAGTGATGGTGTATTTGGGTGACATGGTTGCGAACTAATATGGATGTGCCCCGGATTACGTGCCAGACGACAGCGATGCAGATATTCCAACGAAGACACAACCTGAGGCAGAGTGACCAAGCAGAAAACGAAAGCGAAGGGTCGCCTCGGAAGCCTCTATCGCTGCTGATGAGCTCTCGGCGGATCCAGATTACGTGCCACTTGACGAAGAGCTTTAAATTAATACTTGTATGTGTGCTGGACCCCAACTGGTTGCCACGAGCAGAGCATTGGTTTGGTGGACATTCAACGTATCACTTATTGCGGGTTTACTAGACTTATAAGCCAGTCTAGAGTGTGGTTCCCTTTGGATACGGACTGACGCGTTCGAGGAGTGGAGTGGATCTCTGTCTCATGAGCATCGAGTTGACAGGTTGGCATAGCGGGTAGAACATCCGCCAGAAGCTTGATTCTCTGCAATGGATGCTTCTCGCGGTAGCAATGTGGATTGACTGTTTAGCGTATTCCTCGCCAACTATATAGGAGATAATATCGAGCAAATCAGTCACCTCTCAGGTCGTCGCACCGCGGACTGTTGGTGCAAATTGGACGGTATGTTGCGTGTAGCTCGGAACCATTTGTATCTGGGACAGTCAGTTAGACTAGTGGTGGTCCAAAAAACAGTACCAACAGGAGGCATACATTGCGCAAACGGCCACGGTTGTACTGGAAGAGAAATTGAGGCATCGTACCTGACCCGGTAGAAATCGATTACGGAGCAATTCCCCGCTGCACACGGGCTGAGTGGCCCGGGAAGATCAACCCGGTCTCTACACAGTAAACTCGATATGGTCACAAGTATATGACGCCGGCGCCCACCCAATGCTCAGCTCTGTTGATTAGTGCTTACAGGCTGTTACAGCAACCCCGTTCAGTGGCCTGGTGTGCTCTTGTTGCGTAGCTGGAATGAATAAGAAGCGGCCAGCACAGCCTTGTCGCTTTCTTTGGCTCTCACCTCCTACTCCACCCCACGAAGTCCTACCTGGCTATCAAACTTCCCAGGGAGCCTGTCTACACAACCATGACATGAGCCCTCACACTACTCCGACTTCACGACCGCCCTCCGCAGTCGCGGCCATGAGATCCACGTCCCGCGGCTGCTCTCCATGAACGGCGCTCGGCCCCCGAATGCCGATCTCGAAACAGACAGCGACCTCATCTGCAGCTACGTCGAGAGCATTGTATCAGCCGGCCGCGAGATCATCATGCTCATGCACTCCTACGGCGCACAGGTGGGCATCAACGTCCTCGCGGGCCTGAGCACCACGCTAGCCAGTCGCAGGGCCTCACCGGCGGCGTGCGCCAGTTAGTCTTCATCACTGCCTTCGCCGTGACCGAGGGGACATCGATGGTCCATGTAGTCGACACGGCAACAGTAACCTCATGTCGGAGGAGGGAGTTTTATTCAAGTAGATTGTACTATGTGAGCCTTTTGCTTTCACGGAATTATGATTAGCCTCTAAGTCTGTAGTATCCATGGTTGCAGTTTTATGAGGTACGTATGTGGCCAGATCAGCCCTTCCGTACCTGGCGGCGCAGTCAACTCGTATTGGTGCTTACCATGATTGTACAGTAGCGCCGGGCACTTCGACGGACTGCCCGGCTAAGGAGGGAGGGCCCCACTGCGTAAGCCACTCCCAGCGGCCTCCGGGGCGATGATCAGGAAGCGGGCCGCGGCAAACGGTTCCCTCCGCGCGACATGTGCACTTTTCAGGTACGAGCTGGACTCGAGGTTGTTGCACTCACATCCAGTTTCGACATGCTGGCTCGGTGCGACTGAGCGCTTGCCGGGAGCGCAAGTTCCGGGCAACTTGGTGTTGTTCGTGCGCGACATGGCGAACAGGTTGTAGGACGTAGTGGGATAGTATATCGTTTGTCGAGGTGGATGGTTTCGATACCATTATAGGTGCCTCGGGGTTGTATCGAGGCAGCTCAGGTATTCTGTGGGTGGGTTGAGTGAGCAACGACGTGTCCGCGCGAGGACGAACTCGCTTTCGGATGCTTCAAGTTACATGGTGCCGTGGTGAGGGCGGTGACATGCAGGAATACTGTGGCTGTCTGGTGCAGTGCCCTTTTCTACATCTAGGTCCTGGGAAGAGGTCTTCGGGTGCTCGGCTGCTTGCAGAATAGACCAGCAGTCTCGGACGAAGCTTCCGATGGTTAAGTTCACGTATGGTGAAGAGTGTTAGGCGACATGCTCTGAGCGGATATTTATATCGAAGCGGCAGCCACCTATCCACCACCCCTCAACAAACAAACAAGCCATAAACCAAATCACATATTTTTCACAACACAAGCCCAATAATTGTTCCAAGCCGGCTTGATGCGTCCCGGGCCACGATACTGAAATCAAATGACGAACCGAAAGACTCATGGTTCACAGCAAACAGTCAAGTAAAGGACGAATGACAGTGAGAAAGAAGGGTTCTATAAGTCCCAACCAAGACGCCACCAGGCATCAACTTGGACCAGATGGTCGAGTTGGTAGGTCCTCGTGGCCAAGTTGGTTAAGGCTTCACGCTTATAATACGAAGACATGTACATGTATCGTATCGTGACGATCGGCGGTTCGAGCCCGCCCGGGGACATTTCTTTTTTGTTCCTTGCGGGCGGTGGCGACTTCCTCAACATACCTCTTTCTCTCTTGCATGATCGAATGAGAAGGATTTCTCCCCCCAAAATCGGGTTGTGCATTGGTATCAGTTTTACGCAATACCCAGCTATCTCCGTTCATTCCCCGTCATGTTCACCGCGCTGCCTGCCAATCAGTACATGCAAATAGAACACAACAACCAAGGGAAGAATGATCAGGGATAAACCAACACTTCACACTTCGCAAGCGTATACGTCACAGTCGAAGCTAACTCCTGTTAATCTATTACTTTCCCCCTTGCATAACCACCTCCCCCTCTGCCAAATGACCACTGCCACCACTCTGCATCGACACCGCCAATTGCTCCAACATCTCCTCCCTCCACCCCCACCCCAGTGCAAAAGTGGCACCTGGCCCCAACGCAAATGTAGATGCAGCGCACGCCCCAACGGCTTTCCACCACGAGAACGTAGCCTCAGACCGCGACTCCTGTCGTTCCTTTAGCTCTCGGAACCTCAAAGCGAGCCAGACAAACCCGCTAGCCACGGACATCAGCTGATCATACTGCAAGGCCAGGGTGATACCCTGCGAGAAGGATGTCACGGGGGCTAGATGCTCTGTCAGACCAGGGAAGAAGAGACTGGCCATAGGGGTACCCTGGGGCTTGGTGAAGCGGGTGTAGATAAAAGTGAGACCGGAAACGAGGGCGAGAGTGCGGTAGAAGAACCGGACAGTACGTATGTTCCTCCTCTGTATCTTGGTCTTGGCGTCGGGGTCGGCCGGGGGCGGGCGGGGAAAGAGGCGCCTCGCGAGGAGGGCAATGGGAAGCTGAAGGAGGGGCAATGTCACGGGGAATAGTTGCCAGATGGCATTATACCAGTGACGAGTCTCGATGGCGCGGGGGATGAAGTTGGCGTAGGTGATGAGGTTGTAGCTACCGAGCAGGGAGACGAGCAATGCCCCTGTTGTGGACGGGTCGATGATGCGGTTGTGGCCTGGCAGGATGCGGCTGAGAGGCGTGGCGATGTATTCGACTGCAAAGTACAGGGGCGCGATCATGCCGATTCCGCAGAATTGAGAGGCGATGCCGGCGGTTATGGGGCTATCGGAGATGGAAGGTCAGCAACAGGGGAAGGAGATTAGAGTAGGCGGGACGGTGCTTACAGCAACACCTTGTACCATGACTCGGAATTGCGGAGGCTTTCCAGGAGCCAGATGCCATAGACGGGGCTCAAGTCAGTCATGAACGACAGCATTTGTAGCCGAGACTGTGGGTCAGACCCGCTGATAGATGGTAGAAAGCAGAGAGCCATGGGTCCGAGGAGGTTGTCAAGGAATTGAACATGGTAGATTGGCTCTGTCAGATTGATGACCTCGCCGTTGCTGGCCATCCAGGTTCCTTGAGCGATTTGCTTTATCAAGTATGGCATCGTCTTTTGAACCACGGCTCCCATGGTGGCGCTGGCAGCAGCGTAGCAAGCGACCAATGGAGCAACCTTGAGGGCTCGCTTCCAGGCCTTGTCGGCTGAGGTTTGAGGATAGCTATCGGTGTACGCCATGGTGCACTGCAATGATCGCGCCGGGGCTGGCTCGCAGTCAAGCTTGACACTCCCAGTCATCATGAGACAGTTGAGGTCAAGGAGGTAGCTGCCAAAGTAGGGAAGTATGTAAAACGCAATGAACTTATATTTCGGGGAGGCCAGAGCCTCAATCCGAGTCAGATCACGAGAGCCAGCATAGACTGTGGGGATACGAGCGAGACGCGCAGCTTCCCAGTTCTTCAGGCAGCGATGAATCTCGTCGACTGAGATGGAGGAAGAGGAGGAAGCGGAGATGTTCTTCCCCTCAGACGCATCATGAACTACGAGCGTGGCGAGGCTATTAGCTAAAGACGCTGCGCTCTCGATGGCACACATTCCGCCTTGGCCCAAGTTGGGTGTCATCTGTGCAACAACAGGTATTAGTAACACTACCCCTTGGCTTGTGTATGTGTCGACTCAACATACCTTGTGGATCGAGTCTCCAATACAGACAAAGCGGTCCATGCACCAATGTTTGAAAAGCGCCTCCTCCAAGGGGACCATCGTTTGTGTTACCGTCCTTTGAATCACCTCCGAGAACGGCACAGTACCGGTGACCGGCTTGCCCAGGTATTTTGCTACCTGCTCTTCGAGATCAGCCTGGCTGTATTGCGGTGTGTCGTTGCCGGTATAGACTTTATCCATCTTGGCGAAGAAGAAATAGTAGACGCGCCCATGCTTGCTGGATATCACTAATAGCGAATATCCCTCGCCATATGTCCGATAAAGCATCCCCGATACCAGCCCTGGTGTTGGCTCTGCGATACCGAAGACACAATTATACTCCGACTTCATTCCTGTGTTCCACAAGAAGACAAGATTAGTATATTTTTCATTATCAGATGGAGACGGGTTCGGACTTTTTCTCTCCTCCGCGGTTTCTCGAATAAGCCCTCGGGTTTCCATGTAATCCCACATCCGATACCGGATAGTACTCCTCACACCATCTGCACCGACGACCAAGTCCCCTTCGAAGGTTGTATTATCTGCACAGTGGACGACAACTTTCTCGGGCAGGTGGTCCACTTCGGTCACTTTCTTGTTAAGGAGTACCCGGCTCTGTGCGGCTCCTAGGTGCTTGTAGAGAATTGCGAGGACCGCCTGGCGATCGAGAAACATTGCTGGATACCCAAGTCTGAATTCTTGTTAGAGGCAAGACAGAATTGGGCCCGAAACGTTGTAAGTGGGAAGTAGAATGGCTTACCTCTCTGAGACGAGACGCAAATCGACTGACCTGGTGATCAGCTTGCCGCTATCAGACCAGATTTCCTCTTGCCGGAGCGGCTCCACGAGGTCACGAATCTCGTCGAAGACGCCGATTTGATCAAAGATGCGGCTGCCGTTTGGGTTGATACTGATAGAGGCACCAACCTGAGGCGCAATGTCATCACGCGACTCCAAGACAACAAAGTCGATGTTATTGCGTAGGAGACCGTGAGCGAGGGTAAGGCCAGCGATGGAGCCACCCACTATAACCACGCGAAACTTGGATTGAGGGGCCTCCATGGTATGCAGCAAGCGGTAGATCGCCAGTCACCTAATGTGCAGAAGGTCTTTGAGTCGGCTTTGAGGTACTTCACGAGGGGTGGAAACGACGAGGCATAAATACTTACATTATCCTACTGCGGTGACCCGAGGATCCACGATCGGGAGGGCCAAATGAAGCTTTGTCGAGATAAGTGGGCACTTTTCAGTGCAATAAGATCGGGGACTTTGGACACAGCGGTTGAACCAAGCCAGTGAATAATGCTGGGTTAGCGTCCCCAGGCTAGATGTAGTCATGGACGCTTGAAGCTGTGCTAGTACCAGCTTGCCTCCTGCAAGGAGTTGCGTGATTGTCGCAACCGTACAAGGTCGCTTTCCCCCTTCCCCAAAACATTGTATCATCGCCTCCACGAACAGAATTACCCCATTTTTCCTAGACTGGCCTGAAGAGCAGGCCGGCCTTATCATAAGATGTAATCATACTAGAAAAGTGATTCGCGGTCAAATGATTCAACTCCAGCCCACGACGAGGCATGGAGACGGCAGACCCGAGTTAGAGCCGACAGACAGGCATCCACTGCGCATTCTTGTCCATATACCGCTCGAATCTCGACAGTGCGGTAGAGCACTATCCCTGCGAGAGAAGTTACGCTCGGATGATTCGCTGTATATGCATATTGACCTTTGTTATTGTACCAGGGGGAAGAACAAAAACGATGACACGCATCATCAACCCTAATGTAACTAACGTTCCCTGCGTCTCCACAAGAACAACGTGAGGCTTCAGTGCTGGGACGAAGTGTGACTGGATAGCTCGGATGTTGCATTCCACATAATTTACACTGTTATTGGCATGGCGCTGATGAAGCTGCGATTGAGGTGGAATTGTTGTTCGTATTCGGACTGGATTTTGCTGGTACAAATGGTCTGTTCGTCTACTAACCAGTGGGGTTGGATCTCAGCGGTCATGGCAGCCTGACAGGTGGTGCCGTGGCTGAGTGGGTGTCAACTGTCACTGTGTACGGAGTAGTCCGTGCGATAGGCAGATGATTGAGTCGTTTGTGGTAGGGGGTGCGAATGACGATCAAAAGTATAACTAGATCAGGGGCATTGTGTGACTATCTGTCGTCTGATATTGGCAAACAAGACGATTTCCTCCATCAATTGGCCGGATGGTGTAGTTGGTTATCACGTATCGTTAACACCGATAAGGTCCTGGGATCGAGCCCCAGTCTGGTCATCACTTTTTGACCTTACTAGGTCAATTTTTGGCCAATGTGAGAAGCCAAGACACATGCAACGCAGAGAAATATACATATGAGGGATGATATGCCAATAATTCAGCATATCAAAGAGTATGAGGCTACAGTAACCGTACACTACGTTTGGCATAGCATGAGAACGGTGCCAGATACAGTGTACAACATCAACTCCGAGTCCGTGGTCATATCGTAAGCCCTGCAGCACAGGTGAAGGATTCTTTCAAAGTAACTCAGAGTCTGTAGTGATCTGCTTTCGATCACAGAGGTCTCAAAGACAAAATAATCCTGCACCTTCTACTGATACGAATCAGTATTAGAAGCAAAAAGTAATGACCAGACTGGGGCTCGATCCCAGGACCTTATCGGTGTTAACGATACGTGATAACCAACTACACCATCCGGCCAATTGATATCTATTACTCAGCATCTGTGTTACTAGTCCCACCCTCCAGCTCCAGCCTCCCGGCGCATTCTGTCTCGGAGTCAGCAACGCTTCTGATCTGTTTCAGACGTGGGCAATCTGCTAAGCCCGTGCTCATTCTATACGACCCCATCGTGCTCTTCCAATCGCCATACATATCAAGAATCTGTACCTTGCGACTGACCAATACTTACGTCAATCGCGCCTTGCGTAATTGGACCCATGGCTTTCACAATTATCTTATCTTGGGCCCGGTTTCCGAGAGCCTCATGTCCCTATAGATAGGGGCCAGTGAATCGAATCATACTTACCGTACTGGTACCCCACGTCGTCTGAACCCAAAGTGTTATTCGACAGGGAAACTGGAATTGAGGGACCCAAATAGAACCCCTGCAGCCTCTGAATCTGTTCTCCTGCCAGCTGGTGAATTGCCATCGGGAACCCCCGCTGATGATATTGCAACAACCGTGGACGTCATTCTTCCTTCCATGCAAGCTCAGATAGAGGGTGATTGCGTCCATGATTCCATCCTGGAATCTGAAAGAAGTATGCCGATAATCTGTGGTGATAGATCAGAGGAGTGGGTTTCCCTAAATTCAGATGGCTGCATACTGCACAGCTCTACCATACTGTCCCACGGAATCAGATAGAGGAGAATCTAGATCATTCCTGCTCTTCAGATGCAGGGCTGTTGAGTATTTTTATCAATTACCAGCGTGGTCAGTACACAGAAGCCTGTATGACAGCAGTCGAACACGCTTCTCAGGAACTAATACTAGGGTGTGTCAAGCTTAGGGAGAAGAACCATAGATGGAACGGGGACCTTAGTGGAAGCCACATACGAGCAACTCCTTGAATAGATCACTACTTCGAGTCAGAGAATAGTAAAAGAATTCAATTTGAGCGAGCCAGAAGTCCAGTCAAAGAGTATGCCACTCAATCATGGTTAAACACTGGTGATTTACATTTCACAAGCGAACGCCAGCTCGGTCTCTGCAGAAATAGTGGCTATACCAACCGCTCTTCACTTCTGAGCACCTCTAAAGGTCTCATAGGTCTCAGTAACCTGCAAACTCAAATTCGCAAGTTGACGTTGGGCTCGTTTAATACTCATGCTCGAAAATTGTCCATTGGAATTGCGTAGAGACACCAACGACTGTAACAAGTGCCGACTGACAAATTTGTATGTTAAGTCGACATAGACGCACGCTACTAAGCAGTTGTCGATGGTCTCGTAGATAACGCTAACCAGTAGACCTGCACTCGCACGTTCACTGATCAGAGCCTGGCTCTGGTATGTGAGAGCATCTCGTTCTTCTGTCACTTTTGTGACAAGACATCATCTTGAGTCTTTGTTGAGCGTACATAGCTACCTCAAGTCGGAGCAAGCTATATATAGCTTCTCGATATAAAACCCTCAAGTCTAGATCATGAGATGTTGAATGATGCTTGAAGTTGATTCGTTGAAACCGCAAAGAGTCATCTGCGACTCTGCCAAAACGTTGCGTAGACTGAGAAACATATTTCAAATCTATGTGGCTGCCTCTAGTCGAGGCTAACTACACAGATAAGCTTCGAACCAGTTGGGTTCGGTTGATGAAAATAAATGATGAGTAAGTCTGCCCAGTTGGGTCGTGCACTAGCGACTCTGACAGAGCATCGTGCTGAGTGACAGTTATTATATAACATATACTTAATATCAACTATTGCTGAAACGCAAGCGATGAGGAAATGGATCAGAGCTTTGTGGTAGCAAGGTTAAGTTGAATACCAACAGGTTCTCGTTCGATTTACGACGTTTGAGAACTTGTAGCTGAACTTTTCACCGAATGAATTCATCAGACTCCAATGGCATAGTCGACTTAGATATGCACGCGCAGCTCATTCCTGGAAATGAGGGTTGAGTTGAAGTCTGTGCCAATGCAATGCCGCAACTTGGCACAACAGTCTCTGATCAATCGCTTGACTATCAGCTTTATCTCTTTATCTGTAGGCTTTTGGGTGGCCTTGTCTTCAAGAATCTCGATCTGACACTTAAGAGTATCTTCTCAATCAACTTGAGCTGGAGATACGTAAATAGTTAAAAGCTCTTTCATATGCGCAGATATTGGGCTGTGTAAACAGGGTACATCTGTCCATCTGGTACTGGCTTATGCAATCATCGTTGCATCCTCCTTCGGGTGGACCTGGGCGTGTTATGAGGAATCTCCTCCCTGGGAACATAGATTATTGATCTTCAACGACAATAATCTGACGCTGCCTGACTCGAAAGTTCAAGTGCCGTTTCTGCGTAGCTGCGCTAGATTTGACCGACGAGCTGGGACCTCATGAAACGTATTCCAGTTGCGATTCGCCCAAGGTCCGCAGGACTTGAAATTCAGAGATGCACTCTGACAGAAAGTCTGATCGTAGAGTGCGCTCCAATTTGCGGAAACTGGTCCGACACTCGGGTTTGCTCGTCTTGATGTCGAGTCGGTATACAGTGTTTGCTAAACCCACGAATGTGTCGAAGAGTTGCCGGCTGCTCGTGTGAATCTCGCAGCAGCTTAACGAGGCCAGAATTTGTTCCTCTCGCTAATAGTTCCGAACCGTGCCATGGGGGAAAGGCTGATTTGGAGTAATTCGAGGTTGTAAAGGGCGCTCTGCCCGAGACTGCGGTCAATATTCTTCTGAGCATGGAATAGTTCATTCTAAACGGCTTGCAACGCTCAAATCATAAGCCTGGGACTGTTTGGATGTTATCAAGTCCTGTTGAGGACTGGCAAGACTGGTAAGGAATGGAGCCACTTACGTGCTTGTAATATATAAAGTGAGTATATCAACCCGCAAGACCGGCGATGCAATAAGCTGTACAGCTGCACCGTGCATTAGAAGAAGTTCTGCCAGAGACCAAGCGAGGCATACTTTGAAGAGATGAAGAGAGAGGTGTTGACATGAGAAAGAAGACAAGGGGTAGGAAAACTGACAGTGGAAGAGGAATTAGAAAAATAGGCGAAGTTGATGTGAGAGGTGAGAGCATAGAGAAAGAGTGATGGCAGAGGACTGAAGACCAAGAGAAGAAATTGATATGGATGAAGCCACTGTGAGTGAAAGAGAAGGCAGCGAGGAAGCGAAGTGTGTGTTGTGGATGAGATCAAGGTAAGAGAGGGGAGATGAAGAGATGGAGAGAAGGCGTGGTGTGGATAAAACCAATATAAGAGGAAAGAGGGAAGGACATGTTACTGTGTGTTACTGCATGTTATTGACATTCACACTTCATCACCGGTCATGGCAACTGTCGTCCCAATACAGAATAGTCGATGTTGAACCTACTGAGTTCCAACATCTTTCTTGCCCCCAGTAATATTTTTACGGTTGCGCTGCAACGGCATATGATTAATGATTTTCTGATTCTCTGATTAGTCTACATCTAAGGTATCAACACACAACAGTTCGGTATGCATAAGTCATGCGAAATGAGGTTGGCATAATCAGAGTATCTGAAGTTATTCTGCATCTGTTTCTCTAACTTACCAGCTTACCACTGTTGAGTTAGTTTGTAGATGTAATGTGAGATAGATATGGCAATATATGATTGGATCTTGATGGCTCGATTAGCACTGTGTCTGCTCAAGGTCATCATTTAGCCTCATTCTTTGAACGAAACCTAGTGCTCCTCGGTCCTCGTTATGAAGAGACTGGTTATACCCACTCCTGCTTTGTGGCGAGACAGTATTATGGTTATGAATGAAATCACATGCAGGACGCAATCTTCCAATCCCACTCACAGGTTCGGTATAGTGAACTATATTCAGACAGTAACACCTCCATAATATAGGAAGCAGCTTTTCATTATTAATTGTGGGTAAGCAGATACAGAGTACTATAACCAAAGTCAAATTCTTCTCTACTACAAAACTCGATCCATGATGGTATCAGAAAGTATTATAGAAAAATATTATAGAATTGACTATATCTCAAGCCCAAATGAACCTTAGCCAAATTCTAGTCCATCCATAGCATGGCTGTTATAAAGCTGATAAGTCACAGTTGATAATCTCCCAGAGCGTGGATATGATACTTAAGAACTTAGAGGCATATTTCTTATTTACAGTGAGTTGAACCGCTAGTAGCCATCAGTCTGAAAGAAGTATTCATGGATATGAGTTGCATCAGAAATGTTACTATACTCAATATCCTCAGAATGTGAGACTTTAATGATGGTCTTGATTCAAATTTTAGCTGAGAAATTCATAGCAGTCCGATGTAGTGTAACGGCTATCATACCTGTCTTTCACACAGGAGATCGGGGTTCGATTCCCCGCATCGGAGACCATTGATTTTTTTGTATCATTCGATGGAACATTTTATGGATGTTGATTGTGATGCATAAAAATTGAGATGAGATTTATATAGCTTATCTGAGAATCAAGGGGATGGTCTCCACAGTCTGGTTGCGCCTTCCTTATGTGCACAACAACATAGCGCCAAGGGGGTGTGTCCTGTGAGAGGCACTTACTCCCGTTCCTACCATCACCAGCGAACCCGCCCATATTGCAGGTCGGAGATATTCAACCTACTGCCCAAGACACCGACCGAGCCAGTTGCCAATGCAATCTGCTACCCGGCCATTTCCTACACATATCAGTAAGCCACACAAGTCTCAATGGTCTACGTAGATTAACAGACTACATACAGTACATAAAACAGATGCACAGTCGTGATATTGACATAATCAGAGATAAAAGAAAAATACAAGAATCGTCAAGATGACGCCGGACATAGCGCCACCAGGAACAAGCACAGTGCGGTAGTTGGAGGGCCAGTGATAGCAGACATCTGGCACAATTCAAGGAGAGTCGAGATGAAAATGAAAGGAAGGGTATTTGATGAGTCGTCAAAATGTCGAGCAAAGCAGTAGGTATCATGTGGTGAATCCCGGGAAACGCGCAATCTTCAACTATCCAAGGTATTAGGAAACTCTGCCGGCAAAAATGTCGCACAAACTCGCTAATCGGTAATAGAATATCGCTCCACTAATCAGCGTCGGATGACGATATGAGAATCGAATATGGCATCTTTTGGTCGTTTTGGTCTTTTCTTTCTTCCTCTTATACTCGTAGAATGCAGCCTGCGATTGCTTCAATCGATCATCATTCGAGTAGGCACCTGGCCAGTAGAGATATTGGAGGACAGCTCGGTCGTCTTGCCCTCCTTGTTCTGCGTCTTCTTCTTGTGTACATGCTGCTTCAAGCCCTTGTGGAAATTGTGCATACACACGCAGGCATTGATGATAGTGATGACGATGAGTACAAGAGTGATGACCGCGAAGAATGTCAATGAGCGTCGAGCAGTCAAGTATAGGTCGTAGGTTCCAGGCTGATACATCCGCACGAGCTTGAACAAGAAATAGGCCATAGCTGCGAAGTAGAGAAGCTGGCAAGGCTGTCAGCTGACGATACTAGAAACAAATTAAGTGTATCGAAACTTACGATAACGACAATCATGCCAATTGAGCTCTCACGTCGCACAAAGAACGCCGCGCAAATCAGAATTATGATTGTCACGGGAATAGCAGCCAGCGTAAGGGCGAATTCAATGTCAGACCTGTTCGTGACAATGACAACAAATTGGACAGTGAATCCAAGGAAGAAGAAGAAGTCGAATTTCAGAAGCGAGATATAAATCTGCTGTGGTCAATAAACATGGACTGCGGAAATTAAGTGGTTTAGATACGAACCTGATAAGTCAGATATCGACGCTTCATTCGCAAATCGGCGCTGATATGTTTGTAGATGGACCACGCAAACTCGTCGTATAGTTTCCAGGCAACAATTATCATTAAGATCGACCCCATGGCCACAACGCATGGAATGATGATGAGAAACGGCTCGGTTTCACCCCAGACATTTTCCGCGATAGCACCGTTGTCCCATAAAATCTGCACAGCGTCCCGAATTTGTTGCACCTGCACGGCTCCATAGACTAACAGACCGAGATTGCACATGCACAATCCAATAACTTGGATAGTGTTCTTGAGGCGTAGCGCATCGTACACGAGAATCAGCTCATATATGAACCCGAAACTATAGAGGGCGAGGAAGGTTGGAATGGGCTTGGAAGCCGTTGTCGTGGCGGCCGATGGGAGCAATTGGACCTGGAAATTCACAAAAACATAGCTTTTGCGAAAATGTTAGCGGCAGATCATGCGGAATAGGATGGTTGAACTGCACTAACCACTCCAGCGCAAGGGTAATAATTGTCTGAACCAGGGTAACGATACAAAAGGACCACGTCCAAAGGGAGTTGGGGCGGTACATCTTGTGTCGCTTTGGAGGATCCGGCGGAACGTTTGTGTACCCCTCCCGTCCACGAAAACCTCGCCGAAAGGACGGATCGAAAGAGCCTCCCAGGAGGGAGGCCCGCGATGTGTTGGAATAAATTTTGACGAAGTGCTCCGTGACGGAGCTGGTGTCCGCCGCAGGATCAGGGTCGGGATACAATGTGCTGGTTCACCACCTAAAGGCGGCGAGTGTCGGGCCGTTGAAAGGTGAGAATCGAGATGGCTATGGATATTGTCGATTTGAGGACAGCTGACCCAATACCAACAGACTAGTCGCTTGGTTGAAAGACTCGATGTGGTTCAGGAGGTGAGATTTCGATAACGACCGAAAGGGTGACGATTGGACACCAAATGCATAAGCCACACCAGCCCTCCTGACAATCAGTCCAGAGTACTAGTTGGGATTATTGTAGAGGCTGGGAGCCAGCAAAAGGACAAGGTCGAGATCCTTAGGGGTGATGTAGTCGAGCCTCCGTACTTGGGGCGTGAGAAAAGTCGCGACGGAGATTTGGCGGGGAGGCTAAGTCCGGTGGTCGATGGCTCGGGACCAGCGGAGGACCAGGCTGGCTGGGTGTAAGGCTGAGCACATGCAGGGTCACGAGTGAGTTGGTGTGTCGGTTTCAGCCGGGAATGAGGGGGAATGGGTGAGGGGGTGGGTTGTGGAATGGAAAAAAACGAAGGACTGGTGGTGAAAAGAGAGACTGTGGTAGATGGAGAAAACGAATGTTGGTGAATAGAAAGAGGAGGAGGTTGCTGACAATGAATATGAGAGAGACAGGTGACAAGATTTTGGGGGGGGGGGGGGGGAGGAAGAATGGAGAGAGAAAGGATAAAGGGAAATCTAAGTCGCAGTGAGGAGTACCGGTAGAGTTCGACGGCGAGGCGAATGTAGGGAAAAGAGAGGAAATTGAATGTATTATTACGAGTACGAAGATACTTACCTACTGAATACTTTGTTGCTGTGCCTGTTGACTGTCTTTGCCGGTCGGGCGGGCAAAGGAACAGAGGAAGAGAAGCAGCCGAAGTTCCAGACGCAGCGGAAGGGTCAAGTGTCCGATTCATAAGGGGAAATTAGAAGGACGATCCCCAAAGAATAGAAGGGAGAGCGAAGGAAAAGCAACAAAAGAGAGAAACGATCATGGATGGGAGTTGTTAATTTTTCCCCACTGAGACACCACCGACAAAATCAATGCGACGGAGTAAATCCAAGCAAAATAAATAGCCTTAACCGGCGACAGTTAACGGTACAACTGGAACTGTGTATTTCCCATCCGTTCTAAATTTATGGTGCTTAATCTCGTCGTTGAGTCGCGCACGGGAACTTTTTAATTCGAATCTTATGTCTCTTATGTTGCTGTTAGCATTAATCAGGAGTTCTTGGTATTTGAGTCACGGCAGGTCGAGTCTTGGCTCAATTTCCTGCCGATACATTCTCCGTAGATAGAATCAGAAGACGCAAAGATGGCGCTGGTGGCTAGTGATTGACCGTATTGTCAGTCGGTGGGAACAACCCGTGCCTGAGACTAACTCAAGGGAGAAATCCACTAGCCTCAATTACTCCTGAATTGTCGCGTTGGAGTGGGGTGGACCGGACCCATGGACTGTTCAGTTCTGCCTGCTGCGAACTTTCGAAACCAAAATTTCGCCCGGGGGGGGGGGAGTGAACGGGGGGCCAGATTTCCATGGTTCAATTTATGCATCTTTCTCCCCCCGGTTTCTGCCTGGTTGAGACCGGCAAGAATGTGCCGGACGTCACTGCTACTGGGACAGCCGTCAATTGAATTAAGCCATTGACCTTGAATTTTGAGCAGGATCAGTTCTCCAAGTGTTTCCTGACTATCATATAGCTAGTTTATGAAACATCAGAGGACCCCGTTTCTCTAAATCAAAGATAAGATGGTGTGCTTGCCTAAGGCAGGCAGGGGCGACCAACAACTCCCAGGAGCAAGGATTGATTATCGGGGGAGGGAGGGTTACGTACTCTTTCTATTTGGTCCGCCCTCTACTCTATGATCGCGAACTTATGTAGTTACTCTATACCTTGCCTCTCTATCTGGTCTCATGTAGGGTAATATCCCACCACTTGAATGCGAGGAGGCGGATGTCCGAGCCAGAAAGAAAGTGCGCAGATGTTGTTACTGTACCCGTCCAGGGAGGAAGATGGTTGGAGGAGGAGGTGCTTGAGTGCAGGAGATGCAAGCAAGCCACAGCCCGCAGCGGCCGCGGCCATGCGATGACCCTGGACGGTGTGGCATGGTGTGGCTATTTTAGGGCCTCCCTGCCGTTTTGCTCCATCCCCCATGTGTCCGTCCGTCCATTCGACGACAGGCTTGGCCCGGTTCTGAAACAGCGGTCATAGCAGATATATTGCCAACGGTTCTCCTCTGACGGATTACTACGAGTATCTAGCATTGATTGCCATGGTGACATCTGGTTCATTTCTACCCTAGGGGAAGTGCCATGCCCGATTTTGTAGTCTCGTGGTTGACAAGGTCGCTAAGCCTCGAACCTCGAGCTCCGACGTGGTTCTGCTCTCAGTTCTCTTGCCTGCACATACCCAGATCCTAGGCCAATCTAGGGTCAATTCTAGGCTCTTAGCAGGTTGGTGGCATGCAGCAACAGAAGACATGCTTGCATCTACTGGACGTCTAGGAGGAGACATTGCAGTGAATCCGGTAGAACAGGCTCGCTCGTGGACATGGCCGTCTCAGAGGCAGGTTAGTTCTTAGGTGGAAGTTTAGCTGCTTCACTCGTGAACATGTCGTGAAGTATATCTGCTATAGGGAAAGCTGACATGAAAAATGCTGATGGCGGTCCGTGCGAGTAGTTGCCATGTAGACGTTCTATGCCGATGATATGTCTTGATATGAAGTGATATATATATCATCTGGAGGTGAGACAGAAGACCGAGCTTTCCCCCAGGCCTATTTAGCTCTCGGCCACCAGGACGTAGATCTAAATACAAGAGTTTATCGGAAGGTCCTAACTGAAGGCCTCAGCCACACGAAAGTGAAATACGAGTTGGCAAACTAGAGGCAACTACCAACTAACTCCGGTGTGTAGTGGAACTGAGTGAGAGCTGAATTGCCCGAGGTGTAGGACAAAGTAGAGTTCCACCACCGCCTACCCTGAACGGAAGCATCTGCCGGATGAATTCTAGCTTCCCGCAATACTATTGGACTACGCCAGAGCGGGGAGGCGGGAGCATCGCGGACTTTCCACCTGGCACCGAGAATATGCTTCCCACTGGAATAAAGAAGGGTAAAATGATCTCAAAAAGATAAGTTTCAACTCTCCGATGCGGGGAATCGAACCCCGAGCTGCCGTGTGAAAGACGGCGATGTTAGCCGTTACACCACATCGGATCTAGTTGTGAAAATGGCCATATTTTTGTCACATAGACCCATAAACTTGTTGAATCTTAGAAATGCTTACCAGGCCCCATCGACCTGCGCTTCTCCGTGTCTGTCCCGCTCGGCAGAACCGTACGTGACGGGGACCAGACCTAAACGTGAGCGTGGCCTCTTTCTGGCAACCGCAACCTCACCCGCCTCCCCGACCTTCTGCCATCCACTTCATCCTCCTTCTCCCCAGCCGACCTCCTTCCTTGTCCCATCGGCCAATTCATCTATCCAGCTTCTTCACTTCCCTCAATAATCTTTTCCTTTTCTCTATCTGCTTTTTAGCCTTTCTTTTCACTTTCACAATGGTCAGTGCCCTTGCCCTTTCGGTCGCCCCGATGGGCAACCTGATTGTCCTTTGCGCAAGCTGGATGATCTCCACCAAGCCCACCTTCACTTTCGGCTTCAGCATTGAATCAATCTGACCCCCAGTTCTCCAGGCTTCCCCTCGTGCTGCTTCTCCCTTGACCTCCGGCGCCGAGTCTGGTCCCGACACCAAATCTGCCGGCGCTAGCTCCGGTGCTTCTGCCGTCTCCTCTGTCAACCGTCCCTCATCTCCCACTCCTCCTGGTGGTCCCCGTGCTGCTTTGCGTCGTCGCGCGGCCGCCGACCACAAGGAGTCCCTCCGCAATGCCAGACCCAGCTCCACTCGCGCTGCCGGTGCAGGTGGTTCTTCTGGCACGATGCTGAAGCTCTACACTGACGAGAGCCCCGGCTTGAGAGTCGACCCCGTTGTCGTTCTGGTTCTCAGTCTGGGATTCATCTTCTCCGTTGTCGGTCTTCACGGTATGTTTCAACTAGCGATCACCAATGGAAATTCGAGCACTAATAGTTGCGTCTCCCCGCAGTCATCGCCAAGATCACCCGCAAGTTCTCTTCGTAAATCGCCCAACAAGCCACCGGTGCACGGTTAAACTGCCCTAGGCCCTGGCCCATCCATACATTTGTTGATGGGTGGTGGTACCCGCCGCGGGTGAGGATACTGAAATCCGGCTTTGCGAATTGAACTGTCCGCCATTTACCACCTTCGAAATCATATACCCCTGGTGTCCTCTTTCTCTTTACATTCTGTGTGCGCCGGTAATGGGGACAGTTTCTCGCAACACACGCGATCGACACAGCGCGCTTTTGTATTTTGTCTGGATTCGAATCTATCTGCCGCATAGGACGAAACGGACATGCCCGAACAGGCAAAGGAGAATTCTTTCCGAGGAAGAGAAGGAGAGAGAGGAAGTGGAACGAAATGAATATGTGTAATTATAGTGCTTATCAATGGAAACGAGATTTGATCAACCGGTCACTGTTCACACCTAGGGACATCCAGTAGCAGTTCGAGTTCCGGAGTTATTTTCCACCACTGTCCTCTGCTAAGATCATATCTTCGTCACCTGAGATCCTTGCATTCCAAGCAGACGAACAGCAAAGGAGAGACTGTCGGGCCACGAAGAACAGGATTGACTCGAATTCTTGAGCAACATTCTCATAATCATATCTCAAATACTCTACAATATCTTGTACGGTTCTACCGAGCGGCACAGTCAAGGGGAAGCGCAGGTCGATGGGGCCTGGTAGGCATCTCTAAAATTGAACAAGTCTATGTAACAAAGATATGGCCATTTTTACAACTAGATCCGATGTGGTGTAACGGCTGCGGCAAACTAACCGGGACCAGAGCCCATCTCCTTCATAATTCTACGAACTAGGATTGATCACCGCTCGAATCTCCTCCGCCTTCTTCACCAGAGGCTCCTCATCCTCAACCCTCGGCCCGGGCATGGACGAGACATACCCCTGATACGCCTCCTGGAACGGCTCGCACCAATCCTCCAAGTTCTGGTCATCGTGATCATCATCGTCACCGCCGCCATGGATGGGAACCAGCTTGACATGCGCATAGTCAATCTCGAACCCCTCGAAGATCATCCCGCACCGCTCGATCCCAAACGCCCGGATCAGCAATCTGCCGACTGTGTGCGCCGCCCTCACCAACCCCGCATATTCCTCAGCGGAGAGCGAAAAGATATCGCTCGACAGGTGCACGCGCGGCACGACCACCGTGAACCCGGGAACGTTGGGGTAGGGCGTCAGAAAGGCGACGTGGTGCGCGTCCTCCCAGACGCGCCACTGGGGTGACAGCTCGCCGCGGACGATGCGCGCGAAGAGGTTCTGGTCGTCCAGGGAGGGGCCGTGAAAGGTGTGGTCGGCGTGGTAGCTTGTTGGGAAGGCGGAGGCGGCGAAGAGGATGCTGCTGCGGATGGTGTTGAGCTTGGGGGTTGGCATCTGCGGCGCGTTCTTCGAGGTGATGTACCCCGGGTATTGGGAGTGGAATTCTTTAGTGGGGTGCGTGACGGGGGCCCATTGTGGGGTGAGGCCGTGGAGCGGGAGGAGGGAGAGTGTGGTTCCGCCGGTGGTGATTAGGGCGCAGCGTTGGACGTTGAAGGCGTCGCGGAGGTGGAGGGAGATGCGGCGCAGGGATTGGAGGGTCTCGATGAAGGTGGGTAGGGGGAGGTTGAAAAGGTTCGTTTTGTTGGTGGTGAGGGTTGCGACGGTGTGGCCTGGTGTGGTGGGGCGGAGCGTGAGATTGACTGTTAGATATGTGTCTTGGTAAATTGTGGTGTTTGAGGGGTTATTGTTGGCCATGGTGGAGGTTGTGATCGCGATCATGGTGGTGGTGGTGGTGGTGGTGAATGTGCTTGATTGTCCTTTTGTCAAAGGGGCATTTGGGGTGGTGTACGGAGTATATCTGGCTGGATGATAGCTTTGGGTTAGTGCTGATCGTGTCATGCCACTTCCTTCTCAATGGCGCCGTCCTCCAGTTCATTCCCCTGACTGCTCGGATGGCGGACTGATCGCATCTTCAGCACATGAGCCGAGCTGCTAGAAACATCCACATTGAGACAACTATATTCACAATTGTGATGATGTGGGTCTGGGATGTTGATGGCAGATCAATCACTGAACACAGTGGTGTTGGATTTGCAGGTAAGGCAACTCTTGTCTTGTGCGCATCTGCCTCAACCCTCTGAGATGATGTCTAAGTAATATGCCATCAAAGGGGCTGTACGTAGTATGTATGTATACATCGACGGAACCAATCAGCGATAGTATGCAGGTGCAGAGTGACATGTCCGACTAATGATTGTTCAGGGTCCACAGACTGGCAGCTGGAGCCTGGATGAGCAGCAATGCAGGTCTCACGTGGGTGTGTCTCGAGTCCCCACGGCCACACGCACCGTGCTCATTATATTAGTGGCAAGTTCGAGTAAGCGAACTGATAATCCAAGATTAGACACTACGTCTTGGCTTCATCAATCCACATCTTCGCAGCCCCCTGGCTTATCTTCAGTTTCCGGCTGCTTATCACCAACCCCAACTTTGCGCTGGCCAATGGGGACCTGCCTCGCTGACCTCCGCTGATAAGAATCGCTCTCCCGGCCAATGACACGATCTTGCGCTGCTATCAAAAGATGGAGTGGAACTGCAAGAAACTCAGAAGACTTCATCGATTTCCCCCGCCTCCACGAAAAAGAAGCGGCATGAATCGCCAGAGCTGCTGGGCTTAGCTCCTTTCAGCGAGATCAATGATGGTCTCTGCTTGCCGAGCATATGCTGCTTGCCGAGCATATGCTGCTTGCCCATTACGAAACCATAGCAATGCTCTCGTCTTATCAATGACTCGTTCTTCCCCGAGATCCTGCACTCAGATCCAATGACACGCGGTTGGCGAGGTCTTTATCCTCCTGCATGGCCATGTTGATCAAGATGTGGCTGCGAGGTCGGAGCTTTTCTGCGGAGGTGCTGGCCTATATGATCTCCTGCAGGTCGCCTCCATCCAGCAAAGTTCCTGCGCACACTCTCATAAATCGAACACACCAAGTATTGGGCAGGACTCAAAGATAAATCACTTCGCCATAAGCATACACAAAGGCCTGGCAAGAGACCTCCGTTATGTCTTCGGACACAGTCAGTTTTACAGCCCCGCTTTCCCAGGGGTTCGGCTATGGGATTATTGTTGGGCTGGGCTTTGCCTTTGCCCTGCTGATGATCTTCATCACGTGGGCATTGAAGAGGTATTGACCTGAGACCAAGGATCAATTGGCTCTTTCTGTTTAGAATCAAGCTGACTTGGCCCCAACAGATACCAGCATGAAGTACAGACGTCAGAAATGTTCTCGACTGCAGGGAGATCCGTCAAATCCGGGCTGGTTGCAGCCGCAGTTGTCAGTAGCTGGACATGGGCTGCAACACTCCTTCAGTCGTCCACAGTCGCATATGAATACGGCATCTCAGGACCTTTCTTCTATGCATCAGGTAGGCGAATTAGAAGATCTAAGCAGTGACTTTTTTTTGCTAAGACTATCCTGTGTAGGCGCCACTGTCCAGATCATCCTATTTGCAACATTGGCAATCGAGCTCAAACGACGTGCCCCGAACGCGCACACCTTCCTGGAAGCCATACGCGCCCGCTATGGCACTACCGTGCACATTGTTTTTACGGTCTTCTGTGTGATGACCAACATCTTGGTCACATCCATGCTGCTCACCGGTGGCTCTGCTGTTATGACTTCACTCACAGGAGTACACACAGTTGCAGCCTGCTTTCTCCTGCCTATCGGTGTCGTGCTCTATACTCTCTTCGGTGGTATCAAGGCAACGTTTATCACAGACTATATGCACACCGTGGTAATCATCGTTGTGATCTTCATCTTCGCCTTTTCCGCCTATGCGACCAATGAGAAGCTCGGATCCCCCGGCGCTGTCTATGATGCACTGGTTGCAGCCTCGAAGCGCCACCCGGTCGACGGCAACGCCGAGGGAAGCTATCTGACCATGAGATCCAAGGAGGGTGGCATTTTCTGGGTGATCAACCTCGTGGGCAACTTCGGGTATGTCTCTCTCTCTGCATGAAAAAAATCATTTCGTCGATCGTTAACCTCCAGCACAGGACCGTCTTCCTCGACAACGGATACTACAACAAAGCCATTGCAGCCAGCCCCGTGCACGCCTTCCCCGGCTATGTGATCGGCGGTCTCTGCTGGTTCGCCATCCCCTGGCTCTGCGCCAGCACAATGGGGATGACTGCGCTCGCCCTCGAGGGCACGCAGCGCCTGAGCTCGAGCGACGTGTCCGCGGGCCTGGTGCTGCCCTTCGCCGCCGTCGAATTGCTCGGGTACAGCGGCGCAGTGTGCACCACGATCATGATCTTCATGGCCGTGACGTCGGCCTTCTCGGCCCAACTGATCGCCGTCTCCTCCATTTTCACCTACGATATCTACCAGGGCTACATCAACCCCGAGGCGAAGGGCAAGCGCCTGGTTTGGATCTCGCACATGACCTGCGTGGTCTGGGCGATCGCCATGGCCGCCTTCTCCACCGGGCTGTACTACGCCGGAATCAGCATGGGGTATCTGTACCTGTTGATGGGCGTCATCATTTCCTCTGCTGTCTTCCCCGGCGCCATGACCCTGGTTTGGAAGCACCAGAACTGGATCGCCGCGGCAGTCTCGCCGCCCCTGGGACTGGCCATTTCACTTATTGCCTGGCTGGTGACTGCCAAAAAGGAATACGGGGTTCTCACCGTTGCGACCACCGGATCGAAGTGCGTTTTCCCCTGCTGCATTTACCCCCCCACACCCGCAAAATTGCCAAGCTAATAACCCTTAAAACAGCTACCCGATGCTAGCCGGCAACGTCGCCGCACTCCTCAGCCCCGTCATCTTCTCCCCACTCCTGACCCTCATCTTCGGCTCCCAGAACTATGACTACGAAAGCATGCGCGCCATCCGCAAAGTCGACGACACCGACGTCGCCGCCGCCGCCCACGTCGACCCGGAGCAGATCCCGGGCGAGGTGGTGTCGCGCACCGCGGCGCAGGAGGAAGAGGAAACCCGCAAGCTCAACCGCGCGGCGTTCTACTCGCGCACGCTGACCGTCGTCATGGTGTTTTGTTTCCTAATTCTCTGGCCTGTACCCATGTACGGCAGCGCGTACGTCTTCAGCAAGAAGTTTTTCACAGGGTGGATTGTCGTCGGGCTGCTGTGGCTGTTCTGCACGACGTTCGGCGTGGTGGTGTTCCCGCTGTATGAGGGCCGCAAGAGTATGGTCCGCACGGTGCGGTCGATGGCGTTGGATGTGATGGGTAAGGGCGGTCGAAGGGGGAGGCCGATTGATGGGGAGGTTGTTGGGGGCGGGAGTGGGACTGTTTCTGGGGTGCAGACGCCGGTGTATCTTGGAGATAAGGGGGTCGTGGAGGGGGGAAGTGAGAAGTAGTAGGTTTCTCTCTCGAGGAGGGGTGTGTGCGAGCTTGATTCGGGATGGCTCCTTTGGTGCCTGTCGCAGGTGAACGATGATGAAGTCCATGGTTGGTTCTTAGCTTGATTTCGGATATATACCCCTACTGTTTTTTATTGAAATATGATTCGCCCAAGAGGCGGTGCGGTTAGCATGATGATATGATATTGAAACTCAATTTGTCGTTTGATTATTCAGTCACAATACAAAGGCATCCAGCACAAGCACCAGCACGAAACACGAACGGCATTAAACAAACAAACAGGAAGCAAAAGAGGTATCTCCCAACAAACTCAAAACGAGGCACAGCAACATCAAGGAACAAATGACTCATCAAACCTCCTCCGCACTACTTATACACAAAGTTCTGCTGCCCCGGTTGCTGCTGCTGCTGCGGCTGCTGGGGCGCCACCGCCCCCGAGGCCTGCGGAGGTGGATAGTAGGGCGCTCCGCCCCCATACGCCGCCTGCGGGTGAGGCAACTGTCCCGGTATGACGCCCGGAGGCGGCCTGGTTTCTGGAGTGATATCCGGACGATCGCTGTACACACGCGGAGTTTAGCTTGCCTGCTATTGTGGGCTTCGACGCCCGGCTCTGAGAAGCGAGACGGAGGTATACATACCGTAGATCCTGCGTGAAGCGGCATGTGTAGCAGGTTACTTCCTGTAGTGGGGGGGTGAGTTTCCAAGCGAACGTAGGAGAGAACATAGGGATAGAGATGGGCTTACTTTGTACTTATGTGTGGCGAGAGGAATGACAGGCTGAAGGGCATAGAGACATCAGTTCATGTGGTTCCTGTTGGTGATGGTGATGATAGGCCGGGGAGGAGACGACATACAACAAAGCAGACGGTGAACCAAGGCCTGGGTGGGTAAGTTAGCTTCAAGTTACTACTGTGTATTGAATCTATCGAGAACTTGAAGATGTAGGGAGTACATACCATCTTGTTAGACAGTGCCCGTTCCAATGTTGGCCTAATATGGCAATGCTATTAGTCGTTGGACAGGGGAATACTTGTATCATAGTACTACCAGTGCTATATTTATCGATAGCAGTAGAAGGCGGCTTCCATATCACCGTGGAGAATGGGAGTGCAGGAAGAAAGATTGAAAGGAGCAGAGACCACCCACAATTGTAGCAGTATGCGCGAACATTCTCATAGCCTTCTAGCATGGAGGTGAATTCTAGATGAGTGTTAGCTGGATCTGAAACCGGGTCCTTTCCGGGTCTGGAGGTAAAATGTATGGAGAACGGCGCTGTGGCAACGGTGGTGTTGTAATTTAGTGGTCGGACACGTACCATGAGTCCCGAAGGTGATGCAAATGGCCATTTTTATATTGCGCGACAGTCAAAGATTGTTGTTACTGGGAAAGAATATGTCGTTGGTATAAAGCTTGAAAAACAAACGTAGGGAGACAGAATCGAATCGAATGGGGGAAGGCAGCCATGTTAAGAGCAAAGCACTTGGGGCCTGAGGTGTGGCGGCGGTGTGGCTTGGCAGCGGATGGTGGTTGGCTGGGCCTTGGCTGGGACTTGGCGGGCCGGTCGCCGAGGTCGGGAGTCGCCCGCCAAAGGTGTGTAGGACTCGATGTCCACGAGCATACTCCGTACACTCTAACCCAGCATTCCGGTCTAGAATTACGCAGCGGAAATATTACATTGCACCAGAAATTTCAGACTTGGTTTTGTACTGTTCAAAAGACGCAAGATTGCCAAAAATCCCAGCAGGAAGTAGCTTCTGCTTCAATGGAGCTCCCCCATTATATTATACCCCATCAGCCACTCCCAACAGAGATCGCGACGAACCACGCCGATCCCTTGAATTTCTGTATGAGACATATCTGGGCGTGGTCGCCTGCAAAGAACTCCGGAATAGGTACAGGAAACGCTTTAATGATATCGACCGCTGTATGCCCTGCGCACGCTTATTGAGTCTTGAAAAGGAGGATGGCGCAGTGACCGAGATAGAAGTAGATGAAATGTTTCGTTTCTGGGTTTTTGATCAGCCCAAGCTCTTCAATGCTGTTACAAGGTACCCACCGTGTGTCACGAAGCTGCCGAAGTTTCTTCCCACCACGCAGTGCCATGTCGCACCCTTGCGCGAATCGAACTGTTAAGTTGTAAGCGGAATGCGGGACTCGAAGTGATGCAGCGACGGGCCGACCTCTCTCTTGATGTATTGAGCGATATCCTGCGACTGTTAGCATAGCCCGCAGGTAATTTGCGACCGGTGAACTTACCTTCTCGATATGGTACTTGTCCATCGCCTCGATCGCTAACCAGCCTGCATTAGTCGGGATCAAGATAAACCCCGCAGTCGAACATACCAACTTCAACAGCTTCCTGCTGCATATCCTCCGTCTAGTATCTTGTCAGTGTTGTCTCGGATTTCTGCTGTGTTCGCTCTCCTCACCATGTCGACGGACTTGATCTGCGCTGAACCATCCAAACAATCACATTAGCTCTCGTCTGCAAGACGCCCGGGTTGACTCACGCTCCAGCTTGTCCTTTTTTTCGGAGGCCATCTTGGTGGCTAATTATGTCAGAGAATGATAAATATAGAACGTTAGAGACAGAGACAAAATGAAATCTCAGGATTAGTTTGTGCAGAAGATAGCCAATGTCGCCCGACCAGGAGTATGATTGGGAATCAACAATTCTAGGTTGCGCGCAATGAGATCTAACGCCGATTGATGGACGGATGGAGCTCGGGTCATGCCGCCCCACACACCGCCTTCGGCACTATAAGGAAGCAAAAAATAAAAAAAGCTCCCATCCGAAAAACTTTTTATTTCTCGGATTTCTCTCTCTGTTTCATCCCGATTCCTGTGGCACGCACAACACTTCGAGAGAGTAGGCCACAGGAAGCTAAAGCAATTCACTACTCAATCATGGCAAGCACCAGAGTTTTTGTCTCTGGCCTTCCGCCAACTTTCTCTGATGATCAATTGAGAAAGCACTTTGCTAGTCGCTTCCAAGTCACGGATGCTCATGTATTGCCCAAGCGCAGGATCGGCTTCGTGGGCTTCAAGAGCCCCGAGGCTGCCCAAGAGGCTGTGTCTTATTTCAATAAGACATACGTGAAGATGTCAAAGATCTCAGTAGATATTGCCAAGCCGGTATGTGTGTCTTGTTGCCTTTGTCGGACTTTTCAGCTTCTTTTTTTTTTCTGTCTTCCCCGCTGACGATCAAGGTGGTCTTGAGACTGACCAGTAATCTGTAGATTGATGCCGAACCTACCCCCAGAGCTCGCAAGGCTTTTAACCCCAAGGAATCTGATGATGATGCGGGAAGTTCGCTCAAGCGTAAGCGTGATGGCGACAAGGCCGAAGATCCAAAGCTGCAGGAATACCTTTCTGTAATGCAGCACTCATCCAAGACTAAGACTTGGGCCAACGACGATGCTATCCCTAAAGTCCCGGAGTCAAACTCACCTGCAGAGAAGCCCGTCGAAGAGGAAGAAGAGGAACCACAAGAGCTTACTTACGCCCAGAGAAAGAAGGCCAAGCTTGGCGACGCCTCGGGCAACCCCAGAGAGTCGCATGTTGCGGAGCAGCAGGTTGAAGCTGAACCTGAACCCATGGTCGTTGATCACAGTGGTGAGGGCGATGCTGAGTCCCCTGCGGCTCAAGACGATACTGCCGCCCCGGCTGAAGAACAGGGACCTGTCTCGGATGCGGACTGGCTTCGCTCCAAGACGAGTCGTCTTCTCGGCCTCCTTGACGAGGACGAACAGGCTGATTTTGGAACTTCCGCGCCAGAGAAGACTACCTCCCCTGAGGCAGAGACTGGGATGGAAGTCGACACAGTACCTGCTCAGGACATCTCACCCACCGAAGAAGCTCCCGCTGGTAAAATGGCGAAAGAGCCGGAGGTCGATACAAACATTGAGAACATTCGCATCTCAGCACGTCTTTTCGTTCGCAATCTGGCCTATGACACGTCGGATTCTGATCTTCAACCGATATTCGCTCCTTTCGGCCAAATTGAAGAGGTTAGTAGTTCAATATTTATCCTGTTACACCTTGCCCTGCCCCTCCCCCCAAGCTCAATGATGAACGACCTGATAGGGACATCCGATGCAAAGCACATGATGTTGCCAGGAAACGAGTATTTTAGTAGATGCCTCGAATATCTGAAAGAGCTATACCCTCAATGTTCTTGCCACTCATAATCTGGTTGGTCGGTACTGACATGATTAGATTCACGTTGCTGTTGATACTCGGTCAAACACCAGCAAGGGCTTTGCTTATATTCAGTATGCCAATTCTGATGCTGCCGTAGAGGCCTACAAGCAGCTGGATGGCAAGCACTTTCAAGGACGTTTGATGCATATTCTACCGGCTGCTGCCAAGAAGACATACAAGATTGACGAGATTGAGTTGGCGAAGCTGCCGCTGAAGAAGCAAAAGCAGATTAAGAGGAAAATGGAAGCTTCATCCTCGTCTTTCAGCTGGAACTCGCTCTACATGAATGTGAGTCGATTCGCTTCAATCTACGTCCCTTCAAGGCTAATAGATTCTAGGCCGACGCTGTCATGTCTTCAGTAGCTGAACGCCTTGGTGTTTCGAAAGCAGATTTGCTGGACCCCACATCGTCTGATGCAGCAGTCAAGCAGGCGCACGCTGAGACGCACGTAATCCAAGAGACGAAAGCCTACTTCTCAGCTAATGGCGTCAACATCGAAGCCTTTAAGCAACGGGAACGTGGAAACACGGCTATCCTAGTGAAGAACTTCTCGTATGGCGTCAAGACTGAGGACATTAGAAGACTCTTTGATCCGTACGGGCAGATCACCAGGTTGCTGATGCCACCCAGTGGTACCATAGCAATCGTTGAGTTTTCTCGCCCTGACGAGGCCCAGAAAGCCTTCAAAGGCTTGGCGTACCGCAAACTAGGGGATTCGATCCTCTTTTTAGAAAAAGCACCCAAGGATCTATTTGATCCGAACGTCGTGCCGCAGAAACCAACCACTGAGATCAAGGCTGTTTCGCAAGGATTCTCCACGGCTGACACATTTGCGGCAGATGAGGCTGTTGATGATAATCTGCCCACTACCACCTTATTCGTAAAGAACCTCAACTTCGCTACCACCAATCAGAGCTTCGTGGATCTCTTCCGGCCACTTGATGGATTCATTACTGCTAGGATCAAGACCAAGCCTGATCCAAAACGCCCCGGACAGACTCTCAGCATGGGTTTTGGCTTTGTGGAGTTCCGCACCAAGGCCCAGGCCCAAGCTGCTCTGGCCGCGATGAATGGCTACAAGCTTGATCAGCATGCACTGGTGGTTCGGGTGTCTCACCGTGGAATGGATGCTGCGGAGGAGAGGAGGCGGGAAGATACCGCGAAGAAGGTTGCCGCCAGACGCACGAAGATCATCATCAAAAACTTGCCGTTTCAGGCTACCAAGAAGGACATCCGGTCACTCTTTGGCGCCTATGGCCAGCTTCGCTCCGTGCGAGTGCCTCAGAAGTTTGACAGGACGGCTCGTGGTTTCGGTTTTGCTGACTTTGTAAGCGCTCGTGAAGCGGAGAATGCCATGGACGCCCTTAAGAACACCCACTTGTTGGGCAGAAAGCTGGTGCTAGAATTCGCCAACGAGGAGGCGATCGATGCTGAGGAAGAGATTAAGCAGATTGAGAAGAAGGTAGGAGAGCAGATGGACAGGGTGAAGCTACAAAAACTTAGTGGTCCTGGGCGCAAGAAGTTCACTGTAGGGGCCCAGGACGAGGAGTAGAGTCCCTTCTCTACCCTTGGATTTCTTCACTTCCTTCCTGTCTTCCTCCCTGTTAGGGAACAGACAAATGACAATGGTGTACTGGTGGTGATGATATCCCTTGCGTCCGCGACGCTGAGTTTGGAGGGCGGAAGCAGGCTCTCACGTTCACCTGCGGCTGTCAACACGTTCCATACGCGTCCTGCAGAGCGAGCAGAAGCTCTCGTGCCTGTTCCCACGAGAGTTTATGATCCTGTCATCCTAGTAGGTCCTTCGCCGGTTTCTTTACGTGCTATTCAAGGCTCATTGCTTCCTTAACTCCTTATACCTACCAATCTATACCTCCAGACCACACAAAACCCTTGGTCATGGATGTGAGAATTAAGCTGCAGCTAGGGTGCTCACCAGCATTCCGACGTGATCTTCGTAATTACCACTTTGCATTCCCCATCCTCGGCGGGAGACAATGCTGTTGGCTCACGCCCATTCCAACGGTGGGCCTTGGCCACCACTCGTCCGACTTTGATGCTGTGTACCTGCTTTTCAGGTAACTGATGGCCATCTCCTGCTGCAAAATCCTCCCGAGTTTCACCTCACTGGAGCGTGCACCCTGAGGCACCCCCTTGCATCGTCCTCCGCTCGTGCCCATCGTACGCTTCCTACCCTCCTGATTTGCTCCCCACGCCTCTCCTTGGCTCAGCACTCAAATCTGGACGCGTGAAGCCTGGAAGGAGCTTCCCTGTTCCCACCTTGGACAATCGAGGTTCGTTGCCCTAGAGGGATGGCCCATCAACAAGCAGTAGGATCGAGTAATGTCACTGGGCCTCCCTCTCCAGGGAGAGAATGGTTCCCTATAAACACCATGTCGCTCGCTCCCACATTCTCTCTCGTAGGTTCTTACATTCTCTCCAAGCATTTCCGTTCTTGATCGCTGGGTCGGTGACTGCTACGTTCTTTGCCAGGCAGTAGTAAGCAGTTCGCGGCCCTCATCCCCCATCTCTTCGGAATTTGTCGCCATTCTTTCCAAGAGCCTAACCTCTGGTCCGCCTCATGGCTACTGACTGGCAAACGGAGTGTATTCTGCCTCAGCATCAACCTACTCTGGACAGTATCGGAGCGCATACGGACAGAGCGTTGCAGAACACCTCTGGGAACGTTCAGACCTACTCGGACAGCCTTGCACACAGTGGAATCCCTGGACGGGATGATCATTTGCATCATCTAGCGTACAAGTATCCTCAACCTCCTGTACCGACACACCCAGTCCCCACGGTTCATAGCCTTGGACCCCCTCAAAGCCTACGATACCAGACAAAGAGGCTGCGGCGTCTGCAGTCTGTTGGTCCGAACCTCGTTGGGCCGCGTCGACCTAGAAGCTACCTCAGGTCCCAGAAGTATCTAGAGTACCGAGCCCGCCCTCGTCGGGACACTGGCAAAGATGGGGAACCGGTATGGTCGGACGAACTTGAAGACGCGTTTCAACAAGGTGAGCAGCTTCGGAACCACAGTCTATGGGCATCAGCGTAACCTTTCACAGCTCTCGAAGCGAATCCGCCGATGGGCCGACGGAAATGGTCGGAACGAGGAAAGTCCTATGGTCGAAATGAACTTATTGCTGAATACATCCTCAAAAAGACTGGTAAACGACGAACCAGAAAGCAAGTGTCCAGCCATTTGCAAGTCCTCGACTCATTCCTCAAAGGAGACCCGGACTGTGAGTTCCTTGCTTGTGCGAGTGAATGAATTCGCATCAGACTAATGCAGACCAGGGGAGCGCCTTGTACGAGAAGAGGCGGCCGTCCGCTCGAACAGCCAACATCCGCCCAGTGGTCCAAAATGGAGGGCTTCCTTGGACCCTCCCATGCCAAGTCCTTATGGCAATCACTTCCACACCCCCCATTATGATCATTTGAGACTGGGGCAGGCCTATGCTGGCGATATCTCCTCGGCCCATATCTCCCTCAATTCAAGCCTTCACGACGCCAGCATCAATACTATTCAGGGGCTTGGGTTTGATATGTGGGTGAGCGCCCCCGACAAGCCAAACCGAATCGACAGCGCTCTCCATGTCTACAGCCGCCTGCAGGGAGACCAGCGCCATCCTGCTGCACCGCCGTTGCCATTGAAGGACTTGCCAGGGTGGCAGACTTCTTTTCCTCATTTGAATTCATTGATCGCAGACCCCAGCACCCCACTTGATTGCGAGATCATTCTGCTCGAAGCCAACCTGAAGTTAATGGATGACTTCCCCGAACCTCATTCGAAGTTGGGCATCCACCTGGAACTCGATTTTGCCCAGGCAACCACGGGCGATATGCCCATGGTTCACCAGATGAGCAACTGGACTTGTAAGACGTACATGTATGAGAACGGACAGAAGACCAACGAAGGGTGCCAGGAGGTGGCCCAGCCGGGATCCACCAAGGTCAAGCCTCTATTTGAGTCCAAGTGGTGGGCCAACATCTTCACACTGCTTACACAGGACCAGAAGATGGCCGAAAGAGCTGGCCAGCATCATGTTTCGGATGAACACTCTAGACAGTTCTTTCGGACCCTGACCGTAGTGCAAGAGATTCGAGCCATGGCGCCCTATAACTTGCGACGGATGTCCAATTCCTACTCTGACCATGGTTTGACTGAACCGAAACGCGTGGCAATTCTGCTCTGGAAGTTCCGACAGACGAGACCCAATGAGGTCGGCACCACCACCTGGCGTCGCATCATCCCTCCCCCCGAGCGGACATCGCATGCGAGCCCCAAAGCAGCCTCTGGACTTGACCTGCCTCCTCTCCCCTCGGATTCGATCTTGATGAACCGGCCCGGTCCCAGTGCGTACCACCCGTCTCAACCTCATGAACTGCTGCACACCACCACTGGCTCTCAACCTCACTGGCCTCTGTACCACCAGCCCCAGGACAGTGTAGCAAACATGTTCAATCCGAACGGGCCATTTGACTTCTTAGGATCCATGCCCAAGGCGGAAGATCGCTTGGTGGACAAGACATCGGTGACCTCGGTGCTGGACTCATTCTCTCATCTCCACCCACACGAGACTAGCCAGCCCACAAGCCTCGGTGGCTCGTCTGGCGGGCCCGTCATGATGAGTGTCCCGGATCTGTCTCTATCGCATTCCAGCCTGTCTGGATACAGTATCGGCCCCGATGGCCACTACGTGCCGCCGCAGTCCCATGGGGTCGGCGTGCACGACAACAACAATGTACTCCACAGCATTTTCGGCACCAGCGCTCAATCTCTTGATGATATCGGCCACAGTCACGCCGCGTGGGCCACACCCACGACGACCGGCATCCAAGGCGATGTCACTGGGGACAATTACACGCACCTGCACCACTTCCAGCCATCCGACCATCCGAGTTCTGTACCTCGGGAGTCCCACGCGGCCACGAGCTTTGAGGGACTTCTGCCCCCGGATGATCTGATGGACAAGCTGGTCGGAAGCATGCCCGGCGATCCGGGCCTCAACGGGAGTGGTCACGATCACCCGCATTCTGCATATGCAGACAGTAATTCGGTCGAGGCGGCTTGATGCATATTATTTTTTCGGGGGTGGGGGGGGGGATTTGGAAAAGCATATTTTGTAATAACTTTATTCTTCTCGGGGCGGGTTCTTGGATGGGATAGTTTCTTCCTTGGGGTTCTGGATAACCTTTTATTGATACCTAATTGATTCGATTCTTGATGGATGCAGTGGCTGTAGATTGATTCTGCTGTAGAACAATACATCCTGCTTCTGCAGCGCCAAGTGGGTCTGGGACAATTTAGCCGAGCCCGCAGCTGCATTTAGCCGGGGAGGACCGCCAGCGCCGGCAGAAGCATATCATTTTAGCCTCTAAACGCATCTCGATTACACTTTGAGACACTCCGCAGGGGCTGGAGGGGCAAATGCCCCCCGTCTTTTAACCATCTCCGTCTTCCCCCTCCTTTTCTCCCCTCATTTCGACTTCCTCTCAGCTTCCTCACCTTCTCCCACTCTCATTCACAATCCTACCACCCAAACATCATGACTACTCCCACCGTCAAGCTGAACAGCGGCTACGATATGCCCCTCGTGGGCTTCGGTCTGTGGAAGGTGAACAATGACACCTGCGCGGACCAAGTCTATGAGGCGATCAAACAAGGTTACCGTCTGTTTGACGGCGCCTGCGGTACGTTGCCTCCTTGCCCACATATCTTACCGAAATCATTCCCCATCATCCATCCCCCTTTGACTAACCTTGCATCTGCAACACCCAGACTACGGCAACGAAACCGAAGCCGGGCAGGGTGTGGCGCGGGCGATCTCGGAGGGCATCGTCAAGCGTGAGGAGCTCTTCATCGTGTCGAAGCTGTGGAACAGCTTCCACGACCCGGAGCGCGTGGAGCCGATCGCGCGCAAGCAGCTGGCCGACTGGGGGGTGGACTACTTTGATTTGTACATCGTGCACTTCCCGATCGCGCTGAAGTACGTGGACCCGTCGGTGCGGTACCCGCCGTCGTGGACGTCGGAGAACGGTAAGCTGGAGTTCAGCAACACGCCGATCCAGGCGACGTGGCAGGCGATGGAGGCGCTGGTGGATGCCGGGCTGGCGCGCAGCATCGGCATCAGCAACTTCAGCGCCCAGCTGGTCATGGACCTGCTGCGCTACGCCCGCGTGCGGCCCGCTACCCTGCAGATCGAGCACCACCCCTACCTGACGCAGGAGCGGCTCGTCGAGTACGCCCAGAAGGAAGGGCTGGTCGTCACCGCGTACAGCTCGTTCGGCCCGCTGAGCTTCCTGGAGTTGGAGGTCAAGAACGCCGTTAACTCGCCGCCCTTGTTCGAGCACGACCTCATCAAGGGCATCGCCGAGAAGCATGGCCGCACCCCCGCCCAGGTGCTGCTGCGCTGGGCCACCCAGCGTGGCATCGCCGTCATCCCCAAGAGCAACAACCCCACGCGGCTGCAGCAGAACCTGGATGTCACGGGCTGGAACCTCGAGGAGGGCGATATTCAGAAGATCAGCGAGTTGGACCGCGGGCTGCGGTTCAATGATCCTTTGGGAGTGAGTTACTCTTTTTCGTTGATGGTGTGAGGATATGATACTGACTACGGCTATAGTACGGGCTCTACGTTCCCATCTTCTAAACATGTGATATGATGTATGAATGATAACTTGATTCCTGTTTTTCAAGTCCTGCGACTCCTTGAGTCTGGTAGTGCGTAAGACAATGTAGAGTAAGATTGTCGGATTCTATAACCTGCAAACCTGGAGCATCCATCGGGATGCCACGATGCTAGATACAGTACATCATCTTCCCTTGCCTCAACCCTTCCTCTGCATCCCCGACGACTCCCAGGAGTCCCATTCGGCCTTGCTCAAACGCCCTCTGATTGCTTAGTTAGTGGTGATCAGATCGTGGTTTCTTTGATCTCAAAGTATCTCATCCAATTACATTGAGGGACTGTTCTTTGTTCTTTAAATTCTTTATCAATGGTATACTTAATGCAACAAGCCTTTTTCTTGGAACTCAGCTTGTCTCTCCGGGCGCGTACGAGAGATCTGGCACAAGGTCAAGGGCGACGCCGGCCCGGAGATGCCCCCTCTGAAGCCGGGCGATATCTGGGAGCGCTTTCAGTGCGGCTATCAATACTCCGTGGTCGACTGGCCCGCCAAGCAGGCCGAGGATTATAGACTTCTCAGCGTTTGATGAACCAAACCTCCTGCTTGCACGAGATCATGATATTGAAGTTGAAGTCGGCTGGGTCCGGCAACCACTGGAACGACGCAGAGCTGCGCGCAGAAAGGCTCTGGACGAAGCATTACTAGTCACTTGATACAAATTCTCGGGGATTCAATTCACTCACTAGAATATAAGAAAGATGACTTAGCTATAGTAATTAGGGTTATGTCCACTGCAAACCCACGGAAAGTCACAAGAATAATAACTGAAAGTAGTACTAGAAGGATAGAGTAGTAGTTACAGGTACGTCCTCCGTAGATGAAGCACCCTCCCACCGACTCCATCCCCCGATAAAGCACCGATAAGATGTAAGATAAGCACCCGCCAAGCCCCAACTTTCCTTCTTGCGCGCGCGACAACATTTCCATCCGTCATCCATCCATTCATCCTCAATTCGAATCCCCCAGCCTCACCCTACTCAACCCCATGCAATAACCACACACAGAGAAAAAAAAAGAAGATGTCCCTCTTCACCAAAACGATCCACATTACCGCCAACCCACCCCCCCGCACCCTCGCCGACAGCAAACTCATCCTCTCCGCCCTGCAGAAATTCGGTGAAGTCGTGACATTTCGCAATCTGAAGGTATAGGAGCTACCTCCCTTCAAGCAGATATTCCCCCTACCCGGCTCCGAAACGAACGACACTTTTACTGTTATCGTCATCATTATCATCATCACTAACGGCACAGTGAATGAACAGTACGAAGTAACAAACACCACTCCCCGTCCTGAAAGCCACACCCTCATCGCCATCTACGAGGCGACCTCCGCTGCCTCGGCTGCGATTGCGGCCTCACCTTTACATATACCCCTGCCTGTACCTGTATCTGCACCTTCTAGGGAGACGGGGTTTGGCACGAAACCGCAACAGCAGGGAGGAATACAACAAATCCACCCCCGCGAACAAGAACCCCACCAATCACCACCACCACCACCGAAATACTATACCCCCCTTCCCCTTGCGCAATCATCCACAAAATCACCACCACCAGGAGCAGCAGCAACAGCAGGCAGCACCATGCAATGCACCCTCACCGCCTCACGCACCAACCACACCGCCGCCATCCGCAAGAATCCCTGGCACGCGGGCTTCGAGATCGAGCGTCAGAGCCATCCGTACATGTACGAGGACCTCGTGAAGGCGGGAATCCCTTTGGCGGAGTTGGCTGATGGGCCGGCGCGGCGGAAGGGGGTCGTGGCACATGGGCGGCGGCAGAAGGTGGAGCGGGAGACGGAGAAGTGGGGGGCGGGGAGTTTGATGGGGATGTATCGGGGGAGGGCTGCGCGGACGGGGGGGACAGGTGTCTGAGGGTGGGAGGGGTTGGTGATGGTGATGATGATGGTAAGGCGAGGGGGGGAAGGTGGGGGAGGTACCTTGCAAGACCTTCTCTCGCGAGCTGTATCTTATAATCATTCATCTTGTAGTATTACTTCACTCCAGTCGAGGGAAAGTTGGTCATATGCACATCGTATATCATATCTTGATACTTTCATATCAAGCGGGGAAAGAAAGAAGATTACTATCTATTGCATAGTTCTCCCCAGTTGCAGCAGATATCCACCTTTCCTTTTCCCCGTCTTACCCCACCCCCACCCACTATCACGCAACACGCATATACGCTAGGTACAATTAGCACACCCTCCCCCAAAAAGACGAGACAAATACTCACTTGCGTCCACCTGCATGATATGCGGGATTGCCAACCGCACCTTGTTGCGGTACAGGGCGGGCGCCCGCATCTGCAGCGGGTTGCCCTCGAAGTACACTGTCTTCAGGTTCTCCTTGTCGCGCAGCTCGCGCTCCACCTCCTCGAAACTGGCCAGCTGGTTGTTCGACGCCCACAGCTCCTCCAGATTCTTCAGGTGCGACAGGTTCTCCAACTTGGAGACCTGGTTGTTGGAGAAATCCAGCACCCGCAGATTCACGTTATTCTCCAGACCGCCGAGCTCCGTGATCGCGTTGTGGGAGAGGTAGAGTTCTTCGAGGTTCGGCAGAGCGGACAGTCCGCTGATGCTAGTGAGACGGTTGGATTGGATCGACAGGATGCGCAGGTTTTGGAGGGCGTCGAGGTTCTGTCCGATCAACAAGTGAGCTACTGCAATATGCACGCAAGCCCGCCAACAACTCACCTTCAACTCGGTGATTTTGTTCTTCCCCAGCCATAATTCCTCGAGCGATTGTAGCGTCTCCAGATTCTCGATTTCCTGTCCCACACTTTGTCAGCCTGCAATTCGGGCTTCCCACCCCCCATGGGCCCAGAAAACCCACCCGAATCCGATTCGCTCCCAGCTCCAAATTCCGTAGGACCGTCAGCCCTTCTATCGCCTCGATCTTCGAGATCTTGTTCTGCACGAAGTACAGATCCGTCAACTTGACCAGATGGTTGATGTTCTTGATGTGTTTGATCTTGTTGAAGCTCAGGTCCAGGCTGGTCAGGTTCTCGAATTCATCCAGCCCCTTGATATGTGAGATGAGATTGTCGTAGAGGTCGAGTTCGGTGAGCGATTTGGCGAGGTTCGTGGGGAGGTCGATGCGTGTGATTTGATTCTGGCGGAAACATACTCTCTGCGATGACGAGATGACCAAAAAGTTAGTTAGGAGAATCTGGCGGGAGGCGGACACAGACGCAAGAGTCTAAAGCTTTCTGATACTGCCCCGTGGGAGAGAAGAGTCCTCTTTTCAGTAGACAAGACGGACAGACACACCTTGACTTTCTCAAAGCGCTCCAATTTTAATGCCGGGAGCGACGTTATCCGACAATGTATTAGGTCGATTTCCTATTTTCCCAGACAAAAGTTTTGATTAGAGACCAGTGCCATTTGGTTCAATCCCAGAAAAGCCCAGGAATTCAGCTCCAGTGCTGTGCACCGCGCCGCGCCGCGCTGCCGCATACCAGCAGCCCAACGCGTCGACATCGCCCCGCCCTCTTAAAGCGTTCAACCGTACCTCTGTATCCACATCCTCATCTTCCAGTAGATCTACCAGCATCGGTTAGTGAATTTTCCCCTCTCGCGCACACCCGGAAAAAAAATCTGGAAATGACAGGTGAGAGGCCTGGGGCGTGCGCACCTTCATCGGCTTGAATCTCCTCCACGGGCGGCGCATCCGAGTCGGAGTAATCCGGATCTTCGAGAGCTTCGGGGTTGGTGATGATGGCTTCTTTGGGCTCCTCTCCACCGACGCGGAGTTTCCCATCCCAGCCGTGACGGTCTTTCATTGTGGTGTGTATAGGATGTAGGTGAGTGTTTGTTGTGGAGAAGAGGCAGTTGGAGATGTTTTTTTGGGAAAAGTGGTGTAAGTCTGCGTTGGAGCTCCGGCGGGCGGATGTGGGGGGAAGGGGGGGGGGGGGCGCCCAAGTGGTTTGACCGACGGAGGAATGACGATGCCGAGCGGGGAGATGCTCATCCACTGTATATCCAAGAATGCGGAATATTAGGTATTGGGGTTCAAGAGGGATAATCATAGGACAGGAGGTTTGTTTCATCTTCCTTCTCAAGACTCGACTCCGTCGGGGTCCCGTGCGTAACACTTTTCAGCTCATTTCCATCATCGTCTACATGAGCTAGGATCATCGTTTGTATAGGATGTCTTCCAGTCGAGACAGGGACCATCCGATCTTGAGCTTGAGGATCATTACAGGGATGTAGGGATTGCCTTTGCTAGTTCAAGAGCTCCTAAGAACACTACAGCTCAAGTGTGTCTGCTGAATATGAAATACCCACTTAGAGTTCGTCTTATCTTTGTTCTCATGGAGATTCTGCGGGAGAACAACATGTTTACATTAATTCAGACTAGGGATCTTAGACGAACATCAATAATAACAAACACTGAATATTGCTCATCGTCGCAAAAAAGACTTCAATTTGTTTTAGAGAATTAGGGCCATCACACGATCAACGGACTGATTCAACACTATGAATTGGATCTTTGGCCACAACTGTTTGCTTTAAATCCAACAATACGTCAAGCAGTAGTCTTGAAATCTGCGGCTGATCAAGGGCGGGTACAAATTCCCTGCGAAGCCGGCTTGTATCGAGCTACGAGCAGATCTGCGCAGAACTCTGGCTTCGGCCTATCGATGCCCCACAGTATTGAAGGAGCATCCTACGCGTCCATGAATCACCTGGACCACGCGAGTTGCATGACCGTAGCTTTGATTGGTCTCGAAATGGTCAAACACAGGATCGGATGGAGTGACGACGCTTGTATGTACAGGACGAGGCCAAAGGTACATGCACCGCAAGATCACCGATACTTGTCAAGCCTGGATCGATGAGATTCTATGTGTGCACCAGAGCATGGACAGGTGGGACGGGACGTGTATCAAGATGTTATCCACTATCGAGGTCTCCAAAAAAAAAAAGAGGCAAATCGTGGTAGACAAATGTCAAAACGCGCGACGGGGGGTGGAATCACATCTTCAGACACAAGAAAAAGGAAAAGGTAACCAGAGCGGTAGGTCGAGCCTCGAGGGCTGCTCGTGTGCAGATCACAAAACAGGAGCAAAGGAAATACAAAAACATATGAAAGAGTGAAAGAATAGGTAAATTGGGAAGCGTATACACGAGATCAGCAGAATTTGGCTGATGACCAAGACGGACGCCTGCGGAATGCAACAACACACACACACACAGAGTTTTGAGTACTAGAAACAACAATAGCAGGGGGGGTAATCAGGTATCTACTCACTTGGAGTGTAAAAAAACAAAAGATAAAGGGGTAACAGCGCAGAGAAGAAAATGGCCGGTGCGCCGGAGTAGAGCACGGCAAAGTCAAGGAAACATACATCTCCACTTTGGAACGACGTGAAGGCCCCGGCTTGCCTGGAGCAGCTCGTTGCTGGCCACAAAGACAAGAAATTTGTGGCCGGTCACAACCACTCGTCAAGCGGGTCAAGGACAGACGCGGTGGAGTCCAAAGAAAACAAAATGTCCAGGCTGTGATGCAATTGCCAGACGAGCTAGATATACAGGCATTACAATGCAATGTCGAGAACAAGACTGACGTCTTTCACTTGCGCTCCGGCAAGGTCTTCAAGGACAGGAATTAGATCTAGGAGCTCGTTATCGTGGGCGTCAGAGAACCAGCTGCTGATGGGTATCGCATGTTGAGGGTGGAATATATAGGATGTCGGGGAATTATCAATAATGATGGTGTCTCGTAGGTCGCGGCCAACTTGAGATAGGTCCTGTGCGAGGTCAGTGTCCGTATGAGATTGGTGTGGATGAGAATGCAAACCTTCACGTAATTGCCTTGGTGATTATAACAGCTGTCTCTGAACAAGCGATGGTGGACAACATTGTGAATGTCCAATTGATCCAACAAGGGATCGCCATACTGGTATTCACGTCAGTGGCCATGCTATACATGTGGCGGAGACAACCCACTTTCGAGACAGAGGCAGTAAAGACAACAACCTCGTACAATTCCCCAACCCTTTTCATGAACTGATCGACGCCAGGTCGTTTGATGACGTAAATGTTGTGGTACTGGCCTTCTATTTCAACAGGGATCGTGAAATCTGCGCGCTCGAGAACCTAAATTTGCTGGGTCAGCATAGTGCAATGATACAGAATAAGAGATTAAAAGTACCTTGAAACTGCTGTGGACGAGCGTTTCATCCAGATCCAGAACCAAGCATTTTCTGTTGCGCAGGTGAGGTAAAGGTGGAGGCAAGAGGAATTGACCATGCTCGTCGGGATCCACCGTCTCAATGTGTTTCTCGCTCGGAGGCATCGGCGGGGGTGGTAACTCCGGGGCTAATGTTGATGCCTCTTCATCGTGGGCTGCATACTTGAGGTCGTCTGTTGTATCGTGCTCGGCCGGGAGCTGGGGGAGCTCATCGGCTTCCGGAGTGAGATCCTGAGTCTGAGCCTGTTCCGTCGGCAATCGTGACTTCTCCTTCCCCTGCTGCAAAGAATCGTCCCCGGTCTTTTCGGCCCCGTTTGGAATACCCGCGCCCCCTTCAACGGTCGCGACAATGAAATCAGGGCCTGGAGATTCGGAGGTATCTTTGGTCGGTGTAGACTCTTGATCCTGTCCAGCCTGACCGGACTGCGCAGCCAAGCCATCGAATTTCAAGTCCTGATCCGAGATTTTGGCCGTCCGGTCCTCGTCCTTCTGCGACGCCGACTGATCCGCCGTGACCATCAAATTGGGCTTCTCGTCGCGATAGTAGGCCTGGTCCTTAGATTCCACCGTGCTCGAGTCCCCAGTGTTGACCTCTGTCTTTTCCGGAGTTGGCTGTGTGTTGGGTACCGATGGCCGCCGGGATGTTCTCTTTGCGGGAATAGCTGGCTCCTCCGGGTCATCGTTGGACGAAGAACAACAACTGAGAAACGCGAAGAGCCTCAAGGTGACCTTGCTCTTTCGTTCCGGTTTGGAGGAATCACGTATCTCGGGGGTCGCCGTCTTGTCCTCTTCCATACTTCCCCCTTCCTGATTTTGCCGACGTGATCGCATGCTGCTGCCTCTGCTCCGGTCCCGTCGCCCTTTCAGAATGCTTCGTTTCGATCCGCGGAGGGTGTTCTCCGAGTCATCGTTGACAGTGTCCTGGCTTTTGTCTAACGTTGACTGCCGGTCGGCCTTTAGAGACGCACGCGACGAGATGGGGCGGAGAAAATGATGCTTTTTCGGAGGATCGGTAGTGGTGGCCGTAGAAACACCAGATGCTTGGTGATCGGTAGCTTCTAGTCCGGTAGACGGAGATGACGCACTTGGATTGGCGGATTGGTCCTGAGGCACCGCCTCAGGGGCTAAAGAATGAAGTATTAGCGATGAGGCTCGAAAGCGACCGGTCGCTTTCATGAGCAAGGGGCGGAAAGCTTACCTGACTCGGGGTGACCTGCTGCGATAGACATGGAGGCTTGTTCACTGGCCGCAGCGGAGTTAGATGGAAAAGAATCTCGCTCCGAGCTCCCTCCGAGCATTGAGGGTAGCAGGGCGAGGTTCACGGGGGATGAAAGGCGATAAAGGAAGGAAAAAAATCAATAGGAGGTGTGGGTGTGGCAAGAGGGCGAAACGTCGGGAACAAGGACCACCAGGGTATCCGCCGAGGAGAGAAAGAGAGGGGAGAGGGGGGATGAGGAGGAGGGAGTGGGAGGTGGGCACGCTGAAGGTGAAGGTGCAGCAGCAGGCACGCCTCCTGGATCTGGCGGAGGAGGGGGGATGGAGAAGAATGAATGAATGAATGGATGGAGGGAGGGAGGATGGAAGGCAAGTCAATTGCAGCAGTAGCAGTAGTAGCAGTAGCAGCAGCAGCAACAGTAGCTCTGGGTTGCGGACCACCGCCTCGAATAAGGCTAGTGCACACTCACAGCACCAAGACTTGTCGCAGATGCGGGAATTTGGGGGGAACAATCCAATCAATGCTCAGATCTCTTCTCAAAAATCCTGGAAATCGAACTGTAGGCAAGTATAAAATAAGTCATATGCGACTGGCACGATCTCGCCGTCTGGGGATGCTCGCAGGCACACAGGCTGACAGACAGACAGACAGGCAGGCAAAAGGCAGGCAAGGTCGGGATGTGGGAATGCAGCCAGGAGATCACGTGGCAATACCAGGATGCAAGCTCCTCGACTTCTCGCTGAGTCTCTCCGTTCCCTCTTCTCACTAGATTACTAAGAAATCTAATAAATTAAATCAGATGGGTAAAGGAAGAAATTGACCGGGTACTGGAGATGGAACGGGCCCTTCCCTTAGGGTACAACAACAGGAATGTTGCACTGGGGCTGACGGATACGGATGGGGGGGAGGCGGATGAAGTTTAATAATAATAACCATAAAGGAAAGGTGAGGTTGCTGAGCCCTGGTCTTTGGCGTTGATCGGCGGTCGACGATCAGGTCTTCTGGCCTCTAGTCCCGGTGGCCAGTAGGTGGCCTGTTCAAGCGCCTAGTTGGTGCTTGTCAAAGAGGCAGAAGAGGAGATGAAGACGGGATTGCCTTCTTACGAAAGGAGGGGAAGGAATTACCAGGTCGTAGGTAAGTAATGTACTATGATCCTGGGTTGCACAAAAGCACAGGAGCACCACTGCCTGGGAGTTGGAGTCTGGTGTCTTTGGCTCGGCTCCTGGACTTGGCTAACCGTTTTTAGAGAAGTTGAGAGAGAAGGAGAGTGTGGTTTAAAAAGGGGACCCGACAAAGACGGAGGGGAGAAAAGGAGAAGAGAGGAGAGGGAAGTCCTCATGGAAGGGGAGAAAGTGAGTGCAGAGGAGGGAGCGGGGGGGGAGCAACAATAATAACACAATAGAAACTGATATGATGACGCCAATTGACTCCGATCAAGTATTGTTCGCACCTCGCTTCACACGCCGGGGGAACATTCCAAAGTACTCCGTACCTCGTGTGTATTTTGTACCTACCGCTACGTCGGTCATTCCGGGCGGAGGAAGTCTACACAGATCAATAAGTTACAAGTTGTCAGGAACAGACCTGAGAACCACAATGGACGGTCTGGACCAGAGCAGTGAAAGTTGGGATAGGTAAGTAACTAAGGCTGCAGACTAAGCAACGCTGACTGGTTGCTGGAGGGAACTCGGGCGGAAGTGAGAGAAAATGCCCTCGCAATTTCAGGCCTCGTTCAAATCAAGCGACGAGGAGATGCTAAAAGCAGCTACCTACTCCGTAAACATGACATCTCTCGCCTTCTCTTTGAGTTAGTTCGTAGCGAAAGTAAGATTGGAGCCCGCCGCTTCCCCCATGCTTTTTTCCCTCTACTTTAGCTTGCGCCAATCATCAGCCTTGAATCCCCCGTCCCAAGCGCACAGGGCTCCAGCGGAAAGGGAGGTGTTTCCACCGCAGATGACCAGAGGGGGAAAATCCAGGGGTATCAGCAGAAATGATCTCATATCATCGGTCCGATGCCGGCACCTGCTTCCATCTCATGATCTTCAATTATCTTCACCAATGCATCCGTGATAGATTTGCTTTGTACTATGGAGTTTGCGGGCCGGAATATCGATGTGATAATGTCTGCTCTTGAACAGCTGCAGCGGTCAACTTCCGCTAGACTCCGGCCAACCGGCTCTGAACAAGATCGACTAGACGGCTCCACCCACTTGCTCGCTCGTATCGATTCTACGCTGAAGCTCATCAGGGCGGCCGGCTTCAGGTCCGACGAATCCTGCGTCTACGAGGCAATACTCGGGCCTGTCTACCATCACAGTCATGTCTCGCATGCGAACGATTGGCGACCCTGACCAAGACCACTAGTAAGTCAGACCTTGGCCCACATCGTTAACCGCCATCTCGACCTTATCACAAAATCACAATGCGTTCGGGGCGGAGTGAGTATGTGCCCCTCGACTGAGCCTGCGAATCAGAACTTGTACAACCGACTTGAGCCTAGCCCTCAGGCCCGTGCAGCCGTGCCAGTAAGGATCTTAGGGATTCGCAGGTCGTTCATTTCCTCCTCTCCTGCAGCCAAGGTTGAGACATCGGAGCCCTGCTGTACTGATAGTCAGACCTCCGCGGTAGATTTGCTTCTACCTATCGCACCAACCTGCATTTATACAGTCCAGTGCAGCCGAGTTGGCGAGCAACTGCCCCAGATCTTGCCGCGCCTTGCTCTTGCGCTGGTAGCGTTCTGTATTACTCTGCGTCCCGGCAATCAAAGCCCGCATGGGATCAAGATTATCGCCATAGACGCACTAATCCAGTTAGCCCCTACTTAGGCGTGGCACTCGCGCTTGCACTATGCGTTCTGAACCATGCCAGTCACCGCTCGAATTCGAACGCGGGGGATTCGGACGCCGAAGCTGGACAGTCTCCATAAGCGCCCATCGTGCTCGACAATCCCCATCACCCGAAAGGGATTTTTGAATCACCATCTGTAAGCCTGCCAAAACATCTCCAATTCCTCATAGATAAAGTATCCGTGATATGATACGTACATGCGTCAAGGAGATGGATGTACGATGTATGGATCGCGCAACATCCGCATTAGCCTTAAACTTCCGGGTAATTGGCGCACCTCGTGCTGGATGGGTCCGCCTACTGTAACTCGAGCTTACACTGCAGTCCACCCTCGTTGCTGAAGCTTAACACGAATTTTACTTCCTTGACACCACAAATCTGAATGTACAGTTCGAGAACACCTCAGTCGCATTCTTACGATCTAAGCCCAGCATTGGGATTCTGTGTCTACACGAGAGACAGCCTTGATACCATGACCGATTCTTCGTATTGTTACGCAAGAGCTTTTACTGCGTCCTGATGTGCCTCGGGCAGCTCAACCCCGGCTTAGCTGCAGCGACTTTGGTCCACTTTTGAATAGCGGGCGCTTACGCCGGGCGCCCGGGCGTGCAAGTGCAACCATCGCAATGGCTGTTAGGTCACAAGAACTGGCTGTTACTGTTAGTACTGGGCGAACCAAAGACTAGTCGAGGGTCTTGGATAATACTAGAGAAAAGGCAGAGAAAAACAAAAGGAATCGGGGCGCTGGTCGAATCGAACCCGGGGGCTTGACTGTGGATTTGGCCGATACGAGAGAAGAGCCTTTTCAGGGGCACGACTCTCTGTCTCAGGACTAGAATACAGTCCATTGTGGCAGGTAAATGCTCAACAACAGGTGTGTACCTAGCTATTTAAGCAGGTCGCGGTGTACTCTCGACTTTTCATTTCTGCCACAAGGGGAGACACACAGCTCAGCGATTTCATCGCCTTGCTGGCCCCTGCACATACATTAGGCGCGAAGCCTTGTGGTACCCACAGTATGCTCGCTTGGTGGGTATTGAAGCAATCATTCTGAGAGTGTTATTATAGGCTTGGATAATACCATCTTCCCCCTCTATGGAGTGTAGAGGGGATGAATGTTCGGGCACCAGCGACCGACGTCAGAATCTGGGGACTCCGCACGTGAGCCTCCGCCTCTCCGCAGGGTTGGTTGGCCCGAGGTCTTCACATGCGCGACTACGCCCATCAGCTTCAACGAGCAGCGAGAATGTGACCTGTTGCAGCCTGAGTTGTCCCTATCCCTTCTTCATCCATATCACAGATTACCAGTCTTCATCTTTCCAAACCCGCATCTCAACTCTAGCACTTTCTATCACCCTCATGGCCCTCACCATCCAGACCTAAGGGTATTGACTGCCGCACCGGCAGCCTGCGATCCTGGCAACCATACACCATCCCCCGAGGTCCCGCGGCCGGTGAATGAATCGAAATGGCCGCTCAGTCAACGCTTCAGCATCGAGAGGATCCGCTGGTGGTACTATACAACTATTATGTCAACCTTACTCGTGCTCGGATAAAGCGCTCATCGAAAGCCGCCAAAATCGTTGCCACAATCGCCCTGCTCCTCTCCATCGTCGGGTCTGGATATGGAGGCTATAAATGGTTCCGGCAGAGGAGAAAGGAACACGCACAGGGGAGGCGGCTACTCCGTCGTAATTCGGGGATTCGTGGGAAGGATGGAACGCGAACGATCTACGTGCCTTACAAGGGATCCATGACCTCCAAGGTCAAAATCTACCCTACCAAACCCACGACGTTTGACGCGCACCGACGGCTATTCCTCAATCCTCCTGCTGCCGCCCGGGTAGGGGACGGGGCGCCGACCAGCCAAACCCCACCACCGATGACGAAGCCAGGCTTGAACCTCGCTTTTCTGCATCAGTTTCTGAGTCTGGGGAGCATCATGGTGCCCAGATGGAGCAGCAAGGAGACCGGTCTCTTGATGGGTCATGGTGTCTTTCTGCTGCTACGGACGTATCTGTCTCTGCTGATTGCACGCCTTGACGGTGAAATCGTGCGAGATCTCGTCGCCGGTAAGGGCCGGGCCTTTGCTTGGGGCATTGTGAAGTGGTGCGGCATCGGAACGCTTGCATCATACACCAATGCCATGATCAAATTCCTCCAGTCAAAGGTGTCTATTGCGTTCCGCACTCGACTGACGCGGTATATTCATGATCTTTACCTTACGAACGATAACAATTACTACAAACTGATGAACCTGGACGGCAGCATTGGACAAGGGGCGGATCAGTTCATCACACAAGACCTTACTCAATTCTGCTCTGCGGCAGCATCCCTCTACTCCTCAATGGGAAAGCCAATGGTGGACTTGTTCGTCTTCAACTACCAGCTTTATCGATCCCTGGGACCGTTAGCTCTTACTGGAATTCTCACTGGTTATTTCAGCACGGCAGCAGTCCTCAGGAGGCTGTCTCCTCCTTTTGGGAAATTGAAAGCGGTTGAAGGGAAGAAGGAGGGAGACTTCCGCAGCCTGCACTCCAGACTTCTCGCCAATGCAGAGGAGATTTCGTTCTACGGTGGCGCGGACATTGAACGCGTTTTCCTGGCACGAAGCTTCAAAGACCTCCAGCGATGGATGGAGGGGATATATAGTCTGAAGATTAGGTACAATATGCTTGAAGACGTGATCTTGAAGTATGCCTGGTCTGCTTTTGGGTACCTCGTCACATCTCTGCCGATCTTCCTCCCTGAATGGGGCGGCTCCGGCGGCACCCTTGAGTTGCTGGACCTACCGGAAGGTACCGGTCGTGAGCGTGACCGTATGAAAGAATTCATCACGAACAAACGCTTGATGCTGTCGTTGGCGGACGCGGGCGGCCGTATGATGTATAGCATCAAGGACATTTCGGAGTTGGCCGGCTACACATCGAGAGTTTACAGCCTCATCTCCACCCTCCACAGAGTCCATGCCAATGCATACTACCCCCCGCGTGATTCTGGCGCAGAACTTTACTCCTTGGCGGATGTTCAGGGAACGATTCACAATGGCTTCGACGGCGTGCGTCTCGAGCAAGTTCCAATCGTCGCGCCATCGCTCTATCCCCGCGGCGGCGACGAGCTCCTGGAGTCGTTGTCGTTTGTCGTGCACTCTGGAGACCACCTGCTGATTTCCGGACCCAATGGCGTTGGCAAGTCTGCCATTGCCCGGGTTGCAGCCGGCGTTTGGCCCGTGTATCGTGGCTTGGTCAGCCGGCCACGGGGCTTTGGGCTCGATGGCATCATGTTCCTGCCCCAACGGCCATATCTGAGCGTGGGAACGCTGCGGGATCAGGTCATCTATCCCCATACGGAAATTGACATGCGCGAAGCCGGAGTTTCCGATGCTGCGCTGCAGAGAATTCTGGATGATGCCCATCTGGGCTATCTTCCTTCGCGGGAGGGCGGATGGGACTCTCGGAAGGAGTGGAAGGATGTTTTGAGCGGCGGGGAGAAACAGCGCATGGCCCTGGCCCGCATCTACTATCACGAGCCTCGGTACGCTTTTCTCGACGAGGGAACCTCTGCCGTCTCGTCCGACGTGGAAGGATTGCTGTATGACCGAGCCAAGGAGCGAGGAATCACTGTGATTACGATCTCCACGCGCGCATCGTTGAAGAAGTACCACACCTACAGCTTGAACATCAGCATTGGGGCTGAAGGTGAACAGTGGGAGCTGGAACGGATCGGCACGGCCAAGGAGAAGCTGGGGGTGGAGAAGGAGATCCAAGAGATTCGCAAGCGACTGGACAAGGTAGAGGAGTGGAAACGGCGGCGCAAGGAGATTGAGGAGGAGTTACGCCGGGTTTGGGTGGAAGAGGGCGAACTCGCTCCCCCGCCTTATGAGACAGATTCTGAGGTTGTGGAAGGTCCGCAGGTGGTGGTCGATTGACCGCTATGTTGTGCATTGACTGATATTGTGTAGAGGTATAGTGAGCCATATGCACTGCGAGTGGCTGCCAGGCAAGAGATTCTGCCGTGTCACGTAAATGTCATGGTACTGTGGAGATGAGATAGCGCTTCACTGAGTTCTTCCCTGTGCGTAGTCTTCTATGATCGAGCTGTATGCATCTGAGTTTACCTGTATGCACCTGAGTTCACCTGGTACATCTGGTGCATCTCCATATTGATCTTATAGCCTGTGATCACATGACCGGCAGGGACAGTGATGAAGGAAGATGGATCCCAACGAGAATTGATTTTCTACCAAATTCAAAGTTTCCCTCCCAACGATCTTCCACTGGTCCAAAATCATTACAAAAACAACTACTAGCATCCAGCAATTTTTTTCTTTCAAAAAGATATCCGCTGAGATCCTCCCGAGCACATTGCCGACCAAAAATGCTAGGTGGCCTCCTGGGCCTCTTGTGCTTGTTTCAAGGGTAACTTAGTCGTCTGGATGTGATTTTCCCGCACTCCTCTACATCACCTTACCAAGTTCCCTCTCAATCTGCCTCTCAAAGAGGGACTTGCGCAGCCAGGTTGGCAGACATCGTGATGGAAGGCGAAGATGCCGGGCCGATAGTCATCCCCATCGATCGGACGTATAGCGATGGGGATCGCGCTGGGTGGCCCACGGACGCGATGTTCGACATGCCCGACGATAGCTTCTACCGCCGCAAGATCGCTCGCTTGTGGGTGCAGAAGGTCGGCACTTATAGACCGGGTAGGTTCTGTGTTTGCGTGATTGGTTGTTTCGGTTATGGCTTAGCATGACATGTCTTTGCTTGGTTGTCACTTGCTGGGTGGAGCAGTGGAACTGTGGTGATGTATACTCGTGCGTTGCATGCTGCAATTATTGGTTCACAGCCGCCTCACGCCTGAATGGAACATTCTTTGTTCTTCATGTGAGGGGATTAGTATGTACGCCATTGTCTTCACTATGTCTGGTCGCATGTGTACCCTTTCAGGTTGTATGCATGGTAGATGATGACGGTGGATAGCAACTGGATCCTCTTCACTTTTTACTCGGGTATCCACAACTTCAGTGATTCAAGCACTGACTGACTGCAGGCAAGGACTACATTCTGGATACTTTACCCGATGGATTCGCCATATTCGACAGACCCCGAGGGACAGACCCTGACATCGTAAGTAACTAGAGTGATCACCCCAAACCTGTGACGCCTGACTCAATATCGCAGCGAGATCGCTTCCTCTACGGCCATCCCCTGCAGCAATACTTCTACTCTACCGTGCAGTTCTTCCCCCATTTCTGCCATCTCATGAGTCGGGGCAGGGAGCCCTGCGCGTGCATACTCTGCGAGAAGCTGGCGAAACGCAGGAAAGGTCAGTTTCTGCACAAGCTCGTCGCACTAAGTTAGACGACTCTGACCGAAACCACTCTGAAAGACGGCATCCCTATCAAAAGAGGAGTAGGCCGGCCCCGCGGAAGACCCCGGGGCACCTCGTCCGGCAACAGCACCCCCACGCCTGTCAGAGCCGTAGGCACCACCACCACCACCACCCCCGGCAGACGGGGCCGACCTCCCGGCAGCGGCCGGAAACCCGGTCGACCTCCCGGCGCTGCGGTCGCTGCTGCCGGCGCCGTGCGCTCCTCGGGACGGCGGCTTGCTGGCCCGCTCGCAGAGTTGAGCCAGCCCGATATCGTAGACAGCGAAGGCACGCCCGACGTGTTCAAGACGGCCGTGCTCGAACTTTACCGGACCAAGGGCGAGGTAGACATCAGGATCAGGGAGCCCAGCAGCATGGACTGGCGCGCCGAGCGGGCCCCGCTGCACGAGTACCTGGAGAAACTGACCCTGCTGCCCTCGTTCGTCCCGCGCGCCGGCGAGCTCGTGCTGTGGACGACAGAATATCAGGGCAAGCTCGCCTGGAACCCCGAGGCGGGTCAGGTGCAGATCTACCGGCACAAGCGGTGGCACGGGGCGCCGGAGTGGCGGGCGGGCGTCGTGGGCCAGCTCCCGGAGGAAGAGATCCAGTTGCAGGACATTGTCATCACCACCCCGAAGAAATGGGGCCCCAACTACTCCGGCTTTCGCGTCGAGACGTTTCCGGACTCCAATAGCGACGACAAGAGCTACTCCCTGCAGCACAAGTACGTGCACATGAAGTGTCTCCGGCCGTTCGGCGCCTACGAGCACTTCTTGCAGGGCATCCCGCCCGACCAGCTGCATCCGTCTATCGCCAATGCCATGACCGTCATGGCCTCGTTCAGCCTGCTGGAAAAGTACCGCTTCCACGGAACGTGGCCCGACGCGGCGATCTACTGTCGCGGGATCTTCATTGGAGCGGAGCTTCTGGTGGTTGGCGACGCCGTCCGTCTGAAACCGCCCGCCACGGCTGCCGCAGGCGCTCCTACTGCCGCAGCGGACCATGAGGTGCTGGTCATGGTCATCCAGGAGGTCCGGCTGGAGCTACGGGGATGCGACCCGGACCCGCGGTCCAAGCAGCTGGCGGAGACCTATCAGGTGCGCATCCAGGGCAAAGTGTACACGACGAGCCGCGCACGAGCGCTGCAGTCTCACACACAACACCAACCACCACACCCACTAACCGCAGACGAGATCGCCAGCGCCTTCCACTACGTCGGCATGAGCGGGTACGGCGACTGGTACGCGCTGCACGTGGCCAGTGTGTCGCAGGACATGGTGCTCGGCCGGTGCTATGAGCCCGACGCGATGCAGCTGCTGTTCCGGTCGTTGGGGCTGCACCACGATCTCGCCGGCGTGCTGCGCGGCCGGGAGTATTCGCGGCAGACGGACGAGCGCATCCGGCCGGGCCAGCGCTGGTTCTGGGGCGACTTCCGCACGCAGACGCTGGCGCTGGACCTGCTGAACGGCGAGGACGTCGGGCATTATAGCGATGTGCGCGACGTCAAGATGTGGCGCGCCAATCTGCGGGTCATCGATGGGGTAGCCAAGGCGGCGGATTTCCGCGACGCCAGGATTCCGGGCGATGTCGGCCGGCCGTCAACGAAGACTGCCTCGAACTTTGCGAAGGTGGGCAAGCTCAGTAAGCTGGTGAGTACGGGGCTGGGCGCGGGGGACGGAAGTGCGGTGGGGAGTTCGGCGGAGGATGGGGGGACGAGTCAGATGGAGGCGGAGAGTGAGGAGGACGAGGAGGAGGAGGAGGACGAGGACGAGGACGAGGACGAGGCAGAGGAGTTCATGCTGAGGATTGATCAGTTACGAGGGGGCACCGAGGAGACGGAAGGAGGGGACTACGAACCCGAGGAAGAGGAAAAGCCTCAGCACAAGCGCGTGCGCACGATGCAGGGTCGATAATGATCAATGACACTCTCCGTATCGCTAAGCATAAAACTAATAAGTCTTTGCAACCACCCCGCGAGCAAAATCCGCGAAAGTCACCCCCGGCTGCACCTCCTCATCCAAATTCGGCTGCGTAAACACCGCCAACGTATTGCGCGCAATCCTACGCCCCTCCAGTCCCTTCCGCGCCCCCTTCACAAAATGCGGCACCGCGCGGAACTGGCCCCGCGTAATCAGTTGTAGCGCCTCGCCCGTCTGGAAGGCCAGACAATCGCGCGGGATATTGACCTTGACGATCTGCCCGGTCCGCGACTTGATATACAGGCCGGCGGTGGGGTCCGGCGAGGCCTGCAGTTCCACCAACCCCTCTTCTCGGGGGTGAGTCAGGTCTTGTCCAGCTTCATCCACAAACATCGCCGACGTCAACCCGGTTAGACAGCTATGATCGAGATGCGTCGCGCACCAATCATCATCATCCTCCCCAGCAGCAGCATCCTCCCCCTCTGCCGCATCGGCCGCCTGCTGCTGCTGCTGATTGTCGACAGGGAAATAATGCAACAGCCGCGCCTTACTCGTCAAACTGCCCCTCACGACCCTCTCCAAGTACCCCGCCTCATACCCCTCGATATTCTCCCCCGCGAACCGATCACACGCTCGCGCCACTAGCGCCGCCGTGTCGATGATCAGCGTGCACAGCTCGCGCACGCTGGACTCAAACGTCGGCAGGGAGGTCGCGGCGGGCCAGATGTTCGGCGCGGTGTACTCGCTTAGGTCGGGGTGGTTGTCGGCGGGGGCGCCTTCGAGGGTGGCGGAGTGGTAGAAGGCGCAGTTGAGGTAGTAGCTGCCCTTGTAGGTATCGTAGACGCCGGGGCGGAGGGTTTCTTTGCCGTGGGACCAGCCGACGAGGTATTTTGCGGATGGGGAGGTTAGGGATTCTATGGGGTTCGGGGGAGGGGTTAGTTCGTCTTTCCTGGGGGGAGGTTTGTGGGGATAAGGTACGCACCTAGTTCTTCCTCAGGGAGAGCGGCGAGGTAGGATGCATTGGAGAGGACTTGGGCGCGCAGAGAGGCGAAGTTGGCGGGGAGATCTTTGACGATGATAATCCCTAAAGATTCGGGGCCGAACGCTTCGGTGAGGGTGTTGAAGCTGATGGTTCCTTCTCAAAGGTTAGTTCGGGTTGCTGTCGCGCGCGCAAGGTAGGATGGGTATGGATGGTGATAAGTGTAGATACACTAAGAAGAGAGGAGGAGGAGTGGCTCACCATCGATCAGCTCCTTCAGGCTGACGGTCACGGCTTGGCCTTGCGCAATATTCTCGAGACCCATGGTGATGTTTTTTTTTTCTCCCCCAGATGTAGGTACTGTACGATGCGGAGGACAGAAGAAAGAACAATTTATTCCCCAGACAAAAATTTGGCTCGGCCCGCTCCGATGTCCGCTTATCAACGGCTCTAAGTTATCGGCTGTCAGTCCATGTGCCGAGGTCACCGATATCATATCATCAGGGTGTGCAGTATATTGAGTGTACATATCAGACGATGAGGAGAAATCTGATTGTAGGTATCTATGGTTACAGCGCGAATGGTATACATGTAGCAGAGTACAGCCGGCCTAACATGCAGCTCCTCACTCACTTCTCACTCTTCTCGACAGGGCGAGTCACTTGCCGGAGACTGCCAAATGGAAGCACATCCCCAATCTTCTTCGCCCCCGTGAACAACATGCACAGCCGGTCAATCCCACAGCCCCAGCCCCCCGTCGATGGCAGCCCCCATTCCAGCGCCTCGAGGTAGCTCTCATCAATCTCCTCGGTCTCGTTCGCCTCCTTGCTGAAGCGCACCTGGTCTTCAAACTTGCGTCGTTGCTCAAACGGAGAGTTCTCCTCCTCGTAGGTGTTCACAACCTCCCGGCCCTCGACGAACAGCTCAGCGCGCGCCCCAACACGGTGACCCGTCATCGGGTGAACGAACGACTTGGACAACGGAGACAGGCATTCAGGCGGATTGATGATGAAGGTCGGGTCGATGCACTGCGGCTCGAGGTACTCACTACACAGTCCATCCAGTAAGCGCGGCAGGGTCGGGTTCGAGGGTTCGGGGAGCGAGAGATCCCGATACAATGCCTTGACTTGCGCTAAGGCGTCCGCACCCGTAAGATCAGGGAGCTTGCGGCCAATGGCTGCCTCGATGCCCGTGATGAAGTCGATGCGACGGAAAGGCGCCGTGAAGTTAACCTCCGTGGGAGTGAGCGTGTTGTTTGTGTTCAGCGCGTGGATATGCTCCGACAATCCCGATAGGAGCTTCTCCGTGATCGAGATCAGGTCGTCCAGGTTGGCATACGTGTGGTAGAATTCGCAGGTGGTGAACTCCGGGTTGTGTGTTTTATCCAGTCCTTCCTCTTCGTCAGCCACTCTCGTTCATCCCCAGTCCGATCAACACCAGCCTACCTTCGTTGCGGAAAGAGGGCCCAATCTCAAACACCTTATCGAATCCTCCAATGACCAATCGCTTCAGCCAGAGTTCCGGCGCAATGCGCAGAGACAGCTGACGGTCAGGAAACTCGGTGGCAGACGTATGGAACGGGCGAGCGATCGCACCGCCGGCTACCGCCTCAAGAATCGGGGTGTTGACCTCCATGAACTTTCGGTCAAGGAAGAACTGGCGAAGATATTGGATAATAGCCGACCGAGCGCGGATGGTGTCGGCCGTCCTCGAGTCTGCCAGAAACTGGACATGACGAGGGTATGGGGAGGTCTCGTGCGTATGGGCGTCCAGAGGAACATCGTGCAGACACGGCGAGAGGAGTTGAGGCAACTGAGTCGCCAGGACTGTGAGTTCGCCTCGTGCAGTGCGATGCGGTCTACCGGTTACGGCTGGGACAGAGGTTCAGTCTATGACCGACAAGATACAGAAACTGCTGACGGACATACAGAAGGCATCGCCACGGCGAAGCAGCCGGTAAAACTTCTTGAAGTGCTCGGGAGTCACCCCTTCCAATTGACTGATATTGCACATGACTTGCAGTTTATGACCACTGTGGAACATGTCGAAGAAGATCAACTTGTTGCCGGCCAGTCTATAGGTACGTACCCTACCTACTGATCTAAGTACGGAGAGAACATTCGATAAAACGCCAGTCGAGGCGGAGACCTACCATTGACGACAACCGTGTGTGCCTCTACTTCATTTTCGACTAGGTGGTCGTAGCGCTCACGGAATTCCGCGCAGCTGACCGTGTGTTCACTGGTCTCAAACCGAGGGTATGCCTCTGGAAAGGTGGCCTGGACCGCCTGCAGACGCTCCTGGAAGGCTCTTTCCGGAGAGGCTGCGCTGCTACTATGCCGTGACGCATGGACAGCAGGGAAAAACTGATTTACTCGAGCAAACTTGCCATTGGTCTGCAGGGCCTGGGTGCGGGTTGAGATCGGAGCTCCTGTGCTGAAGATGCTATGTTAGCAATGGCTCTTGCAATCCATTGTTGCGAGCGTGCCAAACATGAATACGTAGATACAGTCAGATGACATAGAGTCTTCCAGTTACGCTCATTACTTGAGAGTTTCCCCCCAAGCGTTCGGTGCAGCGGTTCTGAAAAATGGAAGGGTATGTCTCATCATAAAAGACAAGAGTAGGGCAGAAATTATCTCACGTTGTCAACTTACCTAGACAGGGCCTTTCCGACGCGCAGCCGCGACGCCCACTGGGGGCGGATTGAGTGCATTGAAGAGGATAACAGAAGACTACGTGCTCACATCATATGCAGCGAGACGAAGAAGAATCACGAGCGGGTTGTGTGCGGAAGAGCTGGGAAATGACCAGCCGACAGAAAATCCTGAGGCGGTGAGAGGAAGAGCCCGCGCCGACTTTCCTTCCGCTCCCGGAGCTTCAAACAAGAGACTGGAGTTCTAAAGTAACTATACACTATTAACCTTGGTTTATTCTATCATCTGTGAGTGCCATCCGTTTCCAGAGCCTCTGGACTGACTGCTGAAGCTTGCTAACCCCTTATCTCTAGCTTACCCCACTCCCCAACAAACCCCCCACACCATCACAATGTCTTTCCTCTTTGGCGGCCCTCCCAAGATGTCCTCGGAGCAGAAGATTGCTGCCGCTGAGACCGAGGTGGAGATGATTTCCGACATGTTCAGCCGGTGAGTCGAATAACGATTCAAACCCCCTAGGCTCTGCGTGGTTGGGGATCACCCGTCCTCAAAGAACGCATACTCATCGCTCTTCGTCCTTGTCGCGCGTCTACTGACTGTGCATCCCCGATTAGCCTGACCCAGTCCTGCATCAAGAAGTGCGTGCCCACCGACTACCGCGAAGGCGATCTCAACAAGGGCGAGTCTGTCTGCCTCGACCGCTGCGTGGCCAAGTTCTTCGAGGTCAACATTAAGGTCAGCGAGAAGATGCAGGGTGAGGCCGCCCGCGGACAGGGTGGCATGGGTGGTATGGGCATGTAGATGGGACGGGTACACTTGGTCAAAAATTTTCCGTTTTATGTATTTGTATAATCGATTGGGATCTCTTTTTCGGGACGATTTGTGCTTCATCGTGATGATTTCTTGCTACAATTCCCCGTGATGAACATGGCTTTGGAGATATGAAGAAGACGGACATTGGGTGGGCCTAGACAGTGGGTGAACGGCTATGGTCCACTGCTTATGGGATAGATATGGGATGCTGCTGGCCTTCATGGAGTAGAGTGCAACAATTGTATATGAGCATGACCTACCAAGCTGTGGCTGACGCCCGAAGCTGTGGCTAAGGGAGTCGGGGGTTGACCACCAGGCTGCTGCTGCTTTCAATGCATGCACCGTTAGTGGCGGCGTTCTAGAACCAGTCCTGCTCAGGCGATACGATCTTCTTCCATATTAAATTTCAGTTGGGATCAATCGAGATCAGGTCTTCAGGCTTCACCGCAGACAATAGTTACTCCCTACCGACACAATCTTTGGAATAAAGCGGACTCACCGCTCCCCGAAGCATCATCCCCTTGTGACGTCGTCGGCTGCAATGCCCGGCGACCAAAACCAACAACTGCCCGCCTCAACGGCCAACAATCTGCCCTGTGCTTTTCCTCTGCCTCACCACTCCTCGCCAACCATCTCCTAACGGGATGCCTTGGACTGCCTGCCCCTAGCTTGGCTTCTCACGTCTAAGCTTGAGGCTTCATCGGTGCGCCTTTTACCGTCTTGCTCGACGCATCCTGGATAGATCAATGGCAATCGCTTTCTTCTTCGCTGGTTCAGTTGAAAAAACACCCCCGGAGGGTTAACCATCCTGTGTCGCATTCTTCTTCTTTTTTTTTCTCTTTTTTTTCTTTGTTACTAGCATTCCCTAGTTCCCTGGCTGGTTCTAGTGCTTGTCTCATCTTGTCTTTTTCACGCGGAGGTCGACTCTGCGCTCATCCCCTATGTGCTAGGATTAACAGTTCAACTTCTATACCATGCCACCTTCACCCACACAGATTGGTGCGCATGCCACGCCTGCTGCGGTAGCAGTGCGAGAACCGACGAGATCATTACCGAAAGAGAGTTCCCCCGCGCCAACAAATGCTCCGGATGGGCAGTCACCACCACCGCGGCGTGGCCACCAGAAACTTGTCTTCACCGACCCGGTCGCCTTCCGCTACTTGGAGGAGGATCACTTGACGCTGGTGCTACACCGACGAATGGTTCTAGAAGGATACGAGGTCTACATTGTTGAGCAATGGGCGTGCACCCGGATCCATCCTACTTTCATCATCACAACCTACACAGGAGATCCGTCGCACAAGGTCACCGTCGGGGTGCTGAGCGTCCCCACGGATGAGTCGACGTGGTCGCCCCGCCTGCGGCTGTATTTTAACGCCGTTGTACAATGTCAGGCCCAGAAGCGGGATACTCCCCTGGGGACGCTGATGGTCACTGATCTCAGTGTGTTCCCGTGTGCGCTTGCCCTCATTCCCGTCCCGGACGGCGATGTCCTCAAGCACAAGGATGATTTTATCGTCAATGAGAATTTGAAGAGACTGGGTTGCTCCGGCCGTGCCAGCTTGAAGCTGCAACGCCCCTCGCCTGCCACTGAAGCAAAGTTCCACCATCTGTACCGGACGAGTGAGAGAGTGCCGCTTTATAGCGCAGTGGTTGAACTGGTGAAGCAATGCCAGATTGCTTTGATGATGTTCGGCAACTTGGCTCCGGAGTATGTGGACGGGCTGCTCTGTGATATGACAGAGGCTGCTATAGCCGACTGGTGGACCGAGATTGGCATGGATTTGTACAATATCGAACCCAGTGATAGCATGCTGGGCCCCATTTCAGTCTCTGCTCTGCTGGGGACCCTGATTGGGGCCCGGAATCGGCTCCATGCATTCGGTGCTCCCGTCGGCAAGGACGCGTTTGATATTGAGAACCTCGAACGGGGGATTGGGAGCTTTCAGAAATCGCAGAAGATGAAACGGACCAGACGGCTGGACCGCCAGACCCTCGACCGGTTGCATCGCGTGACTGCGAAAGCAGCAAATGCCGAGGGCTGGACCGATGCTGTGAAGTCGACGATGGCAGAGTTGAGTGGGCATGGCGGTGAGATGGTCATGGGAATGGTGCGGGGTCGCGAAAAGGGCGGCATCGCAGACATCGAGACTCTGGACATCGACACCTTTGCGCGCCTGGTCAAAGGCGAGAGGGCAAAGTGGCTGTGGAGGGGCAAACCGCGCAAGGGTGGCATCGGCGAGTCAGTGATAGGCGGACCGGCCGCAGCGGACATGGTCTTCACCTCTGATGAGCAGGGAGGGTACCTCTGGACGACGCGCAAAAGACATTCTCAGGAGGACATGACGGCGGAACGGCTTCGCTCGGAGGCTGATCGCTCACAGAAGCCCCCAGCGCCAGGCGTCCCGTTCGACGAGAAGGATCAGAACCTGAGCAGTATAGTGCGGAGAGGCGTCAGTGGAAAAGTATCCGACGCACGAGCTGGATTTGGCAGGTTCAAAGATGCAGTCGGCCTACGGTCGCATCCCTCCAAGCATACCAGGGAGGGGCAATATGGGTATGGCGACTCGTCTCACCTGCCGCCGATCGACAGTGATACCGAACCGAGCCAATTGAACAAACCCGACGGCGACGCGAACACCGCGGACCAAGCAAGTATCCATGAGTCCGAAGGCCGAGCTCCCAACGAAGACGCCGCCGAGTCTGTGCCCAGCACTGTGCCCCCGCAATCGCCCGAAGCCAAGGCACCCGCCATAACGGTGGAGGAAGTTCCGGACAACGTCGACTCAGAGTCTGCCCGCAAGGTCTCGGCCATCTACCAGCCAGAAAACGAAGCAGCGCCCGACGAAGCAGAACGTCAGCGATCGCCTTCGAGCGACGTCTCCGCCGACAGGGAGCGCACCCCCGAAATCGGGATCATGCTGCTGCGCCGGCCCCAAAGCTGCGTCCAGCTGGGCGACGACCCCGAGCTCATCCCCGAACGCGCCGAGGGCCACTGGCCGCGCCACCTATCCTTCAGCACCGTGGAAGAGGTCGTGCTCGGCTGGGAAGGTGTTGGAGCAAGCAGCAGCAGCAGCCTCCAGGATCGGCCCGACGCCTCCACCTCCTTGGAGGAGGCAATCATCGAGGAAGACATCCAGGCCGCCGACGCCCGCCTCTTCAGCGCCCGCATCCGAGAGCTGAGCGAGCAAACCGTGCCCTGGGTCGAGCAGCAGGTGGCTTCGGTCGACGGGCTGAACCGCTGCCTGCACGAGAGCCACGAGAAGATCAACGCCGCCTACCTGGAGCGGCTCGCAGTCTTCGAGCAACTGCGCGGCCGCTCCAGCGATCAGTTGACCGAGGAGCACACCCACCTCACGGACTACATGCGGCGCGTCGAGCTGATGGGCGCCAAGCTGGACTACGAGCTCCACGTCCTCGAGTCCAAGGTCGGGGAAGTCGAGACCGGGCTGGCCGAGTTCGAACGCCACGTCGCCGAGGTGGAGACCCGCGTCCGCTTGCTGGTGCGCGGCGAGAAAGACAGGAAGGCGGATAAGGAAGATTCCTGGTTGACTTGGTTGGGCAAGCTGGCGGGGTTTTCGAGATGAGTTGAATTGAGAGGGTTTTTTTTTTTGTTTTTTTTCTTTTTGGCCTGGGGCGTGTCGAGTGGAGTGGGGTTTGTATGTCGATCGGTATAGGTGCCATTCATGTTGTATGTATATCACTGCTAGCATTTCTAGTTGTATACCCCTTGTTTTATTAGAATAATCAAGAATGAGAGACTCATGGAATAGATCAGGTTAATTCCATCGCCTGAAGATACTGCAGAACGAAGACCCTCTCTCGAAACCGAGGCGGCGGGTTACTTGTGCGCAACATCATATATTGTCCCGAGCGTACTCGACAGGGTGGATGATGTTAGCACCAGCAACAACACTTCCCAGTGCCTTTCCATCCACCAATGTGTCATTCTTCCCCTGGCAAACTCGACAAAAATTGAAATTCGTCTTGATGCAGAGTTTATTATGCCAAGGGGATAAAGATAGTATATACATCATTGACCTATTTGACCCTAATCCATGGTCCTACGCTCTTAAAACCCCGTGATCCAGCCCGCCCATTGTCCTGACTACGCCGAAAAGAAGAAAACACAGATACAGGAGGAAAGAGTCCGTACTACGCGTCCCATGTCCGACCTTGACGCCCGCACGCTAATGAATGGTTACAGGGATATGTGTTTGTATGTACTTACCCTGCAGCTTGTCGATTGGAGGCACTTCCCACCGCCAACTAAAGAAACACCTTCTTGGCATCGCGAGGGTGACTCTCATTCGGGCAATATGGACACTTGAACCGGCTGCCCTTGCACAGTCGTTTGAGGGATTCTTCGGCAATGACGTGCCCGCAAGGCATCATCATGGGTGGGTTGTCGTCGGTGGATTGTTCTTTCGAGACGGGGCAGACGAAGATGGAGTGGAAGAGGTAGGATGGTGGGAGGGGGATTTCGACCTGAGTTGTGGGTTAGTATTTGAGGCGATGTCTACAAGTGGCTTTTCGGATTGGGGTAACGCACTGGTAGTTCGTTCTCGGTGGTCCACTCGGTTCGTTTGGCTTTCATGATTGTCTGGAGTTTGAGGAGGGTTGGTAGGGCGATGGCGCCGGCGGTGGCAGCTATGTACAATGGCGAGTCCGCGGAGAGGCCCAGCAGTGAGCAGAACTCGCGCGTGAATGAGTGGGCTACGTCTGACCATGCCGACGGGTTGTGGAAGATGTTCCGGTAAGGCGAGGCTTGCAGGTTGGGGCAGAAGGCCATCGCGCCCATCAACTGCTGCACCTCGTGTATGTATCGAGGTAGGAAGCCATGGAATTCGCGGCGGGCGTACTCCAGAGCTGCCTGCCGTCCAGCGGGCGTCGGGCCGTGCTGCTCGTGGGCGCCGTGGAAGAGCCACACGAATTGCAGCCGACAGAGCTCGAACTCGAGATTGCTGCCCCGCGCCGCCAGCGCCTCGTCATTGTCCCGTGCCCATTGTATCGCGGGGAGCAGGTTGTTGTTCTCTTTCAACTCGTGCAGGATGTAGTACATTGTGGCGAATTGCTTGCGTACCTCCCCCGATGGAACCTCATCTATGTCAAGAATGGAGGCAGCATTTTCCGCGGCGTTGGCCGATGTAGCCTGCTGTTTGTCTGCGGCCTTCTTCTCGGCCATCTCGGAGAGGAAGGTGGCCGCCACCGAGAACTGCCCCTCCCTCAGGAGATGCATCGCGATGGCTCGGTTGATAAGGTGTTCTTGGGAAGAGAGAAGGTCATTCTCGGTGCTTGGGAGTGGTTTATCTTTGAAAAGCTAGGTGATCGGTCAGCATACATCCTGGAGGGGGTTTTTGTCCGGCGACCCGGCTCGTGCTACCTTATCCAGAGCCTTGGAATATTTGTTGAGGCTGCTGTGGGTTTCCTTGAGACTATCATTGACTGAATCGAAGGATGCTTTGATCGGGTTCTGCAGCTTGGCGAGGATGATTGATGCTTGACTCGGATCTAGTGGTGAGCTCCTTTGTCAGTATAGTTCGGCGACTGCGGTGAATGCGGGGTGGTGGGCATGAGGAGCGAACCAACCTGCAGCAATAGCGTCCCGCGCGTTTTGCAGCAAATCTATCGAGGTCTGTACAGACTTAAGGCCTTGAGCGGCTTTGGTCTTCTTCACCAGTCGCTCATGTTCTTTTTGCACGAGATCCATGGTGAGGCGAGCGGCGAGTTCAGTCGGACGGAAGCGGTATCGGACAGTCACCGCTCGTTGAGGACGGAGTTGGCAATAGCCATAGGTTGACTCGGTATGGTCTGATCGGACAGACAAGAGTGTGTAGGTTCAAGGACAAATGAGCCTGAGAGAGGAGCAAGAGAAGTGGAGGGGAAATAGGGAATTTGGAATGGGTCACCGTGCATGGGGCAGGTGAGGGAGTGCGGAGCAGGTGAGCATATCGTTACTTGGTGGAGTGTAGCACTTACTACTGCCTGTACAACGCTGGGTGGCCGCAGCCAATTACGACATGTCTCATCACGTGCGGCCGGCTTGCTCGGCCTCTGCCTTATTGAGCCTGGAGACAATCTGTAGCTGCCCGATTCGCTTCCGCAAGTATATTTAGGCCTTGGTGGAAGCCAAGCTGAGCTGTATCTATCAATGATCCATGCCACAGATATCCCGGGGTAGGTTGGGCTGGCTTCCGGGGGTTCATGGATGCAGAGGCTATCATAACTCATTAGATGAGGTATTCTTGTCGACAGGCATTACACACAGATGCAGGGACAGATTGAGGCCGCAGAATTCAGGCAGCAACAAAGGACACCAGAGTTCGGGACCTTCAACCAATCAGCACTAAGGATGGCTCTCGCTTCTGGCTAGCGCGGTCTCGTCGGACTTGGCGGGAGTTTATAAACTCGCGGCCCCTCCCAACATTTTAGAATCTTTTTTTCTTTTCTTCTTCATCCTGGTGCACGGGTTTTACACGTGTCAGTGAGGAGACATCCGAGACCGTGTTTTTGCTAGTTGAAAACTACTTTTTTGACCGCTCTGACTGGCCTTCGGGTCGGTCAGGAATTTTTGAAAACATAAATGCTCTGAGCCCTGCTATGTTTTGGGTTCAGTTGAGAGTACGTAGATGGCTGTATGTTTTGTCTTCTGTGGGAGGTAGTATCCCGCAGGCGTACCTGCCTACTCGTCTTCTTTTCACTGCTGTTTGCTTCCCAGGTTGGAAGCCTGTAGAGAAGAGAGAAGATCGCTTGACTCTGTAATTATGTTAATTAGAATAACTATGCACATATCCGACATTATGCAGACACTCGTCGATTTGTACCTGTCACAGAACAGGGAATGTAAGCCTACGGAGTCACGACCTCAAACCTTGGTACTTGATAGATCGCGACATGCCGGAATGAGCGGCCCACCCCCCTATCGCTCGTTGGACGAATCGCTTCACTCGTGACTGCGCGATCTTTTGGCGATGGGCCATCCACCACTTTACGCGTGCATTACCGGCTCTTACGCGTGTGCTACATGCCCCTCCACCATCCAGGACTGCAGCTGCTGCATCATATCGCGACCTGTAGGCTGTAAACTGATTGCCCTGACAGGGATATTGAGTCTAGATGGCTTCTCTTTTTTTGATGTTGCAATGTAAAATCCCCTGTAGAGATGCGTGGGGGGAGATTCTCCTTTTTCCCCCTGGGCCTACCTGGCACTAAGTCAGTCAAGGAAGGACAGACAATACTTACACATACAGGTTACTCTTCATTTCACTACCAACTTTCAAGGAAGTTCATAACCCTGGCAGATCCTCTCCCTTCAACTCAAGCCCGAAAGCTGAAGACTCTTCCCCCCCCCATCCCTCTCGTTCTCCTCCTACGCCCACCCCCATCCCTTAAGATGTTGGCCTTACATCAACAGCAACAGCAGCAACAGCAGCAGCAGCAGCAGCAGCAACAACCACGAAGCAGAAGCAGCAGTGGCAGTCCCCGACACATCTCCTCCAGACGAGAGGCCTTTTCCTCGAGGTACGGCGCCGGGAAACCCAGCACTCGCATGCTGCGAACACGATCTGGCGAGCGACAGTCCACCACCTTGCGCCGTCTGGTCCAGCGTCGACGGGATCCCCCTGATAGTCCCCCTGATGGCAGGTCTGACTTCCCTCCTCCTTGGCCTCCCACATCACAAGAGCTAAGTCCCAGCGATGATAATAGCTCCCTGACCCCGGCGACAGTCACCCTCTGCGTAGGCCCGGAGAAGCGGCTCTTCGCCGCTCACAAGGACATCATCTGCGTCTCGCCGTTCTTCGCCGCGGTGTGCGCCCGGGCTGCCCGGGCGTCCACCACCACCACCAGGAACAACCCCATATACTTGCCTGACGAGCAGCCCGAGATCCTGTCCTGTATTCTAGAGTATCTCTACCGAGGCGACTACTACCCGCGACTGCTTCACAACAAGACCCGGAACACCTGGGAGCTGGAGACGGCTGCTAGCCCTGCGACGGGGAGCAGTGACTCGGATCCAGATGGCGCAACCATCTTTCACTCGGGCCTTGGGGCGGAGATTCTGCGAGATACAGCTGTATAGTAAGTCTTTCCTTTTGCTCCTTATTTACCCTACCAAAGCACTTCCTCCATCCGTAACACCCAAGTATAAACATACCCCTTGCCCATGGATGCAAGTTTCCAAAGCCATGTCCGCGTCCCACCTGTACAACCTCAACCCCGTATTCCCAGACTACGACCCTAAATCCCTCCAAACCAACTTCCTCAAGCCCCATACTCAATACTCAACCCCCCAAAAACTAAAACCCTTGGTCAAAATAAACAGCTGCGCAGCCCAGAAATATGGCCTGGAAACCCTCAAACGCCTCGCCCTCCGCAAGCAAGGCCTTCACTCAGGCATATCGTGCAGCACCATCCTGACGAGCGCGCGCTACGCCTACGCCCACACCCCTGACACCGAGTCCAAGCTGCGGGCGCATTATCTGGCGCTCATCATCCGGAGCCGGGCGACGTTCAAGCGCAGCGGCACGATGCAGATGGAGATGGAGCAAGGCGGGAAGCTGTTTTTTGATTTGTTTGTGGCGATGTGTAATCATATGGTGAGTCTGACTATCCTTTGCTTTTGTGGATGTGAATGTGAATGTGAATGGGAGCTGGGGAACTGGGTGTGTGCTGATTTGGCTTGATTGCTGGGTAGGATGATTTGACGGGTCCGGCGACGGGTTCGGCTACGGGCTCATTGGGGAGTAAACTGCAGCAGCTGCAGCAGTCGGCTAGTACCATTACTTAGCTGCCTTTGTTTTCTGGGATTATTTATTTGCGGGGTAGGGTAGGGGCTAGGTATGAGAGTTGATTCGGGACACTATGGATCACCCTGCTGGCTTTCAGGGATGATGGGTTTCAAGGTCAGGTCGCTGGGGATTCGTTGGAAGTGCATGGTTTCGGTTTTTGGTATGTGGTATGTCTAGAATTTGTATAATGTGTATAAATTAGTTACTGTCTGTACTTCGGCGCGGTTGGATGCTGGTTAATCTCTCTATTCAATGAGAATCTGTTGATGCTGTGCTGGGTGTCTGGTTTCGCTGCCTAAACAAACAGCAACTATTCACATTCTCGTTCGACTTATGATGGGCTGTGTCGCCCAACTGTGGTCTGGCTTAAATAATCTTCGTGCTATCTTCCCTTGGGTAGTCATGGTGGCGCCGGTCATATGCCGCACCACTTACAATCGCTGAGCCTGGTGATAGGCCTCGTAATAATGGATTGATGTAAGTTGCATGTGCAGGTCAAGGCCATGACGGTCGACCGGCCACAAAATAGCTGTAAGCTCGCGTAACCAGTTCTCCGGGAAGGGTCTCATGTGATGTCGATACTTATGTACGGCCGGGGTGATTAAGATCGATTGATCATGTCCACAAGCCTGACAAGCGGAACATCTTAGACGCCTGTCCCTGGAAACGCGGCACCGCCCTTGCTCAACACGACCATACCACGATCGCGGGCGATATAACCCTTCATCAGGCCCTAAGGGAGGTCAATGGTTGGGCCTGAAAGCAAAGTAGCCAAGCATGGCAACACTTACCTTGTAAATCAAATTCGACAATAGACATTCCACCTCGTCAATATCAACCCGCGACCGCTCATCTGCATGCGTGCCAATTCTGACTGCAGCGGCGAATTCGCCGACGGGGACTCTGGTGCGTCTAATCGCAGGCTGGCCGTCCTTGGGCTCCTCGAACCCTCCGGCGATGAAGACCTTGCGGAAGAGATTGCGTAAGGCGATGTCTCTCCCCCTCTCAAGAGGTAGGTAGATGCGTCTTTTGACAAACTCCTCCTCTCCGGCTGACATCGCCGCGTCGAAGCCGCCCAGGTCTCCGGTCTTGATACAGTTGCACAATGGCCGATAGAGCTTCTCGAGGCGGGGAAAGGGCGCAAGCAGCTTTTTGCTGGGTAGTGTGTGCGTTGTGACTAAGTGACAAGGTATAAGGTAGGTGAGGATGAGCCTGCAGCAAGGTTAATGAGAGGCAAAGGCAGGGTACGAGCATACTCACTCTCGATTCTTCATTGCGCTGCGATGGCACATCCTCCATGCTTCTGCCAGATGCTGCTCGGCCTACAGGACATGAGCACAGAGAGTTGAGTAAAGGTAGAAGTACACACACCTCGGCATAGTTCTCATCAAGGAAATGGATGACTCCCACGTAGTACTTAAAGGTGACTGTGTGGGACTTGGGGAAGGCGTCAAGGTCGGGAAGGTCGGCGGATTGCGCATTAAGCGCACGCAGTAAGTTCTTCGACAGGCCAATGGTGTTGAGTTTGAAGTATGTCTTGAACAGTAGATTGGTGGTATCGTAGACCCCCCACTTTCGCGATTCCTCGATCGGAGACCTAGTTAGAGGGTTGCGATTAGCAAAAGTAGCATAGACCCACACTTGGTGCCAGCATACCGGTCAGTGAGACATAGCGTGAACATCCGATTCAATACTCGAGTCGCTTCTTCCAGCTTTGCATTCTTCTCTAATCCACTCGCAACGTCGTCCTGAAAACCATCCCCAAACCCATCCGACTCTTGGGAGGCGAGCTCGGCATCCGCTTGTCGCGCAAAGTGTCGCAAATACCTCCCCACCACGTATAGACAGGGAACAGTCCATGCTTGAAGCCCACCCGTCGAGTACCCCCGAATTAGCTGATTAGCCGTCTCCTTCCAGGCATTGAACACCTTGACCCAGCTGGCGCGCGAAGGGGCCTCCTCGAACCGAACCAGCTCCCCAACGGCGTTCCAGTAGGCCGCGAAGATGTCCACCCATGAATTTTGTTCCTGCTTCGGTAGCCTTATGCCGTTAGCCTGAAAGAGCGAATAGCGGAGGTCGGAAGACAGATGTGCAGCATTGGAGAAGTAATAGAATGATTGTAATCGGCCGGGATTCGCGGAGGTTGAGACGGGGGTAAGAGCTGCGGCTAGCTGGTGACCGGAGCCAAGTTTCTGGCCATTCTTGAAATCCTCAAAGATTGAGGCCATTTTGAGAGGCGTTGAAGGATATTGGCAGTGTATAGGTGTCCAAGAAGCGAGCGCGTATTGTAATAGAACGGTCAAGGACACTATCGGGGAAAGAGGTTCAACGAATCCGTCTCGAGAGAATAGACAACAAACCACCCCCTCCGATGATGGCACGGCGATCGGAGAAGGCGGGGAAAAGAGGCGGGCGGCCATCCGCCGAAAGGGCCTTATCTAATCCACACCGCCACAGATGTGTGGCTGAAAAGCCTGATTGGGATTAGTCCTGGCCAAGTCTCCCTGTCGCTTAGCCCTAAGGAGGGTTAAACCTAGCTCACAATCAATCCGGTTCCCAAAAATCCTCCCTTCCGCGACGAGTACAACCGGCACATCTCTCGTCGACTAACCACTACAGCGTCAATCAAAGTGAGCCCACCCTTATTGTCCTTCGTTTTACTGCCAGAAAATTGTTACTGACTGATTTTACCAGATGGGTGAGTTTACACTTCTTTGAAATCTTTTCGACATGGTCCCCTGGCGGTTCGGCTTTTTACGATGATTTTCCCACGATCGATCAACGACATACCTCACGGAAAGAAATTTTTACTTGGCGACTATCGGAATTGATGACATGCGCCAATGGAGGAATGAACAGATGGAGTTTCGGCTTGACAATGGAGGGAAAATGCAATAATCGAGAGGCGAACGAAGACACACAATTTGTTTCATTGCAGATCGCCACTTGCGAATTACTCGCACATTCAAACTCACAACGACCGGGACAGCCACCAAATCATCGATGCCAAACCGATCATCCAAGGGGACCGCATTAAGATGGCGGATGGACTTCTGACAGGAATCAATAGGGCGTCTCCAAGAGTACCAGGTTATCGGGCGTCACCTGCCCACCGAGGCCAACCCCACGCCCAAGCTGTACCGCATGCGCATCTTTGCGCCCAACACCGTTGTTGCTAAGTCGCGGTTCTGGTACTTCCTGACCCAGCTCCGCAAGGTCAAGAAGGCCAACGGTGAGATCGTCAGCCTCAACGTGGTATGTCTACGATGCTTTATCGGAATGTGTCTGGAAACAATGGCAAGTGTCGGCTGACACGTCTCCTCTCCTCAGATCAGCGAGAAGCGCCCCCTCAAGGTCAAGAACTTCGGTATCTGGCTCCGCTACGACTCGCGCTCCGGTACCCACAACATGTACAAGGAGTTCCGTGAGATGAGCCGCACCGAGGCCGTTGAGGCTCTCTACCAGGACATGGCCGCCCGCCACCGTGCCCGTTTCGGTTCCATCCACGTACGTTTGAGACTCTTCCATTGAAGAATCAGCCGAGCCACGATCTAACCAATTCCCCGCACAGATCCTCAAGGTTGTTGAGATCGAGAACGCCGACACCATCCGCCGCCCCTACATCAAGCAGCTCCTTTCCAAGGACCTCAAGTTCCCCCTGCCCCACCGCTCCGTCAAGCCTGGCAAGAAGCTGTTCGCTTACTCTCGCCCCTCTACCTTCGCGTAAATGTGAGGTGCTGGGTGTGGGTGAGTGGCGTGTAGGAATGAATGACTATGTTATGGCCATAGCATGCACGAAGGACACGGATCACGCGGAGAACAAGGCGTGTATCTACAACCCAGGAAATGGGACGGATGGTTTTTATGTCTCTTTAGTAGTCCTCTGCAGCGACCCTTTCAAGTTATTTCAAAAAAATACCGGGGTTATTTCTTTTTTGTTCACTTAACCTACTTTTTCCGGTTCTGTGAGTCGTAGGCATCTGATGATGTATCCGTATACGATTGATGGACGGCTTGGCTGTTGTCGCATGTCTGCGCATTAGTGTGATGATCAAGCACCCGCACTATGTGATTGTGTCTACACATGCCAAGCCGCGGAGCAAGATCTTGACGGGAATGTGGCAGCCAAAAGAAAAAAGGGCCGGGGTCTAGTTCGGATATAGGCATAATTGGTACGAGAACTGGCACTTCCGTCGGATGATCTTGGAGAGCATGTGTTGAAAAGACATTGCAGGCTTGACATCATCACTTCCTTCTTGTCCTTGTTCCCGCTGCAGAGTGCAGGCAGTAAGAAGACGCTGAGCCCGCCACTTAGTCGCTCATCTGTTAATTAGCACGCCATCGGCCTAGTGTTTGTGTACAGCTCCTTCGAGCAGACATGCGCGGTTACGTATTGAATAAGCACCAGAAGACGGTTGTATACCTTACACAAAGGTTTGTAGAACTTTTCCTCGGCGCCTCAAGGTAAATCTGAGAAGTAAAACTTGAGTATCGTTGATTCTGGAGAGTGTATCATACGCCGAGATCGCAGTTCGCCAAGGACTATATCCGTAATTCCAGGTACAAGGTGTACTGCTCTAGTCATTCAAGAGCAATCATCTGTGTAACCTGCGCAGAAACATTATCAGAGAGCCTCAGGGCATGTAGCGTCACATTTATTATGATGCAAATTATCCTCGGATGTAATCTAAGCCTTCAAACGTCGACTGAGATCCGACATCAAATACCAGGACTGGGTTAGTAATGCACGCGGAATTACCGCCAGGAACGGCCATTGCGTCATGTGCGAGAACGGCGGTTCGGGGACCGAAGGGCAGGGAGGATCTCAAATATCTCTCGCACCCGCCCGAGTATTACCGAGCACCTACTCTCTCTACTCCATCACAACCAGTCCATTGAGCACGTCTTCGTTCTCAATCCGACTTTCAAAATGTTCGCCCGTCAAGCTTTCCGCTGCTCTCAGTCCCTGAAGCAGGTAAGCTCGCCCGTCGACACGATTGTCGTCTCTGCGATCGCAATTTTTCCCGCCCGTGCCTGGGGACTCCCCGGGAAAACAAAACTGGCGCTGATTGCTGTTGACAGGGCTTCCGCAAGTACTCCACGGAGGCGCCCAAGGCCAAGTCCTCCTTGACTCCTATCTACATCGGTGTCGGTCTCGCCGGTCTCGGTGTTGGCTTGTACCGCTACAACTCTGCCACCGCTGAGGCCCCCATCGTCCGCGAGAAGGTTTTCAAGGGTGGTGAGCAAGGATGGTTCGACTTGAAGCTGTCCGAGATCGAGGTTCTCAACCACAATACCAAGCGTCTGCGCTTCGAGTTTGAGGACAAGAATGCTGTCTCTGGTCTGCAGGTTGCCTGTGAGTAGACGGGATTAACACCCGAGGATATTTTTTTTTTTCCACAGCCGACTAATGTGGTTCATTAGCTGCCATTTTGACCAAGTTCAAGCCCGTCGACGGCAAGGCCGTCATCCGTCCTTACACCCCTACCAGCGATGAGGGTGAGTACGCGCCTTACCTTTATGATTTCCTGTTGGTGGATAACTAAACCACACGTGTGCAGAGACCCCCGGTCACATCGACCTCGTCGTCAAGGTCTACCCCAACGGACCCATGTCCGAGTACCTGCACAACATGAACGTCGGTCAGCGCCTGGACTTCAAGGGCCCCATTGTCAAGTACCCCTGGGAGACCAACAAGCACAACCACATCACTCTGATTGCTGGTGGCACCGGTATCACCCCCATGTACCAGCTGGCCCGTGAGATCTTCAAGAACCCCGAGGACAAGACCAAGGTCACCCTCGTCTTTGGCAACGTGACCGAGGAGGACATCCTCCTGAAGAAGGAGTTCGAGGAGCTTGAGAACACCTACCCCCAGCGCTTCCGGGCCTTCTACGTCCTGGATAAGCCTCCCAAGGAGTGGACCGGCGGTAAGGGCTTCATCAGCAAGGAGCTCCTGAAGACCGTCATGCCCGAGCCCAAGGAGGAGAACATCAAGATCTTCGTCTGCGGTCCCCCGGGCATGTACAAGGCCATCAGCGGTACCAAGAAGAGCCCCTCCGACCAGGGCGAGCTGTCTGGTATCCTGGCCGAGCTGGGCTACAGCAAGGACCAGGTCTTCAAGTTCTAAGCACGCTGTATGTATATGATACTCTGAAGCGTTTTCTTCCGGTTGGCCGGTGCTCTCCTGTGGGGAGTCCGACTGGCAGGACCCCCACGTGGATTTAGAATGCACGTCTTGTTATATTAGAGACTTGGATCTAGCGAGCCATGATTTCCTGCGAGTAGCGCGAAATAATAAACCTAGCTTTGGTCTTCCAAGAAAAAAAATGTGTATAAGTGCAGTCAGTTTGCTCTGCGTCGGTACTAAGAGGCAGTGTCGGCTGGCCTCTACCCTCATGCTCCATGCGTCGCCCATTCTAAGGCAACAGGTCAAGCCAGAAGACTTGTGCACGCTGCTTCGTGTCCAAAAATAGTCTCTGATCTCGTAAATCGTTCCTAAGTAACAAGCTCCCTGATATCGACAGCCATCACTGTCTGAAATATGAATAGCCATACAGGTGGCGGACTGTCGAGCAGCAAAGCTTTCGCAACAACAAATTCTGGTGGGGGTGTTGTGTTGCCGGCGGCGCGGGGCTGGGCTTTTTGGGGGGGGTGAATCGGCCGGGCGCATGCCCACCGCTACTGGCAGTAGTACATAGTACGGAGTACCTACGCTACTAGTATATATTTCTTTTGCTCACCGACCATTCACCTCTACCCCCAAGTTATAACTTATGCAACTCGTTCTACAGTTCTTCTTTAACTTATATTTTTCATGTTTCCGTGTCACTTGAGCCCATAGACCTGATGCGCCTTTAATGCGACTACAATTCACGCGATATGGTGGTGGTGATGGTGGTGGTGGTGATGGTGGTGGTGGTGATGGTGGTGGTGGTGATGGTGGTGGTGGTGTGGTGGTGTTGTTAATGCTAGCGACATCTCGGGGGCCACGCGCTGAGCAAAGAGACGGAGGTGCGGGGTACTGCGCTGTACTGTAGAACCTTCAACCTTGTAGCCAGGCCAGCACCAGCAACAGCACCAGCACCAAACAGCGGATGTGCCCGGAGCCGGGGAGGGAGGCGAGAACCTGCCACTGCAGCGGTGTGTGTGTGTTTGCGTGTGTGGGTGGGTGGGTGTGTGGCAGATTCCGGACCAGATTTGCTGCCCGCCCGGGCTACCCCTCAACAGCTTAGGGGTGCGACAAACGGACAAAAAGGTTGAACCATATACCTGTTCTTTTCATTTTCTTTTGCTTTTTCTTTGAGGTTACGATTAGTTTCTTGGTCAATTGAGCCAGGATTTTCTGTTCATGTTGTTATCGCTTATTATTTGGGATGTTATGATGTAAATGCTGTACCGTTGAGAAAGAAGGTAGAATAGACGTCAGCGTGTACATCAAATGAAATACATAGATACATCATCTTTGTTTGTGGTGCTTGGTTTGGGGGGGCAAGAGGGGGCCGGAGGGGGAGGGGGAGCGTCAATGATGGCAAGCGAAAAGAAAGGCAATAAGTTACCGCAGCAGCCTTCGATTGTTCTGCAGTGCGTCCTGTCGTGGCCACCGGGAGTCGGGGTTACTCTAGCGGGGCTGGGTTTCAGTGGGTTTCAGCGGGTTACTGAAGCTGGCTGAAGCAAGCAAGCAAGCAAGCAAGTTCAGGTTGTTCAGCCTGCTACAGCGACAAGCATAGCCTAGCCAGTGCTAAGGAGGGGGAAGAGTCCCCCTAGAGACTGCCTGGCCCTGAAGAGAAAAAGGAGCCCAGGTGAGTTGCCGTCTCCCTAAGCCCAAAGGAGCGAGCATTTCCCCCCGGGCCATCGGGCCATCACTATTTAGAAGGGAGGTCTTCCCGCTAAGCTTGGGACTCCGGCTAGCGAAAATTCTTCCTTCTTTTACTCCCCTCCCTCCCATTCTCTCTCTCTCTCTCTCCCACACTTTTCCTTTTCTTCCACTCCACCTCCAGCTAAGCTGTTCCCCCCCCCCTCTCTCCCACCCCCTCCAAACCATCTTCAACTCGCGCAATATTCGCCACCATCTATCTGCTTGTCGCATCATGTCGCACAAGGGCGATTCCAAGGCCGGTGATGCCACTATCACTGTCGATGTAGATGATTTCACGCGCACTCGCGATAATGTGAGTTTTTCTTGCTCTTTGTGTTCTTGTTGTTGTGATCGCCTGTCGAAGCGGTGGGTGCTCCTCCCGCCTGCCCCTAAACCCGGGCTGCCTGCGCCGCCGCGCTTCTCGAGTCCCTCGCCCACGCGTTCGTAAACAACGCGGCGTTGTCCATTCGCAAGCTTGTGCAGGAGTAAAAGGCCTGGGGTTTCGCTCTATTCATTCCAACTTATTACACAATCCCTCCAATGTTCAGTGGGCGTTATATTGTCGAGGTTCTTGGGTCTCTCCTTGACCCTCCGCGCGACCGCTTCCTGCTTTGTTTTGGCGTTGGCAATGCTGGCTTGACACGGCCCGATGCGCCCCGCCCCGGCGCACCGCATCGTCCTTCACCGCATGCTTCATTCTTCCACCCCCACCCCTACCCTCCTTTTGTCACTGATTCAATGGCGTGCAATCATGATGATGCTATGATCGAACCTCAATAGGTCTAATTATCTCTCAGGTCATTGCCAGCCTCGCGCAACTGGCCAAAGCGGTCAGCACCGTGCAGGAAGCTTACATCAACCATGCCAACACGGTCTTGGGCCGGGATCCCGTGCCTCTGCTCGATCTGAGCCACCTCACCAGTGGCATCGCTGGCGCGCTCCATGGCTCTGGTGCGCGCGCCACAAGCCCTGGCGCCAACGCCGATGGAGATCAGAAGAAGAAGCGCAAGCGCGCTCCTCCGGACCCGAACGCCCCCAAGCGCGCTTTAACCCCATTCTTCCTTTACATGCAACACAACCGCTCCGTTATTGCCAAGGACCTGGGCCCTAATGCGAAGCCTAAGGAGGTTTCGGACGAGGGCACTCGTCGCTGGGCAGAGATGGCCGAAGACGAGAAGGAGGTATGGCGCTACTCAACCGTTGTTTCCCGGACTGTCGAGCAATTTTGAACTAACAGTGCCTGCCAGGTCTGGAAGCAGCTTTATGCGGAGAACTTGGCCGAGTACCGGAAAAAGGTCGTAGCCTACAAGGCTGGATTGCCCTACGAGGATGACCTCAAGGCTGCCAACCAGCTGCACCAGGGTATGGAGACTGGGGAGCCCTCGGATGAGTCGGAAGAGGAAGAGGAGGAGGAAGAGGAAGAGGAAGAGCAAGAGGAAGAGGAAGCAGACTCCTCCCCAGAGCCAGTCCGGGAGCCCACCCCGCCGCGCAGTGGTAAGCGCCGTCGCAGCGAGGGCAAGCCTGCTCCTCCCAAGGAGACCGCCCCGCCTAGCGCGAGAAAGGAATCCCCTGAGAAGAAGAAGCGTACCTCTGCCCGGAAAGAGAAGGAGAAGGACGAGGAGCAACCCCCTGCCTCAGCTCGCAAGACTGCGAGCGCTGAATCTAAGCGCACCAAGAAGAAGCGCAAGAGCGAGGTGGGCAACGAGGAGTAAACCCAGTCTGGAGGAATCTGTTTATATTGGAAAAGATTACCATGTATATGGGCTGGATGTTTCGATCTATGATGCTGCATGTAGCACACGGGGATTGGATCTTTTTCTGGAATGATGCACTTGCTTAACGGATATCGTTGTTCATGCTATTTGTTAGTGCTGCTGCTGTTGTTGCTGCTGGGATTTTGCGGGCCTGATGTCAACGGCGTCTGCGGATTGACGGGTGGGGTATTTTTTTTTTTTTTTTTTTTTCTCAGTTAGTTGGGGGGGGGGGTTTGCTTTTCGCTCTTTATGTCATGCTATTTTTCATCCATTTCTTGATTCAAATTTCCAATTCTGTTAGCTTTGCGAATTGAATAAGAGTCGTACTGTGAAGGAGGTAATCATAAGTTGATGGCAACTGTCAATGGCCGGTGACTGCCGATGAGAATCCACCACTTGACTGGAAAGCGTTAGTCACTCGGCAGACGCGCAGCTGCGATAGGCCCGTCCACCATGGCTTATCAGCTCCAGCTTACAACTTTTGGTGCCCGCCCGCTTATCGGCTCCAGCAGCTCTTCTTTCGTTCCCCACATTATCTCTTCGTTCTTAACCCAGAATTTCCCCCCATTTGCACCTAAATAGAGTCCCCCGACTCCCCAGTGAAAGCTTCTGCCCTTTGCTCCTGTACCCACGGGGTAATCTGTTGGCTTTTGGCTGTGAAAGGGGCACTGCGACTAGCTATAGACAAGAAGAACCCGTTGCCCGCCGCTGTCAACCATGCATTTGGTGCCAAAGGAGGTCTGTGCCCCTAACCCCCTCTTCCCAATGTCTATACTCAAGGCTGACTGTTGTTGGGACTCTAGCTTGACAAGCTCGTCATCTCCCAGTTGGGATTCCTGGCCCAGCGTCGTCTCGCACGCGGTGTGCGACTCAACCATGCTGAAGCTTCGGTACGTTGCACCAACGACCGCTCTCTTCCGGAACTTACTCTCAAATGACGCCCACACGCGGCTAATCGCATCTATTTAGGCCTTGATCTCTTCCAACTTGCAGGAGGTAATCCACTCTCTCGAAGCTCGCTCCTTGCCTCGTGACTTACCATCGCCTATGCGCAGTTGATCCGCGATGGACACTACTCCGTGGCCGATCTCATGTCCATCGGCAAGACCATGCTGGGTCGCCGCCATGTGCTCCCCTCGGTGGTCTCAACCCTGGTGGAACTGCAGGTCGAGGGAACCTTTCCGACTGGCACCTATCTCGTGACCGTGCACCACCCGATCAGTAGCGACGACGGGGATCTGGAAAAGGCACTGTACGGGAGTTTCCTGCCCATCCCACCCGCCGACGCGTTCCCGGACCCGGACCCCACCGACTACACGCCGGAAAGCATGCCAGGCGCCATTGTGCCGGTCCCGAATAGCCGCATCACGCTCAACGAGGGAAGGAAGCGCATCAAGCTCAAGGTCATGAGCAAGGGTGACCGGCCCATCCAGGTCGGCTCGCACTACCACTTCATCGAAACCAACCCGCAGTTGCACTTTGACCGCCTCCGGTCGTATGGCTACCGGCTGGACATCCCTGCCGGTACGTCGGTTCGGTTCGAGCCGGGTGACACCAAGGTCGTCACCCTCGTGGAGATCGGCGGTCACCGGATCATTCGAGGCGGAAACTGCCTGGCTCCCGGCAAGGTGGATGTCAGCCGAGTGGAAGAAATCATGATGCGCTTGCAGGCGCACGGATTCGCGCATATCCCGGAACCCACTGCCGATGCTGCACTTGTGTCCCCCTTCTCCATGGAGCGGGAGGTGTATGTGCGCATGTTTGGCCCCACGACCGGGGATTTGGTTCGTCTGGGGTTGACTAACCTCTGGGTGCGAGTTGAGAAGGATTATACGAGTTATGGAGATGAGTGCACATTCGGTGGTGGCAAGGTTATTCGCGATGGTATGGGCCAGTCTTCGGAGAAGTCGACCACAGAGTGTCTGGATACTGTTGTGACGAACGCGCTGATCATCGACTGGACCGGCATCTACAAGGCCGATATTGGTATCAGGGAAGGACTAATTGTGGGTATCGGCAAAGCGGGCAACCCAGACATCATGGACGGCATCACCCCGGGGATGGTTATCGGCTCTTCGACGGACGTGGTTGCGGGCGAGAACAAGATTGTCACCGCGGGTGGCTTCGATACTCACATCCATTTCATCTGCCCTCAACAGGCAGATGAGGCGCTGGCTTCCGGGATCACGACATTCTTGGGCGGAGGTACGGGTCCCTCGACCGGGTCCAACGCCACCACCTGCACCCCTGGACCCACGCACATGCGCCAGATGATCCAGGCGTGCGATCGCATCCCCTTAAACATTGGCATCACGGGTAAGGGCAACGACTGCGGTGGCGTGAGTATCGAAGAGCAGATCAAGGCGGGTGCGGCCGGCCTGAAGCTGCACGAGGACTGGGGCTCCACGCCCGCTGCAATCGACAAGTGTCTCGAGCTGTGCGACCAGTACGATGTGCAGTGCATGATTCACACAGACACGCTGAACGAGTCCGGATTCGTCGAGCAGACCATTGCGGCCTTCAAGAACCGCACCATCCACACCTACCACACGGAGGGGGCCGGCGGCGGCCACGCCCCGGATATCATCTCGGTGGTAGAGCACCCCAACGTGCTCCCCAGTAGCACTAACCCGACCCGTCCGTTCACCATGAACACCCTGGACGAGCACCTCGACATGCTGATGGTGTGCCATCACCTGTCTAAGAACATCGCGGAGGATGTTGCCTTTGCGGAGAGCCGGATCCGCGCGGAGACGATTGCTGCTGAGGATGTCCTGCACGACCTCGGCGCGATCAGCATGATGTCCTCGGACTCGCAGGCCATGGGCCGCTGCGGCGAGGTCATCCTGCGGACGTGGAACACGGCCCACAAGAACAAGGCGCAGCGCGGGTTCCTGCCCGAGGACGAGGGCACGGGCGCCGACAACTTCCGCGTCAAGCGCTACGTGAGCAAGTACACGATCAACCCGGCCATCGCGCAGGGCATGTCGCATTTGATCGGCAGTATTGAGGTCGGCAAGATTGCGGATTTGGTTCTGTGGTCGCCCAGCTCGTTTGGCACCAAGCCTACGCAGGTACTGAAGAGTGGAATGATTGTGATGTCCAAGATGGTGAGTGGCGTCCGACCGAGACACCCCTCCAGGGGTATAAAGCTAAGCGACAAACCAAAATCTAGGGCGACCCCAACGCCTCCATCCCCACCGTGGAGCCAGTAATTATGCGTCCTCAATTTGGGGTAAGTTGTTTCTTAACTCTTTTACAAGTGTATATAGCATCACCTCACCACCGATCAGGTCAATGTCCCCAGCACCTCGATCATGTTCGTCTCGCAGGCCTCGATCGACGCCGGCGTCGTTCAGACCTACGGCATCCAGAAGCGCATCGCGGCCGTCAAGAACTGCCGCAACGTCGGCAAAGCCGACATGAAGTTCAACGACGTCATGCCGCGCATGAAGGTCGACCCGGAGAGCTATCGCGTGGAGGCGGATGGGGTTCTCTGCGATGCAGAGCCGGCGGAGACTCTGCCTCTGACGCAGGATTATTTTGTGTACTGAGGGGGGTCCGGCTTCGATGGTGATGGTGGTATGGCGTGCGAGATGGTTTTTAGGGGAGGGAAGATGGGTTGGCATGGTCGGTTAAGGATGAAAGAGTCTGTGACGAGTTTCCTTGATGATGATGTTGATGATACCTTTTGGTTTTCTTTGGTGGTGTCTTTTCATATATACTAGCCCTTTTCTTATTCTTGTATACATTCCATTTCCGAGGTAGATGACTTTAGTCGGATTTTATATCGATTGTGTTGAGTATGAGACCGGTGCATTGCTAAGTGAGTACTAGGAAGTAAATCGCTTCAGTACACATACAGATACAAACAGATACAGCCCCCTCTAACGGAAACCCCGAATCCCGGCCTCAGCTTCTATTTAAAAGTTACCAAACTCTTTTGACCAAGAAATCACCTCCCCAGAACCCACTTTCAACAACCTCCCTCCCCCCGTGACATCCCCAGAGAAAGGTTATAGCTCCACCTCCTCCTCGGTATGATTATTCCCCGTCGACATCAACGGCGCCGCCAGCGCCCACGCCTCGTAGCTGTCCGCCTGCGCAGCGAGGTAGGCGTCTTGTCGGCGGGTGAGTGTTCGTGTCCGGGTCCGGGTTCGTTTCCGGTGAGGTGTTGCTGGTGCTGGGGGTGTTGGTGTTGGGGATTGATGTTGTTGGCGGTGGCGTTGGCGTTGTCGTTTGAGTGAACGCGAGGACGGGGTGGTGGTGGTGGTGATGGTGCTACCTCCATCCGAGGAGGAATGCTCGGTGGTGGTGATTATGCTGGCGAGGTCGTCTATGAGGGGTTGGGTGTCTTCGTCTGATACTTCGTCGAACGAATTCAGAGTGGGATGAGGGTCTGGATAGGAGGGTGCGGGGAGGTCTGGCCTTGGGGAAGGGATCCGTTCTGATCCGTGGTTGTCGTGCTGGGATTGGGATTCAGTTTCAGCAGCAGGAGGAGGAGGAGGAGCTAGAGATGGCCGCATCCTTTCCGGGGAGGAATCCCGCGAAGGAGGAACGGTTTTCTCGCCCCCCTCGGGCGATGGATCCTCCTGCATCATTTCCGGCTCATCGGCGGGGAAGTAGTGATCGGGTGCTACCGCTGTGGGCCAGGAGGAGGGCAGAGAGCTGAGGTTGTATGCTTCCCGTTGCGAGTCTGGCATGGTGTGGAGGAAGGTCCATGCTTGGTGCAGGGCGTGGCGGTGGGTTTGGGCTGTCCGGGGGGTGGGCGGGGCGATGGGGAAGGGGGCTGGGGCTGGGGCTGGCGGTGTGTTCGTTGTAGTAGTAGGTTTGGGATTAGTGGGCGCGAAAGATGTGGGATTGTATGTGGTTTCGTTAATGGTGGCGAAGGAGGACGGGAGGTTGAGGTCTTCTTCGGTGGAGGGGCTTTGGCTTTTGGGCTCCGGCGGCAACATGCTGGAAGACTGCTGGGTGGATTGGGGAGTTACAGAGAGCGCCTCCGCCTCCTCTCGCAGGCGTTTTCTGCGATGCATCAGCTCCTTGTCGGTGGTGGTGAGGTGGCGCATCAGCTCGTCGTGGGCAAACACGGTGGCGGAACAGAGGTGGCCGAAGAGGTTCTGCATAGACACCTCTTCCGTCCAAGTCCCCGGGTCGACGGTGCAGGGATGGATGTCTTTGGGTCTGAAGGCGGCGACAAGGTCACATAGCTCGGTGTACGAGGAGTGTCGGGAGTAGGGGAATCGCTTGCCAGGGGTGGTTAGTGAATGCACGTTCACACTACAACGCGATGAGCCCGGGGATTGGACGACGTACAATGACTCTTGGGAGGGCGTCTCCGGTGGGAGTGTTTTCGGTCCACAGCCCGGGCAGTTGGGCTTCCTCAACGCGACCACGACCCAGCATCTTGACCAACCTCTCCAGTGATATCTCGTCGCCGTCCTTCATCCCGAAGCGATCTAATGGCAGCACCTTGCGCTTCGACTCGAATGCCTCGATCAGCGCCTGTCGGGTGTGCGAGAGCGCCTGGGTATCGTGGATACGCTCGAGACAGAGCTTCTCCAGCTGCTCCAAGGCAGACTTGTCGGGGAGTTCGAGCTCGTGGATCTGGTACAAGTCGCCCCCTCCCCCGCCAGCCCCTAACTCAGGCACCTCGACGCCATCCTTGGTTCGATTGACCACTGGCATAATGTAAACGACATCTCGGGACCGCGCTACTGACGAACACTGCACGCCGGGCTCGCAGCTATGAATCTGCGCTCGCTCGTCCTCACTCAGGCAGCCAGGCACAAAGCGGTTTCCCAAGTCGAAGCCGCAGAGCGAGGGTACCTCGCTGATGCCCCCTTCCACCCGCGAGGAACTCAGCGACCTATAGAGATCCATCTGGTATCGGTCCACATGCACCTTTATTGCAATTTAGCATCGAGTTATCCACGCTGGAGTTCCCGTAAAAGAGATACCTTCGATTTGAGCGCAGCCGAAAGAGCCACCCAGACTTCCTCATACCCCATCGTCCATGCTCGGAAGTAAAACGTCGTGTCGTCGGGGTAGGCTTCGACCTTGCGCAGCAACTCCGCCAGACCTTCTGCTTTGGACGGGAACACCCGGCAGATGTGCGAGGGGCGGGCGAAGGTGGTGTCGAGGTACATCTTGTCCAGCTGCTTGGTGCCCAGCGTGTAGGGAATCAGCACCGGGTGCCGAATGATGCTGTTGACCCACCAGGGTTCAGCTAAATCGCAGGATCAGACCAAGGAGATATGACGAGGCGCGAAAAGACCAACCCTTACCTCGGATGTCACCGGTGTATAGAATGGCTTTCCCATCGCCCTCAATCAGGAACATCACCGCCCCGGTGCAATGATTCGCATCGATGAGGACGACCCTAATGGACAACCGGGGGGTCAGGTCGATCACCGTGGGCGTGCCTAGTGGAATAGGCCTCTTTATCGTGAGTTAGCGCTTTGCGAGTCAGGGCAGGGCTGGTTGGGCTTGATACTAAAAGCTTGGCCAGGTGCTTGTAATGTAGCCGTCGCGATTCCAGGATGCCTTTACTGAAGTTCATCCGGTGAGGGTACTTCTCGATCCGCAGCAGCAGCTGAACATCTCCTCAGCTGCAATGCCCGCCATGCGTCAGGCTGGTATCCTACCTCTCGGGTGGCTGCTGAACAGTAGATGAAGGGAGCCCGAAAGGACTCGAGCCCCTGCAGGTGGTCACTGTGCACATGGCTCAGGAAGCAGACCAGGGGAGGAGGTCGATCTGGGCTCTTGCGAAAGTAATCGACTGGGGATGAGCTCTCAGCATGACTTTGTCCGTTCTAGAGATACAGGGTTGCAGGATGGATTACTTTGTATGGAGGGAAATTCTACTGGTCATTAGAGAGGTTCCATCTGGACTATCACTGAATTCTACCACCGACCTGGGACAATGCCGTCAAAGGTGGACATGATCCCACCGTTCTTTAGATAGTATTAGGGGGAGATAGGTGAAACTCGTGTAGAGATGCTTCAAGCTGTAGGGGAAGGAATAGTTGAAGGTGAAACAGAAAAGAATGACGGGAGGTAACGTGACTGCCATTGCTGCAGTGAATGCATGACTATTGCTTACTATCATTCCTGCCTTACCTTAAATTTCATTCAATAATACCTGATCTAAACTGACCTAATCTCCTCAAGGCCACCTCACTGGCTCTGCTGCAATAATACTCATCTTGTATTAGCATTCAACATTAGCATGACATGAATTCTGCGAGGATTAGTCCAGATCATACCGCTTTTTCGATTGAACTTTTCCGGACTTTGTCTGGCCCCTCCCTTGTCCACCACCGTCTTTTATGCACCCACCAAAGGAGAAATCCAATGCAAAAAAAAAAAAAAAAAAAAAAAAAAAAAAAAAAAAAACCCCACCAGAACGACTGATAGACCAAAAAAAAAAACAAACGGAAAAAAAAAAAATAAAAGGAAAAAAGTTCATGACGCTGGCCGGCTCAGAACCTCTCCCGATTCAAGTACCTACATCTCCCCAGACCGTCCAAGTGGCCGTGCAGCAG